TCACCGGTACGAGCAACGATGCCCAGTTCTAACACGGTGTAGGCTATGATTATGTTGGGTGAAGACGATCTGATTCAGCGTGGTGTAGGTGCTCTCGGTGCGCGACGTAAAATGATGAAAGTGTTCGAGTTGGTTCGCAAAGAGCTTGAGGCAGAGGTGAGGTTTGGATGATCAACAAGACACTGCTTTGACTTGACAGTATATATCGCTTTTGCTAACTTGGCATGCATTTTGATGTTGGTAGGGCTCTGGACTTTGAGGGCCTTGTTTCTATTTATATATACTTTTTGGACACACTTTATGACCATCTCCTTTATCCTTTTTGCCTTCCAACAAATAAAACTACATATGGGTGATTTTTTAGAGTTTGGGTTTACTACAATGGTAACCCATGTTGAAACAGCGATGGAGTCTCATTTAATGTTTTTTATTTGGCTAATGTTTTGGTAGAAGATGCAGAGGAGCATCGTGTCCAACCACAGCCTCTTTACCCCCAACAGTACCGACTGAGCCCGTAATGCCAAACGTAGTCCAAGTTGTTACGTTTTCTTTTGGCTCAATAGCAACCCAGCTTAAACTGTTTGCTTTTTTCAGCACAATCTCAAGTTTTGTCGAAAGCACTTCAAACTTGGATGCATTTGGATCGATTGGCTATGCAGAGTTTAAAAAGATGTCAACCCGATCAGGTTAGTTTCCACAGAAAGCATGCTGGGGGTATCCCAAAGTTGAAAAGATTCACCCAACACGTACCTGGAAGAGATCGGTATGGTATTGCGACGAGCTACCGTCCAAAAACAGAATATCCACTTTCAGGCTAGTTTTATCAAATACAACTGTTGTTGCAAGCTTGTCCACCTTTTTCGCAAAGATGGATAAAATGACCGTATCGGGAGTTTGATACCAATCACGGCGACACTCTACTACTTGCTTGATGTCCGTGGATTCAAGATGAACATTGGTAAATCGGTGTTTAGATGTCGAACATCCCTTGATTTTCAAAAACTCGTCGAATTCAAGTACACGTCTGGTGCAACACGACCATCCCTAGTTGAAACAGGGTAGTTCCATTTAGCAATAGGTTGGGTTAGTAAACAAGCACGGTGTTCAGATCATACATCATGTTCAATCGTGATCCTCCTGCTGTCAATACTTTATGTCAGATATTGGAGATACCTTGCTGCCCTCGTGAAAGACTGGAGCACCTGGATGATGGATACATTCTTGCGAGCGAGACGTATCGTCCAAGAAAGATTGACCGCATGTTTTGCGTTTGCAAAGTGTGCCTGGAGCAACGATCGCATCTGCGGGATCGTGCATATCCTTTTCTAAAAACACTGGAGCTGTGACAGCAGGAATCGATGCGGGCAGAGCAGCAGGTACAGAAGCCATGGTAAAGGTTTCTACCCCATCGTCTGATTTTTTTGGATCCGTCGCAGTTGTCGATACAGCAGCTACAGACACAGAAGCTTCTGGTGCCTTGTCTGTATGAGTGCCAGTCGTGCATCCTGGAATCTAATCGATTTTCATGATAGAAATCAGTATGAACTTGATCTGACCCATCGACCACTATAACGACTAGCGTTTTAAACCCATTTTTCAAAACTCGAATCAAGTGATTGACATCGACTCCATCTAGCACATTGCAGAAATAATCGAATAAAACTTTACCTTGAGAAATGCATCAAAGTCGGTCACTCGCTTGGTGCAGCATGACCACCCCTAATTATGTCAAGATGGTTCATGGTGTGTTATGGAGTCAATGCAAACTGAGGTTGTCATGCCAACAAGTGTTCAAGAATCAATGCAGTGAATTTTTTCCACATTCTTCTTGATTCCATCAAGTCATCGTGAAATGGTTTGACAAGAGCCAATGGACTTGCCTTGAGTCCTTCATGGAAAACAGCAGAGCCAGAGTGGTAGACACATTCCTTATTTCCTTCAATGGAAGGTTCAAATGGTTTACCGCAGCCTTTGTTGGCACAGACGATGGATGGCATGTTTGAAAGCCTAGTTTGAAATACTCGAATTTCTCAAATCTCAAGTTCGAGTTGGCCAATAGAATTCTCGCATCTATTCTCCATATTCACTGATTCAACTCCACTAACACTAAACTATAAAATGCTGGAAAACAAATTTCTTTCAAAAAAAAGATAAAAGGCTGGGGATAGACTTGAAAGAAACGTACGGCCCCTGCTGAAGCGGATCATGCTTAAAATAGAATAGCACATCACTTATAATCGTCATCATACCACCACAAGACCCACTTGAAGACTTCTTTTCAGAAAAACACGAAGCAAGAGATATTTTTAAATACCAGGTGCAGAGTTACATTGTTTTGGCCATTTCCTTCTTCTTCTTGTTTCGTGGGGGTGTGACGGGCCGACCAGTACCCATACCTCCATATGCATACTTTTGTTTCTTTTCTGCCGGCTTCAGAATCTATAACCAAATAATAGTAAAGGGTCAGTGAATGGGTACACCAATATACTAGCTTCATCTTGGCAAGTGTCATACTTGGAACGAGCACATGAGAGTTTCATCCACGCTCATCATGGCTCCTGCATTGTCAAATTCACCACAGTAATTGGGTGCAGAAAAAAGAGTAACCAATTGCCGTTTTGCAAAAAACTCGTAACCATCTTCAACCACTTGATGCGCACGACAGATTAGATCCAAGTCGTGCTTTTGCAAAAATCTCGTTACAACATCAGAGCCAAAAGTGAAGCTAACACCCCGATCGTTTTCGCTCCAGCCAGTAATATCCTTGTCAGGATCTGACCAAAGTAAATCGCAAAGAAGACCTTGATTGTAGAGTATCAAAGTTAGTGATCTTATTCAAAGAATAATCGACACAAGTACACATAAAATACAGCACACACCTGTATCAGGAACATCAGTGGGTCGCATAACCCGACGAATTTGCTCCATGGATTGAAGATCGGGAGATAAGCCACCGTGCATAGTAAAGATTTTTTCATCAATGATTGCTGCAATAGGTAAACAGTTGAAGCAATCTGTGAATGTTTTCCAGAGTTTGATGTTATACCTCCTTTTACCTATAAACAGGTTTAACAATAAAAGCAAGTCATGAGCACATATTAGACACCCATTTGTACTTGTCAAGATTTAAACTGCCAAATATATCAGTTGAATAGACAACACCAACTTACATTCGTCATAAAATCCGTAAATACGATTGATACTTGCACATTCATGATTTCCTCGAAGAATAAAAAAGTTTTCAGGGTATTTGATCTTGTATGCAAGCAGTAAGCAAATGGTCTCCAAGGACTGCTTTCCACGGTCTACGTAGTCTCCCAGAAAAAGATAGTTGGCCTCTGGAGGAAATCCACCATACTCGAATAATCTTAAAAGATCATAATACTGTCCGTGAATATCGCCTTATACCGTAGGATGAATCAGTTTTCAAAACAAAAGTACAAATAATCAGTCCATGGATATTCACAAAGTCAGGCAGTGTAAATGAAGCAACACACCGCAAATCTTAATTGGGGCTTCAAGTTCTAGAAGAATAGGCTGGTTTACAAAGATCTCTCTCGACTTTGTACAGAGGTAGCGGATTTCTGCTTCTGTAAGCTGGACTTGCTTTCCAGGTCGGCTTCCACGAACTTGACAATTCACAAATAAAGTTCAGTTAGACACGCCATGCAGTGCAATACTTTTATCTAGTAACAAATTCACCCAAAGCCATACGGCTTTATCAAAGTCAACGTGATTGAAACAAACCTTCAAGAAGTCGCTCAATGACAGAATCAATATCTGCTTCAGGGACAAGATCAGCCATGACAGAATAAAACGCTAGACTAGTATATGGGCGACAAAGACTACAGAGATCAATGTATATGAAGATTGGCGATTAAGTATGCTACTGGAATTAAAAACAAGTCCGATAAAGAATTAATGTTATTATAAACAAGAGTAATGAGTACCCACCAATTGATCAGTTTAGGGAATACATGGACATATGCAAAATGGGTTAAAGTCAGTGGAAATCAAATGGCATTACATCAAGCAGAGCGAAACTGCACATGGTTGATGGCACGAATTAAACAAGACATGTAGAATGTCATGTAGATACAAATGATCGAAATAAAAGTTTGAGCCATGATAAAGTGGACACCATTAATATACGAGGCGCGAGTCTACCGTTACATACCACTCGGTATTGTACAGTCGCAACACACCAATCAAGAGGGATAGCCAGAGACGAGAGAGAATGGATATAGAATGATACCATTGTGAGACACTTTGGGTCTTATCCATGCTTCTGCACTCAAGACTATCTTAATAGATGCTTGACAGAAAAATAGCTCAGTAGTGCCCACCACTCTGGCCAGCTTTGGACTGAAAAAGAACAGTCTAGCACACCAAAGTCCCATTCTGAGATGAGGCATACATTACAATGGGCCAGACCAATGACAAAAACAGGCGAGTCTGGCCGAGGCTTTATCTACAAGATGATGGTAGTAATAGAAAGGGGTGGTAATCACATCGGTACATATGCAAGGGGTAGCATCAAGGCAGTTCTCATCAGTCGGATTGTAGAATCAACAGGTGCTTGCATCCAATGACCATGATGTCTGTTCATCATCCAACTCCAGACATGAGATTTACATCTGGCATCATGCCATCCAAGAAGATGCCATTGAGATAGCAGCACTTGGTAGGGGTTGAATACAATGGGATTGATGCAGATTGAACTGATGCTGAACAATCTTGATGTCTACAATTATTCCAGAATGAACTATTCCATAGACTAGCACATTTGGCTACAACTTGGTCCGGTTTCCCTTTGATAATTAACATGCTAAAGGAAGACCATCACTAGCATGGCGACTTTGTTCTTCCCAAGTATGAAACTTCCATTACCAATGTCCTGTATAGGAGAAGACTAGATAAGGCATATTCAACAATTGAGCAATGGTTAGGTGTAGACTCACAGTCGCTGTTGTCAATACGGCTGCGACTGTTGGCTGTTTTGTAGGTTGAAGAGTTGCTCTTGTGATGCAAAAACAAGTTTTATTGTCGTGTTGAAAACGTCACGCAAAATTCGAGTTTGTATTGAAAAGGGTTCAACTGTTTGCTCTAGTCCAAATCCACCAAACCAATTAAACCAACGAGCAAATACTGCAATGTTACCACAATGACCCGCTATGACTTTCCATATCCTCGTCAACCACATCAATACCAGATTGTCCTACTTCAAAAGATCTATGGCGTAGCCGCATATTCCTCTCATACTCGGCACAAAATTCAAACTCATTTGTACTAAGATGACTTAGTGCTTCCACCAAGCCATCGCTACAAGAATAGTCGTGGGGTGCCATGGGTACATGACCACCATCTGGCTCAATACGCGACGAATTGCCAACTGCATATTCCAAAATTCCGTCATCTTGAAAAGAGGATATAGGAGCACGTTCAAGATGTGCAGATTCAGATGCAGTATGTCTTCGTCGTCGAGATCCATGTAAAAAAGCAGCTTTGTTTGATGGATGCAATGCGTTTCGCTCTTCAATAGTAAGACTGTCCAACCATCGCATTTGAGCAACAAACCGTGCTGATCCAGCTTCTGCAAATTGATTGAGTTCACGAAAAGCCTCGTGTCGTAGTCGAGTATATTTATCTAGATCTGGTTGTTCAAGATGGGACATGCGTGGTATCAACATGCTTTGTTGATGTCTACCATTGGATGGAATGTGATATGAGTTGCTAAACGGTGCTGTAAGCGCATTGGAAATATGCTCGTGCTTGTCTGTCTGGATAGTGCATTGTTGTGGTTGCTTGTCATAGGAAGCGTGACTAGATGATGCAGCCAATGTGCTGGGCATTTCAGTAAAATCCATATGGTTGACATCCAAGACTGGCGCCTTGATTGGATGAACCCAGGAAGATGATATTTGTATTTCCATCAGTGCGGTTTCAGAATGTGATATCAGTAGTATATAAAGAGCACCGGATAATATCGTTTTATTTGAATGAGATTTACACAAAGAATAACAGATAATGTCGGGTTTCTTGGATAAGATTATTCACTAAATTACTCTAAATTCTATCTTTAAATAAAATTTGATATTAAAAGTGTCAGATTTCACGACTCTCAACCATTTTTCTTTACCAAATGAATCCAACCGACCTTTCTATCGCCTGTCCTGGAGTCGACTTTACAGTCTTATACCAGCCACACGATACTTTATTCTCTATTGGTGACTATGTCATAAAGTATTTACAAAAGACTTTTGACATAATCAAGTCATCTTCAAATATCAAGAATAGCACTATTATGGTCTTTGATGTTAGATCTGACGAAATCCACAATAGTGCTGTTTTCGATATTGGGGGATGACTTGATTATGTCAAAAGTCTTTTGTAAATACTTTATGACATAGTCACCAATAGAGAATAAAGTATCGTGTGGCTGGTATGAGACTGTAAAGTCGACTCCAGGACAGGCGATAGAAAGGTCGGTTGGATTCATTTGGTAAAGAAAAATGGTTGAGAGTCGTGAAATCTGACAAACTTTTAATATCAAATTTTATTTAGAGATAGAATTTAGAGTAATTTAGTGAATAATCTTATCCAAGAAACCCGACATTATCTGTTATTCTTTGTGTAAATCTCATTCAAATAAAACGATATTATCCGGTGCTCTTTATATACTACTGATATGGGCTGCATATACGTATATGGTTGTGAGTTTAAGAGCGTTAGCAATGGTCGGATTTGGTGCTGTTAATAACAAATACACTTTCAATAGCGGGCCAACAAGAAAGGGCCTGAAATCAGCTGCAGTAATGGTACATACCGTTTAAACCATTCTAGATCGTTTTGTATTCTATTCAGTAACATAAGATATGCTAACAATAGCTTACATTTCTTGACTGATCAAGTGAAGTATTTAAACTGCAATGATTGTCAAACCGAGTGTTATAATACCAATATTACGCGATCAAGAATGGGGTATTAGTATGTCTTGTAGTTGCCAACTGTAGGGATAAGCGGATCAGTATTTTAAACCAATTGGGAAAGATGACTAGAATGCCAATACTGTCAGCAATATTCGACTTTTAATGCGAGTTTGCAGTTGAAAAGATGTTTACTACTGTATAGACTTGCTTGATTGAATCGTTAGCTAGCTAGACTTGGATTTTGGTTCAATGCCAATTTGTAAATCTCGTTATTATATTAATGTATTGGAAACCGTTTGTTTCTAATGGCTAATCTCGTATTTTGGCTAGTTTGCAACTGCTTTAATCACATAGTTTTCATGCTAAACAAACTCCAACTTCCCCACCCTTTGAACTTTTCCAGATTCAATCATGCCATACATTGCTCATCCCTCTCTGCAAGGTAAAGTATTGTTTTATACATCCATTTTTTACTTGCATATATTATCAAAGAACTTTTAAATTGGTAATCATCCAATATGCTGACTATACAATTCCGTTTCTATTATTTATTCAACCTGAAACGTTGTGCACGTAATTCTAGCCGGTACTAACAATGTACTCCGAACCAAAGTTGCCTGTACCATTGGCCCTGGTAAACATGTGTTGAATTTGGAATGCTAATCATCATTTATTCGTCATGTTTAGTGATCTTGTTGCATCCTAACCCTTGTTCATCTTTATGCAATGGTTTTCATGTTGCCATGAACAGCATCAAGATCAAAAGAGGTTTTGTCAGCCCTTGTCAATAGCGGCATGAGCATCGCTCGTATTAATATGAGCCATTCCACATATGATAATGCTGCACAAATCATCCGTAATCTGCGCGAGTACACTGATGCTTCCAAGGACCATCCAGAAGTTGGCATATGGGTAGACATCAATGGACCAAAAGTCAGGTATGCATGGCTATTTTTGATTCTTGATGTCGGGACAAGTAGATTTTGATAAAGGCATGCAAAGGCTGCTATTAAACTGTGCCGATGACTTGATTTGCTAACCTGACTTGCAACCGGGGGTTTATCTTATTATTGCTTAGAACTGGAAAACTTGTCGATGGTAAACCTGTCCACTTGAAGAAAGGAGACAGTTTTTTGTTTGTAAATGATAGCAGTGTCATTGGAGATCATACCCAGGTAATCTTGGAATCGATTGTTTGGTCATATTACACCATATCTTGAAAATATGCTCACCCTGATTTTATTTTACATTTTAGGTATCGACAAACTACACCCGCGAGCTTCTTCAGGTTGGAGATAAAGTTTTTGTCGACGATGGCTTGCTGTCATTCACCGTGACTGAGCGTTTGGAAAATGCCGTCAAGGCAGTCGTGGACAACAATGGTAGATATAAATAACCACGTTGAACAGTCGACTTGATCGTTTGATTTGGAATATAACTGGGCAATGATTTTTGTAACCAACCATTTGTTTTGAAAAATGATTCTTTCAGGCATTCTTGGCGAAAACAAGGGAGTTAATTTTCCTGATCGGAGAATTGACGATCTCCCTGCCATCTGTGAAAAGGACAAAAAAGATATTTTGTTTGCCATGCAACAAAACGTGGATTTCATTTCTATTTCATGTATTCGTGACATTGAGGATGTCGAAGAAGTCAGGTGAGCTGATTTATGGTTGATTACGATTCTTGTCTATTTGAACTATGGGCTAGCACTAGATCTATTGTATTTACGGCCGTGTTTACGTAAAACAAACACTTTTGTATCGATCTTGCAGCCACTGCCTCTATTTTACTTTGGAGTAGACAGTGGTTCAATATGTGTTGTGTTTTCTACCAAAAATTGTACAATTACCAAGTTTGAACTAGATTCATACATGAGTATGACTGTAATAGAAATCTAATTTAGTATATTTTTAATTTGAAAATTTCATTATTCATTTACGACCAGCAGAATGATCCTTGGTAACTCGCATACTAAGATGCTTGCCAAGATTGAAAACAAACGTGCTATGAATAATTTTGAGTCGATTCTGAATGTTGCCGATGGTATTGTCATTGATCGTGGATACCTTGGTGCCGAAGTGGATGTGGATGTTATTTGTGTTGCTCAGAAAAAGATGGTTGCTTTGGTAAGTTGGTTTATATCACTTTGTGCTGAATGGTATTGCGATTGAGTTGTTTGATGCTCATGTAAACATTGCAGGCAAACACAGCAGGAAAGCCTATTCTCATAGCAAATCAAATGCTTGAATCCATGGTGTCAAATCCCTATCCAACGAGGTCCGAGGCTTCTGGTAATATGCGTTGGACTGAATACTGTACTGCATACTGGTGTTTAATTTCAACGATTAGATGCTAATTTAACAACTATTTAGATGTTACCAATGCTGTTATGGATGGTGTTGATGGACTGGTTCTTTCTGGAGAGACTGCCATTGGTGAGTGCACATACTGTTTACCTTGTCAGCACAAGTATAGCTAATGATAACTTTTTAATTCGAATGTAAACCATACTTTTTATCCAAATTAGGCGAGTATGTGATTGAGACCGTCGCCACCATGCGTAAAATTATTTATCAAGCCGAGCTCAACACCAACTATCTCGAGTATCAAATGAAGGCCATGCGCAGCGTGACGAAACCCATTCATATTAACGAGTCCATTGCATCTTCTGCTGTTTTGTGTGCGCGTCAAGTTGGTGCAGCTATTATTATGGTGCTAACCGAAGCTGGTGGTACTGCTCGTCTTGTTGCAAAATACCGACCTTTGATTCCTGTCATTGCTGCCACGACAGTGCGAAAAACTGCTCGTCAGATGTCTGCCAATTTCGGACTTGTTCCTTATTATCATAGTACTGGACCTGTACGGTTTGAGATGCATTAGAATGGATTGTATCGAGTCTGGTTTTAATAGCCCAGATGATCGAGTTTGTATAGTTTCTTACTTTTTGATTGTAAATGTTTACAGGAGACCGCCATTAGGGACACACTGCGTAAGTAGATGGTTATGATGTGGTGTTCTTGTCTGTATATATCATATTCTAAACGATCCTTGTGGCAAAAATTTGAATATTTTTAATGTATTTAGTATATGCCAAGGATATTGGTCTGTGTAAAGCAGGGGATATTGCAGTGATTACTTCTGGTCAAGTTGTGGGTTTTTTGGAAGGCACGACCACCAAGATGCAGCTGGTAGTTGTTCCTGACTCGTAGCCAGTCTATTGTCTGGCAATATATCGATTGTAAAACTGTTTTAATTTTTAACGAGCCATTTCTTCATTAAACCAGTTTTATTCTGAAACTTTTATTTCTTTATTTTGGGTTGATGTGTTTATTAAAAGTTTAAATGTCTTGTTAAACATTCAATACATTGTTATTTCTACCAGAGTGACTTGAACAAAGGCAGATTCTTGCAGATTTTGGATGGTTGTAACCGAGTTAAAGTTGAGTTTAGTCCAGTAGGTTGTACATGAAAGAAGCAATGCAGTAAATAAAAGTGAATACAATAGATTCCAAACTGCCTTATTTAGCTAATACAACAAATTGACAGTTTTATCAAAAGTTAAAAAATCGAATGTCTGGCATAATTGGTAATGAAACGATGTGTGTAAAATGTGTATTTAGGTTATGCAAAAAAACACTCGGTTGTCTCAGGATAGCACGTATATCTTAAACTTTAGTTTTCAAACAACGATGGGTTACTGGTAGATGATTTTCAAGACCAAAACCAGTTATGCATCTGACAATGAGTTTGGTTTACCCCCAACAGCATCAAATAGCCCTGTCTGTTGTAAAGCAGCAGCAATGTGGGTTTGAAATAGAGCCATAAGGGCTGGATCGACTGCTGCTGTTGCTGCCTCTGGAACGGCATTTCCTCGTGGTTGACTAGTTGGTATCACTGTATCAAAATTAGATGGCTGCAATGGTGGAATGAGACAGTTGTGCAAAAGGTGACGGAGATCAGCTGAAGATTGTGAGGAATGTTGATGGTTTTGGGCGGGAATCGAAAGCGATGGCTGATGTAATGCCGATGCAAGCTGTGACGGATTCATATTTCCTAAAGCAAGTTGCGGCTGTGGTGGAACAGATGCTAAAATGGCTGCAGTAATAGCACCATAATCCGGAGCTAGTAATCATCAACATATATAATTGTTAGTTTTAAATATAAACACTGTAAGCCAAATAGCTTTACAGCAACATGGTTACCTGTGGTGGCATTTCCCCCAGGAAGCAAAACAGCCAATGTAGCAATTGCCTGTAGAATTTCATTTGACACAGTCGGTTGTGCTGTAGAAGGTACCAATAACTTTTGATAAAACGATTGAAGATCTGTATGTTGTGATGGAGGTAAAAATGGCAGAATCTGTCTTTGCGTTGAAGCACCAGTAGATGCTTTATTTGAGTGTTTTGATGCCGAATGAGCTCGCGAATGAGCTGCAGTAGAATATTTCAACGATCTGGAAGGCTTTGTCAATTTCTGCAGCCTTTTTCGCTTCAAAGCCTGTACTGCAGGTGTAGGTGACTCGGAGTTTTCAGTTTGTGAATCTGTGGATGATGGAATATCTTCAATTGCAGCAACAGATGTAGTTGTTGTTGGACCAAATGGTGACAATGCAACGGGTATGGGAGTTGTAATTTTGACTGTTTCTAAAATCGATGCAGTATGAGGCAAAATTGTCATTGTGGTGCTAGATTCTACCGATTGAGAACCTGAAAGTACTAATGGTTCTAATTTTGACAAACTTTGGGTGTTCTGCTGACGAAATGCTCTTTCAACATTTGATGGACGACCACGCTTACGACGACTTGCATCTACACATTCGTGGGTCTTGTTGTTACGAATACATCTCTAAAAACATACACACATTACTAGGTTAGCGAGTTTGAACAGTGACAAAATGAGGTATGTAGTAGCAGTTTTAATCTTGTCAAACCAAGCCAATACACAGGTTTTGATGGCTTATAGCGTTAAATTTCCAACTTGCCTGACATGGCCGTTCATTACCGCATGCAGTGTGTGCTAGTTTACATGCCTGGCATGCCTTTTGTACATAAGGTCCAGAGTGTCCTTTGGGGCTTGCATCAGGAAATGAATATCGAAAGGGCTGACTTTTATTCGGAAAGGTAGATAGTCCCTGCAATGAAAAAGAGGATGGCAAAGTGTTCATTCCTACAGCAGGAGCAGCCAGGTTTATAAGATCTGGCAGGTGTAGTTTATCCAACAATGGCTGTTGTTGCAGTGTATCCTGACCAGCGACATTCCCCATTGTGTTGTTTACTGCATCTGTGATTAGCTTTATGGCTGCCAAGGATGGTAAACTAGACAACTACCATGAACAATAAATAGAAACAAGTTAGATTTTTTAAAGTGCATGCCTGCAACCAACTGCAACCAATGCCATAAGTGATTCCTGACATACCGGATCTTGCCATGGCGATGGAGTCTGTGGTTTTTGCAACGAGCGATTTTCAGTAGCCATTTGAGCCTGAACCAGTGGAATCAAGGACTGCATAAAATGATCCATAACTTGCTGCGTAACATCATCCTGCTGCTGTTCCAGTTGAGCCTGAGCAGCCCGCTGCTGAAAAAGCTGTTCCTGTTGCAATTGCTGCAACTGCAGCTGGATTTGATGTTGTAGCTGCTGCTGCATCAGCAGCTGTAAAAAAGAGTTTGTGAAGGAATTCGCAGTTGCGCCGGTCAAGGCAGAAGCTATGGCCGGTGAAGGTGATTCAAGGTGTTGTGAAGGCTGAGTGTCTTGTAGAATCTGCCGTGAGGATGACAACAAGCTAATAGGCTTGGATTGACTGGATTCAGTCAGAGAATGAACTGGATGAGAAGCCATGCAGTTGCTCTTGAGCTGATCCAACACAATCTTGTCAATTCAATGGAAAGAATTAAATGTCCAATTTACTGCCATATTCACGTAAAACATTAAATAAGGGTGTCGAATAAACAGCCAGTTTCATCAGATTTACTAGACGATATTGTTATCTAAACTCTAGTTTGCCGAGTTTAGAGGACAATATTGTATATAAAAACTAGACAGATATTCATACTGCTGTGGTGTGAATCCCATACCAAAACCGTCAAACTGGGTATCTGGTTTCAAACTTGACGATCATGCAGTATATAACTATTTCAAAGTGAAGTAGTTTAACTGCAAGCATCAATGATGATTTATTGTTTATTGAAAAATAATTAACAGAAAAACAGCAAATACTCATTCCAAGTGTTCTAGTTTACGCGAAACGGTTGTCTAGCACACCCTCAGGAATACGACTGTAACTGCCAGTTTCTAGTCAAGCTTGTACTAAAACAATGTTGCCACTGCCCATCCAGCAAGGCAGCACCAAAGTCGGTGCTGTCGCCTACTTTCTCGCTGGAGTGTCTGTTTTTGTTGCCACTGTCTTGTCTTTGTACTCTATGTTTTTGCATCTTAAAAACTATCGACGGCCTGACTTGCAGCGTCTGATTATCCGTATTTTGTGGATGTAAGCTTTCTGGTTTCACAAGACGTCTGATGTGTAGTGCATATTAACTGTTGAAAATCACTTGCTTTTCTTGCTGCAAATCTTGTTGTTTCAAATAACTTGGGTCCTGTTCAACTTTTCAATAACCTTGTTTAGGTCAATGATGTTCCGTTCTTTACCCTTCATGCTTGGTCTACTTATCTTGTAGATCAATTACGTTATGATCTCAACGGATGTTTTATTTATCTGATCTACTTGTAGTTTTTAATTCTTGTTTTTGAATGCAATCAAATATAGGGTACCTATTTATGGTGTTGCTTCATTCGTTAGTCTGTCATCCAAGTACACGTCGCACTATATCGACACAATTCGTGATGTTTACGAGGTCAGTACGAGTTGATGTTTTCGACAATTTGCAAAATTTCATTTGATTAAAGTCATGAGTGTTTATCGGCATACTTGTGCAATTAGGCTTTTGTGATATATTCGTTTTTCACTCTTTTAATCAACTATCTCGGCGGAGAGCGTGCACTTCTTTCACTACTACAAGAACGATTACGTATTCACCATCTTTGGCCATTCAACTATTGTTTTCTTCCCATGGATGTAGGTTGCGTGTTTAATATTTGTGAATTAAAGTGTCTTTGTATTTTTTGACCAAATCAAAATGCATATATTACAGATGAGTGATCCACAAACATTTTTGTTTATTCGTCGAGGTGTACTTCAGTTTGTTATTCTTAAACCACTTTTGGCCATCCTCATTATGATTCTCAAAGTATCAGGACACTACGAAGAAGGATACGTTGCATGGGAGAGTTCATATCTATATCTGTCGTTTGCATATAACCTCAGTGTTTGCTGTAGCATGTACTGCCTAGTTTTGTTTTATGTGCAATGCTCCAACGATCTTGAACCGTACAGACCCATGCCAAAATTTATATGTGTCAAGGCTATTATTTTCCTTACATTCTGGCAAGGTTTGATTGTGGCAATGTTAGTTGCTGTCGGAGCAATTAGTGGTTCTGATCAAGACAAGGAATATTCGGCAAATAATATTGCACTTGCTTTACAAGATACCATACTTTGTTTTGAGATGCCATTTTTTGCTTGGCTGCACTTTTATGCATTTCCTTGGACCGACTATGATGATCGTAGACTATCATCGCGTGTTACACTGCGATATGCTGTTCGTGATGCATTGGGAATCAAAGATTTGATCCAAGACACTTATTTTACCTTTGTGGATCCACCAGATTTTACACGTCCACTTCGTCATCCAACCCATCGCAGCTGGGCAGAAACACATACAGTAGCCCACTGGATTGAAGATGATGAAGATGGTTTGCCAAGCAGCTATTATGGACAACAGAGTGCATCTTATTCATCCTCGTCAATTTTAGCGGCTAGATCTGAACGTCAGCACATTGGACCAAGCCGTCAGGGTAAATTGTACCTTGAATCAGATGATGAGACTGATATGACACCACTTGAATTTCTTGATCCTGACGACGAAGAAGAGATTGATTATGCTCAATCCAGAGAGCTTATGTTTGGAGATTTTAATTTTCCTGTTGTGCATGAAGATCCACGGTATCAGCATCCGCCGCAGGTTCGACGGATTATTGAGCAACATGCGACTGATTTTAATGCACAAGTAGCTCGTCTTGGATTTGGAACACTATTTTTTGGCGATACTGAGCAGGAATATGCACACCCATCCAATCGTCCTGCAAATGCTCAATTAGATGGCTCGCGTGGTAAACAGCATGCTATGGTCAGAGAAGAGGATACTTATGATGATGTCATTGAAGTAGACTCTACAGAAGATAGTAGTGGACTGCTACGGACGCATTTTCATTCAAGCGAGACACATAAATGATTTCTATTTCCATAGTTAGTTTTGTATCATCGGGCAACTTGCCAAACCATTGGCTTCATTTTTATACCATCCATTTATTTACATTGTCAAGTTGGGCATAGTTTATAGGATTTCCGTATCCTACTTTTTTAAATGTCTGCCGTAGGTTAAATAAAGTATTCACACATTTATAACTGTGGCTTTAAAGGCTGGGTTTACATATTTTTCCGTCAAGGTTGCACACATTCCAATTTACTGCTGCATTCACGTAAAATGAACCACTAGATAAAAGTCGGCATAACAAACTGCCAGTTTCCACCAAATTGACTGAACGATACGGTTATTTCAAAAGTGAATAAATAGTTTAATTGTGAGCATCGCATGATGGCCGTTTTCCATTGAAAAAATAGTCAATTCCTAACAGGAAAGTGGAGCGAACAAATGTTCATTTCAGAGCAAAATACAATCACTGCAAGAAATTCAAGTTTTATTTTACGTGAACACGGCAGTCATTTCCAAAAACTCGAGTTTGGTTCGTCTGTCATGGAGAGCCTATCCAAGTTTGTGCAGCTGATGCTATTGCATGTCGAACTACCTGTATGGTTTGACAAAAATAATGAACAGGACAGCCAGTCTATAGACATATCCATTTCCCAGCTTTCCTCTCAACTTGCATTTGTAAATGAACAGTTGATCAAAATACCTCAAAAGAGGTAAATACCATCAGTTTAAGCGACGAATGTCATAGTTTTACTACAGATTCGAGCAGTTTCTTGGACTTTATTCTCATCTGTTATACATTGTATTTTGTGTAACCTGATGTTGGTTCTGATGCAGACGATTTCCCAGAGTAATCGAGACTCAGATATGGAAACTCTATGAAGCTCAACTTGTCCAAGTCAAACAGACGTTGCAGCAACGATCGGAATGGGAGAGAACCTCTTCAATTTATTTTAAACTTATCAAGAAACTGTTTGAGTGGATGCGAAACACATGTGCGGATGTACCAGAAAATCAATGGATTGCTAGGTAAAACCTATTATGCGTATATCAATGTTTGTTTTTTGGTACTGAACATGTGTTCTTGATTTTTAACCCAATCTTCAACTAGCGAGATTCAAGTGCATACTATTGTTAATGATATCCTACTGGATCTGATTGATTGGCGTAATCATGCAGGCGAAGAGTCTGAAAGAAAAGGTACGTTTTACATGTCCTTCAAATCATTGGATTCAAGCAAATCAAACTACCATTATTTTTGGATTTAATGTTCTGTTTTGGCACCTTTTATTTATAGACGCAACTCAAGCAATTGACATGGGGATGCAAGCATTGTCAAATATGTGCACTTCCAACACTTTAGTGCAGTCGTCTATCTGGCAATTTTTTGTGAGGGAATCGCAGCTTCTTAGGTTTGTAATTGCACGAAGCATTCGCTACATATTTTGGTACAGCTATTTCTGACATATGTACTTGATACTATTTGACTACTATGATGAATAGCTTGTTTCTGTTATTTGCCGATCCTGCGTCAGTCAAGTACGCTCTTGTGTGGATCCATAACTGTACTTTGAACAATTCGTTACAATGGCAAGTGTGATGGGTTTAGTCACGCTTAATTATTTTGGAAATGTTTAATTTATATTGTATGCTCGTTACAAATGATTATATCTAGTAAAGATTTTGTTGATAATATTACTGGCTCTGAAGCAATTGCATCTATTTTGAATGTTTTTGCAAATGAAAGCGGTACTCAAACTGACAATTTTGAATTAAGGTGAGTTTGATTTGCAGTTTTACTGGTGGTATTGGCATCGTAACTAAATTAAATTTTATTGGGTTTAACAAGCTATTCATGTATAAAGAACCTGTTGATATCAGACTTGGCTCCAGCTATATGGACATCTTTGGAGCAGTCAGTACACTTGCTTTGGAGATTTATCAACTGATAAAATTAAAATATTCATTTTTTAAATCAATAGCAACTAACACTTGAATATTAATAGAATAGAGAATGGAGGCATGTCTTCAGTGCATGTAGCGTTACTAAAAGCTCTTGATGGAATGGTAAACGGTTCTGCGCAACTGAATGTGAGCTTGCCAAACACAAGCAAGTTGATATCGAGAATACTAGTTTCAACAACCAAAAAGCTTCAAACATTACTAAGTACTCCTGAACCTCAGTTGGATTCATCTATACAACACATTTGCACATTCGTTGTGCTTGTTTTACAATATCTCGGAGTGGCATCACAAATATCCACAGAAGCTGAGATTTCAAGTTGGGTAGATGACGGACTTGCCAAATCTCTGATCAGTAAGTGTCGATTCTCTGGATATTCGTTGCTTTATTTGGTATAATATTCTAGTTTTCAACTAACGATTTGCTTTGTTGTATCTTGACTAGCTTTATTACACGGTGTGAGTAAGCTTCAACCCATATTTGTGGATAAGTCGAGTAGTCCTTCGCATGATATCAAGTCCAACATATTCTTTATGATTCGGTGTGATATCATGAAAGTGATTGCCAATATCACATATACATCTCAACAAGCACAAAATGAGGTGAGTTGAGCAATGCATGATATACTTGCTAAAACCATGTAAATTGACTTATACGTGTCATTCCATGGTGTAGATCAGAATGTGCGATGGGATTCCATTAGTATTGAGCAACTGCGTGATCGATGATTTGAATCCATGTAGGTTAACTTTAGTTGTATTTTTTACGGATTTTCAGTCAATGATGAGCATTTTTGATTTACCCTTTTACTGATGGATGCAGATTTACGAGAATATGCACTGTTTGCAGTGCGTAATCTGACCAAAAACAACAGAGAAAACCAAATGTTGATTGCATCGCTGGAAGCGAGAAAAGTAGTTCCAAACGAGATACTGACAGAAATGGGAGTTGAAGCAGCAATAGATCCAGTAACAGGTAAACTGACATTCAAATAAACCGTTACTTTACAAATCAATTGGCAGACACAGTTTGAACTTGTGAGGAATCGATTCTACTGTTTGGGTCAAATTAAAATCAATCTGTAAATGGTTGAAGCAGTTGAACAACCATTGTTGTATTTGCATAAAATGGAGCACTAAACAAGAATGCCACTCATAACCAGCAGAATTTTGAGAACAATCGAGTCCAATATATGGATTGTTGTGAATACGAAGATTGTATAAGTTATGACTATGCAGAATGTCAAGATAAAGATGGCTTGAGTGTGTCATATGATGATCGTTGTGTTGATTCAAAAAGTAGTCGATTGGAATAAGAAAACGCAGCGAATATCAAACAATTATTCTGGAGCAGAAAAACACGAGCATTCCATTCTACGCGAATCCAACTGTAAATTCAAATTCAGTCCATCGGACATCTTGTCCATTATTATACATTACTGAGCAATTTATGACTGGGAATGTTCCAGGTGGATCGTTAAAAAAGTCTTTTAAAAGATTCGTTTCAGAGGAGAATACTACTGGAAACAACTTTCATTCATGCAGAACTACTGCAGCCAATACTAATCAACAGTCATTGAAGCGAAGTGTCTTGCAGTTGATTCCATCCAATTCACAGCATAATACTATATCCCTGCTAAATGATCCATCAACTATTATCAACAAACAGACTCCTAGCCACATATCTGACTGTTCCGCCAGAAATATATGCACAGATGCTACTACACCATCCAATGCTCACCGACCTTTAGCAAAGATTGGTCTTTCTCGGCCCCATATGGCAACTCCTCCATCTGCGCATCCCCGACTTGAACAAACATGTCGAACCCCTAGTTGGCCTCCAAGAACTACAGCATCGGCTGGATCTGCATTGTCCGAGTTCAAACAACCAATGGGGTCTGCTTCAAAACTTGAATCTAGTCGAACTGGATTGCATAATCCATTAGAGCCTTGGATCAGACAGCAAGATCCGTTCAGTACTCCACAGCAAGGACTGTCCAAGTCAGAGTTTGAAACAGTTTCTTTGTCTTCAAACGATTCTGTTATTCACGACGCTACAATTTTTGATGGTAAATCCATGTCAGTTGGCAGTGCTAGGGAAATGTCGCCTTGGATCCATACTCCAACTAGTAGACTTGCAGAACCTTTTCAACGCAGCCGATCGCCATTGGCAGTACACAATCCTGCACTTTTTCCAAAAATCCATTCTTCTGCTGCAATCAATCTTTCGACTGCTTCTGTTGCTATCGAGGAATCTACTATTCCTCTTACTCCAAATACTAAAAAAAATGACCCAACTTTTCGGCATCTGGCATGGTCACCATCTCTTGAGACTCCAACTCATATATCATCTACTAATGCCAATATTATGAGCGAACTGCGTAAAACTAATGTGTCTGTCAGTTTCAACTCTCCCTCATATGAATTTTCTGGATCGAAATCTCGACTGACCGAACCTCCCAATATGCTGTTTTTGAAATCTTCAAATGAAAGCAATGATGGCGACTTACAAGCAACAGCTGCACCAATCAACACCATCATGGATAAATCTAAATCTGTACAGTCCACATATAAACTAATTAAATCTCCTAGTCGGAACCAGTCTACTGTAATGGATGGTCAGTTATCTACAATTGATTTGTTCATGGATCGTATTCATACACAAGATTCGCGTGAATTGGAAACAGAAAGGCCGTTTGAGCATCATAGAGCATTCACACAGCATCCATTAGAAAATCGAAAATATTTTCCTAATAGCACTGAAGATGCTTTACCCACATCAAGCCAGTTTAACGCCAAGCTACTGAAATCAGATACGCGTAAATTATTACTGCAAAATACCCCAAAAAATGACCCAGATTGGCTGATATCCAGGAACAGAGCTTCAAACAGACATCATACAGCACCTACGCCTGTAGTTGGACGTAGATATAGTCGTATAAAAGATTATCACAAACATTATGCAGAGTCTATAAACAGCAACAATCGTCCACCCATGACAGATGCATGGATGTTCCACAAAACACCAGTGATGCGATCTGAGAAACGTAACCGCACATTCTTTTCCACAACAAATGATATTCCCGTGTGTGATCTTTCTAATGCTTTCGACAAACAGTTTACTGACAAGAGGGTTCATCAACAGATGATATCTGAAAATAGTGAACTGGATGCAATGATTGAAACCGATTCCGACTACCAGGATTTGGACACGGAATTTTTATTTAATGACCACTTGCACAAGACTACTTGTTTTGATTTAAACACAGGTGATGTTGATTCACGTGCGAGATTCAAGTCTGTTACGTCGCTCACTCATACCCATGAAAATATCATGATTGCAGAAGACATATCTCTAGTTAAGCCAGTAGCACAAAGATGCTTACATGTACCATTGGCTGATTTTGACGAAAGAAAAAGGTAGATTTTGCAATTTCTTATTGTACTCTACAGTTTTTAAAGTGTTTCATATCAATTGCATTTGTTACTTAGTAAAATTCAATCACCAAGTATGAAGTGTGCTGTACCAAAATTACCGCTTTCTGATTCGAAAGAAACAATCTTGTCAATAGAAAAGAGCGTACAACGCAGCAGTACACCAGAACAAGAATTTTCATGCTCGTCATTGCTACATCCACTTTCACGGGAAGTACCGTCGCCAGATATCATATCACAGTCTGATGTTAATATACAAGCGGAGCCATTTTCATTTTATCAACAGAACTCGGGGTTTAAACAGTCGCCTTGTCGATCCAGATCTACATTATTGGCTCAAAAAAATGAGTTTGAAACAGTTGCAGAGTATTCTGAATCACCCAATGCTGCTGTTTCTTCCTCTGAAATTTGTGGTGCTCATACCCCAACTCCAAGTGCTCAAAATAGACAATCTTTCAGTAAGCTCGCCGTTTCTCCCGTGGCATTTACTTTGGAAAAGTCTTCTAGGCAGCTGTGTGATACCACGACAAGTTCTGATACAATACATTCTACTGATTTGGATCCAGCATTGAGTACTGGTAATGGATCTAAAGATAGTGACCATAATACAACTTTAGTAGATAAGCCGCTTTTAAGCAATACTTTGGATACATCACAAGCTGAAAATTTGACTTCAACTCAACGTGTTGCTTTACCATCTTTGCAAAATCTTTCCTCACCAATTGCACTGCACTGTTTAATGGATAATTCTGTATCCATTTTAGCTGAATCAGGAGATACAGTCGAATCTCAGAGTGATTCCACCAGGTTTTTAGTAGATTTCGTAAGCATATGGGTTTGATCAATTATTTGTATGCATTGAAATTCATGTAGCTGTTTAAATTTTAACTGGTATATCATATTTTATTTTCTATTCAGGCAAGTACTAAACCGCTGGAAATTGATCATGAAATCAAAAATAGGATTGAATGCGATGCAGCGCCTTTTTTAAACGGATCCCATGCTGACCTTACTAGCGAATCTGATTCGATACAAAATATTCAAGTGGATCATAATTATATGACGGGAGATACTGTTGCGAATGAGTGCACCAAAGTGGACACATTGCATAGTAACGATCACCTAATGTCCACTGTACCATTTTCAGAAACGGCATTCACTGATGTCGAAATTAGCCAAATCCCGGTTTCTAGTTTCGATCAAGAGCACGATAAAAACGTTTCGATTGTCACTCAGTGTGCCAAGAGTCAAGTAGAAAACTCCTCCAATATACAGCAAGAGATTATAACAGATGATGGTAAAGACGAGACGGATGACCAGATGAATGCATCTCAAACTACGTTTACCCAATTTGAAGATCTCATTTCCACTCAGTTACTCAACACGATTCAAATTGACAAAATTGAGATCCCAGCTTCTTTAGCGATAGATGAGCCGCTATTTATTATACCAACTCAACTTAAATCATGTTCCTCGGATTCAGGTGACTCTGTCAGTATCAGACATATCAGTAATGCCAGCATAGATGTGACAGAAAAAGATAACGCTGATGCTATGGATGATCAGCTCCTGAGTACACAAATTCTTGCCAATATTCCTCTTAATACTTATACGTGTGATTCGATTAAAAATCAGCATTTGGATGCATCCTTTCAAGCAGATCAGGATTCAAAGGCTTCAATTGATAGTTTTTCCAAGGATGTCGATTGGTCATTGGATGAATTTTCGCAGGATGTGTGTCCAACTCAGGATATGATTCGTGCAGCTGATCTTGCTATTCAAGCCCATGAGTACGAAACTTTACAGCAACACAAGTCAAAAGCAGATTCTAGTTTCAATTCTGATGCACCTTTAACAACGGAGCAAGATACATCAATAGAAGTAAATGTGATACCTCAGCCGCATTCAAGTGAACCACAAAAGTTTGAAAATTTTGTTACTCATAGACTGGCAATTCAAAATAGCAGCCGCGACTTGGATCACATCAAAGATATATCCTCAAAATATACTCAGCACGAGCAGAAACTTGATCAAAACAAATCTAATACTAAGATTGATTTGAACTCTAGCTATAAGTTTGCATCAGGAAAGCAAGCGCATGTCAGCACAAAATCTCAAACTATTGGACAGGCTTTGCTTTTGGAGGAAAGTGGTATTTCGCAAAAGTGTACAAGACTTTTGAGGGACAATATTGATGTGTCAGTTACGGTGCCTGGAACCATGCGGCCATTGATTTTGCGAGATGTAGCAAGCCAATACACTACTAAAGGTTGTGCATTAAATGGTAATCCAAAAATGGGAATATCTAAAGTTGCTGGAGATCCTAGTGTTACTACTGCGTCTGAAATCAAGCCTGTTTCCTTTTTACATGTATCTGACCAAAACAGCAGTGTTTCTTTTGAAGACGAAATGCCCATGACTATCGATAGTACGCCATTTTGCTTTACTGAGCCAATCCAATTTGGCTTGTCTACTGAACCAATTTCATGTAACGAATCAGCTCAATCCATTTCTGCAACACCGAAAAATAACTCTCAAATCAAAATGGCGGGGTTTACCACTGGATCGGGTAAACCTTTGGCAAAATTATCCAACAAAGCACTTGAACGTGCAAATCTCATCATGGGTTCTGTTAAGCTAAATTTGTCCGATACATTTGATAAAACTATGCCCCATACATCCAGATACATAAAGCCACTAGACTATACTTCCGACAAAAGCGCTTTTAGATCCACTTTACCATTATCTGAATCTCAGTTTACGTCAGGGAAAAAACTGGACACATCACTACATGAAGTGTTTCAACACACCAGTGAAATTACGGATTCTGAAGATCCAAATTCTACTACTTTGCATGTTAATAACAATACTTCTAGCCCTTTGTCTGATAATCCTATGTTGAGCGAGACTACTTCCAAAACTGCTTTAAATTTTATGGGATCCCAGTCTGCACCTGGAGAACAATTAGATGCGCCATCAGTCCAAGCCCGTCGCCGATCAGCGCGATTGTTTGCAGATTTGAACATGACGAATGACTTGCCACATAAAGATATAACTAGTACTGGCAATAACTTTTTACACGATGACGAAGTCAGATTGCAAACTCCAGATGACTCGTATAAATCAAGTCCGGCACATATTAAAAAAACACTGGCGTCAGAAAACATGTCACATTGGAGTACGCCGAAACGTCCGGCTTTAGGGAATAGGCATACTGTGTCGCTGTCAAGTCTTGGACGCCGTATCTCTACTCAAGTGCATCCGTCCCCTAAAATCGCTGCAACCAATTCTACATCATCGCCAATGTTAAACAATCCTTTCAAGATGCCCATTATAAAAACTCCGCTATCAAGTAAAATGCTTCATCCAAATGTAAAAGCAGTTTCGGCAAAACGGTATAGTCATGGTACTACTTTTGAGTCTAGCCAGCTTTCAACTGCTCAATCAAAACCGCCATTTGAGCTATACGATCTTTCCGGTAAGTTGCTTTGTTTTTAAATAATGTTTATAATCAGTTTGGTATAATACACACAAGCCATAAAATTGACTATGCTTATGCTATCCATTGAAACTTGAATTGTTTTTTTGGGTAAATCAAATTATCGTAATAGTTCACAATGTTTCACGTCCTTCGCTAAAATCGTTTTCTAAGCTACAGTGGCCACTAGTTTCGGATTTGCAACTTATTGGAGTGTAAGTGTTGTTATGTTTTGTTTGTCATCTACATTGAGGGTTCGGTTATTAGCCTGACGTGTTTATCCTGTCTATAGATCACAGGAAGTAATTACCCTCACTCTTAAATCTGCATCAAATTATACATTTGACTTTCAAGGACATTCAGCAGCGCGATCAAGCATTATTGCCGCTGGTGCAAATCAAAAACTAGCTAATGAAGCATGGGTTCAGAATCACTATAGTTTAATTTTATGGAAACTTGCCAGCCTTGTTCGACGATTTCCATTCGAGTATCGAACCTATTGGTCGTTTGACACTGTTGTTCAGCAGCTCAAGTATCGATATGAAATGGAGATCAACAAAGTTCGAAGTTCGGTAATCAAACAAATTACTGAGCAGGATAATGTTCCTGGATGGCATATGATTCTGTGCGTTTCCGAAATTTTTACTGACGGTTTGATTGAGTTGACTGATGGATGGTACTGTATTTGTGCCGTGCTTGATGATCGCCTTCGGTTTCTTACTTCTCGCGGGTATATCAAAGTGGGTCAAAAACTACATATTGATGGTGCACAACTCGAGGGCCCTTTACCCACAACTCCACTTGAAATGACTGCTGAGACTCGGCTTCGACTTCACGCAAATGGTGTTCAACGAGCAAAGTGGTATGATAAGCTTGGGTATGCGCTTCCACCTCACATTACTCGTGGGATTAAAGGTCTTGTGCATAATGGTGGTAGCATTGGCTGTCTTGATGTAGTTGTGATTCGTCAGTACCCGATTGTATATAAGGAGCGATTGCCAAATATGTCGTATATCTATCGAAGTGAGCGAGAAGAGAATAAGGTCGCCGATAGCTGGGAGCGTCGTGGGCAAGCCGTGCTTCAAATGGTGCAACAGGAGTGCTTTAGTGAGTGCGGCAAGGAATCTGAAAAATGTAGGTTGTTTGGAATTGCTGTATGTCATACTGTAATTAGTATTAGACTATTGGCTAAATGCTTTAATTATTTAGATGCTCGAGACGAAAAAGAATTTCAAGACTTGGTGATGGATCTTTTTCAGGTAATTTGACAATCAAAATGATTAACAATATTTAATGAATACCTAGAATTATATTTTTGATTGCATTTCAATCCATAGGAGCGACATCCGGCTCGAATAGTGGTTCCCATACTGCAAGTTCTTGTATGCGATTATCCACCAGCTGGTGTGATGAAGAGCAATACCCGGACAGCTATATTAACCATTCCATGCAAAGAGTTTACTGAGTCTTCAAAGTTTAGTGAAGGCATGCGAGTTAAGGCGTTTAAAGTAGGATGTACATCTAGGGACAAATCTGATCGGTTGAAACTATCAATCACCCAATTTTCGTCATTCTACAGTTTACCTATAGATCCAGCACGATTAGCTCAAACGCATTATACTCCACGACAATTGGTGCAAGCAGATCAGCTCCATGGAATTCCTATAAATGGGGAGCTTGATATGATTACAGTAGTTTGCCTTCATATTGACTGGAAACAGCAGCATATTAATGGCAGTAGCGCCGATCATCAGTCGCAACGGACAAAACATACGTTTTTATGCTGCGATACGAGCCAACATCTGTTTGTGGTGGATATGGAGAGCATAACCAATTTCAAGTTAAATGAGGAGTTTGCCGTGGTATGGATGAAGAATCTAGAGATGGCAGGGTTTGACACCTCGTTACAGATGAACCGACTGCGGGCAACCATATATTCGGAATTCAAATTGACAGGAGCACTCCAGCCATTTGGACATCAACCACGAACTGACTTGGTGGCATGGCGAGACAGGTAAATGATTGGCATGTGAACTGCATTGAATTTAATCGTGAAATCGGTACTGATTCTTGTTTTTATGAAGATGTTGGTCTACATTGTGCCAGATTCGAGACTCGCATGCATCGCTTGGCATGACTATTGCTCAGTAACTTCATCTAATATTTTTATTACCCATCCATAGTTTAACATCCGATTCACGTAAAATGAAGCCTTTTTCTGTATTTATCTTGCAGTCATTGCTCTAAAATAAACAATGGCTAAATATTCATTGTTTTTTCTACACATTGATTGCTTCAATCAACATGATCAATTCCTCGGTGTTTGGAATTGCCTGACGAACAAAATCATTCTCCGCAGGGTTCAAAAACCAGACACATTTCTCATCGCCCATCTGTTTTCCATTCACAAGAGTTGGTTTTTGTACGTAATATTGTTACCAAGATCATTGGTATTGTTGGTCAAGCATTTGCGCTTGGTAAAGATCCACAAGATTAATTCATCAATGATTTGATATGTTTTCATGGCAATATATTACAAGATTCATGCATAAAAGGACATGCTTGAATGATACACCACAAACTGTTTTTATATAATGATTCAAAGGCACGAATGTTTTCCAGTAAATTAGCACCAATCAGACATGAGACTATTTATCATGTATTTTTGACTCTTGTAGTCTTTATTTTACGGGAGTACGACTGCAATAGCTAGTTAAAGGTATATATATGGATAACAAGACAAGCGACACTGCCAATCCACTGTTTACTCTCAGTGCCCATACATCATCAGTCCAACACCAGCCAAGTACTTTTTATGTCCATCAGCCAGTATCCTCTAATGGCCTCCATTCTCACTCCCAATCAGCAAGACCTATTGCTACAGCTATAAGTCTTTGGAATCTGCCTCCACTGGACTCTACATCGACATCTACCGACCCAATATTACAAAAACCCATATTCCCACAAAACCACCAACCATCATGGGTGTCAGAGTTTTCTGCTCCACCCAACAGCCAACAGCAATTCACTTCGGATCATCCAAGTATTGAAGATGCAGTGGAGCAGTATTGGAATGCTAACTATCAGCCAGGTGTCTGGGATTGGGAAAAGGCATTTTCTTCCAATGACGCTTTGGCCTTGCCAGCCAATAATCCCAACATGGCCATTTCAGCACTTCGCAGGATTAGAATGGTGTCCACTCATCTCAAATTCGATAAACTCATCGACTAAATGCATTACTCATCTATCTATTCTATTTATATCGATCCCAGCCCATTTGATGTTTGTAATAAAATATATACTTGCAAGGGGTTGTGCACACATAATTAGCAAGTTGGTTTACTTTGATATTCGTGCTCGAAACTGTTTTAACCATTCTCCATGTTCTGAAAGCAATGCTTCGGTATGGAGATTTCCGGCATCCCATTCTGTCTTGTGATATGCTGATGTGATTTTACCACCCGATGCAGATCGATTCAATGCGCTGGATAGCAATGCTTTGTCTTGGATGCACTTGTCTCTTGTGATTGCACTCGAAATGGGTTCTCGCTGGATCCGTCCTAATTGTGATGACGCTCGTATCAGTCGTTCGCCCTCGGTTAATCCAGAAGTAGGAATTGATGGCGTGTAATGTTCAAACGTCTGATTGCTGCTTATTGGTCATAATAAATATTTAGAACATTTGAAATGCAATCCATTGCAAAGTTTTGTCGAGTAATAGCCAAAAAATGCACTTACATGCTATATGCATTCTTGGTAGATTGGAGTCCTGTCTGAGTGTGTTGTTCCTTGAGTACACTGAGCAATTTATTCAGCTCTCCTTCAATTTGATCCAACGATCCATTACGATTCAAAAGTAACGATGGAGCTACCTAATAAATGTAAATGGTGTCAATATGCATGCCTCGAATACATCTGATCGTATTTTAAACATACACGTAAATACTTACGCGACAGGTTTCCGAGTTAGCAAGCGATGCTTCAGTTAAAACCGCATGAGCAGATATGCTGGGTGTTTTCAAAGCTGGGCTCTTGGGGGTTTCCATATGAGGTTGTAAGTCCATGGTCATTAATGGTCGAGAGGTCGATGCAGTTGTATTCTAATATTTGACATTAAAGTTTTAGTTGCCACAATTAGCGCAATTGATATATAGCAACCATTAGCAATATTTAAATGAGCCCTTACTAGTTCTGAAATAGGCAATGGAGGTTCGTGCATTTCATGCGATACCATTTGACGTACACGATTTTCAATACCAATGTGCTGAGATTTGAGGAGTCTTCTGGCATCTTTCAATTCACATTCTTCCTGTCGTATGCGTGCCTTGAGCTGGGCTAAGGAATCGTTGACAGTAGCAACATCTGAGGTTAAATGGCTTGATTGGGAAGTGCACTGGCTTAGCTCACTCTTATCTTGGCTACTTTTGCTTATCGTATCTGTCAATTCATCTGTTGTGTGCGAATCTCGAGCCTTGGTTCTATGTGTACGTTTGTGTTTCAATAAGCTGTTTTCTGGCATTCGATCAAAGTTTGAGTGTGCATCTAGATCAAACTGTTTGTTTTTTGGAGTATAAGCAGATGCGTTGAAGTGGTTGGGTGCATGATCGTGGATATCACCTATAATTGATCCAGCACGCAATGAAGATATTCGTCTACGCTCCGTTAAAAGGTCGGTTTGAGCATGTTCAAGTATCTGCTTCTCTTCTTCAAGCTGTTTGCGCAAAAGCAACACTTCCTTTTCAGTCAATGTGAGTCTAAACTTTTCATCTTCAAGTTTTTGACGCTGTGTGTTGACTTCGTTCATGAGACCCTCCACTTTTGTTCTGTCTGCAACGAGCTCCTGGCGACGTAAATCAATTTCGCGCTCAAGTGGTCCAAGTTCAATTGCAGCCTGACGTTTTTGGGATGCTTGAAGCTCATACTGCCGTGACTCGTCTTTCAATTGCGATCGCTTTTGCTCAATATCTTTGAGTTCACGATACAAGGCCTCTCGGTTTTGCTCCAATTGTGTCTGCTTTAACTTTATTTCATACTCCAGTTTCAAATTGTCGTTTAGAATCGTATTATTTTGTGTTTGAGCTGTGGTTTCTTGTCTAGCCATATCACTCAAAGTAGCTTGCAACCTATCCCGTGCCTTTTGTTCTTGGAATGCTAGTTCATCTAATATACCATCGATACGTCTACGTCTATCTTTTTCATCACGAGCAGCCTGCTCAGTGTCTAACTGCAGCTGTTTCAACTCCCTTTCTTTGATGGTGATTTGTTCCAGCTGCATGTCAACTGACTTGCGTAATCTGCGTTCTTCTTCAATAGCCTGTTCAGTATCTTGACGCATCTGAGCAATTTGTTGAGTTTGTGCAGTTTTCATTGATTGCTTATCTTTTACTGAAAACTCTGCATCTGTCATTTCTTGCTCCAAATTTGCAAGCTTTTTCTTCCATTCAGTTTTCATACTTTCATAGATTTCGCCAATCTTTCGCTCCTCGGCTTTAGCCTCAGCCTCTTGTGCACGAGTTTTTTCTTGTAGTGCATCGATTCGTGCCTGAGACTGCTTGCGATATTCTTCTTCGGCTGCTTGAATAGATTTGCGTGCCTCGATGAGTTGCGCGTCAGATTCCATGTCAAGTGAGAGTTTGAGTTTTTCAATGGCCTTGTCGTTTTGTAAACGTGACTCTTGTGTCATTTTTTTAGACGAAAGTTCAAGTTGTTTTTGATGCTCCTCGGAAATTTTTGCAAGCAACTCACTTTCTTTTTTTCGAGCTTCCTGGTTAAGCTCGTCACACTTTTTGGCAAGTCCCTTTTTAAACTCTGCACGCTTTGCCGATACAACTGAATCAAAAGTATCAAGTTTCTCATGACTTGAAAAGTCGATTTCATGCTTCAATTTGGAATCTACTAGTGCATCCAAGGTAAACCTTTGAATATACGCGATTTCAGCATCAATCTTGCCTTTGGCTTCTTGCCGAATAGCATCAACTTCTTTGAGCATGTCATGTTTAAGTTTTTCTTGGGATGAAAGAAATTCTTTGTCTTGCTCAGCTTTCCACGTTGCGAGCTTTGACTGATATGCTTTAAGCAAAGACTCTTTTTCTTGTTGAAATCGACGCTCTTCCAATTCCTTGAGATTATCTAATTTTGCTGTGTCCAAAGTGCTGATTTGAGTTGATAGTTTAGCTTCAGGTGGCTCAAAAGACGGAGCTGCTAAAGTACCAAGTTGCACAGTAGCAGGTTTTGAAAAATTAGACTGCAATAGAGTGGGTAAATGTGATGTCGGTATAGTTGACATGGATGCTAAGCGCTCATTACCAAGTGAGGAAATACAGGTATTATCGACTTTAGAAGAATTGCTACCTAAAACTTTAATTGATTCATTTGTTTTTTGGGCTGGGTTCACGCTTGCTACATCTAAGCTTGTCAAACGCAATTCAGATTTGGCAGATTCGTCCGAGTCGTCAAAATCATCCAGCGATCGCAATTGACTAATTTTACCACTTGCTCCTGTCAGATTGGTAGACAACGGTTTCAGAGCACTAAAGGTACTATCTAGAGCTGCTGGCTTTTCTTTTAGATAACTAGGCTTTACCAAAGTGGTTTCAATAGCCGATGATGGAGCAGCTAGTGTTGTCGTTGGTTTTGACGCGTCAGTATTTGAAGGTGTAGGAGCAGATTTTAATCCATTCAAGGCGTTGGATACATCTATTTTTTTCAGTGCGGTGTTTTTGCTAGTGATATCTAAAGATTCCATAGGTTTAGACGAATTCTTTTCGGTATATTTCTGCTTATCATCGTGACTGTCACTAGAAAGATCAAAATCATCATCAAAGCTAATCTGCTTTTTCAATGATGGTTTGCTATTTGATTTGGAAATAAAAGTACCTTGGAATGACGATATAGTTTGCCCTGCTTCTGGTTTGGACAACGCCAGATTTGAATTGGATGTGACATGCAGAGTTTTGGAAGCTTGAGCAGACATGGCCAAAGTGGGATTGCTTGGTAAATCATTGGTGGCATTCACATTTGATTTGGTCATCATGCCAGACTTTGATAAACTTGAAGGTTTGCTGGGAAGCTTTTCAGTGGGAAGTAAATCATCAATGTCACTAAAATCCTCATCGTCGAATTCTTCATAGTTTGGTTTGCTTGGTAATGCTCGACTTTCTTTTAATGATACCAAGCCACTATTGACTGTTTTTGATTGTGTTTGATTTGATCCTGCTGCAATGCTTGCCATGGTGACATTTGAAGAGATTTGAGTCAAAGCACTCTGATTGTTTTTTACTAAAGGTATACTTTTTGAAGGTGTACGTTTCACATCCTACAAAATCAAGATAAATTTAAAATCGTGTTGTGTTTTAAATATTAAAGTACATATCAAGCCTGTAAACTTACATTATCTTCGCTATGCTCTGACTCACTCAAAGTACCTAGAGTATTTTCTGTGTGGGGTTTTTTGTGTATTTTTCCAAGTTTCGGTTTTAAATCTGTACCCAATGATATACTTGCAGACTTTGATGTTGTTACAGTGGTTTGCTTTGATGTATTTGTTTTGAGAGTATTTGGGTTTACAGCATTGTTAGTTGCTACCGACCCATTTTCTTTTGATTTCGCCTTTTCCGTTTGATACAGATTGCGAAAGTCTTCATCGCATGGATGGTCCCAGATAGATGCACCTGTTTTAAAATTAAAGTAGTATATATTGCCATCATCCGTTTGGCTATGTTTGAAATCCAAGTTGATATTGTTTGAATGTGTTTAGTATACTAGTAGTACAATAGTGGGGATGCTTCATATACTCTCTTCAAACACATGCGTATAGATATAAAAATTTATCCAACACACCATGGCTTCCAATCAGCAGGAAGCGGTGCTTTCAATGAATCTCGAGCTATCCAAAGCAAGTGTTTATCTGCAACTGGGTCCATGCCCAAAAACTTTGCATACTCGATGACCTCTAAATATAGACTCAATATTAACCAAGTGCATGCAACCACGACACCTATTTAATCGAAACATTATATTGCACCACTGTTGGACAAGTGAATGCTTTACCTTCTTGGGTCGGCTCATAATTTTCATCGTATCTAGAATATCAAAAAAGAATGGGTTATTATGCTACCTTTTAGAAAATACAGTACTATGTGCAATATCAGGGCAGTTTAAAACCTACTCTTCCTCCAAGACAACGCTGCTTGCCATCTGCTTGAAATGCCGGATGGTGGATAAAGTGATGAACGCGACTTTTACAGCGGAGTTGGAACAACGAAAAAACGAAAGCATGCAGTCAGAGCAGATGCATTCAAGTCTAGTTGTGCTAGTAAAACACTTGTATCATTGCATTGTATTGATAAGTCATAAAGTAGTAGTTGAAATCTATCAACAAGGCAAGATGCTTATGCAAGTGATTACACAGCTTTTTTGAATTGGGTGATGTATTACCGAATGACGCAAAAAGTCATGCATTTAGACCACTAAATGAAAACAGAGTGGTTGGATCAACAGTCAACATAATCTTGTAGTTGATCAATGCCTATCTCACTTGATGATAAAATTTTGATACGCATAGCAATTACAGCCGTATTCACGTAGAATGAAACGCTATCTTGTAATCAATGTGTGGTAGAGACAACAAACGTTTAACCATTGTATACTTCAAAGCAAGAAACAGTCACTACAAGATGAATGCAAGTGTTTTATTTTACATGAACACGAATGCAACTGAGATTTAGCAAGCTTAATCACCAACTCGTTAAAACACCAGAATTTATTCTGAACTGATACCAAATATGCCAGACGCACATTTAATAGCTCTGACCATATATCCAACTCCAACTTGGAATATCTTAGATTTATTTCTAAATAGAGCATTCTTGGTCAAATTTATTTCAAAAATGACGAAAGAAAGATTGTTTTCATAATCTTTGGAAGTTCTTTGTTGTCGAGACACACAAAGGCGTGCCCACCAAGATCTTTGGAGAATTGATGAGCTTGATCAGACAAATTTCCAATAAAGATCATGTATGCGTTTACACGAGAATCTGACTTCAAAGCTACAGTTCATGCACAAGTTAGAATCAAAATATCATGTAAAAACAGTATTTAAAGGTAAAAAGTCTTGTACCTGTGGCTATTGTTTCTGGACTAATATTGTATTGGTTCAGGTTAGCATCTGACAACACCAGTACAAAATAATCGTCTGCCTCTTCCTCTGTAATATCCTTTATGGCAGTTGTTACGGCATCAACTGTATTGTCTATTGTAAAAGCTCAATAAGTAAACATTACGTGGTTTTAGATGCATTACTCCCAATTGATCTTACCTCCGCTTATGCAATAGGAAGCGTGTATGCTCATTCGATTTATAATTTCAAGCATATCTTTTTCAGTTTTTGGAAATTTGCCTGCTTGTATAAACTGTGTATTAGGCCCATCACCAGAATGACCATTGATTTTGTATTGCAGCTTATACTCAAATCCACGAAAAGCTTCCATGAGCATCACTGCACATTCAAGACTTCGTTCCATTCGTCCATCATGACCATTAAATCTCATCATACTTGCACTTAGATCAAACACAAAGTGTAGTTTTTTTGGTAATTTTTGAAATGCTGGATCGTTGTTGTTGTCACCTCGAATTCGGTAAATTGATCGATCACCTGCAAGTCCCTCGACACTTGAATATTCAATCAAACATAAAATCAACGACAAATCAGTACAATATCGCGTCAAATGGATTTCTCAATAGCATGTTCAATTATACATACAGTTTTGTTTCATCTATATCGCCATTTGTTTTGTTTCTGATCCAGACTCTTTCTTTTTCTTTTGCTTCAAGCCCTTCTAGAATTACACGCAATTCTCTTATTTCTCGTTGAACATTTGTTTTATACTTTGTAAATAACGACATGTCTTTGGCTGAAATATCAAGTTGTTTAAGTTTGGATTCTAGTAGTTTATGATGCAGCGCCAACTGCGCTTCTGTGATTTCTTTGGGAAGTTCTCCAGCAGATCGCTTCAGATATTTTAAATATACAAAGTAAGTTGAAAAATCAATCGAGAAAAGTATGTACCAAGCTCATTTACGTCATATTTGTAAAGTCAGCTCTACATACCAGCTGAAACGTCGACTCGTTTATATTTCCAGACTCTCGACCTTTTAAATCCGACAAACCGCTGCCAATATTGTCAGTCGAATTATTGCCAGCATTTCCAGCTCCTCCACCTCCTCCAGATCCTCCAGATCCACCTACGATGCATTAACACAATGATCAACACATATTATAGCAATAAACTCATTCATCACAATATATATAAATCAAATACTTTGATCACTTTGTCCCTGTCCGCTCCCTTCATTTCCACCCTGACCTATCATATCTTGTGACTCTGCCAATGCATCCGGGTGATTGCCATTGTAGATAATTTTAAGCGTGTTTTCATCTTGCATTCCAGTAAGTTTTTTCCAGTGTTTTTCATCTTCAGCAGTTTGCTCAGCTTGTATTTGTACCACACTAACTAATCCTAGATTGTTCATGAAAAGCAAATTTCCATCAGGCAGTTCTACAAGTTTTCCCAAATTCAAACGCTTTCCAGATATCAAGTAAAGTGTTTTTTCCGTCATTGTTGTATTCCTAAAAATAATGATTAAACAAACAGCTAAACAGGCTTTACAGAGGTATATAGAGTTGAAACTGCGGTGATCAAATGTATCAACTTACCGATTTAATACAGCAGAGTTTGGAACTGCGAGTCTCATGTCAATTCGACGAAGGCAATTCGATTTTTTATCCAACAACTCTAACCATCCATGGCCATCCTTGAATGAATACCAATTCAAAATGGCATTAGTGAGACTCGGTAAAAATGTGTATCGGATTCAATGAAAGCTTGGCAAAAACACTTACATTCTCGGAAGGTATTAACGTGGCTAATTGCTCTGAAATTTTCAAATACTGAAAGCATGGCTCGATATTTATATATTCGTTGTGTGCATAATCGTCAACTGATCGAGGCCACGCTATAACATGCAGTGTATGATGGTAATTAGGCGCGCTAATGTCTGTAAATTGAATTAAGCTTCCATATACTTCAGGAGTAGACAAGCAAAGCCAATTCGTTTGGTCCGAATCAGCACTCGATATTGACGTCAGAACTGCTTGTTTAAACCCAAGTAAAGACTGCTGCTCAATTGGGATAATATCTAATGTCCACAATGTAGTGTTTCGATTCAAGTGTGCTATAAATAGTCTATTTTGACTGTCACAAATAATCCAACTTTCAGCAGAACAAGCCATAATAGACTTGATGATAATAGACAACATAAACCGTATTTGAGTCATTTGATTTAGATCAAGGAAAATCACAGCGCTCATTCCAGCTTGGTAGCAAACTAAGTTTTGAATATATAATTTTGATAAAAGTTGTCTTAATAGATTGTCCATAACCAAAACACCATTTGAAAGCTTAATCCAATGCAATCTACTTACGCAAGTAACCAAAAGCAGCTGATTCAGCACACATGGTAGACTCCATTGCTGGATCCATTCCAACAATCTGAAATTTGAACCAAAGATTACTTATCCAAGTTTCCAATTGTTCTTTTCAGCAATAAATAAGTCGACTTACACTAAGAATGCTGGTCAAACCCTTGATAAAATCAAGCAATACAATGTTGTTTTCTACCGAGTTCAAAATGCAAATGACATTGGGAGAAACTTCAGCAATATACAGCCTAGTTCCGCTAGTTGCAGGAACATACTCATACAGTTCAATCTTTTGATAAGTCCTGTGGTCAGGAGAGATAATAGTCAACATTGATGGCTCAGCAGTCGCTACAAGCAGACAATGATCGTGTGCATGAATAATATCCAATGAATTTCCAACACATGGAAGCTTGAAGGTGTAGAGCAGTTCTGTAAAAGTCGTTGCGCGTTCTATTATCAAAACCGTATAAGCCAAGCTATTTGCATTTAAATGTAAACAATATGAATTGTACATTAATATAATAGATTACCATTTTTCAAAATCAATGGCTCCCATGTCGGTGGCCGCCGCAATGGCCAAGGTCCCTGCTCAGCATACCAAAGTAGCAATCATTAGTCACGTATTGAAAATGCTCATTCAATCAGACACACTTATCCTAAATCTACTCTGGTTACTTACTCTAGTTTGAATACTATGTGCATCTCCCGATATGCATAATCTAGCATGTGCTAACACATGCCAGTGCTCCAATATTGTAGACGGTGAAAGTGAGATATTATTTGCCAACCGAAGTTTAAAAATGGTTTCTTTACCAATTGAAACTCCATGCTTTGTCATTGTATCAATCAATAGAGCCCTCAAATCAGGCTCGTGAAGATCAAAGTCAAATACGTTTTGCAATGCTTTAGATAATCCCTCGCTAGGATACGCCTGCATATGCTTTACTACATTTACTAGCTCGCGAGTAGAATAGGGATATGATATAAGTCCCTCATCAACCAATTTACGAAGATCATTGAATAAACTAATGGCCTTTAAAAGCATATGATCTGGTGTTTCAGGTGCATAATGCTTCAAAAGTTGCATCTCTGATTCGGAATCAGGATTCTCAACAACATGGCAACTATTACGTGATACCATGCAAAATATATGCTGTTAGCTTACATTCAAGTATAGATTTAAGGATTAAAAGGTTTCAATTTAGTTTTATACTTACGCAAATACGTCTCCAACTTCTCGCCAAAAATCGTTACCCAAAAATGGAAAACCTGGTCGATTAGCTAAAACAAACATTCGAAACCTCTATCCACCAGATCAATAAAATTAGCTACTATCAGCAGAAAAACACGAATCGGCAAATTATTTCAAACCAAACATACCGGGTGTATAACAATGCAGTTAGTGTTAACATCTCTGGTTGTATTACAAGAAACAATACGTCGACCATCCGATAAAACCATCTCACCATCTTCTACCAAGGATTTGAGAATGGCAGTGACATGTGTCGGAGCTTTATCAGCCTCGTCAACAACAAGAATGTATCCCTCACGAACAGCACGAACTAGTGGAGAATCTTCATAAACAAGACACCCATTCACAATTGTAGGGCACGAAGTCAAACTGGAAACGGTGACGTCTCTATGCAGCTGAATATATTCTCTCGGAAGACGCAAAAGTTGAAGGAATCGGTCTACAATTTTGTTTTTTCCAACCCCCTGATTGCCGATTATCAAGAGATGCTCTCCTAGCGAGTAGTCTCTAAGTATTTCCTGCATTATCATAGTTTGCTTGGAATTCTCAAAAAACACCACGTCTGGAATTAATAATGGGTTGGTGGGCTCAAGAATCGGATGAGATACATCACCAATTTGAAGGTATGACTGGGCCGAGTCAGCTTTCAAAACGACCGCACACTGAACATCTTTTTTTATGTCGGTATCTTGCTGACGGGGAACTCCTTGGTCATCTAGGTAAAGATCAAGCGCATCTTTTGCTAATGCTGGCAAAAATTGATATAGAGTTGCTTTGAAGATAATAGTTCGAGGATTATTTTGTGGATATTTGGTCAGATATCGAGCAATCCGAAGTAGTTGTCTATGGCCCATACAAAAACATATCACAATCAGCAACAGAAATTGGCAAATAAAGTTTATGTAATCCAATTGACATACCTGGTAGATAAACTCGCAGAAAATTCTTTAAGAGTATCATCCTTTTCCAAGCGCAATTTTGAAGCAATCGATATAAAATGTCGCATGGGCTCTACAGGCGCATGAGGATATAAAGACTGGATAACATGAGTCTCTTCCTCCAGATTAAGATTGCGCATCGGAACAAACAAAAACATTGAAGCCAATTCAGGTGTCAACCATAGGCCTTTTATGCTTGTGGATAAAGTAGATCGTGCAATACCAATGATTCTGAATGAAGGATGTATGCAAAATATCTGACGTTTGGCTAATTCTTTGCGAGAATAGCCATGCTTTACAATAAGGGATTTGAATCGATCTGCGCGAACAAGAGTACTGCCGTCTGGCAAGGACAGCTCTCGATCAACTATAAGTCGCTGAATACTAGCAAGTGTACCAAATGCAAGAGCATCAATCTGATCCAGTATTGCGATTCTACCATTTAGTGCTGCCTCGATCAACCCTGAATTCTCCCATACAGTATCTCCAGATGAAAGTGTATTTCTTCGCTGCAAAAGATCTCTTGAAAAAAAATCCTTGTAAAGACAGACATACTCTGTTTGGTATCCCAGGGACTGGCAAAGGACACGTATAATGGCTGATTTTCCGCATCCCTTATCGCCAGTAATGCAAATGTCACTAGATGTATGTACCATGAGCAGCTTTGTAAGAAGCTGTTCATGATAAGGGGTCATGACAAAAAGGGAAGTTTGCTGTGAAATTTCAGATCCACTAGAAAGTCGAACTTTTAAAGTATCCCCAGTGATATCACGAAATTGCACTATACGCTCAATTAAAGGGGGTAGCTGTTGTTCCTGGTTTTCTGTGGGCAAAATAGCATCTCCAAAAGATATTATGCTATATGGTAAGGTATGTGTTTTTTCAGATAAGGATTCAAGAGCCATACTAGTGCTGGTTATGTCCTGATGGTGTGCCAAATCAAATCGCTTCAATACGCCATAAAATATATTTTTAGTATGCTCGTCAAAAAATGGTAGTGATAAATATGGATAACAGGCTTCGATCAGGATACTTGGGTCGACTTTTGGAAATGACTGAAGAATGGCAACAAAGTTATCAAAAATAATTGGAAAATCGGGAATTGATGATATATCTCGCAAAACAGCACTTGCACAAACAAGCCGTTCAATATACTGTTGCGAAACACTCGGAAAGCGACCACACAGATGACTTAAACTGCTGTTTAGTGTAGGCGGATTAATGCTTCGCGATTGAAACCGACTTCTAAATGGTGGGTCTTGCAAAATCTAATTAGTTGTTTCAACATAAATGCATTTTGATTTCAATCATTTCTTACCAAGCGGAAATCCATCGTATTTCTGAATATAACAAAAAATTATATTTAGTTTTCTAATGTTATAATACGCATAAATTAAAATGTAATGTAAAAACTCACTGGTACTGGTAGTCCAAGAGAAATGACAAGAAATCGGTCTGATGTTCGAATAAGCTTCAAAAATCAAGCAATGTGAATTAGTCTGCAAAGTCCAAAAAGTTGACAAAACTATGTAGTCAGTAGATTGAATTCGAGTAAATAAATACACCTTTGCTTTGTCAAGACTTGACATTCCATGACCTTGAATTAAACTATCATATCTTTTTGGATGAACGAGAAACCGACCGTCGTCCAAAGCCATTTCTCGGTTTTCCAAGAGATTATTTAGCAGAGGCAAAACATTCCGTTCTGCTTTCTAACATTAAAAACCGTTATTGAATGCAGCGTCTGATTGTATTTTGTTTCTGAATCAAGACCATATAGCATACCTCTACGCCATCTAAAATCAAAAGTCTGCCAAATATGGCAGCACGAACACACGCTTGATCAATGTAAAATGCAGTACCGTTTTTAATTTCACGTCGTTGTTTTAGATCTGTATCTGAAACATCTCGTGAGATAGCAACGTACTCAATCTCGCGCTGAGATAGCTGAGCATATCTCAATACCTAATTGATTGCCAATACTAAATGATCAGTCAAAGTATTCATCAGTGAGCAATGGAAATGATGCTTACCAAATGCCGTCTTAGTGGTCCTGGATCGCTGCATATTTGAGATGAATTGAATCAGAAATCGTATTAGAACACGTTGCTAATTTTCACTAAAGTTACTTATTCGCATTCCAAACAAAAGGCTTGCCCAGTCAAAAACATGTCTTGTCCAAGAAGATCCTTTTGTGCCATCCATCGAAGATGAGCGATCATATCCTAGCAAGTTGAATTAAAAATTAGACTTGCACCTATTCATGTACATATCATATAGAAATAGCTGACCAAACCACATTGAACTTGGTTGAAATCCCAGTTATTCAATAGTCACGTAAAGAGATGTAAGCTTACTTGAGCACCATCAAAAAACGGAACTGACAAACTTGGAACAAGCTCTGGATATTCTGGAGTCCGTACTTGAAAAACAACATCTCCAATGCAAACCGTAGCACTGCTAGCTACAATTAAACATGAATCAAGATTCAAATCCAAATCCAAATGGACAGTTGTCAGCCAACAACTGGGAATAGATTGTTGCAGATACTCAAGTGCATCGGGTTGAGTAATCGGTAATAACTCACTATTTGCATCTGTTGATGAAAAGGTCGAGCTTTTGTTGTTTCCAGAACAAGAGCTGTTTGCAGAAGAGAATGCAGCATGTATCTGAGCTATCCGCTGTAAAGCTCGTCCAGTTGCGTTACGATTGTCTGCCATTCAACACTTTCAATGCCAGAAACCAAAAAGCTGAAATCAATCAATTCAATGCATTGCTTTTCATCTGCAATTTCAGCCTGCAAACAGCTTTCGACTATTGAATAGCATTATCCTTTGGCTTGCTGCTGGTATTTATTAGGCTTGCGTGTTGATATCAAACCATATTTTTACTATTATTGAGTAGACTGTCTTTTCTAGCGCATCTCCAAGGTAAATGGATAATAGCTTTGGCTGACTAGCGTTTATTATCTTCAACTTGTTGCGATGTTGCCTGTTAAACCCTAACATGATGAATGGATAGCATCATTAAGATATATATGACCTTATTCAAGAATGGTCGTTCTTATACAAAATACTCTGCGGAAGATACCTCATGTAAAAACTTGGGTCCTACTGATTCAACATGTAATGACACCTGGATTGAACAGATCGATCATCCAATAGCACCCAATGCTTCGGTTGTAGATCCATATGCCACAGGCGTATCAAGTAAACCCAAAAAAAATCGACCATATCAAAAACATAGACAGTCGAGCAGTAAGCATGATGGTAATGCTCGACCTCGACTACAGCAATCATCTTCATACTCGGACCAAGGCGCACAGCTGCCAAACAACCGAGCTCCACCACCATCAATGCTTCCACTTGACAACAAAACATTTACTGTTACTCAATCCATTGTTATTGATGGAGATGCAATGGATTTGGCTGAGAATCGACAAATCTCGAGGTAAATTTGGCAATTCATTGGACATGTGCAGATATCATTAGTGGCATTGTATTACAATTATTATGGATTTCTAATAGATTTACATGTTGAATCAACGATATAGTTATGTGGACTGGATATCATTTAGTTTAAGCCATTTGGATTGCATAGAACTTATTGGGTAGATTGTACATATTAAACTATCCGTTTTGCTATACTAATTCTTTGATGAGGAGGCATTCAACTTATTGATCCATGCATGATATTTATGCTCTTAACATACAGAATCGATCCAGCACTACCTGTGGTTTCGTCGATAGCTATTGTTTTATGCACGAAAAAATTGGCATATAAGCAATGTAAGTCATTTTCATGAATTGAATATGAATTGATCTGCGATATTAGTTTGGCGCTGATGTTTTGAATTGCTGGGATGCTGTTTTAAATAAAATGCAATAGCTGTACAAACACTATCACTGATATCCAAAGATGGATCATCCAAGAGCGCTTTAAAAATCATACTTGCTCGAAATGCACCACTACCAGCTGAACATTCATCCCAACTATAGCTGGCGAACCGATTTTTCAGTGTGTAATCTCGGGCGTTTTTATTTAAATTCTTGGTCTGAAGCATGCGTTCATTTATATACAATGGCTGCATGGATACACCTTCGTAAGTGGTAAGTCAAACTATGCAAAATACCTCGAGCTTAATCTGACGAGCCTCTAACGTGTACTGCTGGGTATTAATTTACAGTTAAATACTATGTTGGTCGAATACTTTGTTTGACTAAAGTTGCGAGTTCCATTTTGGGTCGTTCGGTTCCAATATTGATTCTACTGTATGGCGGCACAACAACAAAATTAAAACCATGAACAACTCCATTAAAAAGTAGGTGGCTGGCTTGCTGACGACTTTGACGACTCTGGTGGTTTGATGAGTGCGGATCACGTCAAAATAAAGTAATGTCGTTGCAGCATTAGTGTATTGTGATTGAATACAACCCTATTTAAAAATAAGCTTACCTCAGAGTTTTCACCTGTCCCGTAGCTATTTGTGGCATTGGGATTAAAAAGTGAAGATGTGCTTGATATTGGAATATTATCAGTGGAACGTATCTGTATTGGATATACTTGTATCAACACTCCAGCTTGATTTAGTGCTGATACTCCTATAGTGTTAACAGTCAATGGTGTACTTGATGATCTTGCATTCGGCTGCGTGTTTTGCAGAGGATCCACAGTGACGATAACACGCCCATCCATCCTAGTAGACAAGTAAGCAACAATAGGTTTTTGCATTCGAAAAATGATGCACAGAATCATAATAAAAATGAATTGAGAAGACACCTGGCCAAGTAGAACGATTGATGGACTTATGAGAATTGACATGAGACGAAGTGCGACTTCACAGAGGAAATAGCAGATCAACGCCAGTCGAAAATAGGTCAATGCTGCGATTTTCTTGTATGCGACGTCTAAAAAACTACGTGGTACTCTAGCATTCTCCTGTACCATATATAAATCTGATGAGTGTTTATTTTAAGACTCGAGGAAAATAGACATGGTTTAAATCTTACACGCAAGTGCTGTGATTGGATTTCCAAATGGTAAAGATTTCGATCGAGCAATTGAAGAAGCACACGCAGAACAAGTAAATATACCAAAATCAATGAAATCGAGTATATCGGTGGACTTCCTAATGTAAGTAGTTCAACCACTGTCATACATAGTCCAAGTACTAATTTCTATAACAGTTAGTCAACCCATAAATACGCCATATGCAATGCATATTCAATTCAACACATTGGAGAATAAACGTACCCAGCATAATCTGCTTGTCATGTCGATTCAGAGATGTTGTTGTAATTGAAAGTCCTTTCTAGCAACACACTCAATATTAATACATTGTTTTTACATGAACATGTCAAAAAAGCTTGTCTATGCGCGAGAATAGCCATCAATACTCACGCTAATCGCTACTAGCGCACAGTGAAAGCATAACAATGAAATAAGAGTAGCTATACTGGTCAATCCATATATCCATGGTACTTTAAAACGGTGAGAAAGGTAATAACCAAATATATAAATGACATTTTCCAAGATTTTGATGCCAATTATACACGATATGACCAAAATCAATCCAATGTTGAATCCTATAGTACGGTTTAGATACCATACAAGTAGAAAGGGTGTGAGAAGAAGAATGTAGCTGCCTCCTGATACTATATGGATAATCAGACGATTTATCATTTTGAAGGACGTGAATAAACAGATAATATATTTTATTTTACAGCCGCATTCACGTAAAATGGGGCTTGCATTTATCTTGCAGTGATTGTCTTGGAATGACAATGGTTAAATATTCGTTGTTTTCCTACTGAAAATTGATGATTTCTTCTGTAGAAGCTCCAAATTTTTTGATGTCTGGAATGACTTTGTGCATCGAGCCATTTCAGACATCAAAGTAATTTTTTATAGTTTAAAAATGGACAATATGGAGCACTGTAGTCCCAATCCTCGCGCCGTTTTTCAATATCTTGATTCCATTATGGTTTTTGTTTCCCTTTACTATTTGTCTTTCATTATACCACCTTCAAAGTGTACACCTTTTAACCTTTAAAAGTCTAAACCTGGAGCTCTATAAAGGTTGGAAAAGCTGAACGAAAAACAAGTGCTACATAAACCAGTCCAGACATTGTTTATTCCGGAGCAAAATAGAGGCTCCGACTGCAAGATAAATACAGAAAAAGTTCCATTTTACGTGAATAGGGCTGTAAAAGTGATGACCACCAAAAAGTTACAATACTTTAATTGAATTATTCAAGAGATGGACTATTTGAACCTGAAAGGGAATAGAAATGAATTAAACGGAATAAAAATATGTTCTATTTTTTACGAGTAATGACTGCTTGAGTGAGTTGGATCAGAGCAGTTTGTGCCAGACTTGGAGGAAACGCAGATATCGCACTGATCGCCTCTTGACAATATGCGCGAGCCAAATCGCGTGTCTGTGCAACACCATTACTTTCATGTACGAGTTTAAGAGCCTAAAGTTTTGAAAAGGTAAACAGGCAATGAGTAAGCAGATACACAAATAGCGTACACATATCATAACAAAATGTACCAGCTCGGCGTCTCCTTTTTTTTCAAACTTGCGCTCAATGAGTGGATATAATTCAGGAAATTTAGCTGCAGCGTACAATACAGGTGCTGTTGCCAACCCCAACTTTAAATCAATATTGACCGGTTTTCCAAAATCTGCAGAGGAGACAGTAAAATCCATCATATCATCTACCAGCTAAACAATCTCACAAGTATTAGATTTCGAACCAAATCATTGCCAATTCATATATACGAACCTGGAATGCGAGACCCAGATTTCGTCCATATAAATAAGCAGACTCGATAACATCATCGGTACATCCACCCAACACTGCACTAGAACGACAGCTGATGGCAATCAAACTAGCAGTTTTCATGTATGTTTTTTCCATATAATACTGAAATCTATCTTGAGATTCAACAGGACCTCTGGCACTCTGAGGCAAAACACCGTGAACAGCACTGTAGGCAGATTTTGAGCCGCCTAAAGCAGAGTTGCGCAACTGCATAAACTCACCCTCTACTAAATTGGAGATGACCGTAGAGAGCAATTCAACAACGCGCGGATCGCGCAGACGAGCGAGTGCAACCGATGCACGAGCCAGCAAAAAGTCGCCAGCAAGAATGGCCATTTTATTTCCAAACTCGGCGTTTACTGAAGGGGTGTTTCTGCGAGTCATGGAGATATCGATTACATCATCATGCAATAGCGATGCGGTGTGGATCATTTCGGTGATCTCTGCAAGTCTACGTTGGGTAGGTAAAATAACAGCTTCGGGAAGGATCGTGGCTCCCGAGTTCGTCTCAGAAGGGGGTAATACAGATGAACTCAATAATGATTTGGAGCAAGACGAAGTTGTAGGAGAAAAGGAAACAGCGATTGCTGGAGCGCTCAGTGGACGATCTATATCAGCATCTGTCAAGGAAACAAAAGGATCGGATCCGGGCATTTTCGCAGTAATGCTTGTTGCTTGAGCCATCAACAACACTACCAGTGGACGAATATGCTTTCCTTGCTTACTAAAATAGTAGCTGGAGATTGTGTTGAGAACAGGATGACCAGAACCCAGCAGCTTGCGAATGTTTTCTGTTAGCAAGGACAGATCACCACCTAGCAGATCTTTGGGATTGATGACTGACCCGCCATTGGTATGCACCAATCGCTCGGCAGCAGATATGGCCTGCGACCATGTCATTGGTTTGCTGTCTGGTACGGTGGATATCACTAGATTCGATAGCCAAGCAGGTAGCTTGGTCGTCAATAAACGAGTAGCGCCCGCTTTCTGTGTTTTGATCTCTGGCCGAGCAGGCTTTAAAATCAATGGAGTTGGCGATGCATTGACCATGAAGATTGGCTTGTGTATCATGTTTGAAACAAATCTAATAGAAATCATTCCAGACAATGCATGTGTTTCTGCCGACCTTGTAGTGCTGGAAGAGATGGTACCAAACCCAACAGGGCTGTTGAATGGAATCAGTCGAGTCAATAGTTGATTGCGGTAAATGCTGCATTGGAATGCATTCCTGGCATTACAAGCAGCTCTATGCGATTGTAAATAAGACATTCCGGATATGACACAGTACGAATCTCAATTTCAAATGAATGGCTGTATCGAGCAACTATCGTTTGTTGGATTGTTGAATTGAATTCAAAAAATATTTTTGGATTGTCCAGCACGATTTTAATCTGGAATCGTTTGTACTATCTTGGACTGATTCAACATGCATGTTCACTAATGCACTGTACAGTAAAACTCTACAACTACTTTGATCAAGCATTGCTTCCGTCTTGTACAGTTTTTAAAAACACTCGTTTATTTCATATACAGTAGCCATTGTTGTCGGGATAAGCCTGGCAACACTCAAGGTTCATAAATTCGCTGATATCCCTTGACAACTCTCCTACAGCAAGGACATTCCTCTATAGCAATATGATAAACGAATTAGTAACATGCATATACAGATTCCAATCAAACTCCTGCTCGGCACTCTACATGACATCAAAAAACTTACTGTAGTCACGAAGCGCCAATGCTTCACGACATCCGGTATCACATAGGCACAAACATCCACATGGACGCAGCACAATCTGCCGTGGTTCTTGGTAGCACACCACGCAGTTTCGTATCGAAATTGCTTGTGGTTCATCATCTCCAGGCCGACTACGGCGGCCTTCAATGGGTCTAGGTTGACGTCTACTTCGAGTCATTACACCATTTTCCGAATTTGCTAGCTGCAATATTTGACCAAATGATATCAGTGATGCCGATGTAATCATTGCATTGCTCTTTTGGTTTTGTAGATTTTCAGTACATGCGTCTGTAGAATGAGCATCATTGCCACATGGCTGCATATCTTGAGCCAGCCAAAATATTTCCTTGTACAATTCATCATCGTCCCCATGAACAGTTTCCTCAGCATTGTCTACTCTGCTGTCACTGATGGCATCCAAGATATCATGGTCATCCATCACGCTACTCCATTCAGATGAAACATCCGATTCGTCTAGCGTAAAGTCAAAATCGCTTTCATCTTGTCCTGATTCATAACCACCATCCCTGTATAGCAATGCAGTCTTGTCTGGATCTCCGGAAACGTAGCCACTTCTATCGGTAAATAGTCTTCTCAATACCTTCTCCATAGCAAATAGTATAGGACGCAACATGGCAAGCCCCGAACATCGCCACATATACAGTGAATTGTATATTGTAGCAGATACTTCGTGCATTTCCAACGATCGTGTCAGCTGTATCCAGGAACTCGACTTTTTGCGAATCTCTTGCTCATCCAAGTTAAGTCGAAACCCAGTTGGTCGAGCATGCACATTAATTAGCTCAGTAGGTGGCAATCCAATTCCAATGGGTGCGAAAATGGGTTCAAACTCTTTTGAAAACCCAGAATTTGGCGATCGTCTCTGAGAAATCAAAATAGCAAACTTGCGTATGGCAACCTTGAAGTCATCACGAAGTGTCACGCCATCCAGCAGCTGGGTAATGTCAAAACGCATGTCACCACTCATTACCAAATAGCTGACCACGTATACCAAACTGAGTATGACCAACAAAGTGACAAGAAACAGTTCAGGAATTCCAGATAGCCAAAAAATAACTGGAACACCTCCGTCCCGTTTTACAACTGACCACCACACCTTGAAACCAACATGAGCCAGTCCCATAATACTGGTCGGAATAAGACGGTAGGGTGCAAGACAGTCTGCCGTATCAAGTAAACTCATTAAAAGCAGTTTGTGCAATTCAATAATGATCATACCGACTACAGGACTTTGTTCTAGATTCAATGTTGCTGTGGCTAGATAGAGAGTGCCTACCCATTCAATAAAATCTGGAGAATGTTGGTGATTTAAATCCAGCTCAGACCGTCCAAACTCCAAAGTCAAGATCAATCCAGTGACAATGTGATCAATACAATGAAGCATAAAAAAGACTAAAAAAGAAATGTGTAGGTATTCCGGTAATTCGTGCTCCATAGAGAGTGACCAAAAATGGCTCAATAGATAAACCAGCATGATGATGACTGGGAGTCGAAGAAGTAGTTTTTTTACAATTCTAATGGAATGGAATCCAAACCCATTTATAACATGTATTAGACATGGTAACAGACTCGATCTAAAGCAACGATATGTATTGATACCAAAATAAGTGAAGTTCCAGTTCATGCACTTACCCAAGTGGTTGAGGTCGATTAGGTTGTGCAATATATGATATTCGACGTTCCAACATGATGGTAGCACTTGCAATCAACACATCTAGACTCCATAATATAGATTTGAGTTGAAACCAAAGTGTAAATACCATTGACATGACAAGGACGATATAAGACTTACAAATAGATGACATGTGTCTGTTATACACAACAATACAGAATGTTAGTGACATGGCGAGGCTCAATACACTTGCAATGTAGTTACCTCGTTGGCAGAGAAGCGTCTGAAGCGTTTGGCTTGGATGAAAGGCCGGCATCAAACGTCATTGAGCCAGTCTCAGAAGCCATTGAACCAGACTTGATAGCAGACGACAGAGTTGCACTTGTGGACGACTGATTGAGAGCATGAATCAGCTCTTCATCCTTCATATGTGGCGTTGCTCGCAACTTGAACATTCCAAGTTTGGTAAACTAAAACTGCTCCAATTCCCTCAATGTCAAATGTTTTGCTCAAGCCTTTTGAATAGTTAAAATCTGCAATAAATCATCTTTATTTTAAAACCCAGAGTCCAGCGAAGATAACGATGGCTGTTGAGTAAAGCCTAATGGCCCATTATGTTGTCCATTTTGTTGCTGTTGTTCAGGTACATCGTTCGTATCGGCTTTAAAAAAGCTTTGCCATGCTTCAATAATCTACAAGTTAAAAGTTAGTGCAATGCCATCCATTTCTAAAGTATCTCATAAAACTCCATTCAACTGGATCCTTGTCAAGGCTTACATGTTTTTGAGTGTCTACCAACGATGCCAAAAACGTCTTCATCGACTCTGTAAAATCTGCAATCTTTTCCCTGTCAACACGGTCTAGTTCACTAATGAGCAGGTTGGTCATTGCAGTAAATCCCTTTGATGACTCTTCTAATTGGCTTTCTGCCTATTTCCCAGAATATAAAAATAAATGTGTTTAGAGGATCAATCAGAGCATACACGGTAAAATTAAAGTGTACAAAGTGATTACCTCGGCCAGTTCATGTTTAGCCACGGCAATCTTGTCGTATCTGATTCGACTAGAAGTTGTCAGTTTGGTCAAAGAATCATTTCGTTTAGTAAGATTGGTCTCTGCTGCTGAGAAGCTGGAATACGCCTTGAGTCGCATTGAATAAGCCACTTTTACAGAACCAATGATCCGAATGTATTCTTCAACCGTCATGAATATGTGATTGATATCCTCCTTGGCCTAGAATATTCAGTAACGTAAGCAAATATATTTATACCATCAATACAGTATAAAGTTTTGTGGTTTCTTGAAAAATATCAAGTTATGTTACCTGTTTTTCTTGCAAGTTACAAATCGTCTTGTGAATATCACCAAGCTTTAGCAGTTTTTTTGAAAGCACTGGACTCCGCTCTATATTGGCTAGTCCAACAAGACTATCCCCCATTTCCAAAATCGCTTGTGCTAGATCTATTTATATCAGGTTGGTACAAGAAGACATACCTAATGTGTTGATGATAGTATTAAACAGATGCTACACAATATAGAATTACCTCTCCGTTGCTTCATCAATAGCTCTAACGCCTTCAAAAGTGATTTGAGCTGAATTTCCATGCTTTCAATTTGAATGCGACGATTCTCTAAAGTCTAACAGAATAGTATTGGTTGAATAACAGAGTCAAACTACACCTGCATGTAAAACCCACTTTACTTACTATATCACTATCAGGAACCTTTGGAAATGGTTGGTTAACCTGTGGTGTGGTTTCAGTAAACGCACCCATAAAGCTGCCTTTGCGATCACTTCGTTTCTATATAAACCAAAACAAAAATGACGTGTAGTGTGAGCATTTGACAATGTCAGTTGAAATCACAGGCCATATTTGCAAATGATTTTACAAACGTCGTAGGAAAAGGTCTCGGATTCAAGAAATAGGCGCATATCCGTATCTAGCTGCAGAATTGGATGAGCAGCCACTTTACAAATGAAGCGTTCAAGTGCAGATCTGCGAGTTTCAACAAAGTCTTCCTGGAATCGGCCTAATTTTACCATTTTCGTGCCATTGTTAATATCAACATAACATTATCTTTATATCACAGGCTTAATCTACAGACTACAACAAACATTACCAATGGCATGTTTTTCAGGAACAGGTGGAACAATAACACCAGGGTATTTGTCAACAAGCTGGTTGTACAACCACAAAAAGTCCCTGAAACGACGATTGACTACAAACTCTGGATTTCTATAATCCGGGGACAATGTCTAGCAAAAGCAATAGTTGAAATGAAAAGCAACATTTCCAGTGAGTTGATCTTGTATACACGATGCTCACTTTAAAAGCAATCTACCTTTGTCTTGATCTTATAAGCAATGTGGGATGAAAGAGTCTCGCCAACTTTAAATGGTTCAGTGACATTTATATCAAAAGAATATAAAGTTTGTTTTGAAGTTGAATCCTATATAAATTCAACGCAGCAGCGAATGAATGACTGTTGACACTTGCCAATACATTTAAAATAGAATCTCAACTACCTCTTGTTTTTCAAGCAGATCCGAGCTAGAATTCTGCTCGTTATCAACGGGATCTTCGTTTGAAGAATGGGATTCTGGCGACATGAGTGGATCAAAGAGAGCTTGTACTGATTTTTTTTGGGAAAGCGGTTTTTTGGTATCCGACTCAATAGCAGGTTTTGATACTTCAAAAGAATGAATAGGTTCATCTAGAGAAAAAGACATGATTGGCTGGGATAGAGGGTCAACGAGGCTTTGGAAAGGATTATCTAATGGATGGGGTTGCATAGTAGATGCAGCAGGCGGAATCGTTGTGCTAGCAGACATGCTTGATTTAGTCGGATTCAAGGCTGGATCAAGCAAGCCAAAATTGACATCAGTGGATTGAACAGGAGGAACAGAGGCAGAGGCAGTGGCATGAGTAGCAGTAGATCCAGTAGTTGCAACAGAAAGAGGATCATCAAACAAGGGGTTGGGAATGACTGCATGCTTTGGAACTGGAGGAGCAGCAAGCTTTGTAGGCAGTTTCTTTGAAACAGATTCCACAGACACTTTAGATTGATTCTGTTTTGAAGCAGTTGGTATAGATGCGAGTAGTGGATGTTGATCCTTCTGAGTAGTGGTGTTGTGCTCAGTCATACTGTCTGTGGTGGCAGATGGTTCAATGGAGAGTGTTGATAGACTGGTAGCAATTGTAGCAGTCGAGTGATTTTGTGTTGTACTAGAGCCATTGGTGGTTGTGTCTTGAGTGAGTTGACTGGCTCTATGGCTGCTGGGTGTAGCAACATCAGCCCAGACACCAGCAGCAAAAGGGTCTTCAAAGTCTGACATTGAAGAGTGTGGAGTCGAGTTGATTTCTCGACTTGCAAACTATTCAAATGTCATTCATGTCAACATATTTTATTATCATCGAGTAGATACGATCATCTTGTCACTCTGCATTACGATGCTTTACCACGCAGAGTTTCTCTAAACTTGTCTGTAAACTTGGCTTGACCAACGTTTTTGGTTGCTCCAAGCTTATCTGCTTCATCTTCACTTGAAACCGAGTGTTCAATAACAACTTGGGATTCGACGTTACTTGCATGCGGTTTAGGCTCTATTAGTGAGAATGAATGCATAGATACCGCAGGCGCCGAGTTTTGTTTTTCCAAGTCAGATCTTGCTAGGCTTGTCGTCACTACTGCATTCTTGGGTGGAACGGGCAATGGTTTCAATCGTTCAGAAAATGGCGACGATGTAGATGTGCTTGATAACTTTGATGCTGAAAAAGGTCGTTTAAACCAAAGACCTGATAGTCGAGTCGTCACTTTTTGTCTAATATTAATGTTAGTGACTAGAAATAGCTTAATTTTTACTACAAATCGCCCAAATGTTTTCTGTTAACATTGAATTAAAATTCTCACGACACATACATATCATCTGTCACGGCATTAATCCCTGAAATAATGGCTGTTCCAGGTTGAAATAGGCTATTGGGTGGAGTAGCAGTTGGCGGACGCATAGCTTCTTGGTGTAAAATCTTGGTTTCATCTGCTGGCAATACAATTGTTTTCCCTGTAGATTGTATTGGTAAAGAGCAGCTGAGATTGAATATATTAAATGATACAGTTTAGAGTTGACAAATGTATGGATTTAAAATGATATAAATCTACTTACCTTTCTAGTAGATCCTCTGGAATATCAATTATAGTCAAATCCAAAGTCAAAATAAAGCTTACTGCTGCATCAATATTGACCATACAATAAGATTCTTGTCCACTGATGCGAGTTGGATTCCTATACTTGTGAGTAAATCTCAGACTAGCAATCAAATGCGTAGGATGGGTTCTATGCCACATATACAATACCACGCCATTAGTGTATGTGGAATGAATACCACAGTATATGGATTTAGTTTCGACTCACTGAACAATCAAATAGATGAGTAATCCCAGCAAAGTATCAGTGTTTGCACCACTTTCATCATTTCGAATCCTGCTATTTTCATCTGATTGTTTCAATTGATCTTTTGTAAATGTATTTATAAATTCTAAAAATCACAGTCAATCCTGTTAAATGCTGGCACGTTTTTTTAAAAGCAATTCTCAATTATTAGGCTTACCAACAAGATGACTGTGAACTTTGATCAGAGCCTCCATTTTTAATATGGGAGACAGTGCTCTCTCAAATCGAAGCAGCTCTGCATTGGATCATCAAATTTACAATTAGTCTTGAAATCGTCTGTATAGGTGAACAACATTGCAATGACTATAAGATTACCTAAACCAGCAGCACGCATTACTTTGGCAAATCCATGATGATCCTGATATAAATCCAAACCAAGATCTGACAGTCCAAACGATGATATTCCTAAAATAGACAGTCGAGATGCTAAAATGTAATCGTTGATCTGCTCTTCCATCAACGACACACCAAATACACTAGTTTCAAAAGCAATCGCATTAGATTATTGTCTTTTGTTGCTAGACTTTATCATGTATATGTTCAAATAAAATACTGTTTACAGAATAATTTGTGCAAACAAAACACTACCTTTCAAAACATTTACCAATAATATACGTCTCCATGCCATCCAAAATGGTCAAAATATAAGGCTCTCCTTGTGTTCGAATCAAGCGGGTTGAATGCAAGAACCCCTGCATTAATTCTAAAAAATCCACGATACGCTTGGAAAGTGCATCTGATCGATCAGAAGTGCGTATCAATGATGTTTTTGCTGAAACCTGTGCTGCCGGATAAGTTGAAAAGTGGATTTCAAGATCTGTTGTAAATCGATACACTTGATGCAGAATAATTGTACCTCGTTGATCAGCCATGAGCTCCATAAATTTGAGTAACGAAGGATCATTTTTCAAACTTGGAATGTCTAATTCTGAAAGTCTAATATCTGTTTTTCCAAACAGTGACGGTATAATATGAAGCGGGTTGATGTTGTCAAGAACATGACTTGGAAATGAAAACATGGTCGATCCAAACTTTCCCAAAGGCTCATCACCCGATTGCGAGGGTGAACCTATTGCTAATGGTGTATGATGTGGCTTTAAAGAATACGCTGAGCCAGATGTATTGGCTGGCGCGGGAAGAGCAACAGTTTCTTCGCCTGTTGAATTCCCTCCTGCTTTCGTCGTTAAAAAGTGGTAAGCTGGACCATGTGGATCATTTTTTGAATCATTATTAGTTTCTAAAGAATAGTCTGTCCATGCATCATGATGAAGGTCTTCCTCCATGATAGGACGTTGAATGAGCAATAGTTTGACGGAACCCATTTTCCCGTTAATCTCTAGTTTCCTTTCAATCATGTTTTCAAAATAAAGTTCGACTGATGGATACTGCGTAATGGATGGATCGTGCATATCAAACGAGTCCCAAAGCGTGCCTTTTTTAAATGCTCGAGTCTGATCTGCTTCTATTGTCCATTGTCGCACAAGTTCGTCTTCTGATGGAGTAGGACCGATAAGATAAAGTCGATTTCTGTGATTTATGCAGTTGATGGGAATTCAACATTGGCACTCAATCTTAGTGACGATGCATATCTAAACTGCCTGATTTGATCAAATCTTACCTTGACATGACGCCTCGCATGCCTGAAATGGATAGCAGTTGAAGAGGATTCGTCGAGTTTATCAAATACACATGCCTGCCAAAAAATTCGACAGCAACATCCTCAAGCTCAATCATTGTTTTTGATATTGGCAAAAGCAGAATAGCCTAAACCATGACGTCGCAAATCAGCACAGGCATTCACACACATGTCAGTTTTGATATACAGGACTGAGACTCGGCCATGTTATTACAGATTGGTTGGTGTATATCTAGTAGAAGCTAAACACACCTGATGAGAGACCAAGAGGTCACAAATGGCTGAACAATCGTTTCTTTCCAGGGCTTTAAATGCAACGTGGGATTCTAGCTCAGCAGAAACATCCAAGCTAAGAAACGACGATGACCTGCGAACGAGTCTAGGCAATTCCTTTTCTACTCCGGTTTGTATAGGTAATGCAACCAAGTTGGCAACTGGCAGTTCTTGATCCAAAGGATAGTTATCAGCAACTAAGCCACCATCTGGACGAGAGAAGGAATCACTTGGAAGAGTTGGCTCATTGGCCATAGTTGAAGCTGGGGTGTCTGGTCCAGACAGACTGTTTATCGATGGTGTGTGATTGGATTCCATGCTTAATAGTCAAAACCACCAAGCAAACGAAAGATTCAATAGTTTTGGCTAGACTAAAAGGGTTGATTAAAATGTCATGCATTCCCTGTTATTGATGATAGCATAATCCATGCGTCGGTTTATATTTATTGGAAATGATGAATCAAGCCTTTGTCGAATCCAAGTAGTTGCGTAGCTCCTGAATCTGCACAAGAACGGATTTACGGCTGGTACCGCCCAGAGCCGATCGCTGTTCAATACTACGCTCATTGTTCCAAACTTGAGCCACGTCCTCTTCAAATGCAGGATGCAAGGTTTTGAGTTGCATTAGAGTCAATGCACTCATCGTGGTGTTGTTCTCTTCGGCCATTCTTACTGCATGTCCAGCAACATGATGAGTCTCGCGGAATGGAACCTAATCAATGTATAAAGTCAGTAAAATACTTGTATGACCATTTAGGTTTAATGGATTTAGTCAGCCTGGTGTTGGCAAGTTACACGTCGAGTTCAATAACTTGCATTTTTTCGCACAAGGTATTCAGCAAGATCAGTAGCCAGCATATCGTTAGTCAAGCTATTTTCCATTCTTTCGGCGTTGATCTATTTGTATTAAAATAAATGGTAGTTTAAGCTACAATTCAGTAGTTCAATACATGGCATGATCTTACAGTCAGCGTGGAGAGGACACCCGTTGCAATTTGAATGCATCCACTGAGATTCTCTAATGCGTCAAACATGGGTTCTTTGTCTTCTTGCAGATCCTTGTTATAGGAACTAGGAAGACCCTTGTAGGTCATCATAAATCCAGACATGTCACCAAAGACTCGACCCGATTTGCCACGAATCAACTCAAGCGAGTCGGGATTCTTCTTTTGAGGCATCAGACTGCTTCCAGTCGAGTAGGCATCAGCAAGCTTCACAAATCCAAACTCACCCGAGCTGTATATAATGAGATCTTCTGACCAACGACTCAAGTGAATCATTGTCAGACTCGACCAAAACAGAAACTCGGCAACAAAGTCGCGATCACTCACGCCATAGAGACTGTTGGGCATTGGAGCGACAAACTTGAGGTCTGCAGCCAGTGCCATGCGATCAATGTTGAATGGGTTTCCAGCCAGTGCACCACTGCCCAGTGGCATTTGGTTAATACGAGGAATCAGCTGGACAAGACGTTGAGCATCTGCATGCCAAGTCCATGCATGCGATAGGATAAACTGTGCCCATCGAATGGGCTGAGCCTTTTGCAGATGAGTATATCCAGGCATGATTACATTGATTTCAGACTCGGCTCGATTGATAGCAACTCGAATTAGACTATGAAGATGCACCAGCAGTTGAGTAGCCTCGTCTCGAAGCCACATGCGCATATCGGTTGCAACTTGATCGTTGCGACTACGACCAGTATGCAGTTTTCCTGCAACCGATCCAACAATTTCTGCGAGTCGTCGCTCGTTGGCAGTATGAATGTCTTCATCCGAGTCGAGGATTTTGAATGATTTATTCTCCCATTCAACAGCAATCTGCTGTAGACCAGACTCGAGTGAAATGCATTCGTTCTCAGTCAAAAGGTTTTGACGACAGAGAGCTCGAGCATACGCCTGAGAACCTTGAATATCTACTCTCCAGAGTCTACGATCAAAGTGAATGGAGGCATTGAATGCCACCATTAATGGATCTGTTTCGCCAGTGAATCGTCCTAACAAATTCAAAGGATTGACTAAAGTGTTGAATGCATACAGTTATAGTAGACCAATTCTTACCTCCCCAAAGCTGAGCCATTATCAGTAAATGGGAAGAGATTTAAAAATAGAGATTTGATGAATGATCATCACATGATGGATTCATAAACTTGCTGGTTAGAAATGGAGATGAACAATTGTAATTTAATACGATCGAGTTCTTTGGTGATACTGCAGAATACTCTTAATCTAAACTGAACGATTCAATCATTTAGTTTAGATTCAATCAGTCTAGAAATTCAATGATTTGAGCTGTTACAACACATTCAATTCATTCTCATTTTACACCATCACTTGGATAAAATATACATTTTACTCATTACTGTGCATGTCTGTCTTTGATCTGACACACCAATGGCTAGTATTTGTAATATCACCATACGGCCAGCAATTGTAAGCAAGGCTTCTTGTGACCTATCTAAACCTCGTCTTGATGTCACTGACATGATAAATGGTTACACTTCTATAAAGGTTGCTAGATGGTGTTGTACCATGTTTTATTGCAGTGCTAGTGCTGTTGAATACTTTTTGGATACAAATATATGAACATGTTGGGTATCAACGACTTCCGGACTGCGCGGATGAATCCACAGCAGCCGCTTCCAGCCCTACCAGTAGTCCTACTACCCAAGATCAGCACATGGAGTATGCTGTCAAGTTTCAATACTCTATAGACAAGTCCGTTAAACGAACTGTGCTGTTCAAGGTTATACTGACTCTACTCATGTTGGCTCAGATTGTTCTTTCTGCCTTGATCTGCAATAATCAGTATACCATTTCAATGTCTTATAAACAAGTATTTGAGCTATTTCCAGGACATGCATTGCTGCTCATTACATGGACGTTGGGGTTGATTGTTCTCATTATTGGACTTGCTATTGATTACGAAACTCCAGCGTTGACGACTGTCTCGCAATCCTATGCAGGCCCAATCTTTCATGGTCTTCTTTGGCTTGGATTTGCTCGTCTAATATCTATACCTGCAGATATTCGATCTTTGTGGATCGTATGCGAAACTGCTCCAATTGGAGAGCCTTATTGCAGTAATAATAATATAGCCGCCATGGCTACTAGATATCTGTTTGTGCTCGGTATCTACTCTTGCTTGAAATTGCTGAGCAACGAGCATAGGTTTCGTGTATGGCTACTATCCAACGATAAATCTGTAAAAGAGTCGTGCGCTTCTATTTGGTCAATCATTACATTTTCTTGGATGGATGATTTGATTAGTCTTGGATATGACAAATCGTTGGATTCAGAGGATCTGAATAACATGATGCCTGATGACTTGGCAAAAAACATTCGTTCATCATACGAGGCTTGCCAAAATGAAAATTGCTCGCTTATTTGGAATCTTACAACATATGTCGGTACACTGCTGATCATACAAGCGATATTCGCTTTTTTTTCTGCAGTGTTTACTCTGGGAAGTCCATATTTCCTTCAACAAATTCTGATTTTTGTGGAAAATCCTGCTTCCATATCACATCCATCTGTTGCAGTCATGTATGCCTTTGCTATTTTCCTTTCTTCAATTTCACGCTCTATTTGCGATGGCCAAATGTATTTGATTGGTCGACGAATTGGACTCCGTGTTCGCTCTGTGATTGTCATGCTGATATATGAAAAAAGCTTAATTCCTGCCAGTCATCTTGATACTGTGCTTGACTTGTCTTTGGCCGATTCTAATGCCAGTTCAGGAAAAATTGTTAATTTGATGTCATCTGGTATGTTACACTTTTACATATTTAAAACCCCAACTGTATTGCTATCTAACAACTAACCGTTACTATTTAGATGCATTCAAGGTCCTCGATTTTGCATCCTATGTTATGTATCTGTGGATGACACCACTCGAGGCATTGATTTGTATTATTTTTCTAGTCTATATCGCTGGCCCAGCAGGACTAGCTGGGGTTGCTATGATGGTGATCATGATTCCTATTGGAGGCCAAATTGGACATTTGATTGCTCGATATCAGAAGCAATTAATGGAGGCTACCGATGGTCGTATCAATGCCATCAATGAGGTACTTGTTTTTGACATACTGTTTGGTATCAGATCTGCCAGATTTTCAATTCTACGGTGATGGCTTACTCTTAATCATGCATTCTTGTACTAATGCTTTTCATCCAACTTGTTTTTAATAACAGCTGTTGCATGGCATTCGGATTGTCAAATTTTTTGCATGGGAACCTCGGTTTGCAAAAAAGATTCGAGATTTGCGTGAAAATGAGCTCAAGGCACTTTGGTCATATATCTTCACGACGGCCCTTTCCCGAGTTATTTGGGCTGCTACACCCGTACTCGTTTCGTTCTGTACATTTACCATGATGACTTGGATTTTTGGTCAAAATCTAGATGCATCAACGGCATTTACAGCACTTGCACTGCTCAATTTGCTCCGTATGCCCCTTCAAGCCTTTCCTGATGCTATTGTCAAACTCATGGAGTCACTTGTTAGCATTCGCAGAATTGAGGATTATTTAGAAGAACCAAACATACACAACTCTGTGGATAGTTCTGCCGTATTTACCGACTCTGTTCAGTTTATAGGTAATGCCACGTTTTCGTGGTATGCCACACGAGATAATAATTCTAGACCAGCATCTCATCTCAAAAACTTGACACTTGGCTTTCCAAAAAATAAACTCAGCGTTGTTTATGGCCCAACAGGAGGTGGAAAAAGCAGTCTTCTTATGGCAATTCTAGGAGAAATGCATCTGAAACATGGCGGCGGTGTTCACTTGGGTGAGCTTCAAAAAGGAGATCAACACTTGCCAATTGCATTTGCTTCTCAGCAGTCTTGGCTTCAAAATGCAACGATTCGCGAAAATATTTGTTTTGGATCCGCTTTTGATCCTGTGAGGTATCAAGAAACACTGGCCGCGTGTGCTCTGACTAAAGACTTGGAAAATCTAGATGGTGGCGACATGACTGAAGTAGGTGAAAAGGGAGTAAATCTATCTGGCGGTCAAAAGGCTCGTATATCTCTTGCTCGAGCCGTGTATTCAAGATCGCCACTCGTTCTTATAGATGATCCTCTTTCTGCTGTGGATGCTCCAACTGCCAGGCATTTGTTTGAAAAATGCATTTGTGGGCCATTGCTGGCTGGACGCACTCGTATACTAGTAACTCACGCCAAAGCACTTTGTGCCCCCAAGGCCGATTTTGTCGTTAGACTATCTAAAGGAGTAGTTTTGCATTCCGCCGAGTCTCCCGTAAGACATGCAATTCCAGATGCATTGCTTGACGCTGATTTGACTCCTGACGACACTCCTATGGCAGGGGCTTCCAGCAAATCTGATGCATTCACCCTGATTAAAGGGAAAGGCACATCTTCCAAAGATTTGATTATTTCTTTGGAAGAAAACAGTATATCTACTTTGAATATCAAGCGAATCACAATTGAAGAAAAGCGATTAACTGGATCTGTGCCTTTTCGAGTATATATGGCATATATGCTGGCTGCTGGTGGATTTTTTTTCCTTGTAGCTGTACTTGCTGCCTATACTTCAGCTCAGGGTTTAGTTATTGGAAATGATATATGGCTTAAAACATGGGCAGACGCGTATCGACAAGTTCCATCTGTTTCCAATGTAGGAAATGTTTTTACATCTATTATGCAGCCCTTTAATAGTCGGCAAGTACATGAAACTCGACAACTCGATTTGGTGCTTCCTACCACTGGGTTCTTGATACAGAATAATGACTTGTTTCAGGAACAGATATGGGCAGCAGGGAATTCATCTACTACTGTATTAATGGCACCAAAGAAGGAAGTAAATCTAAGTTACTATATTGGAATCTATGCGTTTTTGGGATCACTGTCTATTTTTGCCGTGTTTATTCGTGTATGTGTTGTTGCTATAGGTTCACTCAACGCTTCGCGTACTATCCATAATAACTTGGTCGACAAGATTCTTCGTGCACCTGCACACTTTTTTGAAAAAACACCCATGGGACGTATTTTGAATCGCTTTTCCAAAGACATCAAAGACATTGATCAAGAAGTTGGAATTTTTATTGGAGATTTCCTTGGAAATTGTATTTCTGCTACTGGAATCCTATGTTTGATTCTGTATGCCACGCCTCAAGCCATTTTCAGTGTCATCCCTATTTCTGTCATTTATGTAGTTGTGGGTCGCAGTTACATTCGTAGTTCTCGTGAACTAAAGCGTCTGGACTCTATTACTCGATCTCCTATATTCTCTCACTTTGGAGAAACCATCAATGGTGCATCAACAATTCGAGCTTATTCTGCTCAAAATAGGTTTGTGGATCAGATCCACAAACGAATTGATCACAACAATATTGCCTTTTTCAATCTTTGGGCATTGAACCGCTGGCTTGGAATTCGTGTCGACTTTAGCGGTGCACTCATTTCCCTTGCATCGGCAATGGCTATTGTGACGATGGTATTGTTTAATGGAGGCATGAACGCTGGTCTTGCTGGATTGAGCATTAGTTACTCATTATCGTTTAGCCAATCTCTTCTTTGGCTGATTCGTATGCATGCGCTTATGGAAATGGAGATTAATGCAGTCGAGAGAGTGGATGAATATTTGCAAATCAAGGAAGAGGCACCTGCTACTATTCCTGCTACTTGTCCTATAGCTGATTGGCCGACTCATGGCAATATCAGTGTTGAGAATTTGACTTTGCGCTACTCTTCCAATTTAAATCCGGTGCTTTCAAATGTAACGTTTCAATGTCGTGCCGGAGAAAAAGTGGCCGTGGTTGGTCGCACAGGTGCTGGAAAAACTACTTTGTCTTTGGCCTTTTTTAGATTCCTCGAGTTTGAAGCCGGCCATATTCTAATTGACGGAGTGGATATCTCCACAATTGGAGTACACGACTTGCGATCTAGATTGACCATCATTCCACAAGATCCTGTTTTATTCTCAGGAACGTTGCGATCCAATTTGGATCCGTTTAACCAGCATACGGATGCAGAGATTTGGTCATGTCTTCGGCTATCGCATTTTCTTGACTCGATTCGCCAAAGTGCTCTTTCTCCAAACTCTTCATCGGGTAGTCTTCTCAAAGGAGTTGTCGAGTCTGAGCTTTTGTCTTCGACTTCCCTACCCTTGTCTGACACGACGCAAAATCTAGCCATTCCATCAACGTCTTTAATTTCTATCGACACACCAGTCAATGAAGGCGGCACGAATTTTTCACAAGGTCAACGTCAGCTTTTATGTCTATCACGAGCTCTCCTTCGTCGATCTCGCGTTATCCTCCTTGATGAAGCTACAGCAAGTGTCGACCACGACACTGACCTTCGTATCCAGCTTTCTATCCGCAGTGAATTCCGTAACGCCACATTGCTGTGTATTGCTCATCGTCTGCGTACAATCATTGACTATGACAAAGTTTTAGTTTTGGACAAGGGCAAAGTGGCACAGTTTGGCACTCCCAACGAGCTGTTGAGCATGGGAAAAGGCATATTTTACGATATGTGTGCAGAGACAGGTGAGCTAGATGAACTGAAAGAGTCTGCCAAAAGGCACGTCAAACTATGAAGGATTAAGACTTGAAATCGATTATGTAATCATGTTTACGACGTATTGACGTAAAATGCAATATTTTTAAATAAACTGATTAAATATCTCGAGTAAATATAATATTCATATAATACAATCGAATGATCCCTTTTTCCTTATTTAATATAGCTATACACTATACGATCACCAAGTCTGAACCTAGATTCAACTGTTTTGATGTTGTTAATTGAACTCGTGTTTGCGCTGTAACTCGAGAAACCAAGGATTGAAGTCTCAAAAATGCAACTGTAATGTAAGCGTTCGTTTTGAGTGTTCCATTTGCGTGACTACGGATGTAATTCTACAATGTAAGTTGTATGATACTGCCTATTTAAACTGGGAGGTTGGAAATTTAAAGAATGGTATATTTATTTGATTGTCAAGTGAATAAAAGATACAATAAAAATGACAAACGATAGCTTGTGTGCAATAGACTTTATTCCTCAAGATCATGCGTAGGGTTAAAGTATGCATGTTCCAAAGCAGTTTGGGAGCGAATACGATTATCTGCATTATAGACCAGCATTTTCTACGTTTTTTCAAAAGGATAGTTTAAAATAACAGATTGAGAGCGATTTAATATAAACATGGCATGCATGCAGATAGATAGTTTACCTCGAGCAGATTGAGACCAATCGGATCAAGCAAAACATAGTTTGAAAGGGGTGTTTTTTGTGAGTGATTTTGAAACGAGATAATGTCTGGTAACGACATGTTACGCACATCAGAGGCTTTAATTGGACCCAGTTTTCTAATTCGCCAAAATTTAAACCGTATTAGGAGTTTAACTGCAATTTATGAATTTCAAAATCATGTATTCTAACACATTATCAACCCTTTACCTTTGAATATCGTTTAAAACACTGATTTCGGTTTCTCCATCAAATAGCGGGCGGCCACGTACCAGCTCTAATTGCATGGTGAATATGATCAGTAATGGTACATCAAAATCTACTTATAAAATATTAGAAATAAATAGCAACACAACATGACTTGCCTGCAAAGATACAACCACAACTCCAGATATCTATGACAGCTCCATATTCTCTCACACCAAAAAAGATTTCAGGAGCACGATATAGCATGGTCACAGTCTAAAGATAATCATGTAAAAATCAAGCGCATTTGAAAAAGTTATGTTGGAGTCTATTTCAAATACACATCCAAAGCAAATTCCAAGTAGTATTCCATACGATCGCATACCTCGGGAGTGTAATGCCGTTTATCAGGGAACGAACGTACTCGAGCCAATCCAAAATCAGCAATTTTAAGTTTAAGCTTTGAAGACATATCACCCCGAACTGAATAATTTACAAGAATGTTACTTGGCTTTAAATCACGATGCATTAATCTGCGACCATGAGCAAACGCCAGACCAGCTAAAATCTGACTCATGCAATCTCGAACCGTTTCTCTTGGTAAGCCCAACTCAATTTTGTCATCCAAGGAAAGAAGCGATAGCTGCTGCTCAGAACTAAAGTCGTTTGTTTGTTCTAACATAGCTTTACATACATATGCCTTGATATGTTTTGCTAGGTCTGTTTCTGCATAATCCATTACAAGGTAGATAAATCTATGTGGAAGATCTTGAAAAACTTCATGAACTCTACGAGTTGCTCAATAAGAGTTGGTCAGTATTACGACTACACAAACCAAGACTTTATTAGTAAGCGGAGATCTAGCAAACAACTCAACTGGACAATGTTTTCCGCATTCATTCGACGATTGAAGCTATGAGGTTGAAATCTACGATGCAATTCATAATCCCTAATATTGTTTCTATTGAGAATACATGCCTCTCGTAGGGTTGTTGCACCAATGCCTTCCTCGTCCATAGGAGTCCGTTTGACTGCAACCAACTCTCCAGATTCAATGTGCGTTGCCTTGAACACCACTCCATAGACTCCTCTGCCAAGCTCCTTTCCCTTGCGATATTTGGCCCATACGCTCGGTAGTTCCAGCAAAGAATTGTGTGATTCTGGTTTGATGGGCGAGCAAGCGTTGAATCCAATCATTAACAGTTCAGATTAGACTGCAAGATTCAAGATATCGGAGTTTCTACCTGAGGACTGCCGTGATTTAATTCGGATGATTTCAACAAATACAGTTTAATATGCAGTCGCTTGTTGCTGATTATGGCTCATCTGATGAGGACAGTGAAGCCAGTAATACTTGCAAACTTACTTTGAAAACAGAGTCTTTTTCTAAACCACTTTCTGCAAAACATGAATCTGTTGCTCAGCCATCCAGGAAAAAAACTCGAGTTAAAGTGGATCATTCCTTCTTCTCAGTGCATTCTGGAGATGTCGAGTCCAGTAGTGATCAGGATAATCAGCATGACGACACATTAAACAGTCCATCCAATTTATCTCGAATGGATCCTAAACCGTCTGGACTCAAATCACTGTTTGCAATGCTTCCAGCTCCTAAGAAATCATCCATGACAAGCCCACACACTGTAGGATCAAATACTGCAAATAGTATGCCTTCTCCACGCATGCTTGGTCAAGCCTCTGGCGATGGACTGCAACCTGGGCTTATGATTTCTCAACCAATCTCTCGTATTTCAAAAATCACTTCTACTGCATCAAAAAACATGCCAGTTTCTCATACTAAAAGTAGTACTGCATCCAAATCTACTTTAGAAAAAGAAACCGAGGTAAAAGTAAAAAAACAAGCGGATGATATTGATCCAGATTGCTTCTTTAATCCAGGTGAGGTCGTATTGGTGTAGATGAATCGCTTGTGTTTATCTTGTAATGATGGCTTTGGTGTATTTAATCTACGAATTTCAAATTTTAGGTATCGAGGACAGCGATCGCTCTAGCAATGCAAATCTATCCACATTTGTAGCACCATTGGTTTCATCATCCATGAGTCTTAATTACACAGATTCGAGTGAATCTCCGGTGGTGGGTGATTATGAAGCATATGCAGCTCAGTTTAGTGGATATACATCTCAAAAACCAAATGTACTTCCACCCGAGGATATTCAAGATCAATCTCAAAACGTAGACAAAAATGGACTTCCCTTTGGTATAGATGAAAGTGTGGTAAGAGTACGAGTTCAAGTCATTGTAAACTATACTCATGATCAACATGGTTTAAATCTTGCTTGATTTGACATATCGATTAGCTTCTTAAATTAGGACATAGAGTGAAAAAGGATGGAGCAGTGGAGATTAAAGAGATTCATCATGCTGATCAGATGGGAAATATGCATGCTATGCATTTGGAACGAAATGCTAGTTTACAAGGATTACCAGAAAACGCTTCATTTTCGGTGAGTTGTCCATCTTGTTGCTACCATCGTATACTATCATTTTTATCCAGTTTTGAAATTATACTGTTGTATGCCAAATGTCTTTTCAAAATGTAAATAGTTCAACATTTGTAAAATGGTGCTGGAATCTAAATGGTGTGTGAATCAATAATCATAGAAACTTGGATCCGGTGTCATATCTCAAGGAATGAAGCGACGCCATAATATCATGTCCCTTGCACACGAAGCAAAGGCACGACAACAGACACTTGAAGAGCAAGCAACAAATCGCAAAATCATGAAAAAAGAAATACGATCCAAATACGGATTCTAACAAGTTGCAAATACGTTCAACTCAAATAAACTACGTATACAATGCAAAGTGGTGGATATATGAGTTGCAAGAATGCGCCTTTATTTGTTTGTAAATCGCTTGTGAATTCCTCCAGATCCAGAAACACCGTTTGTTGTTTTGGTTGTCAAAGGGGATGACGTTCCCCATACACCAGATATAAAACTAGATGCATTCATGAGCAGTTCGGTTGCCTTTTGCTGATGCGAGCTACTAAGTGTGATGTTCTCAGCAACGGCATTGACTAATCCCATGACGCGACCACCACTTCCACTTGAAGAACCTGCTTGACTATTGTAGATGGAGCTGACAAGTGATGGAGATTTCTCAGAGGATGAGATCGAAGCAAGAGTCTTGGACAATCGCACAGTCGCTTTGGGTCTTGCTTTTCGTTGCAAATGACTAGTTCCATTGAGTTTGGAGCTACCAGCATTATTGCTGACACCAGAAACATTTGTAGATTCGGCTTGAGTACTGCTGCCATCTAGTGCTCTAGAACTCGCACCAGAGTCTATACTTGGCTGCGCCGATTCTGCAGACAATCGATGCCGTGATCCCGTAGAACGAGAATGTACTGCTCCAGCCACAGGTAGTAGCGCAAATCGTGGCGATGGAGGTGCAACTGGCACTAGATTGTGCTGTTCTTGAACGGATGGGGTACGTTTTGTTTCTAGCGGCTTTGGATTAAGCAGAAGCAGCGATCCCAAAAAAACAGATGTTCGAGAGTAAAATCGCTCCACATTGGATGAAATCTGTACTTCTAAAATAGCCAAATCAATCGGATCAATCTTTTGTTTGATGGCAGCTATGACAGACTGAGATTCTTGTTCATGAGAATGACTGGATGGAAACTGCAATGTTAAAGGGTCCTTTTCATCTGCATTATGGCTGAATATAGACGTTTTCCTGGGTGTATCTGCTTTCCAGCTTCCTTCCATGAATTTGACAAGTAGCAGAAAATCAAACAAAAGTTGAAATGCACCTTTTTCCGAAATTCTTTCAGCGTGTGCTTCAGACGTTACAAAAGTGCTATATACTTGGATTATCCGATTTGACAGCTCCAAAAGCAGAAACCTGAGACAAGGCTATATACAAAAATGGTAGTAAGCATTCATGCCAGCAGCCAACCAATTATCCAGTGCTGTATCAACAATTGAAATCAAATCGTGTTCACCTTTTCAAGAGTATAACTACCGGTACGATTTAGCTCTGCGCAAACATTCCAAAGAATATTAAGGACAAATGGAGATGCGTGCACAGGCAGACACATCTTACTTTCCATGGCATCCCCAGTCTCTCCTTGAGCATGGATAGTCATTGACTCCCACAGTGTTTGAAACTGCTTTCCAAGTTTCCAGTCTTGAGTCTCTAAACTGTCGCGAAAAGCAATCTCTAACCGTAGTGCAACCGAAGTAGTCCAGAATGTGTGGGCTTGGTTATACACATCCATGAGTAGCTCTTGAATGGGGAGCAGCGTCCGTGATTCAGATTGTTGTTCCAAGTGGCGGCTTAAAAAGTGGTGGGCTGTCGATTGAACGGAGCTGCCGTCAGTCATTCTTTTTTCCAAACTAAACTGCGAGTTTGAATCAAACTCTGCCATAAACTTTCCTGCTTTAAGAGCAATGATACGAGCAGTTCGTCCAATAAATAAACTTTGATCAATTCCAAGAACTAAAAATTAGAAAAAGTCAGCACTGATGAATATACAGCCTAAAACACTTTAAACATTACTCTTAATATTTGATCATACCATATTCTGTCATCTCATCTTCGTGCATGTGACTTGATATGTCTGTAAGTTGTGCAAGCATACCATCTTTGTAAGTCTTGACAGCCTCAAAAAACGAGTCGCGCAGTGCAGTAGACAAAATCTCTGCGTTTCTATCAGGTCAATCCCAATTTGATTGATATTGTGATCAATATAGTTTTAAAAACCAATGGTCAGTAACTAGCAGAAAAGCCGTCATATTTAAAAAACAAACATGCTTCTCACTTTTTACAATGAAAGATATCAGCATTAATGTCCAAGGTCTCGGTAGGAAAATATGGAGAGCCATGCTGGTTTAAAACACTATGACAAGATGGTGTTCGAAAATCAATAAGAGGCAGCAGATCTTTACAGGCAACCGAGGCAGCTTCTTCGAATGCCTCGCCAAGACTCTTCATTGTTGGTGTCTGCATACGACACACCGCCCTCAGATTATCGTACGAAATGCTGCGTTCGTTCAAATCCACCAAATTTGAATTCCATACAAAACTGGCAACATCACGATCTGGAAACCAATATTTGGTTAACCAATGCAATATATGAACGTATACACCTTTAGTAGCGGCAGTATTAACATTGAACCATCTCTAAAGTACCTGTATGTCCACCCTTGTCCAAGTTGTCCAATGCTTGCTGAAGTAGTGTTTTTGGTTGACTGGTAATCGATTTGAAAGCAGTGCTGATGAGCACTATAGATTGATCCAAAAATAGCTTTTGAAATATATCATTCCATAATGAATACGATTTGGATCGTAGCACTCGCACAGTAAGCTATTATACCAAGTAAAATATTCTAAATAAATGATCCATTCCAAATAGTCTCTATAAAGCAATACGAATATCAAAATTACCTCTGACCAGGAAATGTGCCGAGTATTATCTGTCAAAATCGAAACCGGATTATCAGATGGTAAAGACTGAAACTCGATCGAATAAATATGCTTTAGAATTGTTGATCGAATATCTGCCAAAGTATGGCCCGACAAGATACTCCCAAGGATGAGTTTACCAGCACTTTGTACAAGTCGAGTAATCTGCTCAAGCCAAGCCAAAACACTTGTCTGAATATCAGTATTATTCAAAGGTATATGATTTGATCCAAGATTCATGACTGGTGAAAATCGTTGGATGGATTCGGGCAAGTGTCGAAATAAAAGGTGCATGTTGGTCTTTTCTGAGTACAAACTAGATACAAGACATTGATGTTGCTCAGATTGAACAGTCAAAGTAAGATGTGGTGGTGCTACTGGTGTAGAAGGAGAGTAAGCAGTGGAATGAGAAGACCTTTTTTGAAGTTGATGCAAAAACAGTTCAATTGAAGAAATAGTAGTTGTTTCATCAGTTAATGCAGTAACGGGTTGAATAAACAGTTTGTTGATTGATTGAAGTGTTTTGTGAATGGCGTCGATACTTTCGACCAGCAGCGAGCAAATTGTATCTGTGCTCACAGTCTGACAATTTGAAGACAAAATGCTTTCAACAGTGGCAATGCGCTGAGCCAACAGTACATCCAATGTGCCTTTTGGCGAAAGATTATCCAGCATCGCGATGGCTCCCAAAGTTTCTAAAATGTGCTATTCGAGTGAAGAACATGTGTTAGGAATGTTCCCGAATCAAGTTGTTTCTAAATATTAAAAACACGAGTTAATGTTTAATCAACCTGATCTTCTAAACTACTATTAAGCAAACGATGCTTGATTTTTTCGATAATTTGTGCACGAAAAGGACTGATTGCATCCCATTGACGCTGAACGACGGGAAATGATGACTGTAAAATGATCGAGGTTTAATATGTGCATGTTAGACAACGCTATGCCCATCAGATACCATTCAACATTAATTAAAAGTTACAGCTACGTACAGGTATTTTAAGCAAAGCAGCCTGACGTCCAGTTTGTAGTCCACGAAATACCAGCCGAGAGATCAGATAAAGCCTTCCAGCTGCCAGGTACTGATGCTGTTCTAGCGACGTCCATATCTATTAAATACAGCACATTGGTTAGTTGAAACGTAGTTTTTTTAATTAAAAGTCGAGCTTGTCAAATATGCATAGTTCTGTACTTGATCTGGAGTAATGACTAGCAACCTGATTTGGGCAGCAACAGAAAAAATAAGTGCCTTTCGATCCTCTATATAATCATGAGTCCAGTTTCCAATCAAAAATTAAAAGCTTAATGCAAATGAACACTGTGGTTTGGGGTTCCAAGTAAATGCATGCACTCAAGTCCTAATTGCGAGTAACTTAAAAACTTACCAGCCGCCAAATTACCACTTGCAGATGTTTTTAAAAGGGTTTGTTTTTTTAGAGTAGCTACATCGCACAATCGATCAGTTTGTTCAAACAGATCTCCCATCTGCTGCGCAGATTCTCGCATCAATAAAATTGCATCCGCTGTGCCAATAACATCTCGGTATCGCTCGCTAATGTGTAAATAAGTCGTAATAGTTGTTAGTAGGTAGGATTGCTTCAGAGTGGTTATGATTACGTATCAAAAATATCTTTTAAATGCAGTTAAACTAATGTAGTAGATATATGGTTGGACAATGAATAAGCTAAATATACAAATCAAGGCTATATCAGGATCTAAACAAGCGTATAATTCTCACCCAACCATTATGCGCAAGTCATATTTTTTTCTATCGGCATCAGTTCTATTAGCAAGATTAACAGTGGCAAACAGTGCATGATGCAGCATATTTAAACAAAAACAGATATCCAGCGTTAGCATATACATGCAGCAGAAACAATTAATTTATGATCTAATGCATGCCATTTGAAATTGCGGAATAGTCGCAGTATCTGAGCATACAGACTGCCAGTCTAATCTTGGAAACTAGATAAAGGCATAATCTGGCATTGGCAGCAATACAAATGGCTGCATGAATAATGAGCAAGAATGACCAAAAACTTGCTTTATCTTTTCAAGCAAAACCTTTAATTCACCCACTCCATGGCGTCTAAACAGACTATCAGCATCTTCCTCTGCCATTGTCTGGATGGTTGCTGGCAATAGAATGCAAAGTTCAATCCATTTCCTAATCAAGTGCAATCTGAAGAACGTCAACGCTCATTTGTGTCTTGCTATTTCTTTCAATCGCCAATTGGCATTTTTGCCTGAAAGCGCATCTAGTTTCTGGAGTCACTATGGCCAAGTGCATTACTTCAATAAAACAGTCTACTCGTTTGAATAGTTTGGCATTTCCATTCATTGGTAGAATTTCAAGGTCTACATTGGATGGTGTTATTATGACACCCATTAGACAATGGCATCTGGGCTATTCAAAATATACTCAGTATCCAATGCATGGCCAGTATCAACCATTTCACTCTTCAAAAATAGCTACTGAAAGCAAACCGCAGTATAATCAGGATCATCAAAAACAAGACCATCGTGAAGAATGTATGATGCTGTCACCAAGCCCTAACCAATTTCAACTATTCTGACGTTATACACTATTAAAACATTGCATATTTGTAGCTACATATGAAAAATATTGGAATGCATGGAAAAATACAAAGACTGAATATTATGCTCTTCCCATATCTATTGGTATTACCTGGATCGCTGTTCAGCACTTTATGAATATTAGAAGAAGTCTTGATGCAAATCAGACGTCAGAGGATAAGTCACATGTCGAGCCAACCGGACCTTTCTGGGTGAGTTTTGGTGTTTATTGGTTGATTTGAAAAGGGTTGATTGTAGCTTAAATCATTTTAAATCATATAGGTTCATGTTTATACTTGTTTACCATTTCGTGCCATATCTCGTGCTTGGGGATGGATGAATAATTTAACTGTGCCAGAATATCTTAGATCCCCACTGTTTACGCTATACAGCAAAGCTTTTGGGTGCAATTTGGATGAGATGCTCGAGCCTGATCTGAATACCTACCCCAACTTGGCTGAATTCTTTTATCGTGAACTCAAGGCTGGCACTCGCCCCATCGCTGGTCCAGAGAAAGCCATGTTGGTCAGTAACCATTTGAACTGCGCGTTTAAGCATAAAATACACGTATGATGGTTGAATACGCATGTGTTTATATTTTATGTATCTAAAACAACTAGGTCAGTCCAGCTGATGGTCGTATCCTTCATTTCGGACCCGTCGATTCCAATGGCTGCATTGAGCAAGTCAAAGGTATTTCATATCCAGTCAAGGCTCTTCTTGGTCCATCTGCTTTGTTTGCCGATTCACAGTCTATATCGCCATCAAAAGGAAACTCTTTTTTCCAAATCGTCATTTATCTTGCACCAGGAGATTACCACAGGTTCCATTCTCCAGTAGATTGGACTGTTTCTAATGTGCGCCATTTTGCCGCTGACCTGTTTTCTGTATCCCCAAAACTTGCAGCTAAAATGGGGAATCTATTTGCTGTTAATGAGCGTGTGGTTATGGTAGGCACATGGAAATATGGATCTTTTTTCATGATCCCTGTTGGTGCAACCAATGTTGGCTCAATCCGCATCAACATGTGTCCAGTAAGTTTTATTTCAAGACAAATTGAGCTATTTTGCTTCGGTTAGACTAACTTGGATTCATTCTTAGAATTTGATCACCAATGTTCCAGAGAATCAGCTTGCTTTAGGAATGTATGATCATAAAGTTGATAAAAGCTTTATTACTCGCGGTGACGAAGTTGGCGGGTTTCGTTTGGGAAGCACTGTGGTGTTGGTATTTGAAGCCCCTTCATCATTTCAGTTTTCAGTAGAAGCTGGCCAAACTATTCGTGTAGGTCAGTCGCTAGGAAGATGAAACAGAATATCCAACAACACCAAGCCATCTAAATATCAGTACTTGAAATGAATGATAGAATTGGCTAAATAAGGTTTAAATGTATTGAATCAAAGCTATTTGACACCCATTCCCTCTTCACAAGGCTCTGTCATTAAAGCAGCATCGTTTCCCCATATCTCCACCAAAGCTGGCTCCGGATTTTCTGCTACCGAGTACAGCAAATCTTTAGCAAGATCTAACATCAAAGAGTTAGCATCAAACACTGGATTTGAATTGAAATCAAGAAACAGAGTATTGATCAAAACAAGGTAAACTGTACCTGAAACTTCATCTTCAAAACCAGGCCGAGTTGCGACTTCAGCAAGCGAAGTCACCAGTTGATGCTCTGCATGAGATATACCAAAAAGTGTCGTGCCAAGTCCAAAAAGACGATGAATAAATTTCACAGCAGTAGATAATCTATAAGAAAGATTGCTTTTTAAAAGCTCTCTACTTGAACAAGCATGCGTATTTTTTGCCATTGGGAGATCTACATGATCCAGAGACGAGTTCAAGTGTACTACATATTCTTGAACGAGACCATGCATATACTCGACAAATGAGCTCAGATTCTATTATGGTTTTGCAAAAATATCACGCCCATTTAATAAAGTAGTGAAACAAACATCAACTGACAGATATAAATCAAGACTCACCGAGTAAATTCCAAAAATCTGGGAATTTTGAGGATTTGTTTCCATGGAAATCATACAAAAAGTAAGAATGGTGTGTCTCAGTTGATTCGAATCCTCTCGTGTAGTTGAGTCAAGTGGATTAGTCAATAGGCTACAAATGTGGTTAATACACGATGTTCCAGTAGAAACTCCCGAGGTTGATCCAGTCGTTGACAGAGCCGTCGTAGATGACCCATCATTTGAAGGAGCTGCTATGACAGAGAGATTCTGCACAAATGACTCGTCTAAGTAAAACACAGTGAAAAGCTTAAATTAGTCAAACAATAAAACCGTGATTTAATCGTTCTACTAGATCTATACATATTAGTATAAAAAGCAATGTCGTGCTTACTCTTGCATAAAAGACAGCATAAATGAGTAGCCAAAATCGTTACATGGGTAGGAACTGTGGTTAAAAATAGCTTTCCTATCCCATTTGAAGTAATCATGTCTTCAAATCTAAAACAAATACAGCGCTTAATTATCAGATCGCTTGTTTAAATATATACTAGAATAACGATAGAACACTCACTTGTAAATACTTTCTGTGTCTGCCTCGAAAGATAAATCAATGAATATCTTTAAAAGCGAGGTTTGAACCAATGCTAATGCTTCACCAGCTAACCACCCATTATCCCCAGAAGTCATGGTTTGAAAAATGCTAAACAAAACCGTTGAAAATTCTAAATATTTGAATTGAAAAATGCCATGTAGAAGTGCATATCAATTATTGTTGAATAAAAACATTAAAAACTAAGTAAAAAGTTCATACTGAAAAATAGATACAAACCTGAGCTGGACAATACTACCAAACGACAGGAGCGACTAATGCCAACAGTAGCTCGTAAAATTTCCAATAAATCAAGCAAGCAAGTATTCTGCTCCCATTCAATACAGTATTCCAAAAGGCCCTGGATATGTGGAAGAAGTAGTAAAGCGTTGGAAGAAGAGTCTGTCATTAGATCTTGAACAACAGCAAGCAGCGCATGAATAGCCCTTTGCTGTTGACGCTGAGTACCCCATTCCAACAAATTGAGCTGATGATCCATCATACATTTTCCAAAAACAATACGCGTATAATCGGTATGAATAGAGCTATTAGATCGAGCCGAAACAGTCACAATGCGTTCAATAATGCGGGGTTTTGGGTCTGGAACAGGATCGGTGTTGATTGCCGTTGATACTTTTGTGATTTGTGGTTTGTGGATAGGCAAAGGCTCATTGAATGAAGCCATAGTCGGGAACTGACCATGGTGTCGTGCGGCTGCACTTGGAGTAAAAGATGTATTTTGACTGTATGAGCTGGGTCGTGATCTCCTTGTATTGAGCTGTAAAGCTAAAAGCTCTTGTTCCTTGAATGACATTTCCGTTTTGACACGTTCAAGTTGAACCTGTAAACTTGCACGCATAGAGTCTTTACTTTGCTCGGAGATGACACGCTGTTTAATTAGATCGTCTTTTAGAGCCGAGTTTTCAGTGCTCAATTTATTTAGATTCTTTCTAATCATGCTAATTTCACCGCTCTTGACCAGCATATCGTTTTCCAAACGCTCGTTTTGAAGTTTGGATTGTACAATCTCACGCTGAAGTTTTTCAACTTCGCGCTTGGCGTAGTAGAGTTCATTCAATGTGAATGCATCCGGACGGCGATTGATGAGAGTGGTGTTGATACCAGATTGACCTGGACCAGCAGATGGTGTTTGTAACTGGTCCTGTCGTTTGGAGAGATTGGACTCGGGATGCTCGACTTCTGGGATCGCGTATGATTTTATTGATTGGATAGACTCCATGGTAGCTGAAAGTAGATTGAGGGTTTTTGCATTTGGATAATCAGACAAAGATGGGTGCGCTTGAGATGGAGTCTGATTATGGACTTGCTTTTGTGATGGCTGTTTTATTTCATTTTGTTGTTGAAATTGCTGTTTATAGGCAAATGTGTTGTTTGACTGTATATTTTGAGACTGGCTCAAAATATTGTTAATATTACCATTTGTATTTCCATGATCAAATGGAGGCGGCGAAAGCGGAATATCAGCATTCACGTCTAAAAGACGAGCACCAGCAAAAGGACCTGGAGCAATAGTAGTAGCAGAGACGTGCATAGTATCGACCTGGGACATATATTGACTAGTTTTGTTTTCCAGTTCAATGATATCGCTTTCATCCAAATCCGACATTTCAAATTCATTTTCGCTTGAAATGCTAAATTGATTTTTTGTGACATTACTCGATACCTTGGAGTTATTGTCCTCTATATTTGAGTCTAATTTAATCACAGCCCATATTGAAAGTTGATTAAATATGAACATTTTTAAATGGTTGATCAGGGTGTAATAGTGCATAGATTACCTTGAATATAGCTTTCAGATAGTTTGTTATTCATGAAATTTTGGTGAATCTGCTGACGGGCCTGATTTTGATTGTGTTGGTATTTCTGAGTTGGCGGAGGTAAATCATAGGTCGGAGAAGACATGACAGACTTTGAATTGATTCTAACCATGGCATTACTTTTTTCAGAAAAAGCAATATTGCCAGGATTTAGATTGATTTGAGGTTTAGATATAGAAGCAAGGTGTGACATTTGAGTAGTGTTTGGAGCATTGTCATCCTTGTGAGAGTTGACTGGATGATGCGATCGAGCAGACACAATGGACGGACTTGGATAAGATGTACACTGAATGCATTGTATACCAATGGATGATAGTAATGCATTGAACATTAATATAAGACTGAATGTTCGGACAATTTAGGAATATAACGAGTTTGGATCATGCATAAGCCAATACAAGAGTTGATGACAGTCTTACCTGAATAGCACTAGACTGAAAAGTAGAGAGTTGTTGAGAAGGAGATGCCAAAGACAGAGGAGGTTGACGAGAAGCATTTGGAATGTATGTAGCGATAGTAGAAGCCTCGATGGCAGCAGGATAAAGCATTGAACGAGGTTTAGTAGGAATGGACAGATTAATGCGATGAGTTTGTTGATGGTTTTCAGAAGGATTTGACGCAGAAGCAAGGTTAGTTTTTGGAGGATTGCTCGACTGCAGCATCCAAGATCTCGATCGTTTGGGTTGCATTTCAGTTTCAAGTGAAGCGAGAGCGTCGCGTTGGCAGAGAATCAAGTCAGTTTATAAAGCGATTCGACACTTGACTTACAAGTTGGAAAGCGCTGTTCGGATCTTATCAACGAGAACACTCTTTTTTATTCATTCAAGCATTCGTTGGCATTATTGTTGAACATGTTGTCCAAGTTTGAGACCAAGGTATTGATACTGTTTCAGCTGTAATGCTGGTGTCGAGTTTATCACTGCATTGGACTGCATTGGATTGGACTGGACTGCTGAATCAACTCGTTTTAGATTCTTGATGTGCGGAAACCCTTCAAGTTTCTTGCAATAAAATACGGCATTCACTGTTGATGTTGTGATGAGCATTCATCAAGTAGTTGACTGGTTGAAGTTGAATGTACAACAAGGGATTGATCTAAACCAGTACTTGATGTTCCTTGCTATAGACAAGTAACATACATTCACATGTGGTTATCACTGCATGTCTTGATTAGTGGGTTTCGTCCTTGTGGATCTCTAGTCTTGCATCATCACTTTACTGTCAGTATTCTTGTAAAGTCTTGTTCCTGACCTACACTTTACTATATGAATCTGTAATTCTATTCATGTACTGCATTCCAAATATCAGTCTTTTGTATAGACTTTTAGTTTCAACTCTTGTAAGAGTTGGCTTGTGTGGACTAGGCGGAAACGAGATTCTGTCATGTTTGATTTCCATCATCCTTGTTCTCATTGCTAATCCCAACTTTAAACTACATGTCAAATTCATTTCTAGTCCAACAGAGTCAAGGGATTAGCGTTCCATGCCAAACGTCCTTGGATTCTAGCTGCATTGCACAATGGATCTATTCAGTTATGGGACTATAAAATGGGAACTCTGGTTGATCGCTTTGATGAGCACGAAGGTATATTCTTATAGTGGTTCAATTTCTGTGATATTAATTCCAACATTGCAGAAATAAACTCGGCGTTTTGTTTGATCAAATCTTAGGTCCAGTTCGTGGTGTAGCTTTCCATCAAACTCAACCCATGTTTGTTTCTGGTGGTGACGATTACAAGATCAAGGTTTGGAGCTGGAAACAACGTCGTTGTTTGTTTACTCTTAATGGCCATCTCGATTATGTTCGCAGTGTCTTCTTTCATCATGAATCTCCTTGGATCATTTCGTGCTCCGATGACCAGACCATTCGAATCTGGAACTGGCAATCCAGAAACTGCATTTCTATCCTTACAGGTCATAATCACTACGTAATGAGCGCCATGTTTCATCCAAAGGATGATCTGGTTCTTTCTGCATGCCAAGATCAAACCATTCGTGTATGGGATATTTCTGGTTTGCGTAGAAAACATGCTGCTGGTGCTCCTCCTGTCGATGATCATTCTCGCGGTCTGACGGGCCAACCTGATGTGTTTGGAAACACTGATGCAGTTGTCAAGTATGTCTTGGAAGGTCATTCTCGCGGTCTCAATTGGGCATCGTTTCATCCCACTATGCCACTTATAGTGTCTGGTGGTGACGATCGTCTGATCAAATTGTGGAGGATGAATGGTACGTTGTGTAGTGACTGATACTACTCTTTTTTGATTATACTAATTATATCTTACACTGAAAAATAGAAACGAGAGCATGGGAAGTAGATACTTGTCGAGGCCATTTCAACAACATCTCTGGCGTTCTTTTTCATCCTCGCCAGGATCTAATCATCTCAGCTGCCGAGGACAAGACCATTCGTATTTGGGATATGAACAAACGCACTGCTCTTCAAACATTCCGCCGAGAACACGATCGTTTCTGGGTTCTCATTTCTCATCCCGAATTGAATTTGTTTGCTGCCGGTCACGACAGTGGCTTAATTGTATTCAAGCTCGAACGTGAAAGACCTGCTGCAACTATGCACAATGACATGCTCTTTTTTGTCCGCGAAAAGAATATTCGTGCTTATAATGTGAAAAAAAATGGCGACCATGCCGTTGTGACCATTCGTCGTGGTCAAGCTGGCCAGGCTTTCCCGCCTCGTACCATGTCATACAATCCTGCAGAGCACTCTGTTATTCTTACCTCCATGAACGATGGCGGAAACTATGAAATGTACAATCTCCCTCGTGATTTGAGTGGAAATGACATCAATGATGGCAATAACACCAAACGTGGCACAGGTACATCGGCTCTTTTTGTAGCTCGTAATCGGTTTGCTGTACTTGACAAGGGCCAAATTCTTATCAAAGATCTTTCTAATACGGTGACCAAGCAAATCAAGGCTCCTATAAATGCGTCAGAGATTTTCTATGCTGGAGGAAAGAATCTGCTTGTTTCTACTCCAACATCTATGATTTTGTTTGATACAGAGGTTCGTGCCGTTCTTGCCGAGCTACCAGTCAGTGGTGTTCGTTATATTGTATGGTCTGCAGACCAGAGTACCGTTGCTTTGATCAGCAAGCACACTATTATTTTCGCCAACAAAAAACTGGATCAACTTGCCACCTTCCATGAAACCATCAAAATCAAGAGTGGTGCATGGGACGATTTGGGCATTTTTGTTTATTCAACCCTCAATCATATCAAGTACGCTCTTCCCAATGGCGATAACGGAATCATCCGAACAGTAGATCAGCCCGTATATATTTTCCACGTCAAGGGTAACCAGGTGTTTGTCCTGGATCGTGAGGCAAAAGTTCGAGCTATTCAGTTTGATTCCACAGAGTATCGCTTTAAACTGGCTCTTATTCGTCGCAACCACGACGAAGTTTTCCACATTATTCGTACATCAAATCTGGTGGGCCAATCTATTATTTCTTATCTTCAAAAAAAGGGTTATCCAGAAGTTGCATTGCAGTTTGTCAAGGATCCAAAAACTCGATTCGATTTGGCAATAGAGTGCGGTAACATTGAAATCGCTCTTGAAATGGCCAAGATTATTGAAAAGGACGAATACTGGAGTAAGCTCGGTGTAGAGGCTCTTGGACAAGGAAACCATTTGGTATATAGTCTTGTTAAAATTGACTGTTTTTATTGTAATGTCTGGCTGATTCCTGCTGGAGTCATTGCAGATCCATTCTTGTGAAAACTCGCTCACATTTGTTTCAAACTTAGGTTGTGGAATATGTATATCAACGTATCAAGAACTTTGATCGCCTGTCTTTTCTGTACGTTTCTACCGGAAATGTTGAAAAGCTTAAAAAAATGCTCAAGATTGCCGAGTTGAGAAACGACACCATGTCGCGTTATCACAATGCTCTTTTCTTGGGCAATGTTGAAGAGCAAGTGCAAACTCTTAAAGAAGTTGGTCAATGTAGGTTAAGCTACTTGTTTATCGCTTGCTTTAAAGTTTTGTGTTGTTTCATCAAGATTGACGTGTCTTTATATACGTGATGTCTGATATTCAATCTAGTGCCTCTTGCATATCTTGCTGCTCGCACTCATGGACTTCATGAAGAGGCAGATGCAATCATGGCAGAAGCTGGACTTACCGAGGCACCGGCTATTCTTCCAAATGCTCGGCTACTAAAAACACCTACTCCCATTTTTAAACAGTTTGATTCCAACTGGCCCTTGCTTACTGTCAGCAAGATCATGTTTGAAAGCACTGTTTTACAGAATACAAGTGCCGTTGCTGCCCCTGTTGCTGATTTGGACGATCCAGACTTTGCCAATGCTGGAGACTGGGGTGATGAGGATTTGGATATTCCTGAAATGTCTGGTGAGCGACGCAAACCCAGTGCTACGGCGACTGCTGCTCATAATGGTAACGGCCACGCTTTGGGTATGGATGGTGAAGAAGGCGGTGGAGGCTGGGATCTTGAAGTCGACTTGGATATTCCACTTGATGATGCACCAGAAGCCAATATCGTCGAATACAACCCACCAGCACCTGGCACTCGCATTGCCGATATTTGGGTTCGCAACTCTACTTTGGCTGCAGATCATGTTGCAGCCGGTGCATTTGATTCTGCCATGCAATTGCTTAACAGACAAATAGGTATTGTTGATTTCACACCTCTTAAACCACATTTTCTTGCAGTGTATCAGGCTGCAAGATCGTATCTTCCTGCCACCGCATCAGTTCCTGCTGTCATTTCGCCCATTTATCGTGCATGGGATGAAGATTCTCGTCGTGTGCTTCCTTATATTGTTTTTACTCCACAAGTTCTTATTAATCGACTACAAGAGGCATATCAGGCATTTACTGCTGGAAAGTACGTATTTGAATTTGTTTTTGTTTTTGTCTATTTTTATACACTTTATATCAAAACTTAAATTATGACCATGATTACACTTAGATTTGCTGATGCCGAAGTGAGCTTCAGAACAATCTTGCACCAGATTGTATTGACTGTTGTTGAGCGCCATGCTGAAGTAGATGAGGTCCAGCAACTAATGGCTGTATGCCGTGAGTATCTTCTTGGTCTTAAGTTGCAGCTTGCCAGACGAGAACTAGGTGATAGCGATCCTAAGCGCGGAGTTGAGCTTGCAGCTTATTTCTCCCACTGCCAACTTCAGCCTGTTCATTTGCAACTTGTATTAAACACAGCGATGTTGCTCTCGTTCAAAATCAAAAACTTTGGGTCGTCACTTTCTTTTGCTCGGCGGCTGCTTGAACTTGGACCTGTTGCTGCCGTTGCTCAAAAAGTAAGATGAATAGTTGATTTTGATTCTACCAAGGTTTCACTTTGCTTATTTGCATATTTATTTCATTTTAGGCACGAGGCGTTGTTCAACGTTGTGAACGTAACGCAACCGATGAAGTAACGCTTGATTATGACCAGTATAATCCATTTGTTGTGTGTGGTATTTCCTTGACACCCATTTACAGAGGAAGTGCAACTGCGACGTGCCCCTTCTGTGGAGCATCTTTCAAGCCCGAGTATAATGGCAAAAAGTGCACAGTGTGTTGTATTTCTCAGATTGGAGCACAGGGAACTGGCTTACGCAATGAGCATAGCAGTAAATGAGCACTTGTGGAATGTGCATGTTGAGCTGTTTTCAATCTGTCTTTTTCTACCAGCTTATTTTTACACTTTTATTTTTCAATACTGTCTTGCGTATGTGGGCTGAGCTCTGACCTGTTCTATCTCATATAAAACAAGTATCATTCTACTAGCTTTTGATTGTCAAGTTTTATATGCCAATCCATGCAGGATAAAGATATTTTAAAATAAAGCCTTTTGTCTTTCAAATTGGCTATATGCTTATTGGTGGGCTATAAATCCATCTGATAAATAAGTTGAACCTGAAATAAATTTAAAAAGCTGATTTCAATGAAGTAAAGGCTCTTTATATTTCTGAAAATCAACCAGCAAAGGGCAACATGTTGAATTTCATCTGTCGTTGCAAGTTGATGACGATATTCACATATCAGACGTTGATGGTCCTGTCATCATCCGTTCACGAGATTTTGCAAACAATTCTGCCTGATTTTTAATCAACTCTTCCTCGGTCATGCCTAGATCCTCCAATCTAAACGAGCGCTTTACACGATTCTGTAGTTTGATATCATTTTAAAAGACAATAAAGGGGTCGTGAGAAAGAATTAAAACCAGATTGATGCTGACACAAACTCACTTTAACACTCTTTTGATGATCAGTCTGGACTTCGTCCATCTCGGCTATGTATTCCTCAAATCCCAGATTCTAGTTGAACAACAGTAAACATTGCAAAATAAAGCGAGTTAATGGTGTAAACACTTGCAAAGTGTCATATAGACCAAGGTTTTAACCGATTAAACGATTTGATAATCCTGCTTACCTTGAGAGCAGTAATGACATGCTCGCCATTGATGGTTTTCCGCGCTTCTTTTTCGGAGATTTCATTGGCTATAAAAACAAAAGCATTCGACTAAATATCTCATGATGGACACAGATACAGCAATATACAAGATGTAGCCATAAATGATACTGAACCTTCGGACGAAAGCAAATGTATAAACTCTAAGTAGTTCAAAAATAAGACCAATTAGTACATTAGTATGTGGAAACCCACAGCAGCATCAATATATGCAATGCACGTTACCAACACAACAGTCGGTCAGCAAATCTCTTGTTTCCTTGGCACATGTGATATCGGGTGGAAGTAGCTCTTGTATCAGCTTGGTCATTGTTGCTAAACCGTCAATAATGCATGGAGATCAATAAAGCGTAAGTTGGCCATACAGCATAATTCAAGAATTGACAAATCAAACACTTTAAAAATAGATCGGATTTGTTTAGTTGACAATCGCAGTGGATTAGAATATACTTGACGACTTGCAGTCGTATTCACGTAAAATAAAAACACCAAGACTGTTTGTATATAATAAACAGACAGCTTTATGGAATGATTGTTGCCAGTTTGCAAGACAGGATTGTGCCTTTTAAACTCTGGCAAGGCTGATCTTGTTGCACATTTTGTACAAAACAACTGAAGAATTGAGAATGTCTATTGAATCAGTCAGTTTGTAGTAGGAAAGTGCAACGAATATTTGACCATTGCATATTTTGAAGCAAAAAAAGACAGTTACTGCAAGATAATGTTCCATTTTACATGAACAGCTGTAAATTGTGCTGAAATATGATCATGCCAGCCAATTCAAATGAACCTTTTCATTGTCCAACTAGCCAGTAATTCTACTTTCAAATAAACTCAATACATGTGGCAGTATAGGTAAATATCCAGACTAAAAAGGACAATAGCTAAACTGCAAGTAAATAGCTGCTCAAGAAGCACCAATTCAAAAATAGTTCCATGGCATCAGATATTAAAACCAGCTTTTGTCCAGGTCAAACCATACCTTTTGGCAATGACAAATCCTCGTCACCACCACCATGAGAAGGGCTATGCAAATCGTCGTCCATTGCTACAGGTTAGTTTGAAGTGAGAAATAGTCGTATTACGCAAGTGCAAGATTCCGTCGGGTCTAAAATGCGTTTTTGTTCACAAATGAATTGCTGCAAAAAGGCTCTGAACTCGGCCTCAATTGCAGTCGCAAAGCAAGCGATTATTTCCGAATTACAGCGATATTCACATGAAATGAAACTTGGATTGATGTTGCAGCGATTGTCTTGGAATAGACAATCGCTAAATATTCGTTGTTGGAAATTGACTACTTTTTATAGAAACTCTTGTATTTTAAATCTCGGATACATTTGTGCTCTAGTTCAAGAAACAGTGATTGCATGTTTGAAGCATACAACTGTTGTTTCTATAGATGTGGAATTATTGAAACTGATGTAGATATTCCTTAAACACTCGTTCAGCTCTTGGTGCTTCATTCTGCGCGAGTACAAGTGTATTAATATTGCTTCTACACATTTCAATGCTGCCAGCTGTTTACAACTACTACCCGAACGTGATTATAATGTACAGATCAAGTAATTCAAGATACAAGCCATAACCACTTGACCATTTACTTGCGATATATACCACGCGCATGATCAAAAAACTGGAGTGTGCATATACAATGACAGTTTCTAATTATGCCTTTAACCATTATTACATGTTTTGAGCATGCCTAACCCTTGACTTGAAGTATTACATTCACAGATTATCCTATTATAATGATTTGACTAAGCAATGCATTGATGAAAATACAATACCTTGACAAAACAAACCAATAAAGTATAACTTTGTCAATTTTTATAAATTTCGGCAAAATTCATCACTATTTTAAGCTAGCGAGAATAAGAATGGGAACAAAATGAAAAATATATTTTTGGTTATATAAAAAATGACACTTTCATTCTATTTTCAAACACTGAAATAGCATTAACAGACTGCTGTTTCATTCTTTGATAAACGAAACTTTCCAGTTTACAAGACTGCCAGCAAGTCAGATTGTCGCCGCGTGCAGAAATCACGATCGAAAATGTGGTTGAAATTTGCGCAAATATCTCCAAATGCACGTGCACACTCAAGACTGCTTACAATTTTTGAATTTCCGACTTTGCCTCGCGTTCTCATTTCCTTTGTCACTAGCTGTAAAACAAGCAAATCGCCTCTTGATATAGCTTGCAGCAACGTCCAAAGTATTTCTAATCTGACGACCAGCATCTCCATTAAAAAGTCATTTCTCATAATCCTTAATACCATCACAACCACTTGCCAAATATGCGCAACACATCAAATTTTATTGATGACAATAGTTTAAGCAATGAGTTTACAAAGATTATAACTCAATTGCTTACAGAAGGAGAACTTGAGCTTGATTCAGCTAAACTCAAGGTGAAACTTGCAACCATTTCGAATCCACATTCAATGGATTGTATTGGCCTATACATACTGGATAATATACTCATTGTTACTTATATCGACAATGCTATTTAGCTGATTAAATCCAGCTGTAAAGCATCCAATGCAAATGTTGAAATTGTATTCAAAACAATTGGACGAATAATGAACCGCAAACATTCTCAGGTATATAGCTAGACCACTTGAATGCAATAATGGCTGATGAATGTTGGGAGTCGAGATTGCAAATTTACCTGTTTCCATTTCTAGATTCGATATGCATGTGTCCAACTGACAGATGTGTTATTTATGCGGTCAAGTCTTTTTCGATCGTTGCATATGTCACAAATACAATCATATTTGTCTTTGTGTTTTGGAGGAAACAAAGGTGTTTTACCACCTCCGGTGGAATGGGCATTGAAATTAAAGCATTTGGCGGCATCGTCTATATTTAAATGGCATTCAAGATTTGGATCGCTATTCGGAGAGGTATGGTTGGTAGTATTAAAAGTATTGTATGCTGTATCTGATTTTCATTTGGGTTTTAGCTTGTTGTTGCTATGCAAGTAGCCGAGCCATTCCTACCTGATAATACAAATAGAAACACTTTAGTTGAGGTGCCCGAGTCCTTGAGCGACAGTCAGGTATTTTTCTGTCAGTTTGTACTGGACATGTTTCCATCTTTCTGATACTGCAATCTAAAATGGATTTACTCATTTTTGTCTGTCATCACGTTCATCAAATCCAGCATGCACGAACAAAACAAATTCGACTAGAAAAATACCTACGAATGCGAGATGACTTTCGCAATGTATCTTTTGGAGTTTTAGAGAATCTTGAAAATCTTGTAAGTTAAACCTACATTGATGAAATGGTATCTGAGATGATTTAGAGTGATTACTTTTATAATTTTGACTAGACAACAAGATACACTTACCTTTTAATCAACCTGTGCAGAAACATTGCCTAGAAATCATAGTTCCTAGTGTTGAGGATATATTTTCTGGTGGAAATGGCACTTGCAATGTCTCGACAACAATCAAATCAACTGCCACATCCAAAGAATTTATTCAAGCATACGGTCTTGGAAATAACACATACTCTCTAGATATTACGATCCCTAGTACAGAGTTTCCAGTAGAAACTGCTGAAAATCAAGTCTTATTTGATACCCTTCGAGAATGTACTGCGCTTATAAACAACAAGCACCTTTCTTTGATATCTACGTGGATCGATACAATCACTAAAGCAGAAGATCCGGTTAGTTTAAATTGTAGCCAAGAATTGAATATGCTTTTATCCATATTCGGGGCCAAGCTATTCATGGCTTTTTATATCTTTATAGGATAAAAAATCGCATGAACTATTTCTTAAAAAAGTGATTGATTTAAAATTTTCTGTGTTGAATGCGCTTGAAAAAGCTAAAGATTTGCTCAAATATAGCAAATCCCAGGTAGATAACGGTACGTGATGCTGTTTTCGTATAGTTTTACAGTCGTGTTATTAAAGCATAGCTGACTTGGATTGAATATTGAACACCATTGGAAAAAGATCATGTTGAAGAATCGAGACAGGAGAATAGTGACGACGAAGAAATGTTTGAAGAAGTTCCCGATCCAGAACTATCAGAGGAAAGTATCAAGCCATCTAATAGTCCAATTCCTACAATAGATACTCAAATGCTTGAACAGCCTATTCAGCCTGTTGCGTCAGGTAGCGAAACTAATCAGCCACAGAATTGCTATCAGGATAACTCTGAATTTCAAAAACTTTTGGCTTTAGCTCCTGAAGTTCCTTATGATAATGATTTGTATTATTGGGATAAGCAGGACGTTTCGTTTTCAAGTATATCTTCAAATGCTGGTCTTGGTATGTATCTGCATAATTGGTCAAACATGCTGTATATTATTTTGCTAAATCAGAGCTGTTTACATGGTGTTTTGGTAGACTTTCATCATCGATTTTTAGGAGATGGGCCAACAGATCGAGTACTTTCCAAGGATGCGCTGTCTTCTCTTCGCAAGCGCCAAATGTATCTCATTGCTGAGGCCCCTAAAAATATTCCGGTATTTAAATTGCTAAAATTTGATGCAACTTGCTTATACAAGCTTGTTTTGATCTCACTATTGTTTTATTGTCTAGGCATGCAGAGCTCCACTTAGAACTGGAGCGCTGTGTCCACGTCGCGATTTAGTTCGATGCCCTGTTCATGGAAAAATCATTCCTAGGTATACCATATGATATTTGCAACTTTATCCAATTTATTGTGTACTGCTCAATACATGAAAGTAAACTAACACGCTGTAATGAGTAAAGAGATGATACTGGGACACCGCTTGATCCAACTGCAGAGCCAGATCAGGGTCTTGCTTTGAGCACTACACATTCTTCAACTGGACGCAGATCTAAACGAGATACAAGGCATTCTGAACAACCGTTCAACAGACGTGCTCCTGCTTGGAAAATAATCGAACAAGATGTTTCAGGAGCACTACGTCTTTCCTCGCGGCAAGCAAAACTCCGTGAATCCAAACTGGTGGATCTTACTAAAAAAACTAATCCCATCCAAAAACGAATCTTGAAAAAAATCAACAAACTTGACAAAAACTCATCTGATAGTCATCCAGAGGATGCCGAGTTACTTTCTAAAATTCAAGATAGAAATCTTAATCGTTGGTGATTTTTTTGGGACAAATAGAAAAGGTTGAATTTGACTATTTACAGTTGTATTCACGTAAAACAAAAAAATTGTATTTATCCTGCAGTGATTTCCATTTTTCAATAGACATTCAATTCTTTAATAAACACATAAACTGTAGTTTTGATACAATCATAAAACTCATTCATTGTAATTCAAATATTGTCAAACTCATCCTTACTGTGTTCTAGTGCAAAAACCAATGATTGTATCTCTCGAGCATACAACTTTTGTTTCTATAAATGTGGAATTATTGAAACTGATGTGGACGCTGCTTTAAACATTTGTTTGGCTCACAGTGTTTTATTTTACGTGAATACGGCGATAAAAATATAGATGAAAAGTTTATTTTAGTGTTTAATTTTGAAGAGAATTCTGCAGTCTCCAAATATCACGAGCTATTTAATATCAGTTGGAATAGGTTAGAATGCATTATTTTGAAATTGGGTTAGTGATTGATTTTATATTCAAAAATACTTACAATAACTAGTGAGAGTATTCCCACGAGCGTCAGTTCCAGTCCAAGCCACGCGAAGCTTTAGTAAAAGTTGTGTTAGTAGATATTATTGTATATTACAGCTGCATTCACGTAAAATGAAATACAATAATAAAACCAATGCATGATAGACAGTCTCATGGAACGGTGATTTCCACCAAATTTACTAAACATTATGTTTTCTAAACTCTTTAGTTGGTTGAAAATATAAAACCAGTTGAACTCAACATCTAGATTGTAATGGATGAATCTGATGATTGTACAATACATGATCATATCAAAAGAAGGTGATAATTTCAATTCAAAATCATAGTTGGACTGTGTCATATGATGTACGTTGTTTTTTGAGTTGAGAATGCCGATTTGTAGTAGGAAAACAACAAAGACTTGACCATTGCTTATTTTAAAATAGTGAAAGACAGATACAAGTGTTTCATTTTACGCGAATACGTAAGAAATAGGCTTACCGTAATGTTATATCCACATGTTTGACCGGTACATGCATCTGCGCAAATGTCATCCAAGGCATACGAATTAGGACTGGCAACACAATTTGTCGGTGCCCAGTTACACGAATTCACAATGCCTATATATTGCATTAGAATAGTTGATCCGTATAGAAATTGGTTTGATGAGCGTATACACCAAAACTGTTAATACTCAGTCAACAGCAGTACCAGTTCAGGTATAAAAATAGCTTGTGAAATCTAGTTTAAATAAAAACTTACCGTTTCTCAAACTAAACAGAACAGTTCGAGCTCTAACGGCCCAGTCAAACTCAGTTTTGACCCACATTCTTTTCGGTGTAAGATTACACACGATCTGAGGAGTGTTGTTGCTGGTTTGGTAATAAAACAAAGAAATATTTCTGTATGCAACCGATGTGCTCACTACTGGCACCAACAATGAAACACCTATTAAATAAAATTGATGTATAGTATACAACAGTAATTTTGTTGGTACGGTATATTATAAAAGTATAGATGTCGTGCTCATTCATGGCAGCCGTTGAAACCAGCAACTACACGGCGTTTTACCGATACACCAAACAAATATGCGTGTCCAGTAGATGGATATGTTCAACTAAAAATCAGAACAAGAATCACATTCAAATACTCAACTGTTTGGAATAGAAAGTGTAGCATAGTCATCAACATTGACCCAGAATGCTGCCGTGTAACTTTTGGGTGTAGTGGATCTGTCGCCATCCCAAGAAAACCAGCGCATATACATCATCTGTCCATCGCCTTTGCTTAATGATTGTGTTTGAGTAGATATGTTGAATATATTGTTTAAATCTGCTATTCCATGCGAAGGAATACCAGTTGCAGTGCCAGTAGCGAAACTATCGGCTAGCTCGTATGTTGGAGTCGGAAACAAAAAAAGAAGGATAGACACCCACACGGAAAAAGAACCAAGTACATTAAACCCCGTCATTTAAATGCAGTATAAGATGTAAATCTCAAAGGGTTTATGGGCTGCAGATAAATCAGATTTTAAACAGTCTGTCAACTATTTAGGAGAGTTGAAGAAGGCTTGTAAATAGTATGTACGTGACTAATCTAATAGTCGCGTTCAATCACTACCATGATAAATAACATCAACATCCATCCAACGCATTAAAGCTTTATTGTTATTTTACAGCTGCTACTGTTAAGGGATCAGATGAAACCACATGTGCTGCATTTATATTTAGTGGATTTGGGGAATTTTCAGTAGGGAAATGTACCAAAAGTGATGACTTGAACAAGTCATCAAACATCTCCGATACACCCTGACCAGTTAATGATGATGTTTCAAAATACCTAAATTACAAATACAGTTCAACAAGTTAGTAGGTGGTTTATGAGATAATTAGAATGAGTATGGATCGTTCGAGTAAAGCAGTTACTTTGCTCCAATCTCTTTTGCTTTTGACTCGCACTCTGATGTTTCGACAAGACGAGGCTGGATATCTGTTTTAGTAGCCACGAGATACAATACAACATTTGTATTAGCGTAGTCTCGTAGCTCTGTAATCCAAGTTTCAATATTTTCAAATCCTATACGACTGGATACATCAATCGTCAGCATAGCCTATTGATGACATCAATTGCCATGATGGTTGATTAGTATCTATTCAAATGACTTGAAAACATACACGAAACTGAATTACTCCATGTGTATCCTTGTAAAACTCATTGCGTATATCAAAATATAGTGGGTCTCCCCCGACATCCCAAAAATTGACCTTGACTAATACATATACATAAAAGGATTGTCCATGCTTTAGATTGAATCTATGCACAAAATACAAGTATGATGTTATCAAACAAGAGCCATACTTTCTTTGTCATTGCACTGGATAGCCTTGACTCCAAAATCAATTCCAATTGTTGCTACATATTCCAATATAAACTTTTCATGGCCATTAGATATAATGTCAGCTACACATTAATGTAGTGTGACTTTGCAGTCGTGATCAGCGAGTATATACCCTTCCTTCGCAATATCTCTTGACAAGACAGCTCTTTCCAGAATTTGAGTCTCCCATACTAAGTATTTTAAGTCTGTTGACCATCAACAATTGGCAGCATCATATATCTCTGTTAGCTTTTCTATAGCTCAAAGTTTGGTGATGACCTTTATCAAAAAGTCAAAGTACTGCTCCAGGCAAAATGAATCTAATTAAAGTGTATTATCCTGTGCATTTTATGGTATCTCCATACTCACCGTGTAATAGCACTAGTATGTGATTTTGTAGTTAGATGTCCTCTTTGTCTATCCATTTATGCTGTGAAAATACTATTTCAGGGCAAGTGGGCAAAGTTTAAACTTGATAAATATCTCAGTTTTTATTGATATTATTGTGGAACCATTTTGCATCATTGACATTCAGCCTGGTCGTGAGTTGTGTTGAATTTCAAATAAGATGCTGAAATGGTATATTGCAAAGAACAGCGGGGCAAAATACTATACGTTAATGGAAGCAAGTGTTTTTAAGGCCTACATTTACAACACGAGAAACTCGTTAATATGATAGTCTAGTCTGTATGTTTATAGCAAACCAAATGTTTACACATTCAAGAATATACTTACTTTCTTCGTGAACTGGCATTTCTGTTTTTTTAAATGTATTCAATTCCTCTCGAATCTGTACCTTCATCTGAGGAGTCAAGTTTTTAAATGTAGCACCTGCATCGGGTTTGCGATTATACTCGCTCTTGCGGAACGTGGGTAGCACCTCGACAGTTTCTGAAAATAAAATAATCTTGGCTTCCTGTAGTTCTTCAATATTTGGACGTTCTCGAAGACGACTTTCAAGTACATTTTCTAATTGGGCTCGCTTTAGTTTTTCTTGCGCAGTAATCAACGATGGGTCTACTACGTATCCGACTAGTTTGGGGCATCACGATAGAATAGTAATATTAGCAAACAGTATTGGAATGAGATGAAAGCTATCAACACCCATTATCAGTTGTAAACTCCAAATTCAGCGTCCATTTTTAACTGATGGCATTGATGATTTTTTCTATTCGTGCATACGTTAGGGTGTATATTAGCGATTGAATTGTTTAAATACCTTTCAAAATATTCAGTTCTTCCAACTGTGCTTTCTCGGGTCTTTTTTTTAAGATGGATTTGAGTTGATCGGATCGAACCTCGAAGCTTTGTTGAGTTTGAGAAACACCTGCATCACAATCAGTTTGAGCATCTTCATTGGAATCGTCGTTCTTGTCTTGGGAACTGTCGACTAAATTATAGTTGGTCATAGAATGACGAGATTAAACACGGCCAACAGAGCATGAGATTTGAGCTCACAAACATAAAGTTTACCGCGAAGAATATTGCGCAGCTTGAGATCCACTTTAGTTGGGCGAATGCTTAATCTGCGATTCAGTTGGTCTTTGCGCTTCTCTTCCTCCAATGACAGTTTGGTTTGAAGAATAGAGGATGATACAATAGCTGGATGGGTCTCGTCCTCTAATAATCCAATTAAAAGTTACCAATTAAATTCCATGATTCGCTATAATTTAATCAATGCCCAATTATTTATAGTTGTTGACTCTATGTATTCAATCGGCATCGCGTTACCCAATAGAAGTGACAAGTGAATAGTACCAAACAGACAAATCCATCCAAGTTAAGCTGCTTATTCTTCTGCTGCTCCATTCTTGATTGAATACATCAGAGTTTATCAAAACGCATTTTTTAAATTGATCAGGGTCAACTGTACCTTTAAGAATGTTTTTTTGAACAAGTTCAGCTGGGGTGGATCTGCTAGCAAATCGTTTTCCAAAGTCTAAGAGTTGGCCATATTGGTGGAATTTAGTATCAATTGGATTGAAAAGAGTGGGCTGTTAGTACAATCCAGTGTCATGGTAATCACATCATTTGTAATGCATAAGACTAGAGGAAACGAGCGTTTTAATTTGTTTCAAATACATGCAAGATTATCGCACCATTCACAATCTTTGATAAACCACGGGAATCAGATTTAACTTCTGCAGACATGATTGGTGTGGCTCAATATACGCAGTTTCGTCTGATTTGCCAATGGGGTATTAAAAACTCGAGTTTTCGAATCTGCGCAAGTGTATTTCAAAAATTCAAATGCAAGTCAAGAGACTAAAAAGAAGTTTGTTGATATGCAGGTCAGAATTGGAATATAGTGGGATTTTTATCAGATATCTTTCGTGGCTGATGCTATATGCCTGGACACAATGTCAAAGCCGACGCGTGGATATCAAGCCATTATAACTTCCCTACGCAACGCCGCACAAGCAGGTTAAAAATTTGATCGTGGAGTCAAACGGTATTCTTGGTTGGCAATTGATCTGTAACGCTTTGATTAGATTTGGATAAAATCTACATGCAAGTTCAACTGTTGGTGAGTGAAAGCAGAAACAGGTCACTTTCCCAACATTACACGTTGCTGCAAAACGAATACCAAAAAAGGTAATTGAGAAATCGGTATTGGCTGACTGTTCAATAATGGGCATGGACTGCGGTTCAGATAATTGATGTTCTATTGCATATTTTCACCGCCAGCTAATTCACTTGCATGTGATTTTTCCAGTATCTTATACAGCATGGTTGCACTCGATCAACTTTTCCAGCAAAAGTAACGAGTCTTGAATGAGACTATAATATACTTGTCAATCGTCTAGAAACACCTGATACAGTACAAAAACAAGTTAGTAAAATAAAATAGCTTATTCAAATGGCTGTAGACTTGGCTTTTGAAAGCGTTGGCCACATCCACACAAGTCAGTGTGGATCTGTTATGTTGAATTGAGCTGCATGTGACCCATATACATTCGCTCAACTGGGCCAGGATGTACAGCCATATTTATGTCAATGAAATACTTGTATCTTGCAGTGATTGTCTTGAAATTAGCAGTAGCTAGATATTCATTGCATTTCTTGATGGAGATCGACTTTTATAGACGCCCAAAATAAACACTATTCGTCATATGATTCTTACAATCAGACCATCATTTTTCCCAGAGTATAACTATACATTGTACAGCTGCCAGATTCATTCATTACAATCCAGATATCTGATTTGACTGCCTCGATACAACTCATGTATTCTAAAATATCATACATTCGCGTTTTAGTTCAAGGGAACAAAGATTGCAGGAATGAATGTTGTTTCCATGCCAATCACCCAATGCTAATGTTTGGTTTATAGAAAAGGCTAAATATTGAAAAAGCACCCATGTGAGATTGGCTGAAACTGACTTTATTATACAGACTTATTTAGTGCCTATTTACGTGAATACGGCAATGAAAGAAACCATCCAATAGCTACAGTTTATTTTCGCGGTCTCCTAGAGGAAGGCGGAAATGGCAAGATACTCCGTTCATCTACATTGTCAAATACACGTTTACGCCTTTTATTATTGCCATTAGGATTCTTTCGCTGGAGTGCTGAAGCAGATCGTCCATAGTGTTTCCATCGGCACTTTTCTGGAATGTCTAAATTCTCCAAAAATTTAAGCATGCAGATGCGTCCTTCAGATTTTACAAACTCGGGATGTTTTATAAAGGTTAAATACGGCTCTTGAGTTGGGTCAAATATGCGGGTTTGTTCAGGGGTAGTGAATGTACTATTCGGCGGTCAAGATCAAATATAAAAGAATAAGCAATTGTTTGTTTGTTAGACTAAACCAAATGACTCGACCGCTTAATCAAAATCTAAACCTACTAGAGTTTAGGGGTTTCAAGATAGGTGAGTGTCAACCAATTTCCTTTGGGTTTTTGAATGGATCCATCTACCTCGCTTGAGGGAATCAACTGATAAAATGTCAGCATTGCAATATCTAAAAAATCAGCAATCATATCTTTTGCAATACAAGTCATATATCAAGCAAACACAACACACCACTGCTGGCCACCAATAGGGACATTCAGGATCTCCAGTATAGACGAATACTGCAGTCATTTTGTCGACTATAAATACAACAATAGCAATACATTTAGCAACACAGCAACCGTTTACAGCTAGTCAGTTATTACACCAAGCAAATAGAATAAAACAGGCAGTCGCGCGTAACATACAATCCATAACTTGAACACCTCCAACTTGATCTATGCATGAAATCAGCCTATTTTCAACGGTATCAGCTTGTGTATCTTTTGATTGAGACAAATACTCGGTATCAGTCACTAGTTTAGTTTTGGATTCCAGCTTGGCATTGCATTCCTCCACAAAAAGTTGGTCCTCGCATCTAAACTTTGACGGAATAAATACATTCAAAGGCTCTTTGTACTTGGCTTCATTATTTGTCGGATCAGTCAATGGTACTTTTCTACCATAATTGAACGCCAAATTAATTCTATCTTTATATGAAAGAGTGTTATGATTGGAGACTGTAGGCTTTTGGGTGTTTACCTGACCCACTAAACCTGCAGTTAAAGTGGTGCTTGATTAGTATTGTTTTTTTAAGCAATGTATATTAACAAAGTATATTCGTGTATCTAATCAAATATAAATAGCATACAACTTCAAGCGATAGTTCAAATTCAGTGCATTGCATTTAAATAGCACAGTCATCAATTACCTTGTAAGCCATTATCGACCTGTTTTTTAGAAATAAATATGGTGTTGCCAAATCTAAACTGACCATCACTAAAATAATTAAAGGCTTATGAGTTATAAGATGCAAATTAAAAGTAATAAAAATTGTCAGTTCTTACCGATTTTCCAACCAAAAACTATTGGGCTAAAATACAGCAGATCCATCAGCATTGCATATTTGTTAGCATAAAATTGTCATAAACTCCATTAAAAAGCAAATGCAAAAATATTTTTGCAGTTTAAACTTTACTTACACACTCAGTAATGAGAGGCTTTCTTAAGGGCCAATTAAGACCAAATATTAAAAAATGGCGCAAGCACCGAACGCAGTATGTGTTTTCTTCCTTAAATGGCACGTCGATTTTCTTTGGGTTGCTAGATAGAACATGCTTGGGTTTTTTAATATATATATCCGACTGATCCGTACTAGCTATAGATGATGCCGCACTTTCTGTTGTAACCATATTTAGATCAGAACACGATTTGAAAGTTGTTTTCATGTCAGCCAGATATATTGGATCTTGATCCGGTTGAGTAGTTGTTTCCAAACTTGGATAATTAATAGAATCATTGCAGTGAGTAAGCATTGGAAGAGTTTTCGTCGAGACATTTAAGCATGATACAGTTGCCATGACAGTGCCAGATGAGACTGTTGTGTCGGAATTAAAAGGTGTACAAGTTTTATCACACACTTGAAAAGTAGAGTCAAACTTTGGTTGATGACTATGGTCAACAGCAGACTGAGCTGACACTTTGATAATACTATCTACAGGCAGCTCAGTAGTAGTTACACTCACGTCTAGCTCTATTATAGTATTGGGTTTTGATGCAACCCTATTTCTGGTACAATCAGAGATCGTGTCCAGTAAATCATCCTTGTGTAACTTAGTAGCCACACTTTTTGGAAATATGAGATCTGGATCAGAGTTTTCGAATCGAGAAAGTTGAAACCCAATAATGTCGACACCGCAAGAATGGCAAGTTTTCAGTGACGGATCTGTATCAGCATTGCATTTTTGTTGTTTTCTCGCAACATTGGATTTTGTTCCATCATAACCATTTGTAGAGTGAGAAGACGCCATTGTACGAATAAATCCTGTGCTCTTTCTTTCTTTTCGAATACGTTTCAACGTCGTTTTGGAGTCGACTACTTCACCATCTGAATTTGTTTGAGATAGTGGTGCAAAACCGCCTAAATTTAACCTAAACAATCGCATTATAGGCTTAGTTGATATACTACAAGCTGAGTTGGAATTATTAAAAAGTCAAATATTCTACCTCTCACACGATTCGCATAGACATTCACAATTTCCTTGACCAAAATAGTTATCACTGTAGTAGCATGTGATTTCTTCGCCAATGTTAATGTCTCGAGTCACTTTAAAATATATAGCATTAGTCCGGCCAACAGGATTAAACTAAAATATTTCCAATGTTTAAATTGATAGGCCAAATAAAACAAATGGTTATAAATATGTCCAAGTGCTACAAAACTAGAAATGCAATGTTTTAAAAGGCGTCTTGATGCTTGATCGTGATATTTTCAAAACGACATATAAACCATCAAGCACAGCTGACTAGCATCACAGATAGATGGTTCAAGATTAAGACACTTACTTTACAGTTTGCACAACAGTCATGATTGGCAAATCGGGCAGGCCCAAGAAATAATCCCATGCAGTGTCGTTTAGTAGAAAACATGACACTGAAATCGCGCTGGGCAAGGCTACGCTCTTCTTCAGAGTTTAGTTTTGTGAAAATACCAGAGCATAAGTATATCTCATCTCCTGTTTTCCACTCCCGTGTGGCAACAATCCGAGCCTCGGCTTTTTTAAATTTCAAATATCTATCTGTTCGATCAATCTCAAATCCGGCATTAGTGGTATATATAGAAAGATACCGACGAACATGGCTAGACATAAAAAATTGTAAATAATATAAGCTAGAGTACTTTTGCTAATACTAAACAAGAATGATTTCAACAACTTACTCTTTAAAGTGTTTGAAATCATTTTCAGTTTTTGACGTGAATACATGGTCATAGTAGGAAAACGCGGGCTCTCTTGGAATAGGAATTTCAAGCTCTTGGTCCGCCGACACATCCTTTGCATCCATTAGTTCCTTGTCACAATCTGCTACTTTTACTTCACCAAAAGCAGCTCTGCCATTTTTGTTGTCACCATCACTTTTTCCATCAACAGCTGCATCAACCCTTTTATAGTTTTGCTTTTGCTTTCCCTTAAATATATGGACATTCCTGCTCAACTATTTCCTTATTTATGCTATTGGGAATCTTGTTTGGAATATCGAGTAGTGGATGTAAAAAGGCCACTGATTGAGTGTCCGAGCACGCTGAAACAGTAGTTTCAAGCAGATTCGAGTTAGTATCACACAGATTTGCTGCATCCTTCAAAATATCGTCAAGGTCTTTTGCTTGGTTATGCCAAAGATTCGGATTGGCGGAATTTGAAGACTGAGTGATGATTGGCTCAGCAGTTTCTCGTGTATCTCTGGGTGCATTGGGCCAGAATTGATGAACTAAAATCTCAGTTGCCTCGTCTAATGATAAAGCCTTTTCTCCCATATATCTAATGAGATCTATGACAACTCGAGCAATGGCAGCACGATCTGGTCCACAATTCAAGTTTGCTGCTTCACCTAGATTATAACAAGATCAGGATGTTGCAAACCCAACGAGTTAATTCTATACAAACCAAGGCATAATGGACCGATACTAAGCTTCTAGGTCAGCCGATTGGACAAAAAAGGAATAACACACGATAGCTGAGAATAGATTCAAAAATAGACAAGACTATCAACAAGTGGTTTGAACTCGGAGTATGATGGGAGGATTTGGTATATAGATATTAAAGCAACCAAACCTTTTGATGAGTATTCTTCTGTTATCTTGTGTGTTTTGAAATCCATAAAAACAGTATCTATGAGTGCGTCAGTAAGGACATCATCGTATTCGGCTAGAGTTGAATAGTGTGCGGGCTCAAGCTTGTTTATTTTTCGAAGACGACCATTCGTAAGCTCGTGAATAGAATATTTTGTATTTGAATATTCATTCTCTGCTGCTTTGTCTTTGGTCATTATCCTGTGTGATTGGGTATGTATAATGCTTGACTGCCAATTATCCAACTCCAGCCGATATGCAGCATTTTGATATTTATCGATTCAACACCGAATCACGTGATTTGAACTTTATTTTATCACTGCAACAATTGGCACATTTGGCGAGTATCTTTGATTATGCAGCCTAAAGTATCAAAATACAAGTGTTTCATTTTACGTGAATACGGCTGTAAATCATGCAGACGTGAGATCATATTCAGAATTGGGGTAAAGAAAGGTCTGGAGGCTCGAGGATACTTGCAGAACCAATGCATGCAAACGTCGACGGGTTGTTTCTGAGATGACACCGTAAATATATTATTAGTTGGTACAATTATAAGACAACAATTGCAAAGAATAGGTTTAAACTGAAACGCTCAACATAGTTGATGAGTTATATACAAGACTACCATTTGTGTTCTCTAGAGATTCGATTTCTGTTAGTAGGTCAGAGAGTTGTTTCTCATGCAAAATGATTGCACTACTGAGTGATACCTCTGTAAGAATATGAAGCTGCTGTCCAATACTAAGCATTGCCTCGATTAGATCTTATTGAAACAGTATTTGTGAGACACGCCAAAATGCAAGTAGTTGCAAGTTGAACAAAATGATTTAGTACAACCCAAATGCACAGGATAGTCATCAAATAGTATTGAGTGCATTACAAGTGTAGATAGACTATTTGGATATATACCTCGTTGAGCATAGAATAGGTGCTGTTTATGAGATTCAATCCGTTGAATGAGATCATCACGATCAAATCCATTCAGCACGTCACCCAAAGAGTGAATGCCTGGTGGTGGATGTAATGGTATACACTCATTATGGGCTATATATGGACTTTTATCTTCAGAAACTTGTGAGATAACAGATGCTTGTTTGGTATGGTTTCCCACAATAAAATGATCTTGAGTTTCTGGTTGAGAAAGTAAAGGGGGAGATTTTTGTGCTGGAAACATAGATATTGTGCTGGTAGTTGATTTGTGATCCTGTTCAGCCATTTGATTTCAGTCGAGCACCTGAAAGTTTAAATGCAAAAAACAAGAAATGAAAATATTTATATTTCAACGAACCAATTTCATCATATTTTGAAAATATTCTGATGGCATCAAGTGGGCTACAGTCTTTCAAAGCAAGTTTTTGGCTCGTGACATTGTACAATCGTTTTGACTTGATGTATATTATATAGGTGAAACTCTCGTATTAAAACAAGACCCAACTCAGCAAGCAGTATATTAGTAAACTGATCGTGTCAACAAGTCGGATTATCGCCGCAGTACACGAGACACGATCGATAAATGTTCATGACATTCAAGTCAACAACTTATCGATATTTACAAACATTATCAAGATTGGTGATTGACAACTTTTTGATTTCTGTCCATTGACATCAGCTGCAAATGCGACAAGATTCCACTGTCAATATTGGATCACGTGCGAGTGTCCGAAGTTTACTTTGAACTCCAACTTGATTGAATTCAATCTACACTCTATTGCATGGACTACACCATGACGATCAAACCTTCACACCAATCCGCACCATTCATTACAGCTTCCAGTTCTTCTTCTCATAAACATTCCTCAGCCAATATATCTTCAGTATTAGATCAAGCTGACATTTATTCCAGCAGAAAATCGCATGTTTTTACTGCTGAATCAGAAAATCATCCATCGATTGCTACAATTGGCAGTTCATCATACGCCGTTTTTAGAAAACTACGCTCTCTAGTACCAGAATGTGCTTCTCTTTCTGATACAGAACTTGTTAAAGTGGCTTCACAAACTAGCGATGAAATGATGCTGGCAAAACAAAAGGTTTTGGCATTCACGTTTCAAAGTCTTGGTATCGAGTCGGTACGACATTTACTTGAAACTAGAAAGCTTGAAAGGGTTAGTTTATCTAAAAGTTTATACACTATTTTCAATGGTCGCATGCTTTATACCCACCTCGTCAATCCATGACTAAATCATCAAGTGCATTATTCTGACATGACTTGGTATTTGCTTAGAGGCAATACATCAAATCTAATTTGACTGAAAGTGAGAGAAAGGCAAAGGAGGATGTATTCAGAGCAGTATTTAATCAACTAGTATCAAAGGAGCTGAGTGTAAGTGTTTTAATTTTTAATTGCTGCCATCTGGCAGGTTTTATCATTGTAGTTCAGTTAGTAATCTCATCAAATATTTGTCTGTTTTTGTCATTGGCTTAAAGAATCTATCATTCGAGCCTTCTTTGACCAGCTCATCCATACTATCTAGCAAAATTAATTATATTAAAGTCTTGACCTTTTTGGTAGATGCGATCCAACGTATCTCATACAAAGCCTCTTCCTCAGTCTCCAAACCATCCATTAAAAAGGCTTTTTCTACGTCATCGTAAGAATACCTTGATGCATATAATATTATTGTGTAGATTCAAGCATTAGTTTTAATTTCAATCTAATCATAGGCTACGTGAAAAGGCGGGAAATAGTACCGCAAGATCAAACCTGGCTTCTACAGAAAAACAATCCATTTTGCAAACAGTTAATGTTAAAAATCAAACTTCTGGTACGAATGGTCGACTTACATCCATCGCTTCAATGTCTAATATCACTGAAAAGCACCCGCTAGAAATTTCTGATTCGGTACTATCTATTGCTCGAGAAGCCAATAGACAAAATAGTTCATCAAAAACATCAACCTCTGGTACGCTTAAAGCAGACAAAACTGATATTGGCTATTTTGAAGAAAAGAACCGACTTCTTTCTAGCCAGTCGCGCGAGTTAAAGCAAGAGGTACACTTGAATATTTTGTCGATTACTTTTAGATAGACTCAAAATTTGAAATATGCTGCAAATGACAATATTTAATTTGTTTTATCTGTTTATATGGGTATTTTCTAGATGGATCAACTCAAAAAAGCGTATACCAAACTACAAGCTGAATATACTGCTTTAAAAGATCTGTATGATAGTGCTACAAAAGAAGCAACCGTTACAGATGTAAAGTTGGATCCAAGTGCAGTGCTGTCATCATTAAATAGACGGCGAATCATGCTGCTTAAATCTCAAAATATTCAACTGTTTCGCCAAGTAGACCTATACAAGAACGAGATTGTCTCTCGTGAAGAATCAGTGTATGACGTTTCTGGAGCAGCAAAAAAAATCCAGACTAAGCTCAAAGAACTGTTTTCTGGCCAGGTCCGTGTTGATTTTAGACTTGCGCCAATCATCTGAAACATATCTAATCTGATAATAATACTGGTCTATTCATACTTTTTGATAGGAGTTTCTCAAGGAAAAGGAAAAAAAGAGTCAGTTTATGGAATGTCTTGGAATGCTTGAGTCCATGTACAAGCATTCCACTCGGCATGTTCGAGATCACTTGGATCCAGACCAAGAATCTAGATCCACGAGCTTTCGATTTGTATCTGCATTTGTGTCTTCAAAAGGATTACTTTTAGAAAACTCCAAGAATCTTACCATTGATGATATTTCGAGTGGTATGTTTACAATTTTTGATTTTTAGTTCGATTATTTTTGCATTGATAGTTTCACTGGATGCAGAATGATGGAATTTTGTTTCTATATTCTTACTAGCGGATTGCTTTTTAACTTGAATACTATATAGGTGGCATCGGACATATCAATCTGCGTCATGTATCCCGGTTAGAAAATGAAATGCACACACTTTATGGTGGTAAGTATGATGGCTGTCGAGTTACTTTGCACAATTTTGCTTTCAAGATGCTAATACTTGATTTTGTCACGGTGTATATTTAGAACTGACTAAACTCGACAAATGTATCTCAACTGCTGTTACTCCAAATATATCTTCAATTATCGAGGTAGCTTAACTTATTCTTTAGTTAACCAATTGTAACTTTGTATTTCTACTATGCAATTCTCAACATGCTGAGTATGTCTGGCTATTTAATACAGAAACATGTTTTGAACACCTTACAATCTGCGTTGAATCAAACCATGGTTGTCGCAGAGGGATTGTTTAGTCTTCAGCTTTTAATTCCCGCGCCGCCACTTCCGAAACTGGATAAAGGTATATTTTCATACACCTCATTTTGTACCACCAAGCTAATTTTGATTTATATTGCATTTCAGTTTTGAAGGATCCAGGGGAACGACCGCCAACTTTGAAAGCAATTGTTGACTGTCTGCCTGTTTCTACAAAGACTAAACTGCAAGAGCCACTTTTACTATTGGAAAAGTCATTGGCTACCGAACAGGTACTTGAGCATAAATACCTGCTATATCTTGGAGTTTCCAATACCACCATTTTAAATTGCTCACGCTATGCTTTACATTTGGTTTTCAGAAACTGCATTCTATTGAACTGGATGCTCTTAAAAAGGAACTCAAGTTCCATCAAGACGTGTATTCCAAATACGTATGTAAACCATCAGTGGAAATGCACAATCTAAAAATGTGTATTCCAGCATTTTAATTTGGCTAGACTAATTTTTATTATTTATCATCCACTTAGAACATCATGATCTCCGAAGTAGTACAGAAACTAGATAGCAGGCGTAAACATATTGCCAAACTTTTAATAGAAAGTGTGACACCACTTGCAGATCTTCAGCAAAAACTTGGATCGCTTGAACTTACTCGTGAGGCTGTAACTGTATTTTTGGAAGACTTTGAATCCACATTGACGATGGTCATGAAACGCATTACTGAGTTGGAGAATATTGGGTCTGATGATAAATAGCTTAAACTATGGTTTGAATGAGTTGGTGCATTCAATTGCAGTGCATTTATTTATTAAAGATATAATAGTGATTGTTAAATAAACTTGAATTATTGTTTTAATCAGGAAATGGACAAGCTTCACATTAGTGCGCTGTATAGTTTTTTCAAAAACAGACTGATAGCCTCATTTGGCTCAATACTGGCTTAACTTGCTGACAAACCCAACGCGAACAGACTGGTCAAACCCAGCAAATACGTACAAACCAAGCTTATCAGGACTCCAGTCAAACGCAGCAACGGGCTGTTCAGCAACCTGTGCATGCTGTAACAGCTCCACTGTTCCTGGCACACCAACATCTTGATCGTCCTTATTCTTGGCAGAACGTCGCTCTGGGTATTTGCTTTGAATTTGAGCAAAGTCAAATGTATCAAGGAAAAATTAGCAATTTATACTTTGCAGAAAATGAAAAGTAAAGATAATTGCTAAAAACTAAATGCAGCTTACTAGCGATAAAGATTAATGTCTCCGCTGCCACCAGATGTCATAAACACATCCCGATTTTGAGGGAGATGGCGAACAGTCCAAATCGTTGTCGTTTCAGTAGACTTTTGTGTGACACTTGCAAATCCTTCCTTGGGATGGTGCGTTTTCAAATCAAATACATGGATCTTGGACTCAAGTCCAGCAACCACCAGCTTATTCATTTTGATGTCGCGACGATCAAACTCGACCGAACAAACCTGTAATCAAGTGCATTTTAAAAAATATTAAATTATTTGTATTCAAACTCTGCAACAGCTGATAAAACCCCACTTTTCATATCAGATATGACCATAAGCATCAGTATTTGCGACTATAACTTACACCATTTTTCAAGTTTGTTTCCCATAGTACCTTCATTGCTCGAAGGTCAAACATTTTCACATCTCCATTCTCATATCCGGCACAAACCGATCGCTCTTCGTCGTTGTAAGAATTACCTAAAATGCCATGAATGATATAAAATCAACGTACTGGGATAAAGATTTCAAATATAAATGCTACTGCCTTTGTCCAAAAGTTGTTTCACTTACCAAAAGCAACTGTCCATGTATCTATAATTGGCTCTCCTTCAGCTGGAGCAATCTTGGCCACTGGCTTGTCACGTTGACGAATATCCCAAACCTTGACAGATCCTAGCATCACGACCAAACAATCAAGTCAATTGACAATCTCAACTTTTTAAACAAAGCCATCATATGCTCCAGTCTACAAGAGACTGATACAAAGTCTTGGTTTAAATCGATATGGTACTAGTCAATTTAGTAGAAACTACACACCATCTCTCGAGCCGGTCACTAGTTCAGGAGGGCCGGCTTGGATTCCAATACCACCACATCCATCTATGCAATTGACAATCTCACTATGTGCGACGGCGGAATAGATTGGCATTTCTGTTCGTTCCAGATCCCACATGGACAGTCTTCCGCCAAAATCACCTGTTGCCAGATGTCGAGTGGTGAGCGAAGATGCACCAAACGTAGCACATTTGAAAGCATGCGGTTTCTCAATCTATGTATGCATCAATAACCAATTACACATATAGGTCGATAGCACCGCCAGAGCAAGCGGAACACCGTTTCAACCACATTAATAAAACCATTGTTTTGATATCAACGAGCAGTTGGAACATACAGTTCAAAACACATTCAATTGCGTTAGCAATAAGTATTGACAACCAGACCATAAAGCAAGCCAGCTGTATTGTGCGCATTTTAAAACTCTATCTCTGTTACCTCTTGCTGCTTTACAATGGAGCCGTTTTGCAGCTGACAAACTTCCAAAATGCCAGATCCTCTAGGCAGCTGTCCTAATATGACAAAGCGAGGTGAATTGGGTATCCAGCGCACATCGAATGCTGTGTAGGCTAGCGACTTGGTTGCATGAGTGCATATCTGACACTTGTCCAATTGGCTCATGTTTAAATATTGTTTCTAAGCTGGTATAGATGGTCAATGTAATTCAATGAACAAAACTCCGACAACTTTGAAACGATCCTACAGTCGATTCACGTAGATGGAGCACTTGTTTGCCCTGCAGCGATTGCTTCAAAGTGGACTGATTAAATATTTGTTGCGCTTTCCTACTCCAAATCGACTTTTATGCAGTTTCAATTCTTTCAATATCTGGAATCGCACACTGTACAAAATCATTCTTTATTCAAGTAATTTTCTGCAGTTTATGGTCAACATGGAGTTTTATACTTTGTAACATTCCGATTGTTGAGCAGTCAACAGGTCATGTTTAATCTGTGAATATGTAGCCATGTCAAGAGACTCAGAGTGCATAGCATTGTCCAGTAAACTGACACCAGCCATTTGATGAGATTGGTTGTTTATTACACTGACTATTATTTAATGTTCCGTTCTGCGTGAATACATTGGTAATAGAACAATACCATCTCCACTAAAGTCGCGTTTGTTTTCAGGGATTGAATTCAAAATAGAATTGAAACTTATTCTACAAACTATTCAGATATAGCTAAAATTTAAAAGTACTTATTTAAATTAACTACATGGAGGATACAAACTACCAAGAGTTTCCATTATTCTTTCATCATTCAACCAAGTTGGTTACGACAGCTGAATCAAGCAAGAAAAAAAAAGAATTCAACTGGGCAAAAGGCATGATTATTTTGCAATGCATGCAAGCAAGTTCATCGTGTATATTTGGTGCTGTAGTGGTATATACCATCATGATTTTTGCAAAAGCTACGTATGGGACCATAAACCGCGACATTATGCTTTTGATTACCTATACATGTATCTTTGTAGTAGCACATATAATGGTGGCAGGTGTTTCTTTGTATGCAGTAAGTTTAATGCTGAAAGTATAGATTTACTTGAAGTCGAAACAGTTGTACTGACACTACGCGTTGTTAGTATAAATCACTCAATATTGTCGTAGTGTTTATGATACCCTTTGTCAACTTTTTAATTCTCGCGTATCAAGGAGCAAGTATGTTGCATTTCTTTAGTTTAAACTGTAAAATGCTGACAAGTCTGCAAAGGCTTCAACTTTATTTCTAAAGCATATCAAAGATGGATTTAAAAAATCCGTACTAACTTGGTTATGGGTTCTCTTAGATCTTAATCAAATTGCACAACTAAGGTCGTGCTCAAAATCCTGGATTGATTTGGCATCCACAGCAACAAACGCAACACAATCAAGCATTCAAATCTATCAATCTTATGCATTCAGATTCTGCTTTGTTCCAGATATGGTTGTATCTACAGGAAATACCTTTTACTATATAGATAATGCAGGAGTAAACGTTACTCTTCCTTTTCTTGAAAATACAAGGGACTCTGCCTTATATATGGACAAGTATATCGGCTATGCAGACAGTGCTCAGGATGCCATGTTGGGAAAAATATTTTTGTCCGTTTTTCTTTTAATTGCAACAATGTGGTTTAGCATAAAAACCAAATCCATGCTACAATGGACTCACTTTCATATGTACGGAGCCAGTATTAGAAAACGATGTACGCGAGCTTAAATTTGTATTGTCAAACAAATGCCAATTCTGAAACTGAGTCATCTTGATACTAACAATCGATTGCATTTTCATGATTAGTAATGCTGATAAAGTATCAATCGTTTCAAGCTTGTGCAGCAGTGAAAATGACAGTGATGGTGGCATTTTTTCCTCAAGTAGGAATTATACTCTATGCTGTTAGTAAAGCCGATCGAATTGCTAAAGAATTTCCAGTTGGGATTCAAGATACACCATGGACTTCTTCACGCTATATCATCCCAGAATCAATCACATTGTTACTATTTACACTAGCCACTGTGTCGTGCAATGCACTCCATTTTTTTGGATTGAATAAGCAACGAAAATCTGCAATTTCATACTTGATTTGTATCCTTATTATAAATGTCTTGACTTCAATATTTGGTTCTACATACTGGTACTTTGATACTATATTTTCACAAGAGTATCCGCGAGTGGTAATCCATGGTATGCATTAACACATATAGTTTAGCACGAGTGCTGAATGGCAAAGTTTAAAGTACCATTTTGATGCTAATTGTGTAATGTGTTTATAGTTGCAATTATAGCACTCTGTGATCTAATATCAGCTATACTTTTGATATCGTCAAGATCTGAATTAGAAACATGGTTTTCTCAACAAGGTGGTTTTCAGCTTGATTTGAATTCAACCATGGATAATGCATATGTTACTGGTTATCAGTATTAAATCTAATCGCAATTTATTATTTAGCAACTGCGTTGGGTACACAAGATTCAAGTCGAATGGAATTATTATAAATGGGCGAAACAAAAATTTATGTGTAGTGAAAAGTATAGTCGAGACTATTCAATGAATATAGAAATTACTAATTGAAAACCAAATATTTTTATCATTTTGTTCACGTAACGGAACATTAAATAAGAGTCAGTGTAATAAACAACCAATCTCATCAAATGGCTGGTGTCAGTTTACTGGACAATGCTATGCACTTTGAGTTTCTTGACATGGCTACAGATTCACAGATTAAACATGACATGTTGACTGCTCAACAATCGGAATGTTACAAAGTATAAAACTCCGTGTTGACCATAAACTGCAGAAAATTACTTGAATAAAGAATGATTTTGTACAGTGTGCGATTCCAAATATTGAAAGAATTGAAACTGCATAAAAGTCGATTTGGAGTAGGAAAGCGCAACAAATATTTAATCAGTCCACTCTGAAGCAATCGCTGCAGGGCAAACAAGTGCTCCATCTACGTGAATCGGCTGTAAATAAACTTTGGGATTTTCAAATTAAAATTTAACCCAGGCTTGTAATTTACTTGCAAGAGTCGCAAATAGAAACCATGTCCATTGCTGCAGTTACTCACAAGTAAGTTGACTATTAAAGCGCATGCAATACACTTTTATCCCATGTATGCATTCTTTACTTACAACCAGTGCTATTGTTTGCTACCCCTGTGTCAAAACTTTACGCGGTGTGCTAATGTGGCATGAAAACTGTTGTACCATGACAGATATGTGTTTGGTCTCAAAGGAGACGTAAACAACAATATAGCATACCTCGATGAGCAAACTATTGTATATCCTGCCGGATCTAATGTCATTCTCTACAACACGGAAAACAAGTCACAAAGGTTTATTCAAGCCATAGATAAGTCGGAAGGAATGACTGCCATGGCTGTAGGCGGTATAAAACGGTTTTTGGCTATTGCAGAACGTGGAGAGAAGCCAACCTGTACAATATACGACCTACACTCACTGCGCCGTCGAAAAACTCTTACACTGTCAGATATGGAAAGCAAGGCAAGTATTTAAAATTAACAGTATTAATCTACAACTGATGCAACTCTAGAATTTATCCAATTGAAATTTGAAGTTTTTAATTTTCAGATCGATAAATGTTCATAGTCGCTTTGATGGCTAATGCACAATAGGAATCTAACAAAATATTTAAAATAAAACAGGAGTTTATATCTATAGGATTTTCCTCGGACTCTAAATTTCTAGTGACTCAAACCGGAGGTCCAGACTGGATGCTCCACTACTGGTCCTGGGAAAAATCCAAAGTATTTGCTTCTATAAAAACTGCAAATATTCCTGAAAAATCCAGCATCCAGCCAAGCGGGATAGGTGCATCAATTTCAATTGCCCAGCAGGGAATTGGAAAAGACAGTCGAGAACACCTCGTTGGGTCAATCGTTTATCAAGTTTCCATCAGCCCTAACGACAGCACTCAAGTGTGTTGTACTGGAAATGGCATTTTTAAACTATTAAGATATCAAGAAGGATACATGCGAGCCGTTGGATCGCAAAAATTCGAGTCAAAAAACTTTACGGCGCATGCATGGACACTAGACGATCGAATTATTGTTGGAACTGAAGATAGTAAAATCTACGTGTTTGAATCCAATGGCGAATGTAAAGCTGAAATTCTACATAGCCATGGCTCTGGAATGATTCCACGCTCAATCTATACTATTGCGTCGTTTTCAAAGGGATTTGTTGTAGGCTGTTCTGGAGGTATGGCTGCAGTGTATGAACGTACTGAAGATCTGTCCACTGGTGGAATTTCTGCTTCAGGTGTTCCCCAGGCAACAGGACACTTGGGTATTCAAGTCATGCAACAAGGTGGTGCTGCCAAAGACCTGTACCGCAAATCTCGCGAGTGTACGCTTTTAGACGAAACTGCCAAAATTACAAATATGGCAATTAGTCTTTCAGAAGATACCCTTCTTTGTACAACTGAGACATGCCAGATCTTTACCATTTCACTGTCAAGTGCAGAAGTGAAGGAAGAAGAAGCAAAGTTTGACTATTTTTTGCAACCATTTCATCATGGACAAATTACAGGAATGGATACGTGCATTCGCAAACCACTAATTGCCACGTGCTCTTCAGACAAGTCTATTTGTGTATGGAATTATCTTGAAACAACATCAGAGCTGGTAAAATATTTTCCAGAAGAGGCATTTTCAATTGCTATTCATCCAAGCGGACTCTATATTCTTGTTGGATTTAGTGACAAACTGCGGCTTATGAATTTGCTGATCGATGATATCCGCCCATTTCGAGAGTTTACGATTCGTGGTTGTCGTGAATGTCGCTTTTCTAACGGTGGACAATATTTTGCAGCTGTACATGGGAATACTATTCAGATTTATTCCACATGGAACTTTGATAATCTTGGGAATCTCAAAGGACATAATGGCAAAGTGCGTTCCATTTACTGGACTTCTGATGATTCAAAAATCATTACCGCAGGAGTTGATGGTGCCGTTTATGATTGGTCGTTGAAAGATTTATCTGGATTTTCTGGACAAGGAGTTAAGCGAGAAAGCGAAAGTATTATGAAAAGCTGCAGTTACAGTTGCGCATGTGCTTCGCCAGATGGAAAAACAATATTTGCTGTTGGAAGCGATAAAACACTCAAGGTATTATTTGAGTCTATTCTCAAACACATGGATCCATATTTTGAAACTTTATTCATCTAAAAATATGCTATTTTATATAGGAAATTATTGATTCACAAATTGTGCGTGAGCTTGAATCAGACTACGTTTTGACACAAATTGCTCTTTCCCATTCTGGTCGAATGATGTTCACTGGTAAGTAAATACACTGAATTGCTTATTTGACAGAAACAATCCAATACAGTACCATCAACATGTGCTGTGATTTTCCTTTGTGCATTTTTATCAAAAATATACTGCCAAGTTTTGTTTGCTGATTTAAATGTTGCACTACTTTAGGAACCAGTCACGGATCTATTCGATCCATGAAGTTTCCACTGGGATCTGAAATTGGTGAATTTCAAGAGCATCAAGGACATTCATCAGCCATTACAAAAATTCGTATTAGCTATGATGATCAGTATTTGTTTTCCAGTTCCGAAGATGGGTGCTTGTATATTTTTAAAATTACCGATCGAGATGGCTGCAATACAAAACGAGAGCGCGATATTGTATACGCTGATGAGGTTTGTTTAATACTATATCATTCAGCTCATGTGCTTTTTGCTGTCGCCTAGTTTTTATCATGACAAGTTACAAATTGTAAAATAAACTGCACTATATAGATTCTGGTTACCAAGTCCGATCTGGAAGAGAAAAACTCGCTCATGGCAGAACTCAAGACTAGAGTAGAGGAGCTCAAGATGGAAAATGAGTACCAACTGAGACTTAAAGATATGAATTTTAATGAAAAGATTAAAGAGGTGACTGAAAAGTTTATGCAAGAGATTGAGGCGCTTAAAATCACAAGTACCGTGCTTCGGACCGACAAGGAAAAGGAAGAAATGCGTCATGAAGAGGAAATGGCAGAGGAAAAAGACAGACACTCCAAGGAGCTAATGGAGCTTGAGACTGTACATAACGGAAAGCTCATGGCAGAGTATGAAAAGTACCAAGAGCTTCAAGTTAAAACGTCAGAGTTGCAAGATCAATGGGAAAAACAGATGCGTGAAATGCAGAGCGCCAAAGATCAGGCATTGGCGGATTTGACAAAGCATTTTGAATCACGTCTCAAAGAAAAGCAAGCCGAGATTGATCGGGTAATTTATATTTAGTTTATATGTAGGATATATAAGAGCATTACAAATTAGCTGGCATCATTGACCACATGCATGTTGGATTACATAAATATAGCTCCAAGAAGAAATGAAAAGACAGCTTCTCGAGTTTGAAGAAACTACCAAGGAAACTGAACAGGATGCTGACTCTGAAGTGCTGGAGTTAAAGCACCGATACGAACGCAAGCTAAAAGAGGAGCGTGAGATTGTGCTGCGTTTAAAAGGAGAGAATGGAATTATGCGTAAAAAGTTCAATACTCTGCAAGGAGAAATTGATGCACACAAAGGTGAAATTGCAAAAATGTACAACGAGGAAAAGAAACTACACTCTGTAATAAAAAGTCTTGAAAAAGATATTGCTGGTCTCAAAAAAGAGGTAAGCTGGCTATGGATTTGCGTTGACCAAGTCATGCATGCATTAAGCCAAGCTAATCAATTTCCATACACGATTGAATGGATGTACAAATTTGATTTAATAGATTCAAGAAAGAGACGAGACTATTCAAGACAAAGAAAAGCGTATTTACGACTTGAAAAAAAAGAATCAGGAGCTGGAAAAGTTTAAATTTGTGCTTGATTACAAGATCAAAGAATTGAAAAAGCAAATTGAACCTCGTGAGCAGGACATTCAGGGAATGGCTCAGCAGATCAAAGAGATGAATGTGGAGCTTGAACACTATCATCGGGCCAATGCAGATCTTGACTTGACCATTACTGATCTCAAACTTAAGCTAAAGGCAGCAGAGAAAGAAGTGGCAAAAGAACGTAGCAAAGTCAATGCGGAAGTAGCACTCATTCGACGATTCAAGGTTGATTTGAGCGAAACTGTCCAGTATGTGCAGGACCCAAAGCTTCTCAAGGTAGATTACTTTTAATTCACAAGACTCTAATGATTATGCTGCGATTTCTAAAATGTGGTTTTAATCATAAAATGTTGGGGTTTTAGTCTTACATCAAGAAGTTGTACCAAAAGTACTGCAAAGAGGGATTCCGCGCAGAAGACTCGATGGAAGTAGATATCCAGCAAGAGTATGCTCGCCAAAGAGAGTATCTGGAGCGCACCGCCGTATCACTTCAAAGAAAAGTTGCCAAGGATCAATTTATTCATAGATCAGACAATGTGCGCATTATGCAAGAGAATGTGACACTCATCAAAGAGATCAATCAACTAAGAAGAGATATTATTGGTGTTAAACAAAAAGAACATACTGCAGAGATGGGATTGAAATCTTTAAATTTACGCAGTCCATCGGCACCACCATTTATTGAAGGTAATTTCAAACTCTTTACCTGTTCAAAATAACTATTCAAAGTTCTCATATATTTGGTATTGAGTAGCATCAGGCATACCACAGAATAACACACTTGAAAACATTTCAGCTGGTGCACGATAAAAAACCAAAAAACTAGTCTTGCAGTATAGAATTGGTAGCATTTTGATTGTCAACATGTGTTGACAGTAATGAAATCATCTAGTGAATAAACCGAGTAGTACCCAGTTTATGCTGCATAATTCTGTCACTGTTGTATTGACGTAACATGGAACGCCAAGTAAGGGTGCCAAATTGCAGAATAAACAGCCAGTTTCATGAAATGATGAGTGCTAATTTGCTGGATAACATGCATGAACTCTTCATTGGGGTTTCCCTGATGACCAGCATGGAAACAACAGTTGTATCCCTGTGACGTATGATATTTGTTCTTTTGGATTAGACACGAACATGTCTAATATTAGGATACAACAACGAGTTTATACAGTCCAACAACAGTCGAGTCTAATTTATGGATTGCAATGAATCTGGTTTCAAACTCGAAGATCATACAATATATGGCTATGCCAAAAAACCTCAGTTCAAAGCCAGTTTAACTATGTGCGCACTGTATGAGCATTGTGCTTATAAAGAATTGAAAATGTTTATTGAACAAGCAGCTAATCTGTAGAAGGAAAGCGCAACCAACATCTAACCATTGTTGGTTCTGACATTAGTCAATGCAGATAACAGAAGAATGTTCCGATCTGAGTAGTGTAAAAAACATGACAATGAGGCAACCCATAAACACATGACGGTCATGACATTATTTCAAAAATCAATTGCGGAGTTACATCACCATGCGTCGTTTATGAGCGCAACGTGGCGTCCATTAGCCGCGCTCAGGTTTAGTCCAACACGCCACATACAGAGCAAGTTTGTTTCAGTTGAACAAGCGATTGTTTAGATGATTTGCTGCTGGTGGCCGCAGTTCAACTTGAAAACTTGACATTGGAACATTCGAGTCTTATAAACTTACAGGCTTCCTCTGCGCTACTTTACCTTTGTAGCCGTATAACTTTTTACATTTTTCAAGTACATAAGCAATGATTGCAGTCTACTCGGCAATTGTTAAAATATTGTTTATATTTCAGTTGCTACCTGTTGTCTCTGTATATGCACAGGCTCCAGCACAACCCTCTCCATCTGCCGCAACAGGTTCAACCAACTGCTTCCAACTAGCAAATTCTCGAGAATGTCCCGAGCTTTCCAACTATTGTAAGTCGAGCTTGCTATTTTGACTATTCAAGTAAATGCCGAGCTTGAAAATTCGTATCTCAAGATACCATATGCACGAGCCCATCTAACAACTTTGGGTACTATTTCATTGTAGTTATTATGCCTTCTGCGGAGTTTAATAATGTGACTTCGTTTGACCTGTACCTTCAGAGCCAGCGAGATAATAGCACCGAGTTTCTCAACAGCTTCAAGCAAGCATTCGACTGTCCCCAATATACAGGGCATATGATGCGCTATGCTTTAAGCACTACGTGTTTTCTCATGGTATCCGACTCCGTGGCTACTTGTCCTCCACCAGCCACCGCTGGCGCAGGCCAGTCGAAAACTTCGCACGTTTTGTGCAAGTCCACATGCGACACGTATATCGGATCATTAACATCAATCTTCAACAATAAAACCCTATGTAACGCAACACCCTCAGACACTGCTGCAAGTTATCGTCGTGCTGCCATTGGAACTAATGGCCCAACTCTTTCTTACGCTGACTACTGCGCCAAACTCAATGCTACGGATACTACCAACTGCTCAAATGGTATCAAACTCGATATCCTGAGCTGTGGATATGCCAATTCTTCTGACGCTGCTCCCTATTGTGCTGCCAACAAGAACGATAGCTGCTGCAGTGCAATTGCTGCCCAGAGCAATGCTGGAGATCTTTTGGCATCTCCTAACCACATATGGCTCATCTTTGGAGCTATTGCAGGCGGTCTTATTCTCATATTCATCATATTCTTTATTGCTACTCGCATTACCCGCCGAATGAGTCGCACCACAGATGCGTTCCAACCTCCTCCTGAAGAAAGAGGCTTTGATGCAGCATCCAAATCAAAAGATCCAGAAGCTGCTGCAAATAGAGCCACATATGCAATGAACAACAATAAGCAGTCAGCCATGCATCGATCCAGCTTATTTAGCAGCATCAGAGCCAGTTTAATCGGTGTGCGAAGTGACAAATTCCGTGTTGGTGCTGTAGATGCACCTCCAGTTCCAAAGATCCCAGCAACTCCACTAACTCCCAAATTGCCTCCTATCCCAATATCTGCGCCGCAGATTCCTAATGGTCGAGATTCAATTTTCGCACCGGCTGCCGCTAACATGGTCAGCAATGGCACAATTACCAGAAATGGAAAAAATAGCGATTCAATCATAAACGTTAACTCGAATACAGACGGTAACAATGGCGCATCAGCAGAGATGTGTGTACGTGCATGCGACGACTACGATAGAGTCATGGAAGACGAAATTGAGCTTCGAGTCGATGATATTATTGTTGTTTTACAAGAGTTTGATGACGGTTGGGCATTTGGCCGCAACGTCTCTACATCTGCCGAAGGTGTCTTTCCTCTCTCTGTTACACAACCTTATCTCTCAGGACAATCCCAAAGACAAAGCTATAATTCTCGAGCAAGTGCATTGACGGCACGGACACGATCTTTACTTCCTCGCTAGTCATTTGCTCTTTACCTCTAATACCTTGTATATAGTACCTCTAAGTGGACTACCCGACTGCATTTATTTTACCAACCGAAATTATGAAAGTAATCCTCAAATGAAACAATCTTATTGCTATAGTTGATTTGTCTATTTTATTGCTAGCAACTTAGAAAATAGAAATATTAAAATTATCATGAAAGCAGTCCTGCATCAGATGCAGATATTTGACTGCCCCAGACTCTGCAAGATAAATCATCTGGTGTCCGCCCATCTGGCTTGGATCACTTCGGCTATATATTGGAAGGTGGAGAATGCACCTTGTTGTTGCGTCATATGAACACGCAGTAAATTACTGCGCTCAGCATCTCCAGTCTCAACCAGAATCTCTATTTTAAACTTGACTGCCTTTCCACTAATGGCAGGAGAAGTGGGAGCATCAATCCAAATAGACTTTACGCTGGCTGCACCAGTCGACTGTTGGAGAATCGAATCGTCTTCCTTGTCCGCGCTAGTGGTTGTAGCAGCTCCCGATGGGGTACTTAAAATTGTGTTTGGGTCGTACTTGCATTTAATTAGTCCATCCTTACGAATTTGAAACTTGACATCCAGTGACTAGAAGACACGAAAATTGAATGTTGGCAATATGATAAAAACTTTCAACAAATGATTATAATTTAAATCGTATCATTGCATTTACATGTAATAGAGTCATCAGCACATTGCTAGTCTCATCTCTCGATAGTGACGAATCAAATGAAAAGGACTCTGGCTTGAAATTAAACAAATGTGTGAACCAGCTTTGTTTTGGAGTTTGTGAAATTACTGGAGTCTGTGGTGCATCAAATACTGTATATTCACATTCAATACAAGATTACAATCGTTGTGTTAAAAGCTCAGATATGAAATCATCAGCAACCGTCACTTACCTTTACGATGGAATTTGGGAGTTCCGAGTCCGATTGCGGCGAATGCATTTACCAATGCCGCACTGCGAGGTCCTTCCGTAGTAGATGGAGACGCTACACTGGCTGTAGAAGCTCCTGCAACAGTATCAGAAACGTCTTTAGATCTTGGAATGCTAATTGTCAACGAATTTTTCTTTAGTGTAGCAATCGCGGTAGCAGATGATTGAGCGCGTCTTCGCCCAGCTATTGCCTGATCCGTGTCAACACTCTTGACACTTTCGGACGAGTCCTGATTGTATGTATAATGCTTTTCTTTTTGATTATCATTTGTACCTGTATCACACTGGGGCCTATTTATACGATATATCGTTTAAACGCCAAAATAGCATGAGTGTAAACTCGATTAAAATCTACTTCAAATGACAAAATACTAATATATCGTACATAATTGCCATAGCCAGCGGTGAATTAATTCGCACATTTGCTGTAATAATACGACTATTTAATTTAATAATAAGCAGTTAGATTGTGAGATTGATACCAATTCAAATCAAATAGGTTTTCAAACTACCTCTGTCGTGTGCTCATCTCGCTGACAGCGCGGCGAGTAGTTCCAGGAGATCCAATGGCAGGTATGATTGGTGATGATGATTTTGCTTCGTCGGTACCAACTAATAACACATGATTAATTATTATTAATACTGCACTCTTATTGACAAAAATGCAAAACACAATCTAAACTACCGAGTTTTGGCATACCGTCGATCGGTATCTCGGCTTGTTTAGTGGCAATTCGTTTTTCCTCTTTGAATTCAGACACCTCATTGTGATGTTTTGAATCAATGCTTTGCGCACTGGAATAAGATTCTGTTCGGCGACGTGGTCCGCCTTCTACATCGTACATTGCATGCTTTTCAGCATCGTAATGCTCAAAAATCTCCCATTTTCTAGCACGCAGTAAGTTGTAATAGACCTTTTGCGTATTTGTTCTAATTGTTAATGGAAATGTAGTATAAGTTGATGTAAATGCAATAAAACCTATATGGTTAAACATAAACATTCTCTAACCAAATCCAACCCACTCTTTTTCGCGCAGGGCAGAATATAACTCTTCTCTGTTGGTCCATCCAAGGAGCGATAAAGATTCAATAATATCCATTTCCAAATTTGGTCCAAGTGGTTCCGACAGCTATTCAAATAACAGGTGCACTACTAAGTATACATTTGATTTAAGCTATCAATATGGCTGTTTAAAACATAGCTACACCTACAGATGCAGTTTCCAATGGAGAAGGGTAATGACTGTCATTTTTTATCGGACGAGATTGAAACCACGGATGCTGAATGACATCCTTCATCTAATGCATAGCGTGAATTTCAGAGTAAATTAGAAAATAAGCTTGAGTGTGTAATCAACAAGGATTTGATATCTCAATTTGTATGTTGAAACCTACTGAAATTCGCTTTGCTGGATCAACAACAAGCATTCGTTTGATAAGATCGCGTGCCTCTGGACCAACATGATCGGGAATGAAAAACAGTCCAGTCTTGACCTGAAATTACAATCTAAACTGTAAATATATATTCATGAAAGCAATGGCTTTTGATAACACTATCAATCTACCTTGTTCAATAATCGACGGATATTTTCATCGTCAAATGGAAGATTTCCTGTGATAAGAGCATACAAAATTATACCGCAGCTCCATATATCAGACGCAGCACCATCATATCGAATTCCCTATAGAAACCAAAATATCAGTGTAAAATGTATATAAATATTGTGTTAAATCATTACTGAAATTGATTTACTTTGATAATTTCTGGACTGGCGTAATGGGGAGATCCACAACTGGTTTCCAACATTTTACTTGGAACTTGCATATTGGCCATACCAAAATCTGCAACTTTGACATTGCGGTTCTTGTCTAACAGCAAGTTCTAAATTTTGAAGTGCAATAGTTGTTAGTTTCTAGTTTAAACTAAATGGCAAGCATATCGGCAATCACTTGCCTCTGGCTTTAAATCACGATGACTATATTACAAATTTTAACAAATTAGCAATGTCGTATTATATCCCAAAAACCCACGTGCTAAATTACATGAGAAATAAAGCAACGCACACAATCACATTACCAAATTAGGTGCTGATGGCAGTACTCAACGCCCATGATGATTTGTTGAAAAAACGAAACCGCCTCGGCATCATTTAGCCGACCTTTTTTTACCAAGTAATCAAACAACTCTCCGCCCTCGACGTGCTCCAAAACCAAAAATCTACCATTTTAATTCAAGTTTCGGCAATTGAGCATTCTTGGCTGATATACACTTGATGTTGAAAACCATAATCAAGTAAACAACCGCAAGTATCCACTTACAGCTCTTTGCTGGTCTCGTAAACATCCAAAAGCTGTAAAACATTTGGATGTCGAATCAACTTCATGATTGTGATTTCACGCTCCAGTTTGCGATTCATATCGTCCTTTTTGACACACTTTTCATTTGGATCCAATATCTCTTTTGAAATGATTTTTATGGCCACTCGCTGGTTTGTCTCAATGTGTAATCCAAGTTTAACTCGGCCTATAGAAACAACACACTTAAATTAGCATATGAAAAGTTTTACAGAATTGATTTAAAACAACAAGTTTTGGATCAAATTTGACAGGATTACGTGAGTATCTGTGGTGGAAAATAATACAAGTAGCTATGTGGCATCCTTTTAAAAAATATCTTGGATAAATTACACGACTTGTATTCATTGCATTCCAAAAATAAAGCAATTGGAGACTATCATTCTCACGTTAAAATGAAATGGATTATGCCATGTATGATTGGAAATTGATACTGACAAGCAAATAATACCTGTACTTCCTACGCCAAGTGTTTTTCCTAGTACATATGGACCTATACGCTGACTTTCTGACGGATGGCGTGGAGTTTGAGGACTTCCTGGTGTGCCAGATACTCTAGACTGTGCAGAACCTGACCGAGCGTGTATGTCTACCTGACGATGGGCAACAGTCTGTCCTGTTGATGGTGGTTGTTGACAAGTCTGCTGGACAGCTGTATGTATCGATTGAGGTTCTTTTGCTTTCATTTTACACTACTTTTCAAGTTTAAAAATAAAATAGCTGTATGATATTTCAATATTGTAATGTAAACTGCCCAATGTATTTACTATCCACGACGCGAACAATCACTGAAAGTTTAAATCTGAAATGGCAAGTTGTCCTCATAAGTATTCTTATTGTTGAACTTTTTGGAAGTTGACAATAAACGGTGATTGCATGTCAAACATTGTGCTGGATTGAATGAAAACACAATCCATTTAAACATCCATTTGAATGATACACTTGATAATCTTTTTGAATAATGCTTTCATTCGCCAATAAACCTTTCATAGCTACTAATTCCAACTATTGTTTTGCTTTTAAACCCAACCGTAATTGATGTCTAAAAACGAGTCAATTTCAAAGAATATGAATTGGGTTGGTGAAATAAAATTACTGTTTAGAGTCGGATGATATAAACTGAATATGGTCAACTGAGCGCTTAAATAGATAATACTACATTTGGAATAACTATTGTAGATTGAATAAAAATAAACAATTCATTCTGCCGCTCTCCCACAACACTGTACTACAACACTGCATTATGCACGAGTCTAGGCTCTATGCGAAGCCTTTCGTGTCATTTTTGATGGCGACGCGAACATGCAATCCACAATACAAATCTGCCTTTTCCAAAAATGTGGTTGAATCAATCAAATGCATGACACTAGTGATGATTGCTGACAATTTTCACTTGTACCTCCATTCTTATCCTCATTATCTTCAGTTGTAATCTTTTCAAATTTATTATGTGCTGCCTGTTCAATAAAAGAAATATTCCGCACAACCAAATGGTTCCTAGGCTTAGCTAATGTCAAAAGTATAGGGAATTTTGTAACAAATCATTGTGCAATGCCACTTGTAATGGAGTCGTCAAAACTCGGCGAGTCCTTGATCCGAAATATTAGCCAGCAAGGTATTGTCAAACCCCATGTCCCAACCACCAGACATGCCGTTATTAGTGGACCATACATCAGGGTATGAATTCTGTGGGTTTATGGTTCCACATGTCATCATTTGAGGATTTACCATGACAAACTCTTGGAAATGAGAGGCGTCACTATCATTAGGATTTTGCAGAGTGTTGGGATACAGAGATGTCATGTTGATGTTTAAATGGATGGGAAAAGTTTGAAAATTGGTCTGCGGGTCCATCAACTGCTGGAAATGAACACCAGAGGGATTCTGCTTCATCATTGGGGAAGTAGTAGATAAAGCATGTGTAGTAAGTGAATTGCTCCACTGGGGCGGGGTGGTGGGGGAATAATTGGCTGCATTGTGAGATCCAGCCAGGGAATGGCTCACTGTAGACGCAGATGTATATACTGGTGAAACTCCGACATCTCTATTAGCAGCCGAGGCGGTATTCAATCGAGCCAGATGGTTGGTAGCCTCATGAAGTTTCTTTATGGGTGCTGCCGTCATCTTGAACTGTGCATTCCCTCGGGACATTGGGTTTTTTGATATACCCGTTTTTTTTGATACATTGGATAGATGCTTTTGCGGCTTTCTTGGAGTATATTTGTAGTCTGGGTATTCGATAGCATGAGCGCGTTTGACTTCTGCAGCCAGAGCAGCATACTTGGCTTTGACTTCGTCAGGCTCGTTTCTCCATCTTTCTCCAACAATTTTTGATACGGTATTGTTGTTTACCTTTTCATGCTCGGCAAACTCTTTCCTGACAATAGACTGCATTTCTGCGCGGTACAGCAAGAATGAGTTGGCAGGACGAGGAGTGTGAGTCGAATTTCCTTTTCCATTACCAGAAGACTTGGTTAATCGTGAACGAACTGGAGTAGTATTTGGCCCAGCAGCTAGAGCCGCAATGCTATGACTGATTTCGGTTATAGTGGCGGTGGAAGGAGATACCAATAATGGTTGGGGAGCAGTATAGAGACCTACAGTACCAGTCTTGAACGGTGTTGGGAAATGGTTTCTGGAAATAGAACTGTCTTTTGACAAAACCGTATGAGCGGGAGCCATATTATCATATACAGCAGCAGAACCAAGCAGTCCATCTGTGGGGATACCATCTATGGACTTTGAAAACTCCGTGTTATGAAGAAGCGAATGAACGTGATTCTCATTGATATCTATAGCATGGCACTTGATACCACTGCAATGGGCAGGACTTTCATTAGTAATATTGGTGTACATGGGCTGGTATTTTAGTGTTTGAGATGGGTTGGCGTGCAAACTGGAAGTCCTGTTGTGACTCTGCAGCACCTGCATGAACTCGCCCAACTGCGTTTGTCCATTCTGAAGCAGCTGCAGCTTCATGTAATCCATTTTTGGTGATTGGTCGGGATTTGATGGCATCAGAAAGCTAGACGATTGCTCTTGTAGAGGAGGAGGAGATGCATTCATACGTGCAGATTGAAACTGCAAATCAGCCTGTTTGGATGGCTGTAGTTCATCACATTGCAAGTTTGGAGATAAGCGCTGTAGAATTTGCTTTGGGGACGCTATGGACAAGACTAGATTGTCGGATAGATTATTTTTGATCGCTGCGAGAGGGGTTAGGCAGCCAGATGAATTTATATACCTGTTTGGGGTGGATTGAGTGGCATACGTTTGCGTTTTGGGAAGCAGTTGGGTATGCATGGCTGGTGAATAGTGGCTTTGGACAGATTGAGGCAACGGGCCACTGCTACAGGGTACAGTGTTGCTGTCACCATAGACACTCATATGGGTGTTTGCAAATGGTTGAGTAGGCATCCCCCCGTTATAAAGTGGTTCTCCACGCGACTGCGCGTTAGTTTGCATCCTAGGTGCATTCGACTTCAAGTCGAACTGTTGAAATTCCATACTATTCAATACGTGCCTATCATTCGAAACTTGGAGTGTATTGCTAGAATAATGTTGAGCCGGCGATTGACGGCCCTGAAACTGGTACGACTGCAGTGGATGGTCCCTAGAGTTGGTATGTGTCAGTATTGTTTTGTCAACTGACATAAACACGTTTTGAGTTGTTTTCATTTCCAAAAAGGTCAAGTCTAAACAAGCAACACCAAAAATAAATGATAGAGCAATGAGATATAAGATTCAATTTAGACAATTGCCAAATGACAATAGTAAGTATATTACTTGATTGAACTTACATCGCGAACAAAATTGTATTCAAGACTAGTTCTTGGTTTATTAGCGCAATAAAATCAAATCTACTTGTTGGTAAAACTATTTCAAGCAAAGTTTACAAGGCGAGATAAAGTGTCAAGATAAAGGTTGAGATGCGTAAAACAATGAAATGGCCATTTAAATAACTTGCGACTTTTGGATATCCACACCACAACACAACGCGTCTTTGGAAAAAGAATTGTAGAATGTGCCTCCTATCACAAGGGTGGATGTTTTGACTAATCGGCAAGCACTAACAACCCCACGATTTCAGACTACGTTTATCTATAAGCATGATCTTGGTGTGTAGATAGTACTTTTTCAGTACCGTCTCCAACTCTTAAACTTTTATACCCTTGAAAAGGCTTGCCAAAGTGAGAATGGAAAGCATGTGTTTGTAAGTTTTGCAAGCCATTTTAAATTCAGCCGCATTTTTATTAGATTGTTTTGAATAATTCAACAAACTTCAATTAGAAATCAAGACAATATCAGTATATTTTAAAACACCAAGTCTATTGAAAATTTAAGTACACGAAACTCTTGTATACATTTTATTTCATAATAGGATTTGCATCAAACGACACGTTCGTACATTTACTAGTTTAGTTAGCAAAAGGCGTCTTAGATTTAAAATTAGTTGAAAATACAAACTGCATCAATCTACAAAAACTTTGAATTACAAATATCTGACTTGAAAGGCGTTTAAACAAGTGGCATTGTTAAATATCAATATATGACACCCTCAACCCATTACTCTAATAAATAGATCCTCATCATCGTAGCTTTGGAAGACTGTGGATATGAGCAAGGTCAAGCACTCTTGTTGGCTCTGAATCGGTAGGTTCTGGATTCTGCAAAGAATAGCGCAATAAATACTCTAAACTTGCCATAGACAGCTGATCTTCAAAATTAGACGTCGATGCATCACATATAGTACTGTTAGATGAAGACTGACTATCGTTTAAAACATTGTTGCCATATATATTGTTTAACCGGTTGTTTACACGTCTAGATGACGAAAAATGACTTGGAGTGCCATTTGCTTGTCTTGAGCTGTCCAGATGGGATGGATACGGTGTACGTTTTTGATTATTATGTGGCTGAAGATAGTTGGGGCCAAGATATCTTTGCATTATGGGATCTGATGCTCGCTAATCGTAAATTCAAATATTGGCATGAATAATTGCAAAATAAAATAATAGTCAACAGTAAAATGAAGTGATGATCAAATTCACAAACCTCTAAGAGTGAATCTTCCTCAACTAAAGAATTGTACTCGATATGTGGGACACGAAATATTGAAGTCGCGTCGTTTTTGTAGTTACTTTTAGTATTAACTGGTAATGATGGAATGCGCTGCGCATGTGATTCTTGAGATAATAAAGATTGATTTCGATGTGTGTTTTCTATTTGAGGTATGGAATGACTCGAGTTTTGTAAAGAACTACCATCACAGCCAATTGCTTGCTGGATTTGGCTTAGAATGGAATCGATACCATCTACAGAATCATCAGATGAACCGACTGTGCTTGAGCTATTGAGATTGTTTGAATGCACATTGACCCTTTGTGAATAATCTAGTCCAAGTTTTGTGTCGAGAATTGACTCATTATCTTTGATCTGTAGTGCTTGCTCGACCTTTTTTAACAAGTCAGTATACAGTTCCGGTGTAAACTCGTCTTGATCAGCAATAGCAGCTTGTGGCAACAAAAGCTGCTGCTTTTGCTCAAAAGATACACTTGCAATTAGAGGAATAGGTGATGCTGATGAGGATGATGGCAGGGTTCGATCTACATATACTTTGTTTCTACAATCATGGCTTTGCACTTTAGTGGTAAAGGCTTTTGGGGTAGAGCTATTTGATGGTCTTTGAGAAGTGCTGTGATACAAAGATTGATCAACCATAGACGATATAGATTGCGACAGATTAGGCTGATTAGATTTGCTCGGACAAAAAAGTGGGATATACTGGCCATCTGGCGGACCGAGCTCATCCAAAACCATTCGAGGTGATGTTGGGAGTATATCAGAGGGAGCATGGATAGACGACATATGAAGAGAAAGTAGTGGATGCTCAAAACTAGTAAGCATTGATGAGGATATCTGGGTATTACTTGAGCGAACCAAAGGGTTGATTATCTCCTGCTGGACCGATCGATTACTATTCATATTGCATAATAGAGGATGATCCTAAAGTTTATATTAGTTTATAAATACCAATTCATCCAAGGCAATGGTTCAAGAATAAAAACTCGAGTGTACTATTGGCATTCACAATATCTGGACCATCGTACTCGATATATTGCTCAAGACTCCAATGACTTACAATAGAATGCCGACTCGAGTCAGGACAAGAGATATACTCGGAAGTACGTGCAGATGATTGCTGGATACTCTTTGGCGGAGCTGTATCGGCAGGCAGGCTTATACTGTGGTTGTTAGTAGACTGGCCATGTCTATGATGCTGAGATTTGTAGTCAGCTAGATGAATGGCATATTGCTGCGAGTGTCCGGCAATATGGGGTTCCCTGACAGCAGCAAGCTTTCCTTTAAGAAGCTCTATCTGCTGTGTTAGAAGATCTACTTGGGTTTGCAGTTTGTCTGAATGTTGCTTATTGCTAATCATCAGCTATTTGTGTAGTAAAACAGAAATTGGTCAAATCTGCTACAATGGCAAAAGTTGCCAAGATGAAGATTGCTACTGGTATTGGCGATGCAGTCATCTTGTTACTGAAACCATATATTCTCAGCCTGCAGTTTACTCACACTTGAAACTCCATTGACTTTATATTAAAACTCACTCATGTCGTTTATTAGAGATCCGCATCAGTATGGCACATACCAACACGATTCAAAGAGATCTCAGACTGCGTGAATGAGCATCGATTTCTTTACTTGAGATATCCCATAATGTATCTTGAAGTCGTATAGAGCTTTTTTTCCAAACAATCTTTTCATTACTGGCTGGATTGTGAGTTACTGGCAAGCCCAACTTGATTTTAAGCAGAGTATGATTGTCTAGTTTAAAGTCGGTCATTATTCATATCAATTTATTCATCATGACATACACCGCTGAGCATATTTGAATCATAGAACCTACTTTTTTCATAGCATGTCTTGTAGTTTTCCATTAATTCTGAAAGTGACTTTAACCTTTAATGTTAGTGCTTGACTCGTTTCTCATGTAAACACGACTGCAAATTAAAAACAATAAGCTAATTCAAAAAAACCAATGACTTACAGTATAAGTAAGGCTTTTGTTCATCAGATCCGACTTTTTCGACAAACCGATTGCACCCCACTTTCCACCAAGCTTTATAATAAGCACAATATGTCTATAAATCTCCCCGTTGCACTCTGACTTGAAGCTAACAGCTAAATTTAAACTGTTAGTACTTTGATTCTTTAAATACTACTATACTTTGCTAGTTTTAGATCGAGGCTTAATAATGATTTACGCAACTCATTCTTAGCAGATCATCAAACTTCATAGTTAGGTAGATCCCCAGTATTGTTGCCTCGAGGCACTTGATTGGAAGAGCTTGCTGAACCATTTTTTGTGCCAGTTTTAATAGATTTCGCACAGATGATGATTTTTTCACGACAAAAAACGGCTCACCCAAGTAATTGTATGACAGAGTCTGAATATACTCCTCTAAAACAAGCACATTAATATCATCTTATAAATGATAAGGAATCGGCAGCAATATATAATGAATATTTACAACTTACGTATTGAATGAATGTGCGATAGTATTGGTAAATCGAGAGATAGATTTGGTTCACGAGGAATAGGAAACAGCCCAATTAGATCTGGATTATTTTGAAGAAACTGGATGATCTCGGTGGGATTTGAAAAAATAGCATTCTGCATGGCTGATATGCTTCTAGGAGTTGTCAATGGTGCGCAACTATGCGAGGATGCATCTAGTTCAATTTTTGAAAATTCCAATGGCCGTTTTGAGATGAGATTATAGCAATGGATTGAAGGAATAAATTGGGACGACTGTTGTAAAACTAAATATGTTGATTTATATATGTCGTTTAGAATCTCATCTGTAAGCAATGTGTCCATTTGAAAAATGAATCTAATAGTTTTTAAATGTCTATATTTTGTAAAGTTGAGAATCTCGTGGTTATTCAAATGTCAAGCACTTTAGAAAGTCTATCAACATATTTTTTGTCGTGAATTGGAAGCCATTGGACTAGCCGTATTCACGTAAATGGAACGCTTTTGTGTTTATTTTGCAGCGACTGCCTCTATTTTGTTTGGAGTAGACAATATCTAAACATAAAGTCTATTATATGATGCACACGATCACATCATGGCTTTGAACTGGTATTATCCTTTTTAGCATAGCCGCACATTGTACAGACTACTATATCCTAAAATATCGGATATATTCGCGATTTAGTCCAAGAAAACAGACTGCACATCTCAATACAACTGTTGTGTTCATGCAAATCATCAGGATATACCAATAAGCTAAAGAGTCCAAAAGACAATGCTGTTCAGTAAATTAGCACCCATTATTTTACAAGATTGGCTATTTATTAAACACTTTTATTTAGTGCTCCATTTACGTGAATATGACTGTAAAACGAGTTGTCTATAAAGGCAAAACATCCATATTCTACTTTTGATATTTTTGGAGATAATGCAAATGGGATATACTATAATATCATCCATTGTTACAGACGGTTGTCATTATCTTGGTTGATCAAGTGCTTGCCTCAGTTTCTTGGTAGTAAATCTCGCAAAATTAATGAGTATACAGGCAAATACTTGATCAACAACATGGTGAGTATGCAGTTGGACACTCGATAGGATTTGAATGAAATCATCAGAGGCTGCAGTCAAGTCACACGACCAGCCATTTTCCATTTGAAAGTAATTCATCACAACTTTTGCCAGCAATCATCTACAACCCATGTTTCGTGCTGCCAGACTCTCGGCTTCTAGACTGCGTCCAGTCACTGCTACTGCATTTTGGGCCCCTCATGCCAATTCCTACTCAAAGCCTGCCATTGTCCGATCCTTTTCTTCAAAGGCTAGCACTGTGATTTCAAACAAAATCGATACTGATCTGCCCGAATTCAAGGTTGGATGCTGCTGCTCTTGATTCTTGGCATTCATGGATTCTGTTCAATTACGAACGGATCCTTTAAAATACTCAATGCCATACTCTAGTGTCTTTTTTTAAAATGACTGTTGTGGTTTTAATCTCGTATTTTTGTTGAATTGGGTTGGGTTGCTTCAACGATTGCATCCACAGCTGTATCGAGGTTTTGACCACACTCATTAACTTACTGATTATACACTATGTTTGTTTTTCAATACTATGCCCACTATACATCAGGAAAATGCCATCCGAGTTGCTCGTCTAACCCAACAGCTCAAAGATGATGTTGCTCAGATCCGTCAAGGTATCGTTTTGTTGTAATGCTGGTTTGTACAGGTGCTGCTGTTGTTTTCTTCCATGACAACTCCACCCGAAACCATAGACGGCAGGGTTGCTGGTTTCAAATCGGATTTTAACAGTTTTGTTAAACTCGACGTTCTTGATTTAAACATATTAATTTGCATGATCAATTAGGCGGTGGTGAGGTTGCTCGCAAGCGCCATCTGTCCCGTAATAAACTACTTCCTCGTGACAGGGTAGATGCTCTTCTTGATCCTGGGTAAATATAATGGTTTGCTGTTCAAGTCGCTTTAAAAGTACAAGAGCTTATGTTTTAAACTTTTCGTTTGTTCTTCATGCCTGCTGAATTTCTTTAATACCCACACCAAGATCGCCGTTTTTGGAACTATCACAGTTTGCAGGTATATGCCGTACTGAATTTAGTATTATACTTTAATCAATGTCATTTGCTCATTGTATACGGCTTTGAACATGTCGGCTATTTCTCTATAGGTCATGAGCTTTATGATGCAAACGTTCCTGCCGGTGGTATTATTACTGGAATTGGTCGTGTGAGCGGGTATGTCAATGGGCCATATTAAATACTATCCGAAAATCCTTGTTGTATCAAGTTTACTCAACATATACTAATTATCTGCCATCAATTGCTTATATTTTAGTGTTGAATGCATGATTGTTGCGAATGGTAAGTTTATTGCATATCTACTATACTTTTAGCGTATTAATGGCTGAGCATCTTGAACTTATCCACATAGATACTTACCACTTCCAACAATGGTTTTAGATTCTACCGTCAAGGGTGGTACCTACTTTCCCATTACTGTCAAGAAGCACTTGCGGGCACAAGAGATTGCAAAGGAAAATCGCTTGCCCTGTATCTATCTAGTTGACTCTGGTGGTGCCAATCTTCCACAGCAAGCTGACGTGTTCCCAGACAAAGAACATTTTGGTCGTATTTTTTTTAACCAAGCCAATATGTCGGCCGGTAAGTTAAATCTATTACTGTATTTTATCTGAATGCAATCAACTAAACTGCTTGTTTTCCCTTTATAACCTTGTAGCTGGCATTCCTCAAATTGCTATTGTTTTGGGATCGTGCACTGCTGGAGGTGCATATGTTCCAGCCATGGCTGGTAAGTATAATTACACGAGTCTAATGATGCTTCAAATATTCAGCATGATGATACTTAATTTCTATTTTTCAACACTGCCATAGATGAAAGTGTCATTGTCAAAAATCAAGGCACCATTTTTCTTGCCGGACCACCTGTAAGATTTAAATGCGCTTTGTATTTGCTATGCAATTTAACAATGTATAGCATATCAAGGTTTTAACGCACATACTATTTTACTTTTATCTTGATTTAGCTTGTAAAAGCTGCTACAGGCGAGGTTGTATCTGCCGAGGACCTTGGTGGTGCCGATCTACATTGCCGAGTAAGTTTAGATATATTTTGCCAACTGAATGTGCATGGTTTGGTTTTTATTCTTGCTGATTTTGAATTGTATAAACGGTTTTTATTTGAACTAATGGTTATACTATTACTATGCCTTTATGTAGACCTCTGGAGTGACTGACTACTATGCTCAGTCAGATGAGCACGCACTTCAGCTTGGACGTCAGATCGTTACCAATCTGAACTATACAAAGAATCACCAGGTGTGTCAATGGATCTATATTAAAAATAATCATTGAAAGCTATTTTGGGTTGATTGCGTTACTTATTGAATATGTGGATTATAGGTTACAGTTTGTCCAATTGAGGAACCACTCTACCCACCATCCGAGCTTGGTGGTATTGTTGGTGACAATTTGAGAAAGCCCTATGACATGAAACAAGTTATTGCCCGCATTGTTGATGGCAGTAAATTTAGCGAATTCAAGGAGCTCTATGGCACACAGCTAGTCACTGGATTTGCTCGCATTCACGGATTCCCTGTTGGTATTGTTGCTAATAATGGCATTCTTTTCTCTGAATGTGCTCTTAAAGGTGCCCATTTTATTGAGCTATGCAGCCAGCGCAAGATTCCACTTATTTTCCTTCAAAATATCACTGGGTTTATGGTTGGAAAGAGTGCCGAGGCTGGCGGTATTGCCAAAAACGGTGCCAAGATGGTCACGGCTGTTGCAACTGCTCAAGTGCCAAAGATCACCGTAAGTTGTATTCTTTTTTAAATTTTTACGCTACTGGGTTTGACTGTTTGTAACTTTGATTCCGATTTTTTCTACAGGTCCTTTGCGGCGGTTCATTTGGTGCTGGAAACTATGGCATGTGTGGACGTGCATATTCGCCGCGATTCCTTTGGACTTGGCCTACCTGTAAGTTTGGATGCAATTAACATTAGAAAGCACCTCGGTTGGATCATATCAAGTAATTGGACTTATTTTTATTTTTAGCCCGTATCAGTGTGATGGGTGGTGAACAAGCTGCTGGAGTCATGGCACAAAGTAAGTTGATTGAAAATTACCAAGCATCGGTGTTTTAACAGAATAATGCTAATATGACATTTTGTAACGTACTCTATTTTATTACCTAGTTACTCGCGATTCCAAAGCCAAAAAGGGAGAGACTTGGTCTGTCGAGGCAGAAGAAGAGTTTAAGAAGCCTATTTTTGAACGTTACGAATCCGAGGGTCATCCCTATTATGCTAGGTAGGACATATACTTTACAAATAGTTTTAGTTTTATACAGAATTTTAATCAAATTTGTGCATACTCATTTTATTCAATTCCAAAACTCAATTTGTATTCAAGTGCACGTCTTTGGGATGATGGAATTATTGATCCCGCAGACACTCGCAGTGTTCTTGCACTTAGTCTCAGTGCTGCTCTCAATGCTCCTATCCCAGATACTAAATTTGGCATTTTCCGCATGTAATTTCTCTCATGCAACTTCAAAATCAAATACATTGTTTATCATGTTATACATGCCAAGATTCTGGATGTGGGGTTTGATTTATTTTGGTGTGTGCTGCTTCAACGTATGAAAACTTTGCACTTTTCCTACTGAGATATTTGAAATTCAAAATGTATGGGTTTGAAATAATCATACACGGTTTATTAAATTTGAAAACTCGCCATTACTTTGCGACAGACTATCAATCTCACGCTCGATTGTAGGAGAGTTAATCTCACCATCCGCGTGCACCTGTTTTGGATAATGATGGCCAAGTTGTACAGATTCAAACAAGCTCTGAAGAGTTTGATTCAACCCGTGAACCTCTGCCCGCCGCTGTAAAAACTCTTTCCATGCCTGCTCCTTGCCTTTTTTTTGTTCTGACTGCTCTTTCTGCTGTTTGTGTGCTTCCTCATGCTTGATTAAATGATCCGCGTGGTCTTGTAAACGTTTTTTTAAATCTCTTTGGCTCTATTGAGTTTCAAAAACCATGTCGATACACTTTTTGGCTTAAATACATATTTCAAGATGATACATGCAATTCATACTTTAGATTACCTTGATTGTACCAAGCGACTTCATTTTTTCCACTGTATCCACAATGTAAAATTATTAGACATAGAATCACATATTAGAAATAAATAGTATGCTGATTTCTCCAATACTTATTTACAGCCTGATACTACCTATTTTCAAGTCAGTATACAGCAACTTACATAGTGCACCCATTTCAATTTCAGAATGAATATCTGGAGTTGAAGGAGTTTGTCGTATTGGATTGTTTTTTCCAGAAAAAGGTTTTTTTGTGAGAGCAGCTTGAGGCACACTATACCATTTCTGAATTTGCTTGTTCGTCGATCTTTTCCGAATCATTTTTAAAGCTTTTCGCGACTGTGCTATCTCGGTATTGATGATTGATGAACATGCCCAGGTCATTGCTTCTTTTGGTGACCATTTTGCTTTTGATTCAATCCCAGAACACAGTGATTTTGATTGACTGCGTGAGTTGGATAATAGAGGTCTAATGACTGTGCTCTCTTGCTCTATTCCCGACTCTTGACTTTTAAGTTTGGTCTGTTCTGGTAAAAGGGTGAGATGTGGTGCACTTACGTGTTGCTGATTATACAAGTCAGACAAGTGTTGAGTTTCTTGTAAATCTGGTGAGCTCAATATACGAGTCAACAAAACTGGTGCAGATTTGTATTTTTTCGATTCGGTTGTCAATGTAGAAGTCTCTGCCAACAATGGTTGTGTTGAAATTGACCGTATAGATGGCATAACAGAATCCAGGCTTGTATAGGATTGAGGTTTTGGATTTTTAGGTAATTTGGGTTTTGCTGCAATGTCTAATATTTCGAATGCCATTTTGGTTTTTGAATGTTTCATCATTTTACCTTTGGGTAGGAATCTTGCATTGGTAAATGTATTTTTTTTGGGACTAATGCCAGATTCTAATAACGTGCTTGATCCGTTGTCTATCAGCAAAACGCCTTCAATTATACTCGATTTTGAGGTAACAATAGATTCACTTGAATCATCTATTTTGGACTCAGAGACCTGCTTGTTACTGTCATTGATTGCAAACAGCATTTTTTTGGATTCAGCAGCAGGCTGTTTGACACGTTTCACTTTTTTTTCTGGTTGGCTATATCTAGATTGTTGAGATGTGCCAAGACGAGCATTTCCATCGCGATTGGTCGCGTCAGTTGTAGGTGCTCGTCTATTTTCACTCATGAGATCCATGATTAGGCTGTGTTTGCTGGCTACACCACTAAGCAGCGAGCCACCAATAGTTCCTGATCTGTATCTTCCTGCAGCGCTTGGAAGTGCTGCTGATGCTGGTAAGCGCTCCAATGCCGTCTGGTGGTGAACGAGGGAAAGCTGGCGTCCTGCTAGAAAAGACCCGTTTGTTGGATACATTTTGTAAGGATATACTTTACAAGGCTTGTGATTGAGATCTAATGTTTTTATAAAAAAAGATTAGAAGCTGGATTTATTATCCTACTTTTGAATGTCGGAAAATTGATTTTGGATTACTTTGTTGGCGTAGAAATTGTAAAGCATATAGGATAATGGCAATTTGGACAATGCCTGAATCTACTCATAGTGATGTAATCCAAAGTTAAAATTTAAGTGGATATTAGACAATGCCATTCCTCAGGGTGTTTGGACTGATTTATGGGCAAGATTGGTATCAAGATCCAAACTTGTTTCTAAACTATCCTCAACTTTCAACTGCCAGATATGATGAGAATTCGATCCCTTCAATCCCGCTGCTTTCCCAGTACTCCAGGAGCACTTGCATCATCAGTTTTTTCAAATAATCTGATTCGTTCTGGCTGTCGCCCATTTACTACTGCTCCCACCACCAGTTCAGCTCCACCACCAAACCCAGCATCAAATTCACGTGGGCCATTTTTTTGGATGCTCCTACTTGGAGTTCCAGCTGCAGGAGCAGGTAATTGATAGTCTTGTATTGCAGATCTGATAGCTATGCTCATGGCCACAACAGTTGGATTCATGAACCAACTTGATTTTCATATGCGACTCTTGTGTTATTCTACTTTTATTTAGGATATTACTATTCGACTCAATGTTGTGGAAGCAAACTTAGTCCCAAGCAGATCGCCTGGAAGGAAGCTCCCGTAGCTGCACTTGATCCAACTACGTTTAAGCCATTTACAGTCAGGGAGATTGTTGATGTTAACCACAACACCAAGATCCTTAGATTTGCTCTTCCTGAAGAAGCCACGGAACTAGGTCTCAAGGCAGCAAGTTGCTGTACTACCAAGTTTGTCAAGGGCCTCAAAGAGGATGGAAAACCTGATGTGGTGATTCGACCTTATACGCCTTTGGAAGATCCAGCCAAGGGGTACACTGGATACTTTGATATGCTGGTCAAAAAATATCCTGATGGAGTCATGTCTTCCTACCTGCACTCTCGCCAAGTGGGAGATGTTGTCGAGATCAAAGGTCCGTTTTCCAAGTTTGAGTACAAGGCCAACGAGTTCAAACATATCGGCATGGTTGCTGGTGGATCTGGCATTACTCCCATGGTGCAAGTCATTCAAAAGATCCTAAGCGATCCTACTGACAAAACCAAGGTGTCGCTCATTTTTGCGAACGTTACCGAAGATGACATTCCACTGAGACCGTATCTGGATAAGCTTGCAAAGGAGCATCCTGGACAAATCAATGTGTTCCATACCCTTGACAAGCCTCCTGCTGGATGGCAGCAAGGCAGTGGGTATGTGAGCGAAGATATGCTCAAGAAGCACATGCCGGCTCCTGGTCAGGGCAAAGTGTACTTTTGCGGCAATCCAGGCATGATGAAATTTAGTAAGTGGATTAAACTACATAGTATTATAGGCTGGATCTAGAGGTACGTGCATGATATTGATTCGCTTATGTAATGAATTATATAGTTACTGGACCCAAGACAAAGGATAATAAGCAAGGCGAGTTGAGCGGACTTCTTAAGAAATTGGGATATACCGAGGGAGATGTCTTTAAGTTTTAAAGCCGTATTCACGTAAAATGGAATTTGTATTTATCTTGGTCTTATTTTGCTTCAGAATAAACAGTGGTTAAATACTCGGTTTCCTATTATATATTGATTTGAATAGACGTTTTCAATTCCTTGGTGTCTGGAATTATTCAATGAATTCTTTATTATACTCGAATTATTTTTTGCAGGATTCAAGAATGGGTAATATGAAACCCCAATCCGTGCGACATGTGTTGAATGGTTGGTAAGCCATGTCCAACTAGAGTTGTTTTGTGGAATGGAATGTTTGGAAATGTTGCATTTCTGTTTAAAAAGTTAATATTACAGTCTTGACAGCTTTTTTGGTCAGTCTTTAAACACAGCGACCATCATATAATGCACACAATCTTAACATTGTTGGCCGAGACATTTGTGCTTGGTAGAAGTCCACAAGTGCACTCGCAATGTCTCGTTCAAGTGTTGATGACCACAAAGGTGTCAGGCATCAATCAATGATTGTATATTTTTATAACAATTATTACAAAAGTAGAGATTCATATGTAAAAGAGCAGGTTTACCTACTAAACCCATCAAAACCTGTTTCTAAACGATGATTCCAAAGAATACAACGTTTTTCAGTCAGATTCGCATCAACTAAACATGGGACGGACTGTTTAGCATCATGATTAGTGCTCCATTTTACGTGGATACGACTGTAATTCATTTTGGAAGATTGCCCAAAATAATTCTGATTGTGAGTGACATTTGTATTGCTTTGGGTTAATACTTTTGAGTATATGGATTGTAGGGCATGAATACCTGAACCCAAACTTACATGATTATAATAATTGAAAAGTTTCACTCAAGATACGATGAGTTCAGGACAACAACTTCCAGAGGATGATGATGAGTTTCAGGAGTTTCGGGAAGCTGGTAGGTGGACAAAACAACCATGATATCTAGCTGCTCTTATTACTAGACAGTTGTGGTATGCCTTGGTGCAACTCATTTTCAATATTGTTCTTTGTAGAGCATCATTTGATATAGTAATAGCTGACAAGACTGACAATTGAATCAATAGACTGGACAGAGGACAAGGAAGATCATGAGGACAAGGATTTATGGCTGGAGGATTGGGACAATGAGGACTTTGATGATGACTTTACTAAGCAATTGAGGTATGTTGCTGATCATGAACTAGACAATCTATATCTATTGTCTAGTTCATGATTTTATATTCGAGGGTATTACACTATAGAGCGCCAACTATGGCATTCCGATTGCAATCACTCACTACTTGTTACATAATATAGAGCAGAACTGTTGAAAATACCGCCAACGGGAGTTGCTTTAGACACATCTGCATCAGGGGCAGGATCTAAATAGTCGATTGGCAATAATGAATCTACAAAATGGAGTGCATTTTATCAGGGCTTGATTCAAATCTACTAGCATTTTGAATGCATGACTATTATTTGTAGCAATGAAGACTCGAATCCACTTTTTAAATGGCTAGGGCATATATTACAGTCATATTCACGTAAATGGAGCACTAAATAAAAGTGTTTAATAAATAGCCAATCTTGTAAAATAATGGGTGCTAATTTACTGAACAGCATTGTCTTTTGGACTCTTTAGCTTATTGGTATCTCCTGATGATTTGCATGAACACAACAGTTGTATTGAGATGTGCAGTCTGTTTTCTTGGACTAAATCGCGAATATATCCGATATTTTAGGATATAGTAGTCTGTACAATGTGCGGCTATGCTAAAAAGGATAATACCAGTTCAAAGCCATGATGTGATCGTGTGCATCATATAATAAACTTTATGTTTAGATATTGTCTACTCCAAAACAAAATAGAGGCAGTCGCTGCAAAATAAACACAAAAGCGTTCCATTTACGTGAATACGGCTGTATATCAATATATCTTGTCAACTGGATTGAGAATATAATACAACTGGTCAAATTGAAGGTGACAACACGTGATTATAGATGACTGGCTCTTGATAATAGTATCTTCAAGTCTAAACCAAGATGCTTATGTAGACTCAAACCCTTGTTGGAATATTCATACTTGATGTATTCATTGGAATCTACGATCCTGTGGTTGAGATGGTTCGCAAGAATCAAATAAGAGCGCGTTGGAAGCAAAAATAAGTTCATATTTCGCTTGTTGAACATTTAGTTTTCTGCTAAGAACTCTTCACTTAGGCTTGTGCAATTTACAGACTAATAGCAACTACCACTCTACGGCTTATATCTGCAAACCAGCCAGTACTACCTCTGCAACTTTAGAACACAGGTAGTCCTTTTGTATTGCAGGCTTTTTATATGTCCCTTGTTTGCTCAACACCAATTTGCCCCTATTGGCAAACATCTTCCCTTCTCAGTCCACTCTCGCTTGCATTTCTCCATCCCAATCAAAGGTTGCATAGTATTGGGCATTAGTACTGGATACTGCTCCATAATATTGATTTGCTGGGCTTCTAGGCACTGCTTAGGGACCTGATACGCCCTAGCACATACAACTTCAAACGATATTCTAATGAAACTAGACACTGTCATCATTACTATCTTTCTGCATCAAGATCCAGTACTACTCTAGCAACTAAGCCTGCTCTAATCATTCGAGTCTTGAGCTATTCAATTTTCTATCAACCGAGCCAGCCCGGCCTGTTTTAATTAATATTTAAACCCAACTCGCCAAATCTGCCTTTTTATCCATCAGTGGAGTGTGTTTTGGCATTATACTGGACTATTATGAATCTATGTAGTATGTCTGTTTGTATGTGCGTATCCAAGTACTATAGTGCATGGGTGAAATTCCTATTCTACCAATAGTGACATTAGGCACATACTTGCTCATCCACCCTCATTGTCTACTCATCTTTTACACCCTTACATCAAACGGCTGAGCCTTATCCTTTTGTATAAATCCTTTCATCTTTCGAGTTGCAGGGCTTTATCTTTTGCACTGCATCATCGGTTAAGCTATCCCTAATATAGTATGAATTGGCAGCTTGTAAAGCTAAGCATGCTGATTGCTATGCATACGAGTGCGCAGACGCCATCTGCAATGTATCTAATGCATTGCAGATGTCGAAGCTGTTCCTATCGAATTTCATGCGGTTGATTTAAATTGCAACAATTCACTTTAATCCACTCAAAAGATTGGTTTCAGAACAAGGTGATCATTGGCAATAACTTGCTGGAGCAATGCAACACTATGTTCATTTACTATACAGTATTGTATCTGGCATATTTAATACGGGTTGTATGTGCAGCTTTGTCCACTGCAATATTCCTTTACTAAGCTTTGCACCAGTATTTGTGCATTTTAAAATAGCCACTGGTGTGTTTGAAACTCCTCATATTCTCCCATGTAACTGATGTTTTATTTTGTATTGCCGGACTACTGTATGACCTGATGCTTTACCGTCGATTTTACCAGATTCATTTTGATGTGCATCATATTATTTGTTGGCGACTGTATACACTTTATCCAGATTTGACTCCTTTTAACACTTTATTATTTTACCCATTATATCCTTTTATTTACTCGAGATACTAACATTGCTTTCAACATGTATTTCTAATTTTTGTAGCAGGCAACATAACTTTGATCAAACCCATTAGTTCATATAGCATTTTTTGAAGAAACATCATGTCAGAACTTAAACTCAGGAAACTAATGGAGCACACGCAGCGGCTGAAAGAGCAACTTGACTTGCCTAGAATTAAGGTTTCAGAGGCCAGTCAAACGTAAGTTTAATACTGGATTTAAAAGTGTGTTTGTCGTCGGCAGATGACCAATACCTTGTTGCTTGACCATTCAGACCATGTCTAACTTTTTTGACCGCATTCTAATCCAGCTTAATTCAATACGTCACAACAACTAAAGACCATCTACTTCCTTCGGTTTGGGGTCTAGTTGATAAAAAGGAAGATCCTTTCCAAACAGGAGGGGGGTCTTGTTGTATAGTATTGTAGTCTATATGGGTAGAAACAAGGAGTTATCGGGTAGCGATGTAATTTATGTATGGGCTGTCTACCCTACTGATACAGCGCTACATACTCTCAACTTATTGGTTAAAATGTAATGTAGATTATTTTTGTACCACTGGTGCATTATTTCTACTTTTTCCTTGCAATCTAACCCTCTTACTGCGCTTCTGTCTTATCTTTGAATTTCCACAACTAAAGTAATGGAATTAAGCCTTTTGGCCATTCACCTCCATTTTCTCTTTTTATCCTCCTATTCTCTTTTACCCAATAGCGTGATACTATCCTCTTTACTGCTTTTGCACTACTACACTGGATCTGGTTTACTTAAATTGCCAAAATAAAGATGGTTACCACATATCTAAGCTTTATATACTTTTCTGTATACTATCAATTGTGTCAAATTGAATGGGAAGTTTACCAAGTGTCTGAAATAAGCCATCCCAGTTTGTGGCATTCATGTCGCTCCATCATTTCAAGACTGCAAAGCACGAGCAAGTTCTTGTTGTAGAAGCATTCTATATTTCTCATCTGCTACCTATACAGTCAAGGAGTGTTAAAAATGCAACAGACTCGATCTAAACAAAATGTAATGGACTCTCGCCATCCCATTCAAATTGATTGTTTTACATACTTTTGAAAGCTCGTTTTCCTGCTGATTCCTATGCCTCATTTCCACACGATGACGCTCAGCAATCTCTATCTGATCCCTGAGTGTGTTTGAATAATCACGTTTGGATTTGACCACCTTGTCATGGCGAGCAGCCTCGCATGCCTTGGCCTCCTCGATTTGCTTGGCAATCTCAAGTTTCTCTGATCGGATCTGTTCCTGATTTTGACGATTTCGCTCCACTACATGGTAAAAGATTAAATGCAAAAAGGGTTGATCAGGCAAAGCTTAAAGAGCTGGTACAAAGAAAAGCTAGCAATTGGTTAAGCAAGACCAAAACAACTTGCATGCATATTTAATTTGCTCATGACGACCATCCATTACTTCTTTCATGAGTTTATCTCGAGTGGATTGTTCCTTTCGCCATTTCTCTGTACGTGCCTTCCATAGCTACAGTTTGAGTGAATGTGAGATTTCAACACAGTATTTAATCAACCCATTTTGGTGTCCATTTCAACTCTCAAAGCAATAGCTAGGTATATGAATACAATCATGAAACGGCAACCCACTCTTTCCTGTTCGCCAATATACCACCGCTCGATATCTTCTTCACGCAGTCGTTCCACCTCCTTTTGATCTAGTAAATGCTCGCGATAAAGCTGCATCTCATGGCGGAGTTCATCTCGACGGCGTTGCTTGTTTTCTTTTTCAATTTTTTCCAGCTTGAGAAATTCAGAGAGAATACGCATATCCATCTCCAAAGCTTCTTGAACGTCTTTTTGGCGCTGCTGAAGGCGCTTTTTGTTGAAATCGTCAAGATCTTGGCGAATGAGACGCTGCTCCTGTAGCTTGCGCTGATGCTTTCGCTCATCTTCCATGAGCTGAGTTTCATGCTCCTCTCGCTACAAAAATTTAAAAATCAAAATCAAAAATAAAATCAGACATTGAATAAAAATAAACTTGCAATCAACATTTAATCAGTAAAAATAGTGAAACAGCTCAACTTTACCATCAATCGTGCTTCTTCACGCTTAAGCTCAACTTCCTTTTGGGCTTGTGACTTTAAAGCACGTAATTGCTGCTCTAGTATCTGTGTAGTGCTTTCGTTGATAGCTTGTAGATGAGCACGATCTGATTCTTCTCGGCAAATCTTTTTTTGACGATCTTGTTCCCATAAATCTTGATAGTACAGCTCTTCTTTGCGCTCAAGTGCTTTACGCTCGATTTGTTCTTGGATTTGGATTGCTCGTGCATCAGAGACTTTTTTCTCAAGGACTTTGGACTCAATGGTACGAAGGTCATCGCATTCTTTTCTAAAAACACACAGGCACACATCAGATGATAATACAGCGTGAGTACCGTAAACATAATTTTTGTGGACACAATCAAACAAGGTTGGATGCACGTTTGTCGCTTTGATAAGTTGATCAATTGATAGTTTACCTCCATCGCTGCATGAGTTTTTCTTCTACAACAGATTTACGCTCACGCTCACGTTGCTCTCGGAGTTCGCTCACACGTTTACGCATGGTATCAACTCTAGATTCACGTGTCTCTTGCTTGGATAACAGATAAGATCGATACGTTTCTTCATCATCGGCAAACAGTTGACGTAGTCTACTCCACAATTTAAAAGTAATGTCAACACGGCACGCTACAGGTACATCATGACAAATATTTCCAAAATGCGCACATTTCACACATCCAAAACAGTAAAAGATTCAGTATGGTTTAAACCATCACTCACCGTTCCTGACGTTCCTCTAATTTGGAGCGTTCAAAAATCTTCAATTCGTTGAATTTTCGCAAAACCTGTTTGCGATGAATAGACTGGCTCGATTTTTCCTCAAACTGAGACTATACAACCCAATCCATCACACACCATGAGCCAACCCATCCAACACAAATAAAACCAGTCAGCTCATGACAGTCAAGTGATGAGCCCATCGCTATCTAGATTGTAATACAATTGGATAGTTACCTTTAATTCTGCTTGAGCATAGTATTGCTTTGTTTCACGGCTCTGATTTCGGGATTCTTCTTCTCGACGACGATTGATAATCAGATAATCAGATTTAAATGTATTCGAGCGCTAGATAAAATTCGCCATAGCAAGTTTAGGGTAGACGGTCCAGCATTGCAGCAAATGCACGCAAACAAGTTCAAAGTACAGTTAGTAAGATCAAATACAACCCAGTGAATATATTTTTGGATTGGGTGGGTTATTATGGTCAGGGTCGAGTACTTTGGTTTTAACTATTCTGGTTCAGTAATTTGGCAATTTACCAGAATCCAAAAGCAGTATTCTATTTGACTGCAGTGGTTTTGATGGCTTTAAACCATTTAATTGTATACCAAGATGATAGAAATTGTAGTGTATTGGTTTTGGATGCAGATAGGCTAGTAGCTACAGCTTGGCCTAGTTGGGATAATGACTTGCAAACAAGTACATTCCAAAACCATGTAGTTTGGACTCACTGTAGCAGTTGTTGCCATATTTTTTAAAAGTATTCTCTTTCTGATAGTAAATCTGGTATAAACTGAAAAGTGGCTGCTGTTCGATAACTGGTTATGCAAGTAATATCTGGGATTCTTGGAGTAACTTTGTAATTGTCAAGATTTTGGCGTTGTCTAAAATTAGCCAAATATTAGAATTATTGGTCGAATCTTGAAGGTTGGGTGCTAATAGCCAGTAACTTGGCCATTTCATTTCATTTTAAACTCGATTCACTTTTGAAATGGTGTGTCTGACGATAGATAAAGTAATTTGAACAATAATGGATAGGCCTTTATTCTTCAAACCAAAGAAATGTATTTTTCTTTAGATTGTGGGTGGGGTGAGAAAAGGTAAGTTGAAACAAAGCAGAGAACAGGCTTGTAGATGGCCAAACAGTAATGCCTTTATGATTAACATTGCTAAACTTGGAATTCCTCGGCGTAGGGGAGTGTCAAGGTATTACCCATAGACACGACCGATGGCTTGGCGGAAAGCATGCTTTTGACCAACTATTAAACAGTGAAGTTTAAAAGAATTAGTGCCAAGATCTTCAAGATTAAATTATATTGTGAAAAAAACAAACCTTTTGGACATCTGCAACGGTCACTTTGTTGATAGAGTGAGCCTCTGAACCAGCCTGGGACGTGGCATTTGAAAGAGCACCTTTTGTAATCAAGTCGACAAGGTTTTCACGAGTCTGACCTTCTTCGGCATAAATGATGGCAGCCTTTTGTGCAGCTGAAAATGATTCTGTGGTGATGCTCGAAGAAAGACTGCGAAGAGTTTCAAGAGACTTGGATACAACTTGTTTTACCTCGTTAGTAGCACCAACGACATGGATACCAAACAAACCAGCATCAGAGTAAGATGTGGTAAATGAGGTTGAAATTGTTTTTTCAGTGCTAGCCTTGGCAAGTGCACCAGAACGAGCACCCCATTTGACACGCTTGGAGCCATCAAGCAGAGCCTGAAGAACAAGCGATGCCTGATATTCTGGAGCGGTATATGCGACACCGGGAAAGGCAACTGCATAATGTGCCTCAGAGTGAGGTCCCATCTCAATACGAACTTCACCGCCAAAATAACGGGATTTTTGTGGATTGGATTTTCCAGTAGAAAGAGAAACCTTTGAAAATGCAGAGTCAACAAGAGTCTTCAGATCGTTGTGGGAAATGCCAGATCCAACAACGGTGATGCGATCAGCAGTAAAGTATTTATCAACAAACTCAAACAATTTGGCACGATTAAGGCCGTGGATAGCCTCGCTAGATGCAAGAAGAGGGTTACCGAGTCCATTACGGAATGCGACCTGGTGGAGTTTTTCAAACAGGGCAGTAGCAGGATCAGCAAGAGAGGCCTCAGTCTGTTGAGCGACATGAGGAGCAGCATCCAAAAATTCGTATGGTTGAAACGAGCGGTTGAACATATGCGAGACAAGAGTAGGAACAGCATCGACTCTAAATAAAATGTAGACAGTATTGAGCACAATTATTAATTCTACAAGGATCACATTGCAATCAACTTTTGCAAATATATGAATAATTATATCATGAGTTTGACTCACAGATCATCACGTAAAAAGTCGGATGCCAAGACAATGTGCTCACGGCTTACTGATGCGTGGAGGGTATTACCACGAAGTTCGGCTTCACGGATAGTACGAGCCAAATTGTCACCTGGAAGAGCCTAGTAGAGATCATTGATTACAACATTCAACAATGAAGGGTTAGTATGCGCGATTTACTACGACTGAGCTGATGCATCATGTAATAGGATCAGCAAAAGTATCTGCAGATGCAATAAACCCATTAACAATGCTTAAAGATCATTAAGCAGTGATATCCGTTATATTTCAACAACTGCTGATCAGTCATACAAGTCAATGCAATCAACGAATGACAGCATCAGTTGTACTAACAACTGATGCTGAATTGATCAAGAGTAAAGACTACCGCAAAGCATTGTTTTAAACAAGACATGCTCTCCACTATCCTCATGATAATCAAGCCGTCAAAGACACCAATAGCAATGAGTCTGTGCGCAGGATAAAAAACCCTTCACCCACTGTGTATCAATGCATTCTTACTCTAAGAAGACAAGCCTTGAGCATATGAGCAGTTCCAGGAGCATCAGCAGTGTCGAAGCGAGAGCCAGCATTGACCACAATTGCCAGAGTCGAAGCAGGCCCAAAGTGGTCGTACGTGGCCACATTGACACCAGATTCAGCCTTGGAGAGAGTCTTGACGACAGCAGGAGCAACAACTGGCTGGAAGCCATTGCGACTGTAGATCACTGGATTTGGAGAGCTTGCTAGCACGGCAAACGACCTGAAAGATGGACGGACCAAGCCAGACGTACGGTGCATAGCAGTGGATGCTGGACGGAACATTCTGACGAATTCAATAAAGAAAACAAGTTTTTCTGCCACGACTCGCGAATGTCAAGACTAGCGTTTGTCAAGTCGATTCTATTTTATTATGAATTCAAACTTGATTCGAGATCTGTGCGATGCTCAGTCTTTAAACTTCAATTCATTCAACTTGAATTGTCTGCCAACATACTCGGCATTGTTCTGTATTGAAGTTTATAGACTCTCAAACTGCTGATCTTCACTCCATCGCTCATGAGGTTCTGGACTATCCATTCCAGCATCATATCCTCCCTCTGTCTTTAAAAAGTCTAGATTCGATAGTTCCACATCCCATGCTTTGGCTTCATCCGCATCGTTTAGCAGTCGTCGGAGTCCAGGCGCTTTTCCCCATGTATTGTCTTCTTCTCTCTGGTTGAGCCATTTCACAAGCAGCAGCAATGCTGCTGCCAGTCCTGTAGATACAGCACACATCACACATACTATTGGGTAGGTGGGTGCTTCAGAACTCCGAAATAAATCTGGCTGTCCAGCAAGTGCAATCCCAAGGGAATTACCAAATACTACAGTTAGTGCTGCTGCTGTCGCTCTACTTGTATCTCCTTGTGCTTTTTCCATTGCATAAGACAAGATGGATGGCACAGCTGTGATCAATCCTCCTGCCGCTGGAATCAATCCTATAAAATACCGTGCTGGCCCTGCTCCTGGATATTTGGGTGGTAGCATGGCCATAAAGAAAAACCCAACACTAGATGTCAGCAGTGGAATTGCACCGTGTATCGCACGCTCGCCGCTGTTGTCTGAATGAAAAGATACTCCTAATGCAACAACACTTGCTAAAAGATACGGTGCAGTGGACAACAGAATGGCTGGAATGTTACCATTGTCATTATCTGAAATAATAATATCAAGTTCGCCTCCAGTGACATTTCTCAGATCAGATGGATTAAATTCAAACGATGTTACCACAACTTCAGGACTAAGGATGATCAGGCAATCCAATGCGACGGACGCCAAAAAAAAAATCAATGCCAGCAGCCAATATCGCGGATCTTTGACAATATCTAAAAGCTGAATCATATGAAACTTGAAAATGGGTTCCTTGGTTTTTTTGGTAATCCCTGTAATCAATAGGTTGGTATCATCCTCGGCTCCATCGCGACCACGTGAAGCAGCCAGTACTCTGTCGGCTGTAGATAGAAAATGACATGTTTCCGGAAAACTAGGTAATAGCATTCTAAAACTCAATGTTAATATCAAAACATATCACTCGCTATTGAACATACGTGGATAAACCAACTTCAATCTTTAAATATGGCTCTCTGATCAACATTTTAAACCGTACAAAGTGATGCATCCCATTGTCACTCCGAGAAGTCCTTGAACAATAAATGTCCTGTCAATATAAGAGTGTTAAATCTACATGATACAATAAGAAAAACACCCATAGTATCACACACCACTGCCATCCTGCCAATCCCATTACACCATCTGCACGTGCTAGATAATGTGTAATAAGTCCAGATGCAGAAGATACGGCGGTTGCTGATGAAATAATATACGAAAATCGTGTTGCAAGCTCCTCCTTTGTGTAAAATGAGACTACATATAGTAGAATGCAAGGTACAAATCTACAGCAAAATACAAAATAAATGATTGGTATAAATACTGCAATATTCAAACACACTATCTGATGTTGTAGACATGCCGAGCGATCATGACACACAGCACATACCCAGCCTGAACAATTCCAAGAAAAATGCGAGTCACTAAAAATCCAGCAAAATTGGATGTGCTTGCTGTTGTTGCAGCAATCAATCCCCATGAAAAAAAACATCTAGTATTTATCAAATTAATCTCAAAAAATTAACGTACATTCGGTAGATTTAAATCAACTCTTACATTGCTGTCATACACAACACATTGATTCAACGTTGATCCATGAAATACACAAACAACATTAGTAACTATGTTTTAATAAAAGTATCATTTGGTAATCTCAACACAATGCTTTTCTTACCAAACCAACGTGATGAACCTATCAATCTAAACGTAAGGGTTGCTGGAAGTGCAAACAAAATCGATCCTATAATGTATACCCACAACGGTTATTTCAAACAGATTCATCAACTATTTATATCACTATTAAACTCGCACAGTTTTACTCATACACTCCAATGTAGTCAAAAGTTTAATGAATCTAAACCCACCAATACTAAATGATATCAAAGCCCAACTAAAGTCACTATTGTTCATGTCAAGGTCTTTTGCCAAACCTGCTCTTGTTGTAGGGTTTGTAAGACGAGTATTAAGTTGTACAGACCGATCCTAAACAGTCACATATAATTTTAATGAGATTAAACAGTTAGAGTAGCCCGCAATATAGTTTAAACATTGACAACATGTCATGTAAGCCACGCGTTTTAATATGGACAATATTGTTGAATTGACAGGATAATACAAGTCAGTGTATTCTCTTTAGAATGGCATTTTAGATGCTTGACAGTATCAATTGGTATATTGGAACCTACTAGCAAGATACTAAGATACAACACAGCCAAGAATGGAATCAATTTCTTATCGAGTGTCTTGACAAGCTCGCGCTCTTGAGGGTCGTATTCAACCATATTTCCACGCTATAGTGTTTTAGTAAAAAATCAAAAGCAAGTTTATCCTGTAGATTTGATTCCATATACAAGTGCAACTCGTGATTTCTTGGCAATGTTTGGCTTCCATTAGACTGATGAATAGAATCTATCCTGCACACAACAGTCATAAACACCAAATTTAAAAAGACAAAAACTACTTTTTAATCTACAGAATTCATGCGTTACGCATGCAACTTTCCAGCCAGAACAACAACTCTCGACACTTTCAATGATCTCAACGAGTAGCCCAAGAATGGAAACGCGTTTCAACTTTTAGGTTTTGACGGTTAGCTTCCGATTTATGCTGACTTTCACACGATGGCACACTGGACCGGAGCTTTATTTCCTAGCAGTAACAACAGCATTGCTACCAGCATTACTGATAGGTCGGGTGATACGGAAGAGCAGAGTTTGAATATTAGCGAGGAGAGTGTTTATCATTCTGCTGTAGAACTGCTTACCAACAGAACATTAGGCTCTCGTGCAAATACTGTGTCGATTGCCGACTCCGCTACTACTGTTGCTACTACTGTTGCTACCACTATTTCAACCCCATCCGACATCACTGGCTGCACTCCAACAACTACAAGCTTTGCAAATACTGCATTCGAGTTTGGACTACCAACTCCTAAACCAGGTGAAATAGCTGCTATTGTTGGTATGGCAGGCATGCATCCACCACAAGGTCTTGATCATCTTTTGGATCGACCATCAACCTCTTCTTCAATCGTTACACGAACTCCGAAACCAACGAGAGCGTTGGGCTTTAAGGAGTCGCTTTCCAAGAGTGGCGTAGAGAAGGATGGTGAGTTGAGCCATGCTGCTCATGGCATCAATCATCAGTATCATCGTGATGAGCAAGGCAATTGTAGTATACAAGATGGACAAAGTAGTCAAAATTCAGACACCTTTCCGAAAGCAACCAATGCTCAAAGTATCAGTCTGTCCAGCAGCACTGACGACAGTGCTACCAATGATGAGATTGACAGCAGTGATCCAGTTCATAACATCACCATCAACTCTTGGCTATTTCCAAGAACCTCTCTGCCAACCCAAGTCCCTCATCCACGCTATTCCTTCATGATTACCAGCGAAACAGCTGATGGTCCGCTGATGGATCTGGTCACGGTGTATCGGGCGGAGGTACTTTTTGATTATACTCCGACCACATTTGTAGATCCCGACGGGTCAGGAGATAATGCTGTTACTCCAATCTCGCTCACTGCTGGAGAAATCGTGAGTGTTTTTGGAAACAACAGTGTTGGCTTTACCGATACTGCCACTGGCGAGTTTTGGAGGAGTAGCAGAGCTGAACCTGTTCATCACAATCTGGACATTGTCAGCGATGTCAATGTTTCTGGCGGGTGGTGTCATGTCGAACGAAAGGATGGCCAAAACGGATATGCTCCCATTGCTTATCTCAAGGTGAAAATTTGACATTCTAATTATTACTGTTGATCTGGTTAGAGTGCCTTGTAACTGACATGTAGTCTATATTTCCAAAACAATAAATGTGCGGATTTAGTTTGAAACACCAGAGCTTGCGCAAGCAGACGACCTTCCAGAGCGAGCTAATTTACGAAACAGTGCACATGGTCTTGTTATAGATTCTAAACCCCATCATCGCCTTTCTGCAGGAAATTATCTGACATCTTTCCCCGCACCTCCAACAGATCCATCTTTAGAAATGTATCTTGACAACCATCAGACACCACCCATTGCACTAGCAAACATCTTGAGTTCAGCCAAAGTAGGAACATCTTTTCAGTCCATGTGGTCATCCATATTCCAAAACAACAACGCTTTACGTGAATTTATTTTACGTGGACCGGTAGTTGATCCGTCAGCAGTCATTCGTCAGCGAATCCAAAGCACCATTTCAACTTACAATAGTCCATATGATCGTGTCATGTCGGTAATCCCCTCATGCTATGTGATTGAGAGCAAAAACAACGGTACCATGCATTGGAAACCTCAAATTGAACCCTTCAAAGTAAGTGTACACTCTCCTCGTCGCTGTCGTCGCACTACAGCTAGCAAACGCGAAGAATTTGTGCTTTACAAGATTACAACCATGTTCGTGTCAAATCGTGCAGATGAACACGATGCAGATACAAGTGTCACTGTAGAGCGTCGATACAACGATTTTACCTTTCTCCACTCATATTTAGAGACCATTTTCCCTGTAAGTACGGTTGTGACGCTGCCTGCTGCACTTCCTCCAAGACACTCGACTCAATCTCGATTTGACGAAGCCCATGTAAACGAACGCAGACGCGGACTTCAGTTATACTTGGATCAAATTTCCCGTCATCCCATTTTTAGATCTGAAGATATTGTCATGCAATTTTTGACTACTTGCAGCATTGAAACAGATCTTGCCGAAATTGATGAAGGGCATTGGCCCTTGGATAGCGAGTCATCTGTTGTTTCTGCCAATAGTGGCGAGGTAATTACTATTTTGATGGCATGTATTTCATTTTAAACACTAACCGATTTGCTTGATGAATACTGTAGTGGAGACTTGCATATGACATTCCTCGCATTTCTAACCCAACATATAGCTTCTTTGAGCATGTTATTGTTCCCGAAACTGCAGCTTATAACTCGTTAAGTTTGTAAGTCAACTATCAACATGAATGCGTTGCATAGTTTCAAATAGAACTTGTTTGTACAGTGTAACTGACTTTTATTCCATAATCTTAGATCAACATTTAAACTGCGCGGAGTCGAGTCTATTTCAGATGCACTAGCCAATCGCCTTTCGCCCTTTATTGACGCAACACTCACCTATCAATCCCACATTGTTGGACTGCACGACGTCTATCTTAAAATGTCAGATGCACTTCTCAGTACGGGCCGACTGCTTTCCCGCACTGGTGACAATCAGCCTGGCTGTTGGAACCCTTCATGCAACGATTGCGGACTCATTGGTGATGCAATGATTGCTGCAAGCTTACAGCTTAAGCATATTTCCGATGTGCATCAATCACACGGAACAAGATCTCTAGAATCATTTGTGCAAAGCACTAAACAGATTAAATCAGCAATGAGTCCGTTACGATCGTTAACCAACATGTTCAAAACTGTGACAAAAACAGTTCTGCAACAAGAGCACCAAAAGAGTGGGCTTGAAAGTGTGCATGATCCTGCTTTGGAGTCTCGCCCTAGTGCAAATTCGGGCTTGTCGCATTCTACCACACCCAATCCAAATGGGTTACCTGAACCACGGCTGTTTTCTCGATCGCATCCACCCAATCAGCAGTCTGAGCTAGGCACACATCGACGCCCCATCCAAGCTAGATCAGAACTTCCTCGTAACAATACCCAACAACGAGCGGCTGTGGTTCTTGCTGTTGCCGAATCCGAGGCGGTACAAGCCCATTCTGAAAAAATGTTTATGATTGAAGATGCAATGTCGACGTGGCTAGATGGTGAAATCGAGATGCACGAAAAACTTTTAAAACGACTTCGTGCCGCCAAAGAAATATTCCGCGGACCTAATCAGCGACTTTAATGTTATTACAAGTCGAAACAACAGTATGCAGTTAGATGTGTCTGCATTGATCACATGTTGAACCCATTCAGCAAGAATCCATGAAAAATGAAAATTTAGTGTATCTGAATTCACAGCTAGCGATAATGGAAGGGATAGAGAAATCCCATATTTTTAGTTGTACAAAACTCCACATTCGTCATGTTTTAAACACACGTTGATGGCATCAAACACGTTATTTCAGTCTTTTGGAAGCAAAGGGTTTTTGTTTGTAACCATGTACGACTGTTTCAGATTAGCATACAGACTATATGACTGAAACGTGTATCAAGATCAACAGACTCACCAACAGTCTTTAGACCAAATGAGTGGCTTTGTCCTATATTGAGCCGAGAAGATCAGCAAACAGGTCGTGTCAGATGGTCATCGTGGTATAGGAAACACGATCAATAGATACTTCTGCCATTCAAATCAACAATCCATCAATATTTGCAAAATAGCATCGCTAGAGATGATAGATGCTGACAATGTCTCATGTTTATTTATTTGATATCTCCATTATCATCAGCTGTGAGGGTGAATATATTACATAATTCATTATGTGTGTGCAATACAAAAACTAACTGGGGTGATAGTCGTTATAGATGATTTAAATCATTATCGTCTTCAAAAGTCAACGCAGCTCAGTATCTGATAAACAAGTCTCTGATTGTATGGCATTTTTGTCAAAGTCGGGAGAGACGTGGTTGATGTGATGGACAACAGTCGATGCATCGGTAAACCCAAACTGCGGGTTCGACACGTCGGGAATAATTGTTTGGACATTGTTTGATGGCAATGACTCGAGAGATATAGGAACTATTGCAAAGGAGTAGTCGGTTTCAATACCCAACTTGGTAGATCCATCAAGTGTGTCCGTATTAGTGTAGTGCTCGGATATGACATCGTCATCTGAATGGGTGGAGATATGGCACAGTGATTCATCACGCTCCGCCTGAAATGTTTGATACATTTGACGACACTCGCTCGGTTTAGTCTGGCAATCATCATTGTCATCAGCGTCCAATAATACCAAATCCTGCACCTCATTGTCGGCATCAGTCACAGCAATGTTTTGACTGCCATCTTCCTGTTCAGCGCCTTCATATATATCTTCTACTTTGTCTACTTCGCCATCATCCTCATATATGTCTTCCTCGAGTTCATACTCATCTTCGTCTATCGATGTGCCAGAAGACATCAGATCCATAAGCTGTTTCCGCTGAATTGCTTCCTCCTTGTACGCTCTAAAGTCAAACGTGGTTGGATCAAACAGGCAAAACGGGTGCATCTCCAACTCGGCTGCCGTTGGCCGCTCTTCGGGATTAATAACAAACGTTTTGGTTAAAAAGTCTGTTCCCATAGAACTGAGATGCTCAGGCAAGGGCGGTTTGTCTTCTCTGCCCAATCGCCACATGGTCTGAACTTCGTCCAATTGTCTCCAAGGATGATTACCAGTAAACATCTCCAACACCACACATCCTAGACTCCATATATCCACTTTTGCAGAATAGCCTTTGGACTTGATTACTTCCGGCGCCATCCAATACACTGACCCTTGAATCGACATACGAGAGTTATATCGGTATGCCATTTGATGCTTATTCTTTTTGGAAATGCCAAAATCGGATATCTTGGCCCATCCATCCTCGTCAATAAGAATATTTCCACCTTTGATGTCTCGATGAATAATCAACCGCTCATGCAGATATCTGAGACCATTCAGGACTTGTGATACAATGCTTTGAATCAGCGGTTCTTCAAAGTTTCCCATTACAGCCAATGCAGTAGAAACAGATCCACCCGACACGTACTCGAGAAAAACACTGATAAAATCCGTTTCGACGTCAAACCCAAGGTATCGCACAATGTTTTCATGATCAAGATCCTTGAGTAATGAAATTTCACGATGCAAAGCCTCGAGCATCTTGCGTCGTGCTTTAGCTACAGCTTCGTCATGTGTAGAGTGATGAAGCTTACGAGATGATGTCGAATCACCGCTGCTACGAGAAAATGTTCTGACTCGATAAGTTGGTGATGGAACTTGCTTGACTGCCATAATCTCTCCAGTTTCACAGTTAACACCATAAAACACCTTTCCAAATGAGCCAGCACCAATCAATGGCCCTTTAATCCATTGCACATTGCGTGGTGTATCTGGATGAGTAGCGAATGTGTGCTGATAGTCATTGATTGAATCGCTTCTTTCTAAGCATGACAAGCCATTCGCGGACAATGCTTGGCCATCCGCAAATACCTTGGATAAACCAGTCAATTCTTCCTCAGACTCAGAGTCTTCATCCATATCAAACTCATCATCACTAGAATCCTCTATTTTAGACATGGCCTCCTGCTCGTCATCGGCATCATTGTGAAAATGATCAAGCGTTCCATCAATGTCAGCACTACGCGTACGACGTTTAACAGGCTTGTGAAATTGATTTTTAAATGAACCTTCTATTCTAACTTTGGAATCGTTCAAAGATGTCAAATCAATACTAGGAGCCCTTAGTGAGGGAACATGAAGTGAAGTGTCTGTTAAATCGGCAGTAGTGGTCTGATTGTGTGAAATAAGCTCATTAGTGTTACCACCTTTCGTTTCTTCTGACAAATGGTATCGATTGGGAAGTTGCGTGTTTGATTTCAAGGTGTTGTTGAGCAAAGACAAGTCATCTGATACAAAGTTTTCAGTAGAGATTAGATCGTCAGACTCAAGTGGTAGTGGGGCAGTTGAAATGAGTTTAACAGCGGTAGAAACATCATCGGATGCTTTCAATTCATGGAGACTATTAGAATACTGTTCACTCGTACGGTGATCAGAGAGTTTAGAGCTTGTTTTACTATTTATGTTTTCCTCTGTTTCCTCACTGATCGTAGAGGGAAGCGTATCAGGCTTGAGTTTGATTGACGTCGTGTCATTGTGCAGTAGATCCATCGACTCTTCAATCACTGCTGGCTCAAGATGTAAAGAGCCTGCCTGATCAGGTGTGAATGGATTTGATGATGCATCTGCTTCAAAAGATTCCCAAGGCACAGGATGGGCTGAGATATCATAAGTGCTCGATAGCAGCTTTTTAGTCATATTTTGGTTATGTTGCTGCTGAAGCTGAATTCGACTTGTGCGTTTCATAGTTACGGTTTCCCTAACAATCACCGGTAAGGTTTTATCACCTGATTTTTGACTAATTTTTGCTGGCTTAAGTTGCTCGATACCTGGGAAATATTTTTCTAAATTATTTGCGATTTCGTGGGTTGGAGGCCGATCGCCAAAAAAGCTTTCCAGCTTTTTTGTACTTCGTAAATTTACAGCGCCAGTATAATCGGGATCAAACCGACTGGTAATGTGGGGTGCGTTACGACTAATAGTAGATGCTCGGGAGGATCCCACACGGATAGAAAATCTTGAATTATTGCGCTGGTGTTTCTCAAAAGGAGCATTAAGCATATTTGAGCCATCAGTAGGCACAGACTCGCCAAAGAAACTAGCAAGTTTTTGAATGGATCGTGTCTCTTTGACATCGGACAATGTGTTTGATAGCGCTGGATCTAAATCCGAGTCAAATTGTGATGATCCTATAGAATCCACTTCAGCAGAAGACTTGTGCAACGAATCCAAATGCTTTTTAGACTTTCCACGAGGCAGAGACGTATGCCGCACAGGAGTGACTGGGGTGTATTTTGATTTTATCAAATTTTTTGATGTTGAAGTGGAGCGAGGAGATGGCTTTGAATTACCAGCAGAACTAGATGAAGATGGTCCTGGCTTTTTTCTGGAAGTTTTGGGAGAAGGTCCGTCAAGCAGTTCAACCAATGCATCTACAGGGACAATGGGTGCCGCAGCACGACGACTTGAAGGACGTGCTCGGGGAACAGAGCTGCGAGAACGTGGCAACTCCAACATGAGATGGCTGCGATAAGGATGATCTGGATTTAAACAAATTTCCATTAAAGTGGCATCGTCAATACTTGTATCTCGAACAAACCGATTTGTATTGAGCGTACTTTGCTCAATATACAACTCATAGCGGTCATGAGATTTGATATTGAATTTAGCAAGTATTTTTTCTCGAATCTTGGCAGGGTCCTGCATTCCAGAAACATCAAAAATGTGAGATTGTCGCCGAACGTCATAGACTCTAATACATTTTGCGCGGATTCCTTCAAGATTCATGATATCATCTCTATAGGTTGGAGAAATAGGTGAAGTTGGACCAGAAGCCAGCAATCCTTTGGCAGATCGCCGCTTGCTGTCTCCAAATCTCTTTTCATTAAGCGCATGAGTAGTTCTAATATCAGGGGTTTTTCGTGAAGAAACCGTGCTACTTGCTACGGAAGACATTTCACCATTAGAAGTTGCAAAACTATGCTCAGTGCGACCAGAAGGAGATAATGGGTTGGATACTCTAGTGTAATCGCCATCCAACATAGCCAATGCAATAGCTCCAGCACTTCTCAAGTCCATTGGCTTGATAGACGATGATCTTGGTGTAATAACTGGAAATGAGCCAATAGTTGCTCCTCGGAAAGTAGGATTTGGAGATGGAGTTCGACGAGGAAAGCCACCACTAAGGAGTTCAGGGGACTCCTCACCACTATTTTGCAAAGGACTCAGTGCTTGTGGATTCAACTCATCTATATCTTGCTTAATAGGACTGTTGTTTACAGTCGGACGAGAGAAATTAAACAAACTCCGTAAAGCAAAATGGCCAGTATTAATGACCAAAGGAGGATCGTTGTATCCAAGATCGGTGCGGATTTGTGGTAAGCGCGATTGTACGGGTTTTACTGTAAAATCGTTTCGATCTTCAATTGATGACTATAAAAAGCATGACTCTACATTAGAAACACATTTAAAATTGCCAAATAAACCAAAGCAATGTTACATACAAATTCTTCATCAAAACCAGAACTATTTCGATCTCGTAATTTTGGTTGTTTTGGAAGGGTTGTGTCCATGACAGTAATATCTGCTACTGAGCCTACGCCAACAGAAGAACCTGTATCTGGTGTTTGCAATTCCCAGGGAGTCACTTCAAATGTCTCCCACGGAGTGACTTCGGACCGCGATACTGCTGATTCTGGACCTTTAAGATTTGTATAACTTCGTCTTGCTTCCATTTCAATCTCGTGTGTATCTAAACGCAATGAAAATGATACATTTTGTTTTGAATCTACACTTGATGCACTACTGTGTGTGTTAACTGGTCTAATTACATCACTTCCAGCTATAAATGGAGTAGAAACAGATCCCGGTATACTGGCTGCAGTGAAATAAGCTTGTTTAGTCAAGCATAAGTTATCTGGATCGATGGGAGTGCTATAGGCGGGAACTTGAGAAATGTTTTGCGATAAAACGGATGGACTGCTGCCTTTTAAATATGCATTATTCCTTAAAGGGTTAGTATCAGATAACCCCTGACTAGTTCCAATAATGGGAGAAATAGATGATCCTCTTATTGAAAACTCTGTTGGATGTGGATGGCTGCTCAAGGTAGAGTCTTTAAGCTTTGAATCTGGGGATTGAGGTGGTGCCAGGTCTAAAGGCACATATGCAATAGTGTTACTGGTCAACACCATAGGTGAGCTACGTGGACTGCGTGGAGGAATAATAGGGTTTCCAGACTCTCCTTTAAGAAAAAGGTCACTCTTGGGTTGATTATAACCAGTATGGCCACCGAGAGTAGAGATGGAATGGTGTGGTTGTGAAACATTGATCGAAGCTTTGCTTGAACTAGAATGGGGAATCGCAATTGGGGCACCTTGATTAGGATCAAGCAAAAGCAGTGTATGTGTTGCAGATCCTGAAGCAGCAGGATTGATATCGGATGATTGTGTGGACTGGCGAAGTCCAGCAGTTCCTAAATACGAACCAGCAAAGAGATTGGATGCAGACAAGGTTTTCTTGTGGGAAGCAGCCATTCGAATAGGAGATCTAGCTCTGTTGTAGACAAAGGCAGGACTAGCAGAAACCGAACGGTCTTGAACAGTTGGAGTAGTGCAATTGATGCCAGCAACACCGATGGGGGTTTTGTAAAGATGAGCATGTTGTGCTTGATGAATCCGATCCTCATCACTGTGATGTCGCGCAGATGGTTTGGATTCGTTTACTTGACTTGCTAAAGAATGATTCATGGCTTCAGAGACTGCATGAGAGACCAAGTCATTATATGAAACAGCTCTTATGATCTGCAGTATACGAGTGCGGTCTGGTAAGCTCACTATGCCCATGTCTTTTAATGTAGAGTAAGACAGAGTCGTGAGCTTCTGTCCATGAATGCCATGTAGCACAAACAGAGTCTTGTACTGGCCAAGCCCATTCTCCTCCAGTATCCGTTGTACCCAGTGAGTATCCCATGCTACCGACAATGGATCACCGCTTGATGCTAGAACTGCTGGTGAGCACGAAGAACCAGCACTGGGAAAAACTGAATTCATCCTATGAGGAGATACACTATGGCCTCTTGAAGGTAATGCTGGTGAAGTGGGTGCTGACAAGTATGTGGATGGTTTAGATGGAGTTGTGGGCAATGGTTTGACTGACGATAGTGATGCAGACCTGGTTAATGTATAGCTTTTTGTAGTTGTTGGTGCTTCAGAGCAAATGCCTATATCATTAGTAGCATCAAGAGGCTTTGAAGTATTTGCTGTTATGCTAGCAACAGCTGTAGTTTCCAATGGCATAGTGCTGACTGCTGGACTGTCGGGAATATTATCTATTGAGGATCCCATGACTAGAATATAAAAGCAGTGGTTGAAGTTATTTAAAGGGATAGCACTAGTGATTGAAGTGGTTCTATGCGAGTTGTAGATTGTTGGTGGAAATTCATTACCATGGAATGTCTTGATGTTGGAGCTGTATTTGTTGTTTCTGTAACAATATTTTATTCACAACTTGAACTCACTCGAGGTACTCAACCAAATGAATGTTGGCTAAACTCAATCTACCCGAGTATCAGACTGCTCAACACTGCTTTCAAAGACTTGTCTAGACTTTAACTATCATGACAAGACAGCTTTGGTGGTTTGTGAACTCGACTACTTGCGATGAATTCAACATCAGTTGGTTCTTCAATCCTAAAAACTGCTAGCCCATCTACATGTTGCAAGACAGCATCCAACCTAAGCTATCTACTACCTTGAATGACACGGTACTTGAAATGATCCGAGTCTATTCAAAGTTCCAAGTGCCAACTGATTGATTGATATGGGCACTACTGAGGCCATAATGCATTTATTGGCAACTGATTTCAATCCTAACAGGACTTGCAACCTTGGACTAAAACACAAACGTACCTGAGATTAGAATACAAGATGAGTTTGTACACAGCTTGAAAATAGTCGATTGCAATGGATGGATCTGGTAGCTACAATGCATGGTTATTTCAAGAGGTAGTTTTCAAAACTATAGCGTGTTTCATATGATGAAGTGTATTGAATCAATGTCAATTTCTAGCAAGTACAACAAATATTTAATCATTGTATATTCCAAATACAAAAGTGCTCCATTCATGTGGACACTGCTGCAATAAACACCCTTTATCCACCTTTATGAATACACCATCAGTATTACATCTCTTGGAGGGCTGTCAAACTACCGACTCCAACAATTTTCAAATTATATACTTGGAGTTGGATCTTTATTTTTACAGGTCCTCTATACATTCCAGTTCTAAAACTGCATTTGTAAATGTTAATCACCTTTTTAGTGGTCAAGTTTAGACAATCGTGGCATTTGAGTTCACCTTATCGTGAGTCGAGTATTTAAACCCACAATGGTGTTCATGACGGATTAAACTGAGTTCAAAAAAATAATGGATCAACTACTAGCCACATAATGTAATCTAATTGACAGATTATGATGCTAAATGTAGTTGACTGATACGCTTGCTAGTGCAAGATGTTGTTCAGAAATGGGCAATAATTCAACTTGCCTCGTAAAACTGACTGCAGATTATCATTGCTTTTTCTATACTCTTGGATTTATCTTGATAGCAATGATGACAGCAGACAAGTATGTAATTGTGTATCTGACCATGAATTGCATTGATATACACTCTATGTATCAGATACTTTCTATATAGTGGAAATCAATCCAACTAATGAACAGACTTTGGCATCATACCAAATCTGGCCCATCTACTTTCCAACACATACTATCATCTTAAATATATCAATCTTTAAAACATTGGCCTCTTTATAACTATTACATTAGTAGTAGCGCACGCACTGATGCTGTCGACCTGCCAGCTCAACCAGCCCAGCCAGCTCAACCAACTCAGCAGACACCAAGTAAACCCGAAAAAACAGTGGATCCGACTCCGCTAGAACCAACCACTTATACCTCAATAGAGGACCAAGCAGAGGAAGATGAGATCTTACGAGAGTTGGAAGAAGAAGACGACGATGACATGGCTGCTATATTTAGGGAACGGCGGATGAATGAGCTTCGAGCAGAGTATGTTCATTTACTAGTCTAACTGTTTGGTTACATGTTGGTAGAATTTCCTATGCAATCATGTCCGATTTAAATGTATTGAGACTAGACCATCTATTTTAATATAGAGCTCATCGCTTACGTCAAATGGGACAGGCTAGACATGGGCATTATGAAACTATTCGTACAGAAAAGGATATTTTACATATTACCACTACTGCGGAGCGATGTGTTGTTCACTTTAGTCACAAGGATTTTCGAAGATGTCAACTAATGGACCAGCACATGCAGGTTTGAAATGCTTTTGAAATTGAGCCAACTTCCTAAAGATCTGTCAGTGCTTGGATACTAAAGCTAATTAAATATGATGACAGGAACTTGCCAAGAAACACTTCAAGACTCGATTTATCAAGATCGATGTGGCAGACGCACCCTTTCTAGTCGATAAACTCAAGATTCAGATTCTGCCATGCATTATGGCATTTATAGATGGTGTAACTGTTGACAAGTAGGTCTTTATGGTCTAGCATAGCTATATACTAGTCCTGTTAGCAGTGTCTAATGATATTTACTGGTAGACTTTTAGGATTTGAAGGAGTCTCTGAAAAAGATGATTTTCCAACATCCATGCTCGAGAAACGTCTTACTGAAGGGAGCAAAGTAATAGTTTTGGATGAAATCAACAAAGCTGGAGCCAATTCACGAAGAACGATCCTTGGATTTGCCAACACCAAATCTAGAAATGACAGCGATAGCGAGGATGATGAATAGACTATCAGTTGTTTTGTGGAATGAATTGACTTTAACTCTAGTTGGGTTTATTATCCAGCTGTATTGTTGTTGTGGTAACACTATAAGAATCATTTGGTATAGGACTATTTTCTGAAACAAGTGATGATTTTATCAAGGTGTTCAGCTATTCATTGTCTTTAAAGTCAACACCAGTAATTTTCGACTGCATTAAACTGTCAGACTAGTATCCATTAGAATCGACTATTTTGCCTGTTACTTTTGCGCACCAACTTGAACTGTCATGCATTTCATAATCAGGGCGTTTTACCGGTCTACGTCATATTCACGTAAAATGAACCACTAAATAAGCTAAAATGCATGATAAACAGTCAATCGCATGTTGGATTGGTGTCAATATTACTGGGCAGCATTGTTTTACAAACTCTTAGTTTACCCATCTTCATGCTCATCCTTGTACAAAAATACAGAGCAAATGTTCACATCAGTCAATCCTACATCCTTGATACCTTTTCAACCTTCACCTTCCTTTTTTCAAACCAGACAATATGGCATTGGTGAAGTGCATGGAAACAGCAATTGCATTATTGAGATATGTTGAACTAGAGCGCAAATGTATCTGATTAAAATACAACAGAGCTTCTATAGAAGAAACAATCAATTTTTAGTAGGAAAACAATGAATATTCAGCCATTATCTATTTCAAAAGTCACTGCAGAATAAATACAGAAAAATATCCCATTTTACGTGGTTTACCAATTTAATTCAACACTTTGTAGCTTGGTTCATTATTGTCGCCATCGTAGTCCATTATACTGAACATAGTACCTCCATCCAGTTGTACAAAAATGAGTGCTAAAGCAATAGCACTTATACTGGTTTCCTTTCTGGCTAGCCTTCCAATGAGTGCAGCTCAAACTGGTAAGCCTTGTTCATGACGATCATACTATGTGGATATACTCTTTAGGCCATTTTTTCAAATCGTGGCAGTGCCCAGCATTCTTGTTCTTGTCAAGACAAAGAAACAAGAGTCTACTATGAAGAGATGGACCATTGGTTTCTTTGACACCCAATTGATGGCAAGAACCATTGGTTGGGCGTTTCATTCCTTGAATTGTGCACATGATTTAGTAGTCGCCGCCTTGCTTCATTCATAATGTGGCTGAATTTTAAATTAGCCTGTAGCGCATTGGATTGAATGAAGCTTCTACTGCAGCTATGGATGGAACCGTTGATCCTATCTATTTTATTTCAAAGCTAGCATGATTCTAATGCTTATCAATTTATGCAAACTTTGTATTAGGGTCGGGCACGTTTCTGCTGAGCAACGATGGCGTTTGGCCTGCTGGCTCTACCCAGACAGTCACTCTCATGACAATCATGACTACAAGAAAAAAGCTGTATGTCGATAATATGTCACTTTTACTAGGTGGAGCTACTGTACCTATCTGCCAGCGTCAGTTTGGAAACGCTGGTGGCTCGGCTTCTTGTTCCTTCACTGTGCCAGATAACACTTCTCCCTCGACTGGAACCGTGTCTGCTCAGTATGAAGAATGTACAGATATTCTTGGTGGGCCTGCCTTTTGTTCGGGTCAGTCGAATGCGATCAGTAGTCCAGTAGCTGTTTTAGCAGTACTTTCTTCCACTACAGCGACATCCGCTCGTACGACTACATTGGCATCACCCACAACTACATCTGCAACTACCACGATCACATCTGCTCGTACAACCCTGTCGTCTACTTCATCCAGTACCACTTCTACTGCCACTAATGCATCCAGTGCAGATAGTAGTTCTGGATCCACTGCAGCAAATACGGGTATTATTGTTGGATGTATCATTGGTGCGATTGTTCTTCTGATCATACTTGGTATGGTCATTTGGCGCTGGCTGCGAGCCCGTAATGGTAACAAGGATAGCAAGATTCAGTTGTATAATAGTTCGCTTGATGCCAAGTCTGGGCCAGCTCCACTAGATGCAGAGACTGCAGCCAGTATTCGAGCTGCTGCTGCTGCTGCAGCCATTGCCACTGGAATGAACCGTGGTAGCGAGTCTGTGAGTGGGTCAGAACTGAATCCAATACGACCCATATCTAGCTCTACTGCTAATGCATTGACTCCATCTGGAGCTCCATCATCCTCGACTGCAGCAACTATTTCTACTATGGTGCCTATCGGTTCATCAAAGGCTGCTTCACATAAAGGATCCGCTGTTTCGCTGACTCAAACTGGCAATATACACGTACCACCAGAACATGTCCCTCCTATGCCCACTATGGTATCCATACCGGAGCAGCAAATGCAGTATGCACAATACCCTGCTCAACCCTACTATGGACAATCCTATTCTTCAGAGGCAGTATCTGCTGCAGGTATTCCAACCTCAAACTACTACCAACAAGCTTATCCAGCACCTCACCCCAATATGGTCATGAACTACGATCCCAACTATAACCCTCAGTTTGATCCCTACTACAACCATCAGTATCAGCCTCAGTATGATCCTAATTACAATCCTCAGCTCCATGGGCAGTATGATCCCCGACTCCCAATGATGTATCCAGATGCACAACAGCAGCAGGTGACAGCCTTCCCAATGCATCCATACCCTCCCCATTCAGGGTATACATCTCCACCACCAGAACAGTCCATACCAACTCTTGAACAGACACAACCTTATCCTCATGCTCAGTCACCTACGCATTAGCAATCCTGTTTATGAATTTTGATAATAAAAATGCAGTTATTTGTATTTGAAATCATTCCACGTGATATAATGCTTAAAAGTCTAATTCGCAACTTCATGGTTCAACCACATCATCATGCCTCTGTTTCCAGTTGCCTTTGGGCTCGGTGTGTTTGTTATTGCAGTTGTAGGAATTGTTACAATAGTGAAAGTCATTAATGAACAAAATATGATGTACAATGACCATCATCACAATCGCAAACGTAACCGCTACGACAAGCATGATTCTGACAAACATCACTTTGACAGTCATCATCAGCATAATCACTCTGAAGACCATCAGCATAATCACAATTCCAACAGTCATCATTGTAATGGTGAAAACTCTCAATCCGAGCGTATGCCTTTGACGGAAATTAAACTAGAACACCTGTTTGGCTTGAATGCTCATGATGACGATAAGTTGAACTTGAAGACAGCTCCGATTGTCAACGAAAGCATGTCCACTTCAATCCATCATAGCAATGCCGACCAGGGTTTACGTCAGCGTAAACCTATAAACAAGAATTCTGCAGACACTCCCATTGCTGGTACTGCACACTATACACTTTCACACAACTCCCGTGCACCATACTATGACGAACCACACCCAGACCTCGTTGATTTACTAAATGCTCCTGTAGTCAATGATTCTAATTTGGTAACTAAATACAATTCACCATCCGGGCCGTTATCCTCTGTTCCTCTGGCATTCGATTCCCTGCTTGTCAATACTATGGATGTCGCTCCCGCGGTATCAATAACTGAAACTTATTTCAAACCAAAAGTTGATGCGATTGTTCCAACCTCATCTTCCCTTGTAAAAGCATCGCTTCCCGATTGGATTGATCAGGAGCGGGTCGAACTACAACGTAAAATTGACCTACTTGCGGCTTATGAAACAAGTCAAAAGGAACTCTTGGCCGTTGAGAATGAAGTGCGATCCATCAGTCAACGTCGTCGTGATCTTGAAATCAAACAAACGGCATTAAAGCAAGCCCTTTTTGGTACTACCCACTCATCAGATTCTAAATCTGAAAGTGCAGATGTCAAGGACAATAACGCTATACAAAAAATTCAGGAAAACTATGCATCTACTGCTATTCTTTCACCTCCTGTAGTCGCTGTAGCAAGCATACAAGAGACTGCAGATGCATATATGGAATCTGCTACTAAATCGAATGTATTGTCTGTTGCAGAAGGTATAGAGACTACTGCTAATCCTTCTAAAGCAAATTCTGTATTTGAAGATATTATTTCCATTGCTTCTAGCAATTCCCTTTTAATCTCTTCTGATTCGCAAACAGCGGGTCGTACTAATGTTTATACCAGCAACCACCTGACCACTACTGGCGATCAGTTGGATCTTAACCAAGCTTTCTGTACCGACGCAGTTTTGTTTCCCGCTCTTGCCAACGATGCAATCTCGAACTGTAGCCTAGCACCATCATATGTCTCGGCAAAGAATGCTGATTTGAACCCATTTGAATTTCAACATGAGAATGACGATTCTCATCTCCCCAACACTTCCTTGCATGGTTTAGTCGACAGTGATAGCGTCCCGTCTATCCTGGCTATCCCCACATACTTGGAAACCAGCAGTGAAAGCGGACAGCTTTCGCAAAGTTCGTTTGACCATGTCCATTCATCTCAAGCTGCATCTTCTGCTACAGATGAGGCCTGGACTCGTTGTAGTGAAGATGGCTATTCATATCATAACGATATGTAATTTGAACCACAAAGGCTGTACCAGATTTGGTAGCTGGTGTTGAATCCTTATCAAAATCTCATTGAAACCATAGCAAGCGTGTCGCTATTTTACCACCTTGCTCATTTATAATGCGTTTCTATTTTTCGTCTTTATTCGTCCGACAATGGTCTTCATGCAAACACACTCAAAAATAAATTCTTTTGCAACCAATACTATGCCTCTAGGTTTAAAAGTAATTTCCCTAGGAGTCTATTTGTATCGATTACCTCAAATACTCCCTGTAGTTGCATGGCAGTCGAGATTAGAAAAATAAAATATACAAGCACGATACCCACATGTAAAACCTTACCAAATTCCTTCATCCAGTTCTCATACTGCTTCAGATCTGACTGTGATACTGAGCTTTGAATCCGCGACACCGCAGTTTCAAAATCTTCTTTGGTTGCTGGCGACTCCAACTCATCTAGTTCCACCCATAATGAGTATCAAATGTTATTTTCAATACAATATCAAGCATAGCTGAAACAAAATCACCATAATTTACAGCACTCTGTATTGAAACTTGATAACCCACTAAAAGACATAAACATACCTTTTGGAATGATTTTAATTTGGTCAGGAGTCAATCCACGAATACGTTTTCTCATACTCATCATACTTGCATCGCGACAAATCTATCAGCAGTGGTTTTTAGTATGAGTAGCTTACATGAGTAAAAAGCATAGAAAGTCTCGTAAACTTACGTTTGTAATATCAGCTCCGCTGTACCCATCAATTTTTTTTGCAAGGTCTTCAAGATCTACATCGTCGGCAATTTTGATGGACTCGAGGCTGAGTTTGAGCAACTCCCTTCTGCTGTTCAGATCGGGAAGTGGTATATCTACCACACCCAAAAATTCAAGGTAAAAACACACGTCAGTTTTAAAGTATACCAACTGCAAAACAAACATATACCGATTGGCTTACATATACGCTTTTCAAGGCGTCGTCGAAGAGCCTCATCAATATGCCATGGAAAATTTGTTGCAGCAAGAACCATTACAATTCCATCTGACCCCTCAGGAGTTGTGCGACCTGCAATACTGCTGATACCATCCATATTCATGAGAATTTCTGATTTGACTCTAGTGTGAATAAACATTCAACAAATAAGTCCATGAAATCAAGCGTCAAAAAATCATAACAGTTGATTGAGTATATACCTTCGACTGGCTTCATGTTCAGACCCCTCACCTCTAGTACTACACAAAGAGTCAATTTCATCTATAAATATCGTGCTTGGAGCATAGTGTCTGGCCATTTCAAACAGAAGCTAACCAAGATTATGTATAAGCCATGATACGCAATTAAAACCCAGCAAACTTTGCACAGATGCTTCCCAAATTCACAATACTTACACGAACAATCTTTTCAGAATCACCACGCCATTTTGATGTCAACATGCTTGCAGTAACATTGAAAAACGTCGTTCCACATTCCTATATCGTTCTCTGTTAAAAAAATGCAGATATTGCCATGGGTGAATCACACTTTTAAAATTTACAACTTACCGTAGCAACTGCTTTTGCCAAAAGCGTTTTTCCAGTACCAGGAGGTCCTGTCATTAAAACTCCTTTCCATGGTCGACGAATTCCCTGAAAGAAATCTGGCATCCACAATGGAAGTACAATAGCTTCCTCTAGCAATGATTTTGCCTCGCGAAGTCCTGTGATTGAAGGCAGCAAGTTACAAAACAAGCATTCATGCAAACCACATACATTGAACATCAAACAAGTATATTATCACATACCAGCAATATCTGTCCAGCGAACATTTGGTGAAGTTTGTAAAATATCACGTTTTATCATCTCGACCAGCTCCTTGTCATATCCAGTGCCATCAAACCTAAAAGATAAACAGCACACATGGGCCAGATAATCAGTCACGCTAAAATGCAAAGCACGGCATTGAAATATCTAGTATATATTCACTTTCAATCTTTCAACGTACTCTGGCTTGGCGTTTTGGCCACCATCAAGTGCGAGTTCCTCGCTATCAAGATTTGAATTGTTGGAAAGCTTCCGCCCTCGTCCTCGCTTTGTATCTACTGCTTGATCAATTAAATTTGATGTAGATCCTTTAGACTTTCTTTGTGCCGGGCGACTTTGCACTGGAGATGAAGCTGCATTGCCTTTGGATGACGTGCTGGGACCTTTTATATTTCTGTAAGTATTGAAAATGTATTGTATATCTAGTCAATCAATTATGCATATACATTGTAATTTTCATACTATGTTTTCAAATAGAGTTTCCAACCAACAAAAGTAATATTGTCATGTGTAACTTATAAAAAAGCCACCATTCATTGGCAACACTATATTACTTACAGTACTGAAGATCGCTTGGTAACAGATTGAAGTACCGGCTGCATTATTGGTATCAAGAGATTAGCATGCATTGTCGCACAATATATCCGGATCTGTGTTGCTTTTGCAACATGTGCTATTTACACTTATTTTACCTTGGATTTGACTGGAGCAACTCGCCGTGTGTTGGGCTGTGTAGTAATAGACTGGTTTCGAGCCCATGATGGCAGATCTTCCTCACCTATATGCATGCCAATCCATAACATGGTTCTAAAATACTGATTTCAACCCTAAATTTTTGGCAGTATCAATCAATTAAAATCTCATTCACCTCCACGTTGCTTCTGAGCAAGCATTCGTTTGGATGGCGTTGGATTTGGAGTTGGAGCTGGCCAAACATCTTTGTCGTATATTTCCTGTCCATCATCCATAATTGAAAATGGTTTTGCACCAGATGTATCCGATCTTGCCTATATATATTGCGCCAGACGACATTGTTAGATTTAAGCGCAAAAGTCCAAGTACATTGCAAAAAATAAACTGAACCATCAATACATTTGATTCAGTTGAAACTATTTGGTTGTACCTTGAATTTGGATAGCTCTAAAGAAATATCTTTGATAACCTTGAATTCTGCCATAAGTTGCTCCTTAGTATCCATCCATTTATTGCACTGCTCCGCATCTGCAAGCGATTTGGCATGGCTGATGTTTAAAAGTATATGTTTTATTGAACCAGATTTAAAATTTCAAAGCTTAAGATGTGGCCTTACTGATGAATAGATTGTAGTATGCCTTCGAAATATAAGAGTGCGGTATCATAATTGCCCATCAATGCACACTCTCGACATATCTGCAACTCTAACAGATTGTGTTCAATAAATGGTTGTGGTATTAGTTATCCAGCCGAGTGTATGTTTAGCATCAAATAGTATAGTGTTGGATTTAAATCTGCAGCTCTGCGTTATAAGCTGATATGCATCAACAATACCTTCAAAGCAAGCATGACAGACATCATTCAACATGTGTATTAGTGAATATCGCATGTGATGTGAACTCACCGGTAGGAAGTGACTGCATACTCTTGTGTGGAATCATAGACATTCGATGGCAGTATTACTATTGTCCGATTATGATAAAGGTTGAACTTGTGTAAATGTAGAATTAAATCTAATTATAACTGTATTCGCGTAAAATGAAACACTGCAGTCACTATTTTGCTTCAGAATAAATGGCTAATATTCGTTGTTTTCTTACTAGAAATTGGCCGATTCTTGAATCAATACAATTCTGTCCAGTAATATGGGCTGTTTATTATATACTTTAGCATTCTTATTCAGTGATCCATTACGTGAATCTGGCTGTAACTGGCAACAGCATTATAGATTAAAGTAGGCTGATGGCTATTCTCTACATAAATAGTCAAAACCGTGTTTACTATTCCAAATCCAAATGTGGGTCTTGGAATGTGGTCTATTAAAACAGTATTTATAGTTTTACCAAAATCTATTTTTTCAGCTTAATTGTTTGAAAAGTTCGAGTTTAAGAGCAGTCAGCTAGTCTTTGTAGAAACTCACGAGTCCCCACTTTATTCAAAACAAATATACATAGACCAAAGGGCTCATAGCACATTTTCTATTTTTTAAACCATTTCAATATGTCTTCTGACGAAGTTATTCGGCATATCATTTCTGATATTACGACAAGGTCTTCAAATGTCCTCAAGTCGCGTAAGATAAAGGCGACAGATGTCAAACCCAAGTCCACCTTACAACAAACAGTCAAGCCAGTAAAATACGATGTAGAATTCTCAAACGAACCAGTTGAAAATGAAATCATGAATTTAAACAATCAAGACTATCAACCTCAAGAAACAGATTCAGACAATCTACCGCCATTACCCAACGACTCGATAGTTGGCCAAAAGGATAGAGAGACGGAAAACACGCTTTCAGCACAAGCAAGTCCTCCTAAAGTTGTGTCGCAAAAGCACAATTATGAGCATATCAAACATATATTTTTGGAAGGTATACGCTCTCAAATCATCTCCACCCATGTGTCAGAAACGCTCGCTGCATTTTTTATCAGAGCAGTCGTGCTTGATCCCAAAAATGCATTCCATATAGAAAAGGAGCTATCTAGAGACGAAGTTTCTCGCCTGATTGACGTAAGTAATGATATAAATCTTACTAGTCGTTTACTTGTCATGAAGTTTTATATACTGATCTGGTATAATGGGCACTGAATAGCTGTGCGTGGAGAAAATTGTTTCTGAAAATGATCCAATTCAAGAAACCGTTAAAATGCAAGTATATTTTGATACAAACTTTCCAGCTCAAGGTAAGTTGAATTAATTATTGTGATCAAGATGATCCAGATTTCAACTTCAAATATTCTGATAGGACAAGATACAGTTATTTCTCACACTCATAATATTGAAAATTATTGATGTAGATGACTTTCTGCACAGAGAAAAGCTTACCAGAATTGAGTCATGCTCAAACATGTTGCGAGAGATTCTAGATGCCAAATCCAAAACAATTCCAGCTTATGAAGGTATTCTCAAACACAACTCTCCTGCGTCATAGTAAACAAAAATAACAAACCATGCTTTGAATTTGCTACTATAAATCTAGCCATGTATTCCAAGATTGTATTGTATGTTCTGCTTCGTGCACATGTTGGAAACGCAACAGATGTTCGAGTAGTTCGCGAAACTACAACTGCACTTGAGTCTGTATTCCCTCAAAGCGAGCTCAATGCATTCATATCCCTTACGCGAACTGAAAAAGAAGCTCAATTAAACGGTCTGGCTCAACTTGTGACGGGTATTCGCTTATTCAACAAACAGCTTGGAAAAGGAGGCGAATCCATTGATAAACGTGGGTTCACATCATTCCAATTGTATAGATTCAACCCCAAGATTTAAACTGATGTAAATTGTATACATTCATCAACTTTATTGGTACTGTTAGTTCCTGAGCTGTGTGCATTGGAGCTCAGAGAAATATCTATTTTGCTGCATAATCACACTCAGCAAACCGAACATCTTGTTCAACAGTATAAAGGTAACAATGCAGTCAATAATCTACACATGATGATATCTTGACGAGTTTTGATCCAACTGTGCACATTGCTTGAAATAGCCGTGTTGGATTATGAAAATTCTACTCCCGACTCTGAAGTGACTCCAGAAATTGCCGAGCGTGTCCGGTGTGCTCTTGTTTTTCGACGGCAATATCTTGTTTATTTGGATGCATTACAGGTAAATCATAGTCTACCCACAAGCCATTGCTTTAGGCTAAACCGTGGATAGTTAATGAAACCACAAAGTTTTGATCTAAACTTAATTACACTTCAATTATTCGGATTTGGGTCAATTTATGATTTGGTTTAGGAACAAGTTTCAAAAGCTAGACAAATGCTTATTTCCATTGGAGAAAAGTTTGATAGCACAATGCAAGAGCTCAAGGCAACATGTAAATCAAAGACTGCCGTACCGGTTGGCCAAGTGTATCCGCAATTCATCATGATCTATGATCTATGGTCCAATTGGACGGATGAACTCTTTTTGCTTGCATTTAAACGTGGTATTCTCGATCAGCTAAACAACTACTCCATGGTAAATCGATTTGCCGAGTTTGATCATACATACCAGTTTTGTTACATGAACAAAACTCGACTAATTTGTTTGATTGCATCTATGCCATGAATTTGATATCAGTCATTTACTGTAGAGATACCATCACTTGTAGATACATTAAGCATGCAATTTCGTGCAGATATTGAACCCGAGATACTTCCAGGTAATGCAGTGTCCAATCAAAAATGATTTTGCTGATGAAACTAATAGCGCTTATAAACTATAGAGAACGAAGTGATTGAAAAGGCTGCAGTTACAATGGTATCAATAGCAATGGTGAATAAAACCGTGGAAGTTATTCACCCAGGAAACACCACTCAGTATTACAAGCTTCCAGTAGAATATGGCGTACGTGGCTTAATTGTATATCTTTGCAACTTACTGTTAGTAACCAACGATTGTTTTTGATCTAAAAGGGATTTTGTCCATATTCTCTTGTTACTCGAGATGGGCTTGTCGTGCCTGGAGATAAAAATATTGGAATGATCCGATACAAGGATAAGCTATTTTCATTTGCTAACCTAGAATCTATGGTTGGATTTTGCGAGGCTCCAGAAAGGTATGAATAAGTGTGTAATGTTGCTACGATTGTAGCATTAGACTCAATACCAGACTCTAACATTCACTCGAGCAATTAGATACATGAGAACAGTGATCGATATGGCTAAAGCTAACCCCGGATTTGTTCAGCTTTTGCATTTATACAACTATTTTCCTACTGTCGAGGCATTGGAGCGGGTAGGTCTGGGCTGAAATAACTCTTGTCTAGTTGAATGACTATGCTCGACCAGTTCGTTCAAATCGTTTAAATTTCCAACAATGAATACTATTTGTCTAGGCCAAATCGTATACCCGCCAACGCTTGCTGGGTCAGATGCCTATTGTAGCAGAAATTGGATGTCAAGTAGAAACCCACATTGTAGAAACTCAGATCAACTCAAAGTACCACTGGAATGAATGGGATCTTCGCCGTGAAGCACTGATGCTTGTAAATCTCAAAGACAAGCACACTCACTCTACTCAAACTGCTTTGAGTCACTTCCGTCGTGAATCGGAAACACAATACTATCAGCCTAAAGACTCGACCACTCAGACAAAAAAGACATCCAAAACCAGTATGCCGCGAAATGTGGTGTTTTATGCTGGGCTGAGAAATAGTGGTAAACCACTGCGTGGAAATATGTATGCCTCGCCTTTTATGCCACATGAAAGATATTTCAAGACAGTAAATCTTACTGTCGATCATGATGGGAGTCGCGTACCATGTGGTGATGTATTTGGATTGAAAAATGTTATGCCACCAATCCCTAATCAAAACACCAAAGAATTACAACGCAAATCTACTACGACCGACTCTAGTACCAATCTGTCAAATTCAATCTCTTCTGTCAAGACATCGATACAGAATGTGTACAAGAGTCAAACTACTTTTGAAAACACATCGAATAGACCACAACATATTCTTCAAGAAAGCCAGAAAAGTTTAGCTGCATCATTCAAGAGAGCCTCTGTGAGTACGAGTGCGTCTACTATAAGCAGTGTATCTTCAGCTACCTCTGAATCCACGATTAGCAGGAATACTGAGATGAAGAGCGATGAAAGTATCGACAACAAATTGTAAGGCAGTATCAAACAGCCATGCCAATCAAATATTACTACTAATAGACAATAAATACAAATCTCTGAATCTCAAATGGGTTTATGGAATATCGAATGAAAGAAGCAGTTTTATCTTGCTAATCTTGAGAAAAAATACGCGATGCAATATCATCTACAATCCAATCAATCCCAGCAAGAAGATTGTTTCCTGTGACAGCGCTGCATCCTTCAATGTGCCAATGATGGGTATTAATATTGTCCAAGTCCAGCATCTGTCAATTACAGTTACAATAATTTAAATCAATAATCTGCAACTATCGATTGGATGCAGAAAGTAAGGGCCGCTGAAGCGGTAAAAACAATGTATTGCTAGACAACCCACCTCTTTAATCTTCTCAAATGACAGTGCTGTTGATAGATCCTGCTTGTTCGCAAAGATTAAAAGGGATGCGCCGGCAAGTCGCTAAATATAACGGGACAATCATGGATGGATTTAACGCTCATACACTTGTACAAACTGGCGTGGTAATGAATAGAAGCACTATGGATTTGATAAATAGATTTACAATAAAAATTGTTTACCTCTTCCTTAAGAAGCTCCTTGAGCTCATTCTTACAGTCTTCAAGCCGATCCAGACGGTCGGCACTATCAACAACCCACACCAGTCCGTCAGTCTGTTCAAAATAATTTCTCCAATACGAACGGATAGACTTTTGGCCGCCAACATCCCAGATATTGAGTTTGTATCTACATATTGAAATGCCAAGCAGAATAGATTAGAACCATCGCGCATGGAATACTATGGAATGGACCCGAAGTTGACAATCTTTAATTTCTGGACAAAACGAAATTCTAGAGAGCAATTAACGAGTCCGATAGAGTGCAATGGATGGCTTACCCCTTATGTTCGATGGTTTTGATATTGAATCCCAGTGTTGGGGAAATAGTGGAAATATCCTCTCCATTGATCCGTTTTAAAATGGTAGTCTTTCCCGCATTATCCAGACCACTATGATCTTGAAAATATATAGATAGAAATGGTTCAGAAACAAATAGAATCAAGCATTCTGCAAGGTTCATCTCAAACTGCTTCAAGCTAATATATTATGCTATTCTTACAGCATAAGAATTCGAGTCTCCTTCTCCTTAGCCTTCAGTTTTTTGATAATTGTCAGCAGTCCCATTATTGCAAGGATTTTATGGCTTTTATAAATCTAAACTCGATTCGATTTGGTCAAGACAAAAGTCGAATGCCTTGGATTAACATGAGGGTTTGTTTGACATTTTGAATTTCAATATTCCGATTTCACTGCACAAATGGATGAAATATTTGCTGTATTGAAGCAGAAAAAGGCTAGCAAGTCCACATTACCAACAGCCAACTCAGCTGCACCAGGAAACACAGCCGGATCTTCCGACTTTAGTGGTTTAAAACAATCAAAAGAGCCTGCAAAAATAAACTCATGGAATTCTGGGTCAGCATCAAAAAAATCTAAAAAGAAAAAAAGTGTTATTGCTACAGTCAAGACTGGTATAATATCAACAGATAGCAAGACCGATTTAGAACCAGCCTTGCAAGGATCAGCATTTGAAACCACATTGGAAATCACCAAAGAGCCTGCCGTTGAAACAGTCGATTTTAGTGCATATCTAGCCGACAAGGCTAAACTAAAACAGACAATGCCTGTAGATGACGAGGGATTTGCAGATAGTCGAGGAAATAAGCCACGGGGTAATCCCAATATGTTTGTTTGATCTTATCTTATTTAGACTGCTAATCGTGTGTTTATGCAACTGCCAATACGTTGTAGCAAAAACTGACGATGGACTCAATATTTACTCTGCAGAAGAACTCCAGATTGGAAAAGGAGGAGGTATAGTGGTTTGCTATACTATAATTTTTTCAATTCTGATCTTGTCTGAGAGTCGAGAACATCCAGAAACAAAAATTGATACTAACTTTATTGAATATATTCCCAACACGCTGCTTGAATCCACCCGACCATTTACGATCGTGTACAGATACGGATCAATGCCCCTTTGATTGCTGGTGTTGCTTTTAGGGCTTCACTGGGTAGATTTTTAGACGCGAAGAGTATTGATACGATTAGATGGAAACACCATAACAAATGGACTGGGTCTGCTCTTCATTGTAATATATCCGCCATTCTTTTTTGGTTGGATATAGTAGGCATTTGGACCAGGAGTTTGATTTACTAATAATCAAAAGCGTGAGGCATTTTCAGTCAAATATATAATTATTATCTGCAATATTTTGGCTTTGAAAAGATGACTGATTGTAAACAAACTTATCGCAATACCTTTTTGAGACTCTGTGTGCTTTTGTGGTGAATACTTTGGTCCACTTTTTTTTACAATCAATGCTGGTTTTAATTGGTAATCAGCAGGGCCGGGCGTTTCCACAACTTTACTTTTGATACGTTCAGCTAAGCAGTTGGCTGTCAAAATTGTATATATTGTCGATTATTTTATGAGATGAATATATACGTAGAATGCATGTATTATCAAGTTACCTCCGGCTTTACTTAGTGTGGAATTTCGAGCAAGCTGTGCTACCGTGGGATTGGCGATCTGGGTATGTGAGTTATAGTCTGCAGGTCCTGGTGTTACATCTTGAATCAAAGGTTAGGTTCAAGATAAATTAAAGTTATGCTTTCGGCGACAGCACACCGTACTATGCAGTCTAGAAATGCCAGAAATACTCGGGCCTATTTGCTTGATATAAATACTTACCAATGGTTGTACTGCGCCTTCCTTTAATAGTCACTTTTGGATGACGATTGCCACGAATTTGACGATCTAGTGGATGGTATGCATTAGGTCCCGGAATATCATCACTTGGATCTGGAGAAAATCGTTGATTAGTCAAACCATTGGTTGAGTTTTATACTAATAATTTTAAAAAACGACGTTTATATTACAGGCTTGTCAAATAATAGTATGTAACATCAGGACTCACTTTTGCTTGATTTAGGTCGGGCACCAAGCGAAAATGTTGGTCCTTTGCTAAAAGTCAATTTTATCTCGGGATTATAGTCTGTTGGTCCAGGATATGGGCCAATATAATTGCTATCTATTTAAAACAGAATCGTAGTTAGCAACATACTTTGCGGATTGGGCACAATCAATGTCGACACACCTTGATATGGGATATTACGCGCAATGAGAGTATAATGCGGGCCACTAGAAATATTGGCTGGGATGATATAATTGGCAGGCCCGGGAGTTTTGAGAGCTATATTTTGATTATATATTAAATGATCACTTCAATATGTAAAGGAATATCAAGATAACACGGTATTTAAACCTTGTTGCCCGACATTAATCCTCACATTTGGTTTCCTTGTGCATGCCTTTAAGCGATGCCATTTTTTCTGATGCAGGAAGTTTTGGATAGTATTCATTTGGACCTGGCTTGGTATCTACATATCATAAACAGAGCCATAACAATGGTTGGAAAATATTTGGCATGCAACAATTTCAAGTTGAGCCATTATTCTATATATACCTTTCTGAAGAGACAGGTCATCAAGGCGACGCCTCATGGTAAACGATGGACCTTTAACAGCATCAGGAGGACAGCTGGGAATACTGTAGTCAAGTGGACCAGGTGTTGAATCCTCTAGAAATTCGCCAAAATATTTCCAATAAATATTGCATTTTAATTAAGCTTTACTTGAATAAAGCATGCACATTATACAGCAATACATACCAATCGTGAATGATTTTAGTCCAAAAGAATACTTTGGCTTTATTCCAGTTGGACCAAACTCTGACCTGGGCAAATACCTATCAGGTCCCGGTGTTTCATTTTCTACACAATTATAAACGCAAATGGTGAGATTTTCATTTCGGATGTTTAATAAACTATCCTGCTTACCAGAGTGTGAAAACCGTCCAGACATGGTATATGAAAGGTTATTTTTTCCAAATGCATTGTGAGTATCAGTATATGCAAATGGACTTGGAGTGTCGTTTTTGACTGAATGATTGCATCCATAATACACGCCGATACCCAGATTTTAACGTTAGATCAGCACATGCCAATACCATGATGTTTGAAATGCATCAAATACCTTTTTGATCGGCAAGTTTGTGTCCAAAACTCCAATGGGGTGCATCACAATACGGAAGTAAGATGGGTCTGACATCATATTTTGACGGTCCTGGTCCAATATTAATCTTTTCTTCCTTGACAGCTGCATGTTTTCCCAGAATGGAGTACTGCACGCCTGACTGATATAGCTTGGGTTCATAATCAAGTGGCCCTGGAGTTGGAACGGCTGATTATTGCACGACAGGTAAATAGAATACACGATACCCGCAATGAGTATTGAATGTATTGACATTTGATAATAGTTTAGTTTTGCAAGTATGAATTGACCGTCGGATTTAGGAATAAAGGTGTAATACTAACCTAATTGAGAGAGTGGACTCGTAGTAGAAATATATTCACCCATAGGTGATCGTCCCATAACACCTAGATTCTTGATGCGTCTACGAGCTTCAAATACATGTGGAGGATGGTCTACGTGTTGATTGTGAACAGATGTGGTCAACTCTGGAGCATGTGCCTGCCTACGCGATTTGATATTGACGCTGCTACGTTTGGAGTTGGTGGTGCTTTCTTCTATATAAGCTCCATCTTCTTCATGAGCAGGTGGTGTAGACGGAGTAATTTCTTCAGGCTCGACTGTATTGCCCTTCCTTGGTTCATTTGTATCGCTCTCGCGAGTTGCTGCCGCACAATCAGGCATGCTCTCTGATTTAGATGGCATATTCGATTCAATAGATAAATATCAGTAAAGTGTTTAATGATGCTTGCCAAGATTTTTATAACTAAAGAACAGTCGCATCTTAATTTTTTTGTAGAATCTGAAATGCCATTTTTTAAAATCAGACATTTGGTCACACATGATCATGGCCCAACTTGAGTTTCATTGATTTTTAAAACTAATATAGCTAATCATGCGGCATATTTAAAATACAAATATGCTTGCATGAATCTTGATAATATCAACGAGCCTTCTGATTGCGGTCTGAATTTATATTCAAACATACATGTACTGGCCCAGATTTAAAATCTAAATGGAGTTTTGTTACGAGACATGCTTACAGTGCAGGTTTTTGTAGCTAGCCAGAATACATGCATTTGGGAGCTAATCCAGTTTTTCTGGCATCGGGTGGGTTTATCATCACACAACATGTAAATATACGGCAAACTGATGCTACCACAAATACCATTTTGGCTTCATTTGATCATATATACCAGTCTCATATTGTATAAAAACTCTAGTAAATGATCTAGTCAATCGATACTCCGTGGCTTCTTAAATCCATTTTTGCTGTTTGAATCTCCTATTGAATCAAGATGTTAGGTCAATGAGTATAAGCAAAATAACGAAGCTAGTCTACGCTATTGCATTCAAAAACAGCACAACCATAGATATGCCAGGCTCATTTTAGTTTTGAGCTTACCTTGAGAAGCGATACTTGTGCTGCAGGACAGTCTCCGAATATGATGAGAGCCCAGCCAAGATTGGCGAGAGAATATGACCCAAAAGTAACAAGTAGCCAGAGTGGAATCTGCAGTTTAAATAAATGTCAGTGCATATGTTTGACTACTATCAGATGTTATATTCTTGCAGCTTCGTCTTTTTTAAAGACAGTCAAGTAATTGCCATTCTTTCATCAGACTATGCACTTGTTTCCAATCGCATATGATAGTGACAGAGTGTGGCGAGTAAATTGAAACATACTGCAGGGATAACCAAATCAACGGCTGGAGAGAGTTCCAGTCCAGGAAGAATCTGTGCATGGAAAAGCATAATCAGCCATATGCCAGCAAAGGCCACTGTTGACAGTGCAAATCTGAGTGCTCTTTTCATAAAGTAGTGTGAAAGTGAGGTTGAAATGTAAAATTGTAATCGGTGCTCCACAACCTAAATTTCGATACCAAGCCAAACCAATGTATATTTTTAATGATCATCCAGCTGTATCAAGCCTGAATGCTTATTTCTATTTGCAGAGCCATGCGTATGATCAAAATATTATTTTTTTAAACCATATATATCCAATGTTTAAACAAAATACTAAATATGCAAAAGTATCCAGATTGAATGGCAATGTTTATTCCTCCTTGTGTTCAAGAACTTCCTTGTGTATCTGTTTCTTATCCTTCTGATCGATAGTGGAAATGGCTGGTTCCACTACTTCTTTTATGGCAGTCGCAGCCACAGGTATCTGTTGGGCAGTACCAGTAGCCAAGGCGGGTGCCTCGGAAGTTTTGTCATCCTTTAACGCATCAATATCGCTTCCATCTTCATCAATCGAGTTTTGTTGCGATATATTTTCAAAGGTCAATGGCGTGGTGTCTATTACCGGTGGATCGAGATATGGTGGATCAAGATATGGAAGATCATCTTCGTCAAATATGTAACCGCTCTTTGCGTCCTCATTTTCCTCTGTTACATCACCACCAGTGAGACAATCTGCATTGTTAAGAACCCAATGTCGAGTATCGCCATCAATATCAAAGAAGCGAACAGGGACAGAATACACCATGATTTCAGATAGATTTGCAATTTTGACTCGCAGTTCAATCTGATGCGTGACGGTTACAAACTCCGAGTCGAAACTTTGGATTGAATCAATTGCCTTGTATTTGGGGTCGTTTCTAAGTTTGCGGTGGGCAGTTTCGACAATAACTGTCGTCTCTCCTCGCCATGGTTCAATCTTTTTGCTCACAGTAGTCATGAATTTCTTGAATCCTTTAGAAGGACGTTCAATCTCAGTGCTGTCAAGGATGCTCTTTTGAATGCACTGTTTATAACAGTGAGGCCGCTCCAGTGATTGATCGCGAACGGCACGTATTTTTTCAATCTGAACCAGATTGACAGTAACTCGGGCAATCGAGTGCTTGAACTCTTTTGGAATGAGAGAGATGATATTTACTTTGACTGGTTGGCCAATACCAAAAATGGTTCGATCAAGTTCAAACTTGTAATCGATGTAGTTGTCGGATCCTTGCATCAGCCTTCCGGTATTAGTATGCACCGATCGTGCAACAGCCATGGCATCCACTCGTGGGAAGTCAATCTCTTCGGTGACAGTATACACTTTTCGACTCGATATAAGCAGAATGGTCTGCAGCACTTCCAAGGTGGCTGTAAGTTTATATGATATTTTACCACCATTCCAGTTTTTTTTGGTGGTTTCATCAAGACTAGAGCTGCTGAAAGTCTTGCTCTTTTTGAGTGTTGCGCCTCCATCATTTTTTGAGGCAGTGGCAAGTTCCGTAGCAAATGCTTTTGCTGCATCTGCAGCAGCACCAGTTGGTGGAGGAAGCGATCGCATATAGCTTACAGGAAGAGCCTGTGCAATGTCATTAGGCACATCGATAGCAAACTCGAATGCTGGCGTACCTTTGGGCACCAAAATAGTTGGTCCTTTGCCCTTGATATCAATCTCAGGAGTAGAGCCTGTGGTAGGATCAAGGATACGTAGAGCACTTGAAAGAATGTCCTGCTGGACAACAAAATGGCCCTCTTCAGAGGAAAGAGCAGTATGAATCGATCCACGCAGCTCCAGAGTCAGTGAGAGTACTTTTGCGTCCTTGGTAGTCTTGAACGACACAGTGCCCTTGTATGCCATCTGGTTAGTGACACCCGCATATCCATGAAGAATAGACTTTTGACCTTGCAGTGGTTCAATGGAAAGATCGTCGATCATTTTATTATAAAACGGTGATAGCAATGTCCTGACAGTTTTACAATCGTGTTCACGTAAATGTGTTGCGATGTATTTATTTTGCGGTAACTGCTTCTATCTTGTTTCGAAATAGTCAATAGGCGACTGTTCGTTGTGCCTTCCTATTAGAAATAGATTGCTTCTTCAATCAGCATTTTCAATTATTCAATCCACAACGTTCATCACATGCTGCATGCAATCGAGCCATCACTCCACTTTTGGCATAGCCATCCATTGTGCGATCGACAAGTTTGAAGCCAGATATTGGTTTGACTGTTTTCAATAAAACTCGAATATGTTTGCGTTCTAGTTCAACCATCTCAGGAATGCAACAGTTGTTTTCATGTCTGTTACAAAAGGCCAGACAACCAATGAATCTATAGCACAGACTGTCCAATAGACTGACATTCATCATTTCATGAGTTTGGCAGTTTATGTAAAGTTTGTTGATCGAGTCGACATAACTATCCATGACATGAGGCAGCTCACTGACGCTGGTTTTTCAAATAGATTGTGAGACTAGACACCAGTGGCTTGCTCTCGTTTGGCTTTTCATTGGTCTCGATTTGACTTGTTTCTGCCATTGAAGCATAAAACAACTGATTTTTGCGTTTGAAATCCAACTGTTTTGAATCAACCACTCATTCTAGCGCTTGCAGGCAAGTTAACTCGAGTATCTACTAATGCGAATACTCAGACTTGCTGGATTATGCGGGGTCTTTAGTATACTAAAGTACACACTAGCACATACACTTGAAGATCAGCAGTATGAACCAACACCACAAACCACATTCTTGCATCCGAAACCTCTGGATCCGTTTATAGCAAGTCGTATTTACGAATACAAAACCAAGATTAAAGAGATGTACTATATGTCCGTTGAAGGTTATTTATATTATGCATATCCAAAAGATGGATTAAGCCCCTTGGCATGTCGTGGTTTAAACACAATCGGAAAGCAAGTTTTGATAGAATGACTTGTACTATGCATGGTTCACTGGTGTATTTACTGACATTCATTGCTCGACTTGCAAATGATGTAGTGGTTTTGCATTAAACCTAATCGAGTCACTAGGCACTGCCGTTGTAAGTTTTTATGTTTCGCATTACTGCTATTTAAATATCCACTGTATCTGCTGTCATTGTGAAATACAGACTTTCAACGTTGATTTACGAAATATACTGATTTGCTATTCTTTCAGGTACTTGAAGATGCCGAGGTATTTTCTCGGTTGGTTAATTTGATCAAGTATATTGACGTGGAGCAAGACATTGACGTATCTGTAATGGAAATAAATACTCGTATCATTGGGTATAATCGTTTCTTTGATGGAAAATCCTACATCTTTAAAAGATGAACTGTCTAATGCAAATGGCTAATCTACTTTTGTTTTTAGAGGATTACTCTCAGCGCACATTTTAATATACCTTGACGAATCATTCAACCAGGAATACGACGAAAGTTTGTTGGTCGTTGCAATAGGCATTGCTAAAAAAATACTTGCGGCTTTTGACACACCCACTGGATTGCCTTATGAACGTATAAATTTATTGAATGGGATCGAGCAGAGCCAGTCAACCGTGGTTTGCATTGCTTGTGCTACTAAATTTAATCTAGAGTTTACATGGCTTAGTCATTTAACAGATGATCCCATCTATGAGGTGAGTAACTACTGAATTGCTGCTGGATGTATATCCATTCATTTTATTTTCACGAGATTTGTATATTAAAACTGAGAATTTCTAGCAAACTGCTCGCAAGGCTATAAGAGCTATCTGGGATCGCCGTTCTAAACTCAACCTTTTTGGAAGTCACATTGATGTTGTTAGCGGAGAATGGATACATCCAGATTGCTTTCTTGGCGGGGGAATAGAAGGCTTTGTTGAGTATCTACTTAAAACACATATTTCATTTTCCGACGAAAAAGAGTACGGGATCATGTTCAAGGAGGTATTAGTACAATGAGAACCGGATATCTGCGACAATACATGCATAGCCATCTCTTTTACTAATGCTTTGTATCATCAAACTATACAGATTTATCAAGCAGTTAAGCTTTATATGCAAAAGTCTGATCACCAATATGCATCTGTAAATTTGGAAAGTGGAGCTACCATAAGTTCAAAACAAATGTTTTTTGATACGATTTGGCCATCTATACAAGTGCTATCGGGAAATATTCTTGAAGCAGATCAGGTTTGGAAACATACAGCACGATATCTTGCTCTGTCACCGTTTCTTCCTGATACCACGAGTATGCCAAGACAAGACAATGCAGAGACGGAAAATGAATATTTACTTCAATCAGAAACTGCAGAGAGTCTGTGGCATCTGTATGCGGCAACAAAAGACGAGAGTATTCTTGAAATGGTATTTGAATTGATCGATCGATTAAATATGCTGTAAGTTTGATGAATTCATTGTGCGACTTTTAGTTTTATGCTGGTATATTTACTATTTTTCATTAGTACCAGAACAGAATGTGGATTTGCTAGCATTTCTAATATTGTGAGTTTGGAGAAAAAAGATAAAGTACGTATTGCAATGCATTGGCAGTCTACCATATACGAACATGGCATTTTAAAGCAGGCCAAATCAAGCTAACCCTATTTTACATTGTTACTGCTGATTCAGACACCTCTTGCGTTTATTTCCAAAACACTCAAATACCTTTATCTTATATTGGATCAAAAAAACGAGTTTAATGTTGGAAACTATATATTTAATGCCGAGGGTCATGTTTTTCCAGCATATGATACATTCCGCACATTATTTCATCCAAAGTCTGATGATACCTCGACAGCTGACCGCACACACAAAAAAGTATTCTCCACTACACAATCGAGCCATCATGACGATAAAAATGATGCTTTCTTGGCTGGGATAAAGTTAAACATTTGCCCAATCGGTGGTTAAAATTGTAGTCGAAGTTGAATAAAACCAGTTACAGCTGGCATACTTGTTCTATGTTTTGGAAGATAGTAATCTCAATTAAGCTGTTTGTCAAGTACTGCTGGCATAAAGTGGCGATAAGTCATTTTGCAGCTATGCTTATGTAAAATGAAGCACTTGTATTTATTTGCAACGACTTTGTTTTGGGATAAGCAATAGTTGAATATTATTTGCTTTCTACTACAAACTGGCTGCTTCTTCAGTGGACATGATCAAGTTATAGTTTTTAAATCTGTTCTTTCACTACTCTTGAATGGCCATGCATTGCATGATCGCCAGATTTGAAACCAGACCCATCATTGGGTTTGACTATTTTGATATTGTCAAACCTTGTACAAAGTCGAATATGCCTGCATTGTAGTTCAAGATTGCATACCAATCAATTAATGAATTCAAGACAATGTAGTCGAATAAAATTGGTATAAATCACCATTTCATGAGATTGACTGTCTACTATGTATTTTGGTATCTATAATTTAATGATTCATTTTCCATGAATACGGCTGTAACATTATCAGATGACTTGTGATGGGGTTGATCAATCTTGGCTTTGGCAATGAAGCCAAAACTTCCATCTATTGCTCAATTCATTATGGAAAATTTGGATTGTTCCACTAATGCTTTACAAGAGTTTAATGGCTATATTGCCGGGACCCTTCAAATAGTATTGTGAGAAAGTGAAGATTGTGTTTTGGATGATCAGATGTAGTTTACACAAACAAGCTCGGTATGGTCAACCCTTGAACAAGTAAATTTAGCAAGTTTAAATGTCAAACGTGTATGCTTTGTTGCTAGCTGTAACGACCAGTCTAATATTTATAAGCACAGCCTGGAGCTATTTGGAAAATCAGTACGCTTAAATCTAAGCCAGAACAATTACTCATGACGCTGCCAAGCAGTAAGCCTATTTACTACCGTACATAAAATGGAACACTTTTGTATGGTCTTGCACGGATTGCCTTTGCTTTGGAATGAACAATGGTCAAGTATTTGTCGTTTTCCTACTACTGACTACTTTAATGGACATTATCCACTCTTTTAAACAGTGTTTATATAAAATCAAACTAGATGAACTGGAATGATCCCTTTTCCCATATCTGGTATATTCATGCATTGTACGATTGTCAGATTCGTTCATTACAGTCCAGATATTGGATTTGGCTGTTCTGGTGTTATCGATACAGCTCTACACTCATCTTTGCTGCATCTTAATCGTAGATGCGCTTACATTCTAGTGAGCAAAGAATGCACATCTCAGGAATGAGCCTGTTGCTTCCATGTCTGTCACCAGAAGAAAGACCAGCCAACTGAATTCAAAAAACACAAGTTGTCCAGTAAATTTGGTGTGAATTGGCACCAGAGATTGACCGTTTATTATACATCCTTATTTAGCAATCTATTTTATGCGAATACGGCTGTATTACCCTCAAAATCACCACAAAATATAATCCCTTGCATGCATCTAGAGCCCATCTTGACTAACCCAAATTTATATATGCAACTTCAACAGATATGATGAATACAGTAAACACCGCTGGAACCAGAGGATCTACTAATACTCCATTGAACCCCATTAATCGTGCAGACCATTCCAAGCGTATATCATGGTCAAAGCTTATGAAACACAAACTCAAGGCATTGTTTTCGCCTCGATACAGACGTCAGCAAGAGCTTAAAGCAGCAGTCGGATCTCTGGTCATACATGAAAATCAACGAAACTTGATACAGAAAGCAAAGATCAGCCATCAACAGCCAGAGAATCATGCAAAACCAGATCTTGTCGAGTCATCTGGATCGACACTGACTGGCGCGATAGATGGCGGCTCAGCTAGACTCGTGCATTCCAAATCGATTACTGCAGATACTCCAGAATCAGAAAAAGCATCAATATGTTTATCAACAGCAATAGAGGAATATGGCATAGATACTGCGTTTACTGATTCGCCATTGACTTTAGACACTGACATTACTATCCACGATGTGCTCGAATGTGATTCGTCCAGTGCGCACTACTCGAGTGATGGACACCCTACACACAGTAGTGTTGCTAGTCTACACTTTAATGATAATGAGCAATCTTGTTTAAACACCACTGTGTTGACTCCAATTGATCCTTTATTAACAGATCGCACTGAAATGACCATGGTGCAGCTAGGCACTACAACCAACAAGGCTGAATCTGTTCACGATACAGCACATGTCCAAGCAAAGGAACATCAGGAACAAACTATTTACTCGGAGAAAGGATGTAACCACGTATCCAAAGAGTCGGTGTGGGAGTCTGAATCCATATTTACTTTGTTATCTGTAGAAAGTGAGGATGATATTGATCTAGACTATTACACAGCTTGCTACCACCCAGATAAGCCATTGAGTACAGTTTTTGAAACACATGATACCAAGACCATATGTTCGGAATAAATTTGCAGATAATATGAGTGTGTATGTCTTGTAGTTTTTTCGATGGTTTTATAATATTCGAGATATGCAATCCGAGGCTTGTTTAAATCACATTTCTGATTAAAACCATTTCAAGCAAAAGAAATCGAGATGCCAGTTTCGTTGATTAGATGTTCTAGAGAATCTGCATTCGGAGCAATGATGCTGCGACAAAGTCTTTACAAGTCAATCGTATCGAATACTGCTCACAGATACTCTACAACGAGCCTTTCTTCAACACCCAAGCCTGTACAATTTCCAAGTTGTACGCTTTCTGGTATTCAGCCTACTGGCATTCCACATATTGGCAATTACATTGGTGCACTTCGAAACTGGGTTGATTTACAGAACCAACTATCGGTTCCATCTAAAGATGCTCAATCGTCTGTGCTCGCATCTCCATCCACTCTCTACATGATTGCAGATATGCATGCATTGACTATTCCGCAAGATCCAGTCAAGCTCCGTGCCAATGTGCGAGATATGGTGTGTGTGCTATTGGCATGTGGGATCAAACCAGACGATAGCATCCTTTTTCGACAGAGCAGGGTTCCCCAGCATACAGAGTTGGGATGGCTGTTGTTTTGTCAGACTCCCGTGAGTTGGGTATCTCGCATGCACCAATGGAAAACAAAACTGCACTTGGTTCCTGCAGTCACTCAAGATCATACCATTTCTAAATCTGAAAACTCAACGAATGAATTGGATGTCGAAGACCATGACGATAGTTCATCCAATTTAAATGTTGGTCTTTTATCCTATCCGATTCTTCAAGCCGCTGACATTCTGTTGTATAGGTATTACTGACTGATGTGTGATCCATTTGCACTGCATTATCATGTTGATGCCATCAGCTGCTGATTGTGATGATCATTTGAATTTTAGAGCAACCAAGGTTCCTGTGGGCGATGATCAGGCCCAACATTTAAACTTGACTAGTATGATTGCACGCCGTTTCAACTCTTGCTACAACAAAAACGTATTTCCCATTCCCCAAAGCATAGTTTGTATGTCATGGTAGAGCCGAGTGGGTTGAAATCACTCTTGTAAAACATTCAAGTACCAAACAAAATACCTGTGCTAACACTATTTTAATCTGTTGTACTGGATAGCCTTTACTGGAAAGAGAATCATGTCACTGAAAACACCTACATCAAAAATGTCCAAATCAGATCCTGTTGAGCAATCGCGTATTAATCTGGACGATAGTGCAGATCAGATTCGATCTAAAATTCGACGAGCCACAACTGACTCGATACATGGTATTACATACGATCCTCAAACTCGGCCAGGAGTTGCCAATCTACTGCAAATATGGATGGCTCTTGAAACGTCAACTGGTATCCAATGGGAAAAGCTTGAAGAGGCTCAAATTATGGATGAACTAGCCAAGCATTTTGGATCTCTATCCAATGAAAAGTTCAAGATGATTATGACGGATGTGATTGTGGATCATATTTCACCTATACGCAATGAGATAATAAGGCTGAAAAAAGATCCGGCATATATTGATGGCGTTTTGGAAAAAGGCGAAGCTGCGGCAAGATTTCGGGCTGAAAAAACCATGCAAAACGTTCGCCGTACTATTGGATTGACTTGATATATATTTTGATTTCTTAAAAACACTCACAATTGTGCTCAATTTGTATTTGGTGGTTTATTGAAACACTGCTCGACTATTTAGATTATAGTAGACATCACAATTGTTGATACAGTATTTGCAATGATCAATGGTCTGCATGGATTTGTGTAATCAGTGTGCATGATCTTGGTCTGTAATGCATGACAGTTCATTCATCGTATATCAGCAATGATGTGAATATTCGTTCAGTTGATACAAAAACGGGCACGGGAAAATATTAATAGACTAATGAGTAGAGAACATTGCTGTCCAGTAAATTATCATTTCATGAGATTGGCGGTTGATTATATATTCTTATTTAGTCATCCATTTTACGTCAATACGGCGGTAATTCAACTTTGCAACAACTCGCCATTTCGATTGTCGAGATTAAACTTTCGATCCAAACCAAGAATCGTTTTAATCCATTTCAATTGCATCTTCATACAAAGAGTTTGATCAACTTTACATTGCTTGCATCTCGCATATGATGTTTTGACATGACTCAACCCCATTTAATGTATTCAGCAAAATCCATGGGTTGAAAATAGCAAAACCTCAAAACTGTGTATACCCTGCTATGGATATGTAACAATAAGGCGATTCATTCAAAAACTATCCAAACTCAATCACAGTCATGATTGTATATCCAATACTCATAACAGAAAGCCATGCTATACCAGTAGAAAGAATACCAATTTGCAAAAAATCTACTACTCTAAGCCATGGAACACCAGTTGGGTCCTCCAGAGATATGGCATTCATATTGGGAAACGATGATACAGGCAGAGCCATTCCACCAGAGCAAAGCAAGGCTAAATCAGTCATTAGATTCAAAAATTAATTAAGCCATTGTTAAAAACAATTCGTCATCAAGCAGATTAAATTTAAACAGGGCTTGAAATTGATTCAATCAAATCAATACCGCAAGTACGTACCAGCAGCCATAACAAGTGTGCGAGGTCGAGGATCTGACAAGCTGGCACCAATCTGAGCCACTACAGGAAGAATGATAAGAGCACCTACGGTATGACTAATGAAACTCGTGATAATTACCACAACACCTGTAAGCAAAGCAATGCTGTATAGCAAGGGGAGTTCTTCTAGATATGGTGAAAAGATATCTGTGATAAAAGCAAGAAGTCCCGATGAATCAACCGCCTTGCCGAGAGCAATCCCACCCATAGCCAGCATAACAACTATAATTTAAAAACAAATCAGTACACTATTTCCATTAATGAACGCAACACCAAAATTAAACCTAATCGACAAGACTTGATCTTACCTGACCACAACATGCTGTTCCAATCATCCTTGGTCAAAATACCGGTGCCATAGAATGCAACAATCGGAATAATAGCAATCACACCCATATCTCCTACAATCCCTTCAATGTTGCTCTCTGCACACCATAGTCCAATAGTAGCTACCGTAACACACAGAATATAAATCTGGGTACACGACATCTTGCGCGATGAAAAATGTTCCTGTCCGTAAAGTTCAGGCGGCGCAGCACCTTCGTCAGGCTTGTATACAAGAAGTAGCAGAGCCCATATGCAAGTATCAATAACCAAGCAAATAGGAATGGCAATCGTAAACCACTGCAGCCACGATGGTGGTGGATTCATGTTTGCCATGGCAATGATGTTTTGTGGGGACGAGATGGGAGATGCCATACCACCAACATTGGCAGCCATGGCAATTCCCATGACAAGACAGCGAGCATAACGGGATTTATGGGGTAAGTTCCTCAATATGGGAGATACAAGCGAAAAGCACAAAACAGGAGCAGCAACATTGGAGATCCACATACTGGAGAATGTGCTCACAAACATATTTGCAAGCAAAACCCATTGAGGTTTAGATCCTGCACGGCCAAGAATAATAGCGGCTGCCTCTTTAGCAATGTTGTGCTTACTTAATGCACCGGCAAGTGAAAACCCACCAAGGAGAAGCATTATAACTGGACCAAACATATCTGAAAATATCTGTTTAGCAGCATCGTGTGCACTGAGTCGCTCGCCATTCTTGCGTTGCACACGAAGAACAACAACTAAAAGAGGTACCAAGATTGATGTAATGAAAAGTGGGAGTGCCTGAAAATACAATTAGACAACCATCAAGGCGGTGAGATGAATTGCAGTTGAATCACAAACATAGTTTATAAATCTAATGCAACAATTTCAAAAAGACAAACATATATAATATACCTCAAAGGCCCAAAGAATAGAGGCAAAGATTAGAATGGCAAAACACCCATTTTGCTCTGGAGTTGGTAAAACACGATACTGTATAATGCCTATCAGCACGGCTGTAGCCAGCAGAATCACCAAAAAGTTGGCAGGAATCACATTGGGCAAGTACAGCGTGATTGTACCTATTTTAATTGGAACAAACTTGGAAAGTCCAAGAGCATCTCCCGTCATAGCGTTTGGACGCAGCCCAATAGTCTCCCTCCTTCGCTCCTGTTCAATCATATCGCGCCAAATGGTATTGCGCTCCCATACAATATGATCGCGCAAATGGCTTTTAAGCTCTGTCAGAGCCAATCCAGCCTTGCCATCCGTGGCAATACGAGCATAGATTCCAATGACTCGATCAATGATTTTAGCAAGGGCTTCCTTGGTGCGATTGAGAAAAGGATAAGAGAGCTCTACCTTGGCCATATAGGAATGCTTTAGTTTTGCACCAACAACTTTTTCGTACTTTTTAAGGACTTTACTGAATCCAGTCTCATGAATATCGACATAGTCGCGCAGCTCGCACAAAACAACAAAGAGCCCAATAACACGCTTTTGGAATCGCTGGCGGTGATTGCGCAGACCTTTGGACGACCAGATTAGAAAAGTGAGGTATCCTGGACGAGATGCATCTGGAGTCATTCCAATGGCATCATCAAAGTTTTCAGAATATACACGACGACGATCCGTAGCATTTGGACTCACGGATGATTGTAGTGAAATGTTTGGATTGGATGAATGGAGAATAGGCCCTATTGTAGTTGCTCGCTTTATAAGTGATGGTTTGGATTGAGAAAGATCTTCCATCATGGATTCCGAGGCAGACGATGTTGGAGATGTCTTTGTCGCATCTACAGTGGATCCCAGAAACGCCATTGTTGTCGTTGCGCTAGCAGCAGAGGGATTCGATCCACAGGCAATTGAATAACTCAAAGGTTCCTCGCGCACACTTTCAAGCCCAACTTGAGGTGGAGGCAAAGCTGGAGACATGAGATGCAGACTAGGAACCTGTGAGCTATCAAAGGCATCGGAAAGTCCAACAAGATAGCTTTCTTCGTATTTTTCAACACTTCTAATCTCATTGATAAGTGCCTGAACATCTGCCAGCAAATCAAGCTCTTTTTCAGTGTAAAAGTTTTTAATCTTGTCCAACTCCTCATCCAAAGCACGCTCAAAAAAGTCGTTGGCATCTTGCAAAGAAAGCTTTCCGACTGCCGTAACAGACTCCATTCCGGCGGGAAGCAAAGGCGTTTGTTCTGATGGCGCTTCATCGCGAATGCTATCAGCTTGAGGGGTTTCCAGACTAGCGCCTTGATAGATATGAGCTGGTGGCAAAGTGCCATTTTCAAGATCATGGTGATCAACAGGAAGCTGATCAAGTCCAAGAGTAGCCTTTTCTATCGCATAGATTAGTTTTTTGAGATGAGAGTAGGCACTAATCAAACAAGCACAATGGATGAGTACAGTATGCAAAGTTTCAAATATCAAAATGTGTCGGATCAAGTCGGTCAAGACATGCTACAGCAACTGTTCAGCCCATTCCGACTCGAGCAGCGTATCTGCATTGCTATTTTATTCGTCTTGGTTGAACTAAATAAAAATCGGTAGATTGACAAGCTGAATACAAGCTGCTGATTCAACACAACGGCTTGCAATGCAGCCCCAAAATATAATATGGCCAGGGAAAACAGCTATTCTACTAGACTGAATACTAGAACAAAGCATTGGTATGGCAAACAGTTGCCTTGAAAGCCAGTTGGCTATTGCCAATTCAGGATGCAATATTTATATTTGCATCAATTCCAATCCGAGCCATTCAGCAGTCTTTCGATCTCCTGAACACAGACATCTGCATTTTGAAGATGGAAATAATAGATGGGCAGCGTAGGTTTAAACATTGGCAAGGAATCAATGTTCATCTTACAGATAATGCTCCCGCCATTCAGGCGAAGCATTCAGCGTAATGGAATGCGAGAATTTCATACTCGAAGAAAGCTCGAATATGAGAATTTACAGCTGGTGATAACAAGGACAAGAGCGGAGAGGAATGAAAAATTGTCAGTAACCATCAGTGTGTATCATGTGTTTGGGAAGCATTCAATCCATTCAACCACGCTTTCAGGCTTGTTTTTTGTTTGAGCGCCAGTTTGCAGCACGCCGCTTGCCAACTGAATGCTAATTATGGTGTAACGATGGCGACGCTGCTGTGGAAGCGAACAACTTATTGAGTGAATTGAGAAATAGACAATCTCGAAACAATTCATCATGCCATGTGTCGAAAAGATCATGCTCTGGCAAGTAAACATCATTAGCGTTCAGATGTTGATGGATGCCATGTACGCTTGACTGCAGCACTGCATTATGCACGAGTTTGTATGTGAAGCCTTTCATCTTTCAGACGAACAACGGAGACTGACCGGCGTGTATTGGATTGACAGGCTTGGCAAAAAGCGTGGCTGTAATCACCATCCATTCCCGAATTGATATCCATCTTTTTTAATGGCCAAGTAATCCTGCAAGCGTGGAGTATCATCTGACAAGCAATCTACATGCGTATCGTTTGACATGGTTTGATGCCATTCGAGCACTATTATACCAGTCAAATGATAGTGGCTAGAGATGAGTATGTCACTCGTAGATGTTGAAATAAACGATAACTCGAGCCAAAAGTGTTTGACAGCGTTTGTCGCTTGCATACGTGGTAAATGGCTGTTTGCGCTTTTGAAGCATGTGCACCGAGCAGCTAAAGGTAAACCGGTTGCTCAAATACCTGCCATGCAGTACGTTATATATATCAACAAGTCGCTTGAGCATATGGAGATGGATCGTGTTGCTGCAGTCATGTTGATCCAGGCCGAATCAACACATTTTATGTGAAATGCTTTACAATTGATTGACTGCACAATATAGTGAACAATGGATGCTCCAATATGTTTATTCCGCTCAATCAACAGCAGTTGGACAACCTATTTTTCATCTCTTTTGATGGTTGCAGCATCCATAGCAAATGTAAATCTAGAGTGTTGTGAAAACAGGGAGATATTTACTGGAATCGATTTTGGTATCACTACCAAGGAAAAGGCTTCTGCAAAACGAAACACTCAGTCGCAACCAGCAGAACCGTTACGTCATGGAATTGCTGGATTAGCTGGAATATTTGACCGAGTTGCATCGCCATCGCTCAATAGTAGTCAACCGCAAGCCTTTCGTGCTTATTTCGCTACATGACACAAAACAATCGACTGGAAACAATAGTCATTTCAATACGTCGAGCGCTTGCAGAAGAACAAAGGATTCATCAAACTTTCAAAGGGTTTTGGATTGTACCTCGCCATGTGTATGCGCAACCAAACAGTACGGAACCAAAGCCCGTAAAGTTTAAATACTACTCATTATACAATCGCCTCTGGTGTCGAAACAAGAACAGTTGCCACAATTCCTGTCACGTACATACTGGTTGTGGTCATCACGACAAGAGCGAGCTGATGGTTTTACTGACGTTTACGCGCTGAACATCTCGCCTAAAGAACCCCAAAACGCAAACCTGTACTTTCCAGATTCTCTCGTCAACCTCCAAACCCATGTGTGCATAGGCGGTGGTGAGCATTACAAAATAAACAAATCCCATCACACAGGTGCGGTTGAATGAAGTTGACGCGAGATGCCATACACGGTACACGACTGGTGGTTGCTGACACTTTCCCCTCCATTCTCATCCCCATTGTCGCTAGTTGTAAACCTAATGATAAATATTGATAGTTCATTTATCGTATTACTATGAAAAAGATATGATAAGCCAGCAAAAGTATGGGTAGGAATAAGAATATATCTACAAAAATAGTATTGCTTGATTATTCACATCGCCATATTTGGCTAAACCCTGGATGGTGGTCTTGAGTGATAAAAGGGTAAATAATCAAAGTTCACTCGAGGTAGTGCTTTTGTTTGTGCATCTACATAATGGACTAATTGGATATATTTCCGAGCAAGTCAGCAATTGAAGAAGGACATGCAATCGAAAATGTGCCAGAACTGGTAGGATGGTATCCAGTCCAAGAGACCAATCTCAAGTAAAGTGTCACACTATATGACATTCTCAGAGGAGCACGACTTTTACAGCTTTCCATCAGCAAGGAAAGAGCCGGGTCTGTCGAAGGGTCGACCGGTGCTGACGTGGAATACGTAAGTCGGTACGGCTAATTATTATACACAAAAGTAAGATAAGCCGAGTTGACGCATGATTTGAAAATAGAATGCCAACTTACCACAACAATGATAGTTTCTGCATTTTTCCTGATATTGACATGTTCAAGGGTACTGTCAGCATGAATGTTTGGAAGTGTCGTGTCTGCCTTGGATAGCAAAATAGACTAGATTGTATTATAGGATTGAAGCATGTCAAAATTAAAGATTGAACGCATCAAGCGTAAAACAAGACCCATTCTAAAAACAGGTAGTCAGATATATAGCAACACCATCTAGTACTTTACATTAAAAACAACAGTATCCAGCAGAATATCGATTTTGTTGGTTGAAATTGCCGAAACATTGGTTGCAAATGGAAACGAGAAGCTATATGGATTACTGGCAGAAGCAGATTTAAGACCATTTGTAATGCCGGCGGTGGAGATATCACCAGAAGAGACTTGCAAGCCAGTAGACCCAATAGGGATGTAAGGATCGGACATATTGACTGTTGGGATTTTCGGCCATAGGAAGAAGATGGTTAATCCCAAAGCAATAAGGACAATGAAACAGCAGCAAAAGCAACTGACGCAACAAGAATAGGTGCGGAAGCAGCAGCATATTCTCTGTTTAGGCTGTTTTGTATCGAATGGAGGATATGGGTCGAGCTTAGAAGGGTTCTGGTTAGATGACTGATTGTCCAGAGTGACGACTACTGGATCAGATTGATAAGGTACATTCTGAGTGCTGGCACGCATAGTACCTTGTTCCTGCTGGTAGGGTTGTTGGGATTGTCGATTATTTCCAGCCAAACCAGGAGTGCTTGAATAAGCTGATTCTTGAAGTTGAGGATCAAGCACAGGCTGTTGTCCAAGTTGTTGTCCATACTGTTGTCCATATTGCTGTCCAGACTGCTGTCCAGACTGTTGTTCAGACTCCTGCATTGGTTGAAGTTGGTACTGAGTATAATAAGGATCGGTAGGATGTACGGCCGCCTGAGATGGATGCTGCCGAGTGGGATTGTACAAATTGGTTTGAGACGGCTGAGGTTGAGTTATATTTTCCAAAGTATCAGACGAGCGTGGGTAAGTAGCAACAGACATGGATGAGTGTGGGTAAGTAGCAGCAGACATGGATATTTGCTGAACTGATTTGTTGAGGGTTGATGTCGAAAGCGGTTGAAAGTTTGGATGGTAGGAAGTGGATGTCATTGGATTGTACGAGTGACGAGACATGTAGCCCTTGCTTGAGACTGCTTTTAATGATGGATGGGATCTGGACACTGAGGATTGTGAATAGTGTTTCCTACTCTGAGTTGACGGACATTCCAATGGAAGTGCACGAGTGTTGCCACAATTCAGCCACGATTCAGAAGGCAAAGTGTCCTGAGCCCAAAGGTCGGAGTTGATTCCATGACTGCTTGAATGAAAGCCATGTGGATTACTCATCCATACTCTATCATTCTGATACTCACTCTCCTGTACTTGGAGCTGATTGAGTTGTGGTACAGACTGAGAATACATGTGTTGGTATGGATCCTGGTGCACCAAGCCTGGTTGGTAGCTGTCTTGTACTGCATATGGCTGGTGGGGTTGGAAATAGGGAAATAGATAGGGATAGTGTGATGTTTGTGGTACAGGATAAGGATAGTACTGTTGCTGGTCCTGATAGTACTGCGGTTTGAATGGATAGGCCGATACTTGCTGCATAGCGAGCTGTGAATGATACTGGTCTGTTGGCTTCATTATGGATTGTTGCAACGCAATGTTGGTCTGATCCAGTTCTAGGGCTTGATTTGGTGGATGATCCTGCGACATGTCCTGTAGCTGGTCATTACCACTCATGAAATGAGCAACACTTTGAGTATCGAGATGCGAGTCAGTACTGGGTTGTGTATTCTTATTTAGTGAACCCAAGGTCGCTTGAATGGGTTTAGACTCTTGTTGCATAATGAAAGTATGTGCAAATAACTACTGCTCTGGATATCGCTGATGATGCTTTCAGAGTAATAAACTGATGGGATTGCTATGATAAAAGACTATCTACAATTGTATTCACAAAATGAGATACTTGTATTTATCTGAGTGTTTGTTTCTATTTGCTTTGGAACAAGCAATGGTTGGATACTCGTTGCGATTCCTACACATCAACTCTTGCTTTTCCAACTAACATTTTCAGTTCAATAAACACAATGCTCATCATACGATGCTCAAACTATTATAGCTTTGAGCGTGTTCTTCACTTTTGGCATAGCCATAAACTGTATGATTGCCAGATTCACTTTAATTCAGATATCAAACTTGTCTTTAATACAACACTAAACTCACCTTTGTATTCTAATCTTGCATTCGTGTTCTAATTGAATACAATTATACATGCCAATCACTAGAAGATCAGTCAACTAAAGAGCACAATCCTGTCCAGTAAGATTGATACCAATCATTCCACAAAACTAGTTGCTCATACAATTTAGTATTCTACACGAATATGGCAGTAACAGTTTGATTACTGTCACTGTCTGGCCCCAGAGTGATGTTTGCCTCGAGTCTAGAAACTTTGTGAATGAAACCCCTCGTCAGTATTGAATGTTGGAGCTTACAATGTCTTGAAGCTAAAATACCAAACATTATGCTTGCAGTTCGATCCCTGCAATCCTTTGTTGATTTAAAGTACAACTGCTCAATATTCTGCCATTCATTATCTATTCAGCCAAACATGCATGCTTGAGTTGTAAAAGATCAACTGTCGAGATCTTGGTCTTTACCAACGTGGCAAGCAGACCATCCAATTGTAGGTCGTGTTAAAGAACCATCACTACAGTATTAATAGAATGGTCTTGCTTGATGGCATTGCGTCAAACTGGTCGACTTGTTGGCTTTAGCGGCTTGACTGCAAAATAGGCGATTCTGACCACAGTCCCCATATTTCAAGCAAGACCTCGAAAATGCAAATTGATATTACCAATGTTTTTGGCAAAACATTCACACTCTAATAAACATGGCATCTACTGCAAGGTAATGTACTTGCTGTTGTAGTAAAACCAAGTGTATTTCATTCGCTTATCACCTGGATATCAGTCATTTTGGTCTGGTCTCTCTTGGCCAGTCATTCTTGTCATCGAGTGGATTGATAGCATTGGCTAGTGCTCATTAAAGTCTGAATCCATCCACTTGTATTTATATTCATCTCTGACTCTAATTTGGGCTTTCTTTTGAACTTTATTCCAACCAGAGAGTATATTGATGCTCGTAAAAAGAATGGCATGACGTGGGAGGAGTTTCGAGAACTTAAATCCAAGAAAAAGGAAGATGTCAACTTCTCTGAAGATAGTATGATCGAGGTATGTTTTGCTTTAAACAGACAGCTTTATTGCTTATACATTGGCTGAATCTTGCATTTCTACCATCAACAACATATTGCTACGCCATCATCGTCGATTTGATCAACCCATCCGTTAGTACAGAAAACAACTCGATCAAGAGCGTGACCAAAAACTGCATAATAAAAAGTCGTCGGGCAGTAGTAGTCATAAACGTAAAAAGGAAAAGAAGAGCAAATCCAAGAAATCCAAAAAAAAGTCGAGCAAGAAGCGGTCGTATAAATCCGACGAAAGTGAAGAGTCTATATCTGAGACAGATGGCTCTGCAGAGGATACTGATCAAAGCAGAGATCGTAAACGTCGTAATCGAAGTGAAGGGGATTTGAATCGTGAAAAGGATCGTCGGGACCGTGGTCATAGCAGAGATCATGATCGTGATCGAGACAAGAGCAGAGATACAAATCGGATAAGCACTAGTCGTAGTCCACGGCGTGAACATAAGCGACAGCAATCTGCGAGTCCTGAGAACAAACCCCCAGCTCACCACACTAAAGAAGAATCGCCATACTCTTCAGAAAAGGAAAAAGTTTGATTAATGCGGTTTTTGTTAATCTACAATCGAGATTTATAATTTTTACTCCTGGTCACAGCTTGCAAGACTGGTTTTTGGTGCCATCACAAAATGGACAGTTGGTTGTTTTTTTTAGTTGCGTCGTTTTTAATAAATATACTTGGGCATCACGCCTGAATGCTCACCTCGCTGCATGTGCCAATCCCAACATGAACAAACCGTTGAATTGCTGTAATCTGAGAAACTTTCAAATACATTTCAACATTGAGATACCCGAGAACTTGAATTAACATCACTTTTATTGAGGCTGGAAAAGGGAATCCACTTTTCCAAAAAAAAGCAGCCAAAGAGCAAGTGTATATATGGGATCATCATTCAGTACCATATCAACAAGCCTAGCCTTCCCAAAAAGTGGGCAAGGCATTTCCAGGAACAAATATACGTTCCACGTTATCTTTGGTAATGATGGCTAGACGAATTGTGCCTCCAGAAGATCCATCTCTCGACATGGCAAGTGAAACAGCTAAACACAAAGCCTTGAATCAGTACAACTCGTAACACACGCAATTCAAGTAAATAAAATCAGATTTCAAGAAACGCTACCATTTTTGGTGAATTGAATAGCTTCTTCCCGAGTCATGTCATCCTTGAACGTGGCATCACAATAACCATAAATATACGAAGATCCAGATCCACCAATAGTGAATGGTCGTTTATGAAGAGACCCGCCAAGAGGAATAGAGTAAACAGATGGTCCATTGACAGGATCCCACCCAGCAACGATAATTCCCGCCATCAGTCGATCCTTGTTTTCGTAGACAATGCGCTGAAACATATTTGCAGCAGTCTCAACTTTGGGTAAAACTCCCTCTGTGACGCTATTCCATTATATATATTCACAACAGGTCAGAAAATATCCAAAACAACAACGTAAAAAACAGATTTTTAACGCAATCCAAGGCATATCCATCTGTTTCAAACTCTCAAGTTTAAATGCATTATATTTACCTAAACACCTGCAACTGATAGTGTACCATATCGGCAACGGCCTGTGTGTCTGCAGCAGATCCACTACGACAACAAAAAATACGCTCGTGTATCTGGGTAAGCTTATCAGTGACTCGATTGGCTGTTGATTCATTTCAATTTGTTAGTCAGCATAGGTCATATTGACCCCAGTATCGTAATAAAATAGTTATTTTAAATACAGCAAATCAGATTTCACAGTAGAATGACCAATACTTGTAACAAGTTTTTGGAAAATCTGATAGATCCAACAGCAGTCACATTATCCAGCAAGAATAATGGATTCAAAGTATACATGCACGACATCACTTTCTTTCCATGATATAGTTAATATTCACTTTCATGTATAAATGTATACTTGATCCAACCGACTGTGGCAAAGTGTTGCTCAAGACCACCCATCAGGAGTCAGGGTTCAAAAGGTTTCAAGGATATGAATGTATCTAATGCACAGGAATAGTAATGACTTGCCAATATAGGAGCCCATAGTTGTCCGAGAGTCTGCTGCCACAACCACACCGTCCGCAAACTGAACAGCCATAATAGTCGTCTATCCATATTCAACGGTTAGTTGTTCACTCATCTACCTGTCAAACTAGCGTACCACTACAGCTCCAAAAGCACAATAAAAGATGAACAGCTTACTCCAAGGTTAACCTCGTTAGGCTTCAGTTTAGGTCCGTCCATAGTTGCTCAGTTGTTTCTGTTGAAATATGCGTGTTTACAAGGGGTTGAGTGGAAAAGTGAAGTTGCAGCAGATCGAAAGGCAATCCACAAACTCGCTCAAATCAAAAACGGTTTCGAGCACAAATGAGATTTAATCAATTCACCGCTTTTCGTATTAATTCGGATTTGAATTGATTGCAAACTAAAATATTTATTTAAACTCGCAGTGCCTGCACTTTGCTTCCATGTGTGATTGCAATCCACTCTGGCGACACTGTAGACCACGACAGTCCATTGATTTCAGACTCGGCAGCGTATGCCAATAATGGTTCTTTGATGTGTTTGAGTTTGGCCATTTGTGAAATATCCCAAACAAGCACTGTCGAATCCTCTCCTATGTAGTGTTGAGTAATACAAAATGCATCAATTCAACGAAAGTCGAGTCATTCTAAAATGATCACTTACCGGCAGTACAAATATGCACGCTGGAGTGTGGAGCCCATCCGATGGAACTAACACTTGCAGTATGACCACGAAGCTCAGTTACGGGTATTGCAGGAACTCGAATATCGAGGATTAGTACTGATTTTGACTCCTGCTGAAATGTAGCCAGATAGTTAGGATCCTGTTTATTCCAGGAAAGTCGCATCAATCCAGTTCCATTTTTTGCATGTCCATCATGAGTTGGCGACAATGCTGCTGGAACCTCATAAATAATAGTCGAATGATCGAGTGCACTTGTGAATTAAACGCAAGAATCGTCTTAGTGATTGACACTAGCATGTATGCGTTTTGGGTAATATATCACGTACCGTAGATCAAACATACGAACAGATCCATCTGCACCAACGCTTCCAAATACATGAACTCCTTTTGAAAATGCCACATCATATACCTCCTTATCGTGTGCAATCAATTGTGTTTTTGCTTGTTGTGTCTATAAACCTCAAAAGTAAGGTCCGACAGCTGTAAATACAAAGATGCACCAAATACTAGTCCAACAGTATACACTTGCTTACCTCCACATCCCACACTGTACACGTAGTGTCAACACTGCTAGTCACACACAAGGTTGGATCAGTATCATTCCAGTCAAACGATGTCAATGGTGCACATTGTTCTTTCTTGCTCTACACATCATTAAAGAATTAGATATCCTTAAACTCGTGAATGGATTCAACAACAACCACCTTGCGTATATTAGCTAGCTTGGCTCTGCAAATAATCTGACGTTGCTCGGCAATAAAATTGCCATCACTCATTGTACCCATGTCTGTATTGCTTAAAGGAACACCATCCAATCCTGTATCCATTGCTTCGTCAGGTGTAACAAGCTCCCACAATCGAAGGTAATCGCCACTGGTTGCAAGGAGATCTGGCCCCATTCCCTTGTGCGGACTCCACATAAGCTTCGTTACTGGAAATGTGTGATCCACTTCAGCGACTTTAACAAAATCTCCGGCCTTGTTAAACAACTGGATGATTTGAAGCTATTATAGATGACAAGAGGTGGTATTAGCAATTACAGATGACTACTCTTGATCGGGCTGTAGTGGTATGGCTTCGCAAGGCTCATTCCTGAAAACAAAGGTATTGACAAGAAGCATCCAATACTGTTTACTGTTTCCAGAAGGATGAATGTATATACAATCAGCTATTCAGCAGTTGTATTCAACACTAACTGCACCTTGTTGTTGCTGCTTTCCAAAAAGCTAGATATGCCGAGTCGGAACGACCCAGGTCTATGAGACCAATGCACAGAGTAAGTGGGGAATGGTGCCTTGTATTGATACACTTCTGAGGTTGAGACTGACATGGTTCAGATAGCCTTGTATTATAATCTTTGGTATCCCAACTGATGCTCGAGCATCACATTCAAGTTATCACTCACGTGATACAACTCTCAACCCAAATATTAGAACCATATTCAGAACATTGAGCATCAAACTTGAACCAATGTCAAGACCAAAATCCGGTTTCAAACTGGATGATCGTATGGCTGTCAACTGGAAAAAGAAAGCTTGCATCATACGATGAATACTAAAGAATCAAGCATATCTAATATTAAAATACTGTGTTTTCCAAAACAGTCACTACTGCAAGATAAATACAACTATGAATGGCATCGACTGTCAGTTTATTTCAAAAAACTTATGCAACGAGAGTAGAGGCAGTGGAAGACTCGCTAAACATACCAATAAAAATAGTGTGAGCACAGGTAAACAATGTCGACTATTGTAGAGCAGACTCCAAGATACCAACAATAATAAATTGTTGGTATCGTTTATCAGAAGTAACCCATGCAATGTCCCATGTTTCTAATCACTAGTCTAGTCTAAGCTTGTTGAACATGAACAAGTATTTAAAAAGGTGGACAGCCCAAACAAGACTCTCAATGCCCTAATGCAATAGTCAATTTCCCATCACAGATCTAGCAACTCCAGCAAAATGCACGTTCGTGAATGCAAACACTCGAGAATTAACTAGCTGATACACCATCGATCGTTCATCACTTCTAAATACTAGACACAATTCAACAAGCGAGCCAGACGTCACGGTGAAAGCACGACGGGCTGTAAACAATCATTACTAGCGCTCAAAAAATCAAAACTTACTATTTCCAGTTAGGGGGAAGGTTACCAACGGTCTTGTAATAACGGGACAGACGATGGATACGAGATTCAATCAGAATAAGATGGAATTTGCCATCGTTATCCTTGCGGTTGCGCTCAAGATGCTTGCGAACCATAACAGCCTTTTTAATGAGCTGGTAAAGATCCTCGGGGATCTCGGGAGCAAGACCGTTACTCTTGAGAATACGGAGAATCTTGTTACCAGTCACAAAACGGACCTGAGCAATGCCATGCGAGTCACGGAGAATAACACCAATCTGGGAAGGAGTCATGCCCTTCTTGGCAAGCTTGCAAATCTGATCAATAACCTCAGCTGGAGTGGTCTTCAACCAGCTTGGTACAGTTCGGCAGTAAGGGAGAGCAGAGGACGAAATGCCCTTTCCTGGTGCATGCATACGACCCATTGTTGAAGTATTTAAAAGGCTGGTTGTATCCAAGTATTTAAAAATCAATCAGGTTGAGAATTAAAAGTCAAAGTGTATGGTTTAGTGTAAGCTAGCAACATCAATCTATATATCCCACTAGTCCCTTCAAGCACGAGAGCTTCAAATAAAAAACCAATGGTTATGGCGTACCTTGAAAGTGGGAGTGATTGTAAAGTGTGTGCAAACTTGAAATATCAAAAAATGCAACTTTCAATTTAAGCCCCGTGATCGGAGAATTTTTAAATCTAGCCAATTACAAAATTATCCTAGACGTGTGAAATCATTCATTTACAGTCAAAGACAAAAAGAATGAGAACGCAAAAAAATGGTTATTTACATTTCAGCTCAACTTTATGTTTCGAGAACATTCAGACAGCATCAAGCAGGCCGCTGTTGCTGCATTTCAAAAGCGTGAATTCTCCGTCCGTAAAATTGCACAATTATTTCAAATTAGCGTACAGACTCTATATAGATGGAACGCTGAAGCTCTTGCATCAGAACAAAACCAACACAAAACTCAACAAGATCAGCAAGCAGTCGCTGCTAAGCCAAAAGAGGGGCGTTGTCCTATATTTAATCAAGAGGAGCAACAGGTCGTAGCGCAGGTCGTTCAGCAGACTGGTCGTGTCGACACAAGTCAGATTGTTGCTGCAGTACAGGAAATAAGAGCGATAGATGCTCCTGCCATTCAAATCAGCAGACGAACAGTTTACCGATATTTAAGAAAGAACAACATCACTCACAAAAAAGCACATCTTCGGACTAAACAGCCTGATCCCAGTAAGCTCGCAGCATTTTGGCAGCAGATGCGCTTGATAGATGCAGAGCAACAGGCGGAACCCATTATTTCACTTGAATCATCATTTGACGCACACATGACACCCACTTATGGATGGAGCAAGAAGGGCACAAAATGCATCTTTTTTTGAACTTGAGAGCATAATGTTAAAGTTTAGCAATACAGGGTCCTGTTAGAGAATGCAGTTAGACAATGCATGGGGCCTGTAGGACAACATTAGCAACTAAAGGGATCAAGATTGATACCATTAATAAATAGCCAAATCTATTCATCTACTTTTTGATTGTATAATTCAATTCATTTACCAATCTTTGCCAATCCCATTATAAATACATTTCAAGACAATTGTTGGAGATGGAAATATGGCGCTCGTGGACGTTGAAGGATACGGCAGTTCAAGCCAAGAGCGTTCAACAATGCCTATCACTTGCAGACGTGGCAAATGGTTTACACTCTTGGAGTGTCTGCACGCTATGCAAGATAATCTCAACGGCAAAAAAAGGCTAATGGTCCTGCCTACTTTGACATTCATCTCCCATCCCAGCTAAAGTGCACACTTGCAAGCAGTCTGCAAACGTAAATCTGCCTCTTTCAAAAGGACATTGTATTTGGTAGTAGTCGTTGCAGAAGCAACCCAAACAGGGATCAAGCTTGGCCATATACAAAACTGATGGAATTTTATACAGATACTGCCCAAATCATGATACATGCTAATGATCGCTGACAATTTCTTTCCATTCTCATGTCAATTTACAGTCACATTCACGTAAAATAGAACGCATCTTGCAGTGATTGCCTTGTGGTCAACTATTCATTGCGCTTTCCCAGTGTCAATTAATTACTTCAATTGACATTCTCAGTTCTTGTCCAGTATCTGGAATCACTTGACCCCATTTTTATTCAAATAATTGCCAACAAGGTTCAAAAATCGACAATGTGGAACTTGATGCTTTCTGGCATTGCAATGGTTGAACAGTTGACAGATCATGTTTAATCAGTAAATGTGTAACCCTGTCAAGGAGTCTGAAAGGCAAAATGTCGAGTAAGCTTGGTGTGAATTATCATTCCACAAGACTGGCTGTTTATTATAAACTCTTGCTCAGTAACCCATTTTACGTGAATATGACTGTAGTTATTTTACCCATTGAAATAAACTTTTCAGTAAACATTGCTCAATCATTTGCTTTCATTTTATAATTGCTTATATCTTTCAATAGTACTCATTCACATAGTTCAAGCTCAATATCACCATATGGTTGAAACTGATATATGCGGACACGGTTTTTTGTAGCAAGATTAAGCACTAGAAACATTGGCAAATGTGTTGGTCAACCATCAACAAGTGAATATATAAAAAATATACAATTAAACTCTACAGTAACCTGCCAACCTTACCATTAAAAAATGCTTGACTGGCAACAGTGCGGGAATTTACGTGCTCTAAAAGGTCAAAAAGATGCACCGAACTTGTGGATGCCTCAACCATGATTGATCGAATATATTCATAAAATGCAGTTGATTCCTTGTCTGGAGACCTGTGTTGATGAGCAAACACATCACTTGTGTCAAACTCGAATCCAATATTTTTATCCGATTCCGATACTGGAAGCACGCCATGCAATCCAAGATCTCCATCAAATACATGCTTGTCACTATTACGAATCCCACTGATTTTTCTACCTATTCCAATTCCATCACTCAGTGAAGAAAGTGTATCATGCGTGAATTTAGATCTTGATCGAAGTTCTACGATTGCATTTAAAATACTCGGTTAGACTTTGATCGACTACCCATCATCTACTGTTAACACAAAGCCTTATAGTGTTTCAAAAATCGTCATTTATAAAGCAACTTGCCTGATACGCTCGAGTTTGTAGCCGACGGAACATGCCATGGCATGACTTTTGGCGATACATGGGTTTCAAGCGGTATATCGCCAGACTCGAGAGCTCGTCCTATTTCAGCAGATAGGTTGGGTTCATCAAAGTTATAATTGTCAAAGTTGCCTTCATTCCCAATCTGGTTGTTTCTGTTTGGCTGATAAGCTATTTTGTCAAACTCTTGTGCGATTTGCTTGTTTGCTGTAAAACTCGATGGACCGAATCGTGGTCGTTTACGACCTGAAACTACTGTCTCTCGAAACAATTATTATGCTGATTAGCATGCATTATTTTTTGGGCACTATGAATTATTGCCCATGCTATAAAAATGGTATTTACCGTCATCAAAATGAGAAACCACTGTTTCATGCCAAAACATGTTTAGATTGCGTGACAGATCTATAAATATTTTAAGCATTTTAATAGTCTAATCAAGCAGAGTTTACAGATGTTTTCAACACTACCTGGTTGATGCATTAGATTTTGCAAATACACTTGATTCTGCTTCTTGGTAAATTTTGCCGTCTCCATATTGGATATTTTTGCTATAAAAGTATTTGTTTTTGTTGAATGTGGCTCATCTGGTAGCGAGATCTAAAGTGTTAAAACCATTGGTACACAAATTGAATATCATGACTAATAAACTCGATAATTCCAACAAAAGTGTTTTAAAAATGCATGTCACCAAGTACCGCTTCATCAAAAAGATTACGCTTTCCAGCTGCCAGCTTTATGCGCTTGGTCAGTATTGGCACCTGAGCTACCTCGGCAATATCAGAGCTTGGCGTTATTGTAGTAATTGGAATTTCAAGCCATGTGTGCTCATTAGCACGATTGGGAGCCATGCGCTTGACAAAGTCATGACTGTCTTGGTGTCCAAACGAAAGCTGCTTGAAATTCAAGATTTGTCTGTTTAATTAGACAAATAAGATGAATGGTAAAGATAAATAACGCTCATAAACACTACCTGATCATGATTTCTGAGATCAGAAGTTTGAACTGGATAGTCTGTAAATATATCAAAGTCATCCTGTTGCATTCCTCCAAAGTCTTTCATAAGAGGGTCCATGACATCAATAGCATCCCTATATATTTAAACCCATTTAGGCAGTTCAATCAACATAGGTAGCACAGTTTAAAATACATCTTACCCAGAATCAAGAAAGTCTTGTAGAGGATCGTTGCTCAGTAGAATGGAGCGCGACTGGTGAGATGACAAGGATGAATATGCATTTGATTTGATTCGAGACAGGTGTCTGTTTGTAAGAGGAGACGTAGCTATGCTACCAGGAATATCGTTTGAATAAATCATGTGTTTGTTGTACATTTTAGTCAAGGGTGTATCCGATTCTTCCAGACCGAGACGACTGAAAGAATCAAATACTTTTTCCGAACACCGTTTTGATGAACCAAGTACAGTGGTGGGTGTTTTAGTCTAAATTTAAATGGTTTGATACAGTGATAATTGTCAATCTCTGAGCTTGCATGAAAGTGTTATTCACAATGATTGAAATAAACTCGAATCGACTTACAAAAACAATCTTTCCATCTTTCATCTTGACTGTTTGCTCAAACAAAAGCAGGGTATCGTCAATATCATTTTCCAAAGTAATATGTTCAAGCCTGAAATATGTGAATAGGTGTGACTGTTAAATTTCTTGATTGAAATCATTAGTTTACAAAGCTAATCTCCTAAACTGTCTCACCTGACCTCGGGATTGGCTAGATCAATATCAGTGGTTTGAAGTGGAGACAGTGTGCGTTTCAATTTAATAATGACACTATTGACATCTCCTTTGATTACCAATATATTCAGTGCATCTCAGTCAGTAAAACTGGATTTATCTAGATGTAATGCATTAATTGAAACAATCGTAATAGTTTACCATAGAAAAAGTTGGTTTGGTGCGAGTAGACACGAGCAACTCCCATCATAAGATTAGAACTTTTGGCAGTGAATGAGACAGGGTTAAAACATGCCATATTTGACGTTACATATGCAGTTTTATTTCCATAATGTCATTACCTGAGTCGCAGAGCCAACGGTTCTGGTGGCGAGGTCAAATAATGGCTGGTGCAAGTTTCAATATAAACACGGTGAGACATTCCAATCGTGCCTGTATTACATTCAATCAAACCTACCATGTTTGTACCAGATTCACTGCATTGACTTCCTTGCGACCCAGTTTTTTACAAGAGTTTCTTTGTCCTAATGTTGCTGCCAGCCTTAATATTGTTGAAACGTAATAGATGGTAAGTATAATGACAATAGTATATCTGATTCTTTCTGCATTGCGATCGTATAAAGCTAGTAATCTACTGCCAGATACAATAAAGATATATGATCAAAAGTAGATACACAAAATCAATACATGTAGCAGAATATTATATATCATTTACCAAACAATTGCCAATGAATTTTGTTTGCGACTTGCAGTATGCTGCAGTAAAATATCGTTTGTAAAAAGCATTCAAGAATGTTATCAAAGCAAAGAATGCAAAAATCAATGATTTACAGTTGTATTCACATAAACCGGATCACTGAGGATGTCAAAATACGTAATAAACAACCTGTCTCATAAAACAATGTGTCATTTTACTGGACAGGACTGTGCTCTTTAGTTGACTGATTCTGTGGTGATTGACATGTATACTTGCATTCCTGAGACACGCAATCTGTCTCTTGAACTAGAACGCAAGCGTGTCCGAGATGCGAAATACAGCAAATATAAGCTGTACTGGCAGCATTAAAACTCAATATCTAGATTGCAATGAATAAATCTGGTTTCAAAGTTGGCAATCGTACAATATACGAATGTGCAAAAAAGGTAAAAAGAGACGCTCATAATTATAGTTTGATTGTGTACATCATACAATAGATGCTTTATACTACAGCCGTATTCAAGTAAAGTAACACTTTTTTGTATTGATCTTGTAATGACTCTTTTTCTCCAGAATAAACAATCGTTGTTATTAGATATTGATTATTTCTTTCTATTAAAACTCTGTTGTATTCTAATATCAGATACGTTTGCGCTCTAGTTCAAGAAAACATCTCAGGAATGCAACAGTTGCTTTCATGCCGATTACGCAATGTATTGAAATAGGAATGTGATCACTCTGTATTTTTGTACAAGAATGAGCATGGAGACCAGTGAACTCATTAGTTCAAAAAACACATTGTTGTTCAGTAAGATTGGCGCCAATCACACATGACTGTTTATCATGCATTTGACACTTGTTTAGTGTTTCGCTATGTGAATACGGCTATAAGACTTGATAATATCAATTAAAATCAGTTTTTAATAGAAAATTGCAACGAATATTTAATCATTGTTTATTCTGAGCAAAGAAAGGTCACTGCAAGATAAATACAGAAAAGTGTTTCGTTTTACGTGAATATGAATGTAGAATGCAATCAAGTCAATTTAACGGCTGTATCCGCCTCGGCCTCCTCCACGACCACCACCATATGAGCCTCCACGGCCACCGCCGCCATATGAACCTCCACGAGATCCACCATATGAGCCTCCACGGCCACCGCCGCCATATGAACCCCCACGAGATCCACCACTGCGACCTCCAAATCCACCTCGGCCGTTACTATTACCGTAGTTAGGACGATCTTGCATTTCTGGCAATTCAGTAGGGATTGTAAGCGAAACACCGCGTCCATCACTCCAAATATTGCTGCCAAGTTTAATTGTAGGTGGAATACCAGATCCGTTATCGATCACTTGAATCTTTTCGGCAATCACATCAACAACAACACCCATAGAGTCGTTGGTCATGCGCCATCCAACAACGTCCTCATATTTAACATCGGAATGGTTGCGCTGGATAATTGATTTGATATAGCCAACATTTTGGATGGGGCTATCGACGGTAAACAGCAATGTGATGAATCCTTCATTAGCAGAAAGGATTGAGCGGGTTGCCAATGGTTTCGTAGTGTTGCACAAAACTGCTAATGTAGCAGAAAGTGCCTTTATTGCATCGCCCTGGAAATGCTCAAGAATATCTCCTGCGCAATTGGTAAAATATTCAAGAACTCGCTCATCCAAGTCGGTCTTGACAGTCTCGAGCGTGTCAGAGGCACGAGCAGCAACAATATCTTTTGGTTGAGGTGCACCAATCTTGATGAAATTAACGCCGGCATGGCGAGCAATATTCTGTAGAGCATACTCTTGGTTGGGTTTGTAAAAGGTAACACATATACCCGACTTTCCAGCACGTCCGGTACGTCCAGATCTATGAATGTATGATTCCACATCTGAGGGGGGTTCACAGTTGATGACAAGATCCACCTCGGGAATATCAACACCACGTGCACAGACGTTGGTGGTAATGAGAGAGGTGAACTTGCCTTCTCTGAAACCCTGCATTGTGACCTCACGCTGCTTCTGCTGAATATCACCATGGAGAACTTGAGTTCCCATAGTAACCAGCTTATCGTTCATGGCAAGCTCGTTGGCCTCACCCTTAGTTTCTACAAAAATAATGGTGCGACCAGCGCCGCCACGACCATAAATGGCCACAATGTCACCAAGAAGAGCGGATCTATTTTGCCAGTGAGAAGCAATAGCGTAATGCTTGACAGTAGCAGATGTTTTTTGCTTGTCAGTACCAATCAGATCAAGGGTCACTTTGTTGGGTTTCATATATTTAGACACGGCTTGCTTGATCCAAACAGGCATAGTGGCACTGAACAAAAGAACTTGGTGATCAGGAGCATCTGTTAGTTTAGACTTTTGCTCTTGAACTTGCTGCAAAATCTTTTCCATGGATTCAGCAAATCCAATGTCCAACATTTGATCAGCCTCGTCGAGACAAATAAAGCGCAGTTGATTGAGCTTGAGAGTTCCACGTTCAATATGATCAATTAGACGACCAGGTGTACCAACAATCACATCAATACCATCACGCATAGCATTGCCTAGATATATTTCAATGCATATATAAACGTGAGCAAATCAAGTGAGGGTGGAAGGCTGGTATATGATTGCATTGACTTTTGACGGCCATTCAAAGTAAAAACTTACATTGGGAATCGTATGGAGAGCCACCATAAGCGCAGGTAGACTTGAGCTCACCAGAGGAAATACTATCAAACTCACGGTGAACTTGCATAGCCAACTCACGTGTGGGAGCCATGATAAGAACACGAGGAGCTCGTCCTCTCTGGCTGAAAAGGTGTCGATTACTCTCACGCTCGCGTTTCAAAACCTCAATCATTGGAAGAGAAAAGGCAAGCGTCTTTCCGGTACCAGTACGAGCACGGCCAAGAAGATCCATGCCCTTGATAATGGGATCAAATGATGCAGCCTGAATAGGGAAAAGTTGCACGATTCCACGAGCCTTGAGCGATTCAATGGTCGACAAAGAAAGGTTATGGGAGGATAGACGCAAATTGACTGGGATATCGGATTCTTCTTTTTTGGTAGAAGATTTATAATCATCAATATGTTGGTCCTCAACAATAACAGCCGACTCCTTGGTAGCTTCGTCGTCGTTTTTAGAAACCTTGCGCAGCTTTGTAGCTTTGTCATCATCTGCAGTGGGTTTGGATGAATCCTCATCACTGCTCGACCGCTTACGCTTGCTATCCTTGGACTTTCCATTCGAGTCCTTTTCCTTTTTTTCTTTTTTATCTTTTTTGGCCTTGATGCCATTGACTTCTGAACCATTCATATCAGTCGATTGCTTGGACTTCTTGAGCAGACTCTTCTCATCCGTAAGGACATTATCGGCAGCGCTTGTCTTCTTTTCCTTTTTTTGCTTTACGTCAACCATATTGACCTCGTTGATTATATTGGTGGATGTAGGCATACTTGTATTAATTGGAAAAGCGCTTTAGTTTTTTTTTTAAATCGCGGCCAAAAAACAGTTAAAGCAACCGACCAATCAGATTTGAGTGATAGTTTGAGCCAATCACAATGCGACAATGCCAGATTGAACGAACCAATTAGAGCAGTGCTCATGTAAAATGGAACGCTTGCAGTGATTGTATTTTGCTTTGTTTTGGAATGGACAAGTATTTGTTACGCTTTCCTACTACAAATTGGCTGCCTCTTCAATAGATAGTGTTTATATAACACACGCAATTAAACCATAGTTGTAAACCCAAACTGCTCACTTTGAGCATGGTCATGCACTGTACAATCATCAGATTCATCGATTGCAACCCACATGTTTGGACATTGCCAAAATACTGCAAACTCGTCTTTATTATATCCTGAGTTTTAGATACGCTCGCATTCTAATTCAACAAAACAATCTCAGGAATGCAATTATACGTGTCAATCACCAGAAGACCAGCCAAACAATGAGTTCATGTCACAGTATTGTCCAGTAAAATGACACATTGTTTTATGAGACAGGTTGTTTATTACGTATTTTGACATCCCTAGCGATCTGGTTTACGTGAATACGACTGTAAATTAAATCACTAAATTGCAGTATTGCCATTTGGCAGCCTATTTATGCATCTAGATGCAACCATTTTACGATTAAAATGAGACTGTTTTGGTTTAATTGTTGATTCATTCTGTGAATCCAACTTTTGATGATGTTTTGAAATCGTATAAAAGAATTGGTCAATCACTTTAATCAAGTACGAATTCATAAACAATTGTATTTAGAATTCGAATTGAAAGACGTTCAAAGTACTGTTTCGGCAACACAAATTGTGGCGGATAATTCTGTAATGGCGTTTCAGTATTTTTGTCCTGAGGGTTTGTGAATTATTGTTTTTCCCAGTCAGCAGTTTTCAGGCTCAATGAGCTGCTAAAAAGTGACTTGCTAGTTTGGGATATATTACTATCATGGATTCAACATCAAATTCTTGGAATCATGGCTCAGAATCAACTAATAATAGAAGAACATCAACCATGACAACTTTCTCTGACATGGCTACTATGACCGAAAGCGCTACATCCAGTCCTCTGTCTACCAATACTTCCTCACAAATAGGAGGTAATGGCTTTACAAACTCAAATCCTGGAGGTCTTAGCTTCAGCTGGACGGTATGTTGAATGTATTGACTGATGTATGCCTCGTAGTATTTGGATTTCTGTTGGATCGCCTGGCCACCCTGCATCCATACCAGAAGATCGAATCAAAACCGGCTAATTATAAGTATAGGCTGTAGCCTTGCTTTCAATCCCTGCAACCTCCTTTAATCTAGCTAATTTAAATCGTTTCAAACGTATGATGCGATAGTTTCAAGATGGCTAATCAATATTTACTATTATAACTCTTAATGATTCAACATATAGACAGTCATTGTTCTTCTGATTGCAATTTCTATAGTGACTGCTCTTTACCACGTTTTGCGTAGAGTTAATCAACGACATGCAGAGCGCATGCAGGCCCAAAGCCAACAACAGGGGGTACGACTGCGTCATCGCTTATTAGGCAACATGTTTGATCCTAACCCAAGATCACTTCCAGTACCACCCCCAACATATTCAGACATGGAGATATGTGTACCGCGAGAAAGCGATGGCTCAGAATTTCCACCAGACTATGAAGCAGTATTACAATCACGACTTCATGTCGAGATTCTCGGTACGTTTCAGCAGCATAGCGCTCTCGGCTCATTTACAGACAACGAGCTGGAGAATACAGCCAATACTATAGAAAGTGTAGAGACGGCAGATCCTCCGGCATTGACATCAGAAACAGTACCTCATGATTCCGAACCCACTCCAATAATGGTTGAATCCCAGCCACACCAACCAATTTAGCTAGATGATTCATCAGAGAATCGAGTTGTGAATAAGCTAATCGATAACTGCTGGTAAAGAAACAGTGCTTTATCAAACGCATTTGACATCAAACCCTGACCTCTGTTCTAAACATGCACATTGGACCAATTTTTTGGTATAGTAATTGAATAAAGGTTTTGCATTGTAATTAGAGTTGCGACTCATGACAGCAGGAACGAAGATAAATGATGCAACTGCCGCCCTTGCATAATTGTGCGATTGGAGCCAGTGTCTTCACGTGATGTGGCGGGTTGTAGAGTTGAATCAAGAAATAAATTCTATTGAGCAGCAGGAAAGCAACGATTCTTGCAACAGTAACCCGCCCTTTTATCCGCTGCTCGTCGTTTCATTCTGAACCCTAACCTTTCTAACCTACCCAACAATCAGCAAGAATCGATCCACATACACCTGCTGCATCCTTGGTTTAGAAGCTACAAGGCACTTGAAATCCCAACACCATGACTTGCTGCGAGCCAGCAAAGTGGAAGCGAGAAGAAATTGCAGACCACAAGTTTGACTATGTCGATGTCGATGACTTTGTAGAGGACAGCCCCATGGCCAAGTTCTCCTACTCATTTGTGTTTTTGTTCACCCTCAAGTCCATTCTAGTATACATGGCTGATTTGGGTGTGTTGGTCCTGCTGCTGCAAAGCGGAGCCGTCACTTCTCTCTTTGACTCGGCCAACAACTCTACCAACATCAATGGTTTGCCCTCGACTCCGAGTGGAAACGCCCTTTTTTGTGACGGCACCAACGAGCCTAGTTCCTCTGCTGGACAGTGGGTCAAGAACAACCCGCATATTATTATTGGTGTCATTGCTGCTTCAATTGCCCTCTCTTTTATCCTATTGCTTTTTGAATGGAAAAAGGCCATGGCTATTATTCGATCAAGAGATATTTCGTATGCTTTTACTTCAACAGTGGCCTATCGCTACTACACCATCAGGTCTTTTCCCCATTACTGTGTTTTTTCACAAATTCAGAACTCGAGAAAGACGACTGATATCGTCGCATTCTTCGTTTTTTTCCGATTCAAAGGTATATTGCTAGCGTCATTCAAATCCTTTAAAGACTGTCTTGTTTTGTAAATACTCATTCTTGTCTTGTTCCCAATCTGATGTAGGATGGAAACGATTGTTGCTTGCTGAATTTCCTCGTCAATTTCTAAATGCCATCAGTATTCTGGTCACACTCGATTCGTGCACCAAAAAAGACTTTCAAAACGACTTTCTTTTATTCAGATTAGGAAAAGCGTATGGATCTGCAATGCAGCTTTCTGGATCAGAAGCCAATACCAAAAAAGCCACACTAATTCTGTCGACCATCACTGTCACAATTTGGATTTTTAGTGCTATTTCTTTGCTGCTTGCATTTTTCATGTATATTCCTCTACTCTGTACAATTCGTGGTAACCTAAAAGAGTACTGTGTACATAAGATTGACAAAAGAATTGGCGAGTTGCTGCGTCGCAAGTCTCGGAAGCGAATCATGGAAGCCCGCAAGGCAGAAATGAAGGAGATTGAAGCTAATCGTCGCAGGATTGGAGCCGGTGGTGAGAGTAAAACTACTCCTCCAGTTGGGCTTTCTCAAAGACCAACGCTACCGGATATCGATGTCGATTTAGATAGCACATATTCAGGGAGCTATATGCGCAAAAACGTCACTAACCCACCTTCTAGCTACTCTAATATTAATCCTCGATCTTATGGCGAGGCGCCATATCCATTGCAACCACCACCTCATATAGTGGGATATACTACTGCACCCTCTGCATACTCTAGCCATGCACCGTCTGTTCAACAGTCGCAAACTCCTTCACAATATCCAAGACCTCGAGTTGTGTCTGAATACGCTTATTCTCCCGCACCTGCGGCTGGACCTTATGGTGGCAGTGCAGCACATATACCCTCTTATCCCATCCACAGTGATTACAGTGGCAGTGATTATGGTGGCGAACCAGACCCAGATTCACACCATGATAATCGTGGTATATCGTCTCAATATGCCAACACAAACAATGCGTCAGTGTACAGCTTAAGAGGCAGGTCATATATTCCACCTTCAGCTGGTACATCGGCTTCGCACCACGGAAATACTTATGCAGGTGGTGCACAACAGCCGTATCAACCGCAGACGACTAAATATGATATATATGCCATGACACCTAATCCAGGCGGGATGGCAAACCGAACGCACATGTCGACTTCACAGCCTTATCACCCATCTGCTAATAGAAGCGACTCTAGTCATGGTGACCCACCCAACTATGGAGGAAACTATAGATGATTTTTACCAATCTCTTTTTCTATTTTATTACATGGATACCTGTTTAATTGTCGTCGTAAATGAAGCCTTGTTTAATTTTTAGAAGTTCCAAATGGCAAGTCTTGCAACCCATGTGAAATTCAAAAAGCATATACCAGCAAAAATGCTTTTTACTATCTGATAACATGCTTATCATTGTTGACTTGTGTACACTTTCAAGGTATTGTATCTCGGTATACTGCTCAATGGCATTATCGGGTGTAAGCAGCATGTTATACCTGGTTATTACCCATTAAGCCAAATCTAAGACGGCTAAATGTATCTAGCGCTAGCATATTTGCTTAGTCATGTCCAAGAAGCATGCCCTTTTGGAGTGATTTGGTATTTGTTTTGAACATGGAAATGCATAGAAATGAATCATTTTGCTTTCGTGTGCGTGCAAGTAAGCTGGCATGTGGCTGGCTATTCGCGTGAGAAAGCCAAATGTGCGCAATCATTATCAAGACACCAAGCTTGAGCAGGAGGATACCACATACAGATAGATATGTGAGGGGTATATAAATATATTCCAGTCGTGTGAGTGAGATTGAAATACGGGCTCGTATGATTTAGATTGCAAACAAATACAGTTGATGCGACTCGGTTTGTTGTTTCAGGTGCAATTTGGGTGCTACCCTTATCAAGCAATGTAATGCAATATTGAAACAGTGGAGCGCTCAATATATATACAAATGTGTATCTAATATAACAAACAGACCCCTGTTCTCCTCTCGTCAATGTTCTGCTTGCTGTGCATGTTTCATCTTGATTTGTTTTGATTACTAGATATTCGATGACCCGTGTTGTTGCCAGCAAGGGTAATCTAGAATAAATGTGCGCAAAGCTAGTGCTCGACTCGGATACGTGCATGCTCATACCAGTCTAATTTTATATTTGAATATTGATTGCGTCTTTCACTTTATCCAACAACAAAAAAGTGGAAGCTGGTTATTGACTACTGCAATCATTGAAATTCAACCATTCGACCTGTTTAAATCTTTGAATCATCAAATCTTTGGATTGTGCTGCTACATCAACTAGCCCAATACGTTTGGAATTGCAGACCATTGCTTGCTAGATAACTGCTGGGTTTATCCAATCTTTATTTTTTATTGCATATTTACTTGGCATACTGTTGTAACGTATCAACACACCAGCGCTACTATCTATTCACTTATTCTCTGGACCAGTCTGATCGCATTTCCTTCAACAAACAACCATGTCATCACCACAACGAGTCATTACCAATGAGCATCACTACCGACAGGAGAACTCTCATATCTTACCGGCCCAACCGCAGCACCATGAAGCACCTCCTGTCTATACAGTTGAACAACCTCATTCCAACCCGCATGCATCACCAATATTGTCAACCCACGGCCACCACCGTTTGGATCAATATTCTAGATGCTGCCTCAGCTGCGGTGTGAGTATTTCAAACCAGCAGCGTAACACTCAAGGGCTCGCTATCTGCACATCATGTGGTATGTTTTGGCTATTTTAAAACAAGTGGCAGTGTTGATTGTCATTTTTATTGCGTATCTGCCCGTTCATCACTCTGGTCTGCATAGGATTGTCCATCATTTGGATGTGCATAGAATCCTCAGACCTGTATAATAATGGGCAATCTTCTACATCCCTGATTTAATGGGTCATCTAGCTTCTAATTCCTTTTGTTTATATATGAGCATGTGAACAATGCTTAATGGTGTTAAAGCCTCCTTTTCCCCTTTAATATCTGCTTTATTCATCTTCTTGTTGAGAAATACTGCTCAGTGTTCAGTCCCGCCCATCATTAGCTTCTTAAAACAGCCTCACAACCCTACGAAAATACAAGTGATGTTTATCCTTGCATTTACCCTTGTTTTGAAATAAGTTCATTTTTACTAACCAAATTTTATTTTAAATATTTGATTTCTTATCAACCAATATTGTTTTGATACTGGATTGCGGAATATCTATTGTTGTAATGTACGGCTACAACTCGGAACGGACTTTGCGTTGTCGGATAACCACTCAACACAATTTGATTGGTGTCATCCTACTATACTCATGTCTACCAAACTACCCATTCTATTCCCATTTGTACGAATTCTAGATTCAGTTTCCGATTCTAACCCCTCTGCGCCGCACAAGGATTATTTGCAAACCGCTATACACCCTGTGCCAATTTACACTTCAACCAGAGATTATCATGACAAATATTCTTCCATGTCCTACCCAAACGTTGGAAACAAGGATCTCGGCAACACTCTTTCCTTGAAACAGACATTGTCTGCGCAGGCCAAGTCATACGAGCCTGGCTCAAGTTATAACATACCTGCCAATGTCACTCGTAGCCATCATCCCACTCTGATTTCGCATCGACCTCCCCAGCAACAGCAACGCAGTAATAGGCGAGAAGTGGCCAATCCTCATCCGGCAGATACTCTAGCAAATCATATGCTTGGTCGAACTAAAATCCGCAACTCAAGCCCGACAAAAAAATCACCTCCACTACTACCCTTACAGATGAAATCATGCAATTCAAACAACAGCGATATGCCCTTGTATTATGTAGATAACAAGATTGTAGTCGATCAATCCAAAAACCAATATTTGATGGCCAGCACTCAAAACAATCCAAATCCAAATCTGAAGACTGAATCGCGAATTCCACAAACTCAGCGTATGCACAGCCATAGGCAGGAATCAGCTTCTCGTGATCCTCCCTTCGTATCCACTCAGCTATCGTCTACTGACGTGCCGTCTGTGCGATTATCTACTGCCACAAATGGTGCTACATTTATCAATGCATCATCTGCCTCGACCATCCCTCCCGCCCGTGACATTTCACATACCATTTGTGTCAATTGCGGAACTACATCTACTCCGCTTTGGCGCAGGGATGAAATGAGTCGATCTATTTGCAATGCATGTGGTTTGTACTATCGCCTACATGGAAAACATCGTCCGTTGACTTTCAAAACTAGCGCATCTACTACATTCAAGCGTCGTCGTAGAAATACTATCATCCCTGCTTTGCCCAGCGCAACACTCTCCAACACTGGATCAAATGCGTCTTTCCGGACTCCGGATACCAGTCCTATTCGTATCACCACTGCTGATCTGCCAACTCATCGTCCATTCATTTTGAGCGGTAATCTTGAATCTGATACAAAGCATGAGTCCAGCATGACAACCCCACCTTCTTCGACAACCACACCTCACAATCAGCGATCCATCTTTGGAAACACTCCACAGTCTGCCGAATTCCAAAGTGACAACAAAACTGGTCGCAGGGTATCTGCTCCGCGTTTGGAACTGTTTACTTCCCGTCCTTTACCCGAACTAGAATCGGAAAACGTGCCGTCCATGTCTAGCGCACCTCCATCTTATGCCGCCCCAACCATCCAAAATACCAATGTAATTACTAGGAAACGTAGTGTATCTGCTTTAGCAGACTTTACTGGTGCGCGTCTTCCTGCTATTCGAGTACCTAAATCGGCCCGTGATGCATCATTGATGCATCCGTCGGACATTCGCTTGCCCTCTCTTCATGCAATTTTTGGTAGCAAAGGTGCGTCTTTTCCCGCAGAAGAACAAACTTTTCGACGCAATATTCATGTCACAGGCAATTTAGAACTAGCTAAACAGGTTCGTGATGGTCATCAACTTCCTCCAGTGGATATTCGACCAACACTTTCTTCAAACCCATCATCTGGTCTAGAAATCTACAGTATTTCGAATCACAATATTGCCGATCCACATTGTCAGGGAAGACGTCGCTCAAAAAGCATGTCTGCTCCTAAGCCATATGCCGATGTAAGAGCCAACCTTGATGCAAGCAACACCCATTTGCGCCAAAATCAACAAGAGCACTATCAAGCCCAAGTGCATCGTGTTCAAGCTTACGAGCAGCAACAGCAAGACTCTTCTGAAGTTCAACATCGACCACAAGATCAGTCTTCATCTCACGCGTTGAATTCTAAGCAGTCTGGCTTGCAACAAATACAGTTTTTGAGTCCCCAGCAGCCTACCGCCTACCAACGCGAACGTGCTACTAGTTTATCTAGTTTGACTCGCTCTACTCAGTCCGCAAAGGTTTATGATGGCTACCACACGAACCAGCCCCTCTCTGATAGATCTGACCTTGTTTGTGAATCTGGCACAAATAGGTTGCATACTCAACATAGGCGACCAGTATTGCGGAACTCGTTCAATCAGCAGGCAAACCATGCATCTGATGCTTCTTCCGAACAGAATTCCGAGTTTCGAGAACAAAATAGACATTGTGCAACTCTCCCTCGCATATCTACCTCGTTTGGATCAATGCGGCAGTCTACTATTCCCTCTCCCCTGACCCCTTCAAGAGACTTTGGCGGCTCTCAGCATGCTCAGCTGCTTAACCCTAACACGCCCAACAATCTTGGTCAATTTATCTCGTTTGCATCACATAGCAACTGCCGTAATCAAGATACCACCATGACTCCAAGTCCGACTCATCCAATGAACCAACATCTTACATCTACTCATCCTGTGTACTCGGATACTGGATTAGAACATTCTGGTATGCGGAATCGCTCCATTGAATGTTCTCCCGTAAATGAGCAAAAACCTGCGATCAATGAAGTGAATCGTGAGGGATATGAGCACGCTCTTTTGGCGTTAGCATCACTTTCAACGAGGCAAATGTAAATAGAATTATACTGTACTGTTTTTCCGTCTTCTCATCATCCAATGTTTTAAGCTGTTTTCCCGCCCATATTGTTTTAAACGTGGTTTTGTATTTTGAAATAAAGTTTGAGATGCGTAGTTACGTTTGAAGAGTGAGTTGATGTTTTAAGTGTTTGTCCATTGCATAATAGACGGCTGGACATTGAGTATTCAATTACACTTTTATTTTGCATTCCATGCGTTGGGTATACATACGTTTGCACTACAAACCCATCGATTGTCTGTTCAATTCAGTATGCTCAACCAGCACATTTCAAATCACACATGCCAATTAAAATATTCTTATCCTATTTCAAATATCCACATCGATCATCATAGTCCCATGTGTTGTTCCAATATCCTGCAGCAAACACACCGCCCACACCTTTTGTGCCAGCACCACCAAAAGGCGATCCATTGCCGGCTGTCCATCCTGTAGCTGCATCGCCATACTCATCCCCCACAATCATATAATCAGGAACTTCAATACCAGTACGAAAGGGAATGGTCCATGCAGCACGTTGAAGTCCTATCGCATCTATACCAGCTATAAATAGCCCAAGTCGAGTACGAGTTGGACTAGGCGAAAGAAACAAGGCACCCGTACCAGGTCGTTCAAATGTGCGATCGTGTAGTTTGAATCCACCACTCGGCAAAAAGGTGACTTGTTACATATTCAGTCGGTTGGTTTGAACATGTTAATGTTTAAATGACAAAGAGTAGAGTTAGAAACTGGCACAACTCATTTGAATGAATTCTGCTACTTTTGAATATTTAAATCACATGTATCGATACATGGATGAGAACAACATACTTTGTCTTGAGCCACCTTCTTGAGATCGTCGACGTGTATACATGTTATCATTTGGACCACCAAGCACTATCAGATTAAACATAGCAGCAACACCGTCAAGCACGTCTACATCGTGTATGATCTGTGTACTACCAAGTCCAAACAGATACCAAGAGGAGGCAATGTGCTGAGCAAGGTGATAGTATAGTTTTAGATTTTCCACACCTTCTGATGGAATAACAATACGAAAGGGGTGTGAGAATATCAGATTAGCGGGGCCATATGTGCTTGGATGACGCTCTCGACTAATCCACAATAAATCATCTGCAACCTATACACCATCAATCAGCACAGCAGTAAATAAAATGATGAAATATTGCATGATTAAAACTATTTAGGATATCATGTCTACATTGACCCTATTCTATAATATTCGTTTAAAAGCCTTGTTTTACCTGCCATACTCCATCTACACGAAGATACGATGGTCCAGCATCTGCAGGAGATTTGGAAAAATCAGTTCCATCAATTGACCAAGATGTAATTTCCTTCTGACGCTCATCGTGTGTAAATCCAAATCGGCGTACGTTGGTAGTGTTTAACACCCATATATTTTCATATCGATGAACACGAATTGTCGCTAAACTAAATTTTCCAAGCAACCAAAATTACATGCACAAAACACTTGTTAGTATTGAAATGTAAACCTTGATTATAACCAACATAAGTTTGCATCTACCACATACCGGAATGGTACTTCAAGTTGAAGAATTCGAATCCCTCCTTTAGATCCAGTAGAAGCAGGGTTAAGTGTTTGAATAGTAAATCCTTGTGGGAGAGAAGGAAGCTCAAGCGTGGGATTGTTTTCCGGAAGTAAATGAAGATCCAAAAAGTCCTGAACGGTATCGTCATTTAAAATGCCATCAAACCAATGGCCCTTGTTTGGCACTTCAGACACTGATGCAGAAGTAGCGTCTCGATTCCATTCGTTTACCATCCGAACAAGTCGGCGAGTATGCAAAGGTGAAACAACCTCATCAATTGCACCAGTTCTTGCAAGCAGCGGAATACCTCCCTAACATAATGTACATGTCAGCAATGTGATTCCAGTCTTGGAAACAATAAAATGGTAATACTTACACTATTAGGTATATACAGATCAAGGTCGTTTTCCGAAATAGATGCCTCAAATATCTAAAAATATTCAAGTTAAACTACAAGTATTTGATACATTAAATTGCCATGGTTTGTATAATACGACATCAAAACTCACTGCGCGTAAAATAGGATCGGCATAAGCATATCCAATATGCAGGTAGTATGGAATATAGTGCTGAATTTTGACATATGATGCAGCCGGTACCACTATGCAAATATCAATTGTTGAAGCGATTAGAATAAACTGGGCTCATATACCACATAAAACAGTTTAATACATCAAATGATTTTACCTGCAAGCACAGTGTCTGGAAAGTGAGTTGCCATCCACCATGCACCATGTCCACCATTACTGTGACCTACGTAGACACGACGCGATGATGTTGGAAAGATAGTATTACGTAGATCTTTGGAAACACCAGGAACTAGCTGTTGCAGTGCATCAATGGACGATTCAACATTGAAATGTGATGGTCCATGCCAATCAAATCCCCTGTTAAACAAACCAAGATTAGTGTTTTGGTTCAAATCTAAGTAATAATTTATCGTAAAAACAAGCGAGTTTAAACATACCACGATGTGCGACCAGTGGGATAAAGAACCTTTATTTTCAAGTGGTTAGTATACAGTTTGACAGGTAAAATTGCATCAAAATTTCAATCAGCCTACCCATGCATAGTCTTGTCGTCTAACAGCATCCAGCCAAAAAGGAGAATCGGCATCTACTCCAGATCTGTAATTTAAATCACTTTACGTTACAACAGTTTTCAAACTAAAGTCAAGATCCGTCTACAAGATGCAATAATACCATACCCATGAAGAGCAACAACAACAGGGCATCCCATCTTTGATGAGCGTACACACGCCTTGATTGGAGGTTTGGCCATTGCTATTAAAATACAGTAAGTAAAGTTTCCGAGTTATACATAAACCCAATACTTGTTTGCAATGCATACCGTATTGAACAGTTCCATCATATCCATAGTAGGTGAATTTGTATGGATCACCCCAAGTGCGCTTAGTCAATTTATAATTGCCAAGAGGTACATCAAACTCTTCAAGCGTGTCTAATGTTTTGAGAGTAATCGACAAGGAAAATTCCAAAGGAAAATCATCAAACGGGCCAGCAAATTCAAATGAAATTGGTAAAACTTGTCCAGGCGCAATATTGAGAGGCTTTAAAACATATATCGATGTATCAATCTAAAATTCCAGTAAAAATGGTTAAACTCATGGTTGTTCTGCTGGTCAGAAAAGTCGTATTTCAGATTGATTCATCAAACAATAAACTTGCTTCTTTTCCATTTGCAAAAGCATGGATAGAGAGTGCTTGAATCCATCCCTTTTTTACCAATGTGTCAGTGTAGTTATCATTTGCCTGACTAGTAGACTGAAAAACATTCCTTTCGTCAACTCTGCTTTGCTGTTTCAATGTGCCGTGTACCATTGATGGTAGACTGAGTCCGTTTAAAATAGTTATGCTTGCAAACGATGTAACTAATTTTCCATCAAGTACATCTGGAAGTATTGTATCCAGAGAATACGACACGACTCCACGAGTAGGTCCATCCACTTCAACCTTTTCAAGCGAACCAGTGAATACAGGCTTAGGTGGAGTAGAACCACCAAATATACGCACATCCATAGATACTAGAATATACAAAGAGTGCTCTCCTGCCTCAAGATACACTGCAGAGTCTGATGCATGTCTGTAGCTGTACAGGTTTCCAACAAATGAACGATCATCAATCTTGAAACTGATCACACCTGAAAATGATACAAGATATGAACCAGCAGTTGCTATATTAAAAGTTCCGCGAAAATAAGTGGCATGATGTAAAACCGCCCAGCCTATTTAAACAAAAATAAATTCAATTACTCGTCCATTTAATGCATGATAGATTATTTGAGCATTTTTTGATGGATTGAGATTTCAAAGTACATACCAAATGTTTTGCGATTAAAATCCCAACGCACGTTTGGATAGTCAATGGGACCGACAGACCCATCTACGTTTGTAGAGATATTTCTCCAAGTGACCCAGCCACCATCTGCCAACTCGGATGAATATTGAGCTCCTTCTATATACTCGAGATTTTCAAACCCACCTAAATATGACCAATATGGACAAGTGATTGGCATTCAAATTATGACAAAATTAGAGCGTATTCTCATGGTATGATGCTGTTTAATGATTGAAATTAGCCTATAAAACTATGGTTAGTACTCGACCCACCATATGCACTTAGTGGATCCACGCCAATTTCTCTTGAGCCATGAGGAAAAGGACCCAGTACCTAAATAGATTGATCATGACATATGTCGAGGTTTATAGTGAGAAAGGCTTGTGACCATCAATAAAAAGAATAATCAAGCCAGGGGTCGTCATAGTTTAAAGATTGATATATTTGACTAGATCCGACATGATTGAATATGGATTTCCATGCAAAACAAAAGCTTTATTCTTGTCATTCCATTTAATATTACCTGCCAGAACTGAGGAAGCTTAAGTTCATGGTCAGAAGTTGTAGAATTCCCATCAAGATTGTTATTAGTCTGAACAGACATGAGTGGAACCTGCCTGTTCATGGCGGAGCAAGACTATTAGAATTGCGATGGTTTAGTCTGATGATATCAAATGGCGATTATACACTGGAGTAGGATTGGTGATTGAATACTTACCGCTATGCTAATATATATTATAAGCAGTGTAGTACATAATAATTGGATCATATCTGCAAGCAAGTTCGGAATAGCCAGTAAATTCAAAGGTTTGATGCCGAGTTTTAGAGTAAATGCAGAAAACACTTTTATGCTTCCAACGACATTCAAGCTGAACATAATTCGGCCCTGCTCGGCCCACAGCATCTTCGCCGTATTCACTGCTATTCAAAAGTTGCATCAATCAATTCATTTATTGGTTCTTTTTGTCCACATGTCTTGCTGGCTTGTAAGCTGAATGGTAAAAGTTGATGAATAGTGCCAGGAAGCTTGCATTGATTGTCATGGAAAAGATGAATGCATTCCATCCTGAACAGTTTTTTTGTAGTGAAAAATAAATGTATGGTATGCTCAGTATAAAGGATAATGTAAACTGGATGATTTGTCCAGTCGTAATGTACTTCTAATGAATGTTGGCATAGGATAGCATTATTGATTCATAAAAACAGTTAGACTTGTGAAATGTGCATTGTGTAAATCTATGCAACTGCTATAGCTTTATATTCTCCATACCTTGTACCAAACATTTCGGCCTAGACTGGACGAGTAGTAGTAGTAGTACATGAATACATGGATCAATGTATTGGCAATCATGCCCTGCGTGGCAAATGCCACATCGTATTGTAGCCATGACCAAACCATGAGCATTACAATCGAGTGGTGATACCAATGCAAAAATATGACTGGTTTCTATTTTTCATCAAAATAGCATAATAAATACTAGTTTTAAAAGCGTAATATTCAATAGATCTGATACTATTCTTTGTATAGATTGCTCGGCATACCTTTTTTAAAATAAGAATGATGGTATCAAACAACTCGATAAACTTGCTCAGATAGTACATATACAGAGTAAAAGGGAGAAGACCTCGCATTCCATCTGGATCGTTTGAGCAAAAAATCTCATCAATGCCTCGACTCTATTGCAAGGCAAAAATGATTAGCAATATTGCAGTGAAGTTTAATACAGTATATGTTTGAAACACCAATCGCAATTTTACGTCCAAATCATAAACGCTGACAGAAATCAATCTTTAACTGACCATGGCCCTGTGGTAAGTGCCAAATGCACCAGCAACAAACATTGCTAGAGAAATAACACACAAAAACATATTATGATATGCTGTTACAGTGTTGAGTTTCATTGGATCTCTGCCGTACATATAGATCTAGTCACATATTAGCCTTTCAATAACTACACATCTAAAGCGTCAGTAAACTGATATTGACATACTCGCAATATTCCAATTGTACAAAAATATCCTATCCATGCTGCAATAATAACTGACAGATCTGAAAACGGAGTTTGGCCAACAGTCCATCGAAATTCATGGTAATCTAGGAGCTGCTTCCATTGCCACATAGATATATTGGGTGACAATGAAAAGGGAGATGCTCCAGCTGACTGTGTCATACCATGTGTTATGTGCTCAACCCCAGATAATAACGTATCTAACATTTGACCGCCAACCATCACAATTGGTACAAAGTGAACAAACAGCGGACCAACAAGATCTTGAACTACAAATCTTGCAGTCATAAGCATAAAGCAATGCCACGTGATGTGATAGTAAATGGTCTTGCATGGACTCGCCATTGTCGAATAAACCATTCTATTGGGACAATACACGATTGAAATACAAACTATTTGGTTTGAAACTGTCTACTACACTAGTATTGAACGACATTGGCAGTCAAAAAATGTCAATTTACAGTCACATTCACGTAAAATAGAACGCATCTTGCAATGATTGCCTTGTGGTCAACTATTCATTGCGCTTTCCCAGTGTCAATTAATTACTTCAATTGACATTCTCAGTTCTTGTCCAGTATCTGGAATCACTTGACCCCATTTTTATTCAAATAATTGCCAACAAGGTTCAAAAATCGACAATGTGGAACTTGATGCTTTCTGATGTTGCAATGGTTGAACAGTTGACAGATCATGTTTAATCAGTAAATGTGTAACCCTGTCAAGGAGTCTGAAAGGCAAAATGTCGAGTAAGCTTGGTGTGAATTATCATTCCACGAGACTGGCTGTTTATTATAAACTCTTGCTCAGTAACCCATTTTACGTGAATATGGTGTAAATTGGTCGTGTATTTGATTTTTCACACTCGACTGACTACTTTCAATTGCAATATAATTGTGTATAATGAATTATGTTAAAAATACACAATATATCATGTATATACTCATTGTCTATTATTTCCTGCCTCATATCCTGGTGGGTTCCATACGCATCACTGCTCAAATCCGGAATATTACAGGCGGATCTGATGTAGTTCAAAATATGGGACGAGCGTTTACTCCTAATAATATTAGCGAATTTCAACTCACTGGTGGATATCATTCTTGTTATTATGTGTCTATGAACATTTCTGGAGTACAGGTATGACTCAATAAGACACGATGCAAATGGTTTCAAATACTCTTGACATGCACTTATTCGTGTTTTATTGGGATATAGCTGTCAATATCAGTAGATTCTGGCTCAACGGATTTGGCAGTTGCAGGAGTAGGTCTTAATAATTACAGCTCATCTACTGGAGGTGTGACTTTTGTAATGCCAAATAATGCGCCATCGGTTAGCGGATTTTATGCTGACGGATCCTGGTGGAAAGGCTTTGGACTCCAATCAACTGTATCTTTAAGCAATTCACACATTACAGCTAGCAACGCTCCATTCTCTGTTATTACATCTCAGAGCACCAATCCCATTTTTGTAAAAGGTACAGGAAATCCCAATCAGAACGGATTGTTGGGAGTTGCCTATCATCCACTTAGTCAGCTTTCTTTCTCCCCTCCAACTGTAATGGATGCCTGGTATGCTCAAGGATCAATCAAAAATAACGAGATAGCATTTCACGCATGTCCTTATAGTCAAATGGCGGATGCCTACATTGATTTTGGCAACGACTCTCCATCGTACGACTGCAATCCTTCTGGACTACCTATTGCATGGGCATTGTGTCCTTCAAAGTCATACTTTACCATGGATGTCCGAAATATATCCGTGAGTAACCAGCAAGTTATATTACCATCAAACTTCCAAACCACCGACCCGAGCTTAATTGGAGGCAAATACAAGGCTTGGTCATTTATTGATTCGTGCTCTTCTTTGATCCATGTACCAGCTGTTGTCAATGCCGCTTTGAAAAATGCAATTATTTCTAGCGGTGCCTTGTCAAATCAACTAAGTTCAACCGTTGTCAATAACCTTTTGTCTGGAACATACGCGTATTCGATCACTCCATACATCAACTGGACTGCATTACCCACTCTTTCGTTTGATATTGTATCAGATCAGACTGATGGTACACTTAGTAAAGTTTTTACTGTGACTTTGAGTGGACAGCAGTACCTTCAATGTGACCAAAATGCATATTGTAAGCCTCTAATCGAGTTGTTTTGTAGTAGTTTGATTAGAATATACTAACCAAAGTATATTTCTAGGTACATATCTTGTTGGTACGGGAAGTGATGCCTATGCAACATTAGGCATTCCGGTTTTTTCCAACTTGCACATCACACTCGATAGAACAAATGGGCGTGTTGGGTTTGCTCCAGGATGTGGCTGCAGCACTTTAGCCAACTCCTACCCAAGTGTATATTTTAGTAATACAACCATTGTACGAACATGGGACCCTAATTCACGTAAGTCTATACATAGAGTATAACTTTAAACTTGGCTCTTACATTATGTTTGACCATGTCCAATACCTTGCTTTATCTAACATATTGATACTTTGCCTTGTATCATGCGGTTCCTTGAAAATATATTGTTGCTCAGCATTCCCAAATGCTGCAAGGCCAAGATTAAATAAGCCAAATTTGGTAATGCTTTTAGGTATGCATTAGATATGACTTTTAATGTGCAAAACTAACATGGAAAAACGCGAAGAATCCAACACTTACTCGAAATATCTCAGTTGCACTGATTCATTTAGGCTTTTGGATCCTCTGATAATTTTTGCTCAGGTAAAACAAGTGTTTGGCAAAAATAAACAATTATGTTTTTGATATTTGGATTTTCCTTGGATACTCTCAGAGTGTATATAAAACAAAGGTGTTGAGCTTGAATGTGAGTCAAAACAACAGTGCATTACAAGATAAACAAAATGGCTTGGCTTATATTGGCATTCTTGTGTACTTTAGTCGTGGCTCATCGAGTCCCATTGCTCACTCAAGATACTGGATCTACCAGTAGCGTATTAAATCAGCGCACTAGCGTCAAACTTCCAGGCGGATATTCAACATGCTTTTTGATAAACATGGACGTTCAAGGCACCACTGTAAGTAACATACTGTCCAATATTACCCAATATTGATTTATTTGTGTTTACTATATATAGTAAACATGACTACACCAATGGCTATTGGATGAATGATGGTGACTTGGATTATAATCGAGATACTGACTTTAAATATATTGTTATAGTTCAGCGTCATGATTGATTCGGGTTCTACTGATCTTACTGTACCACTTACCGGTCTGAACAACTATGTTGGCCCAACAATCAATACGCCACGTCCACCTGGTAGTGGTGATTTGATTGGTACGTATGGCGACCAATCTGGATGGACTGGATACGGATTTCAAGGAACTGCGCGTGTCACTGGAACTAATATTACGGCTTCTAATGCTCCAGTCATTGGCATGTTTCGACAAACGACGAACCCAATCTACACTACTGGCGATGTGACACAGGGACTACTCGGAATCGCATATCCATCATTGGCTAGCTATCGTGTAACTCCATCTACAGTCGTAGATGCATGGGTTGCTTCAGGAACTATGCCAAAAAATGAGATTGCGTTTCACGCATGTCCATACAGTATGACCAACCAAAGTTACGTTGACTTTGGAAACGACGATCCGTCATACAAGTGTAGTTCGAACGGAGTGCCAGTCGTATGGGCATACTCACCAGCACGTACTTATTTCACAATCGATGTTCGTGCAATATCGATCGACTCTGTACCAGTAACTCTCCCTCAGACATTCCAGAATGGGATTGGATACAATAAATGGTCTTTGGTTGACTCGTGCACAAGTGTAATGATACTTCCAGGATCTGTGATTACTGCGCTGGTGAATGCCATTCAATCAAGCGGTGGTCTTCCTTCTGATCTTGCCTCATCGCCACATCTTTCTAATTTTCTTAGTGGAAGCATTGGTATCAGACCGGTCCAGCCTTTCCAATGGAGCAAACTTCCCAGCATTTCGTTTGACATCACATCTGATCAAATCCGACCAGGTGGTCAAAATGCCACATTTAAAATTACTCTTGGAGCTCGACAGTATATCCAACCAAATGCCAACGGATACTGTAAGTGATTAAAACCCGTTACACACATGTATTACAGCCATTTACTAATATGTTGCGATTGATAGTCGCAATGATTGCCCGATCTGGTGGTGAAAGATATGCCAACCTTGGTATTCCCCTTTTTTCTAACCTGAATGTTGTGCTTGATCGAGCAAATGCTCGTGTTGGATTTTCTCAAGGATGTGGATGTGATACTGCCACTGATGGATACCCAATAATCCAAGATGCAAACGGGAGAGTGTGGAAAGCCGGAGTGTAAGTGATTTTAATAATTTAGAGTTTACAACTGACTCATCAGATGCTCATTAGTTTATTTTTTGTAGTTCTACTTCATCTACTTCGTCTGCATCATCTACACCAGCAGCTGCTACACAAACCACATCTCGGCGTGTTTCGCAAACAAGTACAACATCTTCAACTCGAGCTTCAACTCAACCACCCAGATCTGATTCGACTAGTCACACTACTACTAAATCTGGTTTGACTAGTCACACTACTACTAAAACCCATTCGGCTAGTCACACTACTACTAAAACTTATTCGGTTAGTCACACTACTACTAAAACTTATTCAACTAGCCATGTGTCCGCCACTCATCGATCGTCTACTACCCATCATCGCACCCTCATACATACTACTCCATCAAGTTGCCACGTTTCAACAGTTTACCATACTCAAACAGTCTATCACATTCCAACGATCTATCATACTGCTCATTCTACTTCATTATACGCTTCAATGTGCGATTCTCATCCTACTACAAAACCGGCTCCTGTGTTCTCTACACTTTATTTTCCTACAGGACATTGTACAATCAGAGTTGAGCAGAGTGATATCCCTATTCCCACATCATGCTCAACTGGACTAAACAAATCACCTATTTCAACAGGCACATATACCCCTCATTCAACCTCAACTCCCCATCAGGTAACTCAAGAAAACTCTAATATAATTCGTCGTGGAGTGCCCAATACTGCCATTCAAACCCGTAGATCTTTAGCAGAATTCACAATACATGTTTGTCTTGCAGTGCTTGTTGCTGCATACATGTTTATATAAAATCTACCAACCTACTTTATTTTAAATAAATAAAATTCATTTAGAAAAAATAGTGATTTTAGATTGCATAGTTGTACACATTGGTGATACTGACATGCATGTGTGTATTGTGTCGATATAGTATTGCTTGACATGTCGTATTGACACATGCAACACCAATACCAACAATAGTCATGTGTGTTGATATCTGATCTGACCAATCTAGAAACCCGTCTTGGCGATCAACCTACTGCCATTTGATGCTTTTCAACATGTTTAGTATAGTTGTTTGGATGTTACAACAGCTCTGCTCCATACATGTCCAAACAATCAGTCCATGTTTTTACTGTAATACACGTTGTAATATGTCCACTGCATCATCTCATCACACATCCTGCCATAATTATGATATAAACTAGCTTAAAATACACGTCCATGAGTCTGTAGTCGATTATTAACAATGCAATGGTCCCAGCTGAATGATCCATATCAAACATGTATAAAAGCAATTGTTGTATACAACATACTCGGTAAACCAGTTTATGTTGATTTCTTGTTGATACATTATCCAAATCTATTGCATGTCATAAGCAGTTGCATTTGTTGACAAAATGGTTCAAAACAACAGTCAATGACAATCCATTGTATTCACTGTTGTACAATGTGCACCTACAAACAATATGCATATATCATGATTCCAAACTTTATTGTTTCAATTGTATGCATATTGATAACAGTTTGATATTTAATCAAGCTATTGTCGATTATTGAATAGCAGGTCTTTGACTTTGGTTTTGATATTCTTCATTTCTGCTTCAAGTTGAATTGCCTCGTTTTATTATGAACTTTTTCGCGACTGATTCAATGGACTCATCTTTAACCTTTTTAGAAACACTTACAAGATGATTGAAAATGGCTTGTAATTGTATAGTTCTTGATGAGCCTGCATTACTGGTACATTTACTTGGAGTGTGTATAGATAGAGATGCCTTTTTCCTACATATTTCTCGATTTGCTTGCAAATGTGATGACCACATTCAGAAACGTTGGGATCGTGTATTTTCAAGTGTATCATAGTATGAAATAAATTAGCAACACGAGTATCATCCCAAGGTTGATGATTCGGGTATGGAAGGTGAGGTTTCAAAGTTGGTACGGCTGTATCCGACGACATGACTGTTAGCAGCGACATTACAAAAACACAACCCTACTGTAGAATGTCCAAACAAACATTATATACACAGGTATATTTTAGACACTCTACAGCATACTCTAGTATCAAATATTGAATAGCCTGAACATTTTATTTAGATTTATGCAACTTGTATCATTTAAAAACCCGAGATGCAAGATTATTTATTACAGCCATATTCACATAAATGTAACACTAAATAAAAGTGACAGTATATAATAAACATCCAGTTTCATGGAATGATAGATCAGTTTACTGAAAAACGCTGTATCTTTTAAACCTATTAAAGTTTGTTGGTCTTTCCTCTACTCATTCTTGTATAAAACAATGAGTGTTTGATCTCTGCTCCAGTGCATTTCATACTTGTTTAATCTTCAACTCTCATTTCCTACAATACGAATGCTGAATAATCAGTATGAAAACAGCTGTTGAATTTTTGAGACATGCAACCATTGGCTTGTTGAACTAGAACGCGGACGTATCTGAAGTTTAGAATAAGCAGAAGGGTTTGTACATAGTTTTATTGGCAACATCAGAATAATCAAACCCAATATTTGAATTGTAATGGATCAATATGGTGATCATGTAGTGTATGGTTATACCAAAAAAGGATATCATCCCAGTTCAAGCCTATAATTTGATCGTATTATATGTTGGACAATGTGTTTTAAAGGGCTGAACAAGCAGTGCAATCAATTTGTAACTGGAAAGTACTGCAAGTATTTAAACATTGTCTATCCCAAAGCACAATAGGACTCGTTATTGCAAGTGCTTGATTTTATGCGAACGCGACTGTAGTTCAGATATGCTCTATTCTGAGTTGAAATACCCTGCCTCTTCTGCCTCCACTCTGCTCATTTCCAATACATAAACAAGCTCCTCTTCCTCATCCATCAAGGTTCGCTGGGGAATCACAACTACATTTCCAGTAGATTGATGATGTCTGCCTCTATATTGTGGATGCAATGAGGGTGAATATGGAGCAATCCGAGGCGATCGACGAGCTAGCATGGAGGCTGAAGACCAATCATTATCTTCAAGTTTGTTTTGAGATGTTCGAGAGGCTCCACTAGATAATACAATACGATGATTTCCAGGCAAATTCAAATCTAATTCGTCCAGATTCAAAATCATAGTATTGGGTCGAGATCCAGTAGTTTGTGGCGACAAGTACTCTGCAGCTTCTGCATCAATAGTATGGTCGTCGTCATCCCAGTCATCACACTCTTTTGAACCAGTAAAACGTTGTACATTGCTTAGAGTGGAGCTGTGGCAAGAGGATGTAGCACTATCGGCGGATCTAGCGGAATGGGTAGGTTGAGGAAGCAGTGTCTGACATTCTGCACGACGAGCTTGATCTGCTTGAAGCTGTTCAGCAGAAATCATAAGCGCATAACTTAGTAATTCATCGTCGGTCATACCGGACTGTATATGATTAATGCCATTTATTGCTTCGCGTTGCTGCATGAGAATAGCATGCTCCATTCGCTCAGCTTCGATTTCTTGTCGGATTTCATGAATATCATTTTGCATATCTACATGATCTGTTTGAGTATAGATACCTCTGTCATTCCTGCCAAAAATAGCATCAGATGTTCTCCGGTTGATTTTGTTCTTAGATTTCCGTCCTGGCAGCGCACGTGGCTTGGACATGGTTTCAAAAGACCAGAATTTGACCGTTTCATGGAAAGATACAAGTAATGAATACTCATTTGTCCATATATTACACATTGCATCTCTATTAGCAATACCATTCCACTCTTCCCACGACTGACGTCCTATTTTGAGTGCCAATCCGGTTATCAGCTTTCCTGACATGGCATCCAAAACTTTAACCTTGCCATCACTTGAACCAGATACGATCTTGTGTCCGTCTATTGAAAGTTTGCAGATCGGATTATTATGGAGAGACACGAGCGATTCCCAAGTCATAATAGTGACCAAATGATCAGCAAAAGTTTGCAAAGAAGGAACTTTCCAAATATGCAATGATCCGTGTCTGTCACCAGCAACAAGTAACGAGTAGCTGCTACTACTTTCATCTGCACAAGTTGCATCCCATGCCAAAGAGGTGATTTCGGTAAACAGAGTGATGCTCTTGAATATGACGCATTGTTTCCCGGATGGGATATGCCAGATGGAAATACAAGCATTATTAGTTTCCGTCAACTGATCAGCTAGTGTTTCCTCAAAAGGTAGATTTGAATTCGCTGCATTTGCATGCGGAGAATTGAGCACGACAGCAATACTTTGACTGATAGTATTGTATTCTATAAACTTGATAGGTTGGTCACCACATTTTATGATTCGCGACGCAGTCACAGCAACACCCGAGTCTTTAGGAACATCACTTTCAATGGGCCGTAATTTTTTGGGTCTATTGCAGTGTGAAAATAGCATGACATCTATGTTCCATGCGACGCATTGTCCAGCCTCAGTGCCAGCAATAATGTAATTTCTGTCATTTATATAAAGATGTGATATACCGGAACCATCTGCCTGAAACTGTTTCAAGCATGTTTCCGTAGGAGTATACCAGAGTCGCACCATTCCATCGGCAGATCCAGATACAAGAATGTCAGTGATGTGTGGTAGCCAATTAAGACACGTAACAGCGTCCATGTGTTTGGCAGCAAATTTCTGTCTTGTTGGTAGTCCCTTTCCTTTGAAATTAGTTATGACCCCGACCGATCCGTCCAAATATCCAATTGCAATCCTAGCTCTATTTACACGAGTGATGTGTTGTAATAAAGTTAGACCAGTACACAATAACCATAGTCTTTAAATAAGCGTATACTTGCTTGTCAATTTTCATGCAGCCAATTGAGATCTGCAAATTATCTGGAGAGCAAAAAATAGACGACTTTTCCACTTTTCCTGTGAAAAGATTGTAAATGGATATCATTCCACGATCCAGTGATCCAAGATATGCTCGTCCCTCTGAATGATCGACATGCATTTGATCGATACGACCAATACGGGGCTCAGACTGTATACCCTGTCTGCTACGATGCCATTCTCTTATATAGTAAGGATATTAGGAAAAGTGAATTTAAACATGGGCAAATATGGTATTACTCTGTGCATCGCATACGATTATACTCTACCTGCCCAACGCTAATCTTTTAAGATATTCGCTTCTCCAGCTATCAACAGCTAGTCGTCTATTCATAAAAGTCAATAATAATATAATTTGGCCATAACTTGCTTGACCAACAAAATGATAATGAATGAAATGCTAAACGGACCTCTGAGGAAATCCACCAAAGTAGTTTCCAAATGCAGCTTTCCAGCACAGATCATCGGAAACGACCGATTTCCATTGACGACAGACACCAGTGGCAATTTTCTAATTGATTCAAAAAACAATTAAATGTCAGTGAGTGTCAATAGATTGTAACTTTTTTCAATGCGCTTTGTTCTGGATATTTATTCTGGTAGTTAAAAGAATGCAATACTGCAACTGACAGTATTATTCAATTTACAGCCGTATTCGCGTAAATACAATACTAAATAAGGCGTCAGTATATAATAAACAGCCAGTTTAATGGACACTATTGTGCACTCTAAACTTTTTAAAAAATGGCCTTTTGGCAATTGGTGTGAGCAAAAGTTGAGTTACTGAAATGCACAATCATTGTTCTCTTGAACTAGATTGAAAACGTATGAGATTTTAGGATACAATACATTAAGGTTTGATTGAAAACAATCAAGTCCAATATGTGGTGATTGTATAGTGTATAGTTATGCCAAAGGAATCATCGCGGTTCAAACTATAGTTTGATTGCATTATATGGTGGCTGCTGTAGCTATTGAGCGATAATTGTATTAAAGTGGTCAATTTGTAATAGGAAAGCACAACACATATCCATCATTGTCTATTCCAAACTAAAAGTGGCAGTCATTGCAAGATCCAAGAATGATCCATTTGCGTAAATACGGCTGCGAAAGCATAAATTAAGTACAGGGTTGACAGTCCACAACTAACCATTTCATCAGCATCCAAATTCGACAAGATATGAACCAGAATCTCTTTTGGAAGCCGGCTGATAAAACATAGTCTAAAGTCTATTGGTTTTTCGGGTATGAGATGACTGTATATATGAAACCCTTTTGGTGGCTGTTGCTTTGGAAGACTGAGAGAAGACGGAATGGATGGCTTAAACTGCCTGCCTGTCAAAGTGGTTGCTGGACTTGCGGTGGGTTTAGTTGATATACTTGAAGGAGGTGATAGCCAGGCAGAAGAGATTGAATAGCCAGAGTGCAGAACAGTTGAAGAACTGTCTGTGACTGGAGTTGGGTTAGCGACTACTTTGCTAGTAACGGGACTAGAAGTCTGATTGTCTTTGACAGAGCAATCCGACAAAGCTGGCGATGAAAGTGGAGTGGACGCAGTGTTCATTGGACTTGATAAAAACTCAGTGTTGATGGTAAACGATGTGCAGAACAGACTGCTGATAAGCGAGTCCAATTCAAGTTTTTCAACGTTAGTTAAATCAAATAACTCGTGCATTCTATGCTATCAGCAATGTTGTGAATCAAATCATTTCATTCAAGATTCATAAGGATTGATGTCACTCATTACAAGCATCCTGTCATTTGTTACGCAATCCATTCAATTAATTTGGAACTTGTCGATAACATCAATCAGGTTTCGTTTGGGTCCGTGGCTTGAAGTCCTGCCTTTTGAATATCCTCAATCTGTAGACTTTGACTTAGATTTGATACCCATGAATACACTCGTTCATATACCTACATTATAGTGACAAGAGTATAGGTTAGGGACTGGCAAATCTTTATATGCCCAATATCAACAATTATCTAGATCGTCATCGGATTTTCAGAGTAATTACCATGAATGTTACTGCTTGACCAGGAGCAACACGAAGAATTCGGGGTGTTAGTCCATTGTAGAATGCTAGATAACCCTCATTCTTGATAATCGATTTGGAAATATTAACAAATCGAGTCCAGCCACGATCAGTAGATGGATTTTTTTGAATTCGAGTTTTAATTGTATCTAGTGGTGCATTAAACAGCGGCCCGCATGCACCAGAAACTAACCCTATGACAAATGTCTGCCATGGCGGAAGCGTGTCTTTGACATCAGGCTGGAGAGTATACAGTCTAGTCTTGAGAAACTCGTAAACTGTAAAATTAGCAGCTTGATTTGTGCCTAAATATTGAATCGTGGGTTCAATAGTTAAAGCCTAGTTTTATAGATATAGCTCTTGATAAAGCATTCTATTTTCAAGTTCAACCAAGATCTACCTTGACGTAGGACTGTCAGATTCACGCCTTTGTACAGCGACGCAATGCCCTCTTCTCGTACCATCACATACATACAATGAGCCGCATTTCGATATTTTGGAATGTCAGTGGGGTCTGTCATGGAATGATGCTGAGCTTGCAAGCGGATCTTGACAACGTCCATGGGAGTAACCACAAGAACCGACTCTGTTGCACCGGCTCCCAAACCAGCTATTGACATTAAAGATGATCAGAATCTGAATGTCGCGATAGTAAACCAAATATTCAAAGCATAGGCTAAAAGCTGATGAATCTCATTCTATTTACAAAAACACTAACCAAGAAAGATGCTGGCTGAAGAGGCAGTACCGCCTTCACGTTTGGCTAGACTCTCTTTGTAGTATTCAAACGACGAGAATCGAATTGACATTTTGGGTACAATTCCAGCAGTGACAGCACCAAGTCCCTTGTACAGTGATAAAAATCCTTCACGCTGAACAATCTGCATGCCAACACCAATAAAGTTTTGTCCCTTTGGCTATTTCAAGTTAAATCCAAACCCAGTGGGTTGTCATCATATATAGAATTAGCACAAGACAAGATGGGCCAGAAAGCTGAAAGAATAATAGTAGTAACACTCTCAACTCGAATGATTCTGCATATAGATCAAGATCAATGGTAAACCATTGATTTCACGTGCATTAAATGTAAGGCTTGATAGTAGGTCGCGACTAGTATGAATCCAGCTATTATGTTGTGTGGTATTCAAGAGATAACGCTCAACCAGAGATATCTGATGATAGATGGAACCAAGTGCCGATTGCATATGCAAGAGTTCAAAGAAAACGGAGAGTATACTCGTACCTTGACAGCAGCAGATGCTGCCACAGAAGCAGCTGCATTGCCAGGACCAATATGGGACAGTGCAGCCATGCTGGCCCGTCGTTCCCCTCTAAGCTGAAGCCGTACCTTGATAGTATCAAGAGGATGGCAAGCAAGAGCCTCGCAACAGCCAGCAACACCACCTGAAAACAAATGCATTGCCATATTCTTCTTTCGCTTTGGAGGCTGGCCGACAGAGGCATTTTTGGTAGAAGCAACGGTCGTCATAGTGTTGGTGAAGTCCAAAATAAGTTAGAAAGAGTTGAGTAGCAACAAGTGCTCGACTAGAATAGGATCGAATGGGCCAAAACACAAGAAGATATTAGCTTTAAACGAGCTTTGAATCGTAACGACGTGACTTGAGAATTGCCAGTTTTTCTGTAGAACCAACATTGCGAGATGATAATCTTGACAGTCAAAACAACAGAATGGATTATATCTTGACTGATTTTTATATTATTACAAATTACTAATTCCAAATTTTAAATGAAAGTTCATTGAATTTACAGTTGTTTTGACACAAAACAGCACAAATCATCGAGTGATCAACATGGAAACAAACGCTGAAAACGCTGTAATTCTTGTTTCCATGTTGAACGAATGTGATTTTAGAATATAAAAGTTTGACAGTTTAATGCCAAGAATCTCAATTCAAAATCATTGGTTGAATTTGTATGGCATTTTAAACGAACTGAAACGGCCGTAAAAAACACGAATTTCAAGTGATTTTATTTTACGTGAATATTGCTGAAATATTCTAACCCTGACATTCAATCCCAGCCAAGGAATCGGCATGGACTCTTCAGATCCACCACTTGAACAGGTAGAAGAACCGGACAATTCTATCTCATTGGATAGCAGGAATAGTCTACAAGTTCTCATGTCAGACACACTTGACTCTCTTTCTGCATCTGCAGCCATGGAAGTTGATCCCTCCATCTCTGGCTTGTCTGCCACCGACGCATCTGAACGTGCAAGCTCGAGCGAACCAACTCCATCAGCTATACAACACTCTCATGAGTCAGAGGACACTCAGTCAGCATTCGAACAAGTTTCTGGACAAGACAGCGAGTTGAATGCTCAAAGCAAACAATCTTTGGCTTCAAATGACTCGTTAGAATCATCAACACTAGAATTAAAGTCTGCTGTCTTGACTGAAACTACCAAATCTAGCATATCCACTCATTCTCCAACTAGATCTTCATATCAGGCTCAAAGTCCAACTCATGAATCTGCTGCTTCTTTATTTGTTGCTCCAATGTTGGATTCTAGCACTGATTTTTCAAATACTGCTGCTCCTCTGCATTCATCCTCGCCAGTATCCCATGCAGAACTAGAACCACTTTCTCGCTTGCTATTGTTAGCTGGTCTGTCTGCAGAAGCATATCTTACACCCCTTTCTCAGTCATTGCAGGCAGTTCCATCGTTGTCTATTTTTCTTTGTAAGCTCGATGGTGTCTTGAATCCAAAATCTCTCGAATCTGCATCCACTCCAGCTCTTTTGGCTACAATCGAACGAATGAAGGCACAAAACATTATGCTCGAAACTGAAGCTGGTAAATTGGTTTTGTTTAAAGTGTAACTAGCCAAATGCTGATTCATTTTACCATGTTGATTTGTCGTATGCAGCTATATCTGGTCAAACCTACGTTTATAAATATGACTAATATAAACAATATATCATGCTGCGTCATACAGAACAGCGTGCACACGACTCTGAACGAGAGTCTCGTTTACTTGCATCACAGCTAGCCAAACTTCGAGAACAAGCTGAACAAAATCACTCATTCAGTGATTCCAATGGTTGGTTATTTTGGATTGTTTTGATTTTACTGGGGCCACTATTGAAATTTGATATTTGAAGCAAAGTATGATTGTGTAAATCTAAAACAACTCTTTTTTCATTGATTCTGTAGCCACTCTTGTCGCATCTCTACGCCAAGAAATCAGGCAGAAAGAAGCCGAGATTGGATCTTGGCACGAAAAGGATCTTGCCAATCAGTCACTCATTCAATCTCTAGATTCTGAAAAACGGACATTTGCTAATTTAGTTGCCAAAAAACAAGCCGAAACTGTTCGCTTAACTGGTGTGTTTTGTTTATTCTTCAAAAGCTAGCAACGCTTACTATGCAATATCATTGGAAAAGATCACATTTTGTAATTATAGTGATTGTATTCAGTATATCTGACGCTTTACTTGCCATTTCCATTAATGTAGAGGAGTTGGAAGAGGCTCATAATGCAGCATCCAATCTCCGTGGAGAATTGCATACATCGCTTTCAAAAGTCAATGAACTAAACAATGTTCGAATGGAGCTACAATCCAGCGTTTCTTCTCGCGAACAACAGGTCGAGCAACTGCAAAAAAGCAACGATTGGTTGAGTGAAGAGCTTAAACGTCGCTCTAACCAATTTTCAGAATATAGACGCGAAAAGGCAAGTCCTGTAAATCTATTTTTGAATTTGTCTTGACTCATTGCGAGTATGTATCTTATCAACTCATACCAACTGTATTATTATATATAGACGGACCAACTTGGTTCACTACAAACTAAATTGGAGATTTTAACACAAGAAAAAGTCTCTATTGAAGCTTCTCATGCGTCCTTGAAATCCTGGAACATTGATCTGGAACAAAAGCTTCATTTTTCGACAGAAAAGTGTAAAGAGGTGAGGCTAAATAAGATTTTGGCCAATGATACAAAATCATGTTATGTACAGATGAGCCTATAGCATTTTATTTACAATCTAATTATTATATAGACGGATAGTCGTTTGATTCTGTTAGAGAAACAGTTCAAGAGTGAAATGATTTCACAGAAACGCTTAACAGAGCTGTATCAAACCAAGAGTCAAGAGCTTGCAGACCAAATATCTGAATTGGAAAACCTTCTTCGCGAGACCGAGTCACGCATTGATCAACTTCAGCAGGAACATCATCAAATTCAAGATAAATTGCGTGATGATCTTGAGCAGTCCAGCCAGAATGTAGAGCGACTACAGAAAGAGCTGGATTGCACTACGGAAAAACTTGAGACTTTGAGCACACATCCTGCCGAGTCGTCCTATCAAGACCCAATGGGAGAATTGAGCTCTACTGCAATGGCACTCAGTAAAACACAAAAGTCTGGAAAAAGTATGACAGATATTATTTCCGAGTATCATGATCTGAAAGCACAACTGGTTCGCTCTCAATTTGAAGAAGAACGACTCAACGAAATGGTGCAGCATATTATGGCCGAGCTTGAGGAGCGTGCTCCAATGCTACATCAGAACAAACTGGATTTGTTGCACGCAAATGAAGAGCTTGAACGTATTTCTGCCGAGCTATCCACTGCTTTACAACAACGCACTCAAGCATTAAGTGAGACGAGTATTGCTATCGCAGATAAAGAGGCATTACAACACGAAAATAGGCTGCTCCAACAAGGTTCGTTTTGATAATCAGTCAGTTTTACTGCAAGGTATATTGTTGATAGACTAATTATAATTTTGCACTTGCAGAGTCTCGCGATCTTGCAAGTCAGTTGCAGGCACTACTTCGACAGAGTGAGCTTAATAAGACTCGATTCAATGGAGTAGATTCGTCCTTGTACAACCGACTTTCTAGCACTACCCAAGACACCACTAGTGAATCCTATGCAGATATGGCAGCAGACGACATTATTTCGCAGCGACTGGTTGTATTTAAAAATATTGAAGAATTGCAGACACAAAATCAATCTCTTTTGAAGGCTGTGCGTAGCCTTACTCTTAAATTGGAGGCGTATGATGCTGAGCGAGTAAAAGAGCGAGATGAGTGGCAAACCCATGAGCTGGAAGAAGCTGCTCGTGTTATCAAGGCTCTACAGGAACGACTAAACCATCAAACTAACAAGATGCAAAGCTTTTCCAACGAGCGTGACAGCTGGCGTGCTATTGCTGAACGCCGTGGAGCTAGTTCTCCAGCCCATACAAAAGAAATGGGTCAAGGAGATACAGCAAGTCCTTTCCGATCTGTGGAAAAGACTGACACGTTAGCTCTGACCAATGAGTACGAGCAATTGTATCGTGATATTCAATCTGAATTTTCTATTTTCCGCAAAGAATCGGGAATAGATATCAAACAGCTCAAGTCCCAAATTGAATCCGTTACAAATGAGCGAACTGAGCTGAATATTCAAGTTGCTACCTTGAAAAACCAAATTTTGTATTCTCAGGAGAGGGATGTATTTTTGAACAAAAAATTGCAGCACCAAGAAGAAGAAACATCGCAGTTGCGTAAACGACTTCAATCTCTTATGGATATGTCGTCTCGTCACGATGCCAAAGCACAGGAACTTACAGACGGGCTCATGGATGCCAAAATGTCAGTTGAAACTTTGCAAAATGAGAATCAGCAGCTCAAGATTGAAAGAGAAGTCTGGAAATCAAGCGAGTCGCGAGCAATGCGTGATGTTCAAGATTTGATTCGTGAGCGAAATGCTGCTAATGATCGACTCCGTGATCTTCAGCACCAGCTGGATGAACGCGAGCGTTTAGTGAGTGCTGAAAAGGCCAAACTCGAGGATCGTCTCGAGTCTTTAACACGCGATATTCAACTTGTTCGCAAACAGTTGGGTGAAACATTGGACGATAATCGTACTCTAACTGCAAAGAGAGACTCTGAACAAAAAGAATCGCACATTAAAATTGAACGGCTCACTTCCCAAATAGAAAAGTTACGTGGAGAGTTGATACTTACTGAGCATAAAGAGGAAACGCTGAACCTCAAATGCCAAGACTTGTCGTCGCGTCTTGCTGTTGCTGAAGAACGGGCTGCGCTCTACGAGGGTCGTTCCAAAAACAACTTTGGCTTGGGTGCCGATGCAACTGATTTAGACAAAATCAGAGACCTTGATCTTAAGCTTACTCAAAGCAAGTCTCAGTTGGAGGCATTGAAGGCCGAGATGGCTATTGAAAAGGAGAGATGCGCAGCTTTCCAAGACATTAGCCACGCCAATGAACAACGGTTAGCCGAGATGAATGGCACTTATGAGGTCTTTAAAACTGAGATGGAGCAGGATTTAGCAGCAAAACAAGCAACTGTGGAGAAACTTGAAACAGAAATCGCTGATTTGCAAACCAAACTGCATGCAGCAACAGATAAGCATACTCATCTTGAGCAAACTCTTGAAGAAACTCGTGCCGAATTTAATACTGAGCGCACTGAATTGGCAAATACCATTATTCAACTACGAGAAAGTCAGCAACAAGCTATTGCATCACAAGAGAAGATGCATGCAGATGTATCTGAGCATGTAGCCGCTGCTCATTCTGCACAAGAAAATTATGAACGCGAAGTCATTGCACACTCCAACACAATACAGTCTGTTTTAGCAGTCAAACAAACCAATAGAGAACTATATGAACGTGCTGCAGAAATGGAGACCAAATATAATGGAGTTGTATCCAAGCTTCAAAGCACTATGGCGTCTCATGAAGCCACCCGATCTAAATTAGAAGAGCAAATCAGTGAGTATATCAAGAGAATTGAGGATCTTGGTCAGCAAAACGATTTGCTTCATTCTCAATTTGAGCAGCTATCTCTCAACAAATCCCGAGCGTTGAGTGAATATACTGATGCTGCCACGGGTGACGGTGATGTATCAGCTGAGCATCAAAAACAGCTGGATGACCTGCGTGAGGTAATTCGGTTCCTTCGTCGCGAGAAATCTATTCTTGATACTCGTCTTGAAGTGGCTGTTCAAGAATCACAACGCCTTACTCTCCAAGTCGATCATGTTCAGCGATCGCTTGATGAAACCCGTGCACTTTTGGACGAGGAGACAAAATCAAAACAGTATGCCTTGGGCAACGAAGAAAAGCATCGTGAGCTTTTGGAGAAAATTGAGCAAGCCAATTTACTTCGTGAATCCAATGTGACGCTTCGTGATCAAAATGAACAGACATTGAAGCGATTGAAACGGACCGAGGCTCGTTTGGAAGAAGTTGAAGCACAGTTGATGCCACTGCGTGAACGTTCCGGTGAACTTGAGGCAGAGATTGAGGCTCGTAAGATGGAAAACAAACACTTGGCGGAAGACAATGAGAGATGGCAGAGTCGTACGCAACAGATTTTGCAAAAGTATGAGCGGATTGACCCCGTCGAACATAGCAAACTCAAGGAGGATGTGGTTAATTTGACAGCTGCTCGCGATCAAGCTATTGGTGATCTTGCCGAGCTTCGCCTTTCTATAGATTCCAAATTGCAGCAGCATCAAGACCAAATGACAATTTTGGAAACCACTCTTTCACAGATTCGCGCCGAACTTTCTCAGTGCCGTGATGAGCTAGCTCAGAAGGATGCAGTCATTGAGGAAGTCAAAGCCCGTGCTGCCAAGGATGCAGATGATGCCAACACCAAACTCAAGGATCTGGTTGCTCGATCAAATGGCATTGCTCAAAAATTGAAGGAAAGCAAAGATCGTGTTACTATAGAGTATAGACAAACACAGGCTAAACTACAAGAGACTGAGAAATCACTTGCTGAGGCTGTTAGTGGCATGTCTACTGCTCATACTGCAGAAATGGAGCAGCAAACAAACCTGCAAAAGTCTCGAGAGTCTAAGTGGGAAATGCGGCAATTGGAGTTGCAAGCCGAACTGGATCGATACAAGAGCGAAATTGCATTACTTCGTCAAAGCATTACGGCGACTTCCAATAACCCTACACCTGCTACACCACAAAAACCAAAACCTGCTTCTGCTACCATAGCAATGCCATCAGCTACAGTCGTGTTAAATCCCCCATCTAAGCCACTACCAGCGACTCATTCAGACGGTTCGATTAGCAATACAACGCATGCACAGACCTTGCCAACAACTCTGGTGCATATACCATCTACAACACCCTTATCCAACGCAGCAACTGTAATGACGACTTCTGCTGGCATGGTAACCAATCCTGCTGCAACGTCTACTCCAACTCCAATCAAGCGAGCTCGCGATGAAGTAGAAAATGTTTTTCTTGCTACACCATCAGTTGTTGAAGAAGAATCTATGGCTAAACGCGCCAAGATGACAGATCCCATAATTCAAGTGCCGAATGCATCACCAGATTTTTCACAAACACCTTGTATTGAGCCATCAACAACTGGTGCTATAGTTACTGAATCACCGACTTCTACTTCAAAAATAGTTGCTCCTCAGTTGCAGTCACAGAAACAAGAAATTCCAGAGGTTGTAGTAGAACATCCTGCCACGACATCCATCACTTTGATCCCATCCACGTTGGATACTTTAGCAGTGCAAGCCACTGCTTTGCATGCTCCTAATCCACAAGATTCTACCAACGTGCAACCATCACAAATTCCGGTCAAAGTATCTCCTACAATTGTTTCAGTGCAACAACCATCAGTTCATGAACCTATTTCTGTAGCACATTCAACTCCTGTTGCAGCTACCCACAACGATTCAACAACAGTGGCTTCAACTAGTATAGTCTCTTCCATTACCCCATCTTTGATCACTACCACGCATGTCGCGCCTGTTATGACTGCTGCAGCAGTATCCGCTCCAGTTGTTTCAACTAATCCTTCCGTGCCTAATATCACCCCAGTAGCTACTCCAAAACCTACAGAGGTGAAATCCGAGAAAGATCTACATGCTGAAACGCAGCGCATCAAACAGATGCTACTTTTGAGTAAAAAGAAGAAAATGATGAAAGAACAGGAAACTGCATCGGGTACTCAGGGATCTATGGTTTCGTCACCTGCAACTGTTCCCACTACACCTAGTGCTGTTTCTGGAGCGTCAATGCCAACCAATGTATCTACACCAACAAGATCAATTTCTACTGGACTTGTAGAAGGTCAGGCTTCACCCATAGGTAAACCCACACCATCACTTCGAGGTAAGCGAATTACAAGAACACCTACCGACACACCTGCTCTCTTCGAGGTATGATTTACATGCTTACATTTTATTGATTTTAAACTGACTATTTAACCACGATTTGCTTGCCAATGGCCCGGGTGTTTTTAGCTCGTGTAGCACGTACATCAATCTCAGTAGAGACTCCACAGGAGACTCCGCCGCCACTTGCTGGTAGAGGTCGTACCCGAGGTCGTGGTACTGTTCGAGGACGTGGTCGTGGGCGTGGAACAGTTGCTGCAGGCTCGCCCCAATCTCTTGCTGGAACAGTAGCTCAACATCCGCCTGCTCAAGGCGGCTCCATGCCAAACAACACCCACTCCCAATAACTGTTACAAACGGGCTATCATGATATTTAGTTTTATACCTTATTGCTCTCCCGATTCTCTTGGCGCCTTCAAATAAAGCTTGCCGATCAAATCTAACCCTTCTCAACCATTGCACCTGCTAGACGTAAACACAATGTTTTGAATTTTGATAAAGATGTCGCTCATCAATACATTTATTGAACGATCAGACTCTGAACACTCTCTTGTTGCTCAAGACCAGTAACTTGCTCAAGAACCTTGTTACTCCAGCCATCTAGCCTGTCATGGATTGTTTTAATCTGCGACTTGTCTAATACACGGGATTGAACCCAGGTGACCTAATGATGCAAACCCGTCAGCATTAGTGTATTTGGAATATTAAACCACTGGCTTGGAATTTCAAAGTGAAACTTACAATAACAACACTATCTACTTGATCAATTTTTCCACGAATCAGACCAAGAGAAAGCGCCTTCATGACTAGATGTTCCACTTCTTCAAGCGACACTCGAGTCTCACGAGAAATCTCAGAAAATGTCATTTTGCCACGCATTTCTTTTGATCGCTTAAAAACAGCTTCAATGAGAGTCATGAGACACAGCTTCTGTCTCAAAAAGGCAAGAGTGTTGACCAAAATGGGCTGAAAGTAGGTTGAGAACATGGCATGCAATTAGTTTTTTGAAACTATACAACAACGGTGGCAGTATAAATACCAGTTTAAGAAACTCTCCGCTGCGACTAGTTTTTTCAAATCCATCCATGTCACCAGTATTGAATTGGAATAGCAAGATGCGTAACCACTCCATGCTGGTATTTTTAAGAGAATCAAGAATGGGGTGCATAAGCTGAGGCGTGTTGGTAGTAGACGTGCCATGCAGGTTTACAAAAACAAATCCAATGATGAGCAATGACCAAAACACTAATTCACGTATGAAAAGAGACGATTAAATACTTACGAGTTCACTAAAATTATATAGAGACTCGCCAAGAAGTGCACTCATGGACAGATTGTATGCACGTTCTTGTTTTTCCTGAATACTCAGATCATCAATATTGACAGACGATAGAAACAAAAGTGCGTTGTGATAGTATTGTTGGTATGCCATTTTGTACTATTACACATTGTGTAGTTTAAAAAGATTGATTATTCACATGTTGTTAGTGGCAAGAAGATCAAAATCAGACTCAACAAGTATTAAAAAAGGTATTCTTGTCAAGACACCGACATGACATACATTGTAGTAATCTGCAGATACGCGATAGAATGCAGCACTAATTACGGTTTCGGTTGCAGGGAGTTCATCGAGCAACTTTTCCGACTCTTCCATGGCGATTTTGCAGCCCTCCAGATCTCCTGTAACCACACGATAATGGGCAGTTTCCATTACAGCAAGCACATATGCCTCTTTAGAACCCACTCCCCACTCCTTGAGTTTTTCTGACTGAGCAGATAAAAATGAAAGGGCAGCCTTGGGATCTGTTCAAGTAAACAAGGATGGTTTAGCAAGACTCGATAGATGAGCATTTAAGACTTGGGATGCATAGTTTGGATAGCAAATAGTATATAGTTTAATATAGCAACAGCTGCGTAGTGAGCTTACCCTTCATCTGATGGGCAACTTGGATGAGAAATTTAACCAGGCTGATAGGGTTGATCTTCTTTTCAAAGTCGACAATGAAGTTATCATAGAGAGCCAGAAAGAAAGGTACAGCAGCAGGAAGAGCAGCAAACTTTTCAATAGAGACTGTAAGTTGATGCCATAGCCTGCATAGTTGAATTGAAGCCAAAGATCAATGTATTAATATGCAGTTGTTAACCACGAGTCCAGCCAGAAAGCAACATTGCAGATATAAATTGCAAGGTCGAATATACAAAGACAGTTATTCAGCCGAGCCAAAAGACAAGGTTACATCAATGTAAAGTAGTAAAAGAAACCCAGTTATTCATCAAGATGGAAGTAGTGATAAGCAGTTATTGCAGCTAGATCAAGACTTGACAGCAAGGGTGTTGCAAGCAAGCGTTGCAGCCTTGAAGGCAATACAACGGGATTGAGTTGAATGCAATGAAGATACTGAGCGTACTTTCTATCATAAAAGTCGGCAAACTTGGAGTAGTAGTCTTTAAGGTCAGCAGGAGCTGCAGTTCTCTGAGCTGTCAGCCAGACATTGACATCACGCTCAATCTGCATCAAATCGGGAGCCATTTGAGAGGAAAGAAATGTTTGCAATTCTCGAAATGATATTATTACAGAGTGAGCATTATTGGTGATATTCTTATGAATTGGGAATTGTTATAGATTGGTATTATTATGAATTGGTACTCTTATAGGTTGATATTCTTATAGACTAGGTATTATTATGGATTGATATTATTATGGATTGATATTCTTATACATGTCATCACAGACTAGGTATTCTTATAACAACCATTCAGTAATTCAAACAACTTGTTGACTAGACTATTGGATTACAAACTTGACAAAAGCAAACCCAATTCGACAAAATCAACATCAAAACTCGACAAAATCAACAAATTCCAGCCATCGAAAATCCACAATTTGAGTTCAATTCAACAAGTTTTATGCAGTGGCAGCGCCACTAGTCACATGGATCATGAATCAGTCTGAGTTTGGACACCACTCGTTCTGAGCGTAGCGGAGGTTTGCGCTCAACTTTTTGATTTTCATCCGTTTTGTATCGATACCGATTCTTCAACTACTATTAGGACTCGACTGCCATCAACATTCAACTACTGCCATGACTTGTATTACTCACACAGACACTGCCGTCTGTGTGCCATCACTATCATCTACCGCTTCTGCATTCCCAGAAAAGCATCCCTCTTTTATTACTAAACCTCTTACCCCACAACTGTTCATCGATACATTGACTTCCTCTACTTTGGTCTCTCCAAGTAGTGCCTGTTGTATGCCGACGGATAGAGCCGACATGAAGTCTCCGTATGACTGCTGCCATACTGCTACTCATATTAGTACCGACTTTGCCTCGACCAACAAAATAACTCGCAGCCCTGTCTCGTCCCCACAATTGTCTGATCATCTGCAAACATTGGAACCACAGCACCATGCAAGTTTAAACTTGGACTGTGAATACTCTTCCAGCGAGATCGTCTGCCAGAACTCTTGCAGCCAATCTTCTCAGCACTCGTCTATATCCATGCCTTTATCTCCACAAGCCTTGATGGCCAATCGTTCTTGCAACTCTTGTCGTGTAAGATTCGGCTCAGTAGATTCGTATGCTGCTCACTCCACTTCGTCACCTATCAACACTCTGCCTCGTCGACGATGCACTGTCCACGGATTAACGACAGATCCAAACTCTGAACCTCTACTTTCTCCAATCACTCATACCCCCCAACGCTCAAATTCAAAGGGCCATTCTGTCTCTTGGGCAGAATCGCTCAGTACAGAACATGATTTTGAAGAGTTTGAAAAGCGGCGGCAAGAGCTGAAGAAAAGCAAAAAGAGATATACTCGATGGACTCAGAAGACTGCCAGCATCATTCATTTCTTTACTCCAATGTCTACAAAATAGAATGAATAGGACCGACTGGCCAGTGCCTTCAGTTTCATTTACCTAATTCTTTCTGTTCTCGACACTCCCTCGCATCAGCCCGCCCTAGATGAAAAATCTCGTCTTATTCTTTAATCACAGCCTAATTGCCCAATAATGTCTTTAATCATGCTTGTATGCCCAAGTGGATTGAATTTCATTCTAGTCTATCTACACTGGCTTATTTGTGAACCTCATTCTCTATTGTCTCGATCTATCATCTTTAGCAACAATGTTTTCAAAACCCATATTTCGACCTTGCCATGATTCATCAATTACTCGTTTATTTATACAAGCACTATTTGCTACGCAATCAACAAAGTCGTTTTTTAACTATACTGTTTTGTTTATTTGTATATATGGTTGGTGATGTAGCTTGGTGTTTTTGGCATTTGGACACTAATTATGTCAAATACTTGTTTGATCATAAACTTGGCTGGTCTAATGGGATTTGGTCATAATAAAACAATATCAACCACTTGCCAAAACCTGGGTGGTTGTGGACTTTTACTGCTGTACGTGAATACGGTTTTGCATTCGTATTCGTGTACAATGGCGCATCTTGTATTCATATTTCAATCTATTTTGCTCTGGAATAAACAATGGTTGAATAGTTACTGTTTTCCCATTACAAATTGACTTGGATAGTTTCTCAGTGTCTGGAATTTCTTGGAAAAGTCATCTTATGCAGAGTTCAAAAATCATGTCTAATAAGACAGTTGCTTTATGGAGTGGAACATCATCCAAAATGAGATGGCAGCTTAAAAACGTTGCATGTCGCTTAGAAAGTCAAAATACTACAGCCTTGACAGCTCCCTTGATTAATCACACGTTGGCCATCATGTGACGCATACAATCAAACTATAGTTTTGGACTGCTGTGTCTAAACTTTGCATTTTGGCTTTTTTGCATAGCCATACATTGTACGATCGTCAAATTTAATACCCGTTCACTGCAATCTAGATGTTGAATATTCTGAAAAGTCTTGACATATTCCACGTTGCCAATATGTCTGTCACTCACAAATGTTGGCTTTTGTACATAATATTGTCTTCAAGATCATTGACATTGTTGGCCGAGACATTTGCACTGGGTAAAAATCCACGAGTGCGTTCTTTCATACGTAAAAATGTGTTTTTAAACGAAGCTTTCCATGACTATTATTCACGTAAAATGGATTACCAAATAAGGATGCCAAACCCCATAATAAGCAGCCAGTCTTGTGTTTTATTGGTTCCAGCTTATTGGACAACATTGTATTTCTGAAATCATAAATTACACACCACATGCGATACCATATTAGCTATACTTTACTACTTTTTGCTATTGGATATACCCTAATAAGTCATGATAGTGAAACATTAAAGTTGGATTTTTTTCATCCATGAAATTTGTCCAAAATCATCAATGAATAAACCCCAATGCTGCCTTGCATCTTTAAACTCTCTGTTAGTGCGTCTTTTCTGTACATTCCCTCCACAACTGATTGAAAAAGGCATGAAAACAAAGAGATAAATGAGAAAATGTCAGCAATCAATACTCTCAGCGTATCATATGAAATATCTGCGCAAAATCCATTCAGCCACACAAAAGTATATGTTGGGGTTGACAGCTTTATTGGAAATGCAGTTCTTTTGAAAGTGTCGGTAGACTGTTTACCTGTCGGTTTGAATGGCAGGAGCATCTATCGCTCACGTCTCTTGCACCATGGCGACAATCCGACTTGTTGATATGACATGTTTGCTGAACGACTTGTGACATCACCTGCTACTCTTGTCAATTAAATAGGACAACGTTCCTCTTTTAGTCTAGCGGCGGCTGCTTGCTAAGCTCGATATTGGTCTTGTTCTTATTGTTTTGACGCGGAAGCTCGGCGTTTCGCTTATATAGAACATTACGCTAATCTGAAGCAAGCGTACAGTTTTACGAACGGAAAATTCACGCTGTTGAGATGCTACAGCAGCTGCTTGTTCAATGGCTGTCAGCATTTTCAAACATGACAAAGCTGGATTGTTTAAATATAAACGTTTTCGCCTCTTTTATCGCACCCTAACAAGCCACATACTACACTTTTACAGAAAAGTAGCTAAATAAATACTTTAGATTCAAAATGGCATGCTATGTAACCAATTCGTCAGGAGTACCGTTATTTTCAGATGGTACATTTACATGCGCAAAAGGTAAGTCAAGCTTGTGATACTCGATAGTGTGTAACCTATAATCGCTCAACAGCCAGTTGATCTGATCATGCCAAGCCCAACTATCCAATATACTCAGACATTGGCAGATGAAAATCAACAACTATTCTCAGTTTTATTTAAAACATTTGTTAAACCTGCTGTATTACAAACATGGTTTAGGTTTTTACTGCCCCAACTCGATCAATGCAAGCACAAGTCCAACTTACTGTCCACCCTCCATTAAATGTAGCTTACATCGTCTTCGTGGCGTGAACTGTGATGTAGGTACCATATGCCACATAGCCATTCGTTTTACAGTAGTGATATTCAAATTGTCAAGCCATTTCCAAACAAATCTTTATCGTGATCATTTGACGCGCTAATTGATGTTATCCTACCACTTGTCCATTTGAATCCATACTAACACGCTATTGCTTCAATGACCATGTATACTCACTGTCAATCTAAAATAATTTTGCAACTCGGTTAAATCGTGATGGTAAAAACACATTTGATGCGTCTCGATGGAATACGCTTGATGACAATCAACAGCTACCTCAGGTAAAGTTTTAAACCACAATGTCAATCATACTTATCTAAACTGGTTAAAATAACATGTAAACGCTCGTCATCAGTACGAGAATAAACTTACGTTTATGATATTGTTTTGATAAAACCCACGTTGTGCTCACAATATTTGATTGAATTGACATATCCAGGGAGTTCTTGAGCCTCAAGTTTGTACAGCAGGGTTTTATTGTCCTGACCAGTATAGTATGCTAAAATGGTAGATTCAACTCGTTATTGATACATACCGATTTAAACTTGGATTTTTCGTTTGATAGATCACAATCATGACAAACCTTCAACTGAATATTTATTTGATACAATATATATCTATTGAAAGTCCACAAGGGTACTTTTGTCCTACGGGAACAACAACTCCTCGAATCTGCGATACAATTTCATCGTGTTCACCGGGTTCAATTGCACAAGTCTCTTATACAGGCATCGTATCTGCAGTTGTAATCGACGTTTTTTTGATTGTGCTGGTGTACGCAGTGACCATTTCACAGCTTCGAGTAGCAGGAAGGTCTGCCATTAACGCTTTGCCATACTTTATTCGTCGTATCTTGAAAATCAAGGATGGCACGTATGGTCAAATTGACAAAATGGAGGAACCGTTGAATTCGGTTTTTCCTTCTTCAGCAGTGAGTACGCTACCCATCACCCATATGGATGTATTGACGGGTGCCTTTCACAAAGCACTGGGTGGTCGTGATATGCGCATGAACTTTAAAATGCATGATCTGGGTTTAAAGCTACCTAGCGGAAAGACAGTCCTCGAAGGAGTGAGTGGATCCATTCGTGACTCTCGTATGACAGCTATTATGGGTCCATCAGGTGCTGGAAGTAAGTTTAAATTTTTTTGGTTGGTTTTATGTACTCTTGCCCAAATTATATTTCAATTTTTCATTTATCAACCGAGTATATTGACTTGCTTTGATTGAATAACAATAGAAACTACATTCATGAGTGTTTTATGCGGCAAGATCAATCGTACTTCGGGAACGCTTCATGTTAGTGGAGAAAAGACAGAGATTACGGAATTTAAAAAGATTATTGGATTTGTCCCGCAGGTAACATCAAGCAAAATTTTGAAATGGGTTGTAATATTCAAGCCATTGTATATTTCTACTGCATTTTGTTTTGATCAGTGAATGAATGCTTGACTTTGGTTTCAACATACTAAACCAACACATGCTTATGCTCAACGTTACAGGAAGATATTATGCATCGTGAACTAACTGTGCGTGAAAATATCCTACACGCAGCCCGAGTTCGCCTTCCAAACTCGTGGACTGAAAAGGAAATTGCCGAGCATGTGGACAATATTCTACAAGCACTCAAGTATGACTGTTTTCAGTATCTGGATTGTATAGTGATACATTAACTAGTGTGAGCTAACTTTTACATTCAACTTTAATGCAGTCTATCTCATGTGGCGTATAGTACAATCGGTGACGAGACAACCCGCGGTATTTCTGGAGGTCAACGAAAGCGAGTCAATATTGCAATGGAGCTTGCTGCTGCTCCAGTGTGTATATTTTTAGACGAGCCGACATCCGGGTAAACCATGCTTTATATGCACCATTGCTGTATTGTATTTACCAAGCCCATCTTATTTACATTCATTCTCGACCCCACCTTAAATTCAAAGCCTTGACGCCACATCTGCATTACAGACCGCAGTGATTTTGAAGCGTATCGCAGATTTAGGCATGACAATCGTTGCTGTGATCCATCAGCCTCGTGTTGAAATTTTCCGTCAGTTTGATGATGTATTGATGATTGCACCAGGTGGAAAGACGGCTTATCTTGGACCCACTGCCAACGCAAAAAACTATTTTGAATCGCTTGGCTATTTGGTAAGTCCATTCATTTAGGATACACCCGTGTTTTTGAGAGTTTGATGGGTATTTAGTCATGTTGCTGATTCACATTGCTGATACATTGTGACTTTAGTTTGATGCTGGAAGCAATGAGGCAGATACGCTTATGGACATTCTTAGTGGAAAAGGCGAAAACACGATCAAAAATTATACAAGCACGGAGCTTGTACAACTATGGCTCAAGAATGCAGACATGAACGAAACCTCCCCAACAGATCCAAAGAAAATTGAAAAGGATACAGCGTTTCACGAAGGCGCTATATCTCTTGTTAAGGAGCGTGGAGCGTCTTTGTGGAAGCAGATTCTGTATTGTCACAACCGTAGTCTAATGCAGCAGTACCAACGCATCAATGCATTTGTGATGGAAATATTGGTCGGCGTATTTGCAGGATTACTCATGCAAGTGTGATGTTGCCTTTATTTCATTTTAGTACAACTATCTGTGGCAATTCATTTATAACTTGAATGTATACTATTTATTCATATATACCAAAATAGGGGTTTAGCATCGTTTGGAACCACTGAACTTTATCAGGGACTTTTCATTCAACCTTATGTTCTTTTATCCCCTGCACCTCTGGAATGGCTGATTTCTCAATTTGGCTTGCTGATTGGTATGGCTGTAGCACTTGCTGCTGCACCAGCTGGTGTAAATGTATTTGGAAACGAAAAGGCTGTATACTGGCGAGAAGCCTCGTCTGGGCATTCTTCCACCGCGTACTATATTGGAAAAACAGTCGCCACATTTTATCGCACCTTGATATGTAGTCTGTAAGTCGTTGCTTTTAGTAAAAGTGTGTCGAGTATATTTGATTAATATTCCCATGGCATATACAATTATACAGTCACTTTACAGCAATTTTTGTATATCTTGCAACACCGGAAATCACATTTCAAACACAGTATCTCATGATCATGCTTTTCTTTTTCGGAGTATATGGCATGAGTGCGACAGTATCTATGCTCGTTAGTCGAGAAAGTGCTCCGCTTCTTGGTGTTGTATTCTGTCTATTCGCAGCCGTATTTTGTGGATACGGGCCTTCAATTCGTCAAGCCACCAATTGGGGAGTGTATTTTATCTGGGCATTGAGCTTTAACATGTGGGGCTGCGAAGCACAATGTAAGCTAAACTCTACAACATAATGTGCATTATGTTGTAAAAATGATATAGCATCAAACCCATTGTAAACCATGAGCTAATCCAATGTGCAATGGGTATTGGAAATGTAGATTCAGATACTGTTAATATATATAAAGGCGTGTATGATATTGATCTGACAAATCGATCTGGGTACACATTGAACCGAGTCCCGTTTGATTTTGGCATGATGGTACTTATTGGGCTTGGATGGCGTCTGATTGCATTTATACTTATGCTCACCTTGAATAGAGAAAAGCAGCGTTAGATGAATCATGACATGTGTATATTTTTAAAAATGGCTTTGGACTGGCTGGTGTTTTAATAGGATGTGGATTTAGACAGCAGGCATGGCCAATGATGCTCTATATCCAACCACTTGAATAAAATTAAACTTTTGAATAAAATTCTACCATTTCATCTGAAACACATGTGCTCAAACCATGACATTGGAGTGATTCGGTTTATACAGAAACTTGAATCAGCTCCAAATATCTTGCTCCAAAACAAGTACGCCTGATTTATGGATACACACAACTATTCCATAGACAAAACACTTCCAGTAGATTGGCCAGAGGATGTAACTTTTTTAAAACACAATAGATTGGCCTCTGAGATTCCAGAACATATTCAAACCCTATACGGTCTTGTAAACCATCCGACTTGTCCTACATTGCTTCCACAACCCAAAACACCAATCCCCTCATTACTCGAGACCATGGATGAACTAGAGATCCAGTCGCCCATAGTCTGTGACACTGTATCAATCCAAAAGATTGCAAACAGCAGTCATCCAGCACACGGCGAGTATGGTTTATTCGCTGTAAAGGATGTTCCACCACATGCTTACATTCTTGACTATCGTGGAACAATACAACTCGACGACCTGATTGATCACAACAGCGACTATTGTATACATTTTCATGGTACTCTGTCGATTGATGCAGCAGTTGCAGGAAATGAGGCACGATTTATAAACGACTTTAGACGAGTGAATGAGAGGCCTAACGTGGCTTTTGATGTGTATCGGGATCGCTTGACTGGGGAATGCAGAGTGGGAGTGTTTACATTGAACCAAATAATTCAGGCTGGCCAAGAGCTACTTGTAACATATGGCAAGAGTTTCTGGAAATCCCGGAATGTCGTTTCGAATGAACCCAACTGGGACCCTTCATGGGACGACTAAATCTGACATGGCAATTCAAAAAACCAAACTAGTCTCCAGGTAATATTGACCTTTATTATGGGCTAGACTACTAGGGAATATTGGTATGCTCCAAAAATAAAATTCTAAAATTACAAGCCGCTTTTTAAAAACATGAAAACGCCCAGACATTGCCAGTATGGGTTGGCTAATCAATTACTCCAAAACAGTAGAAGAGAGCGTGGGCGTAAACGATAAAGGGCTGATTAGATGCCGTCCCCTGTCGGACAAGGCAGGATGAGAACGAGATGGAGATCCATAGCCACTATCATGAGATGGCTCTCTGTTGTGTTTCTGCAGGATTGAAACAGGCTGCTCTTGTGCGAGTAAGGGCTGATGCTTTTGAGTGTGACGAGAAGCTGTGTTGGGCACTGCCAGATAAAGACCAGTTGTGTATTCCATTGAAGCTTTTGCGTGATTCAGGGACAGCGGAGGCTTGGCTACTGAAAACAAATGGTCTTCATGGTGAATAGTAGATGATGGCTGAAAAGAGCTTGTTTGGTATGTGGATTGGCGCTGTTGGTAGCTTGGACTAAGGGATCTGGAAAATGATTCCTGCGGATATTTGCCTAGTGTCGGAGTGTGAGAGCGTGGGAGAGTAGGACATTGACCAAGCGATTGCTCATACTGTCTGATCCGATGCTGAGTGCCAGGGTAGGATGCTGCTTCAGACAAATGTTCTGTAGTTCCAGTAATTGACTTTTCCAAAGATGCAGGCGATGTCAAGGATGGTTGATACCGATTCTTTGCTGTTAGAAGAGGCGGCAATTGAATTCGAGATTCCAGCTCGTTGCTGGGTGTCGAACACATGACTGTGTCCTGACCTGACCTTGAGCGGACATAATGTGATGAGCTGCGTTTTTGAATAAAAGGGCATGATGAAAAAGCAGTCAGTGTACTTACACCAATCGAATCGCCAGCTGTTGCTGGAGCGGAGTCTGTTGACAATGTGTGGTCAGAAGTCTTGAATGCAGATGATAATGCATGATCATCCGAGACAGTCTTGAAATCATAAGCATGAGAGCTTGTGTATGAGTTGCTAGTTTGGCGTAGAGTGGATATGGCGGAGCTATGTTGAGTATCCCGACAAACTTGATTAGACAAGGTATTGCTTGTTGGAAATGTCACAGGTAGCACTGGAGCCGAGTTGTATGATACGGATAATGGCTCAGAAGCCGCCTCTGATGAGTGATGAGCCCTTGATTCTTTGCGTGGCAGTGAAGCGAGATCTGTAGATAATGGCTGGAAAGTAAACTCCTTGGCTGGATCCAACAGACAGTCGTAGTTACTGGGCAGCTGCCAATCAGGAGCTAATCCCATGGCACTCTGTGCTGCATCCTGAACACTTTTGGATGACAGTCGGCGGGAAGAAGACGAGGACGAAGCATTCTGATCTCGTTTACTCCCAGATGACAGCTTGAGAGTAAGTCGTGAGAGTTGGCCCTGGAGTCGCTCAGTGATTGCAGTAGTAGAAACGGTTACTGGCAGAATTAACGAGGATGTTGGGAGGGACATGCTACGCTTTCTGCGGATATAGGCAAGTTCATCTGAGTTATGAATGCTGGAATGTCGAGAAGACCGAGTATTCGAAGGATGGGCCTGCGGTACAATAGGATCTCTATCAGAGGTCTCAAACATGGACATGACAAGAGGACGAATTTTTCGGTTGGACGAACGACGGTCCATGATATCAATGTGGGGGATTGAAGTAACTGAAATTAAAGATGGCAAGTATAAATATCTACATTTTATTATCCTGAAATATTGATATTTATCGAATGCGTGTTGTCTGTCACGAGGCGGCTAATTTCTACACACAGCAGATTCCTTCTTTTTAGGCCAGTGCGGTTGATCTTGATTCAAACACAGCAGCACCATGACTAGAAACAGAATGCAACTCACAGAAATATGCTCGGACGTGAGTCATATGTGTAGACCCTTCGTAGCTGCATAGCAGTTGCTGATTATTTGCATCTATTTTGTATTCGTGTTTTGGAACCTGGAACCAACAATGAGGCTGGGCCAATGCAAATTCCATGCAATATTGGCTCAGACTAAATGTTTTGCCCTGTGTATTCGCTCTAAATTCACAAAAATCCTTGGCTTTTTCACAGGCAGGATTGTGTTGATCGACTTTTCATGGGATCTTTCCAGTTTGCCCAAATGAGGAATATGTTTGGCCATATATTTACAGCCATGTTCACGTAAGACTAAATAAGGGTGTCGAATACATAAACAACAACCCATCTCATGAATTGATTGGTGCTAAATGTACTGGACAACACTGCCTTTGAACTCTAATTTACTGATCTTTCTTTGCTTATTTCGTACAGGACAACTGGACAAATGTTCAAAGCAGCATTCACATCCCCGTTCCAATACATTCCACTTGTTTAATCTCCAACTAACCCTTGACACAAATCAAACATTATGATATTGGGTGATTGGCATTACAATTGCATTCCTGAAACGTGTAATCTTGTTTTCAGACTAGAACGCGAATGTATGTGATTTCAGGACACAAGGATGAGTTTCTGAAACACCAAACAACCAAACCAAATATATACTGCAACCAATGAATCTGTGGTCGTATAATGTACGGCTATGCCAAAATTGAAAAAAAGATGCTTCGATTTTGTGAGCATTGTGTGTACTGAATTGAGAATGTCTAACCAAACCCATTTCAATAGAAAAGTGTAGCAAATATTTGATTGTTGTTTATTCTGAAACAATTAATGCAAGATAAATACAAGTGTTGCATTTTACATGAGTATGAATATGAATGCAAGTTCAATTGGCCATTTTTAATCCATTATTTGGCCATTCAATTCATTATTTTACCAAAATGCGACTTGCAATTTACACATTCAAATTGCATCTTTTTCCTTTCAGTTCATCAACATCATGGAGGCTACAAAGGCCCCCAAAAAGCCAAAGTATACCAAGAAGGAAATTCAAGAATATAACCAAAAACAAAAGGAGCTTCGTGAACAGCAGAAGATGGAAAATCAACAGCGGCTTCAAGCAAAGCGTAAGCAAAAAAGACCAAGGCAGGAGCAACCACATACACCTAAACTTCGCACAAAGATCGTTGTAAGGAGACTGCCTCCAACGCTGCCTAGAGATGCATTCTTTAATACCATATCCAAGTGGTTGGATTATATAGATTGGTCGGAATATGTTTCCGGAAAGCTTGCCAAAAAGTAAGGCTAGTGCATCATTCAGCGGCTGCTTTAGATCATGTCTTGTATGTTCAAGTTGAAATCCAATCTATCTAGCATTGGATTGCAGCTTGCTTTATTCGCCATGCTTACACATTTATATCTTTATATAGGCTGGCAAAACAAAATGTTTTTTCAAGAGCCTATCTGAATTTCATCGATTGTGATTCTGTGCTAGATTTTTTCAAATCTTGCAATGGCCACTTGTTTGTGGATAGCAAGGGTATAGCATCAGCTTTGATTAGACAATTCATTGTCTTGATTTTTATCTCTGAAACAACCATACTCTGATTGCTGACCTTGTCCTGTATAATCAAATTACACATCAATCACTTGCAGGCAACGAGCATAGAGCAGTCGTGGAATTTGCGCCATTTCAACGATTCTGCAAACAGCGCAAAACAATCGATCCATTAGTCAACACCTTGGATGCAGATGCAGATTATCAAGCCTTTCTTCAATCACTTTCTGATCCAAGTAGCCTTTCTGATCCACACTCCATTTTGCCCAGCGAAGTTGGTATAGATTCTTCATTGGAAACGGCATCCAACTTGGTTGTGGTGGGAAGTACTTTATTGACTGATGCCGAGACGACCAAAAGTACTCCACTTTTAGATGCCATTCGCGCAGAAAAAGCTAGAAAACTGACTGCCAAGGCAGATGAAAAAAGCAAAAAAAAACTATTCAAAACATCACTGATATCTGGAAATATTCAATTGGCAAAACGAGAGTCTGTTTCTAATTTATCTCGTGAACATACTGATGCGCATAAAACTGTTTCTGGAGCTGCTACATTGAAACATGGCAAAAAATCCAAGGCACCGAAGCAAGCCATTTCGAGTCAAAACCTGCAGATTTCATCTCAACACACATTAAGCGCAGGTGATGTAGTATCTGGGCCATCTCAGACAGGAAACTTGAATTCATCTCGCAAGAGTCGATCTGAGCGCAAAAAAGAAAAGGCAGCCAAGTCATTTGCTGGTGCACATGCTTCATCTCAACCCAACTCTCAAAACGCTGAATCAACCCCAGTATCCAAGTCCGGGAATGCAGTTCAGGAAACCTCATTTTCCGTATCAGGGCCATCAGAGTATGATGCTGAACCCATTCCCACAAGCACAACTGCTTTACGTAGTAAAGAGAAAAGTAAATCTGGTCGTGGAAAGAAACGCGATGCTCCAGTATCCAACTCTATCCCTCTCAACCAACAATCCATCTCTCAGCCAGCCATTGGGCTCCAGGAGTCAAATGGATATGGTAATAAGACTGAAAAAGATTTGAATTTAAATACAAGTGCAACTGCAAAAGGCAATACTGGTACCTCTTCTGCAGGTAACCAAACTAAGGGCAAACAGAGTAAAAAAGGTCCCAATAGCGACACATCCAACCCTGCTGCTCTGGGAAGCACCACCCGTATTATCCTGACGAAACGAGATGGCACAACAACGGAATTCCAAACCTAGGTTAGGACTAACAATAAATTAGCTAGTCTGATCTGTTTATACAATGTTCTGCAAAGATAATGACAAAAAGTTGGGTTGCGTTCAGATAGTATAATTTTTCATTCGTGAAAATCGATTCAGGGAACATTACAGGTACAAGAAAATAAAAGCAGCATAAAAATCATATACATAAAAGTAAGCAAATCGCAACCAGTGTGATTCCGATACAAGGTGTAAAAAGAATAGGTAGTGAAGTGATCAAAAAGATGAGACGCTTGCCTACATATTTAGGATTGATATCCAAATATATATTTAAAATAATTGGGTGGTTACATTTGTGGGGGTGGAGTGATTGTGGAAACGTCTTGAGCGTCCATATTAGGAGCAGTTGCTCGGCGAGGTTTTTGGTGGTCGTGGCATTTGGATGCATGGCGGTACCATGCCGGCACTAATCCGCGTCGTGCCTCAATATCGGCAACTCCCTCTGTAAAGTGAGAAGAAACCGACAAAAGAACTGGCGGGACAACAACTTCTCCGTTGGGATAAAGCGATACTTGAACTTTAGAGGACTTTTCATCAGCTGTAAGCAAAACTGCTGGTGTAGCACCTGCGGGACTACATTTTCCAACAAGATTCGTAACATTGACAAGACTGCATTGGATTGTGGCACAGCGACGCTTGGTGCTCATCAGAGGTATCCATTCGTTGCAGGTGTGGCAGCAGCCCTCGATCATGATATAAGCAGAAGAAGTCGGGTCCTTTCGCTCTTTAGTCAAATCTTTACCAGCCACAGGAATGCTTATAGCAGTAAGCATCCAGACAGTGCGAAGCGAAACAGGCTGCAAGAATGGCAGACAAGAAACAGACGAAATACCATGCGTAAATTGCTTGTGGTACCAAAAGGCTGAGTTTTTTAATTGAAGCCAACGGCCAGGAGCTGGACATAGCTCACAAAGGCCTTGTTTATGAGTTGCGTGGTTACGAACCCATCTAGGAGTATACACATCACCAACAAACAACAATTCTTGCTCGCGACGCTCCTCAGTAGACTCACCAGTATCGCCACCACTTTCTTGCAAAGTATCAAAAAGTTCTGGCAACGCTGTGTCCGAGGCATTATTACTATAGCATGGAAGATGTCCACTTACTGAGGCAGATATTGGATATTGAAGAAGATTAGGCCGAGTAGTTGTATAGTTGGATGTATCCAATGCCGATTTTGAAATTAAAGAGCCCTTGGTAAGCAGTGGTTTTGGGCTATGAACTAGTTTGGAAACATTCGATGCCTTTTTCTGAGAGTTTTTCGGAGTGCTAGTTTTTGAGCGACTTGGAGTCTGAATTCGATTTAGTTTAGACTTTAATTCGGCAGAGCCTAGACTTTGACGAGAACTACTTCCTGATATGTCCGACATTAAATTTGAAAAATCTGTAGTGGCAATTGAATCAATCAGTCCCATACCACCATTTCCCATTGAAGACACGCTATTTGGAATCGACAACACGGAAGATCTGTGGCTACTGGGAAGAGATTGAGTATCAGACATATCACAGGAAAGTCCACGCACCATAGACGTATGAACGTCATACATGGGGTTCACAAGAGTATCTGTTGTCATATTTCCCCCAAACATACCAGGTATAGGAATGCTTTGTGCCCTTGCAAGTGTTGTAGACATGGCACAGTCTGAGGGAGTTGTTGGAGACAGATTCATGAGACCAAGTGAGTTAGCAGTCATGGGCATCTGCATGTGTGATGGTTGAGAAATGTTTAAAGGTGGAGCTATACTATATTTAAACTGTTGCATTGGATCCTGGTTAAAGTTGGCAAAGGAAAACTGAGAATTGGGATCTACAAGACTATCCGATCTAAACATGCTTCTTTTGCCAAACGCAGAGTTTCCATCTAAAGAGTCTTGCATTATTGATGTAGGAGAATTAAGAGCAAATACGGCTGAAATATTGCCTGCGTCCATGCCCATATTTGCTGGATAACCCTGAACAAAGGCATGACTACTTGTGGCACCGGAAAATTGCAGATAATCAGCTGGTGATCGCATCGATATATTATCATGGAATTGAGAAGCCGCATATTTGCTTTGCGGTCCTCCTCGGGGTACGCTCGGAGAGACTGGAGAAATGATTTGTGACGCAGACTGAGATGCGACAGGTGCTGGTTTTGAAAAACAAGAAGCAGTCTCGGCGGTTGATGTATAGTAAGACGCCGAAGATTGTCCAGCCGAATTATTATTGCCACTGCACTCTGTTGCAGGTGAAATCTTTGAATGCGTTTGTGCACCAGCATTTTGAGCTCGGTGTGGCTTTGACGCTGCCGAAACATTTGTGTCTGAGCCAGTAAACGAAAGATTTTCACCTTTTCCCAAAGAGCCAGTTTTCCATGCTGTTAATCGCTGACCAGAGGACATATTGGTCACTGTGGGCGAGGTAGATTCATTGGTTATAGCATCCCAAGGCTGGTCTGCAAAGGTAGCTCCAGACATGTGCATTGAATCGGTGTTGGATTGGCCAGCCAAAACCACACCAGTTGCATCCACACAAGTATCTTTAATAGTAGCACACGCCATTTCACCAGATGAGCCCTGAGTTACTGTAATTGGATCACAGGTAAAGGACTCCCAATCCTCAGAAACATTTGCCGAATGGATGCTTCGGTAGTTTTTACAAGATTGAGTAGCGCCTAATGCAAGAGAAGCAGAAGTGGATTTGCGGCGATGTGGAGGGTTGGGAGATCCACGACGGAACTTGGAACTAGGAGCAGCAAAACCCAGTCCTGAAACTCCCGACATAATGTTGCTTTCGCTGTTGCTTCGGGTGGCAGCTTGGGATGATGGGGAAGAAACAACAGGACTGAGCATGCAATTATAGCCAAAGGAAGGTGTATTGGATATGGCTGATGAGTAAAGCTGTGGATCGCCTAGAGCTGATGGAAAGAATGCATTAGCAGATCCTGAAACAGCGCCTGGGCTGTTTGTATCCAGTCCAAGACCACGCATACTCGTATTGAGCGATTGAAAGCGTGATCGATTGAACTTGCTTGTTGCCTCCTTGAGTGTGCCAGTTAGAATGGATTGTCCAGGCATATTCAACGAACTCAAAGGATGGTGAGCAGTGTTGCTTTCCAATGCTGCAAGTGATTGTACTCCCGAATCAGACAAATTGCACCAGCTGTGATCCGTATTCTCAAAAGCAGTTTTGGAACGCTTGTGCAAATCTGGATAGGGCTTGATGTATGGCAATGAGGCCAAATTTCCATTCGAAAGGATTTTCCCCAAATCAGCCATACCAGGCGAAATGGTTGCAGAGTCGCTTTGATCATTCTGAGGAAATAGCAGGAAAAACTCTTCCTCTGTCATTGCCGAGTACATTGGATGACCAGATGATTCAGTCTGTACTTGATTTGTACTAGAATGCTGTTCGTTGGATTCGGACTTGCATTGGTCAGCAGTAAGCGGTCGTTTGATTGATCGCGGTGTTTGTATGTGCGCTCCAGTAGGTGGTTGGGGTACTGGGTAGTGCGACAAGTGTGCACTGTCGGGTTGGCTTGTTGCTAAAGACAATTTAGACGCTATGAATGGTGGAGCATCCACAACACTAGACGTATGCGTAGAATCTAAAAGTAAAATAGTTAGTTGCCATCAAAACAATACCGACTGATATTTAGAACCAAAAAGCATTCCATGTAATGAAACTTTGAGGCTCGAACAAGCAAACTGGCATTTGGTTATGGAATGCCTTTTACTAATGGTTAATTGAGTTGAATCAGTAGAATTAAACACTTACTCGTCATGATTGCGCTATTTGGCCAAGGCATGGCCATAGACTGGTGTAAATTCATGGATGCATTCCATAGTAAATCATCGCTAGCAGTGGAAGACGGTATGGATGGCATGGCGTTGATAGCTGGAGCAGGCAAGATGGATGAAGTTGAAGATGACATTGGGGACAAGGAAAACTTGGCGTAGTCACCAAAGCCAAACGGATAAGCATATGGACCAGGTGACTGCTCAGTCAAAAATGATTGTGCTCGAGGAGAATGGCTATGACGGTCCAACCGAGATAATTGGAGTTTCAAAGGGTGGGATGACATTAGCACCGGATGGTTGCTGGTAAAAATGGCAGGTGACTGAATAGAAGTGGTGTTGGTTGAAGTGATTGCTAATGTATTAATAGATTCTGTGCAAGAGTAAAATGCAAATATAATATAGTGTCAGATTAGCTAAGTTGGCATGCCATTCATACAGCAAATACGGAATAAATGAGAAAAGCAATCAATAAAGAACTGATGAGGGATTAATAGTGAAAGCCACTCGAGTATATGCCAAATGGAAACAGGGTAAACTAACAAACAATTTCAATTCAAGTTTAAACAAATTCACATGACTAAAAGTGCCATCAGATAGCCAGTCAGCAATCAAGGAATTATTGACTAATGTAAATATCTAACAATGTAGCAAGATTAAGAGCTGAAACAAGTAATGATGGGACAAATGCAGTGCATGAAACCAACCAAGTTTCATCCAACATCTCAAAAAGTGTAAATTGACTGAAAACAGCAACAAATGCATGCTATATGAATTGACCAATCAAATTCACTGATAGTCCTAGCACAGCATATCAACAAAGCCCTGTCGATACCAAGACGCGCTTCAGTAAATGGTGATTTCTCCCATTAGCCGATTTAGAAGCACTTTTGAAAAGATACCAATTGAGCAGTAACCCGACAAGTTGAAAAACAAAGCGCGTCATTGTATACAACTATCCACCAATCATTACTCTACTGTCCCGCCACTTGTTTCCGGCCAAGCAGCCAGGCAGTTAAATCTCCGCTGCAATGGCTGTCCAATCTGGAATGCTTGCATTTGAACAACAAGGGGGTGAAAACAGCACACAGTTTGATACTGAGGTTTGGCACCTCAAGCAATCAGACCACAAATATTAGCACTCGGCCCATTTCCACAACAGCAATGGAAAGCAAGCCAGTGCGAAAAAAATATTCAAAAGCGCAAAGCCATAATTTGACTAAAACAAAAGCAAATCAATGCCTTTTTAATTCAATGACATTAGTCCATGGAAGTTTAGTAGACCACCCATCACTAATTGAAATGCTGTGGTGGGTCGACCAAACACCATTCAATATGGCTAAACCTGCCGTCTGTTCAAAATATCTGCTCCACTTTACAGTCTCATACCAATGAATTAAGCAATTAATATTTTGCACTGACCTTGAGTGGAATTGGCTCTGGGCCCGCCTTTTAGCTGTCGTGCATTTGCCCGTAAAGTGGTGTTTTTTAGATTAGACTTGGCTTGGCCTGCTAGCATATATTGTAGAACATCCGTGTCACTACACGAACCAGCATCGGTCTGAACATTGATCGACGTATCGGGAATTGGCTTGTTGGAAGTGTAGCCAAAGTGTGTATTGCTCATGGGCACAATAGAATCGGTATGGTCAAAACCATATCTAAAACTATCGTCAATACCACCAGTGCTGTTTGTATTGCCCTGCATGCTAGTTAGATTCATAGGAGTGACAGGCAGGACAGCGGCACCACCGTCCCTCCTTCTAAGTTTGTTCCAAAGACCCAAAGTCATGGTGCGGTTTGTAATAAAACTTGATTCCAAATAGTAGAGTGCACAGATTCAAGGTTTCACCAAAATGATTAGACAGATACAGTATCACACGGTAATGCTGATCGATTTAAATGTAGTCAAGGGTGTCTTTATAGATTTGGGCTCTTCAAAAAGACGAGAAATAAAGCAGGCTTGCTATCGGTATTCGCTAATATCGTCGATTCACTTTAAAATGCTTAGTTTGGTATAAGCTAGAAGCATTCCATATTTGACACGTGCAGATAAAGTTGTTCAAGCAAAATATAGATGGCATATAGATTAGTAGAAGGCACACTGTATCTCGGGTGGATCAATACATGGAATTCCAAACATAATCATGCAGTTCCAGAGTATAAACATGTAAATGCATAAAAATATATAGCTTAAAGTAGAATGTATAGCCAAATCGTGCACAAGTTGGATAATTGCTAAATTGTGCAATGTTTGGCTGAATATCACAATGAATATTTATGCTTCAAATTGTGCAAGGTTGGCAGTATTCAAGATGATTGGTAGCATCTAGGGCAGATTCATAACGATAATTGAACAAGGCAATGGTGGTAATAAAAAGATCAACCAATGTCGAGGATTTGGATTAATGATACAGCAAGCAGTATGCATTTACCAAAAAATGATAAAGATGGTTTAGTGGTAGGTTGTCGCAATCAAAATTACCAAAGCAAGTATCAAGCAGTACTCCAAAAGGCAAAACTATTGAATGCTTTAAATACATGATACATATGGTAGTGATGGTTGCCGACAATCTTTCCACCCCGTCCTTATTTTTGCTAGCCGTGACACCTAGCATTATCTAAACATTCGCCAGTTCACGACCTAGCTTTTTCATCGAAATCATCATCAGTCATCATTCAAAGCAAATTGGTGCATTGTACTGCGGTAAGAACCATCTTCATCAAATTCTCAACCATCAGACATATTGATTTATATCACATGATAAATACTTGATTGCACCACATCAATAGGCTCTACCCGCACAAAAGTACCAAGTAACTACAAACTGTGGAGTCGTTGAAAAATACAAGCTTGATCCACTGCCGTATTCACGTAAATGAGCCATGAAATAAGGGTGTCAATGCATAATAAATGAACGGCTTCATCAAAATTACTGGCAGCATTGTGTTGACCAGACCTCCTTTATGCTCACTGATCCTTCTCCTTTACACCCATTGATACTTCTCCTTTATGCCCATTTTGTATAAAAATACTGAACACATCTTCACATCTCTGTTTCAATAAATCCCACATCCTCGACACCTGTTCAGTCTCCAACTTTTCATCCAAACCACATTATGGCATTGAACAGTTGGTATAGAAACTTTGAAATAGGCGCGAACATGTTCGAGGTTTTAGGATACAATAAGATGGAGTTTGAAAACATGAGAGTCCAATATCTGGGCTGCAATGAATATATCTTCAAATTTGGATCTTAGGGTATGGCTATGCCAAAAAGGGAAAAAGGGAGGTTTAAATCAGTTTGATTGTGCATCATATGATGGGTGTTGTGTTTTGAAGAATTGAGAGTATTAAGGGAGCACAACTTTCCAGTAGGAAGGTATAACATTCAACTAGTGCACATTCCCAGAATAGAGGCATTGGCTGCAAAATACATATTGTATTTTACGTGAATGCGGATACAAGTCTAGTTATTTCAAAAGTGAGCCATGGAGCAATTATCAGGTATGCTTTTGTTATTTAAACAGCTGCTTGAATGAAAGAATTTCAATTGTAGCAGCTATTTAATGTCAATCAAAAGTATTGGATAGGGGAATGTTTAGAAAATAGATGATTGGGACTGGATAAAAAGAGCAATTGTACATTAAGCCATACAGGAATACATAATTCAAATACATGATCAGACAATAAATGGACATTCATAAGTTTGATTTGTAATACCTTGCGAATTGAACACTTTGAGAATCGGCAAGTGAATACTAGAGTTTAAATAGACGGCCTTCAAAATTGGATGCTTGTTTAGGGACTGTTTCCAGTCCAAGATTCAGGGCCTCAAAAAGCTTGAACACAAAATCGTGTCATATCCAGTATTTTCGGCACGTTATAGCACAAACGGATGAATTGTAATAGCTGGTTTCAAAGCTTCAAGTGGCCTGTTATCCGCATCAAGAGCTGATAATGATGGCGAGACACCCTATCTTGTTTAGCGCTTGTTACAGAAGCCGAGATATTCAATCTTGCTATTACCTTTACTGATCACAAGCGATGTGCATAGTTTTGGCGAAGTGTATAAAGCACAAACACTCCCGTAGTAGAATAAATGAACGTAGCTTTTTGCTTATTAAAGGTACGCATACCTTATTTCTGTACCGTTTTGTAAAGCCAAGTGCATTTACCGCTGTATTCACGCAAAATAGAGTGCCAGCAGCGATTGATCTCTATTCTGCTTCGGAATAGACAATCATTAAATGCTATACTTTTCTATTAGACTGATGGTTTCAATAAATATTTTCAATTTTTCAATAAGCATAACGACCATCATATGGTGCACAATCTAAATATATTCGAGTCTTTTCTTTTTTTTGGCATAACCACACGCAAGATGACCAAGTTTAAAATCATATTCATTGTAACCCAGATATTGAATTCGGCTATTTTGATGTTGTCAATAACACTTTACACAATACATTTTGCTGTGTCCTGAAATCTCAATACGCCCTAGTTTGAAATCAAGGACTTTAGTTTTAGGGATGCAACTTTATGCCAATCACCAGGAGATTGGTAACTAGAGTTCAAAAAACAATGTTGTGCAGTAAAATGAAACACTTGACAAGACTATTGTCAGACACTGTCATCAGACACTGTCATTAGACACTTTTAGTGCTTTATTTTATGTGAACAAGTGGAAATGGAATGAAAACTTCAACATTCCATTTATTGGCACCGAAACTCGGCTTCAGTTTTTACTTTTTACATTGAAATCCCAATCATGGGCGACACGCTGACATTGCTGTCTGTCCATACTGACCTGGAGCATGCTGTTACCCTGGCTTCTCAAGCAAAAGTCAAGGAGGCCTTGGATTTATGCTCTTCAGTCATGGAGGTTGTTTGTACACATATCGAAATATTAGGTTTGGTTGACCCTGATGAGCCAGGCTCACCCCACTCGCCAACCACTGAAAAGGCAGCTGCACTCTTGTTGGGCGGATTTGACCGTCTTGGATCTGAAACTACATCTAAACCCTCAACCACTGCTCATCCAAAAACAGCTGCAGTAAACCATAGCCAACACAATAACAAGGTGCTGGATTCTGAATCCACTGCCAAGAGCAACAGTCATGTCAAGGGTGATTTGGCAAATACAAACACTGGCACACATTCATTCTCTTGGGCAACTCAAGGAAGCGATCTAATGCCATTGACAGTAGCACATCGTATCGAGTTTTGGCAGCAGGTTAATAGTACATGGCTTTTAGCAATTCGATGCGCAGGAACATCGACAGAGATGGATTTGTTGCGTCAAGACACAACTGTGTTTACAGGTTCAAGGCGTGGATCTAGAAGTCGCAGCATTCGAGGATCAAAGGCATCAGCAACTGCTGCTGCGGCGGATGCCGCTTCTACAGCTCATGCTCTTAATCTATCCACAGCTACGGCAAATGGTAATGCAAAAACAGACTCATCTCAGGCAGATACCGAAGGCGATCTGAGTTCTGCCATGTTGATCAAGGATTGGATCATGCTTCGAGATAACATCATCTCCTGTGGTGATGTATTGGAACTCTATGGATTGGTAGACTATACGATGGGGTTTGCAGAGTTGGAAATTGTCGAGGCTATTCATGCACAAATAAGCCGAATGTAAATGCATTTTTTATACCAAGTTTCATAAATGTTTATACTCGATCTTGTTTGCAATTATGGTCGCATCTTCAATTTTAAAACATCCACAAGCAAATCTAGTCATGCACAATTTGGAGTAGTGTCAATGTATTTTCTTTATAAATCGATATGTATATTTGATAGCCGTTAACAATTGAATGACTCTAAACTGATAATATCAAAACGAGTCCGCCCAAAAAACCTTGATATACATGTCATACTTGTATATTGTGATGGTGATGTGCACATGGCAAAAGAGCATGTAATCTTGTAGCAGCATCGTCTGTAAAATCGCCACCAATTGCTTGGTGACGGAACAGGACAGAAAATGCATACGGCAACGATGTGCTATCTGGTTCGCCAGTAAATCTATCCTTGGCTCCTGACACGCTGCGCACATTCATATCACTCTTGAGCGACTCCACTAGAATAGGCAAGCATGTACCACATGCGCCAATCTGCGACTCGTATAGCGTCATGGCTGCATTAACAAGCGCGTGGATTATGGTAGAAACGGTACGTTCAGGTACACCCAGCATTTTAAACAGCCCAAATTCACGCTCTTGCGATTGGGTCGAGTCGGATGACTGAGCATGATCAGAGCCACTTGGACACGGTGTAGTTGAGCTCGATGGCTCCAATGGCTGCTTGCATAAGCTCAAGTACTGAGCAAATCGCAACAAGTCCACAACTGTTGCAAACACCATTGGGCCAAGGTATCCATTCACAAGCGGCCGACCCACATCCAGCTGATTTCCTAGATGCATATCCAAATGATCACCCATAGCACTAAGAAGATCAGATAACATTCCCCTAACCAGTCCTTGCTGAGTAGAGCTACCAGAAACAGATGTTTTTCCAAACAATCTGTGTATAGAATGGTGATCGGCGGCATTATTCATAAATGAACCCGATACAGTTGCTTCAAGAGCTTGGCGAGCCTGTTCAAACCAGTTGCGGCGGACAGACTTGTCTTCCTTGGAATTTGAGCCAGCAAGTACCCATGAAACTTTGGCAATGGTGAGGTGGATATATGCAATAGATCGCTTCAGACTATCTGCGCGAAAGTTGTCTGCAGAGTGAGAAGCGTCAATGGGGGAGAAATTGAATTGGGAACTTGCTCCGTGATTATCGTTTGAGGATGTCAAGAGTGCAGCCGCTTCAAGAAGAACAGGATAAAGTATAGGCGAGTGTCGCAGTTTAACCAACTCCATCAGCATAGTTTCGTACTGTTTTAAAATGTTAATGACAGCATCCTCGCTTGGGGATTGAAGATCCAAATCTAACGTAATATTCAGCTCATCTCTAAGCAATCTGTAAATTCGTTCACACGTTGATTCAGGGATACCAAGTGGAAACAAAAGATGACTTGAGCTACTGCGATTATGGGTGTTGCAGGCACTTGGCTGTGATTTGGCAGTCATGAGATTATCACATGTTTCAGACCCAGCTCGGAAACGAGATAGAGAGAAAACGCAGTGCGACAAAATAAAGAGTACTTTTGAATGCAAACTTTTGGGAACATTAGGTTGCCATGACTGATCATCCAAAGTCATACTGGAATCGGCAAGAAAAGCATTATCAGCTGGAGCTACCAACAAACTGAGATAATGCAATGCCAATATCGGTCGATGCAATAGCAAATAAGCGGAAGCCATATTAATCCAGACTGAATATAATGTGTTCCAATCACGCAGCTGTCTAGAAGCCGTTGCCTGATCATACAACATGCCTAGTCCTCGATCAAACAACGGCTCAGTGCAATATCGCAGCGTAGTTGATGTGTTTTCACGGCACTGATCCTCAAGAAATTCGCGGAAAGGTGGCTGCCAATATTGTGATAGCCCATCCATGGCAAGTTTTTGGGCTGATTTAGAGTCCAATTCAGACAAAACACCGTCTTGCTGAAGCGATGACACTGAATCGCTATGGATTGTGCTTAGCCAATCCATGCTATTAATACTTTGCGCAACATCAATGTATAGAGACGCGAGATTAGCCAACTGCCGTGTTTCGTCAATACTCCGAGGAAGAACGGTCGGTTGCGATGTATCTGGTTGAAGAATAAGAGCAGGCAAAGGTGACGGACTTGGACTTGAATCAGACGAAAGCATACTGTGTCCTTGCCGTGAAGGCGGTCTACCAGCAGCTGCAAGTACTGGCTGAGCCCACACTGATGAAAAAATAGCCAACCCTCTTTCATGCCATTCTACTGCTTTCCCGAGTTCTCCAGCAGCATGCCATGCACAACCAATATTGGCGGCGATGGCTGCCTGAATACCGGTAATTTCCACAAGTCCAACTTGGGGTTGAGACTTGGATGTAGATCGAGTAGCTGTCAAGTAGCTCATATTAGCCAACGATGGGATATGCGATGCCACGGTTGCCAATAATGTATTTGCAGCCATATGACTTTGTAAACTAGATGCAGTCAGTCCCAATACTCCAAAGCACGTGCCCAGATGGGTTAATGAGCGAGCCTGAGCAAGCAAGGTCTGCCGATGAAGGTAGGAAAGTCGATACTGTTTGGAAAGGGTCGCAGGCGCAGCTGAAAACACACCATTCGGAATAGGCGATGGTTGTGAAGCAACCGAACTGCTATCCGCAAAAGTAGGATTTTGGATCGTGTTGACCAGCTCCTCGGGAAGTGGATACTCTTCAAGAATGATTCCAACAAGACGCTTGCAAGTCTCGTGTTGCTGGACTGCAAGTTGATATTCACCATTTGAAAAATACACATTTCCAAGGTTTGTTGTAAGTTGCAAAAGCCAGATAAGTATTGGAGGACCTAGTGCCGGTTCGTGCTGGGTTGCTGAAACAGTAGACTGGAATCGACTATTTGCAACACTGTTTCCAGCTATACTTGCACCACTGGTGGAAATCCCGCTTGTGGATGCTTCTGAACTAACAGAACGAATGGAAGCGGGACGTTTTTCAAATACCCGTTCAGACGCTGTTACAAAAGCTTCTTCAACTTGATCCCCCTCAAGATCCAAAGCACGAATGGCAATTTGCAGCCAATTGGAGGGATACTTTGTAGCTGCCATCCGAATATAATCTACAGTAGAATCCCAGCTAGCCTCCAAATAGTTTTTAGCTGTAACAACATGTCCAGCATTTCGAAGAGTGCATCCAATGTTGGACTGTGCTTTTGCCTTTCGAAACAGATCTCGTGCTTGATCGGCAATCACAAGTGCTTCGCTCCATTTCCTGACAGCATCTCGTATATCAAACTTTGGTGCAGATAATGCAGCTAGTCCTGCATTTATTAAATCGTCGATACTGGCCTTTTGTTTTGAAGCATTACGAGAAGGGATTTGCAAGTCTTCGGCTCGATCTTTATGCCGTGAATCGCCACGTGAAGGAATTCTAACACGGTTTCCTTTGGACAATGGGTTTGGAAAGCTAAAATCAGGTAAGCTTGTATTTCATGATAGAATACACAAGGAATTTAAATCAAACCATCACATTGAAGTTTAGAACATTACACACCCAAGGGGTTTGAGTACATTGTAAAAATAAAGGCCTACCTGCTCTTGAGTTGGCTGCCATCCATTGAGTTTATCAGACCAAATCCAGCACTATAGCTACTATTGAATGCAACAGTAGATTCTGAATGCTGATGTCCATTGTCAGTAAGATTTCGTCTTAGATTCTGGTTGAGACGAGAAATGCCAATATTTGGACTACTTACTCTTGTAGTTGCTGTAGTAGCAGACTTGAGGTTGCTAGTAAGGGTTGAATTATGGTTTGAAGACGGGGAAGCTGAATGGTCGTGGCCAGACGATGCCGATGCAACACGTGTAGGGATGGTTGCATGGCGCGAGACAGCAGGATAAACATTACCCCATCGGTCAGTAGAACCATGGGATGAAGCCAAGAGATTTGGATCGGAAGAGCCAGATAGCATCAAATTTGGATACAGAGATGCATGTGTTTGAGCCGATGAAGATTGTTTCAAGTGTGGCGAGTCAGACTCTTGAATGCTGATCATGGACGGATGCTGTCGCAAAGCACCAGGAGAATTGACAGATGAATAGGGTTCGATATAAAAGGAAGACGGTTGAGCCAATGACAGGTTGGGTTGATGATAAGACGGAAGCGGTGACTGCTGATATGGATGGTCGCTTTGTTGCTGAGCTTGACTATAGTCTTGAAAATACGCTAGCTGAGGCTGTCCAGAGGAGAACTCTGGAGGTAAAAGCGAATTAGGAGATGCTGGAGATGATGCTGTAGAAGAGTATAGTTGACCAAGGATGCTAGTTCTCATCTGCAGTATTTGCTGCTGTTCACCATGACGTAGTGGTTCATTGTATGAATTCAAAAGGGCCGAATCATGAGTCGAATGATTCAATGGTGGTGCCTGTACCCAAACATGAGGTTGTTCCTTTGGTTTATTAGGAGGAGGAACAGCTCTACGAGGAGGTATATGAGCACCTTCCATGAAGAAATTCTAACAAGTTGATCAAGTCAATCCAATTTATTATGGTGGTTACCCACCCTCAGGCCATCAGCCCTTCTGTTTCCATCACTAACTAGTGATCGTTCATTCAATACAGCGCTGTTTATTCCATATCAAATCACTCATGCAATTCGTATTCAAGAGTCGAAAGAACAAGATCTGCATGGGTCTGCAGCTGGCCAATCTCAGTCGCGGCGCGATGGGCTCGACAAGCGATCTGCTGGAAGCTTTCTTGATGCACGCTGGTTCCATGGCGACCATAAAGAAATGCACCGTACGTTGCTGAAAGAATCAGTCCACTGATTCCAATCTTGGTTACTGACCCTGCATGCTGGCCACCAAACAAGACACTGGACACTACAAGAAACGAAGAAATGCTTACTCCCAAATATACTGGACCTACTTGTCTGTCCTTGTCTTTTGTGTCCAGTCTATTCATACTCTCAACAAGATCTGTGAGCTGAGCCACATCTCGAACTACTACACGAGGTATACTTAATTTCAGCATCTGTCGCTCTCGAATCCATAGTTTGACTTGATCCAATCGCTGCTCACACTCGAGCAAACATGCATAGAATTGCTGGAGAAACTCGTATCTGCTCATGTGCTCTGATGTTTTATATGCAGAGAAGAGTGTAAGTAAAGAAAAGGATACTCCTGCAATGACTGCCATGGGTAATTCTCCAAACCCAGACTTGTCAGCCTGTTTAGTTTCTTTTACTTTCTTCTGTTCAACTTTTGACTCCTGATTACAATCGCTCTCTGAATCATCAGTAGACTGTGTCGAGTCATTTTTCCTAAACTTGGTTGATTGACGTGTTTTTAATGGCTTGTTTGCTTGCTGTTTGTTGTTTTGAACAACAGTCGGATCAGAAGGAATAATCACTGTGGGAGGTTGTGGATTAGAAATCACTACCGTATTGGGTTGCAATGGACATACTGTTGGAGAAACTGCTCGTTGTTTGCTTTTTTTACTAGATCGTCGAGTTGCTGATGTCTGTGAATTTTGAACCCATACCTCTGCAAGATTAGAAGCAAGCTGAACCATTGAGTGAAACAAAGTTGGGGTTCTAGCTGGTACAGTATAACTACTCAATGACACAGTTTCTGAATAAACTGAAGTGGTACTGATGGGCTGAACATGGTTTTGCGAAGCAAAACAAGACGTTTCCGAGACAAACTGATTCTGTTGAACTTTTACAGGTGCATGATGAGTTGTAATATCAGGATTACCGAGTGTAGTATTCAGTTGATTGCCGTGGTTCTTTAGATGCTGAGTACTCTGATGAGAAGTAGATGAGGTTTTGGTAGAAGAAAAGTTGGGAATGTATTGGCCATATACACCAGGAGCAAAGTTGAGAAGATTCTGAAAGCAATCGAGAAACTGGCCATTATCTTTGTAGTATAAGTCTGTTGGAAAGTCAATATCAGATAAAAGCATAACGAATCGTTTACGATTAAAAACTATTGAGCCTGTAATTCAAACAAATGTATTTAAAAAGTTGGTAAACAATTTTTCACTTGAGGATTTGGATAGCGAGTAGATGATGTGGTTTTGAGTACTAGCAGATCTATGCAGCAATCTGGGAATCTATTTGAGATCTTGTTTGATTCTACGATTCCAACTTGCAGTCAATTATATGCTTTGACTGCTGTAGTGGCACTGCTTGCCATTGACTTTTGTTAAGCCAAGAGTTGAGCGATTTATGCGATTGATCCAGCATTCTTGCTGCAGCATTTGGTGAATTCAATTCAAACTGGCAGTTGAATTGCATGGCCAGTAATCCAGACCATGTCAAGGCCTATTCTCATCTGCTACCAACATACTCTTGTCTGCTACCAACAGTCCATTCACTTCCAGTCATTGATATCGTCAAAGAGGCACCTGCTTTGCTTTTGAAAACTGTCGTCTTTTTGCTATAAAAAGACCTGATTTTAGACACTTCCAATCTCATCTCCTGTTCACTTGATACTATTCTCTTATTGGCATATTCTCTTATTCTAAACAAGCTTTCAAATGAGTATACGACCTTTTTCTTCTGTAAAGATGCTTGCCTCTCGGTCTTTTCAAAGTCCAATATCTTCTTTCAATCGGCCATATATGCCAAGTCGCTATCTGTTAAGCAAGGCTCAGACTCGTATTTTCCATAGCGATACCCCAAAGTGGAGCTTATCCCAATCTCCTTATCATATACTAAAGTCAACCCAGTCTTCTTCGAAACAGGATCTCAAGGACAGATTTATAGAGGTATGTCTCATTTCATAATCAAATCCCACGTTTTCATGTATATTATTTGATCTAATCTAGCTTCTATTCTTATGTAGCTTACAAAACAATATCATCCCGACAAAACTTTGAATATGCCAGAAGAGGAGCGCCAGAGGCGCCATACTCATTATCTACATATTCAGGCTGCATATAAGCTTCTACGTGATCCAAAAACAAGGCAAATGTATGATTTGGGTCAGATAACATACAATCCTAACAAATCTAATAGTTATACCACTTTTGGAGGTGAGTATTTGGCATGATATATGAAAAGTTATTGTTGGAATCTGATAGTGGCATGATTCCAATTAAAACGCCTATTGTAAAAGATACTATCCCTTGCATTAATAATAACCACCCATAAATATACTTTTACAGGAAATATAATCACTCCTTCTGTCAAAGATTTTATCTATCCTTGGGTTCTTGGTGTTGCTTTTTTGGGTATTATGTCACTCATATGGATTGACAATAATAACAGTGCGCGAATCCGAGAAGAAGAGATTGCATGGCAGTACTTTCGCCAGCAGCGCCGAAAAGAAGGTCTTGGTGACATTGTTGGAATGACGCACTATAGGCGAGTTTGAAACCCATTCAATCCAATAAAAAACAGTCTTGAGCCATTCAAAACGGTATATGAGTATATTTTCCTCCTGTTTCTTTAAAAACTCACAGCATTTACTCCTAAGATGCATATAATATTGCATACGGCCTTTTCAACTCTTTAATAGACACATTGTTTGTCCTACAAAATTAAACTAGTTTCGAGCCTCTCTTTCTCCACTTTTGACATAGCCATACACTGTAAGATCTCCAAGTTTGAAACCATATTCATCCATCGCAACTTACATGTTTGGTTTGACTGTTTTCAATAAAACTCTTGTATCCCAAAACCACAAATACATTGCGTTCTAGTCTGAAAACAACGATTGCACGCTTCAATACAACAGTTGTTTCCATACCAATACCAAAAAAGAGATCAGTCAACTAGTGAATTTAGAACACAATCTTGACCAGCAAACTGACACTCATTATTTCATCAGACTTTCCGTCTATCATCTATTTTGGCAACTATATTTAGTGTTTCATTCCATGCGGATACGTTTGAAGACAAAAGGGATGAAAATGCTTGTTTATACTCCAATCCAATTTCATTGTATTTTGAAACTATCCTGATAGCATCATTCAGACTGTTTCTGTAGCATTTGAACAAGAGTGTTGCGTTTATAAACTTGTATGATTGTTTTAGGTTGGCGTAGACCTATATAGATGAAACGCTGAAGATCGCGTTAGAACAAGACCAAATGAGTGGCATTGTCATATATTGAATTGGGAGGAGCCGCAGGTTGTTTAAAAAACTGGCCGTGTCAACAAGTTAGATTGTTGCCGTGGTACAGGAAACACGATCGATAGATGCTCATACCATTCAAATCAGCAATTCATCGATATTTGTAAAACAATATCCAGTCGCTAGCTGCGATTGACCATCAGATACACTTGACTTTATCGTTACAGATGCATTTGATCAATATCAGTTTTAAATAAGTATTCATTTGCTCAAAATCCTTCAGTACTCAAAACTCCAGCACCACCACCAAAGCCATAGCCTTTGGGTCCAAATTGTCGACCATGACACGGTTTGCAGAATATAGCGACGTCCTTGCTGGAAACTGAGCCGGTATCAAGCTGCTTGTTGCAGGAAGAGCACTTGAAACATGTCTTGTGGTATTTAAGGTTTCCTGGACCAATCACCTATGCCGATTTGACATGTATGTGAGCACATTGATGTTGAGCATAAATCTGCCTTGTCCCGCGTTGTTACAAATCTCTCGATTCATCCCAGATTCAACGATTTGAGTGAAAGGAGTGAATACACATTCATAGACATACCTGCTCAGCAAAATAGACTGCCTTGGTGCATCTTGTGCATTTTTCAGCACCACCATACTTGGATGCTGCTGCACTAGCTGGTCGAGGAGCATGATTAACAGCACTGCTTCCTGTCGTGGCACCTTCATAAGCCGACCGAAGACTGGATGTGTTGGCCGAGTAGACTTTTTCATCGCCTGCTGTAGCAGATGATGCAACATAGGCCGTTTGAGATGAGTCTGTGTTTGGAATGTCCGTCGAGGCAGACATATTTGCTTCAGATTTGCCAGTAATGCGTGACTGAGAAGTGGCAGTTACCATTGAAGGTTTGGTATCCATGCTTAAAACACCTGCACCACCTCCAAACCCATACCCTTGATGATTCGTTATATTCCAAAGAGCATTTCATCCAGCAGTCAATGAGTCAACGTTTTGAAAACAGTGGTATATATCGTACTTGCCAGCCGAGTACTTTCAAGATAAGCCAACTATACCTTTTGGACCAAACATGCGGCCATGGCAAGTCTTGCAATAAACCTGCTTGTTATTTTCAGAGATATTGGTCGAGTCAAGACGCTTGTTGCATTCCGTACAGGTAAGACAGTTTTTGTGCCATGTTCCTCCAGGAGCAACCATCTGCTCTTGAAAGTATACTGCCTTGTTGCATCGAACACACATTACTGCAGCTCCACCATATTTGGACATTTTTATAGTTTAACAGCGTGATGGCAGGATTACAAAGTGCATGCTATTTAAATATCCTATTCAATGAGATTCCGGCAATAGATCTGGGCATGGTTTTCATCTGAAACAATACTTTTACTTGACGACTATAGTCTATCCTATTCACTGAATCCAGCAAAATTGATATTTTCAAACAAGCTAGACTTGTTGTCAATTACCTCGACAATATCTATAACTACTGGAATATTTTTGATCTGACATGCCTCCAATAAAACACTGCTACAGTAGTATACATATTATAAAGTTTCAAATAAAAAAATGCCATTACTGAATTGATATATGCCATTGCGCATTGTTTTTATTAATCAGCCTTTATCATTTTTCAAGCTACTCAATTGAAACATGGCCTAAACCAAAAGCATGATCAATTCATTTGTCCAATGCTCAACTGAATTAGTAAATGCCAATCCATTTTTGGTTCCTCCTGATTTGTTCAGATATATTCCTGTCGCGTGTCAAGCTAACATTGATTCCATAACATGGCTTGAAATATTCCGACCATGTCGACTTTTTCAAACTCTAAATATTACTTTGAGTTCAAAATAGCTTTACTATACTTGTCTTTAGTACAATAGATACAGAGGAAACCATGCTTCGTGATGCGTATGGCATTAAGCGCGACCAAGTTGACGAAATTATACTTCCGTCTAATGGAGCCAGCAGAAATGGCCAAGACAATCTTCGTCATAGAACAACCAGTACTCTCTACAAGCTTGCCACATTTGGATTAGGAGAAGCTTCAGGCATAGCAAAACTGCAGAATGACATTGAACTAGAAAATGGTAATACGTTTTCTAATCTAGCGGGCGAGGAGTCTGTTTCCAACGATAATGTCAAGCAGAAACGCATAAAAGTGGATGGCCATTTTAAAGTTATTATTGGAGCAGCAGTTATTCTTACAATATGTACCAGCATTCTTTGGTATTCATTGGTTTGGCCCTGGCATCTTGGTACTTCTAATCAAGTATCTGCCGATTCCACCATCGCGTCAGCGTTATCCCATGAAGCGCCATCATCCAACAATATTGCTATTGACAGTGATAGCGATATCAGCAATGACGCAAACATAGACCATGATGGAGTGTTTAGTGAACGTTTTGATTTAAACTCTAGATTCGGTCTTTCCTCCGTTTACGAGTCTCCTAATATTGCAGAAGGTGACAAGGTTTTGGATGCTGGTCGTGTTCTTTTCCCCCCACCTCCAAGTGATCATGCCAATCCAAAACTCGACAAGATTGCAGTGGTGATTCTAACCACCCAAGATACGGCTCACATATCTATTCCTACACAGGCACAAACGTTTTTGAAGCAACTCAAAAACTTCCTTGTAGTGAGTGATCGATCAGGCCAGTATGGCGGATCCGAGACGGCTGGAAGTGTAGTCAATCGCAGCTCTACAAACAAGGTATTTTCGCAAAGTGAGCAGGGCCTGCTTGCACTTCAAGATTTATATAGTGCTTTTCCAGATTCAGAGTGGTTTATCGTGAGTCGTGACAGTAAGTAAATCACATGTGCTTGGCCATGATCTAGTATGATTCAACAGCCAAGTGGTTTCAAATAGTATAATTCAAATCTTACTATCTTACTGACAGTATTAATATCTATTTATAAATAGACAATTACATGTTTTTGGACAACATCAAAGCATTTCTCGATGATGCCAAATACGATTACAAAATGCCCATTTATTTTGGCAGTCAGACCATCTTTAAAGAATGCAAAACACTTACACAACCTCTTGCCAAACCAGAAGTCAGGATTGGTGATCTGTCTTCTGGTATTATTTTGTCTCGATCCTCTGTTCAAAAAATTGTTGAAGAAAAAACTGCCAAAATATGTATCCAAAAGTACACTTTGTGCCATTCCAGTGATGTGGTACTTGGTCTTTGCCTTGCCGATCAGAGCATTAGAATGACACCAGAGCCGCGACTAAACTCTCGCTCGCTATCGAGTCTGACTTGGCCTATGGATGCATGCCAAGAGCCTTTTTCCTTTCCTAAAACTTCTCCACGTTTAATGCTGCGTATTCATTCTGGCCAATATGCCACGGGCGTCACTTCTAGTGGTGAAACGACCAAATGGAATCACCATATCAATTATGCTAATATCTTTTCACATGTGTACCATGATATTGGTATGTTTTTTTCAAACCCGGGCTATGAAATTCCTGGTGGCGATTTTATGAATGCACAAGCGGAAAGTGGTCAGAATTGCCAAACTCTCTGCAAAACTGAAATCAAATGTCTGGCATGGACCTATGATATCAAACTAAAAACGTGCTGGCTCAAGAACACTCTTTCACCCAAGAGGGATCGTCAAAATGCCGTGTCTGGGGTTTTACCTTCTAGATACACTTGCAATAAGGACCAATTCAAGCCTAAAAAGGACAGAAAAAGACATTCTACCTTTAAACACGCTGCTATATCTGGACCGCTTCCCAAACCAGGAACTGCAGCGCCTCTCAAACCAGGAACTGCAGCGCTTCCTGTAAATCAACCTAAACGATTGATTGGAAGAAAGAGAAAGTTTTCTGGAAAAAACTGATTTTTTCTATATTTCCTGCTGTTTTGAATTCAAAACCTTGACCAAATATGCTTTCATCTTTAATAAACAATATTTTGGTTTTATTGGTTGTTGTATTGATTAACAAGTACATGCTTTGGTCTTACATGACTTTCTGCTGTTTAGATGTACAATGCACGTTCATCCTCAACCGTACATGCCAATAGTCGAGAATGGATGATTTCAACTCGAAATCATTTTTAAAACTTTCATCGAAAATTTCGCAAGTCATGTCAGAGCAAATTGTTATTAAAACTGCAGGATTCGATGCTCGTTTCCCCAACACCAACCAGGTAGATGGTGCTATTGAATGGGGGTGTGGTGTATAGATGACAGAGTGTTTTGGAATTAGAAGGCTATTTGAAAAAAGACTAGTCTTTTGTACTCTGGAAAGGCCAGCAATGTTCATGTCAAGCCAATAGAAATCAGTGGTGGTGTAAATGACACTAATATTGGAGGATGTTGCTGCTTCCTTGAGTATTATTGGCTGTCATGTTCTTATTGATGCTATTGTAATGTGGGTCTAAAGTTGAAATACTAACATCTTATCTGCATTACTGTTGCTTGGGTTACTCAATGTGAATGCTGGTTGTTCTTATGGGCGACTTGTTGACTCGATTTTGTTGACTTGCATCTCGGGCTGCACCATAAATATGGCTTTGCGTATCCGTAATACAGACCAGAAACTGCTGGCAAAACTATGTTGACTTTCACAAGTGTGTGCAAGCCAAGGGTGAGGATTTCCAACCTTGCCAAGAGTTCAAGGCCATCTACCGTTCTCTGTGCCCTACCAACTGGGTACGTTTGATATCATTGAGCTATTTTCATGACAAATATCTCTGCAGTTCTTTCTACACCTGTTTGTTTCCGATACTGCTTGTATATTTCTGTGGTTGAATATCTGCTACACATGGATTGCTAACTCGATTGTGCTACGTGATGCTTGACAATAGACCGATCAGTGGGATGAGCAGCGCGAGGAGAATGTCTTTCCCCCACTCAACACCAGATCCAGTCCCAACCACCATTAGTTTGATGGTGCTTTCATAGGATCAGCATGGACAAGTTTTCAACAATAACTGGTAGCCTTTCAATAAACCAAGATGGTGTGCTGATTATACTCTATTACCGTTCCTACTATCTTAATAGTTGGTTCAAGATTTATTATCAGTGTCTGTATTTTGCTAATATACAGTATATCAGCAGTTAGTACTCGCTCTTGACTAGTTATGCTTGGGTTTAATAAGCTTGTCTCAAGACTTGAATTGAACTGGTAGAAAGTTTCGTTTATTTGGTACACAATCACATTGAGTTTCTTAAACTAGACAGCTCTTGCGGCCTGTTGTGTAAGAAGAACCCCGAATCGTTTTTTCAAAGTCACTCGGTGACGAGAGTATTTATCGTCTGGCGAGAATCTTGCTGTATAATACGCAATCAATATAAACATACATGAATACATTTTCATCAGTACGATTCCATGAAATTTCAAGCAAACCATGGACAACAGATATCCAAATTGGCAGTCTGGGTCTAAGCCTTACCTGGATGTGCAGATTTTGTAACACCTCCTTCAGGAGCCATTTTCTAGTTGTGCAAAATACTGAGGGTGAGTATTACTAATAAATCAAAAGCTGAAATCCAATACAGTATTATGCATACTTTGAGAGTGTATACTCGCTTTCCTCCAGGAGCAGTGTAGTACATCAAATGCATAGTGTCAATATAGTAAAAGTACGGTACTAAAAAATAATGGGTTTCCAAGATTGAACAAAAAAACTTGAATCAATAAAGCGAAATTATCAAATGTTGTCACGTGCCAGTATGCCAAGTTTGTATTGGTAAATCCATTGACTATATTAGGTTTGATAGATGTGCAGCACTACAGCTTAGTTTATTATGGATAATCTACCAATAGGCAAGTTAGTAGTAAAGCTGAGGGTCTGAGCCATTATTTACCGAGCCCTTTACAGTAATATAGCTTTTCAAGTTTGTACAAGAAAGGGTGGCTGTCTTGTTCGCTTGCCAAGGCAAAACATCGATGATGGTTTTTAAACCACTCACGTATAAATTAAGAGCTATACTGGCCAGTCTGAATAGTAAAACCGAATTGTACAACTTTTGGTTTGAGATCAAGGACATCAAAAACGCGACTTTTCTGTTTATCTCGAGGCTTTGAAAACGAAGGGTTTACCTTTAAGCAAACTACAGATATTACGAGTCAGATTAGAGCATAAAAGGGTTGGCAATAGGGTAGCAAGTTTTTGTTTCAATCAGGTTTGACCGCTCAGAATAACAGCAGATACCTACCACTTCAACCGAATTCACTGACGTTGGGCATTCATCGCATATACGAATTCACTTGGCCAAGGCATTTGTGCACTGATGGAAGGACCTGCTTCCAGTAATCCCACTTCATCTACGGATGACTCTCACTCATCGCTAGACTATGTTCAGCCTATTGCACCATCTCACCCATCGCCGTCAACGGCTGCACCAATCATGCTATTTGCTCCGTATCATCCATCTCAAAAGATTGCCCATGCTACCACTATAGACCATAATATTTCTCCAAGTAAGGCTTCGTTTACTAATGCAATTGCCCATTCCAAGGATCAACTACAGCATGATGGCCGTTCCGTGCCAAATCGTATTTTTCACAATGGCAGTCCCAGAGCTAGTTTACTTACGGAAGAAGTAATTGACAATGCAGTACCCCATACACCCCATTCCACCTTTCTATTCAAAGTAAGTCCAAACTCTAGTCCTCGTTTAGAAACGCATCAAGCTGCTCGACCAGCTTCATCGATGACTTCTGTGCGAAATGCCCCCGTGTCGTTGCCTAATCAAGTTCATCGTAAGGGGTTGCGTCCCTATATGTCTGCGCAGCGATGGCCAATTCCAACAGAATCATCTCCATTATCAACGGGCATATCGACAGATCGTTTGGGTGATAGTCCAACATTGAAGCCAGCGTATATGGCAGACGCAAAGGGGAAGCTTCCACCTGATATTATGATGATAGTGCAGGATGCCAATCCAATCGCCAGTTCGCAGAGTCTGCCACTTAGCAGTTCCCGTCAACCTACTTCAAATGCTGGCAGTTTGCTTAAACTGTTTTCTCCACCATCGTGTCCTTCCGACTCCGATGGTGAATCTGTATCTTCATCTTCATCTTCGGCGACAGGCACTCGTCGGAAAAGATCGAGGTTCCGCAAGGGCATATCGCTTACTTCGCCTAGCAATGAATCCATAGCTTTTCAGCGACCTGCTTCTACATCCAGTCTTTCTCTGGCCAATATTGCAGCATCCATCCAAAACTACCAGCACAAGCGTCAGGCAAAAGAGCATGCAACATATATGGAGGTGTATGGAGATCGCGAGGAATACACACTGAAATGCAATTTCATGCTTGAGCTTGCACGGTGCATGGTGGAATATGGCGTGCCAATTCACAGATTCGAGTATCATCTCGAGGCTGTAGGAATGTGCCTTGGAATTCAAAGCTCGTTTGTTGCGCTGGCTGGTATGTCTGGCTTACGACTATTGGAAAGCTGAAAATTTAAAAAACTACTCGAGACTAACCTATTTTTATTGAATGGTTGTATCAATAGGACTCATTCTTATCAGCTTTAACCACAAGAACCGTGCATCAGATACATTTTTCATCAAATGCTCACAGGGCTATCAGATGGGAAAATTATCTCTTACTAATGCACTTTGCTTTGAGCTCGTTCACGGAGGTATGGATATTCAGCAGGCACAATCTCGCTTAAAGGAAATCCGAAGTGCACCTGATACTCCTGGCTGGAAATCTATGGTCACTTATCCCGTCATTGCCTTTTGCTTGGGTGTGATTGGCTTCAATTGCTCCTGGATAGAGTCAATGCTTGCTGTCATCACATCGATCCCAGTTGCTTGCCTAACCTATATGGGTGGAAAATACCCCAGCATCACTTATTTGTCCGAGTTCTTGTCTACATTTTTTTGCGTTCTTCTTGGAAACTCGCTTGTATATGTCACACAGAGAGTTGATCCGTGTTTATCGACACAACGGATTGTTTTCAGCAGTATTGCCATCATTCTTCCTGGATTGCAGTTAACGACGGCTATTATTGAGCTTAGTACACGTAACTTGATTTCGGGTACTGTGCGTCTCTTTTTCGCTCTCTTTTTAGCTCTGTTGCTTGGGTAGGTGATATTTATGCTATATATCCATAGTGTTGTTGAGCCATGTAACAGTCGACTAATCATTGCAATTCCTGAAATAGGTTTGGGTATATAATTGGCATTAATTTGACAAGTTCGCTTGATATTGCTCCGCCAGCAGCAGATTGCCCCACATCACCAATCAACATATTATGGGCGATTCCTACTTTCCCCCCACTAGCACTTTCCATCTGCTATGAGTTTCAGGCACGTCGAAGCCAGTATGCGATCATGATTGTCACATCTGCAATTGGATATGTCACAACCTTTCTGATCAGGATTCCTATATTCAAAAATAATTTTGAAGTTGTAACTATTCTCTCCGCATTGGCAATTGGCTTGACTGCCAACATATATGCCCGCATTACTCGCGATGTAGCAGTTGCGCCAATTCTTGCAAGCATTCTACTGCTTGTGCCTGGATCTGTTGGATTAAGAAGCACACTTGGGTTCATGTCTCAAGACACATTGAGCGGGACTGCCATTGCTTTTCAAATGCTAATGATTGGAATGTGCATAACTATTGGGTTGTTTATTGCTACCTTGATTGTTTGGCCCATTCGTGGTCCCCGTATGAAGTACATTACCGTATAACAAGCTTAATAGAGGTATTCATTTCCACTCCCCCAAAATCCCCGCATTCACAATAGTCGATCACATGGTTATGGCCATTGTGTTCAAGTCTCGGTTAAAGTGTATATGCCAAGATACAAGGTTCTATGCCATCTTGTTTTAATATTAAAAATAAACATGCATTAGATAAATCAAGTGCCAAATTATAGCTTGAATGCAGTTAAAATAAGGAATGATGATAAAAAGTTGCGGCAGCACCCAAAGTCAATTATGAATCAGTATATGCTGTCATCGTCACCCCAGTCGATCTCTAGAATGTCCTGTATGTCCGCTGCCTCCGTGGCTGTAATACCATGATGATTAAATGTATCTGAAATTGTATTCTTTTTCACCAACTGTTGTAAAGGCTGATTTGGAGGCTGGGGTATATGAGTATTCGGATGCATATTGGATTGTGGATGATATGCGTGAATATCTTGATTCGAAGATGCTAGGCTTGAATGCCGAAAAGTGTCGGATTGGTTTGGTTTGTACGACTTGGGATCAGAACGATTCAAAGGTTTACAGGGTTTAACGGGGAAAATGTCCTCAAAGTCGTCATTGTCATCAAGCATAAAGTTTTTTTGACAAGGTAGATCCAACTCAAATGTACGTGGTGTCAGTTTGCTAGGAACGGCTAGTTCAAAGGGTTTTTTACAAGATGCATGTCGTGTGTATAGTGGTTCTGATAAACCCAACGTAGGGGCTTGGCGTACGTTATGATGTAAATCAAAAGTCGACTCCTTTTTTCTATCCTCATTATTGGTTTCATATGTTTCTTCGTCATCATCAAATTCATCCTCTACGATATTCTCAGAGTCGCTACCATCAGTTGATTTCGTGTTTGAACTTTCTTGTCTCATCCTGGCAAGCCGAAATCGGGCACCGGTGCTTCGGCGTCCTAGTCCACCAAGACACGGACTGAGTAGCGAAGAACGATAAAATGCATGCATGTCTACTACAGATGCTGTAGACCCAGAAGACATTTCTTTTTGAGATTGAAAATGAAAAGATAACTCGTCATCATTCACTACAAAACTGTTTTCTGCTTCACTGTCGGCACCAGATTCGTAGTTTTCATCTGAGCTGGCCACATCACTTTCAGACGACAGCTGGGCCTCAATATCTAAAAATGGATTACACTCGGCTCGTACTTTTTCTTTTTTTCTTTTTTTGAATCTTGATGGTATAGAATTCTTTGTTGGCTGTTTGACTGCAATAATAGGTGAGCCGCGTTGTTTTGGAGCTCTGCGTTGCGGCGCTTGTTTATTTGCCTGACGCTCCAAAAGCATTTTAAGTCGACCAGTGGGGCGTTTTGAAAACTCATTATCACTCTCCTTCCCATCTTCAGCATCGTCGTCTTTGTAAAGATGCATATTGTCATTTCCTTGCCAATATGTACCTTCAGTGGTCCTCTTTCCTTTAAAAGATGAGATCTGAGTGCCTCCTGATGTTTGATCATCTTCATCTTCGGAAATAAGCGCTCTTGCTTTGAATCGTCTAATTTGCTTTGGTGCCGAATCTGGAGTAGATGAAATTAGTGCCTCAAAACCAGGTGTTTCAGATCTATTTTCTTCTTCTAGGCAATGATATTGGTCACCAATCTGTGGTGATAATAATGGGATAAGATTACTCTGTCGCGATATTGGTCGTGGAGTTTTGAATACAGGTGCAGCATCGCCAGGTACAGGTTTCTGATCAATGTAAGCCAATGAATTAGACCCATTATCATATAAGTGACGCTGCTGCAATGTAGGGGATTTGACGTGACTGGGTTCAACCAATGTAGTCTTAATTTCATCGGCCACAGATGATATCGGAGTTATTGACGTAGCAGCTTTTGAAAAAGTAGCTGTGGTAGAATTAGGTTTCAAACCTACATATTTTTGATGCAATTTGATTGAGTCGGATTTGATAGGGCTTTTAGAATTGTCATGGTGTTGATTATCGGCAAGCGGATCATTGCACGTGTTGGTTATATTGGCTTGGTCATACTGTGAAAACGAAATATTGGCTAGCTCAGTGTCTGAAATATCTTCAAAACTAATCAGATCATCTAAGTCGTCAAATAGAGCTTCATAATCGATGGCTTTACAAGAAGAATCAGCCTCAGTTTTAGAAAATGTAGTGCTTTTTAAATGAAGATCAGATGTAGTAGCGGGTTTTGAGTTAAATGAAGCATGCTTGGGTAATTCTTCCAAAAAAATTGTGTTAAATTCTAAACAAGGACCCAAATGTGCTTCTACAGGAAGATGAAACATTTCTGGACATAGCTGATGAAATTTTGATGGCGTTTGATGAAGGGGTTTAAAGTCTCTAGTCAAGTCGTCACTAGACAAGCCATTATATATTGCATCCACATCTGGTGTTGCATGTAATATCTGATTGTTTTGTAAAACTGTATGCTCTTGATGTTTTTGAAGAACAGCTTGATTAGAGTGTGTGTTTGACAAAGTTGAGTGATTTTTATCATCTGCCTGTGAATGCGACAAGGAAGTGGACAAAACACCATAATCATTTCGTGAATCAAATAGTGTTGAATCGTTAATGTCAAATGCACGTGGCTCGTCAACATAATTTAAACTTTTGATTGGTGGTAAATTTTCAGAAAGTTTGGGGTTTTGGTTTAAAGTGCTGGTTGGTCTTAGTTCATAAGCAGTAGTTGCATTTAGTGTGTTTTGGGATAGTGCTTGATGATCAATTTCAACCCGATTATTGGAACAATCGTTTAAATTTTTGTTGTGATGCAGATGAGATGAAGCATTAGTATCCGCTAAAATGCTATTTGAACAAATAGCTGGAGCAGGTGATTGCATAACACCTGGCTCATGTAGAGATGTGGATGGGTTGGCATTGTTGGTGTGTAATAGACGCTTTTTTACCATACCAGTACAAACCTGAAATACAGATTCGGCCTCTAAAAAAGGCTTATCATGGCTATTAATTCTTTCAAAGTCATCATCATCGCCTGACGAAAGTAAATCAATAATATAAGAGCGCTTTCTTTTGGTTTTTGTCAAAGTATTTTCAGACGTTTGTCGATCTAAATCAACAGTTGTATCAAGAGGCTTCGTAGTTGTAACAGGACAGCAATATTCGTCATCTAGTGTATGGACGGCATCAGTTTCGAGGTTTGCTAAAAAATTGGTCCAGCATAAATCGGATTTCATCTTCTCAATTACAGGTCTAGACTTTTTCAAGTCTTCTTCTATTCCTAGCTCCTCACAAAGCTGAATCATTTGAACAAAATTGACAGATCGAGATGTACGCGATAACCGAATCTCTGGAAGCAACTGAGTTTGCCAATATGCAAAACGCCCAATAGACAGATCAGTGTATTTTAAGCTGGCGCTTTTATATCGCTGTCGATCTGCAGTTATAAGAGACTCGAGTTCCAACGAAGATATGGATGGTTTTTTTGTGACCATTTTTGTCTTGGATAATGTGTTGGATTTAGAACGTTCATACTGGGCAATCTCAAGCTCACGCTTGTCGCAGACAGGTCTGGCATTAGATGGAATGATTCGAGATAAATTACCCGAATACATTTGAATTCGTTTTCCTTGTCCATCCATAATGGCACGCTGGATACTCTTGTATTGGGCCTGAGCTTTACGATGAATCTCCTCCTCTTTGCCCTTTGAAAGAATGACAACAATTCTACCTTGGCGTTTACGACCTGTTCGACCCATTCGTTGAAGCATACGAACTGGTGAAGTCTGTGCATCGTAGCAGACAATGAGATCAACATCACCAATATCTAGCCCTTCCTCGCCAATGGATGTAGATACCAAGACGTTGTAGTTTCCAGATTGGAATTTGGAAATTACCTACGCAAAAATAGGTTTGAGCACATTTCAACACAACTGCTCAAAGTTTGTACCAACTCTTACAAGATCATTCGTTTCCAAATTAATATATTACCTCCAATTGCTCCTTTTGTGTAAATCCTTTCCCCTTTTTGCCGCTTTTACTTGATGACTGACCAATAAACGACATGACTCGCAGGAATGGGTGGTGTTGATTGAGTTTTGTCACAATTTCATCGACATTGTCTCTGTATTGAGAAAAAATCATGACGCGAGACTTGGACAAGCTAGCATCACTCGAACCTTCGTCTCCGTTATCGGGCAGCTCTTTTGAAAAATGCTCTAAAACGACAGCAACAAGTCGATCTAATTTTGGGTGACTTGAAAAATCAGGACTTTTGGTAATTTCATTTACGTGGATCATGAGTGCTTTTAAATCCGAGTTTTCCACTAGTTCAGAACGACTACGTGAATTTTTTTCTGAAGGTGCTTCTGCTAAAAAACTACTAACTGTGTCATAAAAAGAACGGATGCCATAAGTTTGGAGCTGCTGTAAAGCCGCACACATTGCCATGCAAATTCCAGAATCATTCATAATGGATGAAATTTGTGCACGGTTTGCATCCTTGTGGTTATCGATCCATCGTTTGCGAGCATCAAGAAGAGCATATCGAGATACTGCCCGAGGATCCTTCTCGTAAAACACACCGTGATTGCATAATCGAACAAGAAAAATGGAAACCACCTTGGCAAAAGCATCAACGATCCGTGTAATCTGTGGTGTGAGACTAACAATAATCTCTTCAATTTGCCGACTAAAAATAAACGGCCGAATGTCAAACGAATCTTCTGTGCGAATTTCAATGTGCTGAATTAGAAGATTGTTTACAACATGCTGAACAGCTTTCATATCGCTGCCAGGTGTTGCACTGAGTGCCAAGACACGAAAAGGAGAACTAGCTTTTGAAAGTTCGCGAATGACTTCGCAATAGGCATAGTTTCCAGTTGCTCTATGTGCTTCATCAACTACCAGTAAGACAACCTTATCAGCTGAACACGCTGCAGATCGCAAGTCATTTTGCATTACTTGGGGTGTTAGGAAAAACACACGTTTTTGTTTCCAGATCCCAATGCGCGTCTCTGACTTGGTGGTTCCTGTCAACTCATACGTCATATCCTAGTTGTGTTTGCATGATTAGATGACAAGATCATCAGATTGACAATAGAAACACGATGCGTCGGTTTAAACACATACCAAGATATTTCAATGCATAATACAAATTAAACTATTTTATAGATTGGTACCTGATGAATGCCAGTGATCTTGAAGCATGCTTCAATCTGTTGAGCTACTAATGGCTTTGTAGGAGCCATAAAAATGATTTTCCCTTCTGGAAACCACCTATAATAATTGTACATGACGACAGCAGCTAAAAAAGTTTTTCCCAAACCAGTTGGAAGAGCAACCAATGTGTTTGCAAACAAGGCACGACTGATAATATTAAACTGGTAGTCTCGAAGCGGATAGTTTATCGGATATATCCATGTTTCCAACTCCTTTTCATCGATTACATGCGTGTTTAGGCTGGACACTGCACTGGGATCACCTTGCTGTATCTGATTAGCCATGTCACTCTTTTCATGTTGAGTATTGCACATAGTGGATGGAGTGTTGCCATTATTAAGCATTGGCCATTGACAAGTGCCAGGCTGACTGGGAGCGACTGGCTTGAGTTTAAATTTAATAGATGCAGCATTTGTGCTGGAATGGTTGTGAGGAACATTAGTTGAATTGCGGACAGGTTGCAAAGGAGCTGCTGGACCAGAGGATTTGGGTTGTGCAGACAATAGTCCAGACTGGCCAAAGACTAGTCGTTGCTGAACTGAGCCAAGTGGTCGAGCAGGAATAGGATTGGGTCGATTGCTAGCATTCAGGCTTTGAGCAGTCGAAGAATAAACATGTGAATTAGTAGCAGTCAATGTGTTCATGCCAGCAGACAGCTCGGCAGCATCAACAGCAGCCATCATAGCATTCAGATCGTCATCAAGTTCAAAGTCATCCCAAGCTTCTGACATGCTGCACCATTCAACCCAACAGAAAAGTCGTTTGTGAAGTTTTTACTTGAACTCTGCAACACTGCAGCTGTATTCACAAGTAGAAACTTCTGTTTTGGAATGTTTAAACATTCATTTTTATACTCAAATTGGCTTTGTATTCTACAATTCACAACAATTATTGTAAAATACAAACTATCGTTTTTGTCATATTCGTGTATCGTACAATCACCAGATTCATTCATTGCAATCCTGATATTGAATTCGACTGTTGTCAAACTCTACAAGTTCATCGATACATTCGCGTTCTAATCTGAAGATCACGTCAGGAATGAAACTTGTTTTCATAATCTCCAGCCAAGTTTAACGAGTTTAGAGGATATCATATTGCTTAACACATTTGATGGAAATCATCATTCCATAAGACTGGCTGTCATGTACTTTGCTATCCCATTTTATATGAATACAGCTGTATATACTAGCAGATTATTCTAATATCTTTATTACTAATGATGTCAATGCATACGAATGCGTTCCCCCAACTCTCGCATCTTGACGGAAGTTCTATATTCTAGAATTTGGTTCACAAGATGTCCCAAAATGGTAATCCCAAACTGATCATCCCCTTGCACAAGTGTCATATAAACCGAAGAAAGTATTTCTGGAGTTACATGAATGGCTTTGAATTTTAAACTTTTGGTGGTTCTACTCTGCTTAGTATTGGCAGTGTACCATTTTAAAACAGTCCCGTCCCTTTTTGATTGGTGTTCTTGAGGCTCCTGCTTGGACTGGTCTGCAGACTCTATGTCGGTGCTCAATTGAAATTCATTGGGATCATGATCAGAATTGACAGCACAGTCCAATACAAATAAAAATAATCGAGGTACTTGGTAGATTGCACTAACAGTCGACAGTTTAGTCCAAGATTGCACATCAAGAATAACATTATAGTTGCGAATGCATTGGGAAAATTGATCGCCTATCCAATCACTGTGCATTCCAATAGCTGCAATTGTATTGCAATCAGAAGTGCCCCAAGTAGTAACAAGTAGTGTCAACATACAATTGAGTTGGTGGCAATCGCTAGGTGTCAGATTTATCAAACGCCCAGATGAATACATGTTATCCATATAAGCCAACCAAACATGCCGAATGCAAATGAAACTGGAAGCACATTGGTAGCATCTCATCAATGCTGTCCACATGTAATCTTGAGTAGGCGTGATCCCATAGTATGTCACCATTATGGATATCACTCGCTCAATGTCGTGAATAGTAAAGTCCTGACAACGGGATAATGCAAGAGCAAGTGCAGCAAACAGCCTTTCGTCCGGTCGAGTATACATGTATGGTAAATGAGCAATAAACGAAACTAGCTCGGAACGACGATTGGCAATTCCAAATCCCTTGATGTAGATTGAAAACGCAATCGTTTGGACACGATGATCAAGTTTAAGAATCAAATCAATATATCGCCGTGCTTCGTCAAGCTGATCCAATCTTACATACCACTCAACCACCTCGGTTAAAATGTCATGCATACTATTAACATTGGATTTGCTTTGAACTCGAGATTCAAAACTCTTTGATAATCCGACAACATTTGGTTTTCTGCACATGAGTTCAGTCAGTGAACAGTCTACCGTCGCTTCATTAGCGTGCTCTTTTATAGCCTGATGCAAAGCTTGATCGATTTCGGGAGCCCTTTTTAAAAGACTCAACGCTTCATCCAAGTCGTTTAGTTGAATAAACATTCGAATCAAGGAGTGAAGAATAGGAAGGGTCAATGAGTAACCCTCTCTCAGCATTCGATCAATGTACCAATGTGTTGTCTGGGGATTGCACGCCTCGGCTTGCATTTGAATAATCATCGTAAACAAGGATTTACTCACTCTATAGCCCTGCCTATAGGTCTCATTAAACATTTTCTCGGTAGACTTGAAAGCTCTATGATCTATAGCATTGGTAAGAATTTGAACTAAAAGATCAACTGGGGGACGATGGCCAGCAGTGATCATTTCGTTTAGCCATAATTTTGGTAAAATTTGCCGACTCAAAGGCGGAGTAGAAAGAGTATCAACGATCTCGTAGAAAATAGAAGCATCCATACGATTAAAGTGGCTTCTCAGTAAACTGGTTGAAAGAATGGGAATATATACATGTGGATCAAGCCGCTCTACGTGATGGGCAGTAGCAACAAGCGTAGCCACCAGGCAAGAAGATTTAGTAAGCATATCTGGTGTGACGCATTTCAAGATTTGCATGAGACCGTCTAGATTCCGGGGCTGAGTATATATATGACATCGAATAGCTGCAGAGTAAATATGGGCAATTCCTGATACACCTCCAAGCCGATAATCTTTGCATAGCTGCAGCAGAATCGTGATACTCTTCATCTTTCCTGCTTTGGATAACTTATGAGCAAATTGGCTGATGGACTTTTCACCCAAACAGATGTTGAACTCTATTGCCCAAACCAAAATGCTGAATGCTACTTTGAAATCTTGTGTCAGTAAGGCATGGTAAATGAGTGCTTCGTACACGTCGCTTGATGCTTTTCCAAACTGACTAGATCGTATCAGCTCATCAATTATATTCTTGGCGTCAGAGTGCTGATTATTCTCGGTGAAGATGATGGAAAACAAAATCAGCGACTGCGGCGAAGTTGAAATCTTATTTCTATAAATAAAATCCAGCACTATTGAAGCATGACTTGCAGATTTAGATTCCTGCACAATTCGACACAGCATCGGCATCATACTTTGCTGGTTAGATGAGTTAGCGTACAGTGTCGCCCATCGTAAATATGATGAAATGGTATGATGACATCCGTGATTTAATACAGCCGAGCAGATCAGATCCAAAGTGTCAAGTGATATCATGTTTCCAACGGATCTATGTGACCATAGTATATCCATTGCCTGTATTAGTTGATTTCGATCTATATAATTTATAATCAAACGCTCGGTATTTGGATTGATTAAAAGTGTTTTTGGTATAGATTGTGGACTAGTCTGAACTAGAGATGATGAGGGTATAATAGAATTAGTGCGAGATTTCGCAAGGGATTTAAGACGATCAAAAGGTACTGTGTGATTGGCGCATGTTGATTTCTGTCGAATAAATGGCATATATGCATCTGAATATCGAAGAATACAAAAGCTAGTTGATTTATAATTATGTGTATAGCAGAACCCAGTAAAACTATAATTAAAAAGGCATATAGAACATCATATCTGTGTTAATAGACTAAAACTCTCAGGTTATCCAGCAAAGGTTGACGATAAAATAGGACCAATGTCTGGATTTAATAAATATCCAGCTTTGAATCGAGCCCACTTACTTTTGAAAGACAAGTTTTCGTCTGAAATGAGCAGTTTGTCTTGGAAGTGTGGATGTAGTGGGGCAATAAGGCATGTGAATGTTGGTCGAGAAGCACCTAGTGTGCAACCGATGCCCCAACAAAGGTGCGTTTACCGCTAATACTTTGTGAAAGATCTGCTGTTTATTCTTTGATATGCGCTTGTAGTGTTTATACGGCTGATGGGTTTATAAAAGAAATTTAGTCGAGTTGGTTGAACTTGTATTTCCTGTGGAATCAATGAGCATATGCTGAGTAGGAAAAGTCCAGCTAAATAAATCTTATTAAACAATACAAGATCAATGAGCGTATCAAAGGTAAAAATAGTCACAGTGCTCGCTCTGTGCATGAGCAATTAGACACCACTTGGTTCCAATCTAGTGAATTGGTTTTTGTCGAGATCTTGCCTACAAAAACCATTTCTGTACACGTGACAAACAAAATGTGAAAATTGCACAGTACAAACTCACATGACTTTTATCTGAATCATCACAATCTGATCCAAATAGATTTGATATCGAGAATATGTACATGTTTATTATCTACATAGTATTTACAGAGCAGTAAATCCAGTATCAGACTCAACTTCTAATTGAGTCGGCATGGATTCATCAATGTGATATACGGTGCTGGACGAAAGATGTTTCTTTACGCGCTTGATTGTGTTTCTGGCATTCGCCATAGATCCACCGTGTAGCAGCAATGAAGATACTGCTATGCTCCCTTCACCAGATTCTTCAAGTGTATCTGAGTCCATATCATCTTGCTGTAAACTACTATATATCTCGCTTATACTGGCCTCATCGCTTGCAATCGAATGAAAACTACTTTCATGCGGTATGCCTAGCAAATTTTCGAATGTCGATATTCTTGGTGAAGAGTAGTTGGAATCATCAATGATCACAGGTAAGCTCTCTTCTTCAAAACTGTCCGAGTGTTGAACTGGTAATAAATCCGCATCATCCAGATCAAGACTACTATGTGCCGTATCGTGTATATCCTGCATACGCTCTTGCATCTCCTCCAATGCTGCCTGTTTTAAAAGATTGTCGGCAAACTCGTCCAATGAATCTGCTCTCACACTCAACTCATTGTCCTTGTTATTAAACCCAAAAAACCCTTTAACTAAAGTATCTGGGCCATCAATAGATCGAAGGTTGCTCATTCCGTCTACTGGTGGTGGCACTGCCGTCATAAATGTACTTCTTGGTCCATTCTCCATTGTAAACCGCGCAGAAGCGGTCATTTCAGCAGAATCAGGCATCAGGAAAGTGTTTGCCATGCCAGTTTGCAAAGTCAGTGGAGTGCTTTTGGCATAGTTTGTCGGTGCCAAGTTTTTGAAACTAGCTTGACTTGATCGCTTGCGTGCAATGATTGCCTTTTGTGCCTCTGCCTTGATAAAAAGTTTTTTTTTGTTTGCAATCGACCTACAGGTTGCATTGTATTCCCTGAGTGCTCGCTAATGAGTGCATATGGTATTAAATCTTATTAGCAAAAACACATCATCCATAGACTTCATGTTGGCATTGTCTGGCAAACTTACTTGAAGATTCCGCGAAAACGTGGGGAAAATATCAAAAAACTTTTCAGGAGATCTCATGCGATCTGACACATCTTCTGCAAAATAATGAAAAACTTGATCAAGTTTTATACGCAGCTCCTTGACTGTTTCTTCTGCAGTATCCAATGGTGTCTTGGTTTTAGACAAAAATGTGTCAAAGCAATCAAGAAACCTATCCTGAGTATCTTTTGGAAATCCTTGTGACTTGTATGTTTCAAGCTCTAATTGTATAGACTGCCATCCGCTGCGCAGTTGTCGAATAGAGTCTTCGAGCGAGTTGAAAGAAACACGCGAGGCAGCTTCAACAGATGGCATATCTGACATATACTCTAAAACATGTTGCTGGTTTTTTTGGAGATATTGAGCCAGGTAATGCAACAATGTGCCTACTGCCTTTCCATTATTTGCCTTTGTATCTCTCAGCTATATAGTATTCAAATATATGTAAAAGTATCAGTGCTATAAAGCTATCAAATAGATTGCAGCTGTATATTACTGATTTTAAACAAGCCTACCGTCATGAGTGACTCAAGTCGGAAGCCACGCGCATTTCCTCGAAAGGATGTTCCGTTAAGATAATTTCCAATAATCAGTACGGCCTGAAGCAATTCCCGAAGCAAGTTTGATTTGAGAATTTGATCACATGCCAACAACAGCGTGGAGCAATCCTAAAATATCAAAACCAAGTGAGTTGAAAATGTAAAAAAACTAACCATATCAATAAAATAAAGCTTGACATACTGTTGTGATTTCATCAATTTCGTCGTTAAATCGACGCCTAAATATCATACTATTCATGCGCATCTCGATACGTGGTATGTCCATCAACGCTATAAAATAAGTTTCTGCATCACCAAGCTCGCTAAGATCACCTTCATAAGATTTTAAAATATCCAACTCGTCCTCTTTTGGAGCATATTTACAAAGCTTAGAAAGCTGATCGATTGACAGAGCATCATCATCAATAGTCTTAATAGCCAAGCTGATGGATGCAAAAGGAAGTCGCAGTCCCTTGAGAGTGATGGCTAGTTTAAAAGAAATCACAATACGCACTCCAAATATTAGAATTGCTTGATAAAAACCAAATAGTAATTCTCCAATGCAGTAGATACCTATATCCTGAGCGCGTTTGTGATCCAAAAGTGTAATGACCTTTTTAGCTTCAAGAGGCTTTGATGACTGTACTGTCTTGGCTTCATCTATTTTTGAAAACAATTCTAATAGTTCGTCCTCCTCAAGATCTATATCTTTACTATAAGTTTCTGTGAAAAGATCCTTCCAAATGGACTGAACTGCAATATGGTTGGCAATCTTGTCCCATTGCAAATGCTTAAAGTGGTTCAAAAATATGCAAATAGTGTTAGACTGTAACCAGTGAATTATTCATAATTGCTGTAAGTTAAAAGCATAGCATCATACCTTCATGGGGTTCTTTGCTTGCAAAATTAAGAGATTTTGCTGGGGTGGAGCTAAAAATAATAACCTGTAATTAGTCTAGATCAGCAAATTGTAATGCATTAATTGAACGCCATACCTAGTCCAGATGGTGGCGGTGGAGGCCCAGATAGTGGAGGGGGCGGTGGCGGTGGAGGTCCAGATAATGGAGGGGGTGGAGGAGGAGGTGGTGGTGGTGTAGCATTGATTACGAGAGTTTGATCTTCTAAATCTTGATCAGTATTTGAATAGGTAGCAGTAGATGTGAGTTGGTTGACGCTACTTGAACTAGAATCGTCTTTATCTATAGCATCATTGGATGTTTCGGTACTTTCAGCAAGACTTTTTTGTTTAAGCTGTTGATGACCAATCGACGACTGTGTTTCAATCTCCAATTTCTCATTCACACCACGAAGCTCATCAACTTGTCTTTCAAGACGCTGAATCTCTTCCCATAATTTACCAACTCCAGCTGTTTTACCAAGACGATTCCAAGTATGTTGTACACGAATATCAGATGCCGAAGATGTGTCTTGATTGGTTTGATATTGAGATTCCAGTTGTTGCTGAGCCCGAATCATTCCAATAAGCTCACGAGCTTCAGTAGTTTCAGTAGATGAATAATCATATATCTCAGAATTGCCCTCAGATGACCGATTCGCATCACCTACAACGCCATCTACTGACACCTTTTTAAAGCGTGTCTCGTCTAAAAATGGTTTAAAACGACGTGACTGAATAATCGTACCACTTGGGCCAAGCACAATATGTTTTCCAGAATACTCGAAGTGAGTTTGACCTTTTTCCAAAACAATATCTTGCAAGTCAGCCTCTGAATCTATACGAATAACTGGAGGATGAAGCGCTGCTGAATCTAAATGTATCAATGATGGTTTAAAACAAACTCGGTCAATACAAGAAAAATCAACAATCTACCTTTCTCGCTAAACTTTAAATCATTCGTATCAACTGACGGATCATGTTGTTGAAACTGGAGACTGTGTGAAGTGGTGCGTTTTAAAAAGGGTCCCTCATTTTTAGACGCCTTGAGTGTCCAAGATCTTTCTTTTGCTAATCTACTATGACTTGAAGCATCAGTTGGCGATATAAACTGATTATTGATGAATTCTTCTTGGCCAGCTTTTGAATTTCTTGTTAAAAAAGCTCTTTCAATACTCCCCGATGCTTTATTTTGCGAATCAGTTTGTGAAAGTGAATCCTCAAAACCAAGTTCAAAATCAGCATTGCCAGTCGGAGTTGCTTTTGCTCGTTCTAGTGAGCGCTTCAAAAAAATATTTTGCTTTTTTTGAATATCTAGCAGTGAAAGTGTTTCCCGTAGCTACAGTTTAAACATGATCAGTATTACCAATACATAGTGTTGCTTGGCATAAAAATTCAACCTTGATATACTACCAAATGCAAAAACATCTACATAGTTTCAAAATAGTACATACCTGCTTTTTCAAACTATTGAGTTCTTGAATAACACCAGTAAGATTTGTGTTTCCCAATACACGCAGTTCTTCCTCATCTGTCGTGGAATGGGGAGTTGCTTTGCGCGGATATGGGTTTGAAAGATCTTCAAACACACGGATGACATCATTGTTTAACAGCTCAAAACATCTTCGAGCTTGCATTTCAGGTGCAATAGGTTCTGAAAAAGAGTTTTGAGGAGAGCGCCAATTTAAAACAGAGCCTGCCATTGCTCTCGTGGATTTTTCCAAAGCAGTTAAAGCATAAGATGACTTTTCTCTTGTATGTAAGTCTTGATCTATATTTGAGTTATGTGATCCACGTCGATCCATGCCATCACCGTAAATGAAACCTTGCTTTCGTGCAGAAGAATTTATCTGAGTTTCAGAATCATCTATTGGTTTGAGCGAGTTTAAAATTTGCGAAAAGTTGTCTAATGTAGCCATAACTAGGTATGTTGAACGTTCCGGGTCAGGAAGAGATTGAGCAGATTTGAGTAGATTACTGAGGGTATCTTGCGGATTGCTTTAAGCATAAATGTTTTATTTAAATAAAGGTTGTAAAGATGGTTAGAATAACCAATGGAAATTATAAATAACAAGCAGTGTCATGGCGCATCAAATTACCTAAATGTTCTAGTACAGTCTTTGTATATTTTTTCTATTTCTTCAATATCAGCTTTTCGATCTTGTTCATATGCATCCACTTGAACTCTAAAAGTAGCGGTACAGCCACGCAAATTCAAAAGAGTCTATACAGCATCCATGTTAGTATATTACAAGAAACTCCCATAAACCTGCAATGTGTTAAAAACATAGTGCATATATAAAACTAAAAACTGTTATAGCTTTACCTGCAAAATACTTCGGACGCCGCGAGACTCTACCAATCTCCGCACTCCCCATCGCTCAGTGGGCTGCTCGGCAGCAGAGACCAGTGAATTAATGAGAACAACAATGCTAGTACGGTAGTCCCACAACTCAACCTCGTCAATTAGCTCTTCAAACCCATTACTATCTCTCTTGGCCGCTTTGTCACCAAAACAAAATGGATTATCGATAGACAGTATAAGATTTTGAAATGGAGCTGGCTCATCTTGTATTTGACTTAGCTCCAGTAAAGCCTGCAAAATTAGTTTCCGGCCTACATCGGAAAGTAAACACAAGGGAGCCAAAGTCTCACTGACTAGTGATCGCAAGGCTAAAAATGCACGACGCTGTTGAAAGTTATTCAAAACACCATCTCGTAACTCTGGCGAAGGAAGTGCTAAACACCACACCGTCTGGCGCAAAAGAGCCATAGAATTCACTAATGCGCCAACTCCTACTTTGCTATTTAACAACAATCGAATACATTGAACAACTTCATGTCGCAGTTCGTCTCCCAGCACGGCATCCGCATAAATAGATTGAGTGAATCCAGATCTTACTTTGACTCCTACATTAGAGTCAAGACGCTGCTGAAATAAAATTGTATTGAAACTTTGCCGCAATGTTGGAGATAGTATTTCAGTGATTCGGTCCATGGCAATTTCCAACGATTCAACACCGCCAATTATATTAGAGTTGTCTAGTGTGATGCGACATAACAAAAACTTATCGTTAAATGAACTCCCGCCAAGAGAAAGAGTCACTCGTAGCGAGCTCAAAAGTCTAAACAGTGCCTTTAATGTAGCGTTCCTATTGGAGATTTGTATCACAAACCACTCTGCAGAGTTTTCTGTAAATTGATTAGATTGTCTATTAGCATTTAGCAACGATCCAGTAGGACTTGCTGCTTTAGAAGAAACCCGACTTTGCCTAGTAAGTCGTACATCAAGCGTTGGAGATGAAGGAATGGGTAGCGGTTTTTCAAACGGAATAGGCAGTGGTTTTTCAAACGAGGCGTGTTTTTTAAAAGGCAAGTATTGACTTTGTAAAGTGGATAAAGGTGTTGCTTGTGAGACTTGGGGTGCTGGTAGAGCGGTAGCGCGGCCTTCTACTAAACCAGACTTTGTGTCAGACTGCGTAGAACGTGTGGTTGATCGTAGCTTGTTTTTAAATGATAGATTTACTGGATCTGATATTGGAAATGAGGCTGGAGTGTGCTGTTGATTAAAATCAGAGCCAACACCGATTTGTAATTGTTGTTGCATCTGGTATTTTGCAATGATTTCACGTTTATATGAGTTTGATTTAAAAGCAAGATTTGTTCGTGCAGATCCTTGCAAACCCATTTCATTCTAATAGTTGTATAAAATCACAATAGTAAAGCAAATTTAATTGGACAAGTTTGAACAGCTAATAAGAAATATAGAACACACAAACTGACCAGTACTTGAGCAAAAACACTCTCCAGCTCTGTATCATTTAAGCATTCTACTGGACGCATAGTAGGAGAAGAAAACAACAGCGAGGTTTTTCGAGCAATGATTTTGGGCAAAAACTTATTTTTGCGAGATTGCTCTTGTTCAAGTTCCTGTCTGCGATGGTATTGTCGAATAAAGTGGAGTTTTTTCGAGTCACTCAAAGCCAGCATACTCAGTCGTCGAGCACCATTGTAATTAAGGGCATCCTAATGATTTAAAGCAGTTAAACTAATGAAATCTGAATCAAAATAGGAGATTCGTGTTGTGAACATTTGAAATTCAATATGATTACCAATATATCATTAAATAGCAGTGAAATCTGCTTTTGACTGGTAGATGTAGCAGATGATTTCTGGGTATTATTATTTTGCAGATTTGATGAAGTGGATTGATCTGATGGTTGAAGAACACTGCTTGTGGCACTATGATTACTAGATCGTGCTGCTGAGATACTGGATGATGTGGCTGGAATCGAACTTGATCTAGAAGGTGTATTTGATAATCCAACCAACTTGCGCCAATTTGTAAGCAGAAATTCTCTACTTTTCAATGGTAGATTCCGTAACTGGTGTCTTTGATCTTCTGGTATTCTGCGATCGTCCTAGGTAGTATTGTAATAAACATGTAAAACCATTGGAGTATTATTAGCGACAGAAACAAGTGTGGTGGTAGCTGGAAGTTACAAGTGCATGATATAAAAGTTTGCCACTACTCTGATCATCTTGAACTTCGCCAGACTACTATATTGAGAAATCGTTAAAGTCCATTCACCAATGGGACTAGTCAACATATCTGGATTAATCTTTAATCAGAACCCAGACGATGATAAAACACAATAAACACATGCGATATCAGAAAATTCAATACCAAAAACACCCACCATCATTACTTCAAACTCAGAGTTCATGTGTAAGATGCTTTGTGGGCGCTGCAAGTCACTGGTTGCAGATGCGGTGCTATATAAGCTTGCAGACGAGACTTGCTCTGAAATGGATGAACCAGATGGTGTTGATGAAGATGATTGTCCAAACCCAAAAAAAGGTTTGCGTAATGAGGAAAAGGAGGCAGTATTTTTTAGCTTATTTGTTCGCCCTTGTAGAAACGAGCCCTTATTGTCCGCCTGGTCCTTACGACTATGCATACGAGTTCCAACTCCACAACTGCAAATGACTTTCAAAATCAAATTTCAAAATGTCAAAAAATCACGTGTATTAATCACGTGAACGAACCGGAACTGCCAATCACAAGTGTTCATTAAATCTGCTGGACAACATTGTATCCTGAACTCCTTGGCAAAGCTCACTGATTTTTCTCCTGGCAATCGCCATAAAAACAACAGTACATTCCTGAGACATGCAGCCCTTGCTTTCTTGAGCTAAAACGTATCTGCAAATTTTTAGGATACAACAAAGACGAACTTGACAACATCCAAACAGCCGAGCCTAATGTCTGGATTTGAACGGGCTTGGCGACTATACAATGTATGGCTATGCAAAACGGATAAATGGCACGCTCAGCAAAGCTAATTTCAATTCAAAACTATAGTTTGTGCATCACAATGATGACTGTTGTTTTAAACAAACACATGCCAATTAGAGTTGGTTTCTAATAGGAAAGCGCAACGAACATTCAAGCATTGCTTATTCCAAAGCAAAATAGTGGCGGTGACTACAAAACAAGTAAAACACTTCATTTTACGTGAATACGACTAATAAATTGCTGGCTGGTCAATTCCTTACCCATAATACCATCAAATCTAATGACCAAACAATATAGGTACTACATTGATAGGGCGGCATTACTAGCTTTCTTGATAGCTGCGCTACCGCTATCCACCAATTCCCAAAGTACCGGGATTTGGACACCTGCTGGATCATCTGGTGTAACATGCATTCACTCAGCTCTTATGCCCAATTCGAAACTCATTTGCAATGAGCGACCGCATCAGAAAATGGTAATAGCTGCCGTTATTCATAGTCAATTGAATTGGGGTTTGAAGCCACTTGTTCATTCTCTTATCATGAATTCTTGTTAATTATGTATACTAACCCTTTATCAATACTTTTGATTTGTACAATTATCTTGCCTTGATACCATTACCTCCTACCGCCTATTATTACTATTGTACCTTGACTTTGCATCTGAATCCACGCTCATCTCCTTATTCAACACATGATTTCAATGCTTAACTTTACAACACCAATTTTTGCGCTGTCCTACCTATATTCTCATTTTAGTATCCACAAAACCCAAACACGAATGGCTTGGTTTCTACTGAGATTGATTTATTGAATGGTGCTTCAGCTTCGACTTTTGATCCATGGGTTGCAAAATTCACTCCCCGCCCAGTAGATACCAATCCCTTGTGTGCTGGTCAGGCACTCATGGCCAACGGATCCTGGTTTATTGCTGGTGGTGATCAATATGGTGCAAATAATGGCACTTTTCCTCCAGATGGCCGCAAAGGTCGCCGTGTATACAACCCCTGCCCTACTGGCTCACCCGCAGACTGTGTTGGAAATTGGGCATCACTTCCCGATATGTCAACTGCTCGGTGGTACCCAACTATTGCCACTATTGCTGATGGCAGCCAGATTATCATTGGTGGATCCACAGATGCAATGGATTTTAATCGCTTGACGGATATCAACAATCCCACATACGAGTATTGGCCACCAAAACAAGGCGACCCGCGTACACTGCCCATTCTTGCATGGGCCTTTCCAAATATGCTCTACCCAATGGTGTTTGTTATGCCATCTGAGCGTATATTCCTATTTGTATCCAACAAGACGGTCATTATTGACCCTAAAACCGACGAGCAGATTTATACTGTTCCAGATATGCCAGTTTTGGATCATGCGCCGTGGATTTATCCACACACTCCTACAATGACGGTTTTACCCATGACCATCAAGAATAACTTTAAATTCACTTTGCAGATCTGCGGTGGTAACAAGATGAGCACTATTGATGCCTCGCCAATGTGCTGGCAAATCAGCCCCGACGACCCCAACCCTACTTGGACTGCTGTTGATGATATGCCTCGTGGTCGTTTACTTCCCGACTGTGTTATTATGCCAGGTAAGTGTTGCTTGTATTCAATAGTTTTAGCGTGTCATGAATTAGCAGCATCCAATGATTGGCTAAACTCGTAAATCAAATGGTTTAGATGGAAAAATGATTTATATGAACGGTATGTCGTGGGGAACAGCCGGCGGTGATCCTGGCGAAGTACTCAACGGAGGTGGTCCAATTATGATTCCAGACGTGTTTGATCCTGAAGCCCCTGCTGGGAAGAAATGGTCATCCATGGCTCCTGCATCCAATTATCGTCTGTATCATGCTGGCGCTGCCCTTACTGAATCTGGATTTATCATCACGATGGGATCTGACATGGTCAACTATGACGACTATTGGAAATACAACAAAACCAACTGTATGCCTGTTGTTCAGGCATACACTCCTGATGCCTGCACATTGCCATTTAATCTCAATATTGAGCGATTTGCTCCTCCTTATATGCAGGCTGCTCAAGCCAATGGCCGTCCAGTCATTTCCAAGGCTCCGCCATCGGTTACTTACAAATCGAGTTTTATTGTAGAAATGGTTTCTTCAGTGAATGATGTTAGCCGAGTCACATTTATTCGTCAGTCATCCACTACTCACCAAACTAACACTGATCAGCGGTTCATTGAACTCAAAATTCTTGGTCAGCAAGGATCATCCTTGGTTGTTCAGGCTCCTGATGTTCCTGGCCGCGCACCTCCAGGCAACTGGATGCTATTTGCTTTGGATAAAAACAATGTTCCATCCGTGGCAAAAACTGTTAATCTACAAATTGGCGAGGCAACTATTATTCCAACTGGAAGCTTCTCCACTGCGGGAAGAAATCATGCTAATATAACCCCTATTATCAGCATTATATCATTGATGTTTACTGCCGTGTGCTCATCTATGATATTCTAAGAAATTCAAAATAAACACCAACATTTATTTACTGCCGTATTCACAAAATGAAGTACTTGTATTTATCTTGCGGTGACTGATCCAGACTAAATAATAGTCGACTACTTGTTTGCTTTTCTACTAGAAACGGACTGCTTTTTCAATAGACACATCGTCCATATGATGCACAGACCAAACTATAGTTTTGAATCATCACTTTCTTCTCCTTGGTAGAGCCATGCATTGTACAATCATCAAGTTTGAAACCAAACTTACCCATTCCAGATATTGAGTTTGACTGCTTTGATGCGAAGTTTACCAAAACTATGATGTGAATGCTGCTTTGAAGACCTGGTCAATTTTTATACAGAAATGTGGACAAAAGACCAGTCGGCTTTGTCAAGGAGTTCAGACACTGTCCAATAAAATGGCGCCCATCATTCATGAATACGGCTGTATAATTCTGAAAGCCTATTTTCAAAATATATGAATACGCTGGCTTAATGATGTAACAAGTTCAAACAGCAGACTCGATTGCTTCGCGGCTTTTACAGCGGCTCATTCGTAGCCGCGTGAGGTCCGATTCTGGCTGAAACTTCTGAATCGATTTGTTATGGTCAAGACCCGTGTTTTACTCGAGCCTGATATCATCACAATGCCATCTACATAAACAGCTTTATAAGCTGACAGGTCACAATGACTTTACCTTATTGTACTCAGTTTTTAAATCAGTGACCTATGTAAAGTCATTAATTTAGTTATAATGCAATTTGTTTTGCCTATTTGCAATAAACTAACTTTCTAAAAACTACTAGTGTTTAGTATACCTTTAAATTACTGTTTTCGTTACTCCGCACGATATGCTGTCTAATTTATTCACTGCCACTACTACTGTGTCTGTATTTTCTGTGGTGGCAGCAGCTCAGAACTTGGGCGTGTGGACTCCTGCTGGCTCAGCAGGAGTTGTCTGTATTCACACGCTGCAAATACCTGGCAACAAGCTGGTTTGCAATGAACGTCCCCACTCAAAGGTAATCTAAACTATTGTTTTTATACTGCATCTTGCTCAAAGTGCATAGTATGTTTTTACATTGCTCGCTAGTCACATCTCTTTCAAACACCGCCATTACATACCAACAGTCTCCATGTTGTGATTGACTCGACTATAATGATCGTTTATACAACTGTGCCTACAGAATCTTCACTTGTATATGATTCTGCACCTTATCCCATTTATTGCATTTATCTGATGCACTAGTCGTTTATTTTACTCCTTTGCTTCATATCTACTAACACATTTTCTCATGTACACATTCAAATACCCGTGTTATTTTACTACATTAATACCACAGTACCCAACCAATCCACTTACAAATGGTATGATCTCTACCGAAATAGACCTGCTAAATGGTGCCTCTATTTCATCTTTTACTCAATGGACTTCAAAATTTACTCCTCTCCAAATGGATACGAGTGCATTCTGTGGTGGTCATGCTCAGATGTCTAATGGCGCAATCTTTCAGGTTGGCGGTGATTATACAGGCGTTCTGAGTGATGGCACATCTAATATCTATCCAGATGGTCGTAGAGGTCGTCGTATATACAATCCGTGTCCTGCTGATGCTCAGAATTGCGTTGGAAGTTGGACATCATTATCAGATATGACTACCGAGCGTTGGTATCCTTCAGTGGCAACTCTTGCCGATGGTTCTCAAATAATTATTGGCGGAAGTACTTCAAACTTGGATTATAGTCGTCTCAATGCATCTGAAAACAACCCTACGTACGAATATTACCCGTCAAAAGCTGGTCAATGGCCACGTACTCTGCCAATTCTTGCATGGGCCTTTCCATTTATGCTTTATCCAATGGTATTCACCATGCCTTCTGAGCGAGTCTTTCTGTTCGTGTCTAACAAGACAGTCATTATTGATCCAAAAACGGATGAGCTCTCATACACTGTTCCAGATATGCCAGTTTTGGACCATCTGCCTTGGATTTATCCATATGCACCTACAATGACTGTGCTTCCCATGACCATCAAAAACAACTGGGAGTTTAAAATTCAAATATGTGGTGGCTCCAAAGCTTCTAATACCGACGCATCCCCTATGTGCTGGCAAATTAATCCTGAAAATGCTAATCCCACTTGGAAAAAAGTAGATGATCTTCCTAATCCCCGTGTCATGATAGACTCGATTATTCTTCCAGGTAAGCTAGATGGTGTATTGTAATCAGTTGGAATTGTTGAGAGTATGGTATCGATAGCTAACACACAACTGTATATAGATGGAAAGATTTTGTATGTAAATGGTGCAGGTGGTGGTGTATCTGGTGGTGATGCTGGAATTGTCCAGGACGCATACAATCCTGTCATGACACCCAACTTATTTGATCCTGAAGCACCTGCAGGAAAACAGTTTAGTGTGATGGCGCCTGCTACCAATTACCGTCTATATCACTCTGGAGTGATATTAGTAGAGTCAGGACACGTTATTACTACCGGATCAGAAATGGACAACTATGACGATTACTGGAAGTACAACAAGACCAACTGTCCACCTTACCCTATTCTTTATTCTGCGCAAAATAACTGTACTCAGCCATTCAACTACAATCTTGAAAGATATGCACCGCCCTACCTACAAATTGCAGAAAAGTCTGGTCGTCCAGTCATTTCAAGTGCACCAGCGAGCATCACCCATAAATCTACATTTGCTGTTCAAATATCGTCTACTGTTAGCGATATTTCGCGTGTAACATTCATTCGATACTCGACGACTACACATCAAACCAACACAGATCAGAGATTTATTGAGCTCAGGATACTATACAATACATCCAACTCGATCATTGTCGAAGCGCCAAGCGGGCCAGGTATAGCACCACCAGGAAATTGGATGCTGTTTGTGCTGGATAAGAATGGTATACCATCTGTTGCCAAAACCATTAATCTGCAACTTGGTGCTCCAGTCACTGCCAGTGTTCCTACAGGTGCTACCACCTTTTCCCCTGCTGTTGGAACTACCTCGACTTCAAAAAATAATGTATTGGGTCAAAAACAGAGCTTGGGAGGTGTGATAATGACCATCACTTTTGGCGTTGCTGTAGCTTTGGCTTTATTTATAGGTAGTCTTTGAAGGACGCTTTACAGCCTCTATCCATTCAACTCCTACATAACTGCTTAGATGATCATTCATATTTCGAGCAAATGGGTTTTCTAGGAGTTTTATTGCAGCTTGTGTTATCATGAACTTCAACATCATTATTGGTTGAATACACAAGTCTAAACTATAAACATATTAAATATTTTTGCAGCTATAGGTTTTATTCATTATACTAGAGATTGGGTTAAAAAAGCCATACTTTATTCGATCCCTTATATTAAAGTTTGCAAAAGCATTCGACATAGTATATATGGCAAGTTTTAATTTTAGTTTTCAGAATCTATTCCTATAATGTATTGCTTGGCTGTGGGTCAAAGCATAGTGAGCACTAAAGACCCGAATACCAAGTTAGGATATGAGATATAATGGGGTCAAATGATTGGACAATTTACGCCATATCCACGTGTGGTGAAACAGTAGATAAGAGTGTAATAAACGGCCAGACTCGTGTTTGATGGGTGCCAATCTTACTGAGCAACATTATTTTTTGGACTGATTGGTTGGCTGGTCTTTTTCGTGCTCATTCTGGTACAAAACACAGCGAATGTTCACATCTCTGTTCCAATACATTCAAGACTTTCCAAACAGTGACAGGGAGAATGTTTTCAAGCTGCCATCTTATTCTAGATAGTATTTAGCCACTGTTTATTCCAAAACAACCACTGCAAGATAAATACGGAAAACTTTCATTTTATGTGAATGCACTTTAGAACGAGTCTGACCATAGCCCAGTAGTGCTGTGTTGGATAAACGGCGTTTGAATTGGCTAATTAGTCAAACTTTGTCAGATGATGATACATAGGGACGGGTTGGCTCCACATACACGCTATTTATGAATCCTCGCTATTGTTTGTAGCTTGTTGCCACCAACTCAAATACACAGGGATCAAGGGCGGCATGCTTTGAAACCTATACAAAATACTCACAAGTACTGCAAAACAGTTTCACCAACTTCTAATCTCTAGCATTACTTTAGTAGCTTAAACTCGATAAACAAGTCTAAATTTGGCCAGCTTCATGTTTAACTTGGTCACTGTCAGTGCAATATTTTTGCTCATCACATGCGGAATCAATGCCAATGAACTTGGTGTTTGGACTCCCGCTGGAACTACTGGTGTAACATGCATTCACACTTTTCTTTTACCGGGATTTCGACTTGTCTGCACTGAGCGACCGCATACAGGAGTAAGTCTTGATGATTGAATATTAAATTTAATGCAGGTCTATGAGTGTTGTCGTACATGAATGGTAGCATGTAAATTGAATGATTGATGCTATCAGACTACAGCCACCGATGCTTAAATCACAGGTGTAAACTATCCAATGATTGCATATTCCTCTGAATTGTGAAATCAATTTCTAGCTAGCTTTATTGATTATTTTAGAATATCGATGCTCATTCTATTGTTCAATTTCCTTTATAGTATCCAACCAATCCATTTACAAATGGTATGATCTCTACCGAAATAGACCTGCTAAATGGAGCATCACCCGAATCATTAGGTCCATGGACTTCAAAGTTTACTCCGCGGCATATTGACACCAGTGCATTTTGTAGTGGTCATGCTCAGATGCCCAATGGCTCTATCCTTGTTATGGGCGGAGATGAGTATGGGCTTTTGAGTGATGGCACACACAATATCTATCCAGATGGTCGTAAAGGTCGTCGTATATACAATCCGTGTCCTGCTGATGCTCAGAATTGCGTTGGAAGTTGGGTAACATTGCCAGATATGGCTACCAGACGCTGGTATCCTTCAATGGCAACTCTTGCCGATGGTTCTCAAATAATTATTGGCGGAAGTACTTCAAACTTGGATTATAGTCGTCTCAATACAACTGAAAACAACCCTACGTACGAATATTACCCGTCAAAAGCTGGTCAATGGCCACGTACTCTGCCAATTCTTGCATGGGCCTTTCCATTTATGCTTTATCCAATGGTATTCACCATGCCTTCTGAGCGAGTCTTTCTGTTCGTGTCTAACAAGACAGTCATTATTGATCCAAAAACGGATGAGCTCTCATACACTGTTCCAGATATGCCAGTTTTGGACCATCTGCCTTGGATTTATCCATATGCACCTACAATGACTGTGCTTCCCATGACCATCAAAAACAACTGGGAGTTTAAAATTCAAATATGTGGTGGCTCCAAAGCTTCTAATACCGACGCATCCCCTATGTGCTGGCAAATTAATCCTGAAAATGCTAATCCCACTTGGAAAAAAGTAGATGATCTTCCTAATCCCCGTGTCATGATAGACTCGATTATTCTTCCAGGTAAGCTAGATGGTGTATTGTAATTAGTTGAAATTGTTGAGAGTATGGTATCGATAACTAACATACAATTGTACATAGATGGAAAGATTTTGTATGTAAATGGTGCAGGTGGTGGTGTATCTGGTGGTGATGCTGGATTTGTTGAGAATGCATACAACCCTGTCATGACACCCAACTTATTTGATCCTGAAGCACCTGCAGGAAAACAGTTTAGTGTGATGGCGCCTGCTACCAATTACCGTCTATATCACTCTGGAGTGATATTAGTAGAGTCAGGACACGTTATTACTACCGGATCAGAAATGGACAACTATGACGATTATTGGAAGCATAACAAGACAGAATGCAGACCTTATAACGTTACTTCATATGTTTCATCCTGTACTCAGCCATTCAACTACAATCTTGAAAGATATGCACCACCATATCTTCAGCGCGCAGAAAAGTCTGGTCGTCCAGTCATTTCAAGTGCACCAGCGAGCACCACCTATAAATCTACATTTGTTGTTCAAATATCAACTCCCTTAAAGAATATAGGTCGTGCAACCTTTATTCGATACTCGACGACTACACATCAAACCAACACAGATCAGAGATTTATTGAGCTCCGCATCCTTTATACTATAAACTCGACTATTATTGTGGAAGCGCCAAGCGGGCCAGGTATAGCACCACCGGGAAATTGGATGCTGTTTGTGTTGGATAAAACTGATGTTCCATCTGTTGCCAAAACGATTAATCTGCAACTTGGTTCAGAAACACATGCAGAGATTCCCTCAGCAGCTACTAATTTCTCACGAAACAGTGCTCAGGGTGAATTTGGCTCAAGCATAAAATGGATGAATTACTTTGTCACCATCAGTGTGATATTAGCATCTCAATGTATTTTGCTTGCGTGGTATATGTAAACCACAAGCAATAAACCCTGACTGTCTTTTATGGAATAATCAAATGAATACTTTTTAAATAATTAGTTTGACAAACCAGTCGTGATGGAATCAAATATCCAGCCAGAAATAATAGAAAATTGCCAGCAATCATCAGTGTGCACTAACATGAACATTTTTCATCTTTCATTGCTAGGCGTAACTTGAAATCGCCACGTGAAGCATTGACACTTTAAAAATCGCGAAATTTATTTGTCTGAAATCTCGACTTATCGATCGTATTTACAAGGTTTGCGATTACCAACTTATGCTACACCGGATACAAACCTCTTCAAATGTTCCTCACCGTCCTTGGAGATTTCAGTACTTTACCATTTCTGGAGGTCAAAGGCCACAACGGCATGTCCAATCGCTTTCAGTGCTGGCATTCAACACTTCACATCAGCCACTAAAACAGAAAAAGCTACTATGCTGTCCATATGATTCAACTTTATCAATCATCAAGCGTCATTTTACTGGATTTGTTGGCTCTATGTCAGTCAAGCCAGATGTATATACTTTTAGCGACACTGCAACTTCAACTCAGTCGACAGGTGGTGTGGATGAACCTCCTTCGACAAATGCTGCAGCTCCACCACCAGTACCGGATATTATTGCACTGTCAGAAAAGTACAAAGTATGGCATGCACCTATTTCTGAAAAACCTGCCCTGTTCCAGCTTTGTTTAGCTCCATATTATCTTCCAATGTCAGTCTGCAGAACATTGTCATTGCTTGGAAATGTCCATTCTACACTTGGTCATGATACCAAGCATATTTTACTTGCTTCCCCTCATCCTGGATCAACGGCATTACTATCAGAAGCTGTCGAGGCAATGGCGATGGATATTGGTGCCGATTTACAGTCTTTAGACTATCAGACTATCCTGGCTGCAACTCAAGAGATTGGAGTTCGTCAAGTTAGCTGGGGAAGCGATGAATGCCTTCGTAAGTAATATATACAGTACCCAACTTAATTTTGTTTAACTGCAGTTGTTGTGAATTCATCAAATGCTCATTTACTCCATCTGTTTATTGACTGCATATTAATACATTGCTGAAATTTCGGATGATCGATTTTTGAAAATCAATAGGTCGACTCGAAAAGCCAGAATTGCTCAAAGTATCTCCATCGTTTAGTCCAGCTAATTACGATACAGCATTGCTGGGAGACGACGCTGATCTTGATGAAGAGGAGGCAGACTTTGATGGAGAGGAAGCAGATCCTGATGAAGAAGATTTGGGCAATTCAAGTCATCAGAGTAGTTCAGACTCGAGCATATTTAGACATGCGATTTTTTCAAATCCAGAGGTAGTTCAATCTGCACAATCGCAGTTGGTGTTCAAGGTTAATGTTGTTCAGGATGATACTCACAAGAGCACTCGTTCTGCAGCGCTATCTGATTCAAATGACGTAGCGCAATCGACTTCAAGTAATGTTGCAACGGATATTGATGCGCCATCACGCACCGCTGCATCACCTGTGCTGCGTATTACAAATGTTTCAATCCAACCAGAAGAGCTAGATAATAATCGTTATGATTTTCATTCAAGCTTTAGTAATGCGATGCATAAAGCATTAGCTTTGTCTCGTAAGCTTACGTCCAAAGAAACACACTATGATATTGGTCTTCGAAATGTTCAGATTCAGTCGTTTCTTGGATCCATGCGTGATTCCATCATTCAACGATTCAAAACATATTCAGCCGACCCTTTGTGTAAACATCGAAAACTGGTGATATTTTTAAAGGATACTACAGATATGCTCGAGTCGGGAGGTGTTGATGGACGCAAGGTTTTGCTTGGCCTTATGGACTTGGTTTTGTCGCTTCGCCGTGATCACAACATACCGGTCTTGTTTGTTTCTGGCTGCTCTCCTGCACTTGCTCATACACCAAATGTTGAAAAAAATGCGTCTTTTTATACTTCTCTTTTCGAAGGTTCTGCCACTCTTATGAACAAGGGAAGCGATAATATTCATAGCAACATCTGGAAAATCGGCAAACTATATGAAACGCCGCTTGATCATACTGGAAATCAGTTTGAAAAAGTGGAAATTCTTCCTCCCTGTCCTATGAGTACCAGAATAGAAGTTGAAAATCAAAAGTCGGCATGGGTTACAGGCCGTTCTACTTTTTCCACGCCAAATCCTCAAAAAGCCACGTCATTTATCTTCAACGAACATCAACCATCTGCAACTGATAAAGAACTACTTCAAGGTTTGGAGCATATAGCATCCCACGTAGATGCATTGCAAGACAGTCTTTATAGTCGACTTCGAAGCATTAATTGGAGAAATATCATATTTGTCTGTGCACAAAAAAACATTATAATTGGAGGACTTGATTCTGCAAAAATGGCTGATCTTGACGATCCAATGTTGAAGCATCAGATTACACCACAAATTCTTCAAAAGATCCTGAGCATTCTTGATTCACACGTTTGGCCCATGGCTCGTATCGAGAAACTTGTTAGTCTTTCCATAGGTCGTCAAATAGAATCTCAATTTGGTCGCGGCGAATCAGTTCAACATAGAGTGAAACTGCCAGTTATTCATATTTTTGAAGCTTTGCAAATGATGCAGCAAAGTGATATAGTGCGATCAAGTCGCGATAATACGACAGATTTGACAAAAGCCGGAAGTCAATCTAAAGGTAGTTTCAAGTTTGGGGTTAGCTCTAAATCTACGGATGAAAATTCTGAAAACGATAATTCAACTTCCTCTGCATCTCCAAAACAAGAGCAGAGTGATTCTGCTCAGCTACACGAGTTTTTGAAGCGTGAGGGACATCGTATCAACTCTTATGAGAAAAAAATTCTTTCAACGGTCGTCAATCCAGGTAAGCCATCATAACCATATTGGCTGTTTAGAATTCTCACGTAGCATTTTATAGAGGTATTGTATTATTAAATTTCCTATCATTATGCTAATATTATTGCTTAGTCAATATAAAGATAGGATTCTCTGATCTTATTTTGCCACCAGCTACTAAGTTGATGCTACAGACTTTGATCACGCTTCCTATGTTGCGACCCGAATTTTTCGCAAAAGGGATTCTTTCTAGATCAGCCATTAATGGTGTGCTTTTATTTGGTCCACCTGGAACTGGCAAAACCATGCTGGCCAAAGCAGTCGCAAAAAGCTCTGGAGCCAAATTTATGAATGTTGCGCTTTCCAATGTTCTTGACAAATATGTTGGTGAAGGCGAAAAAAATGTGCGTGCAGTGTTCACACTGGCACGTAAGCTTGCTCCGTGTGTTGTATTTCTTGACGAAGTTGACGCTCTTTTTGCAGCTCGTAGAAATGATGGGAGTAGCTCGAGCCGTCGTGAAATCATGAACGAATTTATGGCTGAATGGGATGGGTTGGTTTATTTTGCCACATTTTATACTTTGAATTGATTTTTAAGCATATTCTGACTTTATATTTGCATATCTGGTGGTTTAGACTCAGCTCTAACAACAATGGTGTTATTGTTCTTGGAGCAACCAATCGTCCGTTTGATCTTGATGACGCCATTCTTCGTCGTATGCCTCGTCGAATTCTCAGTAAGTTGGCTGGCTTTAATGATACTTGCGTTGGATTCATTCATGAATTATGCCTGGTTGAGTTTTCGGTAGATTAACTCTGGCCTTGCATTTGCTATACGTTGTAGTCGATTTACCAAGCGAAGAAGCTCGCGCATCTATTCTGACTCGTTTGCTCATGGATGAATTGCTGGATAGCAGTGTCGATATCCCATTTCTTGCAAAACGCACTGCACTTTATTCTGGATCTGACCTTAAGAATTTGTGTATTGCTGCAGCATTGGCTCGTGTTAAAGAGTCTGTTGTTAGATCGCTTCTTCAAACCGATAGTAACACAACCGTCACTGCAGAGCATGTCAGGACGCATTTAGATAGCCTAGATGACTGGGCAAAGTGCTTGGGAACTGAGCAAGCAAAGAAATCGAGTGTATCCCAAAATAAACCGGCTGTCGACTCTGTCAAAACGGGATCTTCAACCCATGGTCGCCGCCAGCGATCGTTTCATATTCTGCAAGCCAACACTGTGCCATTTTTCAAACCTAGTGTAGCCGAGGAGCCTTTGGATGTATCTACGTCAAATGACATTCCTATAGCAGCCAAACAAAGCTCCAACGATACAAATGGCAATTTACCAAAATCCAAAAAAACCGGCGAGCATTTTTCACAAGAATCGGAGCCATTGACGAGTGCACACTTTGAGGTTGCATTTGCCGAGGTTCCTCCGTCTTTAACAGATGAAATGCAGACACTGGTAGAGCTTCGTAAATGGGACAAACAATTTGGGGATGGATCAGCTCGACATAATGCCAAAAAGACTCGAGGATGGGGATTTGACTTTGTTGATTCAGGAAAGCATGTATCTCCAACACCCGGAGTATAATAGATATTTGTTAGGATTATTGTGTGAAATAGAATGTCAAATCCAGAATAAATGCCAGTGAATACCATTGTGATTTTGAAAGTCAAACTCAATTCAACTTATATTTACTGTACAACTCCTGCTACTCCGACAGCTAGAATGTCAGAGTTTTTAGTCAAGAAGCTAGGCTGGCTGTTTGTGGCCTTTACCACTGCACTCATTACATTTGTTCCTGTCACTACATATGTAAGACTTTAAGAGTAACTTTTGGTATTGGGTGATTGACAACAAGTGGCTAGAGTTTATCTTGGACTTTGCTCGCTGAGCTTACTAATAGATTGATTATGTTATCACCTAGTAGGTGTTTATTTTTGAAAGATGGTTTGCTTATCATCAAGAACGGAACATATTTGTATGGCTGGCACCGTTCTATATTAGTGTTTTGTTCATATATATCAATTACTACCTCGGATGCTCAACCGATCCTGGCAGAGTGCTACGGGATTACGATCCCACGAATGGACTGAATGCAAAAACCTGTAGTACAGGCGAAGAGCAAGTCAAGCCCAAGTCAACTGTCAAAACAAGAAAGCAGACTTCAAAAGGGTCAACCAAACCACAACCACTTCAACCCAATCTACCCAAGCCACGATGGTGTAGATCTTGTCTATGTTTCAAACCTCCTCGAAGTCATCACTGCTCTTACTGCAACAGGTGCATTTTACGAATGGATCATCACTGTACGTTGATGTATAGATTTGATTTGCAATCGTATTGATTCAATCTTGTGCAGTTTCAAGATTTAAGCGCTTCATCTAATATACTTTTTGGTTGGTTCATTGGTAAATGTTCAGGTCCGTGGCTTAATAACTGCATCGGACACAATAATATTCCACATTTTATCAGGTTTCTATGCTCTGTAACAATGGCGTCTTTATCGTGTCTAGTTCTCCTTGGACTGCGGGTATGGGATCTGATCAAATATCAAAACTCGCTTTCAAAACTTTATTCTACAGGTGGTAGTTTCAGATCAAACGTTGTTGTATTTTACACTCCTCCGGCCGACGACAAGGAAATCATTTTCATGCTAGTCAACCTTGTCATCCTGTTTGCCTTGCTGTTCAGTGTCGGAATCCTTAGTATATGGCAACTGTTTTATGTAGCGTACAATGTTACAACAATCGAATCCATGGAAAATGGAAAAATTGATGAGCTTATGCGACGTGGGAAGATTCCCAACACATATGTGTACCCCTATACGCTGAGTGTGTTTCGTAATTTTCAGGCCGTGTTTGGTCAGCGTTGGTATCTGTGGTGGATGCCTGCCTCTGCTCCTGGCAATGGGCTGGTATTTCCAGTCAATGAAAATGGGACGCTTGGATTGTGGCCACCACGAGAGTACTACCTATACAGAAAGTATCCATACGGGAAGCCTTCCATGGAGGAGCGACGGGCAAACAAGGCAGCGCGTCGTGAAGCTAAAGTATTCATGGCTTCTGGCAAAAAGCATGTGCGACGTGACAGCGAGGGATATATTGTCAAGAATATTGTAGCAGAGGATCGTGAAGAGCAGCTGCGGCAAGCTAATCTTGCTTTTGCACAGGCTGCCGAAGGAACAGGGGGCTCTACTGAGCAGGAAGCAGAGATTGTGCATCTGGATGAAACCGACGAGTCTAGTACCGAGTTTGATAGTTTTGAGGATGACTTTGATGATAATATTGACATGGATGGGATTCCAAGGATTTTAGGAAGCAAAGACGATTTGGATTCGCCAGAAGGTGCACATGATATTGATAGTGATAACGAAATCCTGGCCGTTCGTCAAAAAAGGCAACAAGGGTTTAAAAAAGTTCAATGAAGTATTTCGATTTAATAATGAATCAACTTGATTCATTGATGTACTATATTGGGTAGAACTGCCGCATTATATATTTTCAATTAGATGCGTTATTTAGAGTTGTTTTGAAGCCAGATGGATGTTGGCGAAACAATACACGTGATATTAGTGTGAAATAAACTCGACTCGGTCACAATGAGTACCAAAAAATCATTATTGCTCTATTGAAGCAACCTCGATAATACATCTGAAGCCATTTTCAAAGTAAAAGATACGAAAAATTCATTTACTTTTATGACTCTTCAATGAATACAGGAACATCAGTGTGGTTTCCATCAGATATTGAGCAGCCTCGACCATCAAACACGCTTATCGCCACGAATGCAGTGACTGATATTGCTCCTATCGTACCATCTGTAGAAGCAGGAAGAGTACCAATAACTTTAAAAAACCAATTGCACAGTCTTCAAAGTAATCATTTACAGAGGTCAGATATCATGACCGATAAAGTTCCTTGCGAGGGATCAGACACTCAAAAAACGAGATCATGGTCAAATCTATTGCCTTTTGAACATCCATCAAAAGCTTTAGCAGCCAGCATCGCAGAAAATGAAGCTCAACAATCACATCAAATACAAAGCTCATCAATTACATCTAGTATACAATCTCAAAGTATCTGCATTGGTCAAGCATTCCTTGATTCCATTGCTGAAAACACATTGGATCCGCTACTACATAATTGTGAGCTGAACATTGCCAATGAAACCAAAAATAAAGGTGCACAATCCATTAGTGACATGTATGCTGTAGAATGTGACAGTGTATCTAAGCAGGATGAATCTCTAGCACAAGAGTCGCCTTACGAATCAAAAATTGATCTAAATTCATCATATATCAATAGACGACGATCTCGCAGGCCATCCAATATCGAATTCCTGCCACAAACACTTGTCAATCATCTGGCTAATCCAAAGCCTGCAGCGTTTCATCGCCGGCTATCTTCCCAATATTCATCAGAAACTGGCGCGAAACCAATCACCTCGGAACAGTTTTTCACCCAATCGATATATACGATTGGCAAAAAAATGACTCCTAGTCTACCAGAAATCGAAGCACCATCAAACGGCTTGATCCCGTTTGAAAAATCATCCGAGATGAGTGCAATACAAAGCAGACGCACATCGCTCATCACAGTCCACGAAATTTTAACTTCAAACCACACTCGTGGCTATAAATCCAACACAAGTGGGAAGATGTGTAGCGAAATTGCTACACAAACTGATGAAAACATAGTTGGCTTTGATGCATTGGATCAACTCTTTTTTGCATTACGTGATGTAGGTGTTTAAGTAGTGTCAAACACATTTATACTTGATCGTAATACAGTCTGCATGTTGCTTCAATTCAAACACTCCAGCGAGGTCCTAACTTGAAAGCTTATTGTTCTTTTGCTTTTGTGTAAACAATAACTAGGAATTTCACACCACGGAAGAACGGATGCAAGTCAGCCAACGCCAAAATATCAGAGTAGCTACCGATAATATCCACAACCGAATACAATCACAAATTATAGGTATGAAAGATGCATATGATTTTGCACTGAATAAAGTTCGACATCAGTGCCAAAAGCTGCTCCAAGAAGCACTTGTAAAAATCAGAAAAGATAACGAGGTAAGAGTTTCAATGTGTTATTGATTTGCGTTGATCTTTACCCGGCCGTTTAATTTAATCGATGGAATTCCCTTATTTACAAGCATAAATGATGAAAATAGCGGTACGATGCCTGGCTGTTGTCAGAAATCGAACAAAAGCACACTCAGATCTATACTCCATTAAAATTAGTTGCAGATGTGGCTTCAGAACAACTGCGAAAAACGGAAGAAGAATTGCAACGTTTAAAGTACACAGCTTTTAGATTAACTACAGCACTTGGACATCATGGCTTGCTGAGTGAAGAAGAGGTGCATTGATATGTTTGGTTGATTTCAAAACAAAACTGTGCACAGTTCAAATCATGAAATATTGCTTACCAGTAGTTTATTTGATGGATTGAAAATTAGATGAAAGTATCAAAAGAAGAATGTAAATGGGCTGAAAACTTGATAGCATGGTACCAAGATGAGGTTTCTGAACGTGATGAGACTATTCAGAAGCTTTGCTATGAAATTTCAAATCTTGATTTTATGCATGATGATTTTGACAAGTCGATCAAACGAGCAAAAAGCCATGAGCAAAAAAATACTCTTCAAGACAGCACAACACTAAACCAAACCTATACTAAATTCAACTCTGGAAATCAATACAGTAAACAGGCAACTCCAGCTTCGATTGTGAGTATTGAAACCTTTATGGAGGCCATAAACTATGCGGACGATCCAACAATAGACATGCAGACATCAAATGATCTTGATTCAAGCCAATCAGCTACTGCGGATTCAGATTTACTTGCCGTTAAACAATTAACAGAAAGTTATCTTTTGCAAATACAAGATATAGAAAAGAAGCACGCTCTTGAAATAGCCAATTTGCTGAAATACCGCGAAAGGCTTGCTTTCCAATGGTCGATAAAAATCAAGTCGGCAGAAAAATTCACAAACAATAATGCTATCTTGAAAATTATGCACAGACAAGAGCGTTTAGTTCGGCTAGCACAAATGCAGAATAAACCACGTAGATCGGTAGAGTTGGGACTTACTACGCATTTGGAGGGAGCTACTCTTGCCATGATTCTTGAAAACAAAAAGTTGATCTATTTAAAACATGAGGCAATGGAGATGGAACAGGAAAAAGATACTGAAACTCAAAAGCAAATTCAAACAAATCTTCAACAAAAAATGAAGGATGCACATCAAGAGATTCGCCAGATTCACTCAAAAAAATCTAAAGAACTGAATCGGATTTTAGAGCGTCGTTCATTATCAACAGTTTGTATATTGCATTTGAATTTTATTTTACCATTTGATGATGATGCATTGATAACTAATTTAAAAAACTGGTGTTGAATTGCAACGTTTAGAAAGTGTTTTCGTCTATTCTAGCCAGACAATTGGACCAATCAAGTCAATTTGCTATACCTAAAAGCAATACTATGGATCATCTTTCTAATTTTTCGACAAATTCAACTAGCTCTTTTCAAAATTGTTTGAAAGATCAATCAAGTATGCTATGCAATACATATCCCGATTTGAAATGTTCAAGCAGCATATGCACAGATAACTCTGATGATCGCACAAGTGCATTACATTCAAATGTTACGCCTTCCGTAAATACAGAAGTACCCAGTGATTTTACATACAAAGGTTTCAAAATGAATCCTTGTGAAAACACGAAAACCCAACATACTGTTTCCTTGAATAGTCGCAAAAGCTCGAGTAGTCACACCCTTTCAAAACCCAGCAATGGTTTGAGTACGATAAACAAGCTAGTTTCTGGACCTTCCATCAAAACAGTATACGAAAACTCTGAACTTCAAGGGCTGATTGGAGTAAAGAGTGTAGTATCATGCGATCGACAGCAAAAAGTGAGCAGCTTGGGAATGGATGCCAGTCATAAAAAATATATGGCACATGGCGAAAATAGATTGAAACTAAATCAATTTAAATCAGCTGTTGTTGAAGGCTCTGGATCAATGAAGGCCACAAGCCACCCCAAAAATAACACTTTTATTTCAAGTCGATTAGCTTGCACGCAGCTTACTTATCAGCCGGAAAAGAATAGCAACTTGTCAGTATCAGAGTGCGATGAAAAGCATATTAAGGCCGATACTTCTCGTTCCATATTGCATCAAAACAAACATACAAGCCACGCAGTTTCTACGCCCAGAGAGAGATCTCAGTTGATGCACAGAATCACAAACAGAAATTCATCCCATGCGCGTGTGGATACTACTTGATTTGAATCAAGGCAAGACACAGCAACTATGCCATTTCATTTCGCTTTAAAAAGATTGTTGATTTTTCGTTATCTACAACTTTTGACTTGCCTTGTACTTTTTGTACCTGATAATTAACAAAATTGACTCAAAATCAAGTTGATATTGATGCCATGAGTATTTTCATTTATGCTATACAAATAAACTAGTCAGTTTAGAAAGCATAGATCAAGGTCAAAAGGCAGTTATATGTGAGCAGACTATAAAGTAAACATGCAAAAAGTTGGAAATCAAACTTTTATTTTGAATAAAAAAGTCAATAATCAGTCAACCTAAACATCAATATCATATAGCTTCCCGGTAAGTGGATCGCGATAGCAGTTCAGTTTTTCGTCAAATTCAAGTTCCAGCGTCTCATCTGCACTATCACCAGCCACTTCTTCCAAATCAGCTATATCCTTTTTTCCCTCGGGTATTGAGGAATATGTACAGACATTATCATCCAAAGATGCATCAGATTCAAAAACAAGTTGTTGTTCAGCTCCGTTTTCATCAAAAATGACGAGCGCGTCCAATGCTTTTACTGCATCATCGTTTGGATCTGCAATTATACTCTTTTTGGTAGGCAAGCAATTTTCAGAAAATCCAATCAAAGAATCGACAAGACTCGTTTGTTGAATTCCAAAAGCATCAGATGATATCCCTTGCAGCATCGTACCATTTATAGACTGATCATGCACTTTGATTGATGTATGCATATCAATTTTTGAGGCTGTAGTATGATTGGTACTACTGTCAATTTTTAAATGCATGGTCGGTTTCTCATTTTGCATAAAGTTTTCGCTTGAGTTGTCATGTTGGCTAGATGATAAAGAATTCTGTTCGTTTTCTATACTAGACGTGCGACTTCTAGATTCCATGGCATTATCAAGCTCCGCTGCTGGGGCAACATTTAATAGCGGATCTTCAATCAATGAATCCAGCTTGCATATCTCTTTTAACTGATGTACAGGATTCAAGGCAAAAGAAGAGTTGACAGTAATGGCGTTACTGTCAAAATTGGTATCCTTGTTATATAGCAATTTGATATCGGTGTTGAGCGCATTAAAAGAACGATCTTTTGAATCTGATATGGATGACAAGGTGCGTTTAAAGCAAGTGGGTGATTCAAGCTTTCTAGATGAAACTGTATCATACGCAGGCATATTAGTCTCCAAAAAAGTTGGCGATTTTTTGTGCACTAAACTTTCAATACTAGATGTGCTTTTCAAATTGGTCGACTCGAGATTCATTGTAGCCTTTCCAAAACAGGGTGATGGTACTGGCGACAATTCCAATACATTATGCTTCATTGTGTCTTCAACAAAGCCATTGTTCATATCAATACATTGACTGCTTTTTTTTGTAGTTGGAACTGGAATGTGTGATCGCAATTGTGAAAGACGTGGCGATAATGAATGCGAGGCTGCATTGATTTGAGGAGATAAAGAGCTTTTGTGAGATAGAACAGGAGATGAAATTGATGATTGTGATGTACTTTTTCGAGAATGACAAAAGGGCATGGGTAGATCTGACTGCATGACTGAAGCAAAGCTAGTATTTTTGATACTTTTTATTTCTGGTAGCACTTCCAGCGATATAAATGCATTTTGGCGTTTCATACTGTGCTGTAATGGAACTGAAGTAGTACCATGAATCTCACTGTGCGAGTAAACGGATTCCAGCTGAAGAGCATTGTCAGGGTTATCAATTGATTTAATGATTTGACTAGGACTTTTGATTGGTTTGCTAGAAAGAGTTCCATCATGAAATGCTGTGGAAAGAGAGTGGGTTGTATCATTTTGACAAAGGTAATCATCAATTTCTTTTTGTAGTCTGGAAGTTGGGGATGGCGTATTACGTGCATCAAATACTTGTAAAGAATCAGATTGATACATTGTGGAATCGTCAAAAGTAGGGTTTTCATCAAAGCTGCCTCGATGTGACCAGCCTTGTAGCTCCTCATTGTCATCTGTATACAATTCTGGGTTGTATACACTTATTTTTCGATTTGGTATGCTGTTTGACTGATTATCTGACGAAAATATGGCCAACGTGTCTGCGCTAGTAGGAAAATCTGACAAGTATGCGTGCCTGGAATTTCCAACCGTAGAATCATTGTTTTTTGAATGAATGGCATGTTCGGAATGTGCTGGTAATATAGGGGGTAGCTTGAGCGGAGTGCTTGATCGAATGATTGATTCTTTGAGGTCAAGGGGTTTTATACTCGAATCTTGATGCAAGCGCATCTTTGTACTGACATCAGAATATCGTGTTGATGAGCGATCAGAAGTTGATGAAGATAACCGAGTAGATTTGGCTGTTTTTTGTTCTGATACATGTGTCAAATCGTTATGCTTTTCATGTCGTGAGCTATGAGAGTCGGGTGTTTTGATTGACAGTATTGATGCTCTAGATTTTGACTTTCTAACAGATGGTATGGGATTATCTATATGTTTATCAAACGCAATATTTTGAAGCGGTGTATACAATGGAATGGCGACACTATGGGCTTGACGAATTTCTGGTATTTTTGATTAAACATTCATACAATGCTGTCAGAAATATGAAAATCAACATATGTCGGTTTTAAAAGCAAATACACCTCACCATTAGCAGAAATCTGACGCTCGATTGCCATATAGGCAATACGATGCATATTTAATACTTGAGTCGAATATGACACTCCAAATGGAAATTCTAGAGATTTTGGTAAAGGCTCGACGTTGTGAAGCAGCAATGGCATTGGATCATTGTAATCTAAAGCGTCGAAAAGGTCAGTTTAACTGCTCTTTTTTGAAAGTCGGAATCAATAATCAAAAAACTCACTTTCATTTGTTGTATCTGGCGGTTGCTTCTCTAGCGTAAATATCCGTCTTAAACGAAAGTTACCCAGGAGAGTAATGCTGTCTAACGATCTGAATGTTTGACCGTGATAATTATCACTCACCAGACTGACCAGATCAAGACAAAAATTGAGCCACTAAAAATCAAATCGAATTCAAAGGGTTAATCGTATTTAAACTCGAGTTCAAATGATTAAACTTACAGTTCCGCGCTTTGCTACTACCAAAGGAATACTACAATGCAAAGCAGTTGCTTTGATTTCCTTGTGTGCACTGGATAGAAAAAAGCGGCGATTGTTGCTATTTAAATCGGAAACACTGAAATGAAACCATGTTAAAAATATGGTATAAATTAACTATATTTACAAGAAACAATCGAGTAAATCCTACGCTAATTCAATTGACATGGCTTTTCCTTGCGGTATACATATCTGCAGAACCAGAAACGACTGAATGAGATATGCTATTTTTTGATCCGTATTAACTCTATATTAGATGCAGCATATCTATATATTTCATCAATCTGTGCACATTTCAATTCACCTTTTTGCCTGTCATCTTTGGGGAAAGTCAATTTTCCCAAACCTTCACAGCTATAGCAATATCCCTAGTAAAATTAAATATTATACAATGGGTTATCATGATTTCAAAATTTATCGTAATATATACATATTTTCAGTTCAGTACAAGGCATCTTCTAATCAGATCTGCCAATTAATATTTATCTTACTTTAAGATCTTTTTCGAATTGCTTCTTAATTGAGCTTTTATTATGCAATTTCCATTGTAGCAGACTTGTATTGCTCCCTTGACTGGAGAATATCTCAAATGATGGCCCGCCCTAAATGGAATGACCATGAAGTCTGAGTTAGATTATTGCTCGGCTGTTTATGAATTAGGCACATTCCATAGAGTCCATTTTCCTTCGGACATTGTACGATTTTGTAACTGTCGAAGCGCGGAAAATATCCATCGACTTTGAATAAAGTCTACTTTCACTGTTTCAAATAGAAAGCTTCAATTCAAGATTATTGTGTACCTGATACTCATTCTTAAACATGATGACAATGCTTGATGTGTTTAGAACTGTGTTTAAACTCTCGACTTGCTACCAAAATCTACAAAACTATTTGACAAACATTGAGTCTCCGTCACGCGTCCTAAATTTCACTTTTTCTGCTGGTTCAACCTTGCATTCTTGAGCTCATCTCATTACAGCTAGTTTACTGAACGCGTTTCTACTGTCCAGCTATATATTGCACAGAAACAGCATGTCTTCTATAGAAAAGACTGGTGCTGATGGTAAGTAGAGTTTAATTTTCATTCAATATTGCATAACAATAATGTTTAGTTTACATGCCACTCAGATATATCACTGTTTCCAATATATTGTATCTATAGACCAACCTGTGAATGAAAGCCCGCATATAGAACTTCCTCTAGAATTAGAAAGTCTGCCAATTAAAAAAGACCTTGAGAATGTTCCTCTAACAGACGACTTTTACTACAATGCCAACCTTTTTGAAAACCATGATATAGTCTCCAACAAACGAATTAGCTCTAAAAGTATTAGTCTTTTGTAAGCTGAATACACTGGGTTATTTTTGAATACATACAGCGTGTAGATTTTATGCTTGATTAATCTAATACTGTATAATGATTTAAATCTAGCCATTCGTTTGGATTTTCTTCTCATAAGCGGAATAATATACACTTTCTCGATGAAAATACTATACTTTCTTTCATTGGAAATGTATTGATATTTATGAACTTGAGAACGGGTGAACAAAAGCACATGATGGGTTTACGTGAAGGATCTATTGGTGCAGTGGCGGTAGGTTAATTTGGATAGTCGGATTGAATTATATTTAAACACGCATTGCTAGTCATGTATAGCTGACTGTTGATTTGGTTTTATATGCCTGTTAACAATTAGATACATCCGATGCAAACTTATTTTGCAGTTGCAGAAATATTTGATTCTCAGCCACATATATATGTATTCGAATATCCATCATTGAAACTATACCGTGTTTTACGCAATGGCGCCGAAAAGGGATATTCGGATTTGTGTTTCAACACTAACGGAGACAAAATTTCCAGTGTTGCAATTGATCCAGACTACATGCTGACGATTTGGGACTGGAAACAAGAAAAGGTCATGCTTCGAAGCAAGGCTTTTTCACAGGTATAGCTTGTGTTGGAGTTTTAAAAAACTCATTTTACGTTTTTTCAAATGCACGATTACTAATAGCAGCAAATATGACCATTTTGATTATTTTCTAATCAATACATGCAATTAGGACGTGTTTCGAGTTGCATTTTCACCGGAAAACGATGGCATTTTAACTACATCTGGTATGGGCCATATCAAATTTTGGAGAATGTCTTTGACGTTTACTGGTTTGAAACTTCAAGGATATCTTGGGAAATTTGGTGCTACTGAACTGTCAGATATTGCCGCGTTTATTCAGCTCCCGGACGGAAAAGTTCTTTCTAGTACAGAAACCGGAAACATGCTGCTTTGGGACGGTGGCATGATCAAATGTGAAATCGGAGTTAAAGGCAGACGTTTGTGTCACCAAGGGAAAATTGAATCGATCTTGCTTGTAGAAGGAGAGGTCATCACAGCTGGAGAAGATGGACTGGTTCGTGTCTGGGACTTTGAAACAATTGACAATGCAGATGGTTCAGCTGGAGCATCATCTTCTGGTGGTGGTGCAATAGACTCTACTTCAGGAGCTGGATCACTTTCACAGTCTCGAATATTCGAGATGGAGCCTATCGATGAAGTCCTAATTACCAAAGATGTCAAAATCAAATCAATTGTTCGCTATCTAAACAGCACCCATAACTATATTGTTCAAGATCAGCAAGGGCATCTTTTTTGTTTGGATTTGAATAAGCGATCCAGTGACAAAATTCTGTCGTTTCATGCCGGCCCAGTGGCTAGTGTGGACACCAGCCCAACCGCGCATATTATGGCTAGTCTAGGGAGCGATGGAAATTTGAGAATGTATGACTATGCTGCAAAGAAAATGTTGAACAAAGGCCATTTCTCAGCTGGAGGAACTTGTATGAGTTTTTTGCCGATTACACTAGACTGTACTGGCAATACACTTATTGCTGGATTTGCTGATGGAGTAATGAGAATCTTATCTTACACCTCGTTTGGCATAATTTTACAACATGTATTCAAACCTCACTGTGCAGCAATTACATGCATTTCAGTTTCAAAAGACGGATCACTTATTGCTACAGGATCTAATGACAAGAGTGTTTTTTTGTTCCGAGTAGACAAAACAGCCAAAAACAACCAAGAAATCCCGTATTCCAGATCATCGGTAAAAATAACCCCACTTGGTGTGCTAAGTCTACCTGATCAAGTAGTCAAAGTACAAATTGCGCCTGATTATGAACTTGACAAGGAAAAATTCAAGTTCAGCGCATCGACAGATATATTTCCAAATGACAAAAAACTGATTGTTGGCAATCGTCTTTTTGTTTTACTTGAAAACGGAAGCCTTTACTCTGCATTTTTGTCTTCAAATGAAGTTATTGACACTTCTGTCACATTTGAAATTGCTCCTGCTCAGATCTGGTTGAAAAAATGGACAGTAATCCTTCCGGAAATTCCAGTATCCAACGCGCTTCAAAATACTACAGACGATATCAAGCAAGCTCTTGGTAAGCATCCTGCAAGTAATCCTCAAGTTTTGGCACCTAATACAATCTCATCATTAGACATTCAAGGGCAAAAAAAAATGACTACCGAGCAAGCTTCAAATGGACTACCTTTACTTCAAGAACAGGGTATATCAGCCGATCAGTCCCACCATGCTGCCACAAGTAATTCAAAAACTGATCAGCCTGCTTTATGCACAAAAGAGTCTCGAGGGTTAATAATTAATAGCGAATCTTTGATTACAGCAATCCACTACGCCGAAAACGGATACTTTTTGATGGGAATTATAAATACCGATGGTGAAGCAGAAGTACGTTTGTGTCATGTGCTGATGCCTGCCCAAAGCCGCCTGCTTTTGGTCTATAAATCTGCTATTACGGATATTTGCTTGACCAAAACCAACGATTATCTTTTGATTGGTACTGCCGATGGTGCATGTGCTATTATTCGATATAATCAAAAGGAATTCCTTTTAAAAGATCGACCCAACACACACGAAACTTATCAGGAATACCTTGGTAGTTTTAACAATCGTATTAATACTGCACTTGAGCAGCAGGATAAAAACATTCAAAGCAACTCCGATAATGACTTGACAGAATCGCTGATTGTCAATGGACAATTTTGGGTTGGGCATGGTCACGATGTACTGCAAGGACGTGTCAACATGGTTCGAACAAGTTTTGATAATGCATTCTTATGTTCAGTTGGAAACGATGGCGGTGTGTTTGTGTGGCGAATCCATTTTAACGATATCAGTTTTTGCAAGCCTACAACTGCAAAAATAGAAGACCAATCCAATCAACTTTCTCAGCCTGAAGATATCACTGACAGCAATACATACACTATTCAAGAAGCAAAGGTTAAATCTGAAAAAGATCGCGAGGCAGAACAAGCGGAAGAAAAGAAAAAAGCTGTTCGGAATTACATTCAAGATTTGCGAGCAGAATTTATAAAACTGATTGGTGAAAATGATAAATTACCCTCTGAGAAAGCATGCATGCGTAAAGACCTTTGTGTTGATCCATACTTGCATGCTGATATTGAACGGGACACTTTGGAAAAAATCTTCACGTTGCGAAAAGAAATGGCATGGGTTTCTGAAAAGGTATTGATTGGTCTCACGAAACTCCGTGAAAAATATCTGGGATCACTTCAAACAGAAAGAATTGAATTCAAGGCATTTGAAACAAACCATACCTTGTCGACATACAGAACCATGAATATGGATCAAAGCGTTGAAACAATGCTACAGTCTCTTTTAAAAACTCCCAATCGTATTGATACAACACCTCATGCAAGAAATCTTCCGGAATCTCGAACTCCTGGTATGGTAAGATACTCATGGTTGGTTGAAATAGTTGAAATTTTATAAACTTAATCTTAATTTATGGCTGGACAGTCTCGTGATACTGAAGGAGGATCCCCGAAACAAGCATTATTACTGACCCCTCAGCATGGTGATGCACAGACCCCACATAGGCGAATTGTCAAGGTATAAGATAAATTTGTGTGTATTATTTTCAAAAAAGCTAATTCTATAAATTTTGTTTTTAATGTAAATTAGCATACCGAAGTCAAGAGTAAATTAGAATTACGAAAGCAACAGCGTGCGGAACGAGCAATCATTTGGAACGATCTAATGAGTGTCAAGCCAGATGATACATATGAAGATCCTAAAGATGTTGCTGCAATCCGATATGCTCAACACCATATGGGTGATTATCGACTCAAAACAGCAAACAACTATATTGTTCCGGAAAATGAGCGCATCGACGCAGACAAGAAAAAAAAGCAAATTCTGCTTCTTCGTGAAAGTATTATTTCACTAAAAGAGCAATACAATAAGCAAGTTTTGAAATTACGATCTCAAAAAATGTCTTTGGTTGATACTTTTACCCAATACAACATTAGATTTGCTGAAATCAATGCAGAGTTGATGAAACTTGGTAAAGTGGCCAGTTTCAACAAACGAGTATATACAATGGAGGTGCGTACTTGTATTTTTTACATTATTTTTTTGTAAACGACAATATAGTCTGATGTACAAGCGGTGAATTGATTGTTTAGTCAAGTGCGTTTCCTGAGCATCGCGAAAAAGTAGCACCAACAGATATAATACAGTTTCAAAACCAACAGCAAGAAGAGTCTGTGCATCGTAATGGACACAATGACATGCTAGACGCATTTGGCACTGGATCTGCTGTTCCAGTCCAAAATCAATCGATCCACTCCGGATTGAGTGGTGCACCTGTAAGAACAGATGGATCCACTCTAAAAAAGTATAATGCAGAAGAGAATAGACCGAGTGTTGGAGTTGACAATGGAAACCCAGCAGCTTTTGAAAATTCCACCGAAAGTCGAGTGTTGTCTGAAACAGATGCTGCAGCACGTTCTGATGCTCCAACACCATTAGAACTTGAAAAGACGCATATTAAAATCACAAAACTCTTGTACGAAGAGTCTGAAATTGCAAAATCGATTGAAAAACATATCCAGACATTTGATGGTGCTGTTGAACAGCTTGCTCGTGAACGCATTACTCTCGATGGAGGTAAGTATTGAAGCCTTTATATCACCCTGCTTTAGCAACAATGTCGTAATAACTAGCACATTGCGTTGATTGAACAGATTTAAAATTTGCGGATATCAAACTGCTGCTACTCTATCAGGAATGGGTTTTGCTTAAAGAATTTGAAACCCACGATACCGCATTGGCTGAGAAACTATCTGTAAAGCTGAGCGAAAAAAACGAAGTTGATCAAAAGGTAGATCTGCAGCTGATTGATGTCACGCTAGTGTATCAATACGATGGCAGTAAAATTTTAGAATCTAACGAGACCATGTATTGACTTGCCAATAGATTTCCGAGTGTCAAGGCAAATTGGCACTAAAAAAGTCTGATATAGAAGCTATCATCTCCAAGGGAACTGAAATCCGGGAAGAATTTTCTCGTTTATTAGGTGAAAACAATACCAATGAAGAATACTTGACCAAGATATTCACAAGAAAAATCAAAAGATCCAAGGTACTGCTCGCATTTTATTTGATTTGATCATTCAAAATATTCCCAGACATGGCAAAACTAAGTCGTGAAATATACATTACTTAGAAAAAGATCAAGGAGAGAAGCGGAAGTAAAGGATTCACAGAAAACAATGATATCGATGAGGAGGATGAAGACAGTGATGAAAGCGTCGATTCATCGTTGGGCAGTGATATGGAAGACGAAGACGAAGAATTTGAAGAACGCTGTCCAGTAGATTGTGATCGTACACTTTGGTTCAACGTTCTTTCCCAGCGCGATAAGCGTCTAGATCAGGATGAACTTTTAGCAGACATTCAAAAATCAGTCGAGGTTTGTTTGAGCTTTATAATGGAAATTTTAAAAATTGGCTTTAATTTTAATGGCTTTTAATCAATGCATTTTAGGCACTTAAAAAGGAAAACGATTCGCTCATTAAAAAAGAGAAAATTGTTGGAATTGGATTAAAAAGTGCAGAAGCTGAGATTCAAGATTTTCAAACACAGAAACAAAGAAAATTGAACGAGTTGGACGTTCTGGTAAGCCATTATCTATATGTAGTCATAGCATCAACACGATGGATCGAGAATAAAATTGTTAAACGCCGCACTTTTGTTGTATAGGTCCCACTTCGATTCCATCAGATTCAATATTTAGAACGAGACATGATCCCGTCCGACTTATCACCTGCATTGGTGTTTGTCAATGATGGACTTTTGAAACTACAAAATAGAATTTACGAGCTTCAACAGGTTTGTAATTTTTTGAGTTGACAATATCAAAACGGTAAAGTTGTCAACATGACATACTCAACACTATATGTGGAATACAGGAAAAGGCAGATATCAAGAAACAACACAAGGAACTTCGCAAGCAGCATGTCAGTTTTATCAAAAGTAAACGAGATAAACAGCAAAAGGTATTGTAAGACTAACTACAAAACGAATTATTTCCAGTCAAGTCTTATTCGGTATGCACTAATTTCAAAAACATGACATGAATAGCTTCACGAGCTCAGCGATCGGGCTAAAGATGTGCAGATGCTCAAATTTGGGCAGATAGTCGATTTGGAAAAGCTTGAAAAGCTGGGCGTAAACAAAACTGCAGATGAACTTCGCGAAAAACTGCAACGAGAGGATAATCGTCGACTAAAGGAAATCAAAGAGTATGATGTAAGTTATACTTGACAAGTGTCTATATATTTGAATCAAGACTGCTCAACGCATTATACAAACTTGTGCTTAGAATAAAATTGAGCAACTCAAAGAACGACTTACCGAGGCAATCAAAGAAAATACAGACAAGGTCGAGTCTTTGGTGCAACTCAAGGAGCAGCAACACGCAATTGAGAATGCACTAAACACATCCCAGGCATCAGTGGTGAGTACATGCTTTTTAAAAGTCTTTAATTATCCATGCAGTGGAGCTACATTATGTAGTTTATAGATCAGCTAGAGCCTGCACTAAAGTTTGTGTAATTAGACTGCAGAGTATTCTGGCCCTCAAAAGAAAGATATTGATGAGCGTGACCGCTTAGTCTTGTTGGTTCAATCGCAAGCTCAACAAATAGATGCGCTCAAGTATGAAATTGAGCTGCTTATAAGAAAGCCTATTGGCCGTGTCCCAAATATTAAAACTCAGTCTACCGTGCCCTATCCACCAAACACGCGACCAAAACTTCATGAATCCCGGCCTCTACGACATGATATTCATATGCCTGACACGGCTCTGATGATGCAAAATGATCAAAGTATAGACTCCCCTGGTAGTGCAATGACTTCCGACGCAATCATTTAATAGTACACATTTATTCAAACGATTTGGGTTGTTTTCAACTATTGCTAGTCTTTAATATATTTCCAATAAATGGTAATTTAAATCTCATGTACGTTTACGTATTCAAGCCATCATTACATCCCATCCATCTCGTCTGCTTTAAACGACTCGGTTAAAAATTGAAGTGGCGGAAACTTACGTCCTGGATGAGGCACAAGTGCGCTAGAAATATTATCCCCCCACCAATTATCTGCATGAGCTCGATACCACTCGACTAATAAAAATCATTGTAAGAACACAGCGCAACAAAATAAATGCTAGACATCAAATACGTACTAGTAATGCGTATGCCTTCTTCAAATGTTGTTGTTGGTCTCCAACCCAAAGAGTGTATTTTTGAAGAATCAATGGCATATCGCTTGTCATTGAACGCTCTATCTTCAACAAATCGGATGCTATTTTTTTCATCAGCGATATTAAAGTGTCTCAGAAGCGACCTGGTTAGTTCAAGATTTGTAATTTCGCAGTCAGATCCAATATTATATGTTTCGCCAAACTTTCCGTGCAACAGTATTATCGTCAGTGCACGAGTCAAATCGCCAGCAAACAGATATCTCCGTGAATTTGATCCATCCCCGTGAATATAACTGCGACATGGAATGTTAATTACGGCACCAGTTTGGAACATCCATTAGTGTAAAAACAGGTGTAGCACCCGTCATATTCAATCCAAGTCTATATACATGCATACCATGGAAGGTTTTTTAATATAGAGCAGATGAACTTTGGAATAATCTTTTCTGGATATTGGAATGGTCCAAAAATATTATTGCTTCTAGTGATGATGATGGGCAGTTTAAATGACTTGTAGTAAGCCATGACTAGACATTCGGCAGCAGCTTTAGTAGCTGCATATGGATTTGATGGTGCCAATATTGAAGTTTCATTCATATCCGGCTAGTTTAGAATTAAGCCAGTTGAGACCATTAGTTTTTAAGAACAAAGTGTCAACTATAGATTCACATTTTTACATGCCTCTTGGTGATCGACTTCGCCATATACTTCGTCAGTGCTAACATGCACAAAACGACGAATCTTGTGTGCACGAGCAGCCTCCAGTAGAACATGAGTACCATATACATTATTTCTAGTAAATTCAAGCGAGTCGCCGAATGAATTGTCTAGGTCAAGATTAGCAAGCCTTGACCAAATGTAATTCAAATTAGGATAGCGCAAAATATTAGCTCACCGACATGGGATTGGGCTGCCAAGTGCAAGATGACATCAATCTTTTTTTCGGAAAGCAGATAGTTGATAAATTCTGCCGAACACACATCTCCCTAAAGACAGCAGCAACAATTGAATCTTGAGTGTGTGATAGTCGCAAGAAATTTAAAAATACGCCGATACCTTGATAAAACTATAGTTTGGATAGTCGACTACCTCTTGCAGACTCTTTAACGATGCACAGTAGTCGAGCTTATCAAATGCATAAATGTTCCAGGATGGAAATGACTTTACCAGATGGATAACAACATGTGAACCGCTAAACAATTGATTAATGGCAATATAGACCATGACTGCACTTGATAGAATACAAGGACAAGGAAAAGAACTGCAAGATGGCATACTGCTTACATAAACCCTGCACCGCCAGTCACAAGGATGTTGTGAGAGGCAACCTCTCTTGATCCACTTACGGCCGTACTCATGTAGAATGAAATTAAATGTCAACTGTCATGAAATGATTTTTAAATTTACTGGGCGTTGAGCGACTGACATGGAAACAACAGTTGGATTCCTGATACGCGCAATCATTATTTTAAACTAGAATGCAATGCATGGATTTGAATACAGCAAATGCAGTTTGTAGGTTATATTGGAAACCGTCGAATTCAATATCTGGATTGTTGGGAATCTGGTGATGATACAATGACTACCAAAGGTAGAGAAAGAGCGTGTTCAAAACTATAATTTGTTTGAAACAAGAATTGAGATTGTTTATTAGAGAATCAGCCAATCTCTCCAGAAAAGCACCGAATATTTGACCATTGCCTTTCAAAACAAAATAAATAGAGATTACTGCAAGATAAATACAAGTGCTCTATTTTACGTGAATATGGCTACAAATTCATTGTCATGTTTCAGCAAATGAGCAAGCAGTAAAGCAGACAAGTGTCAATAAGTGGGGTCAAGTTTACTCAATGTCTACAGAACGACACTGCTGCTTGGGTAAAAATCAATATCAGATTGTCCAACAATCAAAATACGCCCTTGAAAATCAAGCAATCCATTTTTGATTCTTGTGTACCAAACAGGCCACCATCTAAATAGCAATCTAATCAACAAGTAGCCACTGCAATCACGGGCGATTCAGCTTAAACTGACTGCTGTAGTCGTAATTATCCACTGACAGGCGGCGCATCAATAGCTACTGAAACACATTGCTTTAAATCAAAATTGCACCAAAGCCACTCCAGCACCATTTGTGATCCCTGCCAAACAATTATTTGGCCGACTTTTCGTTCCTTGGTTTTCTTGTCAACACTGTCCATCAATCGGTTACAAGAAGTCAGTTTAAATCTAACCATTTTTAAATAGTTTGAACTAGACCTGCAATCCACCATCATTTTGCACTCATCCCTGTCTCAAGTATCATTGTAGAGCACCTTGTGCAGTCAATCACTGCCGAATCATTCATTTGTGCACTTTTCATATAAACATCAATCATGCAACTTTTCAGGATCAACCTCTATCGACAACTCTTGTCTTTAATCGCAGTTTTAGCAGTTCTTGCCGGTCAAGGTATATCATACTTTGCACTGTCCAATGCATGAAAGCTTATATATTCAACAGCCACTATATTGTAAAGTGGTTATATTTCAATATTTGCAAAGTCAAGATTCGGTGTATGGACAGGCTGTGTAGACTCGTCCTTGGCTACCATGAACCATACTGGATAATCTCATTCATGATGATCATCTAACAGTCAGCATAGCTCTGATAGAATGATCTGCACTCTTTCCCTTTTAAATGTTTTGTTACTATTCCATCCGCTGTTTTGCCTAAACTAACATTTTGATTTTCAAGCTATTGCTTACAATACCAACTGCCCTACCAATGGTGCGTTTTGTATCCATAGCTTCATTGATTCTCAAGGCAACGCAGTATTCACCGTCCATTCCAGTGCTCAAGGGTATGTTCCATCATGTCTTTGTTGCCTGCTCTGATTGATTGTTGGCTGCCAACGCCTCATCCGTCTGTTGATTCCCTTTAATTTTTAATCTAATAATTGTTTGGTTATTTCTCAGTTGGGCCGCATTTGGAACTGGTAACTCAATGTCGGGATCGTCAATGGTTATTGGATGGATCAACTCTACAAACGGGGTTGCTATTTCCAATCGCATCTCAACAGGGCACGCAGTTCCTGCTGCTGCGCCTGCTGAGTTTGCTGTCCAGCTTCCACTTCAGATTCCTAACCCTCCATGGGCAATCATTTCCTTTTCCTTTAAATGGGCCCCTTCTTCAAATATTGCTCCTCTCACTAGTCCAGGAAATTATATATATGCTGCGTTTAGTGATAAACTCTCACCGGGTGGTGGTTTGCCTGTGCACAATTCTCGTGGCTCAATCAAGGCATTTGACTACAACACCGCTGCTCCCAGTGTCGATGGCGGCACTGCAAATTCTACTCAATCGGGAACCTCAAAAAGCACTGCTATTCTATCCTCTACACCTGACCTTTATAAAACGATTGTAGTCTTGCATGGTGTCGGCATGTTTGTCGCTTGGGGCATTGCACCGTTTTTTGGAATATTCATTGCACGCTATTTGAAGGAAAAACTAGATGTCTGGTGGTATCGACTGCATCTAATTATCATGTTTGTATTTTGTTTTGTTTTGACCATTGGTTCTACCGTGATCATTTATCTGTACAAAACACCTCCTCACTTTCAGGATGTTCACCGGGTAAGCTTTTTAATTTTTTATTGTAATGCAGTTTGCGATTGTCATAGTGCTGACTTTTGAATTGAATGTATAGATGTTGGGTATTATCGTCTCGGTATCTGTCATCATTCAGGTGATTATGGGCTTCGTCTCCAATGCATTGTATAATAAAGGACGCGAGCGCATTCCTATCTGGGACAAAGTTCATTGGTGGTTTGGTCGACTCGTGTGTGCAGCTGGTGCTGCCAACCTATTTCTTGGTCTCTTGATGTACCACGATATGGGATATACGATGCCATACTGGCTACCCATTATTCTTGGTGTATACTTCTTTGGCTCATTTGTCATGTTTAGTCTTGGTGAGCGCTACTATGGTAAAGTGGATCATATTAAGCTTTCTGGTGACCCGTCTCTCCGCCAAAGCTACTACAAGCCCTCCATGTCCAATCCTCGACCTCTATCTACAAAGAGTGGATATCCTGATGATCATAATAGCTTTGGGCGTCCAAGTATTCCTCCACAACCATTTGACGATGCTGCCAATGACCGCTATAGCAGATACACTGCTGCACGATACAGCGCTGTAACTCCGTCCCAAGGTCGTAGTAATGACCGTAGTTTGAATCGTCGTGATGATTACCAATTAGGCACGAGCTACCGATGATGATGGTCGGTATCGTCGTTAAAGTTTAAATCTCAAAATAAATTGTACTGTTATCATTTACTATCTTTCTCCCCATTTTCATGCTCTTAGTCATCAGATTAAACAAGCCTTGAGCCCCTGTGGTATTTATCGAGTCCGAATGTAGCTCGAAATTTTTCAACAACATTAAATGCGTGTAATGTAGATGGTACCTTGTCCTAGGTCATACATACCTCTAGCAATAAGCTTTGAATATAGGAAGCGACATTTATTTTTCAAAAAACAGATTTTTCTGGCGTCTTGTCATTAAGTTCCGGTGGGGCTATCTTTCCATGATCTAGTATATCAACGTAAACATAAAAGTGAGTTCAATCAGCAACTATGCAATCCAAAACCATTCAGATTGACAAGTCTCAACTTACGAATTTGGCCAAGCATCACTTCAGCGACGATAAACCCAATAAGAATGCAGCCTACGATAACGCCGTATCCAGCTTTAGTACCAACCGTGACAACATATCCAATAGATTGAAGCATACTCATGCCGGTAATGATATTGATCATTCCAGCTACAGCAAGAGATCGTCCAAAAATCCAGTGAAGTTTATCCCAGATAGGAATCGATGTACGATTCGGGCTAAACATTCTATCGCAAATCACTCCCAAAATGATTTGAATAATCATAACTATTGCAATTGCAAGACCAAATGACTGTAAATGGTTTAGTGTACCACATTACAAGTTGGATGAACTATTAGTATCATTTTCATAATGACCTCAACTATAATGCAGAGTAGCTTTATATGTTACCCTATGGAATCCATTTGTGAAATGCGGAGGTGTTTTGTACAATACAACAAGAATAATTGCTGCGATTGTCAGGAGTCCCGTCACAAAAAACATGAAAAATACATGTAGTCGAAACCACCAGACTCCAAGTCTGTCCTTCATGTATCGTGCAATGAATATTCTAAAATGAATACAAGGCGATTTAGTATTTCAGGTTAGCAAATGAGATTTGGATTATAGAGATGTATAAAAATAAGACCTTACCCAATTGCAGGGGAGATGGTCCATGCTACAAACATCATAATACCATGAGCGCGTAAAATAGACTCGTATGTAACACCTGGAGGAAGGGGAAGAATAGGCAAAACGCTATTATCCGAAACTGAGTCCATGATGACTAGTGTCAAGTCATTCGGTGCAGTTCCATTTGATGTGGCATTAGTCCCTGCTACTGGTGCGGGCATAAAAGCAGGGCTTGTCAGATCAAGAGTACGAATGATGCCACGAATAGTGTGATACGAAAAAGGAGATGATGGAGAGTCTATCGATTCAGGTGGTATATCAGACATGGCAAACAGGAATGTGGAAGATGAATCAATTGACTTTGCGGGGCCAATTGCTGGACGCTGTACTGTAAAAACAATTTTGGCCCAGCTTGGAGTCGGCATTTGCTCATAGTGTGATAGTTTTGCGGATTGATCGCTGCTGTATTGGGGCAGAGTATGGCTGTGCGAGTCCCTGGTTGACAACGTGATACCGTTGGTACTGTTTATATAGCCGACGTACATTGTCGAGTCGAACATGCTAGGTCCTACACCAAATGCAGCCCATCTAGTATTACATTAAAAGTTTGTGGTTTCGTTTAGAACCGTGCAGTTTTGTACGAGGCTGTCGCGATTGGATGCAGCAATCTTACTACTGTCACCTACCAACACCTCGAGCAAATTCAATTAAAATCAAGCAAATCTTACCCCTGGGCTGCCGATTGGATCGTGAAAATAATATCACCAGTGCTACTGTCCTGGCCACCAATAACACAATAACTCTGACTTTGGCAAAACCTAGATAGAGCATATGCTATGGGTACAAACGTTAGTCTTTCATGACTATAATATGGAGTAAAATCACTACAATCTTTTGGCTCGATATTCAATATCAGATAGGCATTACAATCGTGCAGAGTATTGGAAACAAGCCATCACTGAGTATAACTAGCCAACTCACAGCCAGAGCAGTACATCACTACATATAAAATCACGGAATAGAGTATCATGATAGATATTATTCGAGAATTTGATATAGATAATTTGTGTGGAAAATATTCAAAAGAAAGCTTATTTTAACAGTTGATTTTATTTGGATTGTGTAATAAGATCCAAAATCCATCATATCTGATTGTACAAAGTGTACTGACACCTGTCAATAAAACATTGACGAAATTAGCAAATTGCCAAGCAGTCGAAATTTCAGATCCCGAAAGATCTATTGCCAGTACTCTAGCCATGAGCCGATTGTTTTGCCGTAGTAGCTTTATCCATCATCTGCTTTGGAGTTTTTATTGTCAACATCAGGATGGTGTTTCTGTATTGACTAATATACCCGACAACTAGCCAAATATTCGAAGCTTTAAAAACAAAACATCACATTTGCATTTAAAATCCCGGCTGTATTTTAATCGATTGCTGCTGGGCAGTCTCACGCCGCAATACCACAAGTCTGCTTAGATCTATGCACATACAAACCCAACAAACCTTGTCAAGACTTGCATACTGTCAAGTTATGGTACCATGAACAAATCATAGCACCATTGATCGACTTTGAATCTGCATAGGTAGATTAACCCACTGGCTTCCATTAAAACAAGAGCAAGTCAGTTTTGCTGCCATCTTACACTGGGCTAGCTCAAATAAAACAGTATCTGACCCTTATGTTTCAACAAATTGGTTACTATACCGTTTATGTCCAAGAGTAGATGAAGTTGCTTAGAGTAAATTATTGGCTAGAAACCATAGCTGTCAATTGAATGCTTGGGCCATAATTTCATGGTAACAGAACACATCTGGGCTGTGTAGTAAGGCTTGTAGATTGGACTCGTAGACTAATCTCGCGTAGCACTTGTTCACGATTTCTATAAATTAAGCCTGTGACCCACATGCTCGGTGCTCATCAACTTTTAGTTTTCAATTAGCAATACTTTGATGCGTTGGCTACCTCAAATAACTGCACTAATCTTGCTTGCTGCTCAAGGTACTACCAAATTTTTAATGGCTGTTATTTGGTTTACGTCAGTATCCTTGATATTCAAGCCATACTAAAGTGCTTTTATCCATTTAAAATATCCTCAGCTTTGTCCACATCCAGCATGTGCAATGACAACCTTTTTTGCGTGACTGGAACTAAAGATACAAGGGATAATATTATGATTACCGTGCACAGCTCTGCTCTCGGGTGAGTCGTTTAAGTTGTAGTGTTTGGACTGCATTGTGTTATAGACTAGAGAATTTAGTCAAGCTACCTCGATTCAAGAGCTTATCTTGATTCGCATTAATTAAGTGTCGTAATTCATTCTTGTGCCCCAGCAGCACTGACAGCTTAATTTACCGCTGTACTCACGTAAAGTGCAACGCTTTTCTGTTTATCCTGTAACCACTGCCACTTTTGTCTAGAGTAAGCAGTGGTTAAATATCCATTGCGCTTTTCTACTACAAATTAACTGCTTGAATTGATATTTTCAATTCTTCAACATATAACATCCATCATATGATTCTCACAAACAATAGTTTTGAGACTATCCTCATTTGGCGTAACCATACATTGTACAATCACCAGATTTATCCACTGCAATCCAGATATTGAATTCGACTGTTGTCGAGCAGCTCTACAGATTTCTGTATTCTGAATCTCGGATACATTCGCGTTCTAGTCCAAGAGAACAAAGATTGTAGTATGAGTAGTATAGGTTGCTGTTTTCATGCCAGTCATCATGAAAAGTACCAGTCAAGTTTGCCGAGAAAGTCAAATGACAATACTATCCAGTAAATTGGCAATAGTCATGCCATGAGGCTGGCTGTTTATCATATACCAATACCTCTTAGTATTTCATTTCACGTGAATATGGGAGTAAAATAATAGCTGTTCACTCAGCAGTTTGCTACCCACAGCCCACTTTATGTTTAGATTATATCTTTTACCAAAGCACTAACCGTATCAGTTTGTTTCTATAGATGGGTTGGTTTTGGTATCGGATCTGGCATGGCCGACTCGAGTATATATTTGGGATGGAAAAACACGACGGGCGGAGTAATTCTTTCTTCCCGCCAGTCTTCAGGATATGCTGTTCCTCGTGTGAGTACTGAGAACATTGTCACGCTTGTGGCTACTCCTGCCAACATTATTGCACCATCATGGGCCAGAATCACATTTACCTTTGTGCGACCTGCAGTCTCCAGCATCAAGAGTATCACATCGGGCTCTACCTATATCTATGCCATGTCAGACGTGCCTCCAGCAAATCTTGATAGTCCAGAAACCACTATAAGAATTCACAATCGCCGAGGTGTTATTCGAGGGTTGGATCTTACCACTGAATTTGGGTCTAACAATACCTCTGCTATACCAACCGGCCATACGGATCAGCCCGTTCTCCAGCTTCCCAACGGTGTGTCATACGACTACATCCTGCGTGTTCATGGAATCATGATGGTGGTTGCATGGTCGATTTCTCCTGCAATTGGGTAAGTGTACGGTTTAAGAAGGTTGGCAATCAATGAATGTTTACCTTGATCTTTTTAATACTAATCAACTGCTTTGTCTTTTAATTACAGTATTTTTGTAGCGAGATATCTAAAAATTACGCTTGGCGCAAAGTGGTTCCATTTGCATATATTCTTCATGTTTGTTGTAACAGGTATTCTTACTATTGCAAGCATCGTGGTTGTATATATCTACAAAACATCAGCCCATTTTTCATCCTACCATGAGGTGATTGGTCTCACAGTTGGTGTAGGCATGCTTGTCCAGTTTTTCCTTGGATTTTTATCAAATGCTACATTCAATCCTAAACGATCGCGCATTCCACTTCAAGACCGAGTTCACTGGTGGTTTGGTCGCATCCTGGCTCTTCTTGCCATCGTCAATGTCTTTTTTGGTATGAATCTTTACGATTCTCTTGGATTCCCTATTTCAGTTGGATATAAGATTGGGTTTGGTATTTTGATTGCCGTTATTGTCATTTGTTTCATAGCCGCACAATGCTTGATAGGCCAAAAACGTAAGTATTTTTCAATCATTAAAACAATGGTTTGATGACCCATAACGCTGACTAATACTATTTATTTTATACATTGATACAACTCTAGATCATGACGAGTCTACAGATACGCTTTTCCATTCTTGATTTGTCTTGAAATTCAAAATATAAAAATGATGATATTTGAACTCGAGTTTATTTCGTTTATATTAGAGTTTGTAGTGTTGGGGTTGGTTGTCAAGTATAGTATATCCAAGATCTAGATTTACGGGATGTGGAGTAGCTGCAGATTTTCAAGGTTGTCTAGATAGTTGAAAGCCTTTTGAATCTCAGGTAAAGATAGTTTGTAGTCTATGCAAAACCATACTTGATACACTAGCAACCAGTCGGTAGTTAGCTTGGTTTACTTTTTAATTTTCATACTGGTTTAATTGTCAAGATACCTCATTTTCATCTACTCACAATATCTAGACTATAATTGAAGAGTTCTGCAGGCATGATTCAGGTGACTTCGATTCAGGTAAATGCATTCATCTGCACTGTTCATGAGCAGTCAAGTATTTCAGCTGGGTTGAATATACCAACTGTTTACTGCAACTGATACTTGAATATGCTATTTGGAATACTACCATGGAATACTCTTTGCTGACCCAATATTTTCTACACAAGTTTACGGTTGGCAAGGTTGATGCAGGCATAGCAGTTTTACTTTCACCGGACCACCATCTAATAGAGTTTCCTGCAAACTTGTTGCCAGTAAGTGAAGCAATTTATGTATTGCAAGTCTCGCACAAAGTTGTGCATGAATATATTCTAGATGCATTTTATATCTTCATTCTTTCAAGACTCCAGCACAGTATGGATCTTGAAACCACCTGCAAATACATGGTGTCTGATTGCTAGTATATCTGGTGTAGGATGGACTTTCTACAGGCTCAATAGTCAACGTGACCGTTGAACGCAACCAAGAGGAGGAGCAGCGCCAAAAGGAGGAGTTTGCGGCTCTCCAAGAGGATATACTGAGCACGTATTCCCAATCACCACAAGCCCCGGTCATTAGTGTCAAGGCAGTGACTCAAACGTCTGTTATTATCAAATGGGATCCGCTTGTTCTGTATGCCGCTACATTCCGTGGACTAGATGTTTATCGTAAAGGACAGAAACTCAATCTTCCTGCCAATGCCTTGTCTACCTCTGCCAAGCTATCGGGGTTAGATGTTGCTCAAGAGTATGATATCTGGATTGTGTTAAGAACATCAGCTGGCTCGTTCACATCCAACAAATTGCAGGTCAAGACTCACTCTATGGATAATCTAACTGGCTTAAACCCATCATTTGGATCACTTTCAAAGGACTCTGATGTAGATACACTTATTGAATTGCTGGATCGTATTGGAGCAAAGTATACGGATGATCTGACTTCAGACAACACCCATTTGGTGTGCACAGTGCCAAAAGGACCAAAATACGAAAGAGCATTGGAGTTGAATATTCCAATTGTGACTCCCGAGTTCCTCAAGGCATGCGAGTTGCAGCAAAAGGTGATGCCAGCACATACATTTTATTTGGCAAAGCAATAAAATACAATTTGGTTTGACATCCAAGTTTGTAAATGACCAGAAATTGTGAAACTGCAAATCTGGGAATATTGGACTAGACTGGTTTTCATACATATTTTACACACTGCTGGATTGCGATCATGTCGCTAGAAGCCCTACTCAACTGGCCTGCGCCAGACCGACCTCTTCCATCTGGGCAAACAGCAGACGCAAGCTCGCTTTGTCGGACTTTTCTCATCACCGATACACTAGAACGTAGTGCATCGTTTCTACTCTGCCAGTTTGTTAACCGACACTTGCATCTGCCAAACTGGGCAGTCCGACTGGTTTGCATTTCTCAACATCCATCACACTACAATGCTGTTCACAAAAAACTGGCAAGTGTACAGCACTTTATGGTAGCTGGTTTAATCTACATACCAGCATTTTGACTGAACCTATACCAATTCTTATTTGGAATGTTGATATATTAAAAAGGGATTGCATCTGTCCATGTACAAGAATACATACGAGAGTATCGATTTATTTTCCAATTTAAATGCACTGGTACAAGTTGATCATAATCCAACGTAAGTATGATGTTCCAACTCGATTGATGACTGTATTTTGTTATTGATTGTAACCGTACTACTGATTGGGATGAACAATCTAGGACAAATACCGATCCAGTTCACATACTGTTGAATCAAATCATATCGACTGTGGGTAGCGACAAGAAACCGTGTATAGTCATTGACGATGTATCTATGCTTCTCTATGCTGGATTGAGTATTGAGCAACTTGTGAAGCTTGTAATGGCTTTGAATGGATATGTGATCGAGGTACGAATAACCATTAGACATTAACATGCCATGTGATTGACTAATTCGCTTGTGTGTAGAAATCGGGATGTCTAGTTATGCTTGTTCATGACGACAACCCAGATGATGAAGAACAGGTTTCCCTTAATTCATTGCTGGTACGACTTGCTGATGCTTTAATTCACGTACAGACACTCGAGAGCGGATTCACTGAAGATATTCATGGCCAGGTTGGTATTTATGCATCTATACATTGGTGGCTCCAGTCAGAATGTACATTATTACCACATGTTTGCATTTTCAAGCTACAGACATTTGTTTATTGACTACTTTAAAAATATTATTTGGATATATTCATATCTTGATAGCTGACAGTAAAGCTCGGTCCACAGTCACTATGGGAACCACCTGGTGAAGTTGCTCAATCTCGTGTCATCCGTCCTGGATCGATACTATTTCGAATCAACGATTCTTCTGTAGAATGGTTTGCCAAAGGAACTACAGTGATGTGATGTGTGCCATGCAATTGGTATTGCATGTTCATTTTACTCTAAAATTGACCCAAATTAAATTTGTCGTACTATATACAAATTATTTATACTGGAGGAAGAACTTGATCCATCAATGTTGCACTCAAAAGCTCATCATTTACTATTCGCTCGCCGCTATGATGACCTCGCTTTAAAAACATGCGATGTCGAAACACACGAAATAAAACAGATTGAATATGATCAGGTGTTACAAATGTGGATGATGCCAAAACAGCACGTAGTTTGGATGCAAGAACGAGATTAGTGTACGCATTAGTTGAGGTGGTGGATGTGATGATTGGGTTGCACCTTGATGCTAAAACAAGTGCGCGAAGGTACTCGTATACGTCTGGTGATATTGTTACGCTGGCAATGTGTTCTCTAAGCAAATCGAATTGCTATTTTGATTGCATTAGAATGGTGGTTTAGAAGCAAGAAAAGTGAGATGAGATTGAAATAAAGCATTTGGCCAATAGTATAAAATGATATCAACTTACGGAAAGATCAACAGGGGGTATACGATGTATGTGGGGGAAAACAAAGTCGATGTTTTCGGTAGTAAGTCGAGCTGACATGTAGCAAAAGTCGAGCTATTACAAACCATATGAATTGTCATGACAAAGCTCGATTAAGACCAAAGCAGTGAAACTTGATTCAAGCAATCGTGTGCTTTACCTGTTCTTTTAAAATAGAGACTACACCATCAATTTCAGAGCATACGAAAACAACAAGAGACTCTGGCATTCTATGTATTGTAAGTGCGTTAAAGTCGATTTTTCCATTGGCCAAAAACTAAAGTTTATCAATGTAAAAAAACGCAACACAAAGAGCTTGCCAGTTGATAAGTGACAAATATTAGATTACTGACAAGACAAGACTACTTACAGTTCCAAATAGATCGCTGACAGTATGTCGATAGGCACCAGAAAATCTCACAACAACAATGGAACGGAGCAGCTGTCTAGAGGTTGATTCATTGAGCAAACCAATGGGCGAAGTAATGGAATCAAATCTGTCACGACTCATGGTGGATCGTGATAGTGACAAATTGGAAGTTGGAGATATGGTCTCGTTCAAATCCAACTGGCGAGGCAGTTTTTGGTCTAATGATTGGTCGCGCGCTTCCAAGAATGACTTGTGAGAGTTGGATAGTGATCGTGGTCTGTAGTCAGTAACAAGAGTAGATGAAGCAGTCACAGAGTGCGATACAGGTGCATGCATGTGAGCAGTATTTGGAGTAGACAGCATAAGACCACTTGCAGCCTCGAGTCGTTGTAAAATTTCTTCTGGTTTGGTGGAGCTAGACACATCCAATAGTAATGGCGAGGCAGACAAGACTCGTTTGATTATCTAGACAGTAGCATTATTGAATCCATTCAAATATCGTGTTAAATTATTCAAAGGTCAGCAGTTGATCCTCAATGTATTGACTAGAGCAAGCTGATATTGAGCCAAGTGTATAACGGCTTTAAACTCCCAAGGTATTGAACCAAGTCGACTCTACCTCCAAAAAGCCATTGGTGCCTCGAATCAAGTCTTTTTCAGGCATAGTCACAAGCACAGCATGCTTTCGAACAGTCCAGCATGATAGAATAACGTTAAAACACTCTTGTAATTCTGGAAACTGGTCTAGTTGGCGCAAGTAGTCATGCAGCATGACTTTCAATGAGAGCAAATGTTTGGACGAATTGAAAGACAACACTGTTTATCACGTGATCAAAATTGAAGGATTGTGTCATTCCGCATGTCAACCCTGACAAATCATGCGTTTATTGTGCATCGTGTGGGTAAGCCAAACAAGCAAAATGGCTGACGCTCACCAGCATCAAATGCAAGCCAGCCAGTTTGTTTCGCTGTTTTTGTATCAATATAAAACCTGCCAATTCCCACTTGGAAAAGCCTCTTTCCCGTATTACAGCAAACGATCGTCATAACTCTCAACTCCGTTAATATCCCTTTATTCTACTCCAACACTTGTCTAGTAACTATCCAGATATGCAACTTATTGTCAAAACCCTCACTGGAAAAACCATCTCTCTTCAAGTTGAACCCACCGACACCATTGATGTCATCAAGAGCAAAATCCAGTCTCTTGAAGGCATTCCTGTCGATGAACAAATACTCTTTTTAGGAGAAACTCCACTAGAAAGCGGTGTCCCATTAGCTCAATACGGACTTGTAAATACCAACCTCAACGATTGCAGAGAAATCGCTCTTGTTACACATATGCGTGGCGGCAATCTGCTCCATTCCCAAGCCAGGGTGCTTTCTACAATAGCTTCTGGGTCACAATCAAATGTAGTGCCGCAAACAGCCCTCTCTGCTGCTCTTTCTGAAACCCTGGCTCCCATACGTACTGCAAAGAAAACTAGATGCAATATGACTGGCTGCACTGACAAAATTATCAAGATTGTCGGTGAATGCAGGTAACAATAACTAGACTTGCCAATATTATGCATCATCGGCCATTGAATTTATCCTGAACCCTAACTTTCAACTTGTACTCATTTGATTTTAGATATTGCACTAGAGGGTTTTGTGGTAAACACCGACTCCCTGAGTCGCATGAATGCTCGAATTTGCATACTGTTCGCCAGGCATCCCATGACCGTCTGGTTGGTCGTTTGATTGGCGAAAAGTGTGTTGCCTCTAAAGTCTAACGGTAGCTCTTTTTTTCAACAGCAGTTTGTCTATTTCTTTTTTTTCAAGTTTTTATAAAGTTGTGTTCCATAATTGTTTGTTTCATTGGGCTGTCTGGCTGTGTAAATGGCTATGAATGCTGAGTATCAAAGTTTAGTCCTGCATAATAAGCTATTGGCTTTTAGGCGAATTTCAAGCTTTAAGGATGGATTTGGTCAATCAAAATCCGACCTTAAATTGGGGTTCGTTGGCTTTGTTGGTATTTTTCAACTAGTTTATATTGCTCTGCATGAGCGACACTACTATTCTGAAAGTGGTTGTTCTTGGTGATAGCGGGGTTGGAAAAACTGCACTCAGAAACCAGGCAAGTCTACTCATGTGCTTGCAGTGATGCATCAACATCAGCAGTATTACGACAAATGAAACTCTTTGAACAAGTTTCCAGAATAATAGACAACTGTTCAAGTCTCTAGCTGCCTTGCATCAGTGCAATGACTAACACTATCTTGCTAATTACCAACTTACAACAATTTGGCCATTAATTCAGTTTATTCATCGCCAATTTGTGCAAAGCTACAAGGCAACTATTGGTGCTGATTTTGTAACCAAGAGTGTGCATGTTGAAAGTCTTTCCAAGACCGTTTCGCTACAAATATGGGATACCGCTGGTGGGTCATGTCTATGAATGCATACTATGCTGCGCTTGGATACTGCGATGGCCTGCTTGATCATGCAGTTTTTCCATTCCAATGGCCATTTGTGTTACTTGGCATGCCATCATGTTGTTTTAAAACTAATTTCTTGTTGATAGGCCAAGAACGTTTTCATAGTCTTGGGGTTGCATTTTTTCGAGGTGCAGACGCTTGCATGTGAGTTGATGATTACACTTTAAAATATCCATCAAGATTTGCATTCACTCAACCAATTCTGTTTCAACATCTATGGTTTAGACTGGTATATGATACAACAAACACATCAAGTCTAGATCATTTGGAAACATGGATGCGAGACTTTTTACGACAGGCAGGCATATCCAATCCAGCAGAATTTCCATTTATTGTGGTTGGTAACAAGATTGACTTGACTGCAGATCGTACAGTGACTGCAGAAAAAGCAGCCATAAAGGCACAAGAGCTACGACAAATATGCAATGAAATTGCTAGATATGAAACGGACGGATCACTCTCTGATAGTGGGTTTTTGTCTAGTACTCCTGTACAATCCAAACCATCGCCTCTTCAACTCAGAGAAACTCGGGCCATGGGGCCTCGTCGGATGTTTGGACTACCTCCACCTCGCGAACCTGCACCATTAAGGGGAGATGTCACAAAGGCACTGCCAGTGTTTATGGCCGAAGAATTTGAAGGATCGTACAAACCTCTGACTGCTTCAAGGCAATCTACTACTCCAGTCACTAGTTCTTTGCAATCGCAGGCAGATTATTTACCTGCAGACCGTACACAAGATTCACAGTATAAGCATCACAGACTAACAAACATATCAAGCATGACTGTCGAGTCCTGCACATCTTTTCATACCGCTCTTTCAGATTTTGACACTTCTGCTCCGAGCCAATTGCAAGAGTTGACAACGGCAGCTGAAAGCAATGCTAGAAATTCTTTTACAACCAATACTTCACCACGCATATCAATGGTTAAACGATCCAACTCTACTGGATCGTCTCATAAGCATGGAAGAAGTAGAAGCTTTGGTATTTGGGGAATTGGTACACACTTGTGGCAGAAGCTGAACCCTCACCAAGATCAGCATTTACCACGTGAAAAAACGACTCGAACGAATACCGCCGGGAACAGTGTTAGTATGTCAGATATAGAGCTTTCTTTGACCACCGTGGCAGAAACAAGAGATTCTCGGCCGCAAACTGAGAGTTGCGTTGATAATACAGAGTCAAGTGAACATGCAGATTTAAACCTCCATGATCTTGCGCATAATACATCAGATACACATATCAAGCAAGCACCATTGGTACCATTTCCGTATTTTGAAGTGAGTGCAAAGTCGGGAACTCATGTGAGCGACCCCTTTATATATATTGCAACGCATACGCTTCATCCACGACTCGATTTTGAATTGGATACAGATTCAATTGTTCTTGATTGGCGGCAACCATCAAGGGTTCGACGTGGATGCAATTGCTAACTATCGAGATGTCGATGAATATAATCTTGAAATAAACTGTACTTATTACTGCCTGAATGTCTTGCATCTTGATACTGTTTTCTTGAACTAGAACGGATCTGAGATTCTAGGATACGGACAGTTTAAAATTTGGACCATCAGAACAACTAAGCCAATACCTGGACTGTAATGGATGAATCTGGTGATTGTGCAATATATGATTGTGTCGAAATAAAGGGAACAATCCCAATTCAATCCAATTTAAAGCTACAAGTCTCTTGAATGGCGTTGTTTAAGAAGCCCTGAAATATCAAAGCATTACAGCTCCCTTGATCAATTTCTGTACATCATATGATGTGCAAATCAACTTAGTGTTCATTTGATTCTAGACAACATACCATTTTACAAGCTACAAATTTACTGATTAAATCTGGTTTATCAACTGTGACAAACAATATTGTGTGTAAAGCTTATTACACAGTTTCATGCTCTTGAGCCAGTTAAGATTACAATAAATATAGATTTGTATGACGTACGATTCCAATACACAAAATTGAAACTGTTGATTGCAGTAGAAAAGACTAGTCAGTTATTGTAGATTCCAAAACCGTTTACTGCAAGATAAGTTTCGTTTTACGTGAATACGGTTTGAATATTGCAGAGTTCAAGCAAACCAGTTCAGCCCAACCTTGTGTTTAGATCGACATTCAAGTACAATTGACTCCACGAGTAGGGTGGGTAACACAACTCAAAAGTATCGTATTCATACTTTTACCAAACAACTTGCAATGGATGGTTTAGTCAAAAAGCTTCCGTCTGATTCATTATCGACTGCAACCTTTTCCGACACTGTCGAGCCAAACTGTCATGTATCTGCACAAGCATCATCCCATTACCCATTGCAGCAGTCATCCCTACCAGCACCCACTACTCCACAGATTACAAATCAGTCATTAGCATCTTCAACCACGAAACCTCACGCTGCAGCTTCCTCGATGTCAAAGGCTCCGACCAGTCTTGTAAAAGCCAGCAATGAGAGTCCTGTATGGGCTGAGAGAGACCAGTCACTTTCATCAGCTCAGTTGAAGCAACTTCGACAAGCATTCAAAGCAAAATTTTCAGAAACTACTCAACAGATGTATGCTGGGAGCAGCTCTGCATCGCAGAGCTCTCAATCCATGCTCACCCAATCGGGTGTTCCAGGCTCAGAGTCTGCTATACTATTGGCTCGCTCAACACAATCGGATCGCAAACAGTCTGGCTTGAAAGTCATTCAACAACAACAGTTTGAATATGAAGAACTTGAACAGAATCCCGACTGGGTTTATGATAAACTGGTTTCAATGGGTTTTAATGCAGGTTTGGCTGCTCATGCAGTTCAAGGTGCAATAGCAACGCTTGCTAGAAACGATGATCACACCAACTTGCTACGGTGTGCACTTTACATTGCATTTTTGAACAGTCTTGAGGACCCTAGTGAGCCACGCAGTGTTCAATGTAAAATATGATTCTTGACCATACTATGCAGTTTGACATATCTGAATGTATAGATTTGACTCTAATATTATCTCGTGTTATTTCATTACATAATTAAACTAGTTCAATTTCGTTCTGCACTGTCAAAATCACAACCCATGCATCGCAGCTTGAAGCCACAAAAAAGCATACTGCGGAATCATTTGAGTTTGGACGACTCCAATCGTGGAAAAAATATGCTTCGTAAAAACTGGTTTGATAAAGCAATCGGATCACTTGGACTCGGCCCGTCTATTGGAAAAAAAGACAAGAATGCCAACGGATTTGGATCTTTGTTTACCAAAACAGTATCTCCAACAAGTGCTTCTACAAATGCAGATCAACCAGTCGATACAACATTGACTCCTATCTCACCTCATAATAATAACACCACTTTTGGCACAATCAACAATGGCAAACCAGTAGAAAACAATGGACCTGATTCTATAACACCTGTACCAGAAAACGCTGCTTCATCTACAGCAACTCCAGAATTATCTGATTCAGCGCACTTGCAGCGTTGTGTTCGTTTCAAGTTTCCAGATGTTGCAATCCCTCCAGAGCGTCTCATCAAACCCACAAACGAGAAACTATTTGAAGATCATATGCAAGAAGTTGATATTGACGATCAAGCAGATATTATTGATCTCAATAAAGAAAATACACTTTCCAAGACTGTCGCTGCTGCTGAAACTGCCATGTATCGAAACAACTCAAAATCAAATACTCATCGCGAAAAACAATCATTCATCTTAAAAAAGCCTAACGAGTTTACACCAACTGAACTACATCAATATTACATGCAGTTGTTGGCTCATGACGATCGCAAACACGTTCCTGCCCTAATTAATATTCTTCGTGAATCCGTTGAAACAAATACATTTCCCAAGTCTATCAATCTCTCTGGAATCTCAATCACTGTTGCACATGCTAAAGCATTTGTTGAATTGCTTACAATTGATTTTGGATTGCAAAGTTTGAATTTAAACAACTGTAATCTGGATGATGAAACACTCAAAATGCTGCTGCAATCAATTCTTGGATCGACTACTCTTTCTTGGCTTTCACTTTCAAACAATCCTAAAGTAACATTCCAGGGTGTCAAATACATTGCTGTTTTCTTGAAAAAGGTAATTCTAAACTTTGAGTTTGAACAAACTGCACTACTGCAGAAAACTGTTTTTATGACTAATCACTATTTTCTAGTCACCATCTATTCGGTATTTAAACATATCAGGCATTTTCTTGGAAAATCAAGGCGCTTCATATATTAATCATGCATTATCAGCTGATGGTGAAAAAGGATTTCGACAGTCATGTTTGGAAGTATTGTACATGGACAACACAAATCTCAAATCTGCACATCTTGAAATCATGAGTACGTAACACATGATTGTATATTACTTGAATTGTGCTTGGGTTTGCTTTGGTGTGCATTTGTTGATACTGACTGATATAAATGCATGCTATAATCTGGGAATACATCTTTAGTTCAAGGGATTTGTCGATCAAAGCTGACTCACTTGTGTATTCGACGAAATGCGCTTTCTCCAGCCGCCGGGAAACATATTGCACGCATTTTGGAATATAAAGAGGATTCAACTGGTTTACAGAATTCAAGTCGTGGTTTGGCTCTTAAATTTTTAAACCTCCAGGATAATGATATTGGAGTAGGTTTGCATCTAATTTATGTTGGTGCTCATGCTGATTGCTAACTGATTTATTTGTGGTGTTAAAATCTGATAGAGCGGTGTGGTGGATATTGCTCACGCACTAGCACTAAACCGTCAACTTGTCCGGCTCAATTTCCAATCAATTCATATGGATGCCGCAGGTTTTATTGCAGTCATCAATGCAATGGTATGTACTGGTTCTTTTATGCAGGTTGGTGTGAACGTGGCGATATTTGACAGCAGCTAACTAATACCTTTTTGGTCAATTTAATAGAATATCAACTCAACTCTTCGAACTCTTGATGTTGGAAACAACTATTTGTTTTCATCGACTAATTCTACTGTAGTAAGAGTTTGATTTGTAATCTTGTTTAAAGATAGCTACTATACTGCTTTATACTTAATCTGACACGGTATTGTTGTTTTTGACTATATCATAGATTGAAGGACTTAAGCAAATGTTGCTTGTAAATAATACTATCTCTGGATTATTGCTATCCAATACAAATATGCAAACAAGTGGTACGTATTTGCTGAATATGATTTGAAAAATATTTTAGACATTTTACTGTTATTGTCAGTAGCTATCTGGTGGTTAACATTCCAATACTTGTTGCTATTTGTACTGTAGATATAATATCACTCTCTGAAGTTTTGCCGCTATCAAAAAGTATTCAAAAGTTGGATTTATCACATAATAACTTTCAAGCAGCTGGGCTTATGGCACTTGCTGCCGTCATGAATTCAAATGCTCGAATCACACATATTGCGCTTTCGCCTCTAAAGCCTATCAAGGAAAATGAAGCTACGGAGGTATGTCTGTCGTGGGAAAATTGGGTTGATATAGCACTAGACTGGCTGTTCCCTAATCTAACTTTTGATTGATTCCTGTAAATGCATGTTTTTCAATTTTGGTTAGACGGATATACATGTATCCAATGCTCTGGATAATATGAGTAAGATTTTGAATCGAAATGCAAATACACAATCACTGGAAACTTTGGATACTCGTTTAGCTTGTGCCATACCATCTGAAGAAGGCATACCATCTACTGGTGTTGAGGGTGATGACAGTGATTCTGATACGCCAATGAAAAGCTCACTCAGTCGACGCGACAGTCTATTAGTTCAGCTGAATCAATTTAAAAGCCGTCGATCAATGGAATCGGTTAAAGAAGGTGCACAAAATACATCCATGTCAAGTAGATCAATGTTAAAAGACGCAGCTGGCTCATCGTTGGAAGTTGAGAAACGACTTTCAACTGCTGAAGCCACTGCTACTGTTTTGACTGAGATGCTAGACTTGATGCATATGCAAATGCAATCTGGTGTGCAACCTTCAAAAAGCCAGCGTGAGCTTCTCAAGGTAAAACAATATTTGGGTATTTGACAAGTTTTGATAGGTTGGCATAATTAAGCTATTCCGTTGTTTTTTGACATGATAATTGGATTTTTGTATGACCAATAGCAACTACGAGATGAGTCTTTGTGTTTTCAAAACAGGCTGCAGCACACCATTGATGAGATTGATGGCAATGTTGAAAACGAGCATCTTATGGGTGAGTGATATGTTATTGCACCATCTGATATTGCTACACTAGTTTTGATTACTGACTAATTTCGTACTATTTGAACTGTGAATTAGCAAAGACGTATGAGATCAGTGACCATATTGATCAGACTTTTCAACGGTATGATGAGGTTGCTCGAGTCGCTGTAAATCCTGAATCCAAGGCGTTGGCATCCGTGACTATTCCAAATCAACACGCACATATATTAGCGCCTGTATCTGGCTCAGCTCCGGCTTCTCCTCCAAAAGCTTCTTTTTCAACACCTGGTACTGAGGATACATCGTCAATATTGAATGAGTCTACCAGTGTGATATTGGATGCTGGCATGGATTCGACACAATCTGGATTACACAATGCATCCCCTACAAGTGAAGTGTTTAAACAAATAGACCAGCAGTTTTTGCTCACAAACAAACCACCATCTTCTAACTTGTCAGACAATCCCAAACAACAAACTATCTTGCCCATCACAGTAGGACACGTGCTGAACTCATCTGCTAGAGATGCAACTGATCCAAACTCGGCTGAGCAACAAAAATTACCCGATGCATCAGGATCTCAATATACAGCAAGTAGTCCTACTTTGAAGTCAAACTTTCCGCCGCGCGGTGCATCCCTTGCTATTGGTGGTATCATTGGGAACACGCCTGATTCTCACTCTATTGGACAACTGCTCCAACCCCCACTTCCCATATCACCTGTTTTTCCTACTACATCGTTATCTGACATGAATACTGATTCAAAAAATGTCAGTCCGCACATGGTAACATCTGCTCCCAGTTTACCCGATACTTTAGTGACGGGGTCGACCACCACAATTTCAACAGAGAATTTTGTATCCGACAAATAGAGCATCAATTAAAAAATTGTGACTGAATAGCCTTTGTTTATTTTTACAGCTTGTGATAAAAGGTATGAAAACGGAGAGAAAATAAATAAAAATGAAAACGTGAGCAACCATCTCTTTCACTCTTGGTGATGTTCTTTCGAGAATATCGGTATATTGTTTTAAATGGTATGAGCATCTATTGGTCGTGTCTTCCGTACCACAGCGACAATCTAGTTTTATTGATTCAATACAGGACAGCGTTCCTTATTTGGTTTTGTTGACACAATGCTTCAGTGTTCCACTTGCAGTCTACACTAACCTAAACCAATCGTGTAATTTTAGAGAGTGAATAACGCTGCCACAGCAGCTTGCTTGACACTGCTAGAATGTGTATTGAACATGGCGAAATTGAGTGAATATTGCAGATGTGATTGGAATAAATCAATAACAAACGATCGAGTTCGATCAACTGATGCTGATTTGCAGTTGGCACACTAATCAAAGTAACCGCCAGATAAAAAGTATGCATGAAGGTGTTATCACGACAGCTAATCTCTTGAACCTCATTCGACTCTCACCATGGTTAGTGAGGAAAAGAATTTATCAGTACACAGGTTTAATGACTCAATATATGCATGGTGAGCTGGATCTACCTCTCAGTCGTACCATGCTTTCTGCTATAGCCTGCGACTGTTTCAAAAACAATTACACAGATTTGGTTCAAACTGATATCCTCCCATTTTGTCTGTTATACACTTGGGAGTTCTTGTTTGTTCACACGGAAGACATGGAACGTATTGTATTGAAAAAGTACTGTCATCCTGTTGCCCAACACCGACTTACTAGTATGGATTTGACCCTTTTACTCCAACCCGACACTCAGATATTCCCAGAAGGCTACATCGCGCATCTCTGTCATCAGCAGATGGGTAAAACAATGATTGTTCCTGAACTAAAGCCAGTATTGCATGATCTTCTTCAAAGATTATGGAAGCTTTACGGCACATCAGAATACAAGCGTATTGCACCAAGTGAGGTTGGGGAGTCGAGTGATTTTGTGGATTACGCTCAGTTTCAAATTGTAGAGCTTGCTGCTTATTTGGGTGATATGGATATCCTCTGCGCACATTTCAACTATACTCCATTGGATTGGCGGATTCATTTGTATGATGCGGCAGGATTGTTGGGGCAGATCAAGGTGTTGGAGTTTTTGGCTACCAAAATGAACCAGCTTGAAATGGAAGTATCGTTTGGTGGAGCACTCCTTGGCGGATACTTGGATGATCTCAAGCATATGGCTTTGGTTAAAAATCTCGAGCAAAATCAACGGTCTATATTTGAGTTTGTGAATGTAAACCAAGTAGCATGTGCGTTGGTGTTGAACAAAACGGATGCAATCTGGGCTTGCCTTTATGACGGATACGTTCCCAAGATAAGTCCAAACGAATCTAAATTCACTCGAGGAAAATGGTGGAATTTGGCAGCTTTCAAGGATATTGCCAACATGTCTGCTAAAGCTTACAACTTGGATCTGTTAAAGTTTTGTACACACCACAACATTGGGGATAAACTCGACAAAAATGCATTTGCTGATACGTCTGCTCGTAAACAAGCCCATATTGCCAACTGGCTATTTAAGGAAATGTGAGTTTAGCTTTTGCTTGTATCAGATGTAATCTACACGGTTTTGTTAGATTGTAGATGCATCACGTTTACTTTGTGAAACCATACATTCTACAAAATTCAGGCAAGGTTTGACTTGTAGATCATATGCTAATCTAACCCTACTGGATCTTGTTTAAAGGGCGGATGGGATGCTAGGCACGCAAAAACAGATTCAAGAACTATGCTACAGCTATCAAAAAAGCATTGCAATGGAGCTTCAACATGAAGCATGTCAACTTGGAAATCTTGAATCATTCTTTAAACTCAAGCAGCAAGTTTGTGCATTCAATTCGAACGGTATTCTGAATCCTTGGAGCGCATTTATTCTTGACACTGCAATGGCTCTTGGTCATATTCAAATTATTGATGCGATTCTTGATGATTGTAACGCATCAGCCAATGATATGTCACGGATGGTTTGCACGGCACTACGATGTGGTCATGTTTTTCTTGCTGACTACTTTATAAAACGAACTGGAGCTAAACTAAACAAGAACATGATTGTGGCGATTGCAGAAGGATGTTGCTTGGAATCTGTCAAGTTTTTAGCCGCTGCCACTGGGCCGATTGTATCCCCCAAAGCATTGGAGATTGCATGCAGACAAGAAAGCATTACGCTTGTCGAGTACTTTGTCTTGGAATGTAAGATTCGTGTTACTGATGCGGCCTGTTTTTTAGCAGTCAAGCATGACTGTTTATACGTTGTACAGTTTCTGTTTAATCATGATCGGATAGGCGAGTTTAACTGGAAAAGTTTATGGGCCGAGGCAGATTCAATGAAACATGTTCGTATTGCACAATGGCTCAAGAGAGTGTTTGATCAACGTGAATAATCAACATTCTCGATCAATGTAAACGTTGGTCTTGTTTAAATGTATACCTTTGTTATATGCATAGAATGTGTAGAACATTTTTCGAGTTTTGAATATCAACCGCAGTGCCATGTATACCAGACACTCGTTAAATTGCCAAACCGAAAATAAACTGTTTTTTTCATATTTAACCATGACTACAACTCATTAGATCCAGCCAAATCAAAACAGTCTTTTTTTAAATGTGGTGGTCAATATCCTGTGGTATTTATTCCTTTCCAGTCCATAGACGTTTGGCAAGGGCAGTTAATCCCACATCAGTAGTATTGATCAAATAGCATCCATACATGGTGAGGGCAGTGAACAAACGCAAACTCCACATAGCCAACGAGTGGGCCGTGCTGAAACGATGTTTTGGGAAATAGTCGATAACCATAGACTCAAACCCAAAGTAGCAGTGCATGGGAATGGCAAATCCAAGAAGGAAATCTACAGCGGGAATACTTCCAAAGAACACGGCGCTGCCAAACAGGGGGAGAGATATGACAGAAAGAGAGCGCTCAAACGTCCAGTGGTAAGATCCAGCAGCCTTGGATTTCTGTTCAACCCCGACTCCTAATTGTATACGTTGGTAAATATAAATGATTAAAATCAGATAAGCTAAAAATGGGTATTGAAGATTTAAAACATACCAGAAGCAGCTAAACGCAGTTTAAACCAAAGCATCATTTATACAGCATATGTTTATCAGCGATTTGGTTAAATAAATTTAGACATGGAATATATCTCAAGCCATAAATCAGGCTAGGCTTGATTAAACCTTCAAATCCAGCCAGATCTGTTATAGCATTGTAGAAATAACCAGAGACTTGAATGCCAAGAAAATAAAAATACCTGAACGAGCTGCAGATGTGAGCTGGAAACGAAGAGCAGTGGCTATGACCAAATAAAATAGAGTCTGTAAGCTTCATTTTAAGTGTACTTTGGTTCATCAAGGAGTCTACTTGGCATTTTTCCGACTACGACATGGCGCATCCGAAAGCAAATTGTCGAACCCGATGACCATTTATTTCACAAGGATAACCTACCAGTTTTGAACGAAGCAACAGGAACGGCATACACTGAGCGAGCCAGTGGGGAGAATCCAGTAGAGGCAGTCAGTGGCCTGTATAGAGCCGAAACAAAAGATCTCATGATAGTCATTGTATATAGCTGCAGAGTTCAAGAATATATCGATGACAGTCGATAAAGATGCAATACATCATGTTCAATGATATCAGGTTGTTAGGCAGTTGTTGGATGAAATATGAATTCAAGTTACAAGTATAAGCCATCAATACACCAAGACTATGCCAATCTGCCATCGTCTAAAACTATGGCCACTGAATGCCATCTTACCCCAGTTACACTCGACACACGGACTGTTGGCAGCTTCGAGGGAAAAATTTACAGAAGCGAAAATCGATGACAAGAACATTTATCGAGTCTGTTATGAGCAAATGAGTCTTCTGGTATGCGTTATTGTGGGAATTGCAGAAAAGTGCATTTAAACTGTCAATTCAGTCAACAGACTTCAAATATTTGATTACTTTTAACCTTGAAAGTTCAGTACAATAAAACTGTACTCGACTATTTATTAGATCTGCTTCATCTTTTACAATTGTATTCACGTAACATGAACATTCGAGTCAAAATACATGAACAACTTCATGTTGGATTGGTACCAATATTACTGGGAAATATTTTACTTTGAACTCTTAATTCACTGGTCTTTACTCATTATTGTACAAAAATACAGGGCGAATGTTTCAATACATTCTTTCAACCTTCAACTCTCCTTTTTTCCAAACATTACAAATAAACATTGTATGACAAGCATGTATAGTTGCATTCCTGACATATATTGAACTAGAACGCGAGCATATCTGATATTAGAATAGAGTTTCAATAAAAGAAGTTAATTTCCAATAACAACGAATATTCAACTATTTCTATTCCAAGACAATCATTACAAGATCAATACAGAAAAGTGTCATTTTACATGAATACGGCTGTAAATCAAAAAGCTTCAATGCGACAATCTGACTTGTTGGTACGACCTGCTTTTATTGATTCAATACAGGACAACGCTCCTCATTTGGTCTTGTTCTAACACGATCCTTCAGTATTCCACTTGCAGTCTACACTAACCTAAACCAATCGTGTGATTTTACAACAGAGAATTCGTAAAGTACTGCAACAGTAACTTGATGCTGTCAGAATGTTGATTGAACATGACAAAATTGGATTGTTGAAATATATAAATATTTTTATTCCATTCTTATCCTGACTGTCGCTAGTTGCAAGGCAACAATTGACTTTTGATTCACAATGGATACAGAACAGCTTGAAGTCAAACTACTGCAGACACTCGAGACCTTGCTCAAGATAAGCATGACAGTCCACGACTTTCAACCCGAGTCTGGCCCAGTTCTCAATACTCGAATGTAGGCTCACCGTTTATATGTTTCCTGCAACTCCAGCGATATACTGCAAACGAATTCATCTTGTTTCAATATGCTCACTTTGTATGCACTCAATACTTTTGGCAATTTCTTGTATATAGCGAAACTCTGGTTCAATGTCTTTTAGATATGAATGACGCTAAAGCCAATACAGACATTCAGGTGCCATTTAGTCTTCTCGAGGTTGTCGAAAATGGCATCAACCCAGACCAATTCACTAGCGATTTAGTACAAACTCTTGTAGACAAAAACCAAAAGACAAAGGGACGGATTGAATCAATCAAGGTGGGTTAATGAATCCATGTCAAATGAGTTGGATCGCAAGTAGCCAGAATGATGCTATCTTGATCTTTATTTTGTATCGACTGATTTGCAACTGTTTTAAACGTAGATTTTGAAGGATGAAATACGAACACAGCTTGAAAGGAACTATCCAGGTTTGGCATCTGAATTGGATAATATCACACAATAGCAAGCATATTGCTAGTTTCTAGTTCAATGATTTCATTTTAGTCTCAGATTGTAAACAAGTCAAAAAGAAGCTTTACATCCATTCAAACTTGACTAATTCTGAAAAATCTCAACTATGGAAACGAAATCAGTTTAATAAAAGCAACCATAACGTTTTATACCATACAAATAAACTCCAAACTCAATACTATATTTAACGACGCGAAACACTCTTGCGAGTTTTTGGTTGTGCTAATTTTCTTCCTTGTGGTAACCCTGTACCTGAAGCGCCAGATGTAGCAAACACTGGTACTGCTTGTCCTGTAGGCATTCCAAACGAAAATCCATTGACAGCGGGTGCAGATGGATTGGACATGCCTTGATTTGTAGACGCAGCTCCAGGTGTACTGAAATTAAATACAGGCGCGCTATTGGACTGCTGCTGCTGTAGTTGACCAAACATGGGTGGTTGCTGCTGGGACTGGCCAAACATGGGTGGTTGAGAAGCAGTGGTTTGGCCAAATGTAGACGATGGTGCAGATCCAAACATGGGCGGTTGCTGCTGGGACTGACCAAACATGGGTGTGGATGATCCAAATGGTTGTGAAGCGTTTCCAAGCATGTTGGCTGAATTAGACGGTTGTTGACTCGACTGGGACTGTCCGAATGCATGAGAGGGAGGTGCAAATCCAGAAGCAGTAGATCCAAACATACCTTGGCCAGATGGATTAGACTGAGATTGCCCAAAAGAAGGCGGTGCAGACCCAAAGGAAAACGAAATAGATGGTTGTGATGTGGGCTGAGATTGTCCAAATGCTAGCGGAGCACTAGATCCTCCCATAGAAGCAATCGTAGTGGCAGTACTCATTTGAAAAGCAGGCGTGGCCAAAGTTGTACCAAAACCACCAAAGGCAGGCTGAGCAGGTTGAGACGAGTTATTGGCGGCCGGAGCAGGAAATGCAGAAGCTATAGACGAGCCTCCAAATAAAGATGGCGGTGTAGATTGAGATCCATTAAATCCAGCTGGCATCATAGGTGTGGTAGTTGCCGCGCCAAAGATTGGAAATGCTGCAGGAGTCGTAGCAGAAGTTGCCGCACCAAAACTTGAAAATGCTGCAGGAGTTGCAGTGGAAGTCGCAGTACCAAAACTTGAAAATGCTGCAGGAGTTGCAGTGGAAGTCGCAGTACCAAAACTTAGGAAAGCAGGAGTCGCTGATGTGGCTGAGCCAAATCCTCCAGAAGCAGAGCTGGCGCCAAATAGAGGTGGAGTAGATGCAACTACAGGAGCTGAAGCCAATGAAGTACTACCAAATCCACCAGAAATTGGTGCAGCGGCAGTTGTCATAGAGGTGGAAGCAGATGTAGCAGAAAATGAAAAAGACAGTGTAGGAGCAACAGTCGCAGCAGTGGGTACAACAGTGGCTATAGAAGTTTGATTATTGCCAAAGATATTGGTCGTGGACAAAGTAGTAGATTGAGATCCAGCAGTCGATAGTGGTGCAGCAGGAGTATAGGCGCCATTGTTGACTAGTCCGCCAAACATTGGAGGTGCTTGAGTGGATGCGGGAGCTGTCGAGTTAAAAACATTGCTTCCACCAAAGAGCGGTGCGGTAGTAGTCTGAGATTCAGATTTGGTAGTACCAATCCCTGAAAATAAAAATGACGGAGGACCAGTGACTGGGAATGGCATAGTCGATGCTGTCGCGGAATGCGCAACGGACGATGTAGCACCAAATTCAGGAATCACTGGCACAGGTGTAGATAGACTGATACTAGAGGTGGGTACGGACGTTACCTGGGCACCTAGCAAAGGAGTAGAGCCATGGGTAATAGCCACACTTGTAGTAGTGGTAGCAGGTATTGCTGAAGTAGAACCAAAAGAAGAAGAAACAGCGGAAGTGGATCCAAACAATTGTTTAGTTTCTTGCAAAGTAGCAACACTTGGCGCAGAAACAGCATCACCAGCTGTAGTAGCCATACTAACTGGCAAGGAAGGCTGAGGAGCCAATGAAACAGCGGGAGAAAATGGGTTGGTAACTGAGGATGGTGCTACTATGGGTGCTTTAAACGCGAACATGGATTGGGTAGTCACCGTAGCAGTGGTGGCAGCAGATGTGGAAGTGGAGAATAATGGCGAAGGGCTAATAAAGGCAGTGGGACCTGCAGCAATAGTTACTGCAGATGTAGTTGAAAATGGCAATGCATTGAATAGTGGAGCAGCAGGTTTATCTGCTGTGGGTGATGTAGGAGCACGTTTCCCCAAACGATCTGAAATCGACAAACCAGATCCAGCGGTTTGTGAAACTTTTGTTTTTGGTGGGGAAAATGAATGTTCAACAGCTACAGGTGCTGAGATTAAAGATGGGGTTACCGGAACAGTAGACTTAAAAGGAGAAGGTTTGGGAGCATCAACAGTAGAATCTACTAGTTTCTCAGATTCGGTGGGTTGAGATATCGGCAAATCAGAAGTAGGCTTGAAAGAGCTTGTGGTAGTTTCTGAAGTAGCAACGGCAGAATGCTCTGAACTAGAAGGCAATCCATTGGGCGGTGTGCTGCGATTAAGTCTAGCACGGCTTTCACGAACAAGCTGGATCGCCCGCTCATCTGCGTCTTCGTCGTCTAAAATTCCTTTAAATGGACGATTGAGCGCCGCGAGAATAGGAATCTGCTCCTTTTTCTTAAGATTTAGATATATACGACCACTATCATTTGTTACACTGGACCGAATTGGAACAGGGGGAGGTCTAGGTGAGGGTATGGGTAGTACAGTTGTGGAAGTAAAAGGGCTCGATCCATCCATTTTAAGGCGCTTTTCAGCCCGTCTAGTGGCTGGAGTAATCCATCCATCTTCAGCACGCAATTCAGTTTCAGGAATGTGCAGCGAGTCGTACGCTGGAGCATCATCATGCTCAAATAAACCAAACGAAGCTTTGCGTTTGCTAGATCCAGATGCAGTAACAGATGTAGCAGGCATTGATCTATCATATTTGGAATGTTTCTTCAAAGCCGATTTAAGAGGCGTTGCCGACAATGAGGGTTGTGAACTAATCGATGAAACAGGAATATCATCAACTAGACTTGCCACATGTTCAGACTCACGCATGGCATGCTGAGCTCTCAAAAGTTCTTTTCGCAAAGAATCTGGTCCGGGCTTACGAGCAGACCGTTTGGTATTATTGCTTGAAAACTCAGATTCTTCCATGGCTACATCTTCCGAATTTTGATATTCAATAGAATCATCCATTGAAAGCACAGTGGGACGCTGTTGAGGTGGTAAATTTATATCTTGATTCGAACGATGTGGCTTGCGCATTTTGGCCACCTATATCGTTGAGATACACGAGTTAATAACTTTTCAATTCCTCAATAAAATCCAAGCAGTTTGTAGTTTAAATAATGCGCCAACCTTTCTTGTTTCGTTTTTCCCAGACTTTTCTATTCGAACTGATGTAGAAGTTTGAGTGGCTGCTTCCTTTTCGACTTTTTGAGCCCGCAAAGCCTCTGCCTGTTGCTGACGAAACTCCTATTTTCATATCATCACATAAAAACAATGATTCAATATACACTGTCTAATAAAGCTACAAATAGTGTACTCAACCCAAAATGAATCATTGACACACCTTTTCGCCCAATAAAACAAGCCGCTTTCTTTGTCCTTGTGCGGAAGCACCTTGTGCTACACTCATTGCTGTGTCCTCATCTATTTGAGCATATTGATCCAAATCATTCAACATAGATGGTTTCAAAACATCCAATGTATCTTGGGACTGTTCCATGGAGGTGAGTGGGTTTGGATTTTGAGATATTCTCTCAAAAAATGATTTCTTTGAAGAAAAGGTGACTGGAGTTGCTTCGCGTTGAACTAATCTCACATGGATAGATAATTGAAATGGAACCAAGATTAAAATTACAGCAAATACAGGTCAAAATAACCTATATATCAAGAGTGATATAAATACCCTTGGATTTGGGAAGTGGAGTAAAAAATGAACGAGCCATTGGGCGGCTAGCTTCACGTTGCCGAATCGTATCTTTCTGTAGATTGGCCTTGGCTGGACCCGAGTTAAAAGGAGAATCGACACCAAGACCTGGAAGCAATGGTTTAGAATAAAATGCTTCAAATTCAGCAGTATGCATTAGTTGTGTGTAGCAGTTGTTAGAATCGGCCATTGGCCAGATGTTTAAAGATTAAAGTATACCTTTTGTCGATTTAAAGGCGGATCCAGATGTTGCATGGATACTATTAATATCCTGGGCAGTACTGTTGAAAGAGTTGACCATAGAGGGCTGTTTAAACAAAGTGGGTGTATCCCCATTTGGTCGATCAAGCGCTTGAGCAGGTGAAGATACAAAGTTTGGCTTGGTATGTGATTGTGGAGTAAATGGAGTATAATTGGCGTTTCTCAAAGCATCAGCAATGTAAGTTGATCCTTGTTCAGATTCATCTGTATTTCCAAGTCGATTAGGAGTACGATGTACGAGTCTGAGGCTGTTTACAGATCTGTTAACAGGTGTCTTGACGGGTGTATTTTGCGACGTATGTTTATGAGCACCGGCTGTTGATCTATGAGAGCGTCTAAATCGTATAGTTGTAGATAATGAAATTCATGGCATCAGGTTAGCATTTGTGGACATCATTCAGTGTAACTAGAAATTAAAAGGCAGTAGCTCAGATATAATTGGTAGAAATAATAGAATGTACTATGAAAACATAGTATACGAATGTGATTAAACCATGCAACATCAGTAGAATGGCATACAGTCAAGAATAGGAATAAGTTTAAAAAGAAAATGCTCATAGTTTCTGATATGAATCTAAAGCCGTTGACAAGCTGTTGGAAGCCATTGCCATTCAAACCACATCACTTACCGACTGACAAATTCCTTTTGAGCTCGACGATACGATGCCTCTTTCCACCATTTTGCAGCACTCTGAATACCGGAGTATGACAAAAGAGTGACTGCCAGGAGATAACAGTACTGATAATACTCCATACTGGATAAAATAGGCGAGAAAGGTGTGTTGAAGCTATAGAATGAAGTGGAAGCCAAATATCTTTAAAAGTTCAAGCTTTTGTAGTGGCTAAAGTCTCAAGCTGCCTTGTTTTCATATAGCAGAAAGAACACTTTAGTAAGTCCAGCTCAATCCTCCGGACACTACGAGCGAATCTAATCACCCTTCAAACGTGCTCAAAAACTCGACAAGAAATGGAGAAAAAAGTTTCACATTCTGAATTCAAGTGCAGATTCATACGTTCTAATTGCTAGACTCGCTCATTCGTTGAATAAAGAATTCATGCACAGTCAGTCTGATGGAATTGTAATTTAATGGATTGTGTTGTCTTTTGAACTCTTTAGTTGACTGGCTTTACTCATTTTTGTATAAAACTGAATTTTAATGGATGAATCGGGTGATTGTACAGCGTATGGCTATTTAAAAAGAGAATAATCTCAGTCAAAACCTATAGTTTGTACTATATGATGAATGGTGTGTTTATTGAATTGAGAATATATCGAGAAAGCAGTCAATTTGTGAAGACTAAATCTTGAATTTATGACCCACAAGTTTCTAATAATTTGGATTGGCTTCATTTCACTCTATATCAAATCAGCCTTGTAACTTGTGTAAAAAGTAAATGTTTTAAACGCAATCACTTTTCAATCGTCGCTCCTTGTTCTCTCAAAATAATCAATCTTGGATTTACTTGCCGACACTCTTCTTCAACTTCAGCATAAAACTCTGGGCACTCAAGCGCAACCAATGTTTTCAACTCGCCACAATGCATAGTGATCTCAATTAATACAGCAGGTGTGTTTCTCCCTAGTCGAAATACCCCACTCACGTTGAGAGTGTGAAGATGGTATCGAGAATATCGTGCAATGCCTTCCATTCCCGATCGCTTTAGTGTAGAGTATGAAATATCGAGGTGCTCAAGATAAACCAAATGTTTCAGCATGTCAACAAAGTCGTAGTCGTTAACCTGACACCCTGACAGTGAGAGTGAGCGGAGATTTGGACAGTGGGCTGCTAATGGCTCGAGAAACCGAGATATACGACGGTTTTCCCATGCACCACTATATGGGGTCAAAGGGGTAATTGAAGCAACGCTAGAAAGTGTTGTGGTGGTAGTTACTGATGTAGCAGTCGTTTGCATGCTTCTGGGTGACTGCATTTCAGTAGGAGAATGCAATGATGCAGGCTGTCTACGGCCAGTTTCAATAGTTAATGGTCGTCCATAAACACCGTGTCTTGGCCTTGCTGTCTTGGTAGAAGATGATGCCAACTCAATAGGCTCGTTTTGATCAAGCTGCATTGGCGATTGAATGGGTGATACCATGCCTGTGACCAGTAGACCATCTGACAAATTCCATGTTTCTCCACTCATACTCACACTCATGCTGCGAGTAACGCGTTGGTTAAAAAACGTAGGCTCACTAGTAGTTGTATCTTGAATGGGTGATTCCGAATCATATGTAGAGATATCGTCTATTGTTTCAGTAGTAAAAGTTTGTTCAGATCTAGCTGAGTGCTGTTTCAAGGTCCTGCGTGCGTCGCATACTGCTCCAGATAGACAAGGTTGAGGTCTTGGACCCAACCCAAAATGAATAGAATGCACCAATGAGCCCGGATGTATTGCTTTACTCACTGATCCTCTACGAGGAAGCTGTGGTGCACGAGGCGTCATTGGGGAAATCTGCATTCGTGATGGAGATTCTGAAGTGGATGAAAACGTACGTCGTTGTAAAGATTGTTTAAACGGTAATAAAGTGTTTGGAGAGAGACTGGGCTCCTGTGAAAGCATTTTAAAAAACCCATCTCGTTGCTTGCTACTTGTAAATCTGATTTGTCTGTAGAGCTGTCGTATTCCACTACGATACCATGCCTTGGATACTCTGAGAATGGGTGCTAGACTTTTTGAAACTCCTACATTCTGCACAATGAGATCAATAAGCTCTACTGGTAATCGAGATATCCCTATGTTGGGTCTGGAAGTACGTCGCGGGGCCATTGTGATTCTTTGGCCTTGAGTAGAGTTTAAACCTTGTTTAGATTCAAACTGTGATTTATGAATAAAAATCAACCACAATATAGAGTTTTGCACCATTCAATATCCACTCGAGTAAAATCAAAATACATCCACCCCAATTCATCTCGCGGCCGTACTTACGTAAAATGCAACACTAAACTACCGAAATACATGATAAACAGTCGCATGTTTGATTGGTGTCAATCTTACTAATTAATATTCCTGGAATCGTCGTTTGGACCAGTTTTGGGTGGTTTTGGTATTCAAAACATGCCTTTCAAGTATGGATTTATACTTTATGTCAAGACTTTGTATAATATATTGTCATTAAACCCAACACATCAAATCACCGATTGTTGGCCTGACAACTTGTAGCCATCAACACTTGGACGACAAAACGTCGCGAACATACTTGTGGGTCTTACCAAGCCCAAATACCAGTCAACAATATCAATGATCTTGAAAACAATATTACATACAAAACTCAACTGTTGAGTGACTGAGATTGGCAACGATGTACATGTCCAAGCTTTTATTGACAATATCCAAATAGTAGACCCAAATGTCTGGATTACAATGAATGAATGTGATGATCGTACACCGTATGACTATGCAATCAAAGGCAAAAGTGCAAAATCTACACATAACAATACAAAACTATAGTTTGGTTGTGTGCAACATATGATGATCGATGTGTTTGCAGACTGATCATGGAGTCTGTCAAATCGTAGTATGTCGAGACTTTTTAAAGTGACATGTAACATTTCCAAACACACTATTCTAGACAAGATTCCGTTTCACAAAGTAATGAGTTGGACATGGTTTGCCAACCGTCCAGCAACGGTACGCGGGTTAAAGCTACATATTGTTCATTTTTGAACCTGTATGGAACGACTTGAATATAATAAAGAATGGTTCGTTCGTCGATCAATTCCAAACACAAACTGAATGTCTAGAGTCAATCTGTAGTATAAAATGTAGTAAAAGATGATGAATATTTGTTTATTCCAAAGCAATTACTGCAATATAGTATTCCATTTTATGTGAATACAGTTGTAAAGCATGATTTGTGTAGCTATCAGGAACACAAGTGAACCATTTCAACAGCGGCTGTAGCCCAATCCTTGCCATGGTTATGCGATACTTCAGGATCGTCGACCATACCAGCTCTTTCTAATGCCTGACGCTCGGTTACACAAGTCAGAACTCCAAAGATGACAGGCTTGCCCAGATCTAAACCAACCTGCATCAAGCCCTGAGAAGTAGCATTGCAAATATACTCAAAATGCATGGTAGATCCTTTGATTAAAACACCAATGGAGATACACGCATTGTAGGGCTCTCCATTTCTGTTACGCATATTCTTCATAAGCGACTTGGTGGCCAGTGGCAGCTCGAATGAGCCTGGCACATCGTATGTTGCAATGTTATCTGGGTTGACACCAAGAGCCAGCAGCTGGGTTTTGGCACCGTCAACCAAACTTTGAACAATGGCAAGGTTCCAACGAGTGTGAACAATCATCACAGACATACTAGCACCAGAGCAAGACTGGAGCCGAGGTTCAAGTCCTTTGATATGCATGAGTTGGATGCTGGAATTGAAGGTCAAATTCGAGTGTGGATCTTGTTCTTTTTCTTTCACGATTTGACGCTTGAAGTATACTATCTGAAATGAACTCTATCGAAAGTTACAATGATTCCATCTTGATAAATGTAGGTGGCCGAGAGTTTCGCACATCCCACGTCACCTTGACCACTTATCCTAATTCGAAAATCGGTCAGCTACGATCTAAATATGGTCCTCGACCATATACATCCAAGCCGGAACCTGACCATGTCCTTGATCGCAATCCCGACTACTTTGCTGTTATACTGGATTTTCTTAGAACCGGCAAGATCTCATTGCCGTCAAACTTATCGGTCATTGCTTTACAGAGGGAATTGGAATTCTATGGACTAGGCCAATATGTGAATGCAAGTACATATGATACTCCTGTTACTCTTCCATCTCCAGCTGGGCCAAATGCAATCCTTTCTAGTATTTTACCAGGACGTAGGCCAAATGCAGCTATAGATATTACTGCTGAACCAAGAGAAGTGTATCAGCAATCTGAGCTAATGGCTCCTATAGCTGCAATGAGGGTTGATTCGCTATCCAGCAGCACGATTATAACTGCTGCAAGAGCCACTCCACCACCACAAACAGCAAATGTCATCAATCCAGCAGCCCCGTATGCTTCAATGGCTGGATCATTCACTCCTGGATCTATACCTACTTCAACAAGTGTTGCTACAACTACATTTGATCGCATCCCTGTGTCTACTACCAATGGCATGGTTATAAATAGTACCGATGCACTAGATCCGGTTTCAGCTCGTCGTCAAGGATATGAAGAGAGCTGGGCTACGTCCATGGCATGCCGAGCAGCACCCATCCTAACCAAAGCCATGAATGCAGGATTGCTGCGTTTCACTGTGTTTATTGACCCCTATGGGCAGTTCAAGGGGGTTCCTACTCAGCTGTTGTCAGCAAGTCAAGATCTACAGTTTTGGCGAGACTTTGCATCGTCGTTTGCAGCAGCTCCTCCTGGATCCGCACAGGATTTCAGTCAGTCGTTTAGAGAGAATTTTAATGTAACACTGACTGCAAGTTATCCAACGCATATGAGATTACCAGGTCATGTAGTTGCAGTGGTAGATGTTGATGGAAAACAAGGACAAGAATCCGAGTCTCTGTCGTGGATGCTGTTCCGAGTCAAGACAGTGAGGGCAGAGCAGAGACAGTTGCCTTATGTCGATCGCACCAATTTAGAAGGATCGGTGCTGGAATCAACGGTTGGGTTAGTATTATTACATGGATGGGAGTTGCACTTTAACATGCCTGAAACTCTAACAGCATCCAAGGTGCACGAGCGAGTCAAGAGTATGCTTCATGGAGTAATACGCAGTGAGGACATTATGACCAGTTTATACTTGCTCAATTAACTTTTCCAACTGAACGATCGATACAAATGCTTTAATGGCTGCCAACAAATACCGAATTACAGCCGTATTCATTTAAAATGAAACTCTTGTATTATCCTGTTATCTTTGCATTGGAATGGACAATGATTGAATATTTCTTGGTCTCCTACTAGATATTTCCAATAAACACAGCGTTCATCTATAATACAACAAAGTTGTTTATTTTTTCTTTTTGCATAGCCATACATTGTACAATCACCAGATTCATCCATTGTAATTCAGATATTGAACCTGACTGAGTAGTCTAAAGTATCGGATATGTTTTCATTTGAAAAAACAGTTGCAGGAATGCAAGCCAATCACCAGGAAAAGGACAGTCGGCTAGAATTCAAGAATTTATCATTTCATGAAACCAACTTTTATTTACGCGAATACGGCGGTGGTAAAATTTAGAATGAAATTTAGAATAAAATTTGGGCATATAAATTGTTTGAAATTTTAGTTTACTTCAAAACTCAAAACACTTTCTACTAGAACCATTCGAGTCTTTGTTGTCGTCATGCAGACTCTCACTCCTGTAAAACCCTCTCGCAAAAGGAACTTGTTGAGCTACATGATGGACAGAAGCAGTCCAGAATACAATTCTTCAGAATCTTATAATGCCAACTCAGTCAACACTATGGATCGAGCATCGTATGAAACGGATGGTTACCAAAACGCCATGTCAAAGAGACCAAGATGGCAGCAGTCCGAGGTGGACGACAGCGACCATCAGCAGCAGCAGCCTGCCATGGCCTTGTTTTCTACTAATGATAATAGAACAAAAGCTGCTGTTACACCACAAAAAAACTCTTTTCAACAGCATCATGTATCAAACACTACTGCTGATACCTTGACTGATACTGCAGCAAACCCCACAAGCCTTGCTCCACAGTTCCAACCGTTTGTATCTTCTGGTACGATGGATAATTCCAGTGTATTTCATACTAATACAGACAACACTGGTTCCAATACTCATGCTGTTCGCATGGGTGAGCTGATGCAGTTCCTTGACAAACAGCAGCTGCTAAACTTGCTCATAAATGTCATGGCTGTTCATCCAGACATTCAGCCCACTGTAGCCAACATGATACCCCGTCCGACCATCGACTCGGTTGCCCATATCCTGTCTGTCTATGAAAAGACACTGGCTGATGCATTTCCATATTCCAAAGTTGGGCCTGACAGGTCTGACTATTCCTACAATAGAGTTCGACCCCATATTGAAGACCTTTGCAACACTATCCTGCACTATCTCGACACATTCACTCTTTCTTGCTCATTCCCACATTCTCTTCAGCATGAATACCCAGCAACTGCATTTTCTTATTTGCACATGGCCACCAGTATCGTCCATCGTCTTCCGGTTTGGAACAACGAGGTGCGCAACACTGAGACCCGTACTGCTGTCTATGAGCAATTGGGCAGACGCTGGCGGATGGTTGTAGCAGAAGTAGGCAGTCAGGCCGGTGAGCAAGGAAAGGTTTACGGTTCTTATATGGTGGGCGAATGGGCTCGCAACCTTCACCTGCATGCAGCTCAAGTCAAACAAGCCTACGGACTCGGTGAAGCATTGCAAGAGTTTAAACGTCAACTGGGCTGGATCATTGGCTTGGAACCAGGCAAGGACTCGACTGTCGCTACCTCGTTGTCATGTGCGTCTTCATTGCCATGTCTAATTCGACAAGGAACTTCAGGATTGGATATGTGGACATGATTCTGGCTATGCTTGCTTTGGACTCGAGCCATGCATCTGTTTTATTTGGTCAACTTTGGCTTGTTTGCTCGTATTGTTTTTTTGCACACATGATGAAAGCATGGATGCTGCTTCATCTATATATTCCCACTCATCGTTTTTTGAATTTGAATAATAATAAAATGAGCTATTTTATTTAGACCTTGAATGATTCACTGGGTAGATGTTGATCTATAACCTAATTCCAGTCTCGTGGCTGCTTGCCGTTTTCAGAACAGCAGAATCACTCATCCTACTTGGAACAGTGGGGCTAGACACAAAGTGTACAGAGCAGTTGGGCAGCCGACTATAAAACGCATTGAAATCCAACTGGGAGAGCAGATGACTCAATCGAGGGGTTTCCGTCACGCCGAGGATCTGCAACACATCAATCAGCTTCTGGACTTGAGCAAGAAAGTTATCCTCAAAGGTGCGAATAGAGAGCGTGTCTGACAGATGAGTATGCAAGTGTGTGGTGGTAACAAACCCGTCTGGAAGTTCTCCTGGATGGGCAGTTGGTGCTAAAGTGTCTCGATTGTGAATTGACATTCTCGGTTGTGCGCCAGGTGTTTTGGATCTAGTATAAGACTCGGAAAACTCCACAAACGCATGGCATGTACCAATCATGTTGCTAAACACCTGATTACTCCACACATTGATACCATGGGAATTAGTTTTGGACACCATCCGTTGCTTTTGGGTATAGATCTACCACTCATTGAAATATACAAAATAACTATACCTTGATGAGTTTTGGATGGGTCAACATGCATTCTTTAAGACATGAGTTGAGAAAATCATCATGAGATTCAAGCACTTGATTCACTGTTGTTGCCTAGAAATAAATTACATGTGCGGAAAACAGCAATCGTTAAAAGCGGACATCTTCCTAGCATGGGTGACAATACAGTCTTGAAAAATAAACTTACTTTGCGAAGTAAAGCCTCCATCATGATCCAATTAGGCTCCAGCACATCAAAGAAAACATAATACATGAACATTTTGATGAAATGCAACATTCGTTCTCTCAATAACGACATACGCCTAATCAGCGCCATATCTTTTTGCATTCCATGATTGCCTGGATTCTCGCGTGACGAACCTCCGCGCATACTTGTTTGCAATTGGTTATGTCCAATCCACGTACTTGAAAGAAGACGCTCAATATATTTGCAAAGAAAAAGCTGACGAAATATCATTTGGTATTTCGTGAGAACTTTGCGATTGATAACAAGTGAAAGTGGAAATGCAACTTTGTATCCCAACGCAAACGCTTCTATGCCTAACGCATGTGTAGATTCAAGACAAGTCATTAGATTCATGTCAGCATATTTAAAATACTGGCAAATAAAATGCAATACATACCCGTAAGAACACCAGCAAGACCTTCAATGCTATCAGGTCCGTCTTCTACTGCAGCAGAAAAAGACTGATCTGGATCAATGGCTCGGCTTCCCTTTCCATTCTTCATATTATGGAAATGTTTTTTTACATCAAGCCCTACAACAGAGTTGATGCGTAAAAGTTGCTGAAATAGTGACGTGGGGTTCAGTTCTACCGTCACATCGTCTTTAAACGGGTCGGTAGAACAGCAGGAAGATGGACTGCCTATCACAAGTTCAAGCAAAGATCGTACTTTTTCGTGTGGAACTTGAGACGCTGGTTTCATGAGATCTACGGCTGCCAAATCTAAAAAGTGTGTGAGGTAATCTGATTGGCCAAACAGGAAAAACTGCTTTAAAGATCTAAAATGAATTGAAACGTGATGCAACGATTAGATAAAGCAAAGTGTCCAAATCCTGTAACCATAATTGCAGCACATTTTAAAACTATCAGGTAGTGCAAATCTGCATTTTAAAAAATAAATGCAGTTGGAAATAAACACACTTACTTTAACCGATCAATTAGTTGATAATCCTTTGTCAGCAAATCAATAAGAGACTTGTTTGCAAACAAAAACGACTGCTCAATATTCGCAATAAACATGCCCCCATCTATTGCTTGCACGACATCGGTCATTCCTGAGCTCAGTGTTTTGCTGGCTAGACCAAGTTGGTCAGCACCTTTAGGTATCTCGATACCACATTCTCGCAAAACATTAAGATATTTTCCAGAAAAAAGAATCTTTTCTTTCCATGGCTCAAGAAAGGTGGGAGTGGCCTCGTTACTGAGAATGTATCGTTGTTCCCAGTACACATCGTTGAAATCTTCACGAAGCTTATCTTTGCTTAGATGAGCATGCTCCTCCACCATGAATTCATGAAATGGATCATCCAGCTCACCACAAAGAATCCATGTGTTGAGTATTGAAAGGTAGGGAACAGCTGCAAGTGAAAGAAGATATCCGTGGAGTTTTTTAAGCTCTGGATTTCTTGATATTTTATACCAAAGTTGCAGACAATTAGTAGTGATGTATTTAAAAACAGACTGATACCACAATCTTTTACTACATACCCACTCAACGTCACCATTCTTGCAGCAAGAATTCCTAAAATACGTCCACTGTTGCGATTTCCGGTCGAATGGTTGGTCTCGACAACATGCCGAATATCGTACTCATCCATCGAAGCACTAGAAACGTTGTTTGCCTCGTAGATTTCCACTGCCAATGATGTAATACTCGCCATGGTATCAATAGATGGTGCCAAGTAATACCATAGCTTTTGTAGTGTAAAATTGGAAGATGTATGCGCCAGATGCTCAATCTGTCCAATAAGCACAAGATAATCTTCCAGTAGCGACCGAATTGCTGCAAACAAAGCGTGATAGATGCGACCATACTCAAACGAGGTGTATTTTTCAACACATTCATCAAGAAGGATATAGTATCCAGCCAAGGGCAAAATCTTTGTAACCATATCCATAATTGATGGTTCTAGCAAATTGAATGTAATGCCAAGGTTAGATTGATGTAAAAGTAAGGTTTCCAACTCTTTTTCAACGTATCAATTCAAATTGGTGTATACCTAATCGCTCATCAACAAAAAACTTTGGTACTTCACGACATGCATTTGATGATTCGATTTGATGAATGTACTCTCCGTTAATACCCTATATATTGTTTAAAAATGAATGGCATGCATGATTGAAACCACGCCCAACCAGTATCTATCTGTAGAAAGTAAACATACCATCAGAACGTACAGTAAATCTTCAATTATTAGAGTTTCTTGTTCATATGAAGACTTGTTTAGCAGGGAAGTAACTGATTTCTGTGTTTGATCAGTCTAATCAGACATGTTAAATTTACAACTCGTTCCAAGTCGAAACTGGTCATATATATTAGAAACACCAAGTGTCAAATAAACTACATACTTTTGTCGAGGTAATGCAATGCATTCGTTCTAAAGGTGCTTTCATATTAACGATTTGGATATTTGCAGTTTTTTTAGATGTTTTAGGAATAGCAGCTACATTTGGAGATAATAGACGCATTACATTATCAACTCTAGATATACGTTTTAGATTTAAAACAAAATGGTTATAATACTGTTTTTGCGCGGTGTTTACCTTGAGTCATTACTGGCTGAATTGGAGTAAAGGCAAGTGTTGATCCATCCATCATGGTTTCAGAAGCAATGGAACTTGAATCTAATTGCAGAGCATCAATATAAAATCAACATCTTGGACTTGAGCTTGATTGATTTTCAAGCATTTATAACATGAAATACCTTTGGCCAAACTACCGACATTCAAAACAGATCGAGACTTGCCCAGCCGACGATGATCTGGTGTTTTTGTTGGTTTTTGACCAAGTAAATGCTCTAGTGCACTACGAGGAGTAACACCCACTTTTGAGCTCAGAAGTTGTGACGCATGATCTTTGATGCTACTCATGGATGCAGTTGAACGCAAGCGACCATGCATTGACGGAGTAGAAGCGGTAGCACTCTGTTTAAAATTAGATACAGAATTACTTTCTTGGATCTGAGAAAGAATATACAATATAGGTTCCAATTCTCTGTTGTTCTGACTGCATAATCGTTCATAAATACTGGCAAATCTGGTAGGAGCATTTTTGTTTAGCAACGATGCATTGAGAGCGATGCGCTCAGCTAGAGGGTAGGTTGTGGTGCTAGACTTGAGGCTGGATGATGAAGGAAAGGATTTTAATGGAGTAGCACCATGACGTTGTTTAGAAAGAACATCAAGACAATGCTCAGGTTCCTCATCGATGCCCAAATACGCAAGCAGTTCGGCCACACCAGCCTGCATTTTGAGTGTTCTATCGGACATTATAATGTGAATTGCAAAGTCGGACTGCAGGGATAAACTCGAGTTTGATAGAATCTGACCATCACGTGGATAATAGCATTCAGATTGACTCAAGAATTCATAGAGTTGAGCTGTTCAATGCACTCTTATTGTCGTTGCAGTTGGCAACAATAAACGTTAAAGTTTGTCAATAAAACCAAATGAATGACGCTTTATATTCAACCGAGAATCAACTGGCCGCGCCAACAAGTCAGATTGCTGTCATGACAGAATATAAATTGATAAATGTTTATACTATTCAAGCCAACACTTGAATATTTCCAAAATAAGAAAATAGTTGAATAAACCTTGCACGAATACTTTCCAATACACGATATACGTTAATGGCAACAATTACAATTTCTCGTTTTTTTCGATTTCATTTTATTTTCATGCTCTTTATCGCTAGCCATAATCATGGAAACCGTAATTATAAAGATAGACTCGCAAGCGTTGGTCATGGAACTTGGACTAGAGACTGGATTTTTTCCATCTACTGAATTGCTGCATAAACAAGAAACAGCACTTTACTCTAATATCAACCAACCCAATTCAGAGGCTGCTAAATTAAAAGGTGCAATATCTATTCTGAAAGCAGGAGGTGTGGTTGCATTTCCTACAGAAACAGTTTATGGACTAGCAGCAAATGCTCTTGATGCTGCTGCAGTTCAAGGCATTTTTTCAGCAAAGCAACGACCAAGTGATAATCCTCTAATTGTGCATGTATCTTCTATCCAAATGCTCGAATCGCTGTTACCACCATCACTCCCACATCTACCCAGCATCTATGTTGCTCTTATTAACAAATTCTGGCCTGGTCCACTCACGATCCTTTTACCAAAAGGTCCACATATTCCCAACCTTGTCACTGCTAGTCACGATACTGTTGCTGTTCGTATGCCGTCGCATCCTGTTGCACTCGGATTGATTGCCCAGTGTGGATTTCCTCTTGCTGCTCCATCGGCCAATACAAGCGGAAGACCTTCGCCTACTCTTGCAGAGCATGTTTTTGCTGACCTCCATTCTCGTATTCCAATGATCGTCGATGGTGGAATGTGTCGTTCTGGACTCGAAAGCACAGTGGTTGATGCTTTACGCAATCCACCTGCAATCCTTCGTCCAGGTGGTATCACATTTGAACAGATTCGTCTGATTGCTGGGTTTGAAAACGTTACGATTTATAACACGCATTTTGTGGATAAGGGGTTGGAAGAGGCTCCTACTACTCCTGGAATGAAGTATCGCCACTATACTCCAAATGCAGAGGTGGTTTTGATAGAGATTGGTGCAAATGCTATTAAACTTGACGAAACCAATTGTGTGGATCCGGAGTGTATCAGAAAGCAACGATGTCTGGTCAAGATACAGGTTGAACAGGCCTTGGCAACCAGAAAAGAAGGTACTCGGGTTGGTGTTTTACGGGCTGGAAGTACTATAGATAAATATGACGTCTGTAAAGAGGCTGTTGAGATACACCTTGGAGCTACTGCCGAGGAGATTGCACGGAATCTGTTTAAAGGACTACGCGATCTTGAACAGCATTATTGTGCATGTATCATTGTCGAAGGAATTCCAGATGTGGGTCATGGGCTGGCTGTTATGAATCGAATTCGGAAAGCAAGCACACACATCATTCAACCCCCAACATGATTCGGCTTTACCTAACTATCAAATCTGGATTTTATCACTATTGTTTATTTATAAATGACGCCATAACCCCAACTTATCAGCTTATATATTTTGTTAAACTCACTGAATTGTAATGGCTGGATATAAGATCCAATCCTAACTTGTACCCTATTGGCAAAGACAAATACATCGAGTCAACACGTCGATCTGCTAATCGAATGGAAGTGGACGACGGGGAAGAGCACGATGTTCAGCAAGTCCAGCAGCAATCGCACTTGGCACTCTCATTCCACAACATGTTGGATGTTCCTGACCAAATGCATGAATATGATCGTGTCCGTGATCCTCAGTAGCATCGCCTTCACTAAATGCACTGCCTTTGAATGCAAGCAGCGATCCAAACAAAAAATGCTGCATGATGGGCAGTTTGGCCAGTACTTCCGCCTTGTACATTTTAATCATGCCTTGATTCACCTTGTCCCATTTCTTTACACCGCTAATATCATCAAGCATTGGCGAGTGCCAACGCAGTGAAGCGGTCTTGACCTAAGTAGCAGCTTAGGGTTAGTAATCCAAACTAAGCCAGTTTATTCCAGTAACCCAACTAGATCTGACAACTTGCCGAATTGATAAACTGGATGCATGCAAAGTATATATAGTCTTTGGAGAATTCAGCAATGATATCAGGATCATGGATAGATTTTGGACGAAAGTACTTGTGATCTATACATTCAGTGGTGTAAATAAGCTTTTGACCCCAACTCTAAACCCATCCGATCCAGAGCAAAAAGAATGTCATGACATTACCTGCCAGCTGTGATGATCCGAATAGAAAGGGGAGAAAGTGGTAGTCATCCAGTCCCCATACACCATGCGACCCAGCAGGTTCTAACCAATAATTAAACTGCAGTGTCCGCATCACTTTGATATACTTCCAAAACACTCTCAGCACCAGTGCAGGATAGTCTTCTTTTTGTACAATCCCCAACTTCTCCAAACATAGTAAAAAGGCAATAAAATGAGCCTCGTGGCCGGTTCCGTAATCAATCCGCTTTCTGTTTCCAAATGAGTGGAGTAGATAGACTGCTAGTTCGGGAATGGCAGAACTGTGGTCAGACAGAATGGGAGCAAGAAGGGTTTGAGCCTGAGAGTCGAGACGGTCGTACCAACGCTGAAAGGCAGGATTACCAAATCGAGACTTTCCTTCTTCATCAGGAGGCAAATCCACAGTCCATCCGTCCAAGGTTTCAAGGACAGATAACAGTTTGGTAATATTGGGAGACTCTGCAACAGCTGTACTCAGAGTAATGTTTCTGACAGATTGGTTGAGGTCGGTGAGAAAGTTAATAAAGTCTTGGCAGGCCGGAGAAGTCTGGAATCTCTCCAAATCCTCCTTTGTAAGGATGGCTCGACGAGGAAGAGCATCACTGGGGATATCTTCAGTCTGAGCAGCAATACTAGTGGTGTGAGAGCAACCTGCTGAGTGAGTGTGACTAGAGTCTGTTTGAGAGCAATGTTCATGTTTAGATTTGATTAGTTTGGCTGGTGGTTCAGTGACATCAGTAATATTAGATTCTGGCAGTTCAGCAGTGGAAATAGATGATCCAAAAGAGACTGTTTCACTCCCATCTGTGCTCATCATTGTTGTGAATGCCTTTCAGCTGATGAGTTGAGTGTAGAAACTTGCAAAGTTGAAAAGATTTGCAAATGCAATAAACAGTCCAACGATTCCCGATAGAAAGCTGTATGAATCTAAAATCGATCCATTTGATCTTGGTACAATGTCATGTTGTGTAGACTGCATAGTTTGAATGGTTTCGCTGCAGTTGAATCGGTAGATGAAATCTAGTTTTATTTGATTCAAATGATACAAGACTACGGTATCCGTGCATTTTGTTATACTCGATCTATTGAGAGTTTTGTGATGGTCGCCATGTATAATGAAATAAACACTGTTTGGATATATTACCGTGTTTTTAGATGCATTCTTGACACATTGATTTAGTGTATTTTCAGGATACTGTTTTAAAACTGACCCGCCTTGCAGATACTCTAAAGGCGAGATGCGAAAGCTGTTTGCAATACATCTACTAATTTATATCTGGCTAAGATTAGCACTGGTATGATGGCAGTCATTCGTTTGTTTGCTGTCAAATTCTTTTTAGCTATCCTGACAAGAAACCAAGTATTTTAACAATGTGCAGTAAATACTGTCAAATTGTTGGAGTAATTCAAGTCTACTAAGCCAGTGTTGTTGGAATAACCGATATTCTTGGCATTCATTATTCCAGTCGATCTGAACACTTGTCTAGTCTGAAATTTCCAATCACGTCGAGACCAGTAGAAAAGATATGCCGTCAAAAGTAAAACCCCCGATTTGATACTTTTTAGAGTACGAATGAATAGTCACTGTTTATTGGTCAAGTATAGATTCGTTTCAAGGGTAAATAATAGAGTCGACTCAGCTGCGCTTGAATGATTTGCCACTATAATAGACGAGGTATATTTAAATTAATACAAAAAGTCTCATTTTTCAACAGGTAAATGATATTTAGATCTTTGGTGATTTAGTTGGTCATACCTTGCAGTCTTCTTTTCTTTTTGATCGTCAGGTTTTTCAGGCTTTGCACGGTTCAGTACCTTTAGGAAGTTGTCGACGCGTGCACGCATACGAGAGTGCATGTATGCCTTGGACGCCTTGATGTGGAAATGAAAGTAGTCTCGGAATAGCTGGATGCGAGAAATTGCATCATATGCATTGGCACCATGAAAGTGTCGAGGAAACAAGACTAGATTCAAGCAAGTGTCAGCACAAGCTGCTCCAACTATACTTGGTTATACCCAACGGTTCAAGTCTTACCAAATGTGACGTATCCCACAGTGTTGGAGTCTTTGAGTCCGCTCACACCACGAAGTTCTAGAGGAGGTTCCCGAGCGCTGTATAGCACCTGTGGTGCATTTTGGATGGATGGCTGACGACGAGCATCAACAAATTCTTGCAAGAATACCTTGCCGTAAATCTTGTCTGTTTCATCCTTGAATTCTGTAGAGAAGATAACAGTTACACGATCAGGAAGAGCCTTTACGTAGATGGCTTCGTCGTCACGATAGTGGATAGCCATGAGTTCAGATTCACGACCCTCTTGTTGTGCAACAAATGCAGCTTCAAATGCAGCTGCCATGATGTTTCTTTTGAGAAGGGAGATGGCCCTGATCAATGGCTCTAAAATAGACAAGAGGTTATATCCATATTCAAAGTAATTCAAAGCATCTACATAGTATGGACTTTACAGGATAGCCGATACGATAGAATATTATTAAAATGACAAACAGAGGCATTCAAGCATATCTTTACCACGGTCAGTAGGCAATGTTGTCAAGTCAATCGTCAACGACACATCGTATCCGGGTTCAGTAGATCCGCCGAAATACTGGCCGTACTCTCGCTTTAGAATTGAAGCAGCACCATATCTCTCCAGCTCGGCATAGCATCGGATAGCAACTGAGATAAGCAGTACGGTTTTAGACTCGGGTGTAGAGATGCGATAGATAACACCATCAAAGTCGGCCAATGTAATCTGGCATCTCTCTGGATCGCTGCATGAATAAAGTAGTCAAGTATTAGATGCATACATCAACAGGACTAATAAAGATGCTTTTGGGAGGTAAAATCATGTATGCTTGAGCAGTATTGGAAGCAATAAGGAAATAGAATACAAGCATATGGCTGTATCCACCGATGCATTCTCGACCATCTAATAATAGTATGGATTGCATGAGATAATGCTACCGCCATCATCTGGACAAATGCAAACCAGCAGTGAATAAATACTGTTGATAGACACTGTAGCCCTTGTTTAACTAGCCATCTAATGAATGGTAATAAACCAGCAGTCCATCTAAAGAGTTTTTTGGATGGTGAGCCTTGATTGTAGTGAGTCTATTCATTTGACTAGAGTGGAATATAGGACAGCAGTTCTATTGCTCTTCTCAACTCCTGAGTAGTACAAGACTAGTGCACCTGCCTGTTGAGTTTCTCACGGATAGTTTCTTCCAGGATCTTGCTATGCGGTTCCAGCAGAATCATGGTTTCTTGTTGGCCAAGTTGAAACTCAATTCGCGCAATGATCTTCACCTCACAATCCAACTGTCGAATCTGACCATTTTCTAATATACCAAACCAGTTCATTTATAAACTTCATTCTCTCACGACCAAACATCTTCAAAGTAGCGACCGCTGGTCTTGATATCCTTGAGCCATTGCTTGCCTCCCTCTTCTGCCATTCCTCCTGTCTTCTCTGCAATCGTGCCAAGTGCTTTCGATACATCATGTGCCATGTACTTTGCATCACTATTTCACAAAACACCATCATATAAGTACTTTGTAGTTTAAAAGCATAATTTACAATCAAATAGTCTTTTGGATAATCAAAAACTCACCCACAGATGTAAAAATACCCACGTCGAGTATACAGCAAATCCCAGATTTCATCACTGTGTTGGGCCAACAGATGCTGCACATAGACCTTTTGTGCAGTATCTCGCGAATAGGCAGTGTGGATACGTAAATCAATCTTTAGATTCTCAGTCTTGCACATTTGTTGCAGTTTTGCAAATTCTTCATGATACAGATCATCTTCTGCCTTGCGACGACAGCCATTAAAAAGCCATGTAGAACCAACCACTTTGCCTTGCTTGGCTGCCAAAACTCGTTCGATAACAAAGGCACGAAAAGGTGCTACGCCTGTACCTGGCCCAACCATCATCACCGGTGTAGTTGTATCGGCAGGAAGGCGAAACGTGGATGTGCGGATGCAAATGGGCAAGTAATGGGTAGGAACACTGCAGTGCTTGTCTGTATCTGCAAACGAATCAATGTTTGTATCACCAATGATTCCTGACAGATGCTTACGTTGCAGACACGATGTGGCCAAACCTTCCTTTACTACCACCTTTGATTTTTGCTTGCTATCAGACAGTGCAGGGGCTGATGCGATTGCATACCTTACAAGTACTGCAGTGATGGTCAACTTTTCAGGAGTTTCAGCAGATGAGGAAGAGATTGAGTAATATCGAACTGCAACTCGAGATAGCAGCTCAAAAAGAACAACTCCGAGAGGAACCTGGTAACCATTAGTTGGATAAATACTTAATGTGATGGACCCTTTTAATTAAATTGCATAGTTTGCTTACCTTGACTGACTTGAATTCTTCGAGAATTTCTGCAAGATTTTTGCATCCATTTTGCACAATATCGACGTACTTTTGACGATCCTCAGAGAGTTCAAACAGTCGCTGCTTTTCGGATTCATCAGAAGCATACTTGCCTAGTGTTTCAAGGTGGTATTGTTTTAAAACTTCAGATAGATCAAGATAGTATGTGAATGCTGCACGAAGTGTACATGGTAGTGGAAAAGGCTTTTTGGTATTCTGCAACGGATTGTTGGGATGTGGTATAAGATCAATCACACGGTCAAGATCTTTTATATCCAAAGCAGCTGCAAGACGATTCACGGTCACTGGATTGTTGTCTGCCCATACACCAACATGATCACCAGTGTGGTACACCAATCCAGACCCAGTAAGATCAAATTCCATATGATAGCATTCACGTTGGATAGATATTTTGGATCCCGATACAGTCCAAAACGGTGGATTATCAGTAGTCATCTGTTTGCCGGAAAATTCAATTGTATCATATGCTTTGTGAAAAAGCGTTTTGCTGGCTACAATTCTGCTGTAAAAAGGATGTTTAGCATCAAACACAGTTGCAGGTTTGTTTTCTTTATATACTTGGTTGAAAAGAATTTCGAATCCATCAAGATCGCTGCCACTAGGAGTCCATGTACGAACATGTGATGCCGAGTGCTCACCAGAGAAAACGGATTCGGCATCAGGTACACTGACAACATCAAATACAGGAACATGAGGGCAATCACGCATGCTTTTTGAAGATGTAGCATTGACTCCGTAGTATTTCGCTATTGCAGCTATCATGTTTGACTTCCAAGCCAAAAAATCTTCTTCAAGACTATGAATATTCAAGCAAATAAAATACAAAATAAGTTGAGCAGAGCATCAGTTACAGAAATATTTTGGAATCAGTCAATCAAATGTCGATTAAACAATCCACCTTTTATCATCATCTCCTTCACCACGCTCTCCGACACGCATACCTCCAAGTTTCGTTATTCGTTTATCAATACGGCGGCCAATAGCATTGTAATGTTCGTATGTTTTGTTTCCAAGAGCAAACACGAAATAGCCAAGCCCGGCCAATGCTTGCGACTCGACCATGGCGTCTTCCTCGTCAGTCTCAGTGTCATCCAAGCCAATACCTTTTCCACTCATCAGCCATGTGTAAAAGTCGGCTGCATTGTCAGTAGGTTCACCCTCACCATAACTATCATTACACGAAAGGTTTCCGGTCAAAAATAATACAGTTAGAACTGAGGCAGAAATCTTTGCAGGTGGAGTAAATCAGTATAGCAGGGTCTACAACTCTAGAAAAATTCTTGCAACATTTACATGAACAGCTAGAAAGATGCATAAACATACGTGGAAAAAAAAAATCCAAACAGGTCTTTATGACCATCGGATCTCCAATTTGCCAGCTCGGACAAATCATATTCTTCTGGGTCACAAATCAACGCGGAGATTCCAAGAGCATCCGATGCTTCCTTGACAAAACGAGTGGCAAGATCTTCAGCTGTACCCGTTTGTGATCCAAAAATCACAAACAAGCGGCCGTTACCATTAGTAAGTGCAGATGCCTCTTTTATGAGAGACTTCTTTGATGACGAGGCTGGCGTTGCTTTATCAAGGCTAGACTCATTTTAAAATTTAGCAAGGACACAATCGCTGGGTTTAGTATACAAGATCAATACTTTTGTGGTTTGATGGAATGGCCAACAGCCATCAAGTTAAAATATATTATATTCATGCTATCTAACAAAGTACATTCGAGTAAAGAGCATTCAAAGCATTCCTTTGCCGGTACACACCACTCATACATTGAGAATAAAGGTAGTCAAACAACCCACCTCATAGTGCCAGTAGTGGGAGGTGCAGCTTTGCCATTTACGCTGGAAGGAGTCTTGTCTGCATTATCAAACAAGCCAAATACAGAGCAGCCATTTCGCCAGGCAAAGAAGCCGGCAGTCAGGACAGCAATTGAGGCAAGAATGACAAGGTCGGCCATATCCATTCCATTTTCCATAGTGATGACGCTTATTTTAGTAACAATTGTTTGATGTAATGCCAAGGATTGATTGCTTGAAGTTGGATTTATTTTTTACAAATCACGTTCATGTTGGCACAAGCTTCATGGATATAGATGGATGCACGGTGTTGCAATGGTTGAATCCAGTTGCAGTTGTACTCACGTAAATCCCACTTTGTATCCTAAAATCAATGTTCTAGTTCAAGAAAAAACATTAGGAATGCAACTGTTGTTTCCATGTTGGTCAGCCCATTTCATGTTTGAATAAAGGAGAGTTTGAAGGTTGAACAAGTGGATTTATTGAAACTGGTGTGAAGATTGATTGTTTATAGAAAAATGAGCACAAGACTAATCAACTAGAAAGTCCAAAGATAATGTTGAGCATTAAATGTGATGATGCCAATCATTTCATGAGACTGGCTGTAATTTGCTTTCACTATTTGCTAGTTGACATACAGGCAGTTCTGTAAAGTTGAACAGCAGCTAACCTGTGACTTTGAATCGACTGGTTGAATTGACAGCCTTGTAAGGCGGAGTTTCTTGACTGGTTTTCTTTTGATGGCTGTCCAGATAATTCAGATTTACAAACAGACAACTATTTAATCTCGTTGCCTAAATATTTTAAACAGCTTATTTTTATGGCATTCAAGGCAGGTCGAGAAGTAGATACAATTGAGAATAGTGTAGACTGTCGAGATGTATTTGAGCTTGTCTCGCTTGATCGGACGGCTCAATCGATGTCTCTGACCATTCCAGCCAGCTCTCGAGTATCATTTCCAATGGAGACTGAGCACTCACCATTAAGACCTGCTTCAGTGACTGCCTGGTCTGTTACTAACCGTGGTTTCATATCTCATGCATTTGAGCGCCAGTTAAGCCTAGGGGCTGCACCTGCTGCTGAAGGTACATGTCATGATGCTATTCATACCCTTCTCGAGCCTACACCTGCTACCAATGCTTTGAATGTGACAAGTGTTGCAATGGCATCTTATTTGGATCCACTCCAGCCTATCGAATCTAGCATTCCATCTGTTTTGCAACATCCCAAACTAGATGCTGCAAGAACTGCCCCATCGTCACCACTATTAAACAGAAGTTGCAGTCAACTACAGATCCAGAAATCCTATCCACACTATGACTCGAGAGTAGATCCGCTTCAATACACTCTGAATAAAATGGGTCTAGCCACTGCTCGTCACATTGACTATGCATCCAACTCGATTCAAGAAACACTTTTGCTGGCCAAGGTTTTGGGATGCACTACAGTATTGCTGGGTGTGCTTGCCATGATGTATCTGCTTGTATCTGGCAATGCGGCTCTTACCCATAATTTTATAAACTATTCTGGACTGTGGCTCAGTGTCATTGTTTTAATTCTAACGTTCGTTGCTATGGTGATGCTCCATTGGCGGAATCTGGGTCTCATTATACGTCAATATAGACAGGCTCAGCCTACAACCATGATTTCCGATTCCACTGTAGCAGTGATGCCTATGAACGCGGAGAGTGAGTCTAGTAGTACCATGTTGAATGCATTTCCATTTTTACGTCGACGTACTTCCACTGTATCTGGTGCTTTACCTGATCCCCGACTTTTAGTAGCAGGCCATGTTGACTATGGTATGCTAAGAGATCAGCTTCAACAACGCATGAATCGCACAGAGCAAGTGTTAATCCGACTTCCTGGGTGCGATGAGATGCTTGATCGACTTTCCAGTCAATGCAGATCAAGCCGTGTTTCCAAGAATGATGTACATTCTGAATCTACTATGGCTGTCTCGGATCTATCGTTACTGGTTGTAGGTGAACGGACGCTTTAAGTTGGTTTATGGCTGCAGTTTTTGTATTACCTTTTATGGCTATTTTGATAATAAATGCAGTTGAAAGTGTACTTTTAGGATGAGTGTTGTAAATGGCATTTGAAGTCGCAAGCGAGATGTCCAACTTGCCATAAAAATTATATTCCTAGAATGTCGTCTGTAGCTGCATATCGCAACCTGTTTATCATTACTGGTGCATCCAAAGGGTTTGGAAAGAGTATTGCTCTTGCATTGGCAGATTCTCCATTACTGACTGCCCAGCCAACGGATGTTTTACTTGTTGCTCGCAATCTTGTCGAGTTGAATGATGTCAAGGCTGCTGTTGAACAAGTAGGTTATATTTGTATTGCTGCATGAGTTTATTATAGATGGAATGGTTCAAGTATATATAGGCACTATGTATCCCACCTGTTTAGAGATTATTCTTACATTAGTTTGTGAGCTGTTTTATCGCCATCATCTGCCATGGGATTTCAAAAAAACTGCAATATCATTGTAAATATGGACATTTATATAACACATCTCGATGAATAGATATTTCAAGAAGCTCATGTTGCACCAAGACACAGTCTATCTGTCCATGTTTGTACAGAGGACTTTTCCTCGAACGATATGGATGTCGTTAGCCAACGTATTATTTCTCGTTCAGCAATGCAGTCTCCATTAGCATATACTACTGCAGTGCTGTTCAATAATGCTGGTACGCTAGGCACTCTGTCTCGTATTCGTGATCAGACTATATCGGATATGCGTAAAAGTATTGATGTGAATCTAATGGCTCCATTGGTGCTGAGTGCTGCATTTTTGAAGCAATTTGCAGACTGCTCCAAACTGATCCTGGTGAATGTATCATCCCTTGCAGCGTGAGTGGTTTGTAGGTTAGATTTCATGAATGTAAAGTTTGGATCTGTAGTAAATCGAGTGATTTAATATGCTGTAGAATCCAACCATTTGATACCTGGGGAGTCTATTCGAGCATCAAGGCGGCCCGAGACATGTTTCATCAAGTGATTGCAGTTGAAGAAGCCAATATTGATGCAGAAGAAGCATTGTCAAAACGCACTACCAGTCCATGCTCAAAGGATACTCAAGACACTCAAGCACCTCTCAAGTCTGCTAGAGTTCGTGTTCTAAACTATGCACCTGGACCCATGGATACTGACATGCAGACTCGCATTCGAAATGAGATGCCAGAGATAGAGTTGAAGCAAGCATACGTCAAGATGCATGACCAAGGACAACTTGTGGATCCCAACGACTCTGCTAGTGTACTAATGTCACTGCTTGAGAGTGATGACTACATCAATGGCTCACATATCGACTATTATGATGTACAAAACACAGAACTCTCCAAAAAATAAAAACCAAATGACAAGAGGTTTGATGAATAAAAATGCTTTATTGAGTTTCTTCTTAATTAAATAAGGGCAAGAGATCAGCACGAGCACTCGGCGTCACCTCCAGATAGTGCAATAGGAGGGACACCTGTGCTCGGCGAGGCGTTGCAAGCAACTAACCAAGCTCTGCGAACCATCAAAAATAAGTTTGACAACAATCGGAGCGAACTCCGAGTTTCAGTTGTCACACTGAAAAGAACAGATACTACACTTGATCTTAGCCAAAAGGCCTGAGAGGATGCCGGAAAAACATTTCGCTGATCAAAGGCTGTATTTATATTATTTTGGCGGTCGCGGCAAAAAGGGACATTGTTATCTGCAAGTAGTTGTGGGATTTATTTTTGCATTTATGCAAAACAAAATAAAACAAGATGCCAAATACAAACAACCTCATGGAGTAATAACTCTCATCACATTTGCTGGACAAGACTGCATTCTTTAGTTGGCTAGTCTGCTCATTTTTGTATAGAAAACCAGCTACTATTCAAAGCAGCATTCACATCTCTTTAACCTCCAACTCTTCTCCCATCCAAATTAGACATTGAGTAATTGGATGAAAACGACTGTTACATTTCTGAGACATGTTGAACTAGACTGCAAACGTATTCAAGTTTGAGAATAGCCGAATTGAATATCTAAATTGTAATGCATGAATTGGATGATTATAGAATGCATGAATTGGGTGATTATAGAATGCATGACTGCCAAACAAGGACAATTCCAGTTCAAAAACTACAGTTTAATTTTGTATGACATTGTGTTTATTGAATCAAGTATCTAACAGGAAAGCACAACGAACATCTAATCATTTATTTTAAAGCAATATGGTAGTTGATGCAAGATAAACACAAGTGATCCATTTTACATGAATACGGTTGTAAATAAGCCAAGGGGCGAAGCAGACCAGCTGTGGCAGAAAAAATAGTATGGAGTAAAATATGGGTCGAATTGCAAACAATCGAAACTTGCAGAACACTGTAGAAGATTCAAGTAGATTCTTGCTTATGAGAATAAAAATAATGCAAAGGGCGGCGAATATTTTGATTATTTTTTCAGCAACCAGCGAGACTCACGCACAACAAAAAGCGACTGAATTTCCCTTTTTTTCTTTACTACCTTTTTACATTTGTTCTAATCGCAATCATGTCCAAGGCTGTTGGAATTGATCTTGGAACCACATACTCGTAAGTTGTCTTGCTGATTTCCCCTGTTCCTACCCACTTGAAGCGTAGGAAACTATGCATGATTATGTCATTGTAGCTACTTTTCCATCGTGTTCTGCCATTCCCAATATTCCCAACTCATAGTGGATTTCTATCCACTATTTTGCTGATATGGTTTAGGCTGTTTCAATAAAGCCTTGTGACCTTTTTGGGTTTCAATCTTTGTTCAAGGTTTCTAAACCAATACTTGGTTGCCTTGAACCGCTGCTAATTGTCAGATTTTTGTTTTTTTTCTTCCATCAAATTCTTACATCTAACATCACGTGTTTTGTCATGTTGAATACTTTTATAGATGTGTCGGTGTCTGGCAAAACGATCGTGTTGAGATCATTGCCAACGACCAGGGTAACCGTACTACTCCTTCATACGTTGCCTTCTCTGATAGCGAACGTCTCATTGGTGATGCCGCCAAGAACCAGGTCGCCATGAACCCCACCAACACAGTCTTTGATGCCAAGCGTCTGATTGGTCGTCGTTTTGAAGATGCCGAAGTCCAGTCTGACATGAAGCACTGGTCCTTCAAGGTTGTTGACAAAGGTGGCAAGCCCATCATCCAGGTCGAGTTCAAGGGTGAGACCAAGACCTTCACTCCAGAGGAAATCTCGTCAATGGTTCTTCTCAAGATGAAGGAAACCGCCGAGGCTTACCTCGGTACCGTTGTCAAGGATGCCGTTGTTACCGTTCCCGCCTATTTCAATGACTCTCAGCGTCAGGCTACCAAGGATGCTGGTGTCATTTCCGGTCTCAATGTGCTCCGTATCATCAACGAGCCCACTGCTGCTGCCATTGCTTACGGTCTTGACAAGAAGACTGCTGGTGAAAAGAATGTTCTCATTTTCGATCTTGGTGGTGGTACTTTTGATGTGTCTCTTCTTACCATTGAAGACGGCATTTTCGAAGTCAAGGCCACTGCTGGTGACACCCATCTTGGTGGTGAGGACTTTGACAATCGTCTCGTCTCTCACTTCTCTGACGAGTTCAAGCGCAAGTACAAGAAGGACTTGACCACCAACGCTCGTTCTCTTCGTCGTCTCCGCACTGCTTGCGAGCGTGCAAAGCGTACCCTTTCGTCTGCTGCACAGACCACCATAGAAATCGACTCGCTCTTTGAGGGTGTTGACTTTTATACCTCCATCACCCGTGCTCGTTTCGAGGAGCTCTGCGCTGATCTTTTCCGTGGAACCATTGATCCCGTTGACAAGGTTCTGCGCGACTCCAAGATTGACAAGGGCTCTGTCCACGAAGTTGTCCTTGTCGGTGGATCCACCCGTATCCCCAAGATTCAAAAGCTTATTTCTGACTACTTTAACGGAAAGGAGCCCAACAAGTCCATCAACCCCGATGAGGCTGTTGCATATGGTGCTGCCGTTCAGGCTGCCATTCTCACTGGTGATACTTCTGAGAAGACTCAGGATCTTCTTCTTCTTGATGTTGCACCCCTTTCTCTCGGTATCGAGACTGCTGGTGGTGTCATGACTCCCCTTATCAAGCGTAACACCACTGTTCCCACCAAGAAGTCCGAGACTTTCTCCACCTTTGCTGATAACCAGCCCGGTGTGCTTATTCAGGTCTTTGAAGGTGAGCGTACTCGCACCAAGGACAACAACTTGCTTGGCAAATTCGAGCTTGCTGGTATCCCCCCTGCACCCCGTGGTGTTCCTCAAATTGAGGTCACTTTTGATGTTGATGCCAACGGTATCTTGAACGTTCACGCCATTGACAAGACTACCGGCCGATCCAACAAGATCACCATCACCAACGACAAAGGTCGTCTTTCCAAGGAAGACATTGAGCGTATGGTTGCCGAGGCTGAAAAGTACAAGGCTGAGGATGAGGCAGCTGCTGAGCGTGTTCAGTCCAAGAACGCTCTCGAGTCCTATGCTTACAACCTCCGTAACACTCTTCAGGATGAAAAGGTCGGTGGCAAGCTCGAGGCTGCAGACAAGACCAAGCTTGAGGCTGCTATTGACGAGGCTATCAAGTGGCTCGACCGTAACCACGAGGCTGACAAGGAAGAGTATGAACATCACCAGAAGGAGCTTGAGAAGGTTGCAAACCCCATCATGATGAAGCTTTACTCTGCTGGCGGTGCTCCAGGCGCTGGAGGTCCAGGTGGCTTCCCAGGTGCTGGTGCTCCAGGTGGTTTCCCAGGTGCTGGTGGCGATGCCGGCCCTACTGTTGAAGAAGTTGATTAATTGAATCGCGCTGATCTAACTGAATTCACAATAGCTTTAACTTTTTTACCAAACTTTTCTATATGGTTTTATGTTGAAAATGAACTTCTGCATCACATCTTTTACAACCGTATTTGTGTAAATGGGTCACTTTATATCTGCTTGTAGTATTCTAAAAATCAGCATATCGATATAACAATCTTATTGATTCATGATATCAAGTTGGATTGCTTGACAAAATATAAATGCTGCAATGATCAATGTTGTTGCTGTTGGTTTACAGTTTGGCAGCACCGCCTTGGAAACGAGTACAAACATCGGTCCAGTTGATGACATTCCACCAGGCAGCAACGTAGTTGGCACGAACATTGCGGTATTTGACATAGTAGGCATGTTCCCAGACATCAAGAGCAAGTAAAGTCATGGCACCAGTACCTGCAAACTGAGGTGCAAACTCGGGATGATCTTGATTGGCAGTGGTCACGATCGACATGGTAGAACTCGAAGGAGTCCAAGTAAGAAACACCCAACCAGATCCGAATACACCAAGAGCTGCTGCTGTAAACTGCTGCTTGAATGTCTCGACAGAGCCAAACGACTTGACAAGCTGCTTGCCAAATTCAAAATACTATTTTGACTATCTGATTTGGGACTCTTGATGTGTGTGCGTAGTTGTACAACTTGACAGAGTATGATGCCAATATCATGTATATTACCAGTTGTGCAACTATTGCGATTGATGTAATACAAATATTACTGTATTTCAACCATCAGTCATCAGTCATCAACCATGACTCGTATCCAACCCAATCTACAAACATTAGAAACTCGATCAAAATTGTAAATGCAATGGTTTATTCAAATCAGTTGATGATTATGGAAACATAAATCACAGTTGACTTGCAAACCATGTCAGTAGTTTGATAAAGTAGTTGAGTGTAGCTTTATGCATTATATCTTTGCATTGATGTTTTAAACTTTTGGAGCCATGAATCCAATTCTGGTTTCAAATTCGTGTTATACCAGTCACCTCTAGAATGATGACTGAATAATCTTTCAAGCAGCTCTTGTAGATCCGTTTGTCTGCTAATAAACTGGGTTACTAGACTGAGTATATCTTCAATTACCTCTCCAATTAAACTTGGATTCCTATTTAAACCAAGTATTTCCTCGTAAATTTCTACTCGAAGCAATTTGAAAATTTCCATAAGCTTGTCCAAAATCTCTCGAAGATCGTCGACAAACTCGGATGCTAGTTGACTATCGGGTGTAAATCTATTAACAAGACTTAAAATATCATAGATCCATCTTTCGTAGCTACCAAGGTATGACCAAAATAAAGCCAATTCCGCTCTAAAATTGGTTTCTTGAAGATTTGGTCCAGAACCCATGCCTTTCAGTATTGCTTCGGCAGCACGTTGGTGCTGCCTTGAGTTTTTTTTAACAAGATATGTGGATCCATGAGCACCACCTTGATAGCCCGATTGTGAAAATCCCGGTATATTTGTAATTGCCATCAATAGTGAATCAATCTTGCCACCTCGTTCATATTGGTTTTTGGTTTTTTGACGACCAAGTCTGTGTTTTTTCCCAATACCACGTAAAAGCCCACCGAGATTATAAGACTTTATACGAGCTCCGGGAGTTTGGTTTGAATGATCACCTTGACTGCCGCCAGGACCTTGAGTTGTTGAAGTACTCGGAAATTCCGGACCACCTGTTGCTTGTGGAACACTTTGGCTATTTAGACTTGGACTTGGACTTGGATCAACAGAGTCGATTGTCTCGCTGGGTTGTGGCAAAATGGCATGAACACTGGTGGCCAAGGCTGCAATTGTAAAGGCTGAGATGTGTGTGAATTTCATTTGATCAAGTATAACTATGTATGTATTATTGGAGGTCAACGAGCCTGCTTTTATAACCATCACAACAATCGGTTGGAATATTTTTATACATTATTGCTATGTGTTTATTCCGCAGATCAGGGATAAAGGCCAGTATGAATACACGGTAAGGTGTTGTATGCTAAAATAGATCTACACAGGGCTAGGGTGGTTAGCCCTAAAAGGGTCAAGATTGACAGTGTATGTTCAAATGCTTGGTTCAAATCCAAACTGAAAATCTTATTCTAGTAGATTGACTATCACAGTTTTGTGTCGTCAATTATTACATCTTCACTTATGACCCTGATGTCTGGTGACCCTTTTTGGCCATTATACAGAGTACAATCACTTAGTTACAGTCACCGCACAACACCGAGCCTGACGACTTTCTGTTTAGTCAATATGCGGCCCATCAAACTGAATCGATGATTTGTCCGCATCAACAGTTGTCGATAGTTTAAATTGCCACTCAATTTGGACATCAATGTATACAATCAACTCACATCTAGATTATATCAATCTATCAACTTGACGACATTCACACCCACAATCAACATTAACAATTTGGGTTCAATTGGATTGTCCACTATTGGTTCATGATATGGCCAGCAACCATGTGTATGGTGAATAGCAAACAGGCTTTATCCGCACTTTCACAAGAGATCAGTCGTGTATATGACATTCCAACCACTACAACTGAAACTGCAACTACAGCCAACGGTGATCCAATGACAGTTTCTGGTCATCAGATCATACACTCTGCAATGCCGTTACTATATCCAAACCGTGACTCTGAATCGATATATTTGTGAGTATATTGTAAAATGGTTGTTTTCAGATCAAAAAGCCAATAAAATCAGCATATCGATATAACAATCTTGTATTGATTCATGATATCAAGTTGGATTGCTTGACAAAATATAAATGCTGCAATGATCAATGTTGTTGCTGTTGGTTTACAGTTTGGCAGCACCACCTTGGAAACGGGTACAAACATCGGTCCAGTTGATGACATTCCATCAGGCAGCAACATAGTTGGCACGAACATTGCGGTATTTGACATAGTAGGCATGTTCCCAGACATCAAGAGCAAGTAAAGTCATGGCACCAGTACCTGCAAACTGAGGTGCAAACTCGGGATGATCTTGATTAGCAGTGGTCACGATCGACATGGTAGAACTCGAAGGAGTCCAAGTAAGAAACACCCAACCAGATCCGAATACACCAAGAGCTGCTGCTGTAAACTGCTGCTTGAATGTCTCGACAGAGCCAAACGACTTGACAAGCTGCTTGCCAAATTCAAAATACTATTTTGACTATCTGATTTGGGATTCTTGATGTGTGTGCGTAGTTGTACAACTTGACAGAGTATGATGCCAATATCATGTATATTACCAGTTGTGCAACTATTGCGATTGATGTAATACAAACATTACTGTATTTCAACCATCAGTCATCAGTCATCAACCCTGACTCACATCCAACCCAATCTACAAACAATAGAAACTCGATCAAAATTGTAAATGCAATGGTTTATTCAAATCAGTTGATGACCATGAAACAGATCACAGTTGACTTGCAAACCATGTCAGTAGTTTGATAAAGTAGTTGAGTGTAGCTTTATGCATTATATCTTTGCATTGATGTTTTAAACTTTTGGAGCCATAAAGCTAACTCTAGTCCCAAATGCATGTAGTACCAGTCAATTTTAGAATAACGCTCAAATAACTCTTTGAATAGTTGTTGTAGATCCGTTTGTCTGCTCATAAATTGGTCGGTTAAATCGAGCATAGCTTTAACTGCATTTTCGAGCAAACCTGAATCCTCATTTAAATGCAAAACTATTTGATAAATACTTTCATAAAGTACATGGATAATCTCCAGAAATTCTTTAAAAATCTTTCCAAGCCCGTTGATAAACTCGGATGATAGTTTACTAATGGCTTCAAATCCATCAAGGAAATTTAGAATATTCTTGACCCATACTTCGTATTCGCCAAGATATGCTGAAAATGAAAGTAAATGTTTTTTAAACTTTGATGTTTCAGCATTAATGCCTTTCGCTATTACTTCGATAAGTTGCTGTTGTCTTGAATTTTCTTCAACGTGATCTGCGAGTCCGTAGTCACCACCTTGATAGCCCAATCCTGAAAATTGCGGTATGTTTAAAAGCGATTCCAAGAATAAATCAATAGAATCATTCTGCCCATCTTGAGGTCGTTTTTTGTATTTTCGATGGCCAGATTTGCGTCCTTGTCCAATACCACATAAAAACTTACTGAGCTTGGAAGATTTTAGACGAACTCTAGGAGTTTGGTTTGAATGATCGCCTTGACTGCCGCCAGGACCTTGAGTTGTCGAAGTACTCGGAAATTCCGGACCACCTGTTGCTTGTGGAACACTTTGGCTATTTAGACTTGGACTTGGACTTGGATCAACAGAGTCGATTGTCTCGCTGGGTTGTGGCAAAATGGCATGAACACTGGTGGTCAAGGCTACAATTGTAAAGGCTGAGATGTGCGTGAATTTCATTTGATCAAGTATAGCTATGTATGTATTAATGAAGATCAACGAACCTGCTTTTATAATCGGCATAACCATATATTAAAATATTTTTATACATTATTGCTGTGTTAATTACCGCATATCAGGGATAAATGTCGGCATTAATATAGGGCTGAGGTGTTCAACCCTAAAATAATCAAGATTGATAATGTCTGAATGCTTGACTTGAATTAAAGTTGGAAATCTTATTCTAGTAGATTGACTATCACAGTTTTGTGTCGTCAATTATTACATCTCTACTTATGATCTTGATGTCTGGTGACCCTTTTCAATCACTATACAGAGTACAATCACTTAGTTACAGTCACCACACAACACCAAGCTTGGTGACTTTCTGTTTAGTCAATATGCGGCCCATCAAACTGAATCGATGATTTGTCCGCATCAACAGTTGTCGATAGTTTAAATTGCCACTCAATTTGGACATCAATGTATACAATCAACTCACATCTAGATTATATCAATATATCAACTTGACGACATTCACACCCACAATCAACATTAACAATTTGGGTTCAATTGGATTGTCCACTACTGGTTCATGATATGGCCAGCAACCATGTGTATGGTGAATAGCAAACAGGCTTTATCCGCACTTTCACAAGAGATCAGTCGTGTATATGACATTCCAACCACTACAACTACAACTACAGCCAACAGTGATCCAATGTTCCAATTTGCGTGAATATGGCAGGAGTGCAAATTGATTTGATTTTGCAACTTGCACCAATTGAGATGATGTCTGAACAGATTCAAGCTGCTGCTCAACGTATGTCAATAGACTGACATTTGCTGTTTTTGCTTCCCTTGCTAGTTTATCTTTTGAAACTCTATAGAACCGTGAGTTGAGTTAGCCTCACCAGGTGCTTTCAACCCTTTGTCTTGTCTGCCGTATAGAGGATTGACTGCTAGTTGCCAAGTTACACAGTGATGCTACCATCAAACACTAACTCCGTTCCCACCACATGCTATTTAGCCAAGATCCGCCATGAATGGTTTCAAACCGATACCCATGTCACTGTCTCCATTTTTATTAAAAAGGTCGATCCAGCATCCCTAAAGGTCGAAATTACTTCCCGAAATCTCTCTATCCGCATCCAGTCTCCATCCATAGGCACTTCTGAAACAGTGCTGGACTTTGACCTTTTACTCCCAGTCGTCTCTGCCGAATCATCCTATGAGGTTCTATCTACCAAGATCGAAGTCAAGATGAAAAAAGAGTCTGTCGGTGCCAAATGGACCGCTTTGGAAGGAGATGGAAATATAGATGCAATGGGAAGCTTGGCATCCGTTTCCATGACTGCTCCACCAGCCTATCCCTCCTCTTCTAAAAAGGTACTACTTTTTACTTGGCTGGATTTGGGTCCACTCACTCACCTTGGTTTGCTGAACATTATTAGAAGAACGATTGGAACAAGCTGGATAAGGCTGTCGAGGAGGACAAACCCGAGGGCGATGCTGCGCTGAATGCGCTATTCCAGCAAATTTACAGAGATGCTAGCGAGGATACACGACGTGCAATGATGAAGTCATATGTAGAGAGCAATGGCACATGTCTGTCTACCAACTGGAAAGAGGTCGGCTCCAAACCGGTTGCAGTAACTCCTCCTTCGGGTATGGTGGCCAAAAAGTTTGAGTTTTAATTTGGATTATTATTTCGTATATTTTGGAATGAATTGAGGAGCCAATGGCTTGATTGTCTCTTTCATTTGCTGCTGTATTTGGGAGTCAAATTGGTCCTATACTTTCCAGCTCAAAGTATTTATAATCGTGCAGTAGAATAAACCAGAAAAGTATCTATTAGATTGCTATGGCTTGAGATCGATTACTTGATGAGTTGGTGATTCGACTGCTGCAGGCGTATGGGATCGCATAGGTATAAGAGTTGGTTTCTGACTGCTTGCACTACCATATCCGTCTTGCATTCATTTTAAAGTGTTCGCGTTCAACTTCTTTCTATCAGATCCTGTCGCAATCGTTTCCTCTTCAACATCTGCAGCTCTTCCCTATTGCACCAACCATCCTATTTGCAGCTGTATTGAATTTATTTATCCCAGTAGCAACTATCCGTGGCATTACATGCACATCAGTTGTATTTAATGAACATCGGATGATACCGGTTTACTTGAACAAGAGTGTTAAATCCGTTGGAATAAATATAATTTAGTCGTCCATTTCTGTACTACATTTTACACCCTCATTGTTACACAATATCAAATGTCTGCAAAGAAAACAGCTGGAAATGGAATGCGTTTGTAGGAATAGGAAACACCATACACAAGATGACAGTAGTATTGCATACATACAAATCAAAGTATGCTCTCATGATTGTCAACGGATTGATTGAAAACAACTTTATATCCAACTTGCCCATCAACAACCAACAACTCTGCAAGATCCTTCTTGCCAATATCACAGTATCTGGATGGAAATACGGAACCTATTCAAACTGCTGTCAATCAATACTGTCATTCAACACTGCAAGGCTGACATTGACAAGTTGTTTGACGTCTCATTATCTCCAAAGAAAAACGGAATCCAGATCAGATTCGCTTGGAATGTCAACAACAACTGACTGTTTGTTGCTACATCAAGACTCGTCAGTACAGACCCACACAATACAATGTAAGAGATATCAGGCAACCAGATACAAATGAACTGCTTGTCTGCAATATGCTGCATCATATTGGAATGGGTTCTGAAACTCGTTTTATCATTGCATCTCACAGCACCAAAACAGTCTACATTGCTATCAAGTATTGCCATGTGGTGCTATTGTCCGAGTTGACAAAGATACAGCAAACAATACCCAACTTTAATTGGATTTGATATTTCGTATCCTGTGTATATGCGATTGTGCTGTCAACTCATCAAACTGCGGTCAAGTCGATGATAAAGCAATGATTGTCGACTTTTGTATCGAAAAACAGTCAAAAACTACATTAAAACAGACATTATGGACAGATTCTACAAAGGAAATGGTAAATTCTGTTGTTCTGGGTTGATGCAAATCGCAGTCAAAACAACAAACGCTGTAAACATGGATACGATGAACAAGTCGTTGTAGGAATGGAATGCAAGTTGCTGGAGAGTATTGAGCGAGCCGAATCGGAGATTGATGGATTGGTTTAAAATGGGGTAACAGACTGATATTTGAAACGATTTACAACGATATGTCCATGACCTTGAAGCAACAGTTGCAGTTCTAATGGAATATTTTGTTGGTAGCATTCATCTTTAAATGTAGGCATATTGGTATCCAGCAACAATGGAAAATGTGTAATATTACAACTGTAATGTCTGGACAACTGACTGTCTGAATAACAGTAACTATTTCCAGTGATGCTGATTTGTAAACACTCGAATTATTCAACAACACTCTATCAATGCATTTGCAAGAGTCATTGGACGTATCTGTTGTTTGAAAGTTGATTCTCATACATTCAGAAGTGGAAGTTATAAAGCTTATTTCCATGCAGACACGATCAATGTATTACTTTCTGTTGGATAGGCTGTATCATCTGTCATCAATTCAGACACACTTGTCAGTCCTGTTCCGTATACAATGAGTCACATATGGACACCAATGCAACAATCAAGAATCAATTGTCATTTACAAGTCCGAATTGCCAACCAACAATCGTACTAATGGACCAACGGACCAATGCCAAAACACCTGCACATCAGACAGTTTATTGGACATGACTTGATTGTTCTTGAAAACTGTTTGAAAACTGCTTGATGACTCGAGTAATCCAATCACACATTGCTGGCAATTAAATGTAACTATACAATGTGTCATGTATACATTGGATACTATCAGTTTATCAGTGACTATCTGGTGTTTGTTTATGCATGATTACTTGGACTACTATTTGCAATCAACACAATCACTGGTATCAATGACCGATAACAATGAAACCAAACGATTGACTACATCAGATTATACACGTTCATTCTGGAATGCAACTTTGCATCGATATTGTAAATATCAACCAGAATCCGAGCCAAACGAGTCAAGCGAGTGTCGCAAGCTTGCATTCATTTGAAAATACTCGATATCAGGCTAAAGTTGCATGTGAAATGGTCATTTGTACAAGGTTAAACAACCTCGACATTTACAATCAATGTGATGTTGGAACAGAGCTGCTATTTCCGAATTTAAAAGTCCAAATTGTACACATTGTTATCAAGTCTAATCTACACCCTTCATACCATACCATGCCATGCTTGATAGTTTTATACACTGCTACAAGAGTTGTATTGTGTGTATTTCGAGTATTTCCATCACTCCATCACACTGTATTGGCTCAAACAACTTGAACAGATTGTCATAATCTGACATGATTCCAAAATAATTGCAATCGGTTATATTTGACATGATCGGATCATTGTAAACCATTGATTTCAGTAATTCAAGATTAAACAAGCCAATGTTACTTTTTCCAAATTTGAATCAGCATGTTGTTGTAATATCGTCAATATTGTGAGCAACTCTGAGCAGACACTTGGACATTCAGTATCAAGTGATATTGGATACTTTCAAATATGAATCCCGGTGATAAATAAGCGGTGATGTGTTTGAAATCAATTTACCATTACAAACCATTGTGTATTTGCCAATACACTTGATGGTATCAATGACCACTAATGGATTCAACTCGCATTCTGAATGAGCCATCATGTGGTAACCCAATTGTTTAGTATTGGTTGTTATTTGATAATGTCACATTTTGTGTCCTGCCATGAGATTGATTTCATCTGAACATTTGACAACCGTGCAAGAAACATTGATTGAACTCGTACAGTTTCATATGCAAGTGCATCAATAGTATATCGACCAACGAGACCAGTTTTGTTGGTTGATACTCACTGATACTCGCTGGTAACTTGATGAAAATGTGTCAAAACCATGACTTTTATGACAACACTGTACAAACTGTACGAGTTTAAAAGATTATTGGTGGATATTGTCCAAGTCTGATGATATTACTCATTGACGGGCGATCGATGAATATCTTGTATCAAACTACCATGCAAATCAAGCACATTTCAAGCAAATGGGTTACAAAGTTGAATATTTGGAGATGCGAATTTCAACTTTCGGAAACACTGAAATGGACAGCATCATCAAATGTAACAATAACTACCAAATGATTTCAAACAGGTCATTTGCATCCAAAGACACTCTGTCATACTTGTCACCCAATACCTCGCAGTACCTCACAGTACATCCATAGATCAGTTCTTGACAGCATTCAATGCTGAAATGCAAATGGGTGGACTTACCCAGAGTAACCCAGAATACATACAAGAACGCAACGGAAAACTAGCTGCTATGCTTCGATATTGTTTTAGAATCAAGCAAACGATTTGATCAGACATTACAATTGAAAGTCCAATTGGATTTGGAAATTACAATATTGGATGGTACACATGAATTGGAATCATTATCCTGTAATGGCTTTTGTTTGATGAAACTAGTTCTTTGATAACTTTATAATCAACGGAAAATAAAAGTTTATCGAGGTAAATTCGTACTAGAGACATTTGGAGTGATTTATGGGCTATTGATAAAAGACTGCTGAATGACATGGTGTACAAGTCGATAAATGTGATTGAATTCTTCCTCGACATAATGATTGACGTTTAGCGGCTTATCTCCCGATACATAGACGACTTCTTGACTAACCTTGATAAACTTCCAAATGCTTGCTGTGGAATGGATTCCATACACGCAACAATTCGACATTTCATCCTGCTTTCTGCGATAACGGATGGAAGCACACTCTCCAATACACTGAAGCATGGTCTCATTGTTCGTTATTTTGGCTACAATAACAACTAGATGAGGGAGATTGCGGTGGCCGCGATGGCAAATCGTGTAATTGCAGAAGCCATCCAAGCGTCGTTTCTTTGCTTGGTTCACTTGCGTCATACGGTATTCACAAATGATCTGGAAGTCTGGAAACTGTGATACAATCTCTCGCAAGTAGTATATAAAGAGCACCGGATAATACCGTTTTACTCGGATGAAAATGTCAGCTAAAATCACTTGGAAAGAAACTACGTTATGAAAATTTAGTTAAATCGAATGAATTTGTTTGATTTTTTTTAAATTTATTAGCTACATAATTAGCACTTGTTTAACATTTTTTTTTCAAATGTTTTCTCGTGCTATCATTCCTTGTCGTTTACGTTACTATTCTACACCCACAGCAGCTTTGAATCTATGGGTCAAACATAATGGAGGCCCATCGACTCAAGTCTCCACCAAAAGCTGTATCAATATCGATGACTTTGCAAAGAAAGTGAAGCAAGAGCTCAATACCTCCTCTCAAATTGCTCTATTTACTTCTCTCGACAAGGAAGCTCTTCGCCCTGGTCTTGCAGTGAAGGAACTACTCAAAACTGATGAATTCAAGAACAACACTGATGAATCACCTTTATTCGTCAAAATCATTCCTGTAACTTCAGATTCAATTGCCTCTAAAACAATTTATGTTCAAGACATCGATGAGGAATGCAAACCTGTTGACAGATTTACAGAGGTTGTAGTTGAAAATGATACTGATTTGAGACAAATTCTTGGCAGCAAAGGAGAGGCTCTTTATCAATTGTCTAATCCGAAGAAACGAATCACGAAATTGAAGCAGTTGATTGATGGTGAAAAGTACAATGTTTATTCTCGCTACGAGCAATCATTTGCTGATGAAGTTCGTTGGCAGAAAAAGGAGAATGCCGCTATGGAAGAAGAAGTCGCTCTGGCTTTGAAGAATTACTTGCATTTGCACCTTGGCTCTGCTGTTATTGACATGCCTACTGACGTGCTCGGAAGTAACGGGAACATTGTACAAGAATGGGATGCCGCTTTCAAGGTCGATGATGTTTTATATCTTTGCGAAGCCAAACATGTCATGTCTACTGACAAGTTACCAAAGATTTCTCAAAGAATCCAAACATTCAAGGAGCAATTTCAACCACATGCCCAGGAGCAGCTCTCTATTGGCATCAACAAGATTATTGGTATTGCATGCGCTACCTACTTCCCCCCTCTTGTCCGTAAAGAAGCTCACGACCTTGGTTTAATTTGTGTGTATCCTTCTGACTGGCGTTACCGTGTTGACAAGACGTTACCAATTGAGTTTAAAATCGAACGTTAATTAAATTGCATTGTTACAATCTTCTTGTGAATTTACTATTAAATATTTGTCAACTCTAGGCCCAAATGACTTGAATTATCCAACAACACTCTATCAATGCATTTGCAAGAGTTATTGTGTTGAAATAGCTGATATAACATTGATTCTCAATATATAACGAGAAAAGAATAAAAAGTTGAATAATCCAAGAGCACTTGCTAATCAAGATCAACTAATCTTGTTTTCAGTATTGAATAACTAAACTAGTAATAAGGGTAGTTGATAGAATCAGCAGGATTAGTGTATTTATACAAGATGAACAAGTACTTGATATTGATTGGTGATTGCAGTTCATCTTGGATCCCAATGGTTGTTGTGATGCAATCTAATCATAGTAATAGTTCATTGGATGATTGCATCCGGAATAGACTATATGTCATAGCAACACTTGTCGTTGCTTTCCAAAAGTCTCCACCATAACAACCTTGACAGTAGATGCATTATGAATAAAAAATTATATTTATTCCAATGAATTTAGCATATTCTCATTCAAAGAAAACGATATTATCCGATGCTCATTATATACTACTGCTGGTACAGTCAGTCCATTGACACCGTGTCTTTTAAATGAGGTAGTTTTGGATTCATTGATGATGCTGGTGGCTCACATAAAGAGTTTTCTGAGGGGTTTGATTTGGACACGTCATGCCGAGACGAGAGTGTCAATTTACGTACCAAAGATTCCGGAGACCGAGCAGCAGAGGTTTTAAAAATGTTTGGCTCGTTGATGATATCATCCAGCAATGCACCGGAGCTATGCGTGCGTTGTGGTATGGATGGAATTGATTCAGAATTTGATCCTAAAAATGATGAGGCACTAGTTAAAGGTGAAGTTGAATGAATAGTGGATGCTGCAGAAAGATTTGTCCTGCTTGGACTGTTATGCCTTGGATCAATGGTATCCATTGACCCATGACTCATATTCGAGGCGTCTTCAGGTATAGAGCCAAACATGCCACCAATATTCGTATCAAAGTTGACAGAAAAAGGAGAAAAGGTTGTCTCTGAATCGAGTCGTGGGGCTTCAGCTCGAGCACGAGGCAACTGAGGTTCAACAGAATCTAGTCGAATTGGAACACTAAAAGATGTTCCCCGCGATGAAGTGGGAGAAGCAAAAGTGCCAAGTGATGGGGGGATAGGAATGGTAGGTGTTGCTCGCAATGGACCAGGTCGTCGTACAGGAGATGCCGCGACAGGTACAGTCTCTGATATGCCTGCTGCATTTGAACGAAGCGTGTGATCAAGCGAAGATGATACCAAACTCACTGTACCCGCAGCAGCAGAAGAAATGCGCGGAGTGGAAATATGGATAGGTACATTGTTTTTATTCACTCCTGCCTGTTTGTTATCCTTGCGAATAGTCTGAGCTGAGCTGAGATCGTAACGATGAGGACTGGCCATAACCGGCGATTGTGAAAGAAGTTCATTAGGTGATGCATATGCATCACTGGCCAATTTAGTCGGAAAAAGGGTACGATCGGTTGATGCAGTAACTGGACTACTGAGTGCAGATCCTGACACACTGCCATTACCAATCACCACTCGAGTTGCCGTCATTCGTTGTTCGGAGCGAGGTGGGATAGTAGGCGCTGTTCCAAGAGTCGTTACTGAACTATTAGATAATGTGCTCTGAAGATCACCTAGCAGTGGCATATAGTTTTCTGTCTTGGATATACAAATAGGTGGAGGTATCTCGCGCGATAGGCTTTGAATATTTAAACGTCCAATTTCTGCTCTTGTGTTGCCACCTCCATATCCTCGATCCTCATCGTCATTGCGCTTGCAACTCTCTACAAACTCTGCCATCCCGTCAGAGTGACTTTCATGTGCACTCTTTATGGATTCAATGGCTGCTGCTAATACATGATATTCAGGTACCTGGCCAACAGTATAAATGTAATAAGTAGACTTGATACTGAAAATGTGTACAGGTTTAATATTGCACAAAAAAATAAATTTCAAACCTTGTTTGCTGCAGCAATAGATACATTGTAGCGCTCAAAAAATTGATACATGGATTCGCAGTAACGATCCACGTCGGTATCCGATTCTTGAATATCCAAAGGTGCATCCAAATCAATTGGTATTGTCTACAAAAACCATATAAAGTGTGTTTAATAGCTCTGTTCAAAAATACTTGTCCATTGTAGCCAGAGTATCTACAAATAAAATATTGCAACTATAGACTCACCGATACACGCTCCAATAAATCGCGCATGGCATCTTTTTGTCCACGGATAAATCCATTCACCTAGCAATGACAGTATTCAAAATTACAGTTTAGTTGGTATTGAATGCCAATTTGCTACTTTATGCTTTAAATGGATATGCTTACCTCTGTCATGTATGAATCTTTTAGCTCGGTCAAATTTGCCAAATTTTGCAAGATTTTGGCAATCATTGTCAAGGTTCGTAATACATTCCCCGTAGGAATATCGTTGGTTAGTCCAAATTGGTGCGGCTAAATTTTAAAATAAACAACGTGTAGTTGGTTCAGAACTATTTGATCCATGTTGAGTGCCCCATTCCAACTAAAATCCCATACTCACCGAAATAATAGCAGGACAAAAAAATCGAAGAAATAAAAATCCACTATAGTTGCAAATAAGCCAAATGATTAAAACTACTAAAACCCGTGTAGGTAATAAATGTGAGCATTAATGATAGGCAAATTCACCTACCTAATTGCTGGGTATTTGACTTGCTCACCACGACTTTGTTGATCGACAAACCGTTTGGATACAACTTCTTTAATATATGCAAAAATCTCGACAATTTTGGACGGGAATGCATTGGATGATTTTTGAATCGAGTCCCAGAAAAGAAAAACAAACTGTAAGAGTCGCTTGACATTTTTTTTTGCAGACTCAAAAGAATCAAGCCTAGTGGGATCTGCCTCGCAGGATTCTCCGTTCTCATATACTGCGGCAATAAGTGGTGACAGTATGCTTTGGAGGTACTCGGCACCAACAGCTTTCATATACTGGTCAACTACCTTTGTTGCCAAGGTGTTGCCACGGAAAATGATATTGGGATCTTCCGTGGATGAAATTTCATCGTGGACCAAAATGCAAATGCCTTCACGCTCTCTGTTCAGTGCTCTCATCAGATTCAAAAACTGACAAAAAGTATTGGATTCGATAATTACAGGAAATTGTGGTATAATTCAAAAAATTCAAAGTAAAAATCGCTGTAGCAGTGTTATCTCTTTCAACACGTTGATAAAGTAATCAAAATAGTGAGCAAATCGGCTTACAGATCGAGCAAACTCTTCACGTTCTTGAGTAATAATACGTCCAAGTGTTTTTACAGCTGTCAAATTCGGTTCGGTGATCAGCTCTAGAAATTGTCCATATACAGAACTTTGCAGGATTTGCTCATTCTGTACCATTTAAAAAGTGCGAGCTGAGCAAATTAACACGAGATCAAAGTTATCAAAGCATGACAGAATCAACAACTCGTACCATGAGAGTGCATGAAATGCGAAGCGATCCTATTGCTCCATCCTCGGTGATATTTTTAATTTGATGCCATTGGTCCATTTTTACTCCACTAAACAAGGATTGTAGGTTAATGGTCACATAGCCAATAGTAGTATCTTTTGAAAGTCGATTTGGATGAAGTAAAATAATCCTCAATGTTCCAAAGTGTGCAGCAATATCATGAAACATAAACGACTCTGTCCAAATTGAAGTTTCCGCAGTTTTGGCGACCGTACGGGCAAAATTCACATCATCAAGAAAAATAGCGCAGTATGGTGTTATGGTCTTCATTCCAGGGGGAGTTTTCAAGTCCTTGGCTTCAATAATACGAAGCGTTAAAGATCGCTTGTACTTGCTGCTATTTTTGTTTACAAGATTCTCGTTGCGTTTCGTGTTTACACTAAATCCATTTAAACGAGCACATTTGTTACAGCAGCGGGCATACTGTCGTAGCACCTCTGCCCAGTCATCCCGTGCAAGCTCTGATTCTGTTACACATGTGTACGAGATTGATTTGTCTCCTTCGGACTGAATAATTTGAAAACTGGGTTTACCAAATGCAGAGGAATCGATGCAGTGGATAGCACAATTTTCAATAAAAATAACCTCTTTTGGGCGAATCATCTAGTGTTGAATAAAAATGTTACCAGTCCACAAATAACTGTAAAGCACTTGAATCCAAGTCAACGGATTTCCAGCAATCAAATGGCTAAATGTCTTACATCAGACATGTCGTAGAGATTAAGCAGGTGTTGTTCTTGACGGAAAATTGCCACCCGGACTTTCCAATTTCCCAAAGTATCATCTGTTCAAAAGTAATCATCAGCCCAGCTCAATTATGATGCAAGTTTGATTGGTGCAATTCAAATAATATTACTTTTTCGAATATGCATAATTCCTCGTTTCAATTCTCCAGACAAGAGATAATGGAAGCCTTTTATCATTTCTCTATCGTCATTCCGAGTCATCTGGGAATTATATATTCAAGTTAAAGACCAAACAATAAAAACAATACCAGAGTAAAAACTTACATGGCAAGAAACAAAACTTTCAATGTCGTCTTCAACATTAATATTTGAAATTTTTTGAGCCAGATCTTTGAGAGCATTCATATGGGACTCGGCCATCTTTATCTCCAATAGGTTTGCTCGTTCTAAAACACTTTTTGAAGCATAGCAACGATCCTCTTCGTGGCGCCGTAGATTCTAAATAATCATGCCCACAATCATATTAGTATCTTTTTGGTCAATACATACAAAGATATCATTATATACCTGATACAGTTCAGGCAAAAGTCTGCCATAATAATCTTCTTCAGCAGCATTCGCAATCATTTCGCAGGCAGTAAATTTATCTTTGGCATGATCCGCCTTGTCTTGCGCTGTAGTGGCTTTGATCGCATACTAGTAACAAAAATATCAGCACAACTTGAAATAATATACAATCGAGTTTACATGAAAATGCACATTGTTGAATATTACCTTTGAGATCTCTTTTTCTTTTGTTCCAGGATTATACTGCGCACGTTGAAAATTTTGCGAAGCGTCAATAGCAGCAACTTGAAGTGAATCCATGTCTTTCTTGGACTATATTGTGCATTGAAGAATCAATCAGGATCAGATTTAATCACGATAATGCAACATCAACAACATTCGGGCCATTTGGCATCATTTCAAATATAGTGGTAACAAGCCACATTTCATAACAGATTTAAATACCTTGCGCATGGCATGAAATGCATCTCGAACATTTCTATTGTGCTCCTGTCCAGTCGCAAAATACTATACATAATTGAATGAGTTGGTTGAATATTTAAGCACAAGGAATGTCATAAATCAACAACATACAGCCTTTTTTGATGCCTCCAATTCCTTGATTTGGTTTTGAAATGGTTCAATAATTAAAAATTGTAACTTTTTTGACATATCATCCTACACCAAAAAATTAAAATAAGTTGATATTGCGTATATGTACACCTTTACAGCCATACTCATGCAAAATGTAACACTAAATAGGGATTTCAAAATACATAATAAACTGCCAGTCACATCAAATAATGGGTGCCAAATTACTGTACAACACTGTCCACTGATTCTTTTCGTGGTGATTGGTATGCAAACAGTTGCATTCCTAAACGTGCAATCTGCTCCATTGAACTAGATCGCAAACGTATCTATGGAACTTTATAATACATCACATATAAGTTGTATTGGGAATACTCGAATCCAATATCTGGATTACAATCAACACATCTGGCGATTGTACAGTGTACAACCATAGTAAATGAGGACAACCTCAGTTCAAAACTATGGTTTAATTGTGAGCATCATACGATGGATGTTGTGTCGATTGAACAAGAATTGAGTGGCAATCTCCAATAGGAAAGCGCAACAAATGCCCAATCATTGTCTATTCCAAAGTAATATGCAAGATAGTGATCCATTTTACGTGAATATGACTATAAATCAAAGGCATTTAAATGTACATGTGCTTTGGCCAATTGCGCAGTTTGATCAGCCGCTTCTACAAATGCCGCCCAAAGTGAGCTATTTCGTTTAAAATATGATTGCATATTGAATTCATAAATTAGTCGTTTAGTCAAAATATTTTGAATGGGTATTCAACAGTAACTATACAAGGTAAAGCAATAGTATGCAATATCAATACCTGTTTGTGATACTGGATTTGGTGCTAGTCATTGACATCAAATCATTTCCCGGGCTGATCAAATCTGGCATCTCCACGGAAGTAGGACTCATTATAGATTGCTTTTGCACCATTTGCGATATTTTGCCTGAGTATACGAAATATTTCAAAAATTAATATTTAGTCCAAGTAGCAAGAGTTTGAAAAGACCCGTGATTGGTATTGTAGCCAGTTGGCAATTGATTACATTCAATTTTGAGTATTGGTATGTGGAGTCATGCAAGTTGAAATGCCGCGTGTCAATATAAAGCAAAGAATAAAGCAGAGGTTTAAAAGCCACCCCGACGAGTGATGCAAAGTCATAAAGAATCATGACCAAGATACATTAATACAAGGAGAATGGTAAATGGATTGAGCATGGCATGAATACAATGCGTTTGTATAAATGTGGTTCATTCAGTTGTTGATAGTGTAGATGCATAGCCTAGTGTTGGCATCATCCGAATATGATTATTGAGTACAGCGTAGATTTTGCAAAGTAATGAATGTAATCACCCAATGTAGTGATGCATCTTGCATTCATTTGATAGTAATAGTGCTATTGAAACACTATGGCAATAAGAGGAATGCAGCCACATATGCCATGTTATCGTCCTACCTAGTGATTTTGCATATTCTATCTCGATAGTCTGCCTGCGTTTGAGAAAATTCGCAATCTCCTTGCTCAGTCGAACCGACTCGTCAAGATACTCAAATACTGTATCTACAGTCATGTAAAACTATGCGTATCCAGCAGCAGATATTAGACAGCGATGGTTTTGAGTCCTGGTCGTGTTGATTTCTGGTAAGAATGATTTATAGCTGTATTCACGTAAAATGGAACACTATTTATCCTGCAGTGGTTGCTTTGGGAATAAATAGTGATTAAACATCCGCTACTTTTCTATTAGAGATTGGCTTTTTCAGCAGCATTCTCAATTCTTTACAAACACAACATCCATCATATAATGCGCACACTGTAGTTTTGAATTGAGATTGTCCTCTTTTGGCAGTCACACACTGTACGATCACCAAATTGATTGATTACAATCCAGATACTAGGTTGGACTGCTTTCGAGTTTGTGCAGCCTGCACTATGTTGTAACCTAATCTCAGATACGTTCGCGATCTGGTTCAAGAGAATATCTCGGAAATACAACTATACATACCAGTCAACTAAAGAGTTTAGGACACTATTGCCCAGTAAATGTAATGAACATCATTTCATGAGACTGGCAATTTGGTTTGGGTCGAATCTCGACAAGTGTTTGGATCCAGTTGGAACATCACATTGGTTCTGTTGTGTTGCTGCAGTGGGAAATAGCTGTTGTTTGGTTTCACTCATTTGTTGATTAAATATCTTGTGTAATAGGCTTACTATATTCACTGAGTTGGAAATGCGGTCCAATCCAATGGCTGGATGTCAGCATGTGCGACTTTGCAAGCTCCAAGTGGCCTTGAAATAAAGCTCAATGTCTTGCTTATATCAAACATCTTCACAATAGTCAACTATTCCCATCTACATCGAATCAGCTTATTCGCAAACCACCCACTACAAGATATATCAGGCTCTTCCAACAGCATACAAACTCATTGGCCAATCCATTGCGGCTGACGAGATACTGAGTTTGTTTTTTAATAGTCTGCCGGAATTTTCTTATTTCCACATCACTTTTATTCATTTGAAGGTTGCATCTTCAAGAGCCTTATTGGTGCCTGTCATCACTTTTCTAGGCCTTCATACATTGTCATTCACTCTCTTGTTGGCTTCATCATTCTCGCTGCCTTGATTTGATATTTCTATCAAGAAACGAAAAGTGGCATCGATAAAGCGTACTGTGATGATTGATAAAGTGGGCAGTAGTGTTACCAATTCACAAATGCACGTCGGATATATTGTTGCTGAGCGACTCAGAGCACCAAAGAATCCTGTTATTTTATGCCATGGTAACTTGTCTTTTATTACAGCCATATTCACGTAAAATGGATCACTATCTTGCATATTACTTTGGAATAGACAATGATTGGGCATTTGTTGCGCTTTCCTATTGGAGATTGCCACTCAATTCTTGTTCAATCGACACAACATCCATCGTATGATGCTCACAATTAAACCATAGTTTTGAACTGAGGTTGTCCTCATTTACTATGGTTGTACACTGTACAATCGCCAGATGTGTTGATTGTAATCCAGATATTGGATTCGAGTATTCCCAATACAACTTATATGTGATGTATTATAAAGTTCCATAGATACGTTTGCGATCTAGTTCAATGGAGCAGATTGCACGTTTAGGAATGCAACTGTTTGCATACCAATCACCACGAAAGGAATCAGTGGACAGTGTTGTACAGTAATTTGGCACCCATTATTTGGTGGGATTGGCAGTTTATTATGTATTTTGAAATCCCTATTTAGTGTTACATTTTGCATGAATATGGCTGCAAATTATGAATCCAGTTGCTACTCCCTCGAATATCGAATTTTCCATTATATTAATTTACCAACTGTCGATTTGAAATTAAATGATATTATTGGATATGTCAAACTCAGGTTTATTTGGCTATGATAGAATAGGTAAGTTGATTAAATTACATGCATTTGATGGGGTTTGAATAAACAAAGCTAATTTTGGTTTGAATTCAAACACTCATCTTGACTCTTGTTGACTATATCCCACATAACAGGGCCACAGTCAGTACCATTTCTACAGCTAAAATACTGGAGAGGAATCTATGATGCTTTACAAGATCTAGGATGCGATGTGCATATTGCCCGTGTTGGTTCAGTTTCACCCATTAAAACTAGAGCTCACCAACTTACCTCCTATATTGATCGTACCACCCCCGGAAAATCCGTTAATCTTATTGCTCATTCTATGGGTGGTTTAGATTGTCGCTACATGGTTACTCACATATCACCCAAATCGTTCCGTATTGGATCCATCACAACTGTTGCAACGCCTCATTGCGGCTCCTCTTTTATGGACTGGTGTCGCGATGCACTTGGTCTTGGAAAGCTTCAACGCTATGTTCAACATTATGCCGATGATAGTATTGCTACCTCTATTTTAAACACTACAAGTTCAACCTTGTGTGATATTGACAATGACAGATCTTGGTCACCTACACAATCCTTATCATCACAAGTGTCGGCCAAAAAGTCGTCATCACAGCTGTCCAAGCCACGTTCTTTTAAATCTAAACAACAGTCTGATTCTGTGTCAAAAACAATACACTTTTTGGAGAGTCGGGATATTTCATCTGATTTTCCGTCCTGCTCATACAAACCAGTGGCCAAGTCTCATCCTATTATTCGTGCAATATTCTCACCTATGGATGCTCCTGCATTTACAAACCTCACACGGGCTTACTGTGCAGCATTCAATCAAGCAACACCAGATGATCCTAATATATATTACGCCTCCTATGCCGCTGTTGCGGATGTTAGTAAACTGGCTCCGCTTCACTTTTCCCATCAAATCATTAATCGATTAGAAGGAGCTAATGATGGTTTGGTATCTTTAAAATCTGCACAATGGGGTGAGTTTATGGGTGCAGTAGACTGCGATCATTGGGATTTGGTACCTCCCAAAGTGCGTGGATTGACTAGCGCGATTACTGGTAAACGATTTGATGCCATTGGGCTATACCTTCGAATGGCCACCGAATTGGCTGATCGTGGGCTATAAGTTTGAATTGACATACTGTTGCTTTCAAAATACATTTTTTTATTTCAAAACAATGTGTGGTATTTTGTTTTCTAGATACTTGGTCGGTATATCTAAACATTTGCAATGATTGCTGAAAGGCTGTTAATGATGTGGAACTTGATTCGTCTTGAATGCCCATTCTGCTACTCTTTAGTTGGAATATGATCTGTTTCCTTTCAAAACTGTAGTTTTAACTTTCAATGGACCAGCAGCTCCAAAAACTCGAATTATGACAAAGTATTTTAACCATTCGACAATTTCAAAAAGGATTCGCGTAATAAACGCTTGCATTATCTTGCAGTTGAATCTCTTGTTTTGGAATGGGAAATGGTTGACTATTGATTGCTGTTGGATATTGACTACGTTGATGAATATTTTCAGTTGTCTATCAACACAATGGTCATTATATAATACAGTTACACCACGGATTTAAACCGAGATGGTTTTTGGTAGTCATACATTGTGCCATCACCAGATTCATCCATTGCAATCCAAATATTAGATTCGACTATTTCCAATACAACTCATGTCTGTTGTAACTTGAAATCAAACATGGTTGTTTTAGTTCAAGAAACCAATGATTGCAGTCTAGGAAATTCAACATGTTCCATGTCAATCATCAGGAGAAAGTCTAGTCAACTAAAGAGTTTAAGAGTACAATGTTGTCCAGTAGATTGACACTCATCATATCATGAGACTGACTTTACTTTGACATCCTTATTTAAATGGTTCATTTTACATGAATGCTGTTGTAGATACAACTCCAGTCATCGTAGTCGTTTGAAAAAGATAGACTTTATTGATTGATAATGAATCTTGCAACAATGACCCATATTGAAAACAAAGTATATCGCTACAGGATCTAGAAACTCGCCCATAGTGTACTAAATCAAATGATAAAATGATCACAGCACACGATATGTGGGACTACCAGGTAAATGCTCAGTCAGTGTTTCAATAAATACTCTGCAAAGTGAATGCAATTACAAGTGTTTAAGCAATCAAAATAAATGTATTTTTTTGGATAATTTCCTTCACTTACAAGTAATTCAACCTACACATTCATCATGCTCGCTGCTATGAGATTTGGTCGTTCCATGTCTATTGCCCGCACTGCTAGAAGCTCTGCATTCGGGTCATCAGTAGCTGCTCGCGCTGCTTTTAGGTCATTGGCTTCTACTGCCACTTCTGGTGATGAGCATATTAAACATGCCGATCTTTTGAAGCGACTTGAGCTTGAGGCTGTCAACAAAGGTGTTTATAATGGCACATGGGGTGGTAATGGCGAGGTAATATGACCAAAGATTTTTCAGTCTATGTAGTTTGGTCATGGCTATAAAATAGTATTGATTTCTATAGAGTATCGAGCCAGTATTGACCCAAGTGTTGCCATGACTGATTGATCACTCAATGACCTTGTTAAATGCATTAAACAATCGAGGGTCCTGATCAATTTCTTACTTTTTCAACTGTAATGAAACTACTTATGGTTAGGTTGTCCATTCTATCAACCCTGCTACTGGCAAGATCATTGCTAGCACCAAGGTTGGAACTCCTGCTGAGTTGCAAAAGACTCTTGATATGATGGACAAGATTCAGCCCATGTGGAGAGATGTATGTATTTAATTTTTAAACAGAGTAGATTTACGTATACAAGGGCTTTTACATGGCTGTTGTATGTTGATACTTGCTTTATGCATTTAGACTCCGGCTCCACGCAGAGGTGAGATTGTTCGTCAGATGCGTGTTGCTCTCAACGATCGCATTCACGATCTCGGCAAGCTGGTTGCACTCGAGATGGGCAAGATTCTCCCCGAAGGTGTTGGTGAGGTTCAAGAGTATGTGGATGTTTGCGACTATGCTCTTGGTTTGAGTCGTATGATTGGCGGAGGTGTATTTCCTTCTGAGCGTAAGTTTGAATTTTCACCCATTAGATCTGCACATGCATTAATGTATGATTTTTAAGCATTCCCAACACTAATACACTTGAATTTGGGGTTGACTATGCTAGGTCCTGGTCACTTTATGATGGAACAATGGAATCCTATTGGCAATGTTGGAGTGATTTCTGCATTCAACTTTCCTGTAAGATGATTTGCATTCCAAGCTATCAAGTTGATTCGGAGTTATAGGTTTAAAGTAAATTTTTATATAGGTTGCTGTTTACGGATGGAACAGTGCTCTTAGTTTAGTCTGCGGTAACCCTGTAGTCTGGAAGAGTGCTCCCACCACTAATCTATCTGCTGTTGCGGTGACCAAGATTCTTGGACGTGTTTTGGAGGAGAATAATCTTCCTGGTGCTCTTTGCTCACTCGTCACTGGTGGTGTTGATGTTGGTGAAGCCATGTCAAAATCCTCTCAAGTAAACCTTCTTTCCTTTACTGGAAGTACCGAGGTATGGTATTTTGATTGCTGATTGACTTTTATAGGGTTTGTAGCTTACAGTTTTTGCAATATAGGTTGGCCGCCGCGTTGGTGAAACTGTGCAGGGGCGTTTTGGTCGTTCTCTTCTTGAGCTTGGTGGTAACAATGCGATTGTTGGTGAGTATTGCAGCTACAGTTTAATTTGAGTAGGTGAGCAAGAATAGCGATTGCAATATTTACTATTTTTATGCTTGACCATTGTAGTTATGGAGGATGCCGATCTTGATTTGGCCATTCGTGCCGTTCTTTTTGCTGCTGTTGGTACTGCTGGTCAACGCTGTACCACTACCCGTCGTCTGATTCTCCAAGAATCTATTCACGACGAATTCATTGCCAAGCTTACCAAGGCCTATGAGCAGATTCGCATTGGCGATCCACTTGTTGGTTAGTTGTGTGCTTTGCTGAGATGGGCGGTGGGCTTTAGTATGCTAAACTTTTGTACATCATTGTGTTGTTCAGAGGGTACTCTCTGTGGTCCACTTCACACTGCCAATGCTGTTGAGCAGTACAAAAAGGGACTTGAAAGTGTTATTCAGCAGGGCGGCAAGATTCTTTATGGTGGCAAGGTCCTTGACCGCCCAGGAAACTTTGTGATGCCCACCATCACCTCTATTGATGCGTCTGCTCCAGTGGTCCAGAATGAGATCTTTGTGCCTGTATGTTATGGCTGTGATTTGTCAATCTAGATCGAGACTGCTAATCTTTTAGTTCTGTTTATTGATAGATTCTCCACACTTTTAAATTCAAGGTAATGCTGTAGATTTCAATGGCACATGTCTTTTAAATCATGTTTCTAACTTTTAGTTTGATTTGAAAGACTCTTGACGAGGCTATCAAGATTAACAACTCGGTGAAGCAAGGTCTTTCCAGCTCCATCTTTACAAGTGATGTTTCCAAGCTGTTCAAGTGGACTGGGTATAGTTTAATAGTGTGCCGCTTGTATATTTTTCCACATTGCTATCGAAAAATGAGACTCATGCCTTTTTTTTTATTTCATGGGATAAATATGTTTTGAATACTCAGACCAAACGGATCTGACTGTGGCATTGTCAACTGCAATATTCCAACCAACGGAGCCGAGATTGGTGGTGCCTTTGGTGGTGAAAAGGAGACTGGTGGTGGCCGTGGTAAGCTTATTATTTTTGTTTATGGATGATGCCTGGAGATCAATACTGACGGCTATTTAACTGTCGAATATGATGAAATAGAATCGGGCAGTGATTCGTGGAAGCAATATATGCGTCGCCAGACTTGGTAAGTGATTGCATCGAAGCTTTAAAAAAATTAACCGTTGAATTAATGATGTTTTCTATGCAGTACGGTCAATTACAGCGGGGCTATGCCGCTTGCTCAGGGCATCAAATTTGAATAAACTACCAGCAAGCATTTGAATGAATCAATTGTTTATTTGACGGTCAATAATGAGACTAGGACATTATAGAGATTGATTGGTTGGTGTTTTGGGATCGGGCAAATTCAGACGGATCAGTTCAAAATGGTTGATTTACCGCTGCATTCACGTAAATGAAATATTTGATCTGGCAGTCACCGCCTTTTTGGAATAAATAATGATTGAATCATTGTCGTGCTTATTAGAAACTAGTTGCTTTTTCAGGACGTTTTCAATTCATTCTCAGTGTTTGGATCGCACGCCATACAAAGCCACTTTGTTGGTGATTTTAGCAGTCCAGAAATGAAAAAGTATGAAGCTTTTAGGCTCTGCGATATTGCTGTTTATTGGACAATTGGCAGATTATGTTTAATCAGTGAGTGCGTAGCTTTATGGAATGATGTGTTGCCTAGAATCGAACAAGCATTAGGAAATGTCCTTCCGATGTCGCTGCTCAGAAAATCCTAAAATATCAAAGCATTTACAGCTCACTTGATCAATCTCCAGATACAACACCCGTTATGATCCACAAACTCCTTTGTATTCTAAAATCTCATACACTCGCGCTCTAGTTCAAGAGAATAGTGACCACATGCCTCGAGAATTCAGCTATTTTTATTCCAATCACCAGAAAAAAGATCAGTCAGTTTTAAAAAGCTCAAAAAGCACAATGCTGTCCAGTACATTGGCGTCCATCATGTCATGAGACTGATTGTACTATACACTTTGGCACACTTGGTGCTATATTTTACATGAATACAGCTGTAAAAACGTGTTTCCGTATCCACACAAGAGTAGAGACTGCTTGAGCTGTAGCCAAAGTTGAAGCTTTCATGTTCATTTGAAAAATCAAATCCGAAAGAAACGCCGCATATTTACAGCCGTATTCACCTAAAATGGAACCTTGTATTATCTTGCAATCGCTATTTTATTCTTGAATGATAGTGGCTAGATATTCGTTGTACTTTTCTATTGGATCATCTTTATAGATACAGCGTCCACCATGTAATACAATTCGAGTATTGGTTTGAACTGGGATTGTCCTTATTAGTAGTTGCACATTGTACGATCGACAAGTTTGAAACTTGATTCATTCATTGCAGTTCATATATTGGATCCAATTGTTGCCAATACAACCGTCAAGCGGCTTAAAAACAATATTTGGTATATTTGATGGACTGGCGGTTTATGTACTCTGATACCTCGAGTGCTTCATTTTACGTGAATACGGCTGTAAATATGGATAGATTGAATGCTGTAGAGCATGAGCTTCAAGACAGTTTGGGGATATTTGATATATTGGCGTTATTCTTGGAATGGGGGCTTTAGTTACTAGCAACTTGGACAGGTCCAAAGCCATCCCTTAGCCCTCATTTGTCAAGAGTGCAAGTCACACGGTCACCGCCCTTTAGCAATGGCTCTTCATACCATGAGTTTTGCTCATCGGAGTAAATGCGCGGATTGAGGCGGGATATCATGCAATTCGGTCACAAGTAATACACTGCAGTCTGATATGTGAAGGGTTTAAAATGCAAAATCGATTTTACTTTGCGGCCTCGACCAACCATCTTCAACCCACGTATAAAGCCGTGTGTTTCCCCACCAATTTAACAGCTTACTTTTTAGTGTTGGTGTAGCTTTTTGTCTGCATTTTCCTACTGGACTCAAGTTTCCTGTTCTACAAACATATCGACTCTTCATTTTAGCCCTTCATATTCCAATCAACTGCTAGCTTGTACCTCAAGCCTTTTTTTTCGAGTCATACATTCACATACGCTGTAAGATTAATTTGCTCTCCAAACGATTGATCACGCTGTCCTCGAGTATTATCAGTTTGGCTGCACTTGATTGCAACCAGTTATTTGTGCCTATGTGACCATAGACAAGTAACTGGTTGCCTTTGGCGGATTGAGCCAACTATTACCCTAAAAGTCAGACAAAACACTTTCCGATTGTGCGGATCGTCATCTTCCTATTCGGGCATGGCATTTGATATAAATCATTGCTGCCTGTCATTCACTTGCTTGCATATCACCATGAATGCACTGTTCAAGTTTGACTTTATCAATCCATCGACTGTTTCCATTATTGCATTTCGTGTGTGGACATTGTCCCTTCAATCATAGCCACCAAACGACCCTCAAGTGTTCATGATGGTTAGGGTCGCACACACGTGATGTATTAGGTGCAACTGTTGATGAAGCAAGTGTTTATAGGATTGATCGTATTATTGGCCCATCTGCAGATTGCTTTTATTGTTGCTACATGATCTGTGATTTAAATCCAAACCCACTTTACCTTGAATCTTGAACCATTAGTTTGCCAGCATCGCTTATTTGTATGTATTGAACTTGACTAACCTTTTGCTTTCATGTATTTTACTATTGCGTCTGATGTTGACTGATATACTTGCTGATCTGCATCCAATCTTTTTCCGATCTGGTCATTCCTTAAAATATCCATTATTGAAATTTTTAGTAATAATGGCAATGCTAGCCAACACTAATCGTAGCCATTCAATTTCGAGCCAAGCCTCTCCCATGCTTGTTCAACAGCATCATCGCCAGTTGCTGATCAAGCAAAACGGTGTCGAGCTTGCCATTCTTGTGCCTGCTGGCTTATGGCCTGTTGCCGAATACGTCAAGGAACTATTTCCAGGCAGTACTGCTGCCGCACCCGAAACTACAGATGCGGCAGTTGCTGCTACGTTGGCCAAATCTATGCCTTTGCCAACCACCCCAATCGAGCTACTCGCCAGCTTGATTGATTTTGTGCATTCGCTTCTTGTTCATGCACCTCACACTGCAGCCCCCAATGCTGACACGCTCGTCCTATTGGTAGATACTCTGCCCTTTCTCTCCGTGTTGTTCCTGCACTTTCATGAACGATTCCTGCGCGACAACAATGTCCACGTTGTCGTACGGACTCTTGTTACTGCAGAGGCTCGTCTTCCTGTGATCCGCATCTACTATGCAGCTTTGGCTTTGCTGTCCAAAAACGGCCTTGTGTCCAAGGAGCAATTCCTACCCAAACCTCCTGCTCTCTTGTCTGCAGTGGAATGGGGATCTGTTGTTCTCTTTCCTATATTTGGTGGTCAAGGCAATGCCGAGGATTACTTTGAGGAGCTGGTTACCCTTCATGCTACCTACGATACATTCACACGCCCATTCATCTCCAGAGCTGCAGTCACTCTTGCAAAGCACTCTGGATCTGTCGAGGCTCAGAGTCATCATGCTACTCTGATTAATGTTCTTTCATGGCTTGAACAGCCAGACACTCGTCCTTTGACCGAGGACCTTCTTGCTACTCATTTGAGTCTTCCCTTGATTGGTCTGACTCAGTTGGTCGCATACTATGTGCTGCTCAAAACCCTCGATCTGACTCCTGGTCAGCTTCGACAGCATTTTATTGGCTCTACTGGCCACAGTCAAGGCATTGTGTCCTCGGTTGCAATTGCTGCGTCAAACACTGAACAAGAGTTTTTTGATAACTGCCAAAAAGCTCTTGCACTTCTTTTCTGGATTGGTCTGCGCTCCCAAAACGCATCACCCTCTACCACCATTAATCCTAGCATTCTTGAGGATTCTATTACCAATAACGAGGGTGTTCCCACTCCTATGCTGGCTGTAACTGGTCTGCAGTTGTGCGAGATTAAAAAGCATGTTGATGCTACAAATTCTTTTTTGCCTGCTGATCGTCACATCAGTCTTGCACTCATCAATGGTCCCCGCACCGTTATCTGCACTGGATTGCCGCAGTCTCTCTATGGTTTAAATGTGGCTCTTCGTAAGCTCAAGGTTCAGCCAGGTGTAGATCAGTCGCGCATTCCTTATTCTGAGCGTAAGATTCGATTCTCCTCGCGCTTCCTTCCTGTGATGGTGCCTTTCCACTCGAACTATCTTGAGAGTGTTCCTGCTATTTTAAAACAAGATATTGAAACGCATAGTCTCGAATTTAACAGTGCCGAGCTTACCATTCCCGTTTTCAATACACATACTGGCGAGGATGTGCGCAAAGCAGAAAGCATTGCCATGTCGCTTGTCAAACAGATTTGTGTGCAATCTGTCGAGTGGGAAAAGGCAACCAATCAAGCCAACATTACTCATGTGATCGACTTTGGTCCAGGTGGTATATCGGGTGTCGGTGGTCTTACTTATCGCAACAAGGAGGGAACTGGCGTTCATGTTATTTTGGCCAACAATTTAGATGTTTCTGGATCCGAGTTACTTGATAAGTCAAGTCTCTACAACTACGATTCAAAGTCAGTCAAGTACGCAACTAACTGGGGCGAAAAATACCGTCCTCGTCTTGTCAAGATTGCAAGCACCAACGAAATTCACATTGATACTCCCTTTAGCCGTCTTACGGCTAAACCTCCCGTTATGGTTGCTGCCATGACGCCTACTACTGCAAACGAACAGTTTGTTGCTGCTGTTATTAATGCTGGCTATCACGTTGAGCTGGCTGGCGGTGGTCAGCACACCGAAGCATATTTGCGCAATCGTATCCAGAAAATTATGGATCTTGTTCCTGCAGGTGAAGGAATCAACTTGAATATTCTGTTTCTCAATCCCCGTCTTTGGGGATTCCAATATCCCGCTTCGCAGGCCATGCGTCGCGAGGGTATCCCCATTGAAGGTATCTGCGTTGCCGCAGGTGTTCCATCGCTAGACGTTGCTGATGAGATTTGCACTAATCTTGAGGCTGCTGGCCATCGTTATGTTGCCTTTAAACCTGGCTCAATCGAAACCATTCGCCGTGTTGTGTCGATTGCCAAAAACCATCCCAACCTGTCAATTGTTCTCCAGTGGACAGGCGGTCGTGGTGGTGGTCACCACTCTTTTGAAGATTTCCATCAACCCATGTTTGAGACCTATGCTGCTATTCGTCGTCTTGATAACATTATTCTGGTTGTTGGATCTGGATTTGGAGACCACACTGAAACGCTTCCTTACCTTACTGGTGAATGGAGCATCAAGTTTGACTATGCTCCTATGCCCTTTGATGGTATTTTGCTTGGAACTCGTGTCATGGTTGCTCAAGAAAGTTTGGCATCACGCGGAGTAAAGGAGCTAATGGTTAATGCCAAAGGTATCACAGATGAATCTCATTGGGAAAAAACCTACAAGGGCGAGACTGGTGGTATCATCACTGTCAAGTCTGAGCTTGGCGAACCTATCCACAAAGTTGCCAATCGCGGTGTGTTATTCTGGAAGGAAATGGACGACATTATCTTTAGTCTCCCTCCAAAGAAGCGTCTTCCGGTTTTGCTCGAGAAAAGAGATTATATTATCAAGAAGCTGAATGAGGATTTTCAAAAGCAGTGGTTTGGTCGCAAGGCTGATGGAAGCACTTGCGATCTTCACGAAATGACATATGCCGAGGTAGTGAACCGATTGGTATCGTGTTTGTATTTTGCGGATAGTGCTCGCTGGGTCGATGTCACTCTACGTGATGTTACTGGCGACTTTCTTCGCCGTGTTGAAGAGCGGTTTTCAAAAACTTCGGCTGCCTCTCTTCTTCAATCATACACTACTTTGGATCACGATCCATTGTCGTTTGTTGCTGGGTTCCTTGAGGCATTCCCCGAGGCTTCTTCACAGATTCTGACTCAAGAGGATGTATTCTACTTTCTTGCAGTGTGTAGCAATCCTGTTCGTAAACCCGTCAACTTTATTCCCGTCTTTGACGACAAATTTGAATTTTGGTTCAAGAAAGACTCTTTGTGGCAATCTGAAGATCTGGATGCTATTGTTGAGCAAGATGCCCAGCGTGTTGCTATTCTTCAGGGACCTGTTGCTGTGCGCCATTCAGCTGTTGTCGACGAGCCTGTTAAGCATATTCTTGACGGTATCTATCATGGTCAGATTTCAGCCATCAAGGCCAAATACTACAACAATGACGAGTCTACTATCCCTGTTATTGAGTATATTGCACCTATTACCAATAGCCAGGTTAAACTTGCACATGTCCAAGTCTCCGAGTCAAACGAAGGATCAGAGCTTTCTACTATGCTTGAGCTTTCTACAAATGCTTCTGAACTTCCTTCAGTCAATGACTACTTTGAGTATCTTGCAGGACCTGAAACCAGTTGGATGCGTGCTTTGCTAGCCTCTGATTCCATTGTTCAGGATAAACTGCTTGTGAGCAATCCTATCCGCCGTATCCTCCGTCCTCGTCCCGGACAGACCGTTTTCTTGCGACACGATAGCAAGCACAAGCCCATAATTTTGTCTGTCTATGATCGTCGCAAGGTGTTGAGTCAAATTCCTCAACGTCACCCGTCTGTCATTATCCGTCGCCAGGATTGTGGTCTTATCTCAGTTACGCTTTTCGAGCAACGCCACGATAAGCAAATTCCTCTCGAGTTTAAATTTGTTTATATTCCCACTCAGGGTCGTAATCCTATCCACGAGGTCATGGAAGGACGTAGCGATCGTGTCAAGAAGTTTTACGCTTTATTGTGGAATATTTCTAGTGCCGAGTGTTCACTTTCTCCTCACGACATTTTCAAGAGCAGCTTCACTGTAGATTTGCAGCGCGTATCCGACTTTGTCCACTTTATTGGAAACGAGGCTGAGCTTTATGCCAAGCCCAGCAAAGAAGGAAAAACTGTTGCTCCAATGGACTTTGCAATTGTTGCTGGATGGCGCTCACTTGTGACTGCTCTGCAGCCCAAGGAGATTGACGGTGATTTGCTGCGTCTCGTTCATCTCTCCAACGAGTTCCGTATGCTTGATTCGCGCGAAATGATCGAGTCTGGTGACGTTATTGACACGGAAGCCAGCATTCAATCAGTTCTTATCAGCGACTCTGGAAAGACTGTCGAGGTCAAGGGCATTCTTTCCAAAACTGTCAATGGTGTCAGCAAACCCATTGTTGAAATCACTTCTCGCTTCCTTTATCGTGGAAAGTTTACCGATTTCCACAACTCGTTTGCCAAAACGATTGAAAAGACTGTTCGTCTGGAGCTGGCTTCAAACAAAGACATTGCAGTTCTCAAGTCTAAGCCATGGGCCAAATGGAACAAATCCTCTGTTTCTGAACAGTATCTCCAGCCCGGTGTCACTCTTTTGTTCCGCCTTGAAACCGTTGCCAAATACAGTAGCGCCAATTTGTTTTCCAGCGTTCAGTGTAATGGCTCCATTTTACTCAAGACCACTCGAGAGACGATTGAGATTGGACGTGTTGAATGTGAATCCACAAACTGTCACGGAAATGTTGTGATGGAGTATCTTAATCGCAATGGTTCTCCAATAGAAAAGGAGGTTTATTTCCCATCAGGAGGCTACTCGCTTCTTCCTGATTCCAAGTTGTTTTCGGCTGTTGCTCGTGTTCCTGCCAACAACGTTGGATATGCAGAAAGCTCTGGTGACTTGAACCCCATTCACGTCAATCCTTACTTTGCTGATCTTGCTTCCCTTCCCGGAACCATTACCCACGGCATGTGGACCAGTGCTTCTACTCGTAAATTTGTCGAGGTATATGCTGCCAATAATCAGCCTGAGCGTGTTCGCGAATACCAAGTCACTTTTATGGACATGGTTCTTCCCGGCGAGCTTCTTGAGACCAAGCTGTCTCATGTTGGCATGAGTAATGGAAAGCTTTTGGTCAAAATCGAGACTTTCAACACACGAGGCGCCATCGTTTTAACTGGATCTGCTCTAGTTGAACAATCTACAAGTGCATATGTTTTCACTGGTCAAGGCTCTCAGGAGGTTGGCATGGGCATGGATTTGTACAAATCATCCGTGCTTGCGCGTGAAGTATGGGATCGTGCTGATCTGTATATTTTGGACACTTATGGTCTCTCGATTCTTGAGATTGTGCGTGACAACCCCAAATCCAAAACCGTATTCTTTGGTGGACACAAGGGTGCCAAGATTCGTGACCATTACATGAGTATGATGTATGACATTGTCAATGCAGCTGGTGTTACCGAGCATATTTCTATTTTCCCCGAAATCACATTATCTACCATGTCATATACCTTTTACCATCCCCAAGGTCTGCTGTCTGCTACTCAATTTACCCAGCCAGCACTCACTCTGCTTGCCATTGCATCATTTACTGATATGCGTGGCAGTGGTGTTGTTCAAGCTGGTGCTCCATTTGCTGGTCACAGTCTTGGCGAGTATGCTGCCCTTTCTGCTTTTGGAGAGGTGCTCACTATTGAGAGCATGGTTGACATTACTTTCTACCGTGGTATGACCATGCAGGTTGCTGTGCCTCGTGATAGTTCTGGTCGATCTCAGTATGGTATGGTTGCTGCTAACCCTGTTCGCGTCAGCACCACTATTGGTGAAATGGGTCTCAAGTTTATTATTAGCTCCATTGCCCGATGCTCGCAAGGACTGATTGAGATTGTCAACTTTAACGTTGAAAACTTCCAGTATGTTATTGCTGGCGAGCTGGTCTATTTGGACACTCTGCGTCTTGTGTTGGACAAACTCAAGACCCTCAACATGAACTTTGTTGAGCTAACCAAGGTTAAATCTGTTGCCGAGATTGAAAAACTTCTTGATGATATTGTGATGGAAAAGATTGAGATCTCACGTGCCACCAAGAAGGCTGGCGGTGGTATTATTACTCCTCAACGTGGTGTCGCAACTGTTCCGTTGGCCGGAATCGATGTACCATTCCATTCAACCTTCCTTACCAATGGTATTGCTGCGTTCCGTAACATTCTGTTTGCAAACCTTGACATGCGTTTCATTAATGTTGAACGTCTTCACAGCAAGTATATTCCCAACTTGACTGCGCGTCCATTTACCATTGACTTGTCCTACTTTGAGTATGTGTACTCTTTCACCAAGTCTTCTCATATCAAGACTGTCTTGGATTCTTGGAAAGAACACGATGCAAAAGACCCTGCTGTTCAGCAACAGCGTGCATACACTCTTTTGATTGAACTACTGGCTCATCAGTTTGCCAGCTCTGTCAGATGGATTGAAACTCAGGATGTACTTTTCCGTGATTTCCAGGTTGAGCGTTTGATTGAAGTTGGCCCTAGTCCTGTATTGGCTGGTATGGCTGCTCGTACCCTCAAAATTAAATATGAGGCTTATGACGATGCTGTTAATCAGAAGCGTACCCAGCTTTGCTCTACTAAAAATCGTCGTGAGATTTACTACGAATTTGAAGATGCTGTTGCAGAGATTGCCGAACCGGTAGTTTCCGACGCTCCTGCTGCCGCACCCGCTGCTGCTGCCGTTGCTGCTGCTCCAGTTGCTGTCTCGGTTAGTGCTGCTGGCCCTGTTTCCGAAGAGCCTGTCACGGCAAGCGAGGTGCTGTATGTTTTGATTGCCAACAAACTGAAAAAGTCTCTGGATGAAATTCCATCCAGCAAAACCATCAAGGATCTGGTTGGTGGAAAGTCTACTTTGCAAAATGAAATTCTTGGTGATCTTGCCGCTGAATTTGGCAACGTTCTTGCAGACAAATCTGAAGAATTGCCTCTTGGCGAAGTTGCATCTGCTTTGCAAAATTCCCATTCTGGTACTCTTGGTAAAACCTCTACTACTCTTGTTAACAAATTGGTTTCTGGAAAGATGCCTGGTGGATTTGGTATGGGTCAGGTCAAGGCTCACATGTCTTCTGTTCATGGCCTTGGACCCAAGCGTACTGAAGGTGTTTTGCTTCACGGTCTCGTTCACGAACCTGCCGCACGTCTTGGTTCTGAGATAGAGGCCAAGGCTTGGCTTGATAAGATTGCTGTTTCTTATGCTTCCAAACTTGGTATTTCACTTGGTGGTGGTGTTGAAGCTGCTGGCGGAGCTGCCGGTGGAGCCGCTACTGGAGCTGTAACTGTCAATAGCAAAGATTTTACTGATCTTAAAGACAAGATGAACAAGATGGTGCGCCAGCAGTTGTCTTTGTATGCCAAATTCCTTGATGTCGATCTTTTGGAAGGCTCGCGTCTTGCTGATGCTCACAGCAATCTCAATGCAGCTCTGCAGCTACAGTTGGACATGTGGCAGACTGAGCATGGAGATGCTTACGGTGATGGTATTCGTCCATCCTTTGACATTCTCAAAGCTCGAATTTTCGACTCTCACTGGAATTGGGCTCGCCAAGATGCTCTCCAGCTGTACTATGACTTTGTCTTTGGACGCATTACAAGTGTTGATCGCGATCTGATGAATCAGGCCGTGCACTTGATGAATCGCACTGACGATGCTGAAGCTGTTATTAACTTTATGGAGTACTACATCAACAACTGCGATGAAAGCAAGGGCGAAAACTATGCTCGTGCCAAGACACTTGGCCGTGTTCTCATTGATAACTGCAAGGCAGCTCTCAATGCTGACCCTGTGTATAAAAACCTGGCTTATCGTCCAACCAAGCCAGTCACAACCATTAATGATAAGGGCGAGCTACTGTATGTTGAGGAGCGCCGCAGCACTAGCAATATGAAGGATTACGTCAATGAGATGCGCGTTGGTAGCAATCTCACCAAACTGCCCGACTCTTCCTCATTGATTGCAGATTTTAGTGCTCTTAATGATCTTGTCAAGACCAATGGTGTTGCCAATGTCGAGTTCAAAAACAAGTTGGATACCATCTTCAAGTCTATTAAGGATAACATTCCCCAGCCAACGTTTAATCAGCCCAATTTGCCCTTTTTGTTCCTCAAGCGTCGCTCTGTTGCTGATCCCAGTCATTGGGAGCCCGATGCAGAACTTACCAATGTCTATCTTGACTCGTTGGCTGAAATGGCCAAGGATGGTATTAGTTTCAAAAATCGAAACGTGCTCATTACTGGCTGCGGAAAGGATTCTATTGGCGTGGAAATTCTAAAAGCACTGCTTTCTGGAGGTGCTCAAATCATTGTTACTACGTCTCGTTTCCAAAAGTCTAATCTTGAGTATTATCAGTCCATCTACGAGTCACACGGTTCAAAGGGATCGCGTTTGGTGGTTGTTCCGTTTAACGGAGGCTCGCACCAGGATGTCAAGGCTATTGTTGAATACATCTACAACAAGGATCCCAAGCTAGGACTTGGTTGGGATCTTGATGCAATTATTCCATTTGCTGCTATTCCAGAACAAGGTCGCGAGCTTGATGGTATTGATTCCAAATCTGAGCTTGCTCATCGCATCATGTTGACCAACCTGCTTCGCCTGCTCGGTGAAGTCAAGACCAAAAAGGCTTCGTTTGGATACGATACTCGTCCTGCTGCCGTGATGCTTCCACTTTCTCCTAACCACGGTACTTTTGGCGGTGATGGTCTATATGGCGAGTCCAAGATTGCTTTGGAGACTCTTATGAACCGGTTCCATTCTGAAAAATGGAGCAACTATCTTACCATGATTGGTGCAGTTATTGGTTGGACTCGTGGCACTGGTCTAATGTCTGCCAATAACATGGTAGCTCAAGGAATCGAGTCTCTTGGTGCCCGTACCTTTTCTCAACATGAGATGGCATTCAATCTAGTTGGTCTGCTTCATCAGTCGATTGTTAACCGCACCTACACTGAACCTATTTGGGCAGATCTCAATGGTGGCTTGCATTTTGTAGCCGAACTCAACAAAATTTCATTTGACTTGAGGAGCAAGCTGCTCGAGACCTCTGAGATTCGTCGTGCTGTTGCTCGTGAAACTACTCTTGATCATCAAGTCGTCAAAGGACCTGCCAAGGGAGCCAATATTACTGTTACTCCCCGTGCTAACATGAAGTTTGATTTCCTTAAGCTCAAGAAGCCTACCATGACTCATCTACGCGGTATGCTTGACTTGGACAAGGTTATTGTTGTTACTGGCTTTGGAGAAGTTGGACCTTATGGTGGTTCGCGTACTCGTTGGGAAATGGAAAGCTACGGCGAGCTATCACTTGAAGGCTGCATTGAATTGGCATGGATCATGGGATACATTACTTTCCACCGTGGTCCTCTTGGAAAGATTCCCAACTATTCTGGATGGATTGATGTTGAGACCAAGCAGCCAGTTCAAGACTCTGAGATCAAGAGCAAGTACGAGACCAAGATTCTTGAACACACAGGTATCCGTCTGATTGAGCCAGAGATTTTTGAAGGCTATGAGCCTACCAAAAAGATGTTCATTCAAGAAATCGCCATCACAGAAGAGATGACTGCCATTGAGGTTAGCAAGGAAGAAGCTGCTGCCTTCAAACTACACAATGGCGAATCTGCCATTATTGAGCAGCGCGGTGATCAATGGTTTGTCAGTTTTGCCAAGGGTGCTAGCATTTATGTGCCAAAATCACTTCGTTTTGATCGTCTTGTCGCTGGTCAAATCCCATCTGGATGGAGTGCGCAGCGTTATGGTGTTCCCGAAGATATTGTTGCACAGGTTGATCCAATTACTCTATATACTTTGGTTGCGACTGTTGAAGCACTTATTTCTTCTGGTATCACTGATCCGTACGAGTTTTACAAATACGTTCATGTTTCCGAGGTTGGAAACACAGCTGGCGGTGGTATGGGTGGCATGCTGGCCATGCGCAAAATCTTTAGAAGATATGCTGAAATGCCCTCTTCCAAAGACATTTTACAAGAAAGCTTTATCAACACCATGCCTGCATGGATTAATATGTTGCTTCTTTCGTCGTCTGGACCAATCAAGACACCTGTTGGTGCATGTGCTACTGCTGCCGAATCTGTCGAGATTGCAGTGGATACTCTCTTGTCTGCCAAGGCACGCGTTGTTATCTGTGGTGGCTATGATGATTTCCAAGAGGAAAGCTCATATGAATTTGCCAATATGAAGGCCACATCCAGCTCTGATGCTGAGTTTGCCATGGGTCGCGAACCCCGTGAGATGTGCCGTCCTGCTTCTGACACTCGCAGCGGCTTTATGGAGTCTCATGGTGCTGGTATTGCAGTATTGATGACTGCCAGTCTTGCTCTCAAGATGGGTGTTCCTATTCGTGGCATTATTGCATCAACCAGCACTGCTACAGACAAAAACAGCCGATCTGTTCCTGCTCCGGGACAAGGTGTGCTCACTACTGCTCGCGAAGCTTCATTTGGCACTGCCAAATCATACCCACTTTTAGATATCAAATACCGTGCTCGTTATCTCAAGCGCGAGCGCGAGTTTATTAAACAGTGCGTTGCCGAAGAGTTGGAAGACTTGAAGGGTGAACTCCAAACCGGTCTTGCAAATGGTCTCATCACCGACAAAGATGTATTCATGGCTGAGCGCACTGCTCTTATTGAGCAAGATGCTTGCCGTAAGGAAAAGGCAGCCTTGTCCACATGGTCTCACGACTGGTGGCGCAGCAACCCTCACGTTTCTCCTCTACGTGCCGGTCTATCCACATTTGGTCTTACTGTTGACGACATTGGAGTTGCGTCTTTCCACGGCACAGGAACCAAGGCCAACGACTACAACGAGTCGTCTGTCGTGAATCAGCAAATGGAGCATCTTGGCCGTACATCTGGTAATGTTCTTCCAGCTGTTTTCCAGAAGCATCTTACTGGACATCCCAAGGGTGCAGCAGCAGCTTGGATGCTCAATGGTGCACTTCAGATGCTTGAAACTGGTATTGTTCCAGGTAATCGCAATCTTGATAACGTAGAAGATCGTCTTCGTAAATTCAAGTACATTGTGTATCCCAGCCGATCTGTTCAAACTGACGGTCTCAAGGCGATTGTGCTCAAGTCGTTTGGATTTGGACAGGCAGGTGCAGAAATACTGGTTCTTCATCCCGACTACCTATTTGCAGCGATTGATGATGCCAATTTCGAGGCATATGCCAAGGAGCGCGAGATTCGTCAAGTTGCTTCGTACCGATACTACCACGAGATGCTTACTAGTACAGCACCTCTTGTCCGTGTCAAGGATGCTGCACCATATACTGATGCACAACAGTCTACTGTTTATCTCAATCCGCTTGCACGTGCTACATTTGACAAGAAGACCGGATCCTACAACTTTAACAACAAGGATGCTCTTGCAGGAAAAGAAACCATCAAATCCTCTGATTTGGCGGTTACACACGCGCTCGTTGAACAAGCTGCTACCAAGCTTGGTGCCTCATCTACCGACGGTCTCGGTGTTGATGTGCAGCTGATTTCCGAAATGTCAATCACTAACGATGTGTTTGTTGCTCGCAACTTTACGCCTGAAGAGATTGCATATTGCAAGGCATCTGCCAACCCCACAGCCAGTTTTGCAGGTCGTTGGGCAGCCAAAGAAGCTGTGATCAAGGCAGTTTCGAATGCAGCAGGTAACAAGGTTGTATGGACCAAAGGTGCAGGCGCTCCATTGAATGAGATTGAGATCACTCGTGCAGAAGGACAAGCACCTATCGTGGTTCTCCACGGCGACGCCAAAAAGGCTGTTGCATTAGCCGGTGTCGCAGGACTCAAGGCCACCATTAGCCATAGCGGCTCATATGCTGTTGCCGTAGTATCAGCTTCTCATAAAGCCTAAGTACGCCAGTTTTTATCAGTCATTATCATCTTTTTAGATGGTACACAATAAACATTTATTGTTTTTGAATTAAAGAATTACAAGTGTAACTATACAGAATGGAACACATCTAGTTGATTGTTGAACTAGAGCGCGAATATTGAGTAGATTGTATCGAGACCCAACCTATTGTCTAGATTGAAACTTGGTGATTGTACAGCGCATTCAGCGATCGTTTCCGATAGGAAAACAATTCCAGTTCAAGCAACGACTCAAGCTGCGAGAATACAGAAATTGATCGAAAACATTACTTTGGAGCGACTGTCTTGCTACGGATTGCCATCACAACACTCGTCCATCTTGACTGCTTTTCTATTCCATTGAATTCATCACTCTGTCTTACTCACACCGTCTTTCTTCCTGCAGACCGTTTCTGATTCCTTCTTGGGCCAGTCGTCCATTCACTGCACTTACTTTTTCATATCAAACATCGAGGATTTCAACCCGACGCTGCTTGGCCAACTTGACTTCATTCCGACCAACTGTTATGTCTACACCCGCTGAAGAGCCCGGCAAGGTGAGTGGCAGTGATCGGAACGGCTGTCTTGCAGCAATGCTTGCACTGGTCTTGCTTTGCATAACATTCACTTGACTCGGAATAAACCAAAACTCTCATTGCTGACTATTGAAAAGGCTTTTAAAAAAAGAGATGCTCTGCTAGAACTTGAAGTCAAGGCTCAAGCTGGCTGGGAAGCCGCTAAAGTCTTTGAAATCGATGCGCCTGGACCAGATGAACCGCTTGATCCCAAATACATGGTCGCCTTTCCCTTTCCTTACATGAATGGCACTCTCCATCTGGGCCATGCCTTTTCTTTTTCAAAAACTGAATTCGCTGTCGGCTATGAGCGACTCAGAGGAAAACGTGCTCTGTTTCCATTTGGGTTTCACTGCACTGGCATGCCAATCAAGGTAGATTCTTGCAATCTTTTGCTGGTCTATCTGACAGGTTGCTGGCACTAATATTGGTTTCAACCCTGATTTCCAACTAGGCATGTGCTGATAAACTCAAGCGCGAAGTTGAGCTATTCGGTCTCGAGTTTGAAGGCTATAACGGTATTGTTGAAACTAAAACCTAGACTTGACATTTCTGGATATGTGAAATCATTGATTCGTTTCTATTTTAGAGGAAACAGAGGAACAGGAAACCTTTGATCATGTCGAGCCGGCTCTTGATGTTGAAAAAAACAATGATCCTAGCAAGATCAAGAAAAAGGTAGCTTTTTGATTACTTTGAGAATTTAGTCTTGATCATTGCATTCTTTATCTTGGTCTAAATACTGTTTGTATATTAGCACGCAAAACAGGCCGCCAAGTCAACTGGTCTCAAATACCAATTTCAAATCATGAGATTCATGGGTATTCCAAACAAAGACATTCAACATTTTGTAGATCCCTATTTTTGGATGTCGTATTTTCCTCCCATCGCAATGGTAATTTTTTGCAGCATTTTTATTTTGAAATGGTCATTGAGTCGAATGATTTGATTTCTAGTAAAACTATATCAACTCTATCTATTTTTTAAATATTGATGTTTAGACTGATTTAAAACGTCTCGGTGCCCATGTGGACTGGCGTCGTTCTTTCATCACCACCGATATCAACCCTTATTATGATTCGTTTATTCGATGGCAATTTAACACTCTTCGTAGCTCGAATCCCGCCAAGATTCTGTTTGGTGAGAGATACACTGTGTATTCGCCTGTGGATGGCCAGCCTTGTATGGACCACGATCGTGCATCTGGCGAAGGTGTCGGCATTCAGGAATACACTGGTATCAAGCTTAAAGTAAAGTTGGAGCAACTCAACAAGACACCAGTTGCTGATCGAAGTCGTGTCAAGGACAACAAGCCTGTCGGTGAATTGATATCATCTGAAAAGTTTGTCAAGGCTCTCGGTGGTCGAACTCTTTATCTTGTTGCTGCTACGTTCAGACCAGAAACCATGTATGGTCAAACCAACTGCTATGTTGGTGTAGATCTAGACTATGGTGTTTTTGAAGTCAGCGATACTGAGGCATGGGTCTGTACATATCGTGCTGCTCGCAATATGACCTACCAGTCACTTTTCAAGGAAAAGGGGAAAATTGTCAAGCTTGCCGATCTTAAAGGCTGGGATCTTGTTGGTCTTCCATTGTCATCTCCGCTTACTTCCTACGAGTGCTTGTATACTCTTCCAATGGAGGGTGTCCTTGCCAACAAGGTATGTTCAAGTCTGCTTGCTTGATATTTATTTGACTCTAATACATTTGTAACGCTATTCTGACTTGTTTCCTGATAAAAATCATCAATTTCAGGGAACTGGTATTGTTACCTCTGTGCCATCGGATTCTCCAGATGATTACATTACCCTACTGGATCTTGTCAAAAAAGCATCCTACTATCATGTTCAGAAGGAATGGATCGAACCCTACTTACCACCCAAGCCCATTATCAGCACTCCTAACCTGGGCAACTTGCCTGCCGTCGCTGCTGTTGAAAAATTCAAGATCAATAGTCAAAAAGACAAAAAGCAGCTTGCTGATGCCAAAGATGTAGTGTACAAGGAGGGATTCTACAACGGTACCATGATGGTTGGTGCGTATGCTGGAAAACCTGTGCAAGAGGCAAAACCCATCATTCGAACCCTGCTAATCGAAAGCGGTGATGCATTTCCATACTCTGAGCCTGAGAGCTTGATCATGAGTCGTAGTGGTGATGAATGTGTTGTAACGCTTGCTGCTCAATGGTATATGAATTATGGTGAGGATAGCTGGAAAGCTCTTGCCAAGGAATGCTTAGATAGCATGAACACGTACACCGTCGAGGCACGTAATGCATTTGAGCAGACTCTGAATTGGCTTGGCCAATGGGCCTGTTCTCGCAGCTTTGGTCTTGGAAGTCGCTTACCTTGGGACAAGGAATGGCTGATTGAGTCCCTTTCTGACTCTACTATTTATATGGCCTACTACACTGTCGCCCACATGTTACATGGTGGAACCCTCAATGGTTCTCAGCCTGGACCTGCCAACATTAAACCAGAGCAAATGACAGATGAGGTGTGGTCATATATTTTCCTTAAAGGACCAAAGCCTGAAAAGTCGGAAATCCCCAATGAAACTCTCGAAAAAATGCGTCGCGAGTTTGAGTACTTTTATCCTCTCGATCTTCGATGCTCTGGAAAGGACTTGATCAACAATCATTTGACGTTTTTCTTGTATAATCATACTGCCATTTTCCCAAAAGACAAATGGCCACAGGCTGTTCGTGTGAATGGGCACTTGCTTCTCAACAGTGAAAAAATGGCCAAATCTACTGGCAACTCTCTTTCTTTGAGCGAATCTCTTGAAAAGTATGGTGCAGATGCTACTCGCTTTGCTCTTGCTGATGCCGGAGATGGTCTGGAAGATGCAAACTTTGTTGAAAAAACTGCCGACGATGCCATTCTTAAACTTTATACGGAAAAGGAATGGATTGAAGAGTCTGTTGCGCTGATTTCCAAGGACAGTCTTCGCTCAGGTCTACTCACTTGGAACGACAAAGTGTTTGCCTCTGAGATAGATTATGTTATCAATAATGCTGAAAAGGCTTATAGTGGCATGATGTACCGTGATGCCTTGAAATGCAGTTTCTATGATTTACAGCATGCGCGTAACGAGTATCGCAAAGCTACTACTGGTCAAGGAATCAATCTCGCCAATTCGCACAATGAATCGTTTGAAGGCCTGCACAAGGACATGATTATCCGCTTTATTGAAGTTGAAGCTGTACTAATGGCTCCTGTCACTCCACATTGGTCTGAGCACATTTGGTCAGATGTTCTTAAAAAGTCAAAATCGATCATGTTTGAAAAATGGCCCAAAACATCTCCAGTTGATATTGGTCTTCTTGCTGCTGCTTCGTATGTTCGTGAACTTGGCTCCAAAATCAGATCTGCCGATGACACAGCTGCCAAGAAGCGATCTAAAAAGGGTGCCAAGTCTGAGCCTGTTGTTGAATCGGACAAGCCTAAAAAACTTCATCTCTATATTGCAATTGAATTTCCCGAATGGCAAGAAAAGGTCGTGGCCATTCTCCAGCAAACCTGGGACGAAGCCACTCAAAAGCTCAATGGTCAGGAAAAGGAGATCTTGGCCAAAGAAGGTCTTTTGCAAGATAAACGCGTCATGCCTTTTGTTGCTCTGATCAAGGTATAGTTTCTATAATGCCTGGTGTACTTGATTGCATTACTTTCAATTATACTGATCAAGTTGTATGATGCTGTAATTTATGTTGAAAGAAAAATGTCGAAGTTGCTGGAAAAAGTGCTATGGATCGCAAACTGCTATTTTCTGAAATGGATACTCTTAACTTGAACCTCGACTTTCTCCGTCGTGACTTGATTGTGATGAAGATTTCAGAAATTCGTCTTTTGGCAAAGGAAACCCTTGTTGCTGGCGTGGATGGCATAGACGAAGAGGATATTAAAAAGGCCAGTGCTGCTTTACCTGGTAGTCCCACATATCGTGTGCTGTGATCATTTTATCATTTGATTTAGTACACTATGGGCGAGTTTCTAGATCCTGTAGCGATATACTTTGTTTTCAATATGGGTCATTGTTGCAAGATTCATTATCAATCAATAAAGTCTATCTTTTTCAAACAACTACGATGACTGGAGTTGTATCTACAACAGCATTCATGTAAAATGAACCATTTAAATAAGGATGTCAAAGTAAAGTCAGTCTCATGATATGATGAGTGTCAATCTACTGGACAACATTGTACTCTTAAACTCTTTAGTTGACTAGACTTTCTCCTGATGATTGACATGGAACATGTTGAATTTCCTAGACTGCAATCATTGGTTTCTTGAACTAAAACAACCATGTTTGATTTCAAGTTACAACAGACATGAGTTGTATTGGAAATAGTCGAATCTAATATTTGGATTGCAATGGATGAATCTGGTGATGGCACAATGTATGACTACCAAAAACCATCTCGGTTTAAATCCGTGGTGTAACTGTATTATATAATGACCATTGTGTTGATAGACAACTGAAAATATTCATCAACGTAGTCAATATCCAACAGCAATCAATAGTCAACCATTTCCCATTCCAAAACAAGAGATTCAACTGCAAGATAATGCAAGCGCTTTATTACGCGAATCCTTTTTGAAATTGTCGAATGGTTAAAATACTTTGTCATAATTCGAGTTTTTGGAGCTGCTGGTCCATTGAAAGTTAAAACTACAGTTTTGAAAGGAAACAGATCATATTCCAACTAAAGAGTAGCAGAATGGGCATTCAAGACGAATCAAGTTCCACATCATTAACAGCCTTTCAGCAGCATTTAAAAGGGTTTGTTGCTGGTGCTCTTGCAGCTTGTGGTGAGTTGCAGCTTGAAATGCAATCCCAATCATGATTTCAGAACAACATTCTTGACAAAAAACCTACTCTTGCATTATATTACACTATGCTGAAAGAACTGTCAGGAAATGCTTATAATCAACTCCTTTAATGTCTGGGAATAAATTGTAAACGAATTTCAAAGATCACAATTTTACTTGGCACTTATTAACAGCACAATTCAATGGCTAATTCTACCTAGGTGCCGTTACATTCACCAATCCTTGGGAGGTAATGTTTAAGTCTAATTATTCTATTACTGTCAACCCCTGTCTTACAAATCCAAAGCTGCTCAAATACAAACCACAAGCATCTAAATCCTGCGGCTGTGTTGGTTCTATTACTAATGCTATACCATGAATAATATTGGATAAACTGGATTCCAACTCTTGTAGGTAGTCAAGACGCGGCTTCAACTCCAAGGTGAGCTACAAGCCCGGCTCGCTAAAGGCACAAATGCTCCCCCAAAACAATATCCCAACGCCTTTTCTGCGTTTGGGCGGATTTTTAAAGCCGAAGGATTCAAAGGGATTCAAAAAGGATTGGCTCCTGCCTACATTTATCAAACGCTGTTGAATGGCACCCGGTTGGGATTGTACGATCCACTCAAGGCTGTAATTCAGTCAAGCGTGGATTATGCTGCGTTGAGTTTGAGTAATGGGGAAAAGGTGAATACGCCTATTGCACCTGCATTTGCTATGGTTACTTCTGGAGCCATGTCGGGTGTTTTGGGTGCATTTATTGCGTCCCCGCTGTTTCTGATCAAAACGGTAAGACTTTATTCAGCGGGTTGACGTCTGCATCTCTAGCATAATGACAGTCTATACGATCGAGGGTTTTCTAACTTGAACTATTATGTAATGCCATGCACATTTCAACTTTAGCGAATGCAATCGTACACTAAAGGAAGTATTTTGGCTGTTGGTCACCAGCATAGCTACGTTACAAAGGGAACGCTGCATTCTTTAGCGACTGTATATCGTCAAGGTGGTATCAAGGGATTGTGGCGTGGTGTTGATGCATCCATGATGCGAACTGGTGTGGGATCAGCAGTACAACTTTCTAGCTACGATGGATGTAAGCAGGCTTTGCTTCAAAGTGGATGGTTTGACGCGGTACATGACGGTCATGGTGGAATTGCTCTGCACTTTATGGCCAGTCTTGCTACCAGTCTTTTGGTTTGTATTGCCATGAATCCGTTTGATGTTGCCAGCACCCGAATGGTAAGCCCATTACAATATGCACTACAGATTGTGATGACAGATTTCTCATTTAATCTTATCTAACTGGTGATATCATCATTTTCACACATCATAGTATAATCAACACTCTACAGCCGATGGAAAGACTGGATCATTGTATAAAAGCGGCTTTGATTGCTTGGTAAAGACTGTACGCGCTGAAGGGGTGTCTGCTCTTTACAAGGGATTTTTTGCTCACTATCTTCGTATTGGGCAAGTCATACTATGCAATTGCTAGTTTATCAAAAAACACTACTGCATAGCTGGATAATTTTGGAACCCACTAACAGTTTTTATTTATTTCTAGGCCTCATACCATCTTCACATTTGTGTTTTTGGAACAACTTCGAGCTGCTGCTGCCAAAATTGAATCACATTTCTTATAATGGTCCACCTTTTAACTTTTGTACCAACTGTTTTCAAAACGGCCTCATTTTTGCAATATTGCTGATCAGATTCAAATACATATGTTTATTGACTCTGAATAGCAGTGCTTCCACCCTCTGCATGGGCAATAGTAAGGGATTCTTCGCCAGTGACGCCTACTCTAAATGATACAAACCTGGATGGAGTAACGTGTTTTGATTTCTTTGGTAAACGTCGCGCTTGACTAGTAGTTACCTTTCGGGCCTTGGTTGGTTGGATCGGTCTGGAAGAGTAAGAAGGAAGGATTGGCAAATGGGGATATATTTTGTTTGTGAATGCCAAGAGCGAATAATTCAGAGAGTGTAAATGGATTTGACGGATCGAGCTACCTAGAGTTGGTGATGTTTGACCACCAAGAAATGCTTGTATGGACAGTAAGCCATAAAAGTTTGGAGCATGTTCGACGAAACTTGTCATTGCATTTAGCATTGTCCACTGCAGCATACATTAGATCATTCAAATGGGGTTAGTTGTGTTGAAAGCTTTTGCTAGTATTCAAGCAACAAAATTCTACACGCATGGCTAACCACACCATAGCAATCAATGGCTGTTTAAAACATTCAATATTTGGGAATAATTCAATCTAAAAGTACGTACCAAATATTTCCACGCAAGGCAGGAAGGAGGCATGCATAAAACAAAAACTTTGCTATGCTTTTTCGAGTAGGTTGGATAGCTTAAAGAAACTCGAGTAGCCAAACTTTCAAATACTTTTTTTTGCGACGAAGCAAATGAACTGTACTCGCCAACTTCCATTTCGCTGATTAGTCCTGCAAGCTCAATAGCCCAGAGTTTGCACATTGTCGCTTCAGTTGGTCGAGGTACAAATGGGTTTGTGACCCAAGGAAATGACGGTGTGACGAGAATGGTTTCTCTCAAAAGAATTTGTTCTACACATGTCCAAGCTAATGGACCAGATTGTGCCATTGTTTTTATAATCTCAAAACAGATGATACGAAGCGTGATAGAGTGGTCATTACAGGGTGTGTTTTGTATGAGAATGCTCGGTATATCGATAGAGGATTGGATAGGCTGCCATGTATACCCAAACGTGTGCTTTGATCGTCTCCATATCCAACTTATATCTGCTGTATTCAAGGGATTGAGTATATGGTGACTTAATGCAAGTTTCAGCACGATTTTCAAGCATTGAACGAGCAACGTTCCATCTACTTGCATTGCCATGGCTTCCTATGTAATTAAACTGATGGTTTTAATATAAATGCAAACGATGTAATCCGAAAGAGTATGCAAACCTTGCTCTGTATAATTGTTTGAACAATCTTGACCCAAATTGTTTGGATTTTGAATCCCCAACAACACCTATAGTTTAATCACAGGAAAATCAGTCATTCCTGGATATAATAAAATTTGGACTGCATATCCAACCAGATCGTATTATCAAGCAACATACCTTCCAAGCGGCGAAATGGCTGCATCGCCTAAATTCAGTATACTCACGAATCCATCATAATACATAAACTCAACCAGATAGCTAATGGGTTGGTACTTTAAATCCCATAGTATATTTTTTAACCATTTTTTACATGTTTTCGTCGACAAGGTACGTGGGCTCATTAAACGTTTGTTTTTCTTATCCGTCAAAAACTGTGTCATTCTTGTGAAATGACAGAGATGATTGGCAATCGTGTCACATGGTTTGTAAGGATCAGACTCTGTTTGATGTCGAGTACTGGAGGGATGAGGAATGTCCGGATCAAAATGAATTGGAATAACGGTATCAAGTGAAAGGGACACACTTTCAGAAAGTGTATTCATCAATCGAGTCTAACACAATGATATACACAAGTTAAAAAGCAATATAAAATTCAACTACAGTCCAAAAATACATCTTACCCATTCTTCCGAGTAGCATTTTTTAAAATTTGTACACAGAATATGCTGTTCTACATCGTTCAGCAGTAAATCCAGAATGCCTAGTTTTCTCTACACATTAAAATACCATGTTGGAAATGTGGAATGACTCGGTATATATTAAATGAACCCTTTAATATGCCAACAAGATGATCAAGTGAGTTGGCAATACTTTATACCTGTATTTTACCGCAAATAGTTTGCAGTGGGGTTGGCTGCTGTCTGAACCCTGCACCAGTACGTCCAGTCGTACTCATTATATGAATGGTCCTGAATCAATATATGCTGGCACGACACGCAAGACAAACACCAACTCTGGTATCTACACCACTTGAACGCGTCAAAGTATTGAAGTGCAATGAACTGGTTCAATAACCAAGTTTAAACTAGATGATGCAGTATCTAAAATGAAAGCAGTCTGACTGAAAGTTGAGTATTAAAACAGTTCAGGCCGACGGTTTACAAAACTAAACGTCGTTTTTGCTGATATGCACTACTGGTTAAGCTACACGTTTATAACCTGAAATATAATATATATTAAAATGTTTGAATTAAACAAGGTCAATGATGTTGGTTGAATTCAAAACAGCGCTTTGTTTAAATATAACGTGAACTCGTTTTCAACAAGTGTTTGTGTACCTCCGCCTGTTACTCGAGTAACTTGCAGTAGTATTGAGATAAAATGAAACACTTGTATTATTTGCAGTAATTGCCTTTTTGCTCTGGAGTAGGTGATGGTTAGATATTCATTGCACTTTCCTATTAGACATGCTCAATTTTTCAATCAGCACACCATTCACTATATAGTTTTAGTTCAACTACAGTTGCAGACTGTAATGATTTCCTTTTTGGCACAACCATACATTGCACGATCAACAGGTTTGGGACTAGATTCACCCATTTTAATCCACATGTTGGTATTGTGTAGTACATTGGGCATACATTATCATATCATGAAGCTGGCTGCTTATATATTTCGATCTAGTGCTCTGGTTTACGTAAATACGACTGCAATGACATGCCAAGCAAATGCCAGTCTAAATAGGACTAGAGTGTAATGTTCAAAAACAAGCAAGAGCATGCAGTCACAAATGACTAATATCACGTTTGTTTAACCTTGCAGTAAATATGCCAAAACACATGAACACAACAAAATAAATCCAAGGATGCGAGTAAAATCGAGGTGACGGAATATATTTGACTGGATTTTGCATATAATGAAAAATAAGCAGCACACATACACGTACGAATCAAGCAACCATGCTGCAAACAAAAGTAAAAATATATAGCAATAACCAAAAAATAGATTGATTGAAATTAAAAAAGGAGCAAAAATAAAAAAGGCAAGCAATAGCGTAGTGGCTTGGGTTAAGTTGCAGTGCATAAAAACAACAGGCTTATGTTATCCAAAGAATGCTTTTTGTAGAGCCGACTTTATCCTTGTATGATCCTAAAAAACTACATGGTCGAATTTTTTGAGCCGCATACCCTAAATAGCTTTTTCCACCATGGAGTATGCTTTTTTTTATCTGCAGGATGTGCACCATTGCTACCCACCAAAAGAGGAGCAGGAGTCAAATTAGACATGTCGTTCATGTTTCCAGTTTGTGGGCCATGACCTTTATCTGAAAAAGGTAAATTAGTCAAACCATGAGTACGTATATCTGCAGTCGTATCATGAGGTGGCATCTGCGGTTGTTGCATCAAATGCTGTTGCTGAGAAACCGACACCCGTGATTGTGCAACATCGGTGCGACTTGATGTGGGTTCTCGAGAGACAGATTGGCTGCCAAGACCATATGTAGATCCGGGAATGGCATACATGCTGCCACTTTGTGCGGGTCCGTGAGTATGAGGAGTAGTACCTAGTTGGGATAGTCTAGGGCCAGAAGGGGAAGAAGGAATATTTGTGCCAGGCGATATTGTTTGAGAGTTGGTTTGATTCAATCCAGAACTTGGCACTGTATTTATTGGAGCAGAGCTACCGCCGGCGGCAGCAGCAGCGCCAGAACGATGCAGTCTTTCACGCTCACGTTGATCACGCATATCTCGTTCTGCCTCACGAAGACGCTCCTTTTCCTTGCGTTGGATATCCATAATTTCCATCCAGTCGTAAACACCATCGTCTGTTGTGCCAATTGAGCGTAGCGCAGTCGACATCAAGCCGCGAAGATAGTCGTAATCTGGATGTTCCTCAAATTTAAGACCACGTACATATGTCATATAGCTTGAAAATGCGACTAGTGATGAGCAGTAAACATGTACGAATTTTCAAAAGCATTGTTAGAGCAGCACTACAAACTTTCACACAAATATCCCATGCAGTTGCACACGTATGCAGAAACTAAGCTTACCAGGCAATCCTTCGCACAGTTCCTCAATAGTAGTAGTTTGCTTTTTTTCACCAATTTTTTCGTATTTTTGTTTGTTAGTTGCAGCCTTGAGTCCTTGCCATGGCAGACTTCCTCTTAAAAAATAAAGAAATACATGACCCAGTGCCTCTAGATCATCTCTTCTTGATTGCTCTGCATTGAAAGAACAGTCAGTGCATCAGTATAATCAGTCAACCCAACTATATAGACAAAGCAAGTCTATCCATACCACGACCCAAATGAGTATTGATGCTCATGTAGCGAGCAGTTCCAGAAAGAGACTTTTTCTCACGATAGGGAATATGAACCCTTGTCTTGGGATCACGATATTGTTTAGCCATACCAAAGTCAACGATAAATACTTGTGCGGCAGGATGTGGATGTTCGACTGAATGATTTGCAACAATGCTGTTTGGGTCTGCAATTAAAAGCCCAAAGATAGAGTTAAAATATATACGATTTAAAAAAACACTACAATAGTGATCGTACCAGTCCCAGGCAAAGCATTTGCAGATGCTTCTGCATGACGAGGAATTCGCCCAACAAGGAAGTTGTCGGGTTTGATATCTCGGTAAATAAGATTTCGGTCATGGATGCTCTGAACACGAGTAATCTAGAAGAGATGAGCAATACACATGATTGGTTAGGTTAGCAACCAAAGTTTTGCTAGAATACAACATAAATAAACGATATTACCATTTGTTTAGCAAGCATGCATACAGATTTAAATGATAGTTGTCGATTGCAGAGATCAAATAAATCCTCCAAGGAAGGGCCTAGTAGGTCAATGCAAAGTATATTATGAAGCCCTTCCTGACCAAAGTAATATACAGCAGGAACGCCATCTATATTTGGTTCAAATAGTTAAAATACATTCATCAAACTAGTACGACTATTTTCCAACCTACCGGAATGAGACATGATTTTATATGCCTTGTATTCATCACGAAGCTGAGGAGCATCTGTTTTTCTGGATTCAAATTTGATTGCAACGGGTTGATTGTTGAGTAAATTTGTTCCTAGATAGCAGGCGCATCCATCATTGGTATCGTTCCAACAGAGGGATGGGGTATTCAAATGAAACAGTTTTATAGAGCAGAGTGTTAGAAAGTATCATCTTGACATATTTAAGCGTTGACTATTTAGCAAATTGCATTGCTTTTATAGTCCAGTATCAGCCAGTACCTTCATAAATGATGCCAAAGCTCCCTTCGCCAATCTTTCTACCAATTTTGTAGTGAACACCAATAACGTTCTGGCCAGTGGGATGAAGCCGGCTTGAGCTAGATGACGGGACAAGCTGGTTGCCTGAATTGCCAGGTCCAGTAGCGTGGTGAGTGTTGCCATGATGGGCACGCGAGCCAGAGACGGCCTGCATCTGGCCAGATTTTAAATCAGTTGGTTGATTAGAGGTCATTGTTAGTTGAGATAGCTGAGTTTGACGAGACGACGCAAATGCAGTCGTAGAGTTGGAAAAAACGGATTTGAATGGAAGATAAGAGGTTGCAGTAGTAGTGGAAAAGTTATTGGCCTGCGCGTTGGTCGTCTTTGCCATTAATTCTGAGCAAAGACCAGCACAAGGAGCAGCACAGGCTAAGATGTCTGTTGCTGGAGTACTTTTGAGGCTGAAATAGAACCAATCCTGGCTAAAAGACTATGCAAGAAGGATAGACAGAACGATGCACTACATATGAATTCCGAATTCAAAGGTATAAAGATGAAGCAGTAAGTGAATTGCATTTCTAAATGATGGCATGGAGTACTTTGCAGCCGGCAGGTCTATCTGTCTTGAATCAAACAAGCATATTCTGGCAAGACCATCGTTGTGACCAAACGGTTGTCAAGTGCATTCTGGGGTGAGCATTAGTGAATCAATGCAAGTGATTGTCAAGCATACCTTAAGACGGGATAAAAGACAAGACCAAATGGATAGTTGGTCTGTATGAAGATAAAAAAAGCAATGCAAACCAGCACTGAATATAGTGATGACAAGACGGACAAGAGTGGATTTAGATTTGGAAAAGCAATCAATGCGAAGGGGTGGAAGCAACGTTTGGTTTAGATTTCAACAAACGACTGATTTGATCAACAGTTCATTCATTGCTAGCATCGTTTCTTACCAATCAAGTCTGTCGAGAGTGCTGGAAAAGTTTGATGCAATGGACGCAACAGGATTAGAATGGATTGACGAGCAACTATCGATTTCATTCTAGTCTGGCACAGCCAGACTGTGTAGGGGAGGACATGCCAAATGCTGGTTATTGCAATCACAAGCATCTTGTCAAATCATATCAACTGCAATCCCAAACTGCGTAACAAATACCGCAGTCTATTACTAAAATGTTTTTATTTTAAATACTTGCAAGTTGTCGATTCAATACAATCGAATACTCGTTTATCAAGTTTACCTTTACAATCACGACTAAATAAAGTGATGAGAAACTGTCAACTACCGTGTAGTACTCACATAAAATTCAACCACATCGTTGTGTAGAGTTGGCTTTGATTCTTGTGAATGTCACTCTCAAGTATTGGTGGAGTATTGATTTAAATGTCAGGATCATCTATCGCCCTTGTTTTTTCTACCACAGTGACAATCTTGACTTGTATTTCGTTCTGACACGAGAGTTTGGGCTTCCATTTATATAGAATCTCTACACTAACCTAAACCAATCGTGTAATTTTACAAACAGAGAATTCATGTTTTGAAAGACTTTTTGATGCTATCTGAATGTTTTCAAAACATGGTGAGATTAGGTTGTTGAAATATATTTTTTCTACATTTTCATCCCTTTTGCTTGAGCTGAATCCGGCATAAATTACCGTGATTCTCATCTAGTATTGCAAGAAACTTGAGTTGCAATACTTGTCATGATGCACAGGCTCAACGGATACCATCTTTAAACTTAATATATAGTCTAAAGCCATACAGACTATTGTAAATTCAACATCTCATAGAATTCAATAGAATGTTTGAGTGAATGTCGTGCTGATGCATGCCGTTTTGCTAATATAATGTGTTGTAAAATAGTCCTACTATCCAAGCAGTCATTTCAAACAACTCTAGATCCAGACACTGCAGTCCAATTGAAACTATTTCAAATTCTGTATAGAATGCACTGACAAAATGATTAAAAAATGCTTATTGAACAAATGCATTGAATGTGTTTTCAAGCATTGCATGGCTGGAATGACTGGAATGGCTGGAATGACTTCATGGATAAAATATTCCAATAAAATCCGACTCACTGACTGTCATTTTATTCTGTTTTTTCCACATAAAATTTCTTGACCAAAAAACATTCACAGAATGGCACTCATCAGAAGTAATCTGCTGCTCAAGGTAAGAGTTATATGACAACTCTGGCTTCTATGCAACCACTGCTCGACAACTTAATCGTACTGGACAAGTGCTTTGCTTTTAGTCTCTGGCTCTAGACTGAGTAGAGTGTCCTGCCAACTCTACTCTTAACCCCGGTGTTCTTTTTCTAAAAATCCTTGGCAAACAACCGCATCTTATCAACCATCATGTTTTTACATTGCTGATCTTGACTCCATGCTCTAGAATGGTTTGACAAGCCATTCTAGACTCTGCATTCTCTATCACTTTTTACCAGGTTGCTGCTCTTTTTGAGTGTGCACTGACCCTCCAAGTGTGATCTTTGGCCTATTACATTCACTAAAATGGTTGTCAGCCAACCCTCGACGAAACGCGAGGAGTCAGTGCGCCTTTTTATTATATTGGGCTGTTGATAGATAGCAGACCCACCTGCTTGTATTATCATGTCTACTTTACACTCTTTATATCCAGTCTATCTCCATTTTTTTAAATACCATTGGATTTGATTCAGTCATTGGTACATGCATGATTCTACTTTTGTTTTTTGCAAGTCATGCTTCATAATTAAACTCGTTAGTTTTAAACAATTTACTGATGCCTGCTTTCATTCTTTTGCTAGACTGCACGATCAACTGTATTACGTCGCAACTTTGCTAGTATTGCTGACAAAAAGGTTGCTCTTTCCAATTTGGAAAAAGACAAGTACATCAATTACAAACGCATTGAAGATAATCTCAAGGTTGTTCGTGACAGGTACTTGATACCTTGCATTATTTTTACTAAATTCATTGGTTGGATATTTTGATACTTGAGCTTTTCCAAAGCTTGAGTATAGAATGAACCTAACTCCTAGTTTACCCACAATGCTTGTTGGATGGGATTTAAATGATTTGACTGTTATTAACCATTACATATTGTTATTCCAGACTTCAACATCCTCTTACCCTTGCTGAAAAGATTGTTTATGGTCACTTGGACAATCCCAAAGAGCAAGATATTAAGCGTGGTGGTTCCTACTTGAGACTTCGTCCAGATCGTGTTGCCTGTCAAGATGCTACTGCTCAGATGGCACTTCTTCAATTTATGTCTGCTGGTCTCCCCACCGTTGCTGTTCCCAGCACTGTTCACTGTGATCATTTGATCGAGGCTCAGCTCGGTGGTGTCAAGGATCTTCCCCGATCCAAATCCATCAACAAGGAAGTATATGATTTTCTTTCTACCTGCTCCGCCAAGTACGGTATTGGGTTTTGGCGTCCTGGATCTGGTATCATTCACCAAATTATCTTGGAAAACTATGCCTTTCCTGGCGGTTTGATGATTGGTACCGATTCCCACACTCCTAATGCGGGTGGTCTTGGTATGGTTGCTGTAGGTGTTGGCGGTGCTGATGCTGTTGATGTCATGGCAGATATTCCATGGGAGCTCAAATGCCCCAACGTGATTGGTATAAAACTCGTTGGTAAACTCAACGGATGGACCTCTCCAAAAGATATTATTCTCAAGGTTGCAGGCATCTTGACTGTCAAGGGTGGTACTGGAGCAATTGTAGAGTACTTTGGACCTGGCGTTGACTCTATTTCGTGCACTGGTATGGCTACTATTTGCAACATGGGTGCTGAAATTGGTGCAACTACATCTTTGTTCCCTTACAACTCTCGCATGTCCGACTATCTCAAAGCCACGTCGCGTGGTGCCATTGCTGACTATGCCACTTCATTCAAGCACAATTTGGTTGCTGATGCCGGTGCCAAGTAAGTACAATGTCTCATCAATCCTTGTTTTTTTAGAATGGTTTGTTGGATATTTATCAACGCATCTTTGAATTAGGTACGACCAAATCATTGAAATTGATCTCAATACACTCGAACCTCATATCAACGGCCCCTTTACTCCCGATCTTGCTACTCCTCTGAGCAAGTTTGCAGAAGCTGTCACCAAGAACAACTGGCCTGCAGAACTCAAAGTCGGTTTGATTGGCTCATGCACAAACTCCTCATACGAGGACATGTCTCGTTCTGCTTCCCTCGCAAAGCAGGCTCTTGATGCTGGTGTTCAAGCCAAATCAAAATTCACTATCACACCTGGTTCTGAGCAAATTCGTGCAACCATTGATCGCGATGGATTTGTCGATATCTTTGAAAAGTGCAATGGTGTTGTTCTTGCCAACGCCTGTGGTCCATGTATTGGCCAGTGGGATCGTCGGGACGTCAAAAAGGGTGAAAAGAACTCTATTATTAACTCTTATAACCGTAATTTTACCGGCCGTAACGATGCCAACCCAGCTACCCATTCCTTTGTTGCAAGCCCCGAGATTGTCACCGCGATGGTCTTTGCTGGCGATCTTCGCTTCAATCCTGTCAAGGACACTCTCAAGACTGCTGATGGTAAAGACTTCCGTTTCCAGATGCCCACTGGAGACGAGCTTCCCCCTCGCGGCTATGACCCTGGTGAGGATACTTTCCAGTCTCCCCCTGCTGATCGCTCCAAGATCACTGTCAGTGTGAGCCCCACCTCTGATCGTCTTCAGCTTCTTAGCCCTTTTGCCAAATGGGATGGAAAGGACTATGAAAATATAGATATTCTGATCAAAGTCAAGGGAAAATGCACAACTGATCACATTTCAATGGCCGGTCCATGGCTCAAGTATCGTGGACATCTTGACAACATATCCAACAACATGTTGATTGGTGCCATTAACATTGCCAACAACGAGGCAAACTCTGTCAAAAATCTGCTTACTGGAAAGTTTGAAGCGGTTCCCAAAACTGCTCGTGATTACAAAGCTAAAGGCTTGAAATGGGTTGTCATTGGTGATGAAAATTATGGTGAGGGTTCATCTCGCGAGCATGCCGCTCTCGAGGTTCGTCACCTTGGTGGTGTTGCTGTTATTGTTCGCTCATTTGCTCGTATCCATGAGACCAATCTTAAAAAGCAAGGCATGCTTCCCTTGACCTTTGCTGATCCCAAGGACTATGATCGTGTTGATCCTACTGACAAGGTCTCTGTTATTGGCCTCACTACATTTACACCTGGAAAGCAACTTATTCTTCGTGCTCACAAGCAGGATGGCTCCACCCTTGACATTAAGCTGAACCACACTTTCAATGCAGGTCAGATTGGCTGGTTCAAGGCTGGAAGCGCACTGAACATGATGGCTCAATAAATTGACGCGATCTGATACTTACTCTACACATTCCAAAGTTTATTCACTTTACTTTTCCAAGTGCATAAAGTCAATGGGGCCAGCACATATTGGCTCAACATTTGTTACTTTTTTGCAATGAAACAGAAATAAAAGCAGTTTGAAATCAAATTGTGTCTTTATTATTCCTTGGTTTGAATATAATATTGGAGCATGCATTTTGCTATTCAAGAGTAGATTGCCTGGACAAGGATATTAGTCGAGAGTAAACGTTTGGGTGTTTTTGGCAAACAAGGCTCTTAGTTGATCAACTGTCATAAGACCCAATTGCTTCCCGGTTCTTGAGCGAACATTTACGGTGCCAGTTTCCTGTTCTTTATCGCCCACCACCAAAATGTAATTAAACTGCAATAGCTGTGCCTCTCGAACCCGCTTGGAAAGTAAATGATCTGAATCATCTACTTCGATATGGTAGTAGGCAGAGCAACTGTTTGATCCATCAAGTTCTGATGGATTAGCAATATTGTTTTTTACACTCTGAGCATACTCATTTAGGGTCTTGTTTGTTGGAATGACGATTGCCTGTCTCGGACTCATCCAAAATGGCCATTTTCCACCATAATGTTCTGCCAAGATTGCCAACATCCGCTCAACAGATCCTAATACAGCGCGATGTATCATAACGGGAGTTTCCATTGCAGCATCTTCAGGCCCAGTTTTCCCCGTAGAGTATTGTAATTGGAACTGTTTTGGAAGTTGAAAATCCAGTTGAACTGTGGCAGTTTGGTGATCTCTTCCTATAGCGTCGCGTACTTTGATGTCAATCTTGGGGCCGTAAAAAGCTCCGTCTCCATGATTTATTGTCCATGGTTTTCCAAATTGAGTGAGAGCTTCTTTGAGTGCAGTCTCGGCAGCTTCCCATTGTGTCAGTGTGCCAACATGACCTGATTCGGGTCGCGTAGAAAGTGCAAGTGTGTACTGAGGAAAGTGTAGTATTTTCGTGTACATGGTATCAATAAACTTTAAAGTAGATTGAATTTCTTGAGCAATTTGTGACGGTGTGCAAAAGATATGACCATCGTCCTGGTGGAACTTGCGCACTCGGGTGAGTCCAGTCAGTGCTCCAGACGCCTCATTTCTACAGATGATGTAAATGAAGTTTAAACAAAGTCCGATAAATGTGTGTTAGATCTGACACGAGTAAAGGGTTGAGTAGAATAAAGATGAATTCACCTGTGCAATGGACTAAACTCTGCATATCGAATGGGAAGATCGCGATACGATCTCGAGGTACTGGAAAACAGTAAACAATGTCCAGGACAGTTCATAGGTTTTAGTGCTTGGATATCTGCATCATTGAGTTGATCTACAGTGCTTTTAGTCAAGACATTGCTATGTGTGGTATAAGCATGATCTTGTGAGCAGCATTCTACCACTGCAAACATATCTTCTTTGTAGTTTTTCCAATGGCCAGACTTTTCCCATAGCGACTTGTTAAACACCAATGGGGTTACGATTTCATCAAAGCCGTATTTGCGATATTCATGCCGCAAAAAATCGGTGAGGCGTTGGATGATGCGAGTTCCATGTGGCAGAAAAAAAGGTGCACCAAGAGAAAGCGGACTAAAATAAAACAGCGATTGTTTTTGACCAATTAGTCGATGATCGCGCTTGGACGCTTCTTGACGTTGTAGAGTCCATTCACGCAGTGCTTTTCCAGATGAAAATGAGATTCCCGATACTCTCGATAGACTGTGTGGTGAAATAGTCTGCCATTGAGAAGCACCGGTATGTAAAAGCTTTACTTTATTGATAGCTTTGGTATTAAGTACATGAGGTCCGCGACACAGATCGATGAAGTCACCACATCGGTAAAGAGAAACGGTTTCTGATGCAGGGATCTTTGATAAATAGCTTAATTTAAAAGGCGAGTAAGCAAACATACGAGCAGCTACATCTCGAGTGACTTGAATGCAAGTAAAGGCTAAATGTTGTGTTGAAACTTTTTCTATAAACTCAGTAAACAGTTCCAAATCACTTTCTTTTGGATGAATGATTTTTCCAGCTGCTCCACTCATAAGTAACGCAATATCTTGATCGATATGTGCTGGGTCTAATAGTTGAGTGATTGGTTTGTGCAATAGCATATCCAAACGCTGTTTGGTTCTAATTTCGCCTCCTTCAATCAAGAGCGAATCGTAGAAAAATCCTTGGTCAGTTGCTGGACCATTGGTAAGAAGACAGTCATCACCATAGTGAGATTCCAATGCCCACCCAAGCAAATGCGCTGTTGAATGGTATAATACGGATTGAGGATTCGACAGTGTTGATGCTACATGGATTTTAATGGAATACAAAATGGTTTAGTCGAGTAGATTTAAGGATATAGACTGACAGTGCAATGACATTTGAGCAATCGTCAATAATTTGATGAAACAAGACTATGAATATGCAACTGCTTATAGCTAACCTGCATCAGTCTGAGCAGTACTGTTCACAACACTATGCGATGGCTGGTTTTCAGGACTTGACCGAGTCAGCTCATCCCAAGTCTGCAATCGATGAGTACTGGCTAGCATTGACACTTGTCTGACCAGCGACAGACTGAACGGATTAAACGGCCTGGACGGACCGCACGAAACGATCCGAAGAAATCCTGATCGTTTCGCACGACAACTTGCCAGCAAAAACAGCATTTTTCTGCAGTTGAATCTGAGCTGAATCTGCGCTGCCGAAAACTTTTATTTTACGTGAATAAGCGATTTGTGCCAATCTTTTCTTGACTGCAAACTTGTGCAAGCAATGGATCTTGATCTGTATGACGAGTTTGGTAATGCTCATCACTGGCTCTGTTTGGTCGTTTGGTTTCATTCAAACTGACTCCGTTTCTTGTGTTTTACTATTCAAACTTGAAACTAGGCAATTATATTGGCCCTGAGCTGGTCGATGACGAGGACAAAGATGTTGCAGAGGATGATGAGCCTGCATTTTCCTTTGTTCCTGCGTCAGAAAATGAAGACATGGATGCTGATCATGCCGGTCCATCAGTAGCACTTACTCAATTCGGCATGGACACTGACGGTTAGTTGCATATGTTGATCGGTTGCAGGAATAACATCAAGTCGTTGTGATAAGATGCTTTATTAAATCGAAATTTATTGGATGTTCAGAGGTATTGCATAACCAGATTGTACTCCACGAAGACAAGAAATACTATCCTACAGCTGCTGAAGTATTTGGTGAAGGCGTGGAAGCACTCGTCCAGGATGAAGACACTCAGCTTCTATCTGAACCCATTATTGCCCCACAAAAGATCAAAAAGACATTTATCCATGAAAAGGATTTACCAGAAACCAACTACAAGAAAGAGTGGGTTTATGGCTAGTCTTTCCTTTGCACAAACTCATTGCATAGCTATTGGGCTGGCATGACGTTTCTTGCTTGATCTACTATTGAAATCTAATATGCTATGCGCCTTGTTGCTTACTGATTATAGATATCTGGCAGATCTTACTGGATTTCCTGACTTGATTAGAAATGTTACAATTATGGGCCATCTTCACCATGGAAAAACGCTTTTTATGGACATGATGGTTGAAGAAACTCATACTGTGGATTGGAGTCTTTCAAAGAATGAGCGATACACTGATGTTCACGAACTTGAACGTACGCGAGGACTTTCCATCAAATCCATGCCGCTCTCCTTGGTTCTTCAAGATCTCAAAGGAAAATCTCACTTGCTCAATCTCATGGATACTCCTGGTCATGTCAATTTCTCCGACGAGGTCACCTGTGCTCTTCGAATTTCAGACGGTGCTGCTATTATTGTAGATGCCGTTGAAGGCGTGATGGTTAATACAAGGCGGCTGATTGAGCATGCTGCCTTTGAAAAGGTGCCCATGGTTTTGGTGATCAACAAAGTAGATCGTCTTATTATGGAGCTAAAACTTCCTCCTACTGATGCCTATTTTAAACTGCAACACACAATTGAGGAAGTCAACAGTATTATGTCTGAACTATCACTTCCTCGACTGTCACCAGAACTTGGAAATGTATGTTTTGCATCAAGTATGATGGGATGGTGCTTTTCGCTCGAGTCTTTTGCACAGATTTACAGCCAGTCTGCCAGTGGTGAGGAGTTGCCTTTGTACAATCTTGTGGATTCTATCCAGCATGTATCTTGAGTCGTGCAAAAATATTTACACATTTATATATTTTAGAGGATTTTGATGCACACGAGTTTTCTCGCAGACTTTGGGGAAATGTCTTTTTTGACAAAAACAAGCGTACATTCTGTCGTCGATCTACTGAGGATGCACCTACCCGTACGTTTGTACACTTTATTCTAGAGCCACTGTACAAGCTTTACTCGCAGGTGATTGGAGAAAATCCTCAGACTCTAAAAGCCTCGTTGGCATCTGTTGGCATCCGCCTTAAGCCCTCTATATTAGCTATTGATGTGAAGCCTCTTTTGAGAACTGTCTGCCAGCAATTTTTTGGAAATATTAATGGGTTTGTACAAATGTGTTTGACTCACCTGCCTAGTCCTGTTGCTGGTGCTTCGCTCAAGGTTTGTATTTCGACAATAACTAGGCTCATTTTGTAATCTGCACTTTACCAACAGTCCATTTTATTTATTGGCATCTATTTTAGCTGGAAAAGGCATATACTGGCTCTACAACAAGTAAATATAGCGATGCCATTCGAGCATGTGATCCCAATGGACCACTGATGATCCACATTGTAAAGCTATACAATGCCGATGATGTTACTACATTTGATGCATTTGGTCGCGTTATGAGTGGAACAGTATCAACGGGTCAGCGTGTTCGTGTTCTTGGAGAGGGATATACCCCTGACGATGATGAGGACAGCAGTACGCAAGAAGTTGGTGCTATTTCAATCTACGAGTCCAGATATAAACTCAAGGCGGCATCTATAACTCCTGGTAACTGGGTTTTGCTGAGTGGCGTGGATGCATCTATTATCAAAACAGCTACAATTACAGACATGGACAATGATGAAGATGATCCAGTACACATCTTTAAACCACTTCGGTTTAACACCGAGGCAGTGCTAAAAATTGCCATTGAACCTGTCAACCCAACCGAGCTTCCCAAGATGCTGGATGGATTGCGTAAAATTTTAAAAAGCTATCCAATCGTGCAAACCAAGGTGTGTGCTTTGACCTATTTTTGAAAACACCAAGGTTTTGTGCTGTTGTCTATCTAAAGCTTACAATGCTCATGTTTGGAACAATTGTACGTTGAGTAGGTGGAGGAATCTGGGGAGCATATTATTCTTGGAACTGGCGAGCTGCACTTGGACTGTGTTCTTCACGATCTACGCAAACTCTACTCTGAAGTAGAAATCAAGGTTGCTGATCCAGTTGTGCGATTCTGTGAAACTGTTGTCGAAACATCGTCATTAAAATGTTTTTCTGAAACCCCCAACAAAATGTAAGATAAATACTGCCAGCGATCTTGATGGTTTACTTTTTAATTAGCCTAACGCTGAATGTGTTTATTATCAGGAACAAAATCACTATGATTTGTGAGCCACTAGAAAGGGGCATTGCTGAAGACATTGAAAATCTGGCAATCAATGTAAACTGGCCAGCCAAGACTCTAGGCGAGCACTTTGTCAAAAAATATAGCTGGGATGTTCTAGCCTCGAGAAGTATTTGGGCATTCGGTCCAACTGATACTGGACCCAATATTCTTGTGAATGATACTCTTCCTTCAGAGGTATTCAACTGATTTAAAATCACTGTGAATATGTTTCATGCTGTTTTTCGACTTGTTTGATTCTGATACACTATTGGCGCTTTTGATTTTATTGAATGCACATGAATAGACAGATAAAGCTATGCTTTTTTCAATCAAAGACTCGATTCGGCAAGGTTTTCAATGGAGTACTCGCGAGGGACCTTTGACAGACGAGCCCATTCGTAATGTCAAATTCAAGATCCTTGATGCTACGATTGCCAATGAACCTCTTTTTCGAGGAAGTGGTCAAATTATCCCTACTGCTCGTCGTGTCTGCTACTCTTCGTTTTTAATGGCAGCTCCTCGACTTATGGAGCCCATTTACTATGTGGAAATTCAATCCCCTGCTGACTGTGTTCCTGCTATTTACACCGTTCTTGCTCGGAGACGTGGACATGTTACCCAGGATACTCCTAAACCTGGATCACCTTTGTATACAGTCAAGGCGTATATTCCTGTAATTGATTCTGCTGGGTTTGAGACCGACTTGCGTACACACACCCAAGGCCAGGCATTCTGTCAACAAATCTTTGATCATTGGCAGGTGGGTCAATATCAGCATATTACTCATGGACACATTTTCTTGCTTTTGAGATTGCTTGGCATTACATGCATATCTTTGATGACCCAATATACTGACTGTCATGAACTTTGTATTTTAGATTGTTCCTGGTGATCCACTGGACAAGTCGATTACTTTGCGTCCCCTAGAGCCAAGCCAAGCTCAGCACCTGGCTCGTGATTTTATGATCAAAACACGTCGGCGTAAGGGACTCAGCGAAGATGTAGCCATCACCAAGTTCTTTGATGATCCCATGGTATGTCGATGCTTGCTAAATCCATTTAATGTTTTTGAAACCATGATGCTGTATGTACTTATACTTTTATCTTTTTAGCTGATTGAACTTGCCAAGGCTGAAGGGGAAATTCTTTTGCGATAAATTTGGTGTTTATCAAATGAAATTCAGTGACTCTTTATAATGTTGCATAATGAATTTTCACTGTAGCAATGTAGATGTGTTTAAATTGACAACCGGTTTGCAGAGTCGACTTAATGAGATACATGTCTGTTTAACCTCGAAATATTTATTTAAAATCGCAGAATTGCGACACAATCTCAATCATACTTTGACTTTGTAATCGTTGATTGCATCAACAGAAAGACTGCCGAGGTAGGTGCGTACTTCGATTGATAGTAAATGCTCACGTCCAAGTACTGCTTCAAATGAATCCAACGCCTTGGTAGCAAATTCTTTGGCTTTATCCATTTTTAAAGATGCATGGTACACCTGCGCCAGTGTATACAACACCTCAGCTGCCATGATGGGCGAACCCATGTAGCTTGATCGGAAAGCATGAATAGATGACAGCATTTGCACTGCTTCGGCCATCTGTGCCGCATCTGGGGGTTCAGTATAACACAATGTTAAATCTCATACAATGCAAGCAGATCTAATCACAGTATTTGTAGACTATACCTAATTTCATATCAGGAGTTTTCAACACCTGTTTCCAAATGGAAACTACTTTATCAAACACTGCTGCTGCGTGATCAATGCGATCCTGATGATGAAATACAGTCCCAAGTTGAAAATATCCTCCAGTAACTATATTTCCAGTCAAAAATATGTGTGCATATGATTAATCCAATCCATCCAACGTACACATTTATAATTGCTACCAAACCTCACCAGCAATATCTTCTGGGGTTTTCGCCAATGAAATATAGTAAATCTATACAAAATCAAAAATATTTATCAGTCATGTAAAACTGCCTAATGACTTTATCAACCCCATCATTTACATCTAGAGCTAGCTGATCTAAAGCCTTTTCGTATTGACCCTGAGAGGTATATAACAATCCAAAATTGCGATGAAGTTGCGACCGGATTGTATTTTCACATTCATCGGCTTTGAGAATTGCCCATTTTGCCAGAGAAAGGTAGTCTTCTGCCTGCTTATACTGTTTCAATCCTGAAATACATATTACATTTAATTTCAAAGTGGTTGGTGTGTACTGGTAAATCAATCTAAACTCTGCCAGTATCAATACGTCAAGTACTGAAATATCCAAGTTGTACGTTGAATCTCACCAATGCTAGCTTCTCCCAATAATAGATATGACGGCACAAGGTTTATGCTGTTGGGGCTCGATACGCTCATAGAAAATCGAAGAGCCTGGAGTGCAGCAGGAATTGCCAGATCATACTGTTAACATTGCATCAAGTTGAATTAGCTTATTTGGTTCCAAGCCTTTTAAATCCAATTAGCTCAGTAACGAATTAATATGCATGTCAAATCAATGCACCTGGCCTTCAAAGAGTAACTTGTGGGCCTCTAGCTTTGTTATTTGAACTAGATGCAGTTGACGAGATCGAGTTTGCTTTTCTCTATGTTCTCGCTCTTCCTCAGATCCCAGGACAGTTATAGGTGTACGCAACGGAATCAGAAGCTGGCATATTTTATCATGAATTCCACGCGCATCAATATTCTGGTGATCCTCATCGCTACAATAAAGTTGGATTGAGAAACACATTTGCTTTTAAACCATAGCAATCTATTCACCATGATTCCTATTTCACTAAACAATCAACTTGATGCAGTATTGACTAAATTTACCAATAATATGTAACACGACAGTTTTTGCATTGTATATAGCTATAATAGATGAATGGGCAGAAAACGTTACGCGCTAGGTTAGCGAGTCCAAACATGATTCTATTACAAGTAGAGCCAGATGGAGTATTGCTTACGCAGGTTTGGCGCAGAGCTCACACACAAGTTTGACACCTATTTAATTTACAGTACAACAAAACACTTAGCTGAGCAAGTTCTCACGTTAATTTAAAAGCGACAGACATTGAAGAATAGGCACATTTTAGTTGAAGCAACCCAAAAGCAAACTTTGTATGAGTATCCAGTCATAGTATTACCTTTTGAGTTTGACAGCGGGTTGATGTGAATAGATGTTGTCATTTTCACTTGAACCTGTCAGTAATAACTTTGAAGTCAAAATATCAAAAACTCGAAACTTTTCGACTTTTATATCTTTCCATCTTCCCCTTTCAAGGTAATCGGTTGTGATTTTGTGCATTCTACTGGCTTGATCCATAGATCCGTACTATTTTTTTGGTCTCATCTTTTTTGACTCTTACAGTTGATATATCTTTATTTGGGTTTTCGTTTGTAAAAGAAATGTCTGAGCCTATTAAAGACCAACAAACCAAACGTACTGGTTTCCAAACATCTCCAAGCAATAACTCGAACAATGCAGTTCAAGCCCAGTCAGACCATCAAAAAACCCCAAACAGCATCTTAAATGAACCTTATGACATCTCAGTTTCTACCCCAACTACATCTACAGAGAAACAAGGCGATCATGAAGGATCTAACTTGAAATCAATGAGGCAACGCGGGCCATCATCTTCTCGTATCGATGGTGCACATGTCAACTGTGAGAATTCACCCTCAACTTCAAAGCTCAAAAATAGCGCACATGCCAAGACGTCAGCATCATTTTTTACTGGTATGAAAAAGAACGCGACATCTATGGTGAAATACATTGCCGAGTTTATTTTGGCAGCCTTTCCAAAGAATATATCTGACTCTATCAGGAAGACTTATCACACGTACGCAGCGTTTGACATAGATCCATTCAAAACTCTCATGTCTATTGCTTTGGATGGCATGGCTTATGTTACAGCAATGTATGCGATGGTGATGACGAGTATGATTTGGTTTATTCGCTTACCCATTCTGGTGATGATGAAACTGGCTGTACATTTTCTTGATGCAGCTCGATTTACAGGGCAAGGATTTATTTCCTGTGCAGATTATCTCAAAAAGATAATGAACGCTAATAGTTCAGATGCTGCGACTCAGTGTGATGGGAAAATTGATGAGTCGTAAAGGTGATGCTGTTCAAATCTAAACCAGTTGCGCTCATGTGCACACTTGCAAGTTTGATATTTTTTATGCAAAAAAAATAAATATATATCAATGTTTTCGCAAAGTACCGACAATGAAGTTTATTTTAAAAATATAGGAGGCAGAATTGTCAAGTATATATTTGACAATAAGGTGTGGTTTGAACGAAATAAAAAGCATTTGAATATATACATTGAATCTTGAGCAAAATGGTTTAGATGAATTAGAATGAAAAAGTGCATAAACAATCAGTCTCATGGCATTATAAGTCATAAAATTTACTGAACACCAAAACAGATGAGCCCAATATATGGACTAGAATGGATGAATTTGTTGATCGTACAGTTCATGTCAAACAATTTCAATTTATAGTTTAATTTTGTATGATTGTTGTATTTGAAGAATTGAAAATGTTTATGAAAACAAGCAATTATTGCATGAGAAAGTGTTTTACATGAATGCGACTGTAATAAGAATCGATTATTGAATTTTTTCGATATTGGAAACCGCAAATCAAAAGCCAAGTTCTTTATCAACTATAACAAAATGACTGACCAAACACTTGCTGAAGAAACTATTCAACAAGGTAATGAAAATACTCATTGATTGTTAGATTCTGAACACAACATGTCTTATTTTAAAGCATTTCTACTTGGTCATTGATGATTACAGTTGATTCTTTGGATCTTGCAGATAGTGGACGCTCGATATGGATCTGTGAAGTTCAAGGCAATGATGTGCAGGGAAATGGTTCTGAAAAGATGCCTTACAAAACCCTGCTTAAAGCTCTTGAAGTCTCTGGAAGCGAAAAGGTGTCTTACTTTACTCGCAAGGTTGTCAGTGAAGGATATCAGCCCACTGCAAAAGCCGCAATCAAAAAAGCCATGAAACTACATGAAGCCAATGTTAAAAAACTGCAAAAGGCTGCTGAGAGAGCTGTTACCGACGCTGCCGAGGCGCTTAAAAATGCAGCAGCTGAAGCTGCCAAGTTGGAGGAAGCTCGCAAGATTGTGCTTGAAGAAGACCGCCTCTTGCCTGCTGCAAAAAAGGTGTTTTACTAAACAATCATTCGATTCTACCCATATACACCGCACTTTGCTAATCTTTGAATTGTATTAAAGATTCATATTCGTCAATCCACTACCCATAGAGAAGCTCGTGTCAAGATCTCTGGATGGGTCCATCGTCTGCGAGTTCAGGGAAAGGACATGATGTTTGTTGTTCTTCGTGACGGATCTGGCTATATTCAGTGCGTTCTTACTGGAAAGCAGGTATACTCATTGGCGTTTTATTACCTCTTGATAATTGCTTCTATTATCAAGTTGCAAAAACTGATTCAATGCAATGGCATGCTATTTTTGACAATCTAGTGCAACACCTATGATGCTCTCACACTCACTGTAGAATCAACAGTCACTATCTATGGTGTAATCAAAACAGTTCCTGAAGGAAAGTCGGTAAGTGTATACTATTGGACTGGCTTGCTTGCCGTTTTGTTGTTAAATCTTTAAACTAGACAGTCATCTTTCTAATTTCAGGCACCAGGCGGTCATGAATTAATTTCAGACTATTGGGTTATTCACGGAAAAGCACCAGGTGGTGATGAAGCATTTGGTAACAAGCTGAACACTGTAAGCTTTTTGCTCGATTTTGACATTGTAATCTTGCACAAATTTGGGTCTAAACTACGTATTTGCGTTGTTTTTACAGGAATCTAGCCCAGATATTCTCCTTGATCAGCGCCATTTAGTCTTGCGTGGCGAAACCACATCATCTATCATGCGTGTACGTGCTTTGATGCTTAAAGGATTTCGCAGCTTTTTTGAATCACGTTTTATCACAGAAGTTACTCCTCCATTGATGGTGCAGACCCAAGTCGAGGGTGGTTCAACTTTATTTGAGTTCAACTACTATGAAGAAAAGGTATTTTTGTTTATCTGGGCAAGACTATTATCATACCCAATTTTTGTCGGAAAGCACCGATACCATGTTTTTGTTAACCAAATACATTCTATAGGCGTACCTGACTCAATCTTCTCAATTGTATTTGGAAACTTGTCTTCCATCAATTGGTGATTCATACTGTATTACCGAATCTTTTCGTGCTGAAAAATCCCACACTCGTCGCCATCTTTCAGAGTGAGTTTTTAGTATTCATAGCCAGCTTTAATCAAGCATTGGAAAGTATTTTTATAACTAATACTTTACTTTTATTCGATGATTAGATTTACCCACTGTGAGGCAGAGCTTGCATTCATTACGTTTGACGATCTTTTATCTTGCATGGAGGATATGGTGAGACCTATTATTGGTTCATGATAACCTTTTTCTGACATTACTTGTCACTAATAGCGCACATAACGAATTTAATCATGTTTATATTCAAGGTCGTTGACGTTGTTGGCTCGATTTTGGCTGATCCAATTGGCGCCTCTATTGTTAAAGACCTCAACCCCAACTTTAAAGCGCCTAAAAAGCCTTTTCGTCGCATGCAGTACACTGAAGCCATCAAATGGCTGAATGATAACGGTGTCAAGAAGGACGTGATTGATGAAGAAACTGGCAAGCCTAAAATTGACAAGACAACTGGTCAAGTTATGCAAGTTGACTATGTTTATGGCGAGGATATTCCAGAAGGTCCGGAGCGCCGTATGACTGATACAATTGGCGAGCCGATTTTGTTGTGCCGTTTCCCTGCTGAAATCAAGGGTTTCTATATGAAGCGTTGTCCCGAATCACTTGCTTTGACTGAGAGCGTTGATTTACTGATGCCCAATGTTGGTGAAATTGTTGGTGGATCGATGAGGATTTCAGATTTGGTAAGCGTACTCTTGTTTTGAAATCTAGAGTTTTTGTCAACATTTGACCATGTTTGCACATTCTATAGGCTGAGCTTATGGCTGGTTATAGTCGTGAAGGAATTGATCCATCTCCTTACTACTGGTTTACTGATCAACGCAAGTACGGTACTTGCGAGCACGGTGGATTCGGTCTTGGTGTTGAGCGTCTTCTTGCCTGGCTTCTTGACCGCTTTTCTGTTCGGGAGGTAATGTCTAGTGTATTAAACTCTGAGCCATCTTGATATCAATTATTGATTATCATGTATTCAACATTTAGGTGTGTCTTTACCCACGCTTCATGGGCCGCTGCACTCCGTAAATGCTTTTAATGGGTTTATGTTCAAAACCCTTTTTAAATGTTCTTATTTACAACCGACTTTATGGAATAATTTCAAAATGAAATTTTCAAACAGCATGATACTTCACTTTTCAGTGTTTATTGTAATCTAGTAATAAACTGTACTGGTTGCTATCAATCAAAAATCCTTGACGGCGTGTTTTGATCAAAAGTTTAAATCCTTTTCATTTCCATCAGAAGTGGTCGCAGAATCACTTTTGGGAGTTGTTTGCATATTTTCTACATCATACTTGCGTCCAAATCCTGCCCCACGTTTTGTCCATGCAGCCGTGGAATGTGATGGATCGTCTGCATCATCGTCAGCCTCTGAAGAAAAAATATTGCTTGCATGAATACCTCTCACAAGAATATTTTCCTCTGCATAGGGATTTTCAAACAACACTTGATTCAAGCTTGCTTTTTTTTCCAAAGTAACTTTTTCAAGAGTTTCGGTTCCACCACCAGGCAGTTTGAGATCTGCATCAAACAAAGGCTGAATTGGCGTAGTGTCCTGTGGTGATGCATGATCAAAAGTGGGCACAACTGGCTTTGGTATGTGTTCAAATCCAACAAGGTTGATGATTTTCTGCATGCATTCCAAATAATCCAGATGATGTCGAATGATACTTGACACATCAATATTTTCTACCCACTTTGCTTTCCTATCAATTTCGTTTAATTTTAGTTTAGGATCGGCATGAAGATCCACATCGGCAGATAGAGCATGCTGAGGAGGTAGCATTGTCGGGGTTTCACCAAGTGATCGAATATGATGGAGGTTATGCTGTGGATTGTGGGATTCGTGTCTAGAATGAACAAAAGCTTTGCGCATTTGTTGGATATTGAGAATAGGAGTCAAGCCTGCAGTATCCAGCTCTCCTGCTTCTGGCAAAACTTTTCTGCGTAAAAATTGAAGCATCCAGTCGTTTGGAGCGTAGCCATTCACCCAACGGCCATTGATTACAGATGAGATTTCAAACCACATGGATGGTGTGCCACTGATGGGAATGCCAAAAAGATACACGGAATCAATGATGGCATATGCATCAGCATTTCCTGCTTCTCCAGCTTTCGCCAAATCCTGCAATGCGTGAAGGATGGCAACTGCACCCAGAGAGAACCCTATGAGTGAGACGGGCCGATGTCCACGAAGTCGCGCAAGGAGGATCTCTTTTGCAAGTACATGTCCAGCACTTTCTGCTCGCAAAAGGCCAAGCTCCCATGGACTATCAACAAGATATCCGCTTTGAAGAAGACTGATCGGCCATGCAAGGGCCGATACAATCGATGTCATGACGCCTTGTTGTGGAATGGGTGTTGTCAACGAGGCACGCGGAACCACTTCAGATTGCAGCGTCAAGTTGGATACTTTTTTTTCTGTCAAACATAGAGCCTCAGTAGTTATTGGCTGAACAGAGTCAGTAGCTACAGACTGATTCGCGGTATCCATCTTGGAGTTTTCTTCGTCATTGCTACTGACAACAGGTAGATCTACGCCAATTCCAGATGCCATACGACTGCCTAATGTGCCCATGGCATTATGTACGCTCCAGAAATTATGCAAAGCATTACCTACTTCCTGAAGACAGTCTAGTTCAAACTGGAGTGCTTCGATATGGGTAAATGGCATTTTGGATGGTAGTGACAGCCAAGGTTCTTCCACGTCATGCTGTTCCAATAAAAATCCGGAAACACAAATCATGATATTTAAACTAGGATGGCTGTCAAATACAAGTTTTAAATCAACATCTTGGATATCTTTGAGTCTGCGGCTAAAAGAATATGCTACCGAATACATGCATAGTATATTGTGTTGTAAGCAGTCGCACTCTAATCAAACTCACTTTAAATAGACTAACCCTATGGCGAAAACCAATAAAATCTAACCTGTGGTGCTACCCCCAGTAATACCAAATAGTGTTGACATGGCCATCGCTCCACTGGCTGTTCCCAACCCCTCAACAATCCCGGTAGCAATCGCACCAGTCATTCCTGCATAGCCAAATAGTGATCCAAGACCAGCCGACAAAAATGGTGCAGCCATTCCTCCAGTTAGTCCAATAAACAGTCCTCCACCAACCGTTGCAGCACCTAATGCCAAATATTTACTTTGCCAACTCATTAATGGATGTTTTGATTTGATTTGGCTCGGATCTTTCTCTTCTGTACGTGAAGTCCCCAAGATCTCACTCCAAATCTGAACTGCTGCTCCATGTTCAATGTCCTGCTGCACCAAACACTTGATCTGGTCTCGTTCATTTTGACTGCGGTATTCGCCACTTACAGTTGTGTCAAATATAATATCTGATAAACGCCGAAAGAGAACGCGCAGTCTGGCATCGTATCGCAGCTCTTTGGTTTTAACAGCAACGTTTTTGAGAGCAGTAAAGATGAGATTGTAGAGAATAACATGAGATATTCTAATTAGTTGAGATGAATATTGGTCGTTCTGAGTGTTGGACTGTTTGCTGGTGATCTCGGCAGATTCAATCGTAGATCGAAGACTTTCTGACAATGCTTCTACAGATACTCCATATTCTGACATTTCTGCTATTGCAGCTCGTTCTGTATGTAAAATTAAAATTGACCAATGTGCTAGTGAGTCTGATAGTCCGGCTTCATGCCCTTTGACTCTAACTGTAAATACAGTCTACATACCTTGAAGACTTAGTTTATTGAATGTCAGCAAACCATCCATCAGCTTTGTCTTCCAAGACACAAAACTCCTTACAGCAGGATGCCTTTTGTTTTCTTCCATGTTAATAAGTGCTTTGAGTCCAAGAGGGTCGTACCAGTACGATGAGGCTGATGCTATTTTCTCATGCTGGACACCATTCGATACTTTGCTGGCTTTGGAGGATTGTCCAACTCGAGACTGTTCCCAATCACAAAACGTTTCTTCTAGTAACCGCTCTTGCTCTTGCAGTACAAGCCATACCAATCCAATGTATGCGTAAAGAATATCTGCCGACAAAGGCCTACTAAGAATTGCATCACGATCTGCAGGGCTGGTCTTGGATGGATCCATTGCTTCCATAGTTTAAATTATTCAAAGTTGGACAAAAAGCAAGTGAATAATTCAAACAGTTTATCGCTGCTAAATATGAATAAACTGTCAATCTTACGACTATTGACACTAAATTCAGTTTCAAGCCATATCGGTTTATTGTTGCTGTATTACGAATATATCCAGTCTTGATTATTAGAGCACGAACGTATCTGATATTTTAGGATGCAACAGCAATGAGTTGAATTGAAATGAATAAATCTAATGATCGTACAATGTATGGTTATATAAAAAGTGGAAAAGTATATCATTCAATTGTGTTGATCTTGCAGTGATTGTCTCGGAATAAACAATGGTTAAATATTCGTTGTTTTCGTACTAGAAACTGATTATTCCTTTTATTAAAGATCTGTTGTATTCTGATATTGGATATGTTTTACTTGAAGAGAACAATCTCAGTAATGCAACTATACATGTAGGTCACCCAATGTTCACTTTAAATGTTTGGTCTAAAAAGGAAAGTTGGAGGTTCAAAAGATGTCAAGGATGTAAACATTCGTCCTGTATTTTTGTAAAAGAATGGGCATGAAGATTAGTAAACTAAAAAAGTTAAAACAATGTTGCTCAGTGAGATTGGCCGCTTATTATATAATGTTCCATTTACGTGAATACGACTTAAATATCAAGATATCAACTCGATGACACCCATAACGAGCAAAGTTTAATGACTATATAACGATTTATTTTATCCGAGTTTGGTTCTTGATAGATTCATTATTTTGTTCTTGCAATGTAATCATATCCGTTTCTGCATCTGCAATCACATTTTCAATCGCATCTGCAGTCGCATCAGGATGCCATTCTGACATTCCAGTCATGCTCATATCAACATCAGTGTCGTGTTCAGTCGAGTCATCTTTATTGGTCGCATTGCTTCTACTAATGTGATATTGCATAGGATACTGCACTCGTTTAACAGTCTCTCCTTTTTCTCGCATAATATCCTCAATCGTTCCGGGCGGTTTCGTTGAATCAAACCATCCCAAATGATCAGCAATCAAGTGTGTGTTTTTACATCCGTCGCATTTGATCATAACCACGCCAGTCGTATAAGCCTTTTTTGACATGGATTTATAAGAGCGATGTTTACAGACTTTACATGTAAAGCCAATGATCATTCTGTCTGCAGAGACATTCAAGCCTGCGTCTACTGGAGAATCAGAGTCGTTGCTGGATATCGAATGATGGCGAGTAGCGCAATATGATGTATGTATGCTACCAATCAAGTATGATGGTCTGGTTGCATTGAACCATTCATGCTTTGTGATTGATGCAATTCGATGGTAGCGATACACCGGTCTTGTCAAGTTGCATAGTGTAGCGGCTGTTGATACTGCCCAGCTCAACGATGGTCGACTCATGAGATAAATAGTCTTGATCAATGTTTTCTGATGCATTCGGTGGTCCTCAGGACAGGACGAGCAATTAAACTATTGCAGCGCTGTTCAATCCACTTTGCAATCTAAAACACTCTAGTCGATCATGATGACAAATTCAACTCACTGTTTACAGTGTTGTGCACAATGGCATATAGCAACATATACAATAATTGGACTTTACCGTAGAAATCTGCATAAAAATACATTCTACTGCCACCAAATCATGTCAAGTCTTTGATTCTAGTTGGAATTATATTGTTTGTATTTCCATGAATTGCACACCAATATTAGTACAAAGTATCTGAAAGTATCTGAAAAGTATATAAAAGTATCTAAAAGCAAAAGTCAAATGTTCAACTCGAGTTTATCCAATCCACCATTTTAAACTGCAGATAATGCTGGTTGTGCCAGTTGTATCGACCACTGATGCGAATATGCCACTGCTCTCATTGGCAGATGCATTAGTGATTCCACAGAATGCAAGAGTGTTTTTTGTATACAACGATCTAGTGCATCTTGATGCCAGTCTTTTGCCAGTATCGAGTAACCAACTCACTGGCCAGTCGTTTACTGCTCGATTGTGCTGGCCAGATGCTACTGCAATCAAACCACAACAAGAGCAAACCAAGATCCATAGAGTCGGCAGTGTTTCTGATTTAGAAAGTATTGTAGTGTCTGGCACTATCTATCAGCTCGCATCCTCAGCAGTGAATGGAGCCGATGCTGTTCCTGTAAGTTTGACCAATGTTTGATTGATGGCATGAGTTGGCATGAAGCCATTGTGCTGACTCGGCATACATGCAATACGATTGGTTTATTCATCTAATACAAACCAACTGTGTTGAATTAGACTGTCTGGCTTGCAGTGCATACTTGTCTCACAAGTTGTGCTCAACTATTAGCCTTGTCACTCTCCGTGTCTGAACTACTCAAAAAAAGCAAGGCTCACTCTTTGCATGTATTCACTGTTGTGCAGTACAAAACCGCCAAAGATGCTGTTCATGTTCTTGAGATGAATGGCATAGACGATGCGGTTTCTTTAGGTAAACACATTTAAATTACTGCAGATGATGGATCAATACAGTGACCATCAGTAAACTCATAATTATTGAATATAGAACAAAGTGGGACTCGATTGGACTGTCCGCTCTTGGTTCGAGATGCATTCATAAACTCAATGGTGGAGCTTGTTCGACTGTACAAAATTCCATCACGGTTCATGATATGGCCAGCAACCATGTGTATGGTGAATAGCAAACAGGCTTTATCCTCACTTTCACAAGAGATCAGTCGTGTATATGACATTCCAACCACTACAACTGAAACTGCAACTACAGCCAACAGTGATCCAATGACAGTTTCTGGTCATCAGATCATACACTCTGCAATGCCGTTACTATATCCAAACCGTGACTCTGAATCGATATATTTGTGAGTATATTGTAAAATGGTTGTTTTCAGATCAAAAAGTCAATAAAATCAGCATATCGATATAACAATCTTGTATTGATTCATGATATCAAGTTGGATTGCTTGACAAAATATAAATGCTGCAATGATCAATGTTGTTGCTGTTGGTTTACAGTTTGGCAGCACCACCTTGGAAACGAGTACAAACATCGGTCCAGTTGATGACATTCCACCAGGCAGCAACGTAGTTGGCACGAACATTGCGGTATTTGACATAGTAGGCATGTTCCCAGACATCAAGAGCAAGTAAAGTCATGGCACCAGTACCTGCAAACTGAGGTGCAAACTCGGGATGATCTTGATTGGCAGTGGTCACGATTGACATGGTAGAACTCGAAGGAGTCCAAGTAAGAAACACCCAACCAGATCCGAATACACCAAGAGCTGCTGCTGTAAACTGCTGCTTGAATGTCTCGACAGAGTCAAACGACTTGACAAGCTGTTTGCCAAATTCAAAATACTATTTTGACTATCTGATTTGGGATTCTTGATGTGTGTGTGTAGTTGTACAACTTGACAGAGTATGATGCCAATATCATGTATATTACCAGTTGTGCAACTATTGCGATTGATGTAATACAAATATTAGTGTATTTCAACCATCAGTCATCAACCATGACTCACATCCAACCCAATTTACAAACATTAGAAACTCGATCAAAATTGTAAATGCAATGGTTTATTCAAATCAGTTGATGATTATGGAAACATAAATCACAGTTGACTTGCAAACCATGTCAGTAGTTTGATAAAGTAGTTGTATGTAGCTTTATGCATTACTTGCATCGCTTTAATTTCTTGGTATGCTTGGATTGTATTCTTTCACTGTACTAAACCTTTGGAACCATGAACCCAACTCTGGTTCAAGATGTTCGCGATACCAGTCAATTCTAGAATAACGTCCAAATAATTTTTCGAGTAGTTGTTGTAGATCCGTTTGTCTGCTCATAAATTGGTCGGTTAAATCGAGTATAGCTTTAACTGCATCTTCGAGCAAACTTGGATCCTTGTTTAAACGGACCATTATCTCGTGAATTTCCTTTTGAAGTGCTTTGATCATCTCCAGAAATTCTTCCAAAATCTTTACAAGCTCGTCGACAAGCTCAGGTACTGGTCCAGTAGATTTAACTCCATTAAGGAAACTTAGAAAATCTTTGACCCATTTTTTGTACATGTCAAGATGTGCGGAATAGTAAGACGCATATACTCTATACATGTCTTCTTTACGGGTCGATTTAGTATTGATGCCTTTCACTATTACTTTATCAACACGCTTGTGTTGCTTTGATTTGCCTTGAACGTGCTCTATAGATCCATAAGCACCGTCATGATCATTCGAGTGTGAAAATACCGATAGCTTTAAAAACGATTCCAAGAGTAAATCAATCGAGTTATTCTGCTCATCTTGGTGCTTTTTGGCTTTTTGATGACCAGATTTGTGCTTTTTTCCAATACCACGTAAAAGCCCACCGAGATCGAAAAACTTTAGACGAGCTCCGGGAGTCTGGTTTGGATGATTATTTTGACTGCCGCCAGGACCTTGAGTTGTTGAAGTACTCGGAAATTCCGGACCACCTGTTGCTTGTGGAACACTTTGGCTATTTAGACTTGGACTTGAATCAACAGATTCGATTGTCTCGCTGGGTTGTGGCAAAATGGCATGAACACTGGTGGCCAAGGCTGCAATTGTAAAGGCTGAGATGTGTGTGAATTTCATTTGATCAAGTATAACTATGTATGTATTATTGGAGGTCAACGAGCCTGCTTTTATAACCATCATAACAATCGGTTGGAATATTTTTATACATTATTGCTATGTGTTTATTCCGCATATCAGGGATAAAGGCCAGTATGAATATAGGGCTGGGATATCTAACCCTAAATGGGCCAATATTGACAGTGTATGATCAAATGCTTGGTTTGAATCCAAACTGAAAACTCCACTTTAGTTTAATTACCACAATTTGTGCCGTTGATTTCTATATTTTCACCTTTTGGCCCTGATGTCTGGTGACCCTTTTCAATCACTATACAGAGTACAATCGCTTAGTTACAGTCACCGCACAACACCAAGCTTGGTGACTTTCTGTTTAGTCAATATGCGGCCCATCAAACTGAATCGATGATTTGTCCGCATCAACAGTTGTCGATAGTTTAAATTGCCACTCAATTTGGACATCAATGTATACAATCAACTCACATCTAGATTATATCAATATATCAACTTGACGACATTCACACCCACAATCAACATTAACAATTTGGGTTCAATTGGATTGTCCAGTATTGGTTCATGATATGGCCAGCAACCATGTGTATGGTGAATAGCAAACAGGCTTTATCCGCACTTTCACAAGAGATCAGTCGTGTATATGACATTCCAACCACTACAACTGCAACTGCAACTACAGCCAACAGTGATCCAATGACAGTTTCTGGTCATCAGATCATACACTCTGCAATGCCGTTACTATATCCAAACCGTGACTCTGAATCGATATATTTGTGAGTATATTGTAAAATGGTTGTTTTCAGATCAAAAAGCCAATAAAATCAGCATATCGATATAACAATCTTGTATTGATTCATGATATCAAGTTGGATTGCTTGACAAAATATAAATGCTGCAATGATCAATGTTGTTGCTGTTGGTTTACAGTTTGGCAGCACCACCTTGGAAACGAGTACAAACATCGGTCCAGTTGATGACATTCCACCAGGCAGCAACGTAGTTGGCACGAACATTGCGGTATTTGACATAGTAGGCATGTTCCCAGACATCAAGAGCAAGTAAAGTCATGGCACCAGTACCTGCAAACTGAGGTGCAAACTCGGGATGATCTTGATTGGCAGTGGTCACGATTGACATGGTAGAACTCGAAGGAGTCCAAGTAAGAAACACCCAACCAGATCCGAATACACCAAGAGCTGCTGCTGTAAACTGCTGCTTGAATGTCTCGATGGATCCAAACGACTTGACAAGCTGTTTGCCAAACTCGGCGTCGGCATTCAGAGCAAGCTTCTCTGGTCCCATATTCGAAAAGTAGATGCCATGGTTCACTGCCATTGCAAATAGAATACAAGATTGTTAAATCACACTAGTGGTCGAGACAATACCAGGGAGTATCACCAGTAGATATTGGGGCGTAATATCAGATATTCATATGGATTGATGCAACATACCGTAACCACCGCCATTGTTACGCACAGTCTGACGGACCTTTGGAGATGGCCAGGGGAGTGGTTCAGTCTTTCCTGCATCCTCGCGAGCAATAATACGCAGGAGATCTTCAATGGATGAAAACGATGCCTTTTCAGTAAACGCTGCACACTGCGACAGTTCAACAAGAGCCTTGTTAAGATTGTCGGTATAAGCCTGATGATGTTTGGTATGATGCAGAGTCATGGTTGCCTCATCGATATGGGGCTCAAGAGCATCATAAGCATAGCTGATCTTTGGGAGAGTCTTTGCAGTAAACATGTGTTGATTGTGGGAATTGGTCAAAGTCTGGATTGGCTTCAACACTCGAATCGGCTGCATTTCCAAAGCCATTGACGATGTAATGCATATTGAATGCTGTTGCAGAAACAAGAGCGGCAATTGGATTACTGCACACAACATCTGGTATAACTACATTTATGCTGATTTGTGTTGGTCAATTACTGGACTAGAGTTGCAGTCGTTTGGATTTTACCAGATCTACTTTACATATTGCCATTGAATAATGTCATGAATTGTCATCAATGTCAGCCCGTCGTATCAGACAATGCATTTATTTTGGTTTATCTGCACTGTTCACATTCATAAATGCATGGACCAATCAATCGATCCATCCATGAATAAATATCCAAAAATTGAACATGATGCTATACCAACTAATGTGGTAACTCGATGTTGGACCAAATCAGCTATTAACCAGTCATGATGCTCAAAACGACTCGTCCGTTTGAGGCAGTAGTCTACGCAGTGTTACCGAGATTCGTTCCGTTCGAGGATATATCTCTCCTTGCCATTGATCATTTAGTCGTACAGGTATACCATGTTTCCAATCCCATCTAGCTTCACCAGAAAGTCCAATCAAATCTCCTTGTTGAAGAAACATTTCAATCGTGCCAGCTGGTTGGTGATGGTTTTGATTGACTTTTGGCTGATGGTTTTGATTGGCATTATCAGATGGTGAAAACTCCATAATACATGAGCCGCTGATACTCGCCACAACTATCCCATCTGCAAATCGATTCACCAGATCCACATGCGATACCAGTCCATCATTTGGATAGTAATGGTTGGCAATCATGTGGTCGAATAGCGGTGTCCTGTATGCAAAAGTCGAGTTTAACTTTACAAACATGACAATGTAAACTCGAATCTATCGAGTGGCCATAGTAAAGCATGTATGCAAACATCTGACATTTTACCTTGACATCAAGGTTGGACAGACTAGCTGTTTACCCAATTGGCATAGTAGATCTAAAAAGGATGGAATAGTTCCAAATCGCACTACCTGATTAATGCCTACTTGTGGTCGGAACCAATTGTTATCCTTAATATGGGCCAATATAGATTGACATTCTGTTTCTGAAAGAGCGTGCTTCCAGAGCAATAGTCCAGGTATGGATGTGGTTTGTGGACAGCCTCTGAATGGATTACTGCCTTGCTCTACAAAGGCTGGAATATTTATTAAGCTTCTTGTTATAAATTGATTGTCACTCGATTCATTCACTGCAATTCAAATATCAAGTCTAACTGTTCCAACACAGTCACTCGTTTCTATTCTAATTTCATACGTTTTCAATCTAGTTCAATAAAAACGACACTTTAGGAATGTTTCCATGTCAATCACTAAAACAACTGCCAATGAATAATGTCGAATAAATCAACCAATCATTTTACGAGACTGTCAGATTTTGGCATTTTGTGATTCGCTTTACGTGAATACAACAATTATCGAGCATGGTTGTCATTGAGCTTAATGTGCTGGCAGCGTTCTATGTTCTTGGATCTGTAGTTGCTATTTATGCCATCAAGAGAATAGCAAAGGCTTTAGTCTTATGTGTCCAACCTATTCCAAAATTCTTTGTTGTTCCTCCTAAAGGTATTTCGACACAACTTGCAGATCACTTGGTCAAACTGCAGATCTACTAAAGCGACGAGCTGTCTAGTAATGACATGCTATTTCAAAAACTGACAGTATTTCTTTTAAACTGTAGAGGCTGATTTTGGTTGGAAGCCTTCCAAGGGACCAACTCAGATATCCTCAGTCCGAGTAAGTCTAGATCAATACATTGTAGTCATTAGTCTTGTAGTCTGCATTCGACAATGTCTTTAATGGCTCGATACCAATGAGATACTAGGTGGTTGTTAAAAACTAATCATTCCTGTATTCTGGACTTGAACACTATTCATTGCTACTTGCATAGGATCCTAAAAACCCAGCCAAGATTATCTGCTACGATCCAGCTACTGGATATTCGCTGGGCGAAAGGGATATTGTCTCTCCAGAGCAGGTCAAGTCAATCGTTGATAAGGCTCGCATTGCTCAACAAATATATGCAACTACTACGTTTGAGCAGCGTCGAACTCTTCTCCGCAGTTTACTCGACTGGATCGTTGACAACCAGGATTTAATCTGTCGTGTTGCCACCAGAGATTCTGGTAAATCACTTATCGATGGAAACTTTGGCGAAATTTTAACTACCTGTGAGAAGCTGCGATGGACCATTCAGCATGGTGAAAATGCTTTGCGTTCAGAAGTACGTGAGCCTGGTATGGTCATGGTGCACAAGATTCCCCGTGTTGATTACTTACCGATCGGTGTAATGGGATGCATTGTAAGCTGGAATTACCCGTTTCACAATGTGTTTGGTCCAGTAGTGAGTGCTCTCATGGCGGGTAACGCTTGCGTTGTTAAATGCTCTGAACAAGTCGCCTGGAGTACCACCTTTTGGCAATCCATTATATCTGCTGCGCTCACTGCTAATAATATTAGTGAGGATCTGGTTGTATTCATGAACGGGTTTGGTGAGACTGGACAAGCATTGGTCGATGCTGCTGACAAGGTGTGTAAACAGTTCTTGTATGCATCTGCAACGACGCTATTTGGTTTTACTCACTACATTATTTATTCATTGCGAGTAGATTACGTTTATTGGCTCTCCTGGAGTTGGGAAAATTATTATGAAGCAGGCATCCCACACATTGACACCTGTGATTTTAGAACTTGGAGGAAAAGATTGTGCACTTGTGTTTGATGACTGTGACTATGAACAGTTTCGTCATAACTCAATGCGTTATAGTTTTCAAAACTCTGGTCAAAATTGTGCTGGTCTTGAACGGGTTATTATCCACGAGTCGTTGTATGATCGGTATATCAGCGACACCATCGAGACTATTAGGAAATTGCGTGTCGGTGCTTCACTCCATGAAGAGGTTGACTGTGGTGCCATCACCATGTTTTCGCAGGTAAACTATTTTTGATCTTGCATTGTAGTGCTAAATGTATACAAAGTACTGATGCTTTCAATTCCATTGTACATATAGATTGGAATTATACAGTCACTTGTTGACGATGCTATCAAGATGGGTGCAAAAGTCCAGATTGGCGGCAGCACTTATAAAAATCCCAATTTTCCTTACGGACAATATTTTACTCCTACTCTTCTGACTGGTATCACAACTAAAATGCGTATTTCGCAAGAGGAAATTTTTGGACCTGTGTTGATGGTTATGAAATTCAAGACAGAAGAGGAAGCTATTGCTCTCGCCAACTCATCTCCTTTTGGTCTTGGGAGTGGTGTATTCACTCTTGATATCCAAAAGGGAGAACGTGTTGCTCGCAAACTGCGTGTTGGTTTCTCAAATATCAATGATTTTGGTGTCAACTATCTTTGTCAAGTGAGTTGACTGATTGGCTTTAATGTACAATCTATTGTCTAGATAATGTGTGGAGTTTTTTGCTAAACTATTTATTCTTGCCGTGATGTATCTAGGGTCTTCCATTTGCTGGTGTTGGCATATCTGGTATTGATCGATTTGCTGGTGTTGAAGGTCTTCGCGGAAACTGCCATCCTCGTGCCATGACTAGCGATAGATTTAACTTTATGGGAGTCCGTACTACTTTGCCCCAATTGCTGCACTATCCTATTGTACCAGCAGGAAAGGAATTTCAAGAAAGTCTGATTCAGATGCTTTTTGCACTTAATCCTGTTTCTCGAGTCATTGGATTGATGCGTGTTGCCAAAATATCTATTCTTGGCCATGCATAAGCCACTTTTTATTTGAGTATCCATTACAATCAAAAAATGATTATTGTATCTCAATTCTTGTTATGCTTGTCTCATTCGACTATTTTGAATTAAACTATCCTCTAGTCAGTATAGATTTCATGTGTTTTGCTGATGTTGGGCTATTCTGGATGAACCTTTTTTTGTCTACTATCAGAACTAATGTGTATTGTACTGGCCAATTCCGTCATACATGATAACTGTTGAAAGGAGCCAGCATCACCTATATTGGAGTCATTATATACCACTCGTGCTTGTTTCCGATTAAGATACCATTCTGCCCAGCCTCCAAGTCCAGATCTGCTCAATCGAGCTGCTGATACCCATAGGGGATATCCAAATGGCGGAGGTGCTGACTGGACTGTCAAATTTCGTAACAATAACTGTATTTATCATTTTGAATGAGCAGGTGTGAATGTAAGAATTGGCTGCTTTCCATTCTTTTGATTAAATATCTAGGCATGTTCGATATTATCAATCATACCTCGTGTGCCTGAATACTATACCTCTCGTCGTCGTCGTTGGTTAAATAGAGCAATTCAAATACCAGATTTGCCCAGATCCCCTGTGTCAACATTGGTTTAAATACAACACGTCAATCAATGATTAGTATACTATGTTGCTTATCTCAAATTGATTGCAGATGGTATGATACAATTGCACAATGAGATTGGTTAAAAACATTGAAACTTACACGAACTGCTTCGCCATTGATCATACCGAGTTGAACAGCACATTTTGATCGTTTTTGAAGCATACGGATTGACAGAGGACCACCAATTGGTTTAAACATGGCAAACAAATTGGGAACTCCCATTTTTAATCCTTTGGACCATGCTTTCAGCGGTTCTGTAGGATCGGTCAAAACTACCTTTTGCTTGGTGGTATCGACTGTTACGATCCAATCGCACACTATACTGTGAAGTAGCATTTCCAGTTCAGTATACTCATTGACTTGCTGTTCATCAACAGCCTGATCAAACAATATCTTGACCGTGTACCGCAATGCTTGTATGCATACTTTGCGTAAGGGTGTGCGCAGCTGGTGTGTCCACCATGTACGACAGGTCATATTCAACGAGTATGCAACATTCCCCAAATACATGTCAAATATACTGGTTGTGTTTGTAGTATACGTGTCAATGTTTGAAATATTTTGACCGAGGAGTATAATGTAGCAGCCAATGCAAAGTGAGATAAAGATCTGATCAAACTCATCGCAGTCAATTTGGGTCGTTTGTAGATTGAATTTGCTATGATAAAGAGTAAAACTATTACTCTGTTTGAGAAACTCGAACCAATCAAGTGGAAAGTACTTCCATGAAGCCTGTAAGAGTTGTTTTGAAACTGGTATATCGCGATATCTATCATGTCAAGATTCGATTGATTGGCATGTGTTTTGATGCCAATTAGAATAAAATCGTAAGCTACATGCATTGATATACATTTGAAATTGGGTTTTACTTACGCTGTAAGATTGTCAAGGTCCATTGTATGCAAAAGACAAAATACCAGTATTTTAAAAAGGAGCGGTGGGAACGCTTGAATCGTATCCGGTCTATCCAATATCCCAGTTGTCACCACTTTTGTTTCCACATACGAAGTAGCTGTTGCAGACCCTACAGGCTGTTGAGAATCATTGTTCACACGTACAATAACAGCCAGAACATAAATGTATTAATATTGATGCTAGATTATCATTTGTTGGCTACACATTGTGTTTCATCAACTTACCAAAAGAGTATGCATTATTGTGTGATTTAGCCAAACAGTTTTTTGAGATGCATCAACAAAGAGACCGTTATTTAAAACAGTATCAACCTCGGTACCTTCAAGCGCGTGACAGCTCGTTGGTTCAAGCTCAGTGCCAGTAATAATGACAGATACACCCTCAAACCAGGTTTCAGCACCACGTAGCAGCAACAATCTCGAATCGATTCTTGCCAAAAGAACATTTCCTGGATAAATTGGAGGAATTCGTCCAGTTGATATCAGCTTGGATATTGATTTCATAAGTGATGGCATCATTGCCGAGTAAAGCTTGGCATCCTGGCCAGAACTGTATTCGTGGTCTGTCAATTTAAAAACAGGTTATTTTGATTGGGGTAACAAGCCAAAGTACAGTATGAGTAGTTACATCTTACTGATATCAGGCCACATTCGGGTTGGTCTCAAAAATCCCATAACCAGTAATGGGATTCCAAGAAAGCTCAATGTTGGTGTGTCTAGCACTGCGCCAATAACAATTGAAATTGGCGATATGATGACGATTGGAATAATCATAAACATCCAGTTTTCGTGTCGCTGTTTTCTGTTCAACTATATAATGGTTAGACACAAATCACCAGCAAGCATTAGTCCGTCTATTCATACTATAGTTTTGGAATAAAATAAAGTGCTGTACATTTCAGTTGTCGTAGATATATTGCATGTATTTACCAGAAAGTGTTTGACACCAATCAACCAAAATGTTGTTTTGAATCGGATGCGAGTAACTGTTTCCCGAATAAAGCTTATTGCAAGTAATCGAGTTCCGAGTTCAAGTGCACACCACCACGCACCGAATCCAGACATGTTTTCCCCATTGCATGTTCCTGTAGAGGAATTAGCACTAATAATAGCATTAATGGTTTCAATTACAGCAATATCAAATGCAGTTTCTTCGGCCCTATGCCACGCTAGTACGAAACATCTTGACATCATCAATGCTGCCCAGATCCAATCGAGTGATCCAAAATTGGCTGCTAGAATTTGAACATTTGAATTAGACATATATGGCATGGCAATATATCCTGTAGAAATCCATGCCAAATTTGCTAGTGGGGTTAGGTGGTATATCAGAAGATGAATGGAGCCTAGAGCGCATACGATCGGATTGATGATGGGGAATACGCAAAGTGGGTTCCGTAGAATTGGATAAATGGATGGGATATATACTTGCTGAAATTCTCTTGTTAGTTTTAAAACTCCCAGACATGTGCATACTGCCCAAAAAAACGGCATTGTGAGTTGGTGTGTGTGAGTGAGTGGCATAGTTGGGGATGTAACAAGAATAACCACCACAATTCCTGCTGTCAATCCAAGTCTACACAGTAAATGAATCAGTTCGCACAGTGATTCATACAATAGATCCAAATTGGATCCTGCACTAAATGTCGACTCAAGCAAAGGCAGCTTTAGCGTAGCAGCTTTCAAATTAAATATCAAATCTATCCATACGCGGCTCGCCAAACTGCATCCACCAATAGATGCAACCAATACTGCTGCATTGTACAATCCAAAGTGCACGCACACTACTATGGATATCGCAATTGGAAATGAACAAAGAAATAGAGTCATTATCATTCGCTGCGTATTAACCAGTGATGGACCTCCTAGAATATATGTATGTCCCTGTAAATGTATAGTTCAAGATTCAGCATTAGGCATACTCGACTATCATCAAATTTTCGAAAGTGACTGATTTCAATCTTGAGTAAACTTGCCAGTTCCAGTACTTTAATGACAAGAATGCGTGTAGATGGCAATATTCCCAATGTCCACAGTATTGGAAGAAGTACAAAAAAGACTCCAACGCCAATGGAAATTTTTAAAGTTGGCAGAGCAAATGTCTTGAAATCAATGGTAATGCATGTCAGTTTAAACGTATAAAAATCATTAGACATTTATATATACCTCTATTGCCCATAATATCAATAGAATAGCTATGTGAGCTGCTCTTGAGAAATCATCTATTTGGTATGTATCCTCTGTGTGATATCTAGTCAAGTCAACACATAGTATATGCTTGTCAGCTGAATACAATCTATTCAACACTAGATGGCATGATCAAAACATTTTGATTTACGTATTCAATTCGCTTGGTTTGGGACTATTGAAATTCAAAAACAATCCACTCAAGTCAGTATTCAAATAGGTTGATTTTAAACAGTAGTCAATTTTTGCATGACATTAAGCATTACCCCACTAGTGGCCAATGAGCCATGCTCCACGAAGTCCAAGATATTGCATATATAATCCACATGCCAGCCTTTGTCAAGGCTAAAGATTCAAATCTATCACAAATCTAAAGTCAATTTTGATGCTGGCTTCATCTTTAGCAAAAAGTATCTACAAGTATTAGTCGTTTACTACCTGGATTCTAGTTTTGAAGGTGCAAGATACGCAAGTACAATGCTTGATAAAATTCCAGAAACAACTCCTTTGATGGCTCGAATATATATTTTTCTATCGACTTGTGATCGCGAGTGGTTGAATACAAAGTTAAATGCGGAGCGAACAGGTGGACCGACTAGACTTAGTTTATCGTCCGATCCAATATCGCAGCCTTTAAAAACTCCCAAATCTTTGTATTTTTCAACACCGTCAACTTTGTTGCTGTATATGACCAGTGCATGCAAGGCCCAGTCTACCAGCATAATTATGACTGGAAACAATATTTCAGTGAAAATAGCATTAGAGTTAGAGCACGGTTGAATGTATAACAGGCAGTTGCTGGAATATACTCGGTTACTTCATCCGTTATATCACAATTATCCCAAGATATACAACTGATATCAATGACTTGAAAGTCATTGAAGCTAATCAGAATTATGCACCTCCATAGATTATATTTGGAAACGCGCCGAGAGTGCAGCCTACATTGCCAGCAACAGCTAATACTATTGCGCCTCCAACAAACGGTATAAATAGGGTGACGAAAGATATAACAGTAACCAGGATAGTATATACAGCTCGAGTTTTTTTGGGGGGAAGAGATGGCCCGCCGCTCAGAGTTTCAACGAAACGGCGTTTTGAAAACTCGGCCTTGTATTCATTCAATAGAGGTGCAGGCATTATGTTAATGAATCAGATAAAAATTCAACAAAGTTTACAGCTTCAAATATAGTCTAGGTTGAAACGCATGCATCTGTAATGAATACGGAATTTAAAGGAATCGACGCATTTCTAGCCACAGATCCGACTTGATTCTATTCAGTAATGTGTTGTTAAACTATCATGAAAATACAAGTGAAGCAATGCATGCAATCGAAAACAGCCGTCCATAACGAAGACGTAGTCGAATCAAAATTCAAATCAAAAATGGATTTTCCCTTTCCATCAGTCATCAACTGTAATGAGTCGTTTGCTGCTGCGTTTATTGCCTACTGTCCGTCCTTTGGCTATTGCTGCCCGTAAGTGTTTGATTAGCTGGAAGCATATTCTTGACTATCATACACCCATGATGGTCTACTTGCATACAGGGCTTGTTTATTTCCAACTTTTGTAAAAATGTCACTGACATCTCATGTTGCATCATCGCTTGTTTTGATGACTTGAACTAACAATCTTTTACTTTGATTGCTACTGGATGTAATATTGATCTATTTGCTGTTGGTGTATGTGATCCAACCCTATTCTATTATCTGTTGGAATATATGAACCGCATGGCCATGATGGGACTTGGCAACTGACTTGATTTCATTATTACGAATTGAAACTCTTCAGCAACCCGCTTTGTTGCTCCGAGAGCAACTGCTCCCATGGCCTCGTTGCTCTCCATTCGCAACTATGCCAGCCATGAGCTTGACCCTGCCAACAAAAGCGAGTATGATGCCTATGTTCAACAATGGATGAAGCATTTTACCAATGTCGAGGATGACTTTGAGCTTGAGCGTGGTCTCAACCATATTTTTGCTGCCGATTGGGTCCCTTCTGTTGAGCTTGTTGCTCTGACCCTCAAGGCTGCCCGTCGCCTCGATAGTTTCCCAACCGCAGTACGTATTCTCGAGGGTCTCAAGGACAAGGCTTACAAGCCAGAGCAATACCAGGCATATATACGTGAACTCAAACCCCTTCTTGAGGAGCTTGGTATTCCTGAAAAACAGGATCTTGGAGAGTTTGATATCATCAGAGAACGAAACCCCTGGACTGAATAGGCAAGTAAAATAAACTGATTAATCTACAGATCTATTGTGCGATTCGGCAAGCACTTCATATCACGTGGGTAGCATGGCTACAGATATTGCTTGCTAGTGTACAGAGTCACTAACCGATTCATTGCACCTATACTTGAAATCAATGTTGTGGTTATTTACTAGATGGCTTGAGGTTTAGCTACATTTGATCCGGGCTGAATTGGGATCTTGACTGTTTTGTTGGGATTTTTATAAAATTAAAAGGCCAATCAATAACAGTTCAAATGTTACATTTTGATTATTGAGTTTTTGTATTGACAGTATATTGTGGTGATTCATTGCTTGGTGGGGTTTGTGTGCACTCTTAGATTCCAATGTAAACTTGCAAATCCCTTATTCCAAAGCTCTGCTATCATTGGGAATACTTTGAGCAAATATCATTCTGACTGCAAAATACAAAGATTTATCTCTATGATGTCACATTTAACGAACACGCATGCCAAGTGTTATGAAAGCAGCGAGTTTTGCATTTATCACGGACCAAATCTGACAATTGGCTTGTCGGAGTTTAATCACATTCTACGCCAGATCTGATATTGTCATATGAACTACTCTCAGCCTTTGCTAGACACGATAAATCAGATATTACACTTTAGCCACAATCCAATTCGCTTATTAGAGCTGCTACATGTATTTATCACTGTCACTTGTCAGGATCTAAATACATTCTAATAATGCTCCTTCTTGTCATTTTTGCACTACTACACATTCGTATTAATGGCCTTTATGGTCAACAAATAACCTGGTCTCCTGGAATTGGATGCGAGTTTATAGAGAAAGCATTAATGGTAGGTCAAGCCTTGAATCATCATCCATTCGACCATGCCTGTCTTGATACCATTTACAGCTGCATTCACGTAAAATGCAACTTTTGTCTTGCATTGATTGTTTTGAAATATGCAATGTTTAAATATTCGGCATCTTTTCTACTACAAATCGACTGCAGTGCCTACTCAATTATTCTTGCAGGCATAACGTCCATTATACGATTTTAGTTCAAGCTATAGCTTTGGATTTCCTTTTCCACTTTTAGCATAACCATATTGTACAATTGAAAAGTTTGAAAACGGATTTATCCATTGGAATCTACATATTGAGTTGACCGTTTTCAATACAATTCATTTTGTATTCTAAAACTCGGATACATTCGTGTTCTAGTTGAAGAAACAAAAGATTGCATACCGATTACCAAGAGAAAGATCAGTGAATCAAAGATTCTAGACAACACAATGTTCAGTAAATTTGACACCCATCACTGCACGAGACTGTTTATGATGTATTTTGGCACTTTCAGTGGTCCATTTTACGTGAATATGGCGGTAACTAAATCTAAATTATATCTTGTTTTGTAATCTATGATTCAGCATTGGCAAGTGAATCCACCTTGGACAGCGGGAATGTGCTGCTCTAACAGTAATGAATTTACTGATCCAAACTCATCAAAAAATTACAAAGGTGATATGGTATACTGCGATGCTGTTGGTAATATTTTGACCTTGTAGGTATTCTTGTTTGATTTGATTTTCGTGTTGTAGTTTTGTACAAGTACAATGATAACAAGTAGAAACTCACAAGCCATATTATAATATATAGGAATCTTGGTATATCTAATCAAAGTCAGTACAATAGCATATTTCTACAAACTGCTGCTGTTAGTGCAACTGAGCTTCCTTCCGAATTGGCTTCTCTACCATCATTGAAAAACCTGTATGTCGTGTATTTATTCAGCAATATGTATATTTTATGGGCAGCAGAGTTGTACTTACATTATCAGATACTATACAATATTTCATTCAACAGATACGTTTCTGGTAGAAACCTTGCTGGTTCAATTCCATCCTCGTTTGCTGGACTAACGGGTCTTGAAACGCTTGATTTGTCAAAAAACAACCTAAATGGTGCACTTGCCACTTTGACAAATTTATCATCACTAACATCATTGTAGGTATTTTTTGACTACATGACATTCAGCATTGTTTTACACTCTGGCAGATCCTCAGTCTTGAATGCAATCCAAACATCCAACATGTATACTTACATTTATTAAATCATTTATATATATAGAGATCTTAGTGGCAACCCCATCAATGGAGATTATACGCCGTTGAATGGAAAGATATTTACCTATATAAACCTGAGCGGAACAAACATTGCAGGACAAATCTCAAATGTGACTTTTACTAGCAATTCTATGTGTACATGGCCTAGTTCATCCACATCCAGTGCACAATCAAATTCCTGTGTTATACCTGGTGGTAAATTATGTGGCAGTATTTCATACTGTTCTCAATCTGCAATCAATGAAGCATCCAGTATGACGCAAGTATTGAACGCTATGCCAACATCATCTCAATCGCCAGTATCTCACGCAGAAATAGAGTCTGGCCCAAGTTTTGGCATTTCATCCATGGTGGGAATCATGATAGCTATTGGATTCATATGTTTTGCCGGTCTAGTTGTTGCAGGATCATTTATTATTGGTAGACATCAACAGCGACGCATGCATGATCGATGCTCAGTCCTAATCACCAACTCCATGCCAAGGCATTCCTCGTTGATGCATGCCCGGAATTCTAAACACCGATCGCGGTTTTCATGGAAGTTGGAAGATTCGCCTAAATTGATTATCCCTGACAATGCCTATTTCTCATCCACTGCCTCGATCATCTCAGCTACAACTCCAATCACTCCAGTCACTCCCATTACCCCTGTAATCTATGATCGCTACGCTCATGCTTGATGTTATTTTCTGCCGAGGTAATGTTGGTAAATAATCAATCGAATTTCGATTTATAGTGTTTGAAATCAGTGCTTTGATCAATACATCAGCTCATATATAAAAATATCAAATACTATCTGTGTATTGTTGCAGAATAAACAGCAGTGCTTCATTTTAACATTGATTTATTCAAAATGGCTTAAATTTGCTCAGCTATTGGATCATACAAATAGCATGAACCAGTAAAAATGGTCATGTATTAAACCTCAATACTGCGTATTAGAAGTTTAAAAGTATATAAAATGCACGCGTTATGTTATGGTGGGATGAGTAGATGGATCAGTTATTTAAATCGACTTTTGATGTTCGGGCTTTGATAGCATTTAGAAAATAAGCAGGGTTAGTATTAAACCAATATATCTCACAGACTCAACAAAAAAACAATATAGCACATACCCTATGACTGGTTTCATGGTCAAGATGAACAAATGCACGCTCGACTTCTTCCAAAGTTTCAATTTTAATTTGAAGAGCTTCACCTATGTCGTGAGCTTCACACAGTGGCATGTCTGCAGGAAGAACAATATCTACCTCGACAACATATTTGCTGCCAGCATAATATGCACGACATGTATCCACCTGCTTAACACGCGGATCGTGAGTCATAGACAAGTAGGTAACACGATTCAAAAAAGATGTATCGGCACTCTTTCCAACAATCAGTTGAATATGCTCTTGAGCAGCTGAAGCCCAAGACCGTAAAATCAATAGGGCAATCAAAATACCGCCAATAGGATCAATATACCATCGTACATATTGACCAAGTAATCCAAAGGCAATACCAGTTATGTTGAGAATTAAATCGTTGCGATGGTCTTGAGCAAGAATTCTAGCCGAAGGGTATTTTGATAGCGATACACAAAACAGATATAAAAAGAATTTGAACACTAAATGTAAGATTTGCAAATATGCATGTGGTTACTTGACATGTGCAGATACAGTCATGTTTTGTAGATAAAGCCACATACCCAAAGCAACACCAATAAAAGAAATACTGATAACACCGAGCTGAATGTTATGGTCTGAACTAGTCAGTGAGCGTACACTTTCAATCTGTAAATATCCAAATGTTAAACCAGTGCATAGTTCGATCAATATGACTGCAAGTCATGCAAGCCATAGACATGAAGCCTAGAATGATCCGACTTACGATCAACTGAAGGGACAGAGTTGCCATTAGGGTCGCAAACACTATGATTCCTGCAGTTTCATATCTGGCCTTTCCAGTTGGATAGTTTAGATTGTGACCGCTAGATGCAATACGATTGGCAAACACAAGCACTCCGTTGGAAGCAATGTCCATGAACGCATCAGCTGTAGTGGCAAGCAAAGATAGAGATCCGGACAAAAGAGCTCCAACAAGCTGCAAACAAAACAGCAGGATATTGACTGCAAACGATCCATTGACTGCGAGTTTAAGCTAGACAAAAGTGAGTATACAGATGTAGATGACATGCTTGAAGGACTTCAACCAGACAATATAAAAACAAGACTCGATTGGTTACCTTGAACAGCTGGGCCTCTTCATCCTCATCTCGATAATCCGGTGGTTTTAAAAGTCCTTCAATCAACTCGTTCTGGTTCTCATAAAAGTCGGCTACTTTTTTCCCATTAGAACCTCGACCTCGAAGCTGCTTCAGAGTATCCTTGCTCACAAGCTTTGGTCGCAGTAAAAGTGGATCAGTGGAACTGATTCTATCTTCAAGCCCCCGTTCCATAGAAGGTCCAGCCTCTGTTGGAGACTCGTCCATTAGGTTGGGTAGACCCAGATTCTCCTTGCGCATGATTGTTGTTGAAATACCTATCCTAGCCGTCGCTGTTGAACTGGCCGTAGAAACCTCTGCGGTTGGGTGTGTAGAAACCATATTGCAGTAGTTTTGATAAACTAGATTGTCTGGCTATAAACCAAGTTGACAAGAGTTTAAGAAAACTCATGGTCAGCACTGACTGTTTTGTTGATTGGCGAATCATTACACTGATGGATGCCCTTCAATTACAACTAAGCCATGAAAGCACATTGAATTACACCCGCATTTACGTAATATAACGCTTGGATTTATTTTGCAGTCGCTGCCTCTGGCATAGCCATATATTGTACAATTGTCAAGTTTGGTACCAGATTCATTCATTGCAATCCAGATATTGGCTCAACTGTTGTTTCTACGCCAACTATACAATTCTCACTCGTAATGGCAAAGATGTGGAATTTGTCGAAACTATGAACATTCGTTTGGTTGTTTACTATGCATGTTGACAGTTTTATTTATGCTCCATTTTATGTGAATACAATTAAGCAGCAGTTGGGCAGTTTGCAATCAGTTTTTTGAAACAAGATTTTGCTTGACTCATCTTGTCAGTTATGTTTTTAGGGTCTTTGAAAAATGCATCAAAGTGTTGCTCCAATACTTGACGTAAAGCCATTAGTCCAGCACAGGTTCGGGGTGGACATTTAATCACCAGTTGATCGCTATCGATGCTCAAAGCTCCAATACAAGGCTAATCAGACATGTTTAACAGTTAATCTACAATGCACACTATTGATAATTACATGATAGTTGCCAAGAAAGCTCAGTATTCAAACATACCTGCATGGTAGCAGTCTTTCCACAGAATAATACCACAGATAGGCCAAGTGTTTCGTTAATATCCAGTACAGCTCCTCGATCAGTGCCGGATACAGATCTGGCCTTTTCCAGTTTAATGGCGTGGTATGCATACCATCCTGATTCTTTGAGATCATTTTTTGAGACAATGCTTGATTTTTGAATGTTTATATCATCAGTTTTGCCAGGCATATGCAAAAGATGCGCTGTGACTTTCCCATGCATTTTTACTGGAGCATCAAGCACTAGTATGTTTGGATAAAGTGCTGCAGCAAATAGTGATTGAACCAGTTGCTCAGTGCTGGTAATGGGTGAATTTAAACGAATTGTCAATGAAGGCATGCCAATTTGAGACCGTTCTTTTAAGGCGGCTGAATTCAAATTCGATGTCATCTGAGCAGATATAAAACCAAGTGCTACCAAGCCACGTCGCAACCGCGTCCGTGTATCATGAATGAGATTTAGATTTTGCCAGCTCAAAAAAAAGTTGTCGCAAAACCGTTTAGAATTCGATGCAGATTTGAACTGATCCATCCTTTCTGCCCATTTATCATAGGCATATGCGTAGGAAAGTAGATCAGAATTGCCACGACGAAATACTGCATGTGCAATACTGGCCTGTGCTTCTTGATCAAAAGGTCGTACAAAAGGGCTTTTTCCCAAACTTAACACTGCGCAAATAGTCAAAACAGGCTCAATGCAGTCAAAGAATATAGAGTATAGGAGCATTTTTCCCAGTCGTACATCCAACGGTAGGTTTACCAGTATCCTTCCCAGCCAAGTCAAATTCTCATTGTCATCCAAAGCCTTTGTCTGTAAAAATTTGTCAGATTTCATCATTAAAAATAATAATACCAATACTAAACTGACCATATTCAAAAGTTGAAGCGATCTTTCAATCCGGGCTTCCGGAGGAGGTTCAGGCATAGAGGCAAACAAACTAGCTAGCGATCCACAGCAACTATACGGCCCCAAAATGGCACGCACGCGAAGGCAGATCTCCTCCAGCTCAAGTCTCAGCATCTCTGGTGGACGCGATTGTGGCTAATATCCATGTTTTCAAAGTATAGGATTCAGCAATTTGGACCAATAAAGCCTTGACTTTTAATCCGTACAATAAACAGGGTTCAAAGTGATTTTACCAGCAATTTATATGATGAGTGCGGAATAAGATGGAAACATTGTCCAGGCCGAACACGCCCTGCTCGGCCAGCACGCTGTTTGCAATTTGCTTTTGAGATCAAAATGTCGGCAAGCCTTCTCATTTTTCTTCTTTCATCATAGCTATACAAAATAGTGAAAGTATAAATGGTTTAAAACTCATTGTAGGTCAAAGATAATGATGGATTAAACAATGTTTTTAAGAACAAATGGGCAAAAATACTCTTACCAAATTTCACGGGCACGGCCACTATCAATGACATAAACAATGTCTGGAATGGTAATTCCAGTTTCGGCGACATTTGTGGAAAGAACAACCTTGCGCTTTCCTTGCGGTGCAGACTCGAATACCATCGATTGCTCTTGCGCGGTCAGCATACCATGCAAGCAAAGAACCCACAGTTGTGATTCACCTTGTTCTTCAGATTTGGCACTCAAAGCATCTCTTAGACTACGAATCTCTGATATTCCAGGCAAAAAAACCAAAATACTTCCTGGTGTCATGTCATCACATTCTGGCTCTTGCGAAATAATATGATAAATCAAATGCTCAATAAGCTCGTAGTTAACCTTTTGTGGATCTATACGCGAAACTGTTTCCAATGTTGAAGCAGAGTATATACTTTGGCTTTCCCACGTATCATCGGTGTCGTCGTCCAAATCTATCACCATAGACACATCTTCTACTATATCTTCAGTATACAGATCATCATTGGATGGCTTTATGGTTTGCTCCCACATAGCTGTCATTGAGTAGGATGTACCCCCTCGACCTGACACCTTGATAGTTTTAGATTCTACCCAATAGTGAATGCATATTGATCATTAAAAACATGCGCTTAAATATCACATGTGCAGATTAACAAAAAACATACTTTGATAAACATTCTTGGGCTGAAGGGAAAATTTAGAGTGAGTATCCATAATATAACCTACTCCATGACAAACAATAAGAATTAGTGGATATACAATCATGTCAGTTTAAAAAAATATTTTAACCCCGTACCAGATTCCTGGATGGCATCTTCAAGATAACCAATTTTGACTGGAAACATTTTCCCAGGAACCTGAATGCATGGTACAGTACTGATACCAGTTCCTTTTTCAAAATATGCAGCAAAGAAACCAGCGTCCACTGTAGCACTCATTAGAATTACTCTAAATGATGGTCGATAAAATAAAATTGCAGTGGTTTTAGCATAAAAACGTATCCATCAGCCTACTAATAACAAATTTCAATTCATACTTTAAATCTGGACGACGTGGCAAAAGCCATTTGAGTAAAAACAGCAGAAAGTCAGAATCAAGGGTACGTTCGTGCACCTCATCCACAATCACATGTGATATTCCAGTCAGCATTGTATTAGATTCCATTCGTTTCAGCAATACTCCCTATTTCAAATGCTTTAGTAAATTGCTCATATTGCATGAGAAATATTAGTGTCATATCGCAGCCAAACATATAACATACTGTCGTACAGAATGTAAGACGAGTGGAACTAGATGTCTTGTTTTCAAAGCGAGCTTGATAACCAATCCATGAATTTTGAGATCCTGGTGGTCCGCCATCTGCAATTTCACTTGAAACTCGCTCGGCCAATGATATTGCAGAAATACGTCTAGGCTATAATAGATTGTTTTTGTAAAATATAATGTGCTTGAGCAATCGAATCAGATAACGGGCCATGCCGCTTGATATAAACATATATGCTTTACCTGAGTGCAAATAATATTGGTTGATGCGCCAAATCCAGACTGAATCGCCTGTTCAAGTATAAAATGTGGCACTTGAGTACTTTTTCCACTGCCAGTATCCCCAGAAAGCACTACCACCTGGTGATTTGTAATTGTTTCTATAATGCTGGACTTGTGTTGGTATACGGGTAGTGCGGATCGTGATTTCTAAATGTATGCAAAGGTAAAAACAATCAATACAACAACCGTCATTCAGTCAACGTACATCTGCTCCTAAGCATACAAATTTACCAATAGATTTTTAAAAGTAGCAGACTCTTGACGAGTTTTGAGCAGATAGGGAAGCTGTGTGTATTTTTTTCCCATTTGAGTAGAATCATCTTGCTTTGAAACTAAAAGTTTGGCTGGCGTTTCGCTGATTTTATCCATGCTTTTGTCAGATTTCTATAATTTAGTCGTGTTAAACAATGAGTTTAAAACAAAAGTTGATAGTTTTCAAGCAAAAAACTACAAGAAAATTCACCTGCGGTGTAAACTCCAATGCCGTTATGGATTTAACAAAATCCAATTGGCGCTGAATGGTTTCCATCATAAGATCTTCAGCTGCGGTTGTCTAAAAATAAAATACAATCGACAGTTTAAAAGATAAATACTTGCAATAATACATATCAATATGTACATGAGCAAATATAAAAGCTTACACGCTGATGATCCCATTCTCTCCAGATATTGGCAAATGGAGGTGGCAAATTTCTGACTTGAAATGACTGGGCACTGCCGATTAAATGAAATAGAGCCTTTGTCTATTGATTTGTACAAGATTAGACGCCAAAATCAAATTGAACGACACAATCAAGTTATACGTACAGCTACAAACTGTTTAGCATCCGCAACATTGCCAACAATTTCGTTTTTGTCCATCTCAAACGCCTGATTGAAAAGATTGGTTGGCTCACGATCATGTTTAAATCTCAGCCCAAATCTACTGCCAATATGGCATGTTAGCGGATAAAATACAATTTCTGCACCTTTACAATTCTTTTTTATCCATTGCTGTAACAACTCCCTTGGCATAGATCCAGTCCAGCCAGGTGAAGACATGTCTAATATATGAACTATTTGAGATGTTGGAACGTCTGATGCGATTGCAGACTTGATAGTTTCCTCTTCATCAAAAAGCGCTCCCATGAGACTCCCAATGTCAGAGCTGTCATCATCAGAGATGGCAGCATTTGATTTTTTTTCAACATCCTTGGCAATGTCCTCATAATCCAAAAACTCAAAGTCTGATAGATTAGATTCTTTTAAACAATCGGAAGAATCGTCTATTCTAGCAAATGAACTCTGCTCGTTACTACATGCAGTATCAGAGTTACAGCCAGCGTCTTCCAATTCATGCACATTTGTTTCTTTCCGATCATCATTGGTTGATTGATTAAGTTGATTAACAGGATTTACACAATCAGCCATCTCCGCGACCGGCTTTGGAGCAATTTGAATCTCCTGCGAGCTCTCCAAATCGGACGAGTTTAATCCTATTTGGTGTTCAAATTTATCTGACATGGTAAAAGGTAGCCTTTTGGATGGAACATGTAGACACAACTAGTGAAATTTGAAACGATATTGGTTGATAAAAATACCATTGACGTTAAATTGGATCTATGGTTAGAAATAGAGTTTTCAGATCCACCATAAATGCATAACATCCAAATAATAAAAATACCCATTGTAAGAGCGAGTCTATGCTGCGATTTAATGATGCTTTCATAGCAGCCTCAATGTCATCACTATGAAACCCAATTTTGCTTAGCCAGATATATGCTTGATGAAGTTCAAGTTCAGATTGTGGTAAAACTTCGCTGCACGGGGAATCAAGCTGATCGGTTTTTATATCTGACAGGTACTGAAACAAAATATTCTCCAGGTTTGCAGAGATTGCTACGACAGGGATCGACGAATTCCCACACAATGCTTTTTTAGCACTATTAGTTTTTGCAAACTTGAAGTCCACTAGAGATGCAGCATGCTTATATTTTTTGATAATGTCTTTTCGTTTCTGTATATTGTTTTCCTGGGACTCGGTTGAGCAACCTGAACTGGCATGAGCAGTGTTGGAACTGTCCTGAAATGTGCTATGGTCTGCAGATTCAATTGGTTGTGATGGGATATGGAGTTTGTCTAACATTGCAGTTTCCTCGACTGCTGGTTTGGAATCCAAAGTAGGTTTTGGGATACTGGTGGTAGAAAACCCTCTGAGTACGCTCGATGCTTGTTTAGCCTTGGCCTTCTTGCTAGCATTACTTGTTTTTGTCATTTGATAGTGGGAATATCGACTAAACTTTTGCGTGGTTCTCAAGAATTGATTTAAACTGTATTTTGGATATTTTCAACTATTTATTATGCCAAAGACTGACAACAATAAACGAATATTTAGAATCAAAGAATGCACAGTGATTTATGCTTGACAATGGAGAGAGACTGTATTGACCATTCAAGTATTATGAATAAAGTACGCAACTTAACTCTTGAAAACGTTAAGAATCTAAAGCACATGCGTTTTAATGAATTGATCGATTGAGATCTAGTCATTGTTCGAGCCAACTTTATTTTGGAATCGCGGCATCATCACTTTGCCAATCTTACACATTCAATGGGTGAGTTTGATTCTGTTTGCTTGATTGTTGCCTTTCTTATGACATAGTGTGCAAGTTGGTATGACGAATAATCGCTTTCTTGATGGGTTGCTTACTTGGTAGTTTGCCTTTTTGACTTTTATCGGTCATGGGCCGACTATCTAAATAGCAAACAGTCACATTTGTTCTTGGCTTTCTGGCAGTTGGACTGATATTTGTATTTGAAAATCGTACACTCATGTAAAAGCATCCAACAACAACAAGACAGCGGCAGAAAACCTCTTTCCAAAACCATCAACAACTGGAAATGTTCCCAGTTTTATCCATACTGGCCCAGCAGACTTTGGTGAAATTGGCATTGTAAGTTGGTTTGAATGTATTGTCTGATGCAATGTGGCGTGAGTACTACAGCATTGGAACGGCAGATCAAAGCATCATTTCAATACGATTCGTCTATTTACTTTGCTCCATGTTACGTGAATATGGCTATAATGGCATTAAACAACTTCTAGGCTACAATCTGTGGAGCTACTGCCGGGTTCGCCACAAAAAGGATCTCAAAAGGTGCTGCGTTTGCCTTTGGTATTGGATTTCTAGGTCTCCAGGTAAAAACATTTGTAAAAGTCTTGATAAAAGCTATGCTTGATACTACCATCGCCATGAGTCCAACTATTGCCATTCCACAATTGATAACATTTCAATGACAACATGCTTTTAGGCTTTGGCTCACACCAAGATCATTCAGATCAACTGGCCGCGTGTTGAGGGCATGCTCATTGGAAAAATGGATTTGGATGGAGATGGAAAGTTTACTGGCAAGGATATTCAAATTGCTGCCACTCGTCTGATTCACAATCTGTCAAGCGACATGCCATCTACTGCTGGATTTGCTGCTGCATTTATTATTGGTTTTCGTTACGGATAAAACATCAGTCTGAATAAACGTATATCTTGATTCAATCTAGCTTGTGGAGTGATATTGGTCAAAGTGAAGGTCTTGCGTGGCAAGATTTTAGGTCACGTGAAATAGTTGACATTTGAGGTAGAAATACCAATGAGATCAAGACTTTTCTCACCACTACAATCCAGCGAATATGGTCAGTTCCTCCATCCCACCAACCATCCATCCATGAGCACACGTATGCATGCATCCACTTAAACAAGCCACTTTGTATGCATTCACTATTCCAAATGGCTGGTTGATTCGGTTCAACCTTGACGATTCCACAGTCATTGGCAAGCTCATGTTCTGGATCATTTGCTTATGCATGCGGTTGACTTGAAACATGACTTGATCTACAAGTTCACTAGACAGACATTTGTATTGTTTGTTTTGCTGATGTTTATTTTCAATTCACACCAATGATTCATGATTGGAGCAGCCTTGTCCGGAATACAGCAATCTGGATGGTGGCCCATTTATTGTTGGGTTATATAGAATAATACGAATTGGATCCCTTACTATTGGAACTCATGATATCATAGTCTGAAAACTGTCGAGGTTTTAATATGCGTCTTGCTAACAATACTATTATTTGACGTGTTAATAGACTCTTAAGAGGAGAAACAACGGACGTTCCAAGAAGGGCCGTGGCCATGTTAACCATGTCCGCTGCTCCAACTGCTGCCGTTGTGTCCCCAAGGATAAAGCTATCAAGCGTTTCCTTATCCGCAACATGGTTGAAGCTGCCGCAGTCAGTGATATTGCCAGTGCATCCGTCTTCCCAGGTTGGTTGCAATTTCGAGTTATTCTTTATACCCAATCTGGTGATCTAACTTTTAAATCTGTTTAGAATATGCTCTTCCCAAGCTTTATATCAAGACTCTGTACTGCATCTCCTGCGCCATTCATGCCCACATTGTCCGTGTCCGTTCCCGTGTTGGCCGTCGTGATCGTACTCCTCCCCAGCGTTTCCACGCCTTCAACAAGGTTTGTTTTGTACATCTGAACCTTTTGTATGCGTATCTACTTGGAGATTGACTGATACTAATATTTGCTTTGTTACAGGGTGCTCAGAACAAGGCCAAGCCTGCCACTGCCACCAAGGCCTAGTCTGTATCAAACAAAGATTTTTACAAACTTTGGATATTTTAATCTAGTTTTTTACATGCTGATTCTGAATCCAAACATGCGATAGTTCTATAGAGAGGGGGTGCATACAAGTTTTTTGAATTTCATTGCACTGTGAGGATACATGGTGTAGGAGATTGATATGATTAGGGCTAGTCAATGTATGATAGTGCACAACATCGAGTAATTTAGTCTGGATATTGCAGCAGCTGAGTTGAATACAGCTACAAACACGCTTTCCAGCTATCTACTCAAGTTCTGGTTCATCTGAAATTATTTGGGACATTGATGGCTTTATCCTACCAGACTCTTGGGAGCATGGGGCCGCTGTCATGGGAACAAGTACTGAGCATTCCTATAGAGTCAGAGGTAACAAGCAGCTTTTATTCTGTAGACAAGGATCAATGCTGGTTGAACTGCTGAGAATCACAAGTCAGCCCCGACACTTTGCTTCCATATCATAAGCGTTTATAAACATATATTACTATGAATTGTATAAATTTAAATTGATATACTTGCCTTGTTTCAATGCTTTACATTAGAATGCGGAGCTGCACACTCAGCAACTCGAATGGCTATCGAACCATATAGTGCAGACGCGATTAGATGTCGATAGTCCAAATACTACATCAGATAATCTCATACACTTGTTTAGCATGATACAAAAAATAATAGGGTAATTTTATTATACTCCAACAAAGTCATTGTCATGTTTGTCTATTGCTCAGTAGTTTGTAGACGAGCTGATTACAATTTTGACTAGGTTGAAAGATTCAAGTGTGCATTCTTTTGAAAGTCAACTCAAGCAAGCCAATATGCAGATTCAAAATCAAGCTTTAGAAATCCAGCGAGTTCGAGCCATGAGCACCAAATCTACTGATCCAGCATTCATTGGTAACTCGATACTTTTTCGATCTGGCCAAGATACAAATCAGGGGTTCCACTATAATGCGACTAACCAACATGTATTGCCAACATGCTTGTTCAGAGGTACATCATTTACAGGATGAGCTTATTCAGCTGGAACACAAGAATGCTGCCGCTATTCGAGATATAGAGCGTGCTGAAGAGGCTCTTGATTCAGAACGTTCAGTTGTAGCTCAGCTTACAGCAAGCTTGAAGGAAGAACGAACCAAAACAAGCACACTTCAAGATACCAATCGCAGACTAGATGATGAACTCAAAGATGCGCGCTCGCGACTATCTGATCAAAGAAACCATATACAATCACGGAATATAGACAAGGATAATTTCAGAATGCAACTGACAGAAAAAAATGCTGAACTGAATCGATACATTGCTGAAATACAGATGTTGAGTACGGAGCATTCTCAAATGGCCACAGAAGTCGAATCCATGACTCAAGAACTGGAAGCAGCGGTTTGTGAGATTGAAACGTGAGAAATTTCAAGGCCAACTCTATATAATTTGAATCTAGTCTAATTGTCATGTGGTGATGTGTAGCAATTTGAAAGAACTACAAGAATGCAGAGATTTGATCAAACACAAGGACGAAATTATCGACCAGGTCACAGACGAAAGGGATGCTCTTCAGATCAAAATTGAAGATATGGTAGAGCAGCTAGAGGATCTTGATCAGCAGCTATCATCCAATAAGGATGAGTTGGTAAATGTTGACAACAACTATCAAGTAAGATGCGCTGTTTTTTAATATATCTAAATAATTGCATTGGATAGCTGTATCATTTGCACTAATTGTTTTTTAGACAATGATTATTGAGCTTCAAGCAACCATTTCAAAAAAAAATAAAGAACTGCAATGTGCGCATGATGAAGTATCTGCATGCCAAAAAGAACTGCAAGACACGACCGTCAATGAGCTTCGACTTGAAATTTCTCGAAAAGGTATAAATAGTATTGACAAAATATTGGTTTAATTACTGTTTGTCATTTATTCTAGTGTATTGTAGACACGATAATACAGACGCTTGAAAAACAGGTCGAGCAAGTCAATAGCGATTTTGAGTTGCTCAGTATTGACTGGGATAGATTAGATCGTCAAATCAAACAAGAGGTTTGTCAATATCTAATTGCTTTTGGTGGGCATATTCAAAACAAGCACTCTGTTTTACTATAGCTATACGCTTGTTTTCATCTATTGAATAGGTGCAATCCATTACAAATGAGCAAGCTATTGTTAAAAATGTGAGGGAAGATTTGAACAGTATCAAAAAGCTGAGAGACAAATTACTAGTTTACCAAGATCGTCACAAGGCAAATGAAGATGCAGCAAAACAACTCCAAGAGCAATTGGCTGATAAAGAAACCGTCATTGTGAAGCTTTATAAAAGAATTGACTTGTACGAACAAGGTGACTAATATTTATGAATTCTTTCAATGAGTTACGACTGTGCTAGCTCTAGACAATCCAAAACTTACTAGATATTTTACAGGAGCATATGGGCTTAAAGATGCTGTTCAGGAAATCAAGAATTTGAAACTGAAACTACGAATCAATATTCGCGAAAAGGAAGACTGCGTTCGGCAGATCAATCATCTTGAGTCTCAGGTAAACGAGCTTGGTTTGTTATTGTATTTGAAAAAGGTCTCTGAAATATTGCCTCGTGCAACTTTTTATCATGATGACATCTAGATGGGCGATGCGATCGAAGAAAATCAAGAATTACGTGCCCGACTTGGAATGGACAAAAATTCTCGATTTGATATAGACGCATATCGCAAATCAAAAACGGTCGAAGCAGTAAGTTGCGCAAATTACCCAGTTGGTTTATGAATGCGTGTACTTTTGAGATCTTGTATTGACCATACAATCAGGAAAAATCAAATGCCCTAAACATCCATTTGCGCCAAGAAATTGATCGTCTGGAGGAGGAGCGTCTTCAGTTAAAATCTGCACTTAGACTTCAAGCCCTCGAGGTAGTCCACTATACTTTCAATACTATTTGCACAACTTTGACACTACCAAATTAACATATTCTAAATCAACTTTTATGAAGCGCGGAGAAAGAGCTATTGCTCTTGGTCTCACGGCTCAAGATTTAATGTCGGTAGAAGAATATTCGAATAAACTGCGCCTAGGAACAAATGGACAGATGAACACGAGTAATTTAATTTATTCACAAGAGTATCAGTGTAAATTGTAGATTACCCAACTAATTAGTACTTTATTCATATAGCCACAAGCACTACTAAAGAAATTATCCGCCCAATTCTCAATATCGATCAACTTGATAAACTGACTCTTGAATTGGAGCGCTTACATGTCGATGGAATTGAAACTAAACAGCAGTTATGGAGCTTGCAGGTATGCTTATAAGCAAGCATATAGTTGTAGCAAAACTATGTATTTCTAACTTTGACCATATGTGGATAGGAGGAGCACAAGCGACAAATTGAAGAAACACACATGCTGCAGAGTGCTATTTTGGAAGTATCACAATCGCTAATTTCCATGGCTCATCAAAGCAAACAGGTATTCACGCTTTTTTGGATTTGATTAGCTATGATATGAATTTAATCATTCATTGTCTATTTAGGAAAACGATTTCCCAATCGTGTCAAAGCTCGTACAAATTTTACAAAGCAAGATTATAAATTCAAATTCGGGAGATGCTATTATGCAAATCGATAAAAGTATTTCAATCCTGAATACAAAATTGCACAAACAGCTTGAAGAAGCTGAACAGCACAAGAAAGCTTTGGAATCAGAGATGGCAAAACTCAAGGAGCAACTTGTCATAAGGGAGAACGAAGTAAAGGCGGAAAAAGAAAAGTCTCTTGTGAGAGATCATCACTTTTTGCATTTGCCAACAGAATTGACTTTAGCATCTCCTAGTGGATATTCTAGTCTAGTAGATCAGCTTATTACATGCATGGTAGAGCTACGCGAAAAGGATTTAGAATTAAAAGAGTGCGCTATTGTTTTGGAGCAAAAAGAGGCACGCCATAACTTTATATCGCACATGCACTCCTTGATGAAATGCATTCTAATAGAGTTTTGTAATTTAAATGTTTTATAGGAACTATGGGAGCTGACGGATAGTAAATTGCAAATGTTATACAAAGACCACAACAAATCCAAAGCCATCCATGAGTCTAAAGTATCAAAACTCAGCAAAGCATTAAACGAAGCAAATAACAGGGAAAGTCTTTTGAGTGCTAAAATTGATCGTCTGGAGTCACTTTTAGCAACTACGGAAGCTTCTTCAGACGAAATCACACGTGCTACAATTGATGCTCATCGAAAGTTGATTGTTATGCAAGTCAACGAAGGCATGCTTGCACGACGATATACGGCGCTTTCAGATGTCGAGGCTTTTTTACAAAAAGAAAATGCCAGATTAAAAGTAAGTTTTGATTGTTTATTTCACTTTAATTTAGTACACATTTAAACAAAAATTCCATACAATTTTGAATTAGGAAGATCTGATTGACATGAGCAAAAGTGCTCGTGAAACAATTTTGCGACTACAATTTAAAAAGAATAGTACTGAAGCAGTTTTAGAAAAACTTCAGCATGAATTTGCAAATTCTGTTCCTCAAAATCAGCATTTGCTCTTATATAACCGATTACAAACACATATATCAAAAACACGATTGTTGATGGATCGTGAACGAGAATGGACTGAACACTGCATGAGTCATGAGGATAATCGAAATATTATTGAAAAACAGCGTAAAGAGATTTACAAACTCACTGTTCAGCTGGACGAAGCAACTCAATTGGTAAGTCGTAAGCAATAAGCTGCATTTTGTGTATGTTGCATAAAAAGGTCTATTTTATAATGCGTTGTTTTAAATGACTAGGTAAATATGCATAACGAATTAGCAAGCAAAAACTCTTGCCAGGTAAGGCTATTCAATACAAGATAGGGTTGAATTTTTGAAAACATCTCACGTGTAGCAATATATGATAACAAACTATAGAACCCGACCACAGACAGCTATGCAGTATCTATGCTAAAAGTCAAACTAGAGGTGCATGAGCGAAGGTCAGAATTGGCAGAGACCAGAATTAAAACACTCGAGACTTTGGAGGCCGAGGTATCATCACGTCTAAACACAATATATGATGTCAGATACTAATCTATGATGTCTATTCTTACCAAATATACTTAGATGATTTTAAGATTAGACTCTACAGAAAAAATGTACACTGCATTACGCGAAGAGATTATTCAAGTTCAAGAAGATTTTTTGAATTTCAAGAATGAGCATATAGTAAGCAGCGAGTAAATAGAGTTTTGTAAAATAGAAGATTGTATGATTTTTTAATAACTAGTTTACTTAGAGCTGCCTTACTGAACAGCACTATCAAGCAACGTTAAAAGAAAAGGCTTGTCTCGAGGATGAGGTTGGAGCACTCCGTCAAGAAGTTCAAAAATGTAAGCTAAAGGTTTTTAAAATAGTTGAGAAAGGATAAACGTAGATCAATGCATAACTTGGTGAGCCAAATATAATATCTTGTCAAAATGTATCCAATCCAGACAAAGAAATTGCCGATATTGCTACAAATCAGGTGGCAGATTTAAACGCTTTGCATAAAATGGATGAAAAAGAAAAGCAGATTTTACAAGCCGCAGTGCAAGAGCTTCAAATGAAAGACGACGATAAACTTGTAATTGGAAAACTGCATCATCATATTCTAGCGCTTCAAATGAGTGAAACTGTGATTCTTCGAAAATTGGACTGCATGACATCTAAATGCCTTCGCCTTGAAACACTTTCACTCCAGGTGAGTTGCTTGAAAATGGCGTTAGTGTGGTTGATTTGTCTTATGTAAATGTTTTAATACTTTTATACTCGTGTGTGTGCATAATGAATAGGCAGAGCAAGCAAAAGATGATCGAGACCAGCTTTTGTTTGATTTACGAATAAAGACCAAAGGGCGTGTAAGACTGATGCAGAAAACACTTTCCGAGCTGCGTTTGAAATTATCAGGAGTAGTACCACTTGGTAAACACGAGGTATGATAAATTTCAAGTCATTTATGTAGCCCATTGGACTGTCAATCGAGAAAATCAGTCCAGTAGAATGCAATTGACTGAACTTTGCTAACAGTATGTTTTGGTATTTTACTGAAAAATTCAGAAAGCATGCAACATGATTCGAATTTTGGATGATCGAAAACGTAAAGCAGAATTACAATTAGACGCTGTTTCTCATGAAAAGCAAGAAATGGAGCTTGAAATGAAGACAACAAAGATCAAGCTTGAAGGTGTACAAGAACTTCTTGAAGCATTGAATGACAAGTCTGATTCTCAAAAGCGAATGCAAGGATGGCAAAAAAAGACCATGTGCATTCAAACTGAGCTTATGAAAGCAAAAAAAGACATAACCCAGTTAAGACTTAAAGCGTCCATTTCCGATGAAGAATGTCAAGCAAGTCACATTAGGATTGCTGAACTGGAAAATGAGGTATTAACTGCTGAAAGCGAATATGCAGAGCATCAATTAGAGTGGGAACAACACCATAGCGAGCTCGAGGATATCATACAGCAGTATGAAGAGGAACGCGATAAAATACTGCACGACTCTACAGCAGCAGAGGTAAAAGTATATTTTGTAGTATCTAAAAGCATACCCACAAAACAGTACTGAATTTTGTTTTTATTTACATCTTGATTCATTTTACAGCTAAGTGAAATGCTACCAAGCCATGATCTTCCAATAGGGAATCGACTGGAAGCCTCACTTCGCTTATTAACAGAACAAGGTCGTAAGTTAAAGGCACTCGAGATAAAAATATCTAGCCTGGAAGCTGAAAAGAAAAACTCTGAGTCGGAGTTAAAGGTAATATTTGATGGAATGTGGATAAATGCCATAGGTATCACAAGTGCCAACAAATTTGACTATCTGTAAACCAGAATTTTAGTTCAATTCTCCATAACAAAGACGTTGAAATCAATCGACTTCAATTGGAAATATCACAATCCAAAACAAGAGATTTTAATGTAAAAACTGAGCAGGCACTAGTGACTGGTATGTACTATAAATGTGCTTTTATAAATGCATGTTTGCTAATATGTAGCTTGTAATATACTGTAACCTTAGATGCAGATTTATTTGAAGCCTCAAACAAACAAGAAGCAGATGCGATTGATATGGCCAAAAGCTTCACTGAATCGTTACAGCGTCAAATTGATCAAAAAGAGGAGCTTGTTCATAAATATAGAGAGATGGTCAAAAGCATTCGCAAAGAAGTGTTTTCTCAAAAAGAGGCAGGCCAAAGCTTAGTTGTATCTATGCAATTATACTGTAAAGCATTTGCTTATTATTTTTTCATTATTGTAGATACATAAATCTGAAGTGGAAAAGTTGGGTGCTATTATTGATGAGCTTCGCCATGATAGAATCAGTCGTGCAGTAAAATTACCCGATGTTGCTCCATCAGTATCTAAGCATGAAGCGTGAGTAATGTGATTTGGTAGATTATTTTTCATGATGTCTACTTACAGTTTGTTACATCAATCAATACTTTAGAGATGCCAATAGCGACACAATCCGCGAATTGGAGAAACTGCTCCACGCAAAAGTGAGAATCATTCAAGATTTAAAAAATCGTGCATTTAAACGAGTGATATTTAAGCTGAATGTATTTAATTTAGGACATATCGTATGCAGAACTTCAGAAGCAGTTGAAAGAAATTTCCAATAGTGCACATGAAGAAAAGTCTAATTTGGAGGATAGAGTATCTGGGCTAATGCTAAAATTGGAACAAAAGGAGCAGCTCATCATGGAAAAAGTAAGCCGTTTGGATATATTTGAAACGACTATTAGCTTGAAAATACTGCCAATCTCTTACTTGCATTATCGATTTTATTACAATAATTGCACACAGAACAATAAATTAGAAACCAATCAAAAAGAGATTGAGGAGCTGCAGGCCAAAGAAACTATTTTGCCATCAGTAAATTCATCTGAAGAAGTTAAACTATTAGAAGCTGGCATCGAGCAACGAAATGCCAAGATTCATAACCTAACACATGCAGTACGAAAAGTAAAGTGACTATTTTTTCAAGATGATCAAGGCTTGATTTGGCATTGGCTAATTACTTTTTGTCAAAGTTGAAAGAACAGATGATGCAGGCTGCTAAAAGTCTTGCTGAGACTACCATTCGACAGACCAATGAAAGGTAAAGCTAAATTATAGGCAATCAAAACTTTATGGCGGCATACTAATTTTATCAAGCACTGTAGCAATGCATTTCAAGAAAAGCTCGAGACCAAGACACGTCATCTTACTAGCAAAATCATAGAACTGGAATCAAAAGTCAAACAGTAAGTAGTTTTGTTCAAAAAATTGGCTAGTTTATTTGTAAAAACATTGATTGATTTTGATTTTAGATTGATGAGTATTATTGGGTCCCATAAGCAAGAAGATGCAAATGTATTAAATGATATGCGTCGTATATCACAAGAACTATGCAAGTATTTGATGTTTTACAGCTTGATTCTTTTATTTACTATCAAATTTGTTGATCAAGTTTTTTCATCCAACTAAATAGCTAACAAGGAAAAGGAGATTTCTACCAAATCTGCCGAAAACTTCAGACTAAAAAAGGCTCTTGCTGAAACAAAAACCTTCACTTCAAATGCACTGTATAATGAAATTCAAATACCATCACTTCCACCGCTGGTAAGATCAGTATATGTTAGATTTGATTTGTAGCATTTTACATTTCTTATAATATATTATCGTTTTATTAAACAGGTTGAAAAAAGTGCAAAAATAGCCAGTACAAGTGTACAAACGACATCTGCACATTCCACTCATGTCGCCGAAACTTTCAGAGGTAAATATATACAAGATGTTTCTTAAATATAGATTGCAATTTTCAACTGAGGATTTCGTGTTTGGCAAAGATGTATGGGAAATAGAAAAGCGATATACTCGACAGGTAGAAGCACTCAAAAAAAGGCTATCTGAAAAGGTATCATTTGCCATTGGTTGGTTATTTTGATTTACTTTAAAAGCAAAAAACATTATTTATACTGATTTGGTATTCTACTAAATCATTGGTATAACAGACTGTTTTAAGTGAAGAACTTGGAAAGAATGTTGAATCGCTTCGACAATCATGCATGCGATCTGAAAACGAAAGGATTCGACTTCAAAGCAAGTTGAATTCAATGACTCGGCACTTTCAAAATATTAAACTGCCGAATAGACAAAAGCATTGTGATATTGAAATGAAACCAAACCAAGACCTTCCAGTATTTAAACCCAGTACTAGCACTGATGCAAAAGAAACCATTTCCAAGCTTAAATCTGACATGGATTTAAAAGAGGTACTGCAAGATTTTTGATTGGTTTGAAATAGGCTGATATTTATGATTTGAAACGGCATTGTTTAGTTTTATGTGTTGGCTGAATTGGGTCTGACATCAATAATGATTTTTGAACATATTGTTAAAGAAAACCATTTTAGATTTACAAGAAAAACTCAAATTAGCAGTACAAGTAAATGAACAGTCACCCATTCAGCATTTTGATAGCAGTATAGATCCAAACTTGCAAATCAAAACTCTTTCGGTATGTCTAGGTTTTTATGCCTTTCATTTTACTGGATGGACTGGTGATGAGTTTATATGCAAGCTTATATCATTGTGGTGATTTCTAGGAAAAACTTGCTCATGCCGAGCACGAGTTGAGCATGATTAGAAAGTCGCAGTCGAGTGTCGAGTTTGAGTATCAGCAATCGGTATCTGAAAAAACGCGAGCCTTGGAAAAGATCACATTGCTTGAACAGGTATGTAGGTGTTCAGTAGGCTATAGAATATGAATATTCAAGGATTAGTTTTGCTATTGGGTCTGTGAAGCTGATGATCTAATACGACGGTATATGCAATCTCTAATATTATACTGATCAACATATTCCAGAAATTGCAGTTTCATAATCTAACAGCGGTAGACTCTGCAGGTACTAGTGCAAAAACAAAATCACTCTGTTCCAAGTCAGTGGATGAATTAGTTGCTATCATGGATCACTTGACGCAGGCTGTTGATAAGCTCACACACGAAAACGAGAATCTGCGCTCAGGCACTTTATCACAAGTCAAATACAGTGCACTGTTTGAAAAAAACAAAAAACTTCAGAATCAGCTCACTGAATTAAACCTAAAGCTACAGCATTCAGATACCGCAGTGAGCAAAATTTCTCGGTAAGTCAAACCAGTAAATGAACACAAAAGTGTAAATGGCTGAGATTGGATGTTGGTAAACAGACTAACCCGAGCTTAACCTACACATAGTATTGAGGAAGAGAATCTCAAATATCGGAAACTATTACGGCGTGAAATAGATCGCAACAAGAAAAGTAGTGCAACAATCCAAGAATTGATACAATCCAAGGAGCAGCTTGTTATTGAAATAATTGGGCTTCAAAAATCTGTTGGCGGGAAAGATGCTTTTGAAAGCAGTTTAGAAGATTCAGCAGAGCTCAAACGCCGTATTTTGGATTTAGTAAGTGGTTTCATAATTCAGACAAATTGAAGACCATGTCATGTTAATTATTACATTTTTAAACTATAATAACGCATATTTGGCTGTATATTGCAATCGTTTATTAGCAAACTTGTGTTGATGAAAAGGAAAAACTCGTCCAAAGTCTGCTGAAACCAGATGCCACGGAACAATCTCGCCTTACCAGCGAAAACCGTCGGTTAACAAGAGAGGCAAGCATATTTGACTCTTTGAAAGACTAAAATATAATGCTTACCAACATTGTGTTGAATATGAACAGGTGGAAATGTGGACAGCACGAGCTACCAAGTTATCAGAAAAGATTGCTCAACGCGACCTTGGATTATCAACTACTGGCATATGTGTTGGAATATGCAACAACTCGGAGTGTAATGCTCGCATTACTCTTCTTGAAATGACAGCACGAGATTTAAAAGGTAGGACTCGTAATATACAACTTTAGTGTATGATTACGTTTCAATAGCAGTAGTATAAACTGGATCTATTAAATCTAACACGATTGGCAAGTAGCTCAAGTACAGAAATGCGCGGACACGTCGTCAGTTTATCAAGAGTTGGAAGATCTCAAGTTCAACTACAAGGAATGCATGCGATTGAATGTCAAATATGAGGCACAACTTCAAGGCAGCTTGGAGTCTGCCAGTTAATAAAAGTAAACTGTTTCAAAATAGTGTCAATCAATGAGTAACGCCGGCTTGAAGTAGAAGCTTGTTGGTTTCAGAGCCTGACGAGTATGAATGTTGTGCTTTTACTGCCCATAAATGACAAGCCAAATGCCACTTGCAAGGCTTTCCCATTTGAACCGAGGCTATCAGGAATCTAATGGCCGGGTCGTCAAAGATGACAAGAAGAACTTCCAGCAACCCCAATCCCAACGCTTCTCCAGCCGATGAGCCATTATTATATGATTCATATGACGATCTTGACCTTGTTTCTAGCAAGGACAGACAACGCAGTAAATCAAAAGAGTCTGTATCGCAACCTGGCTCAGAGGTTGGTCTGGGAAAAGACCTTGGGAACATGGTGCTCCTGGTGTTTCTATGTATGTGTCTTGAAGTATCCATTCTAGTGCTACCAACATCACTGCTAGATATGGTGGGAATGCATGTAGCATCTGCTATCATTCAAGAGTACTAAAACTGCAGGCAGTTTGGGGGTGAACGAGAGCCAGGAAAGAACTGAAATGCTTGAACGGACGCTAACATCAACCATACAACTTGTTTATGTAAACCAGACCTTTTGCAAGGAGTTCCTCTCGGTCTCTCTATGGGAAGTGTTCCTTTTTTGCTCAAGTCTAAACTCGGATTTGGGGATCTTGCGTTATTCTCGCTATCTTCTTATCCCTATTCACTCAAGGTAATATCTTGGTCTTTTGTAGAAATGCATTTGATATTTCAACTGAGTTTTATCGATAATCTGATAATAAACACTCGCTCAATGTTGCTGTAGTTGCTGTGGTCTCCTATTGTGGATTCGACATATAACAAGTCAATTGGCCGTCGCAAGTCATGGATCGTTCCTATTCAAGCAATCCTTGGAATCTCATTACTGGTTCTAGGAGGGTACATTGATCCAATTCTTGCCCAGGTATACCTTTTGAGAATTTGGACATGAATGGATATTCTAAAGTGCTGAACTCGATGTTCACCTATTTATTGTTGGGTTTAAAGGATAAACTACCTCTTGGAATGCTTGCTACGGTATTCACTTTCATGGTGTTTTTGTGTGCGACTCAAGGTATCAGATTACGTGTATCTACTTTGCATATATACATTCGTGATGCTAATGTATTGCTAATTGTATGAATATTGATGATTTGCAGATATCGCCGTAGATGGTAATTTATATGTATCAATTTGATTTCTCTGTATATAGAAATTGATGGTTGCGAAATTAACCCCGTTTAACGGCTAATTGTATCGATCGATAGGCTGGGCTCTCACACTGCTTCATGATGAAAACAAAGTAGTTTACTCGATTAATTGATTTTTTATTTGAATCTGAAAAACTGTTCTAATCTGTCATTTTCTGTCCAACTCTATATTTATAGACGTACGCATCAACTGGTAAGTAGATTTGACAATTATACTTTAAACCTCTTGCTAATTAATATTTAATTGCAATCTGTAGCTCAAACAATTGGTCTGAACACGGGCTACTTCCTGTCGTTTACTGTATTTCTAGCTCTGAACTCGCCCGAACTATGGTAATATATTTATAGCCTTTATAGTTTTTGTATGTGTGAGCTTAATCTACCTTTTCAAACTCACCCCATACGCCTGTGATTTTACTCTTAGCAACAAGTACTTTCGCTTTGAACCCATGGATGTTGGTCTTGTTCAGCTGGGCCCGTACCTTCAGTTTTGGGGCGTAATGTTTCTCATATGTAATGCATGGCTAGTTTTTATTAAGAAGGAGGTCAGTGTTGTTGATGATAAACTTTATTTTGAGCAAGCGCTTTGCTTTTTTAAATATTTAGTTTTTTTCGTATAGGCTATTGAACTTACAGATGTTAGTGAGATTAAAGAGGTAAGCCTTGTCTATATGTGTTTAGTTTGAAGAGTGCTGTTAAATATGCTAGACCTAACATTATATGAATGAATATTGGTATATATAGGTCTATCACACCATGGTCAAGATCATTATGCTTCCTCGTACGTATCGATCTGGTCAGATTCTGTACTGTTATTAACGGGTCCATATTTACATGCAATGCTTTTAAATCAACCATGCAACTACAGATATGAAAACATTTATTGCCGTTTTACTCGTGGCAAAGCTTGGCTTTGTGGCAAACGATGCTGTGACTGGACTAAAACTTTTGGAAAAAGGCTTTAGCAAAGAGGATCTTGCATTGGCAGTATGTGATTTATGCTACGGATACACTTTTTTACATATTTTAAATCTATTTGGCTTCAATATGAGTTTTAACAGAATGTATGCCGCTAATTGCATTGCCTATATGCAGGTGCTTATTGACTTTCCATTTCAAATCGTTTTTGGATACTATGCTGCTAAATGGAGTAATGGATCGCGTCCATTAAAACCGTGGCTTTGGGCATTTTATGGACGATTATTTGCTGCCTTTTTGGGCATGGTAATGGTATATTTTGTACCCCAGACTGGCATCACAACATCGTTCTTTACCATTGTCATTATTGGAACAGTATTTTCATCTTTTATGAGGTATATTTTATTTTTTCGTATGGATTAGATATGGATGATGTTGCTAATGCCAATATCATTCTAGCGTTCTTCAATTTATTGGAATGGGTAGTTTTTTTACCAAAATTAGCGACCCAGCCATTGGTAAGTTGATGTCTTGATTACTGCCTTGTTTAATAGTTTTTACTGACTTGATTTAAAGGTGGAACATACATGACACTGCTGAATACTTTGAGCAACTTGGGTGGTACATGGCCAAAATACTTTGTTCTCAAGGCAAATCACTTTTTGATGTTTTGTATTGAATCAACACCATTTTTATTTTGTTTAATCTGGACTGACTTTACTATTCTAGGCGGTTGATTACTATACAGATGCACCTTGCAATGTGACTGATACTGCTGGTTTAGAAATTAAATGCATGGACGATCCAGCCAAGAATCTTTGCAAAAGTCTGGGAGGGCAATGTGATTACCGATCTGACGGGTACTATATCGTCAACATTGGATGCATGGTGATCGGTGTAGCGATACTATTTTTGTTTATCAAGCCCAACATCAAGTATCTGGAGAAACTACCAGATCGTGCATGGCGTGTTATCAAGAGTAAGAACTGATTCTTTGTGGGATGTTGGTAGTGTGGAGGGACTGTATTTCCAAAACAAGATTAGGGATAAATATGATTTTATCTTACACCATATCTGAGCCTTTTAAATACAAGTATGGGTATTGCTGTGGGTATATTTTATTGCTTTGGAATATACTTTTGGTTAATTCAACTCGTTTCTTGAATCTATCAGTGGATGATGCCGGTGAAACACTAGTGATGTCCAGTTACGCTCAATGAATATTATGGCGAGCGTAGATTGCCATGGTGGTTTCTCTGGTGCTCATAGTGGACGTCTCGGGCATATCATTGCTTTGAAAGTTTATATAATAAGAGTTTGATTTCAAGTTGGCAGATATTCATGATTAGTGGTCGGGAAACAATACACCATGTTATCAGAACAAGACAGTTGACCAAACCCAACTCACTTGCAGAAACCAGAAAACTGACGGTTAAAGTTCATTGAAATAGACAGCTGTCTCTGATCCAGTAATCCAAGGGGAAACATGCCATTATTTGGTGTGCAAGTGCCATGAATATGTGGTTCAGCCTTTGGAGTGAGCAGTTGAACAGCCGTGGGATGGCTAATTGGTGTCATTGACAACGATGAGCAGTGTTGGACAGTACAGACAAGTCTCGATCACAGGCTGCAGTATATATAGGCTGCGTGGGTCTAACGATGCGCCTCAGCCAAAACAAGCACTATTCTCCGCCCCATATCCACACTGGACCCAGCAGATAAAGAGTAATGTTTCGTCATATTCATGTAGATGGAACATATCAAGGTGTGTAACAGTCTTATGGAATGATGGTGAGCCCACTGGACAGTGTTAGGCATTGGCAATATGTGATCATTGTAATGTGAGTGTTGGGATATGAAGTCTGTTGATTTGTATTGAGTGTGTGGTTTACAAGAACTGGACACAACCAACATGCTATTGCATACAGCAACCTGATTATAGTCCAGTCACATGGTGTGATACAGTGGTTTGTGCAATACAATATCCAGATATTTGTAGTGTTGAACACGACGAATCTGTTGTTCGTGTAGCATCATATCAATTGGTAATTCGGAATCAAAGTATTGACCAACGCTTTGCAAGTATTAATGACTGAATCAAAAGGCATAATGGTTCCAAAGAGTCGCTTGCAGCATGTCAAGCGATATCATATCGACACAATACACACATGCATGTCAGCATCATCAATGTGTACAACTATGCAATATACAATCAACTGTATCGTATTGGAAATACAAGTGTCAATGTACAATATGATATCGTGTCAACCAATACTGTGAAATGATCAGACACAATGCCAAATATCAAATGGTAATTGTATTGTATTCAAACAAAAATACAACATATTCGGTTGAAACCAATCTAGATTAGCAATCAAATCAATCGGATGAATCGTCATGTTTGGGTTGACCTATTCATTACACATATCACTGTATACAACACGCAGTTCTTTGTGTGCTGGATGATGTTTGAGTGGATTGGACGGTAGATGTTTCACTTGATGATGATGAACTTTCACGATGTTGTGATGAACTCTGGGTTCAACTAGTAGAAGCTTGCTCGGATTCTGACTGCTGGTTTAGTCGGAGAGTGAGAGATTCGTATATGCTTTCAAGAAAACTGGGATTGAATTTCAGAAATTCAACACAAGAATAAAACGATGCTAGATCCATACCATATCCAAACAGGCGCCTTGCGATGTTTTCTCTGATTGAATACAATGACAATCTAAACACAAAGAAATCATGTTCGAGTTTCTCTCGCTTTTCTTCAAGCCCCTCGAGTTTTTCTCTCGCTTCTTTAAGCTCGAGTCTAGAATTTTGAAGCTTTTTTTGATATGTTGGATCATTCTTGTTTTTCAAAAGTTTATGTAGTAACCTGAAATGTTTCTTATTCAGCCATGCCACCAATATTTTTTGATCAAGCTCTTTAGATTTGGCCAAGACGCACACTTTCCTCATCTCTTGACGTTTTCGATCCGTTTCTAGATGTCCTTCGATCAACCTCGCATCAACCTCTGAAAGTCGACTAATATCAACTAAACGTGTAGCTTATTGATAAGAAATTGTCCGATATCCAGGTACAATACCTACAAATGCACTGGGATTGGCTGGAGTAGCTGTAGTAACCGAGCAAGCAAGCAGGATTGATGCCAATACTGTGACTGCGAGTTTCATTGTATTGGTTGTCAGAATATTAGGAGCTTCGTGATTTGTATAAATGTAGTAAAGTATAAAGTAGATAGAGTATAATCTGTAACTGTTAGTAGTTATCAAAAGAGAACAAATCAAAAGTGTAATGGAAGTTACACTTTAATCCAAGATCAGCAGACTTGGTCTTTTCAAGTATAGTAAAAAGGTGTAATAAAGTAATTAGAAAGTTGAAATAGTTTGACGAGTTGTTTATTGATAAGAGTAAGCATTTTAGCTTTATAGTAATTGTTTGTTTGTCTTGTGATACGAACAAGTAACACATTTGGTAATGAGAGGTTGTAAACGAAAAGTAGTTGAGCCAATAGGATTGATTCCTGTAATTAGTCAATTTAATAATAATACCATTTACCCGTTACTTGGAACTCGAATCTCCAGAAATGAGGATAATGGAGTTTGGAGCATATGGATTGGTGGTGGTGAAGGGTTTAATTTGGAGATTCAAAGTGTGCGCTATTAGAATTAGCTTTGTCACAGATTACCACTTAAGAGTATCCATCTGGATATTCCAACACACGACTCGATATGTGATGTTCAAATGTCTAATATTCAGACTGTGCTGATTGCAATTGTGGTTACAATTGTGGTTGTGTGTAAATATCAATCCAATACTTGATTCAATTTGAGCATGTACAGTTTTGTAGTAATCCATTTGATCACATTGACAGAATCAAGCAATGATCTGATTCAACAACACCGAATGATGCATCCATATCACTTGTATCAATCAATTGTACACAATCAGTCAATATAATCAACAATCATTGACATGATTGATTCAATTTATTCAATTGCATAGATCTGACTGGCATTATAACTTGTTGTTGTAAAATCACTACCTCATAATCCATCACCAAAGACCAAGATTATACGCCTGCTCATATATGTCCTTATTGTATACCGCTGTGATTCGAGTTCGGTCACTTGTCAATTTATCTCGATAGTGTTTGGCTTCAGCTGGTGATTGAACACCTTGAATATACTGCGTGGCATCATTCCACAGTTCAGGCGGTATGGGTGTCTTGTCAAGACTCGAGTTGTACCATTGTGGTTGTTGTGGAGCCACATGCGCAGTCGAAACAGTCCGACATGCTGGATTTACTACAAAAAATGTCAGAATTTTGCAGTGTCCTGGTTGAGTTGGATCTGCAAGTTCAAATGATTGTTCTTTGTGTTGGTATAGATTGGGATAAACTGCACATCGACCATTTGGTACTTCAAGCGATCCTATATACTGATTGCGTCGTGATTCTCGATTAATAATGTCATACACATCTTTCCAATACATATCAGATGCTCTTTGATAATAAAAATCAACAGCCTCGCGGAAATCGAGTTTGGGTGTGGTGATATTTTCCACGTCATAGTAATACAGTCCAGTTGCAACAATCGATTCGTTAATTGGACCTTCAATGTGCCAGTCTCCCTCGTTGTATTTAGGTTTGGATGGTGTCAGTTGAATGTTGGTGAGTTTGACAATGACTTGTAGATTACGACCACGCAGTGATACTGGCTTTGCCGATTCATAACTGGGTTCAAAATGTTCCGGAAGTGTTGGTACATACACGGGACGAATGACTCGAGTGTCTGGTTCCATACCACCACGACTTGATTGGTTTGGTGGTTCATATCCCTTTGTGCCATTGTGAATATCAATATACTTGAACACTGGATCCATCGTTCTGAACAGACTTTCAAACATTGGGACAAAACATTTGAATATTTTGGCAATGCATTTGTACATGTCTCGATGCCATATTGGATTCAGATTGTTGATGTATGAGTTGATGGTCACACTGCCATCCTGTTCGACACGAAATTCACTCGGAAGACATTGGAACTTGAATGATATAAACTCGGGACTGCTGTCAATGATGGGCATATCTGAAACAAGTCGAGTCGATAGCAATATATCGCATGGTACCATTGTGGTGTATTTGAGTCGTATATCCAGTGGTGCAATCATCGTTTGTCCATATACAACACTGTACATTGATGCATCAATCAGATTGTGCACCATTTGACCAGTGTTGTGATTTGATCCATGTTCAATATCCGATACATTTGTCATCAATCGCGTGTATACATTGTCAGGTATGCCATTGTCCAGTATATACGTCAGTTCAACAGGTCCTGGTACAATTGTGCCAAATCCATCACTGCCACTACAAACAAACTGTTTGACAAAAAACTCGAGTTGTCCCAGTGCAAGATTAAATGTTGATGGTGATATATTCCGATCGAGTGAGTCAGCCCTCCATTGCTCCACAATATGCTGGTTTGTGATATCGATCCACCACATGGGTTTGCAAAGTATAGAATGGAGATACTGGATATACCGCATTTCGACAAGTGTGCGTGCCTGTCCATGTGTATCTCCGGCCATTCCAGAACTCATATCAATTTTGTCATTGTCGTTGTATGGCTGAATATCCGAATTAGCAGTGTAAACCAGATGTTGGAAACACGTTTCAATGATCTGGCCAGCAACCCTTCTGTTTGTGTAGTGAGTACCATCCGATTTTACAATAGCCATTAGATTTTCAAACATCCCGCCTTGATCCAACTCGGTACGTATTGAACTGTCGGGATGATTGTCGGCAAAATCAACAAGTGTTTTGAGTAGTTTTACAATACCAAAACAGCCATACAAATTTACATCTCTACGTGAAAGAATAGTGTTGAGTTGCTTTACAATTTCATATTCTTGAAACACCTTGATCATCTCGGCCTTGTTTGTAGATTTCTGAATCATGTCGCTGACATATTCAAACAGATACAAAAAATCATACATATTGGCATCATACATCAATATCGTCAATTGCTCAAAAACCAACGATCGTACAAGCGATACAGGAAAATCGTGCATTTTGGATGCAGCTGCTACAGCTATCTTGATTATGCGTGTTTTTAGTCTAGAGTTGTCGCTGTATTTGATATACAAGTCGTTCAGTGCTTGAATCAAACCCGACCTTATCAACTCGGCTGAAAGTACTTCACATTCTGTAACATTGCATAAACTCCGAATAGTATCAATACTTTCATAAATCACTGCTTGATCGACACTCCTGTATTCATGTCATGTCAATCCAACCATGTCAAATTTACCAATTGTGATGACTGGACACACACTCATGCATAACATCACATACCTGAGCGTATTGACTATTGCTGGAATGATACCACACTCCACTGCTTTTACTGGGTCATGACGATGAATATTACAAAATATGGTTTTAAGATTTTTGATAAACCCAACAGCAACTAGACCATTGGATGATTCCAGTCGTGAAACAAGTCTTGATACCACGATGCCAAACTAATGATATTGTTCAATGTCAAGTATACAATCAACATGACATGACAAGACACTGTACAAACTGATCCAATATTGTATCATTGTAAACATACATTTTCATCGTCAATATCATAACAAACGGTCGAAAACAGGTCAATTGCCAATCTGAGCATTTCTCGATCCGACTCGTGAACAATAATCTCAACCATTGGCTTGATGTCAAATTTATACTCTTTACTCCAGCGTCCACAATCGAATAACTCTGTACATGTTTTTATCGCCTATATGCATATTGACACTAGATGAGTTGAATGTCAATCATTTGATCAATATCAATCATGACTTGCCGCTATTTTGACTTGACGGTTTGATGATTGCATGAGTTGTGAAAGTTGGTTGCTTAGTCGATGAAATACTTTAAACCGATAATCACCGTACGTCATACTCAAAAATACTGTAGTAAACTCCATTACTTTGATCTACACAACACATGTTGGTTATTTTAGTCATGAACAATCCATTATTGTTACAATATATGAATACCTGTAAACTGGGTCGATTATACTCCAAATACTTGGCTGTGATATCTTCCAGTTCAATACTTTGTAAGCGCAGCAATACATCTGTAGATCCTACCATTTCAAACCAACACAAAATCAGCAACAGTTTGAACTCATCAATAATACAATTGCTATTAAACTTACTGTAGCCCTGTTGTTTCAACTCCTGTAGCAATGCAAGCAGTCTGACCCATATTTCATCAGCCTTGTATAGTTGAGCATCCGTTGTTAATAATTTCAAATCTTCCATGTGTTGGACCAGCTCTTTCATGATATCAACACAATCCATGTTTGATAAAATTAGTAAAGTTGAATTTTGATTTGACAATTTCATTCATGCGAATGTCCAACAATTGCCAAGAATTGTTCATGTTTGGATTGTTGTAAAACACACAAACGAGTTGTTCCATTTTAGTATTGTTTTAACCAGTTTTTTGTAACAAAATTGGATTGTTATCAAACATGCATTTAGAAATACTGTAAATTAATATTCTGAATGTGATTGTTGTGGATTTGGTTGAATAAACAAACTAGTTTACTACAACACATGGTAATGGATTACTAAACATCATCATAAATCGGATGTGATCAAATGGACTAGAATGAGATCAATGACAATTGCATTACAATGTGTGGTGATTAAACCATCGAGTATTTCCAAATACAAACTTGAATGAAAAGTCTTGCCACAATACTGATCAACTGTATTACTGTTTACACTGTGGTATTATTGATGTATTGGAATATTTGGTGTTCAAATACACGATGATAATGGTAGTACAAATCATGGTAGTTGTACAAACCAAACGTGATTAAAGCCAATAATAATGTCAGACAAGATTGGATAATGAATTAGCGTGTAAATCATCAACATTGACCAAGATTGATTGAAATGGTGAGATTGAGTTGGATGGTGATGAACAGTCAGTGTCATGAACACTGTTATTCAGTGGCCTATTTGACGTCAATACAACACCATCAATACCATGCTGCATATATTACATTGTAAACTGTCATAAAACAACACTAATTGACCAATATCAAACCAGTTGATGTTGCAATCTACATCCGACTTTGAGCAAGTGTATTACTCCGTTTGTTGTACAATACACGACATGATCAGTTGATGATATCATGCAACTGACAAGTGATTGCAAGTATGTCTGATAGTTACAATCAACACTGGTTGTTATCAAGTCATTGATGTATATGTAATAAACCGTGTCAATGTATCAATCAACAATCCAGTAACTGTCAATGTAATACTCAACACAATATACACAAACATGCAATACAAAATCAATATTATAATTTTTGGTTCATTTACAATACTTGCAAATATCAACAAAATAAAGTTTAAAATTATTCAAAATCCTCGAGTTTCAAAAGCGTCTTCAAAATCCGATTCCGCTCCTGATTCTGCTTTTCCATCAAATCTTTCAATCGTTGTCTTGCCTTTACTATTCTATCATTTGGTGAAATACACTCTTCTCTCAATATATTTTGGATTTCTGGCTTATGCCTTGGTTCAGATATCTTTTCGCCTCTTGCCAACGCTGACTTTTGTTTCAATCCAATAGTTACATAATCATAATAGGTTTGGCATTTCTCTCGTATTTCTCTGGACGTCTCGATTTCTTTCAAGTCAAGTGCGTTCTGATCTTGGGTCGATAGAGTCTTTTGATTTAAGCCAGTAGTGTCAGACTTGGATTTATCAGTTGGTTGTTTTCGACTTTGTTTGGAAGTACTTGGACTAGGTTGATTTACTGGCTGTTGCTGACCTTTTTTGCAAGTGTCAGAATTGATTAGATCCATTATGTCTTGCCATTGCTCTTCGGAAGTGCCTGGATCAAGTTTATCAGTTGGACGTTTTTGACCCTGGCTGTAAGTGTTTGAACTAGGTTGACCTATTGACTGTTGCTGACCTTTTTTGGGAGTATCCGAGTCAGCTATATCAAACAGTTCTTTCCAGTCATTGAGAGTGTCTGAACCAACTTCATCTATTAGGTATTGCCAATATTTGTCGGAGATGCTTAGACCGGGTTGAATAACTATGTTTTGCCAGTTTTGGTCAGAAGTGTTTGGACTGGGTTCATTAGTTGGACCAGACACTTGACTGGAAGTGCCTGATGTTTGGGATGGACTATTGTTATCAGTCGGTATCAGTATTGCATTAGCGGTTGCTGTCGCACTCAGTACGAGTAAAATATCAACCAATTTCATCAGATTGATCAATGGGTTTAAACAATTGGTACAAAAGTAGTGTTGAAACTGATGTTGATTATGAAACTCGAAGCAGTCGATTGTATTTGTGTTTTTGTATACCAAGCCAATCCTTTTAGGTTAACTCATGGCACAGAGTTATTTGGTTTTTGTGATGAGCCAATATCAAATCACAATATAATGTTATTCATAATATTGATGATCATGTCAATCATATGATGCTTTTACGACCCTTTGATCAAGTATATTGAAATCACACCCTTTGAGTGTTGTGTAATCGCAAACGCTCCTTTTTACAATCGTATTCATGTAAAATGGTTCACTTTATTCATCATGCAGCGACTGTATTCTGCATTGCAATATGCAATAGTTACTACACATTGACTGCATTGCATGTTTGGTATACAACAACAACCATCATATGACATACAATCAAACTATAATGTTGAATTTATACGTTGTGCACTCTTAGTAATCATACATTATACGATCACCAACTCATCCATTGCAATCCACATGTTTGGCTCAACTACTTTGATGATGTCAATACAACCATAGTTCTAAATACCAGTTGAAATCATCAACCAAATGCGAATCAAGTAATCAACCCGAGATCGGGTATGAAAGCTAAAAAACCAGTGAAAGAGTCCAAGAACAAGAACAAGACAATAGTGCAATGACCATTATCAACTCGAATGGTTTCATGTCGCATCAAACCATTGAAAATGCAGGTTTAAATGCGGTTTTATCCAGATCTGTACCGAGTTTCATTAAACAACCATGACAACTCTGATTGGTATGGTAAATATCCAATATCAACTTTCATTCCAATGTCTAAAACACCAAAAAATACAAAAACCTGACAAGTTTAAAAACACTTGCAATATTCCATCCATGACAAAACCAGTCCAATTTAAAAAATGGTTTGAAACTTGCATATTTCACTCGACCAAATAAAAAGTTTACATGTGTTGATTGAAATAAATTTAAACAATAGTGTATAGGATAGTTATGCAAGTACTATATTTATTCAAACATGATCTGATGGTGCAATCAATGATGTGTTCAGCAACATTTACAGCCCATTTCAACTCATGGTAACACTCCAATAATTGATTGTTGCTCCTTTCATCTGCGTAGCAACATCTGACTTGAACATGAGATTAACAAAAAACTGTTTCGTCTTGGTTGTCACTGGGAACTTTTTGACAATTGCTTCGGATCCAGAAATACTATTTACAAGTATATTACCATCTGGACCAAGCGTATTCAAAAGCGATTTCACACTTCCATCCACATATACAATATACAGTCCTAAAAAGTCGCTATAAAACTGTGATTCAAGTGCAATATCAATTTCAACAGTGATGTTGGATCCAACTGGCGCAGTATAGTATGATCGGATCTCAGTCTCTATTTCAGGACTGTATTGTATTCCGTCGCCAATAACCCATTTACCATTGACCGAGTTCCATCCCTGTGACTTTTTGGTAAATGGCGAGTTGTATATTCCAACCGATTTACTGGTACCATTAAACTTCCATTTGACACCGCGCTCAAGCTTAAAATAATCTTTTTGTTTTGGAGTGCGACTGATATGCTTATGTGTTTTGAGAACCTGTTTGCCGTTGTTTTGGCCAATGATACTGACCCGAGTATTACCAAGATCGTTGATCACAGATGTCAGTTTGAACGAGTGTTGACTTTTTATGTTGCTTTTAAAATCGGCAACTGAAAGTGATTTGCCAGTGTCATCAACAACTGACAGTTGATTGATTCCCTTGACTTCTACATCAATGGTTACGTCACTGCTAGTAATGTAGTAATTGATACGTTCAGAAACAAAGTAAAGATTGTTCAGTCCAGTTCTGACACCCAATGTTTTGAGCTGATCGGCAATACGGTCAAATTGAGAATTTTCAGTGGATCCAGACAATAGATCCGTCAAACGGGGACGTACAATGTATTCGGATACGACACCGGTATCTTCGATCAATTGGCCTTGCTGTTTTCCATTACGTATCATCTGTCGAGCTCCAATTTTAAGAACGTTGGCATAGCTTCGACCAGTTGTTTCGTCGGTTAGTTCTTTGTAATACGGCATTGGCTTAAAATCAACGGGATTAAACACAAGGAGTCGTGAATCAAGCAAAAACATGTCGGCACCACCACCTCCAGTTGTTCCATCTTCGCCAAAAACATAGCCAGTTTCGGACGACTGAAGTGCTGCTGAAAACTCTTCGCATGCAGAGTAGCACATGGCATTAGTAAATGCACCAACAGGTTTGAGATAGGCTTGACCATACATGTTTGACTGATTATACGAAGTTCTGTCATGATCAATAGAATACTTGCTACCAGGTGGAGTCTTGTACCATGCTGGACCAGAAGTGTCAAAAAAGCGCGTGCCATTAACCAGAGTGTTGTATGTGACAGAGTTCATCAGATATCTTACTTGCGTTGGTTGAAAATCGGGTTTGAAAAGTTGTGGAATGGCATTAGCAAACTCACCACTACCACCTCCATTTGCACGGATATCAAATACAACAGCATTGGTGTTTTTGAGTACAGTGCTCAGAAGTTTGTGAATTTCACGAACAGCCTCCACATCTGCTGGTGCATCAGTTTTAAGATTTTTTGGCATAAAATCATCCAATTTAATAATACCAAGATTCTTGGATTCGGGTTTCCAGATTGCCCAGCTGATAGTAGACACGTTGGCGTTTTGGTATTCGAGAGTATGGTTTTTTGATGGCTGTTCAAGTAAAATTTGACCAGTCTTTTGCTCTTTATGGTCATGCTCGGATATCATTGATGGAGTCTTGACTTCTTTCTGAGTTTCGAGTTGAGGTTTGGCTCCAGTATTGGAAGCATCAACGCCAGCGTCAATTATACTGCTAGAGTTGGTAGGCTGAGGTGTTCCAGGTAGAGTTTTTCCAGAAATTTTGGCATACAATTGACTAGTAATATTCCAGCATGATGAATCAAAATAAACCACCCACGGAGCTTCAATGTCGTACACTTTTCCAGTATCTTTTGATTTGAACTGATATTTGATCGTATCAGTTTCTGGCAAAGGAGTGTATACACCAAAACGAGACGTCATGTAACCAAGAGCACCATGCTGGCCACCATAATCATTGGCACCACCTGTTTTGTCCTGGTTCAAGTTCCGATAGTCAGCAAACGGCATACCATCAACAAGTAGTAATTCATCGCCAGCTTTGATTTGGTCATAGTCCTTTCCAAAAAAAGCACGCAGACTTTTATTGTCTACGTGCTTTTCAAAGACGACGGTTGGTTTCTTGACCATATCTGCATCGCCCTCGATAAATCTGAAAGAAAGACCAGTTGTGGCACTGAAACAAGAATATGGTCCAGATGGCTCAAAATGGGTATGATGGTCGCGCGCAAGAATAAACGCATTCAAGAGTTCAATCTGCATCTCAGTATCGGTAAGATTGGATGCATCCAGTTTTGCACGCAGTTTCTTGATGATCGGGAAGGGATCGGCACGCTCACCATAGTGTTTGATTTTAGATTCATAGTTGGTCCACAATTTCAAACCATTTTCAACATTGGTCAGCACGACGTTTCGTTGTTCGTCAGTGTATGGCATAAAAACAAATCTGCCAGCGTCACGGTGTTCTTTGATAAAGGCCCATGTAGGCATGGATTCTATAACGTATGCCAATTAGTAAGTTTTGAACGATTGCACAATCCAAACATTGACAAACCCAACATAAAATAGACTGATCAACAGATTTGCATACCAGATTTATTTCCTTGAGCATTGACAGCAAACGCAGCAGAAGCAATGGCTAGCAGTGAAAATTTCATTGTGGCTGCAGTATACTATTGAACTGTATTTGGCAAGCGTATCAATACTATACGGATTGAGTTGTTGATTTGTAGCAGTCTGATGATGTTTGATAGTGGCTGACGACTCATTTTTATATTTTGATAGGTTTGACTGGCAATACTAATGCTTGATATTCTTGCATCCATATGCTATGCTTTGCTTTTATTAAAATGCTTGATATCGAGCAAGATAACGAAATCGAGGTATATATTTAGAACAAATAAAGCAACGAATTTGTAGATTAACCAATTTATCCATATTACCACACATGCCATGTCAATTGTATTTTACTATCCAACACAACATCCAACTCAAACTGCTGTGAATCCAGTTCAATCAATATGATGATTGATGGTGTATTGACATTTGTGAATTATGCCAGTCCGTATATCAAATATACAGAACATATTGGCTTGTCAATAGATAATCACTTGTCAGCTGCAGCACTGCCAGCAGCTTTATGCTCATTCAGTCTTGGGTCTGGTACGTGGTGCTTACATAGGTCTGTTTAACAGCATTTCAACCATTGCAATTGCACAGCTTGCATGCTAATGGATTGCTTGTATACCACTATGGCTGTGTATGTTATATGCCAGCTATATCGAATAATTGAACGTAACAAAATGTGCTGTATTTATCCATACACTATCCAATCATCATAATTTGTTTTTTAGTAAATGGTTGTCAAGTATCTTGCTCAATTCTGCTGCTTGATCTGTATTTTTTGAACTGGTTACTTGGCCAGATCTGTTATTTCGGGTTGATGAGTGTCAACCCTATGAGTTCTGTTTGGTCAGGGTTATCATACGATTGATTTGCTGTTTGTGAGCAATGTGTTTGGATGGCAATAATGGTGTTTAAAACAGCCATTGTATAACATGTATTGACTCGAAAGCAAAATGGATCCACAAACTGTCTGGCATGTATTAGGTTTCCTTTGCGCAATATGTTGAACAGTTTGATTCTGATTCCCGGTTGTTTCAAATTGGCAAGTATGAGGCAGCCAATGCTCAGATCATAACTGGACACCAGCATAAATCCAAGTGTCGAATACAGCTTAAAAAGATTCCATCTTAAATGATTATGCAGCATCAAGATCTACACTATGCATGGCTTGATTAGCTACCCTTAAACCTGAATAGCTATCGTATTTTTGATTGCATTACCAATGTCATGGACACCATACTCTTGAACCATGTCAACATTCATGAATAATCATATATGCTGTATAACACTGGATTACTATCGACTGAAACAACTTTTATACTCTGTTGTTGTACACGTTGGTTATTGATATATTGCACATGCTGATCTACCAAGTGATTAGTTCAATCCAGTATACTGACGACAAATGGAATCCAATACAAGATAGTGAGCATTGACAAATGTAATATTTGACCGTATAACCGAGCATTTGTGCTTGGACGAGACAAACCACAATATAATCAATAATAATACCAACCAAGATTGACAGATTATACTAGTGTATAAAACAGTGTTGGCTGGATTGAATTGTTGGTTTATTTGTTGATTTACAGTTGTTTTTTGAATGAATTTATTTAAAATAAACTCGGGTATTGAGATATGAAATGATCTCATGTGAACAGGCTGTAATCGTACAAACATATACTGTTGGTGTTACAAGTTTATTGGTCAACTGTTGTATGACTGTGCTGATGATGGTGTCAAAACAGTGCCTGTTACCAATGGTACGCTACTATCACAAACTCGATCGATCCAATAGCCATGTATACACATTGTTGTCAGTTACATCGAGTGTTTGTCCAAATAGGTCGATTCAGATGGGTTGCATATAACTGACTAATCCAGCATTCATCCATTGTCAAACAACAATAATGCACAATACCACCAAGTGTGCAATTACACTTGCACTGATCAGTCGTTGCACAGTATGCATTGGTCAATGTCCAGCATATGTGTCTGCAACTAAATTGCAGTCCATGACACACCCACACGATCCAACATGACAAATCATGTATCATGAGTCCAAGATTGATCAAAAACATGATCATGGTAAACACAGCATGTTGTTGCATATCAGAGTCGATATATCGAGTGACAGTTGCACACTGGCTGATGGTGCACAGCGTATCAGTCACAATATGTCAGAATATTTGGAGCTTCGTGATTTGTATAAATGTAGTAAAGTATAAAGTAGATAGAGTATAATCTGTAACTGTTAGTAGTTATCAAAAGAGAACAAATCAAAAGTGTAATGGAAGTTGCACTTTAATCCAAGATCAGCAGACTTGGTCTTTTCAAGTATAGTAAAAAGGTGTAATAAAGTAATTAGAAAGTTGAAATAGTTTGACGAGTTGTTTATTGATAAGAGTAAGCATTTTAGCTTTATAGTAATTGTTTGTTTGTCTTGTGATACGAACAAGTAACACA